CCCGGCGGTTGCCCTATATGGTAACGGCAACTGCCTTCGCGCTGCGTTTGCTAAGCAATATCGCAAGCGCGCAGAGCGCGCGCGCCGGCTTCGTGGGCCGGCGCGCGCTCTGCGCGCGCGCGCGCACGCATTTGGTTACCAGATTACAATTTTTTCTTTTGGAGCTGCTGCTCTTTCTCTTTGCGTTTCAATGCAAAGAAATCTACATCGACATGATCGTTTATTCAATAAACAGCGATGGTGTTTCTGTTTGCATGTTCATGCCTAAATCAAAATCCCGAATATGTAATCAAATACCAGTATGATAGTCTTGCTCTTCTTCCAGGCAAAACTCCAACTCGCAGTTTCGTTGTTTTTGATACAAACGAAAAAAGTATCTTTGTTCCAGTTCCTAAGCACCCTTTAAGAACTGTTCCTCCCTACTTTCTCTGTCCCGTAAAACCCGCTCGACGTACTTGTCCAAGAAACGCGCAGGATCGCCCTTGGATTTTAGAAATGCGTGAACAGTGCGACTCTGCTCGCGTTCAGGTGGCGCATAATCCTGGGAAGACTCGGAGTCACTGTCGCTCGGGGCAAGTAAACAAGCGACGATCGCCTGCGGCGTTGGTGGCTGATTGCCCTCGGGGATCGGCACCTGGGTAATATTTCGAGAAATAAAGCGTCGTAGTGTTATAATATAGTTCGATTTTATTGGGAGATGGAGAAACCTAAGTTTCTAATCAATAAGTGACTCAGTAGGGGTAACAAGGATGTTGATGTTCATATTGATATTGCTCGTAAACAGCCAACCAAATACTTCACAACTTTATCGTGCACCTTTGGCATGCCTGTCCTCATGTCGAATAACTTCCGCTGGAGGTAAGTGGCGCGCGCAAACAGAATATCTTTCCGAGTCATTTTCTTAACTTCTTTGTGTTGCCCCGAGTTGCTGTCCTCTTGCGCGGCCGCATCATCAATGCGTCGCGTTTCCAGTTCTCTTGCCCGTTCTTCTTCCAAACGCTTTGCTCGTTCTTCTGTTTCTCGTCTCTCCCGCTCGAAATGGAAGGCAAAATATCGCAAGCCTATTCCCGTCCATCTTCGGCAGCATTCTTCTTCGCCAATGGCTTCGCAGATTCTGCCTATCTCCTCCGGTGTTTTGCCGTGCTTTCGCATCTGCTTCTCAGCCCACTGGATGTGGCCCTGTTGTCGACATTCTTCCGCCGTGACGCCGTACTTAGCCATTTCGGCTTGCATGATCTCCGCGTGTCTTATTTCTGGAGCCGATTCGTTCTCCACAAGGTTTTGGGTCGTTGTGGTCGAAATCGCGCTTGCTTTTGCGCCACTGCAACTCTCCCCCGCACCAGCATTCGAAGTAGACCTGGCGTTGCAAAAATTCTTGTTTATATCGAAATGTAAATTTTGCGAAAAAGAGTGAAGATGAGAGGAGATCACGAAGACACTTTTTATGCACGCAATCAAGGGAGGAAATGCACTGCAACTAGAACTACAACTACCTTTTGGAATATTTGCAGCGCTCTTCGCTGCTGTGAATATTGCGATTCCACTGCTTCGCTTCGTGTCTAGTATTCCGCCCCGCAGCGTCTTCCTCCGTCTCCGAGTCGGAGGAAGCCGAGCCTTGTGCTTCACTGGTAACGGTAAAAAAATGCGGCAACGGCGCCACTTTCTTCCCAGCGGCGGAATCACCTCTTTCCGTCCGATTGTGTGTGTTCCTTGGCGTATCGACTGGCGTGGCGGGCGAGCTGGGAGAAGGAGCGGGAGCCTCCACACAGAGTTCTAAGACCTCTGCTACCGACGTCGCGACGTCGCTGCCCGGATCTCCAGTGCTCCTCTTTTCGAACATCAGGCTGTCACCGTAGTCGAAAACGTGCTTGTAGTGATGGCTCTTGTAGGCTGGGTCGGTGGCGACGTGCGACATCTTCTTCTCGTGCAGTTTGGAATTTAGGTGCTCCTTCAGCTCGTCGCCGTTCGGGGCGTCAAAGCCGGCGTACTTTCGGCACAAAAAACAGTAGAACTCCTTCTGCACGGGTTTCGACTCGATGGGCAGGTATTCCAAAACTGTGCCGCAGGCTGCCATCTCGTTCTGCGACGCGGTCACGTGCTTCGGTTGGGGCAACACAATGCACCCCGTGCGATTGTCCTTGTCGACCTCGTACAGTGGCCACTCCTTCTTGTTTTGCTTCCCGTAGTGCTCGACCTTGCCCGTCCACCGGACGAAAAAAACGCCCTCGCTGTACGCCCTTTTCACGACGTCGCGCATAGGCTCGGGAAAATCTTCGACGAGTGGGGCCCTGATTATTGCGTTCATTTTTCGGACGGGGGACGAGTAAGTAAATGAAGCAAGGACAGCCATGTATAAGTACCAGATGAGTAGCTGACTTTATTTCAGGCTGAAATTAACAGGAAAAGCACGTGGCACATCATACATAATATTTGCACCTGTCGTCGGCTTCCCAGCGCTGCCACGGTTTCATTGTCCCATCTGGCAGTGGCGAATAAAACTTCTTTTTCTTTACCAGCTGCACTTCCGTTTGTACAGAGGAAGCCCGTCCTTGTCGCCTGTCGAACTCTGTTGAGAGACCTTCAAGCAGTTCGCGCTCCGCGGTTTGCATCGAAGACAGGAACTTGTCAAACAAATCCTCCGGAATCGCTGCTCGCATCAGCTCGAGCTTCCGGGGGTGGAGCGAACTTCCTGCCGTCTGGCGCTCGAGTAAGTCAAGCAACTTCGGAAATGGATTCTCTCTCCGCGTTTCTTCTTCACCACGTCGCGACTCTTTACACATAGAAGAAGAGCCCGTAGCCATATCTGGCTGATGCTGCGCCGTCGAATGCGAAGGAGCCGAAAACCCTGCACAAAAATCGCCGCAGTTTTGACCTTTGCTATGATTCGCCGCCGCCTTTTCTTCCGCTGGTCGTCCGTTTGCGCGTTTATTGGGCGAGGGAGACCAGTACACTCGTTCCTCAGTAGTGCTGTCAACAAGGACATCCGAGGAATTACTAGTCTGGCTGTCGGAGTCGGAACAGCTGCTCTCGGAGTCGTAATACCCAGAGCTGTCACTGCACATGTCAGCCCTCTTCTTTTTGTTCCTTCTGGCTGTTGTGGTTGCTGCTGTTCCTAGCCCATCTCGTGCCGTGGGCGCGGTCGTGTTTGTCGTTTTTCTAGTGTGCTGCACCATTGTGCTGGCCTTGCTCTGCTGCGTTGGCATTTCCCCAAAGAGCGCATTGATGTCATCTTGCAAGCGAGCTTCCGTGTGTGCTGCCATTTTTTCGGCTGGTGGTGTGATCGCGCTTGAAAGTACGTTACGACACGTGCTTATCGTTGCTTCTGTTGGATGTACGAGATCCTCTCGTCGCCCAGAAGAGATTCCTGCCTCTTTTCCTGTTTTTTCTTCCTCGAAGATGTAGCCAGGGTCGAGCAAGTCGATCAGGACTGCGTCGCCGTTGCTTGACGTTGAACGTGTTGGATTTATTTCAGTTGTCTTTATTTCAGGAAAAACAGTTTTTCTCGTTGGCGAAGAGAACGGGGTGACGCGCTGGGCCGAGCGGGACAGGTTGTTGTCACGCGGAGGTGTGCAGCCGAACTCTATCAGGTCAACTGTTTCTGGTGCCACGACGCCGTCTTCAGTACCGCTTTGCTCGTGGTGCACATGATCATCCGCTTTAGTCGTCGGAAAAGCCACTACTTCGTCGCGGGATGGCGACAAAGGAGTGGTAATCACTGATCGCACAGCTTCCGGCACTTCTACAGGTAGTTGGTGCGTTCTTTCTTCAAATATGGCTTCCGCACTGCAGTTCTTGTCCCTTTGATTTTCGTGTAGTTTTTCGTGCTCCTTCCCGGAGTTATCATCAGAAAAAATCCCCCGAAGACGATTTTGCCCGACGCACAGGCGTGAACAAGGATTTCCCGCGCCGGCCGAGGTGTTGTCGTCGCTAGAAGATGAAGAAGCGATGAGACATGAGCTTTGGCTTCTCACTTCTTGTGTGAGTTCGCTTTCGTTGATGGAAGAAGAACAATCATCACAGGAGTGGCCAGCTTCTTGTTGTGCTTTGCTACTTCTACTCACAAGAGATGGACGAGTTGCAGATGAAGAGTTGTTTTTTGAAATTGACTGGCTTTTACTTGTGTGGCTGCTGCACACTAGTGCACCAAATCTTCCATTTGATTCTGTCACAGAAGGCACGCCCGCCGACGGACAAGACTTGGGCGAGCCCGCCTTGCCTTTTCTTTTGCACGACTTGCAAGTGCTTCTTGGCGGCGTCAAACATCTTGAAAAATCGCGCGCAACAGGATCTGGATCCTCTACCTGCTCCAGAATGATCGTAGGAAAAGGAGCAGAAGCGGTGTGCGCTGTTTCCTCAGGGATCTTTTGATGAGCAAACGCAGGATCGTTTTCATCGATGTTGACGCTGTCTCGGACAGACACTGAGTAGTTATCAGACGGAAAAAGTGGCGATTTCTGTGCTAGTCTTGAGCTACATCATCTCGGTCGTACTTCAACATGTTCTAAAAAATATACAAGAAGAACGGACGCGTGACAAGGGCTGTGGAGCGCAACACACGGTCACGGACACGTCTCGCTGCAGTTGCATAACGCCGGTGACCAGCTAACTACAACCTTATTAGATCATGCACAACAAACATCAAGAAAGGGACGGCATGGCAAGTTGTTCAAGACGCTTAGAGAAAGAACACCAAGAACCATCGATACGTCCGTCCTCCCTTCGCCTTTTCCTTTTCGATCACCTTCCGCACTTCGTCGGCTTCCACTTTCACACACGATGTTCCCTTCGCGGAAACATTTACATTGGCATTGCGTTTCACACGCCGGCCGCCGTTCAGAATCTCCATGTCGTGGTCAGAGCCTTGCCTCTTTCTTCTCCGGCCCGCTACCGCTGCAGAACTTAATGACGACGCAACGGAACTAGCGGCAACGGAACTTTGCGCAAGTTGCTTTTGATTGGAATGATCTTTCGCGTGTCGATCTTTGAAAGTCTTGCTGGACAACGGAGCTGCAGCGGATTTGCAACCGAGAGGGCGCTCCTGCCCAGGAGGTTCGAATGGGTACCTCTCGCGGGAAGCACAGTGCTCGACCCTGAGGAGTTTTACCAGACTCACAAGGAAATCAATGCGGTGACGGTCTGTGGCTGTGCTTGTCCCACCCAAGTATGATGGTGTATCTTTTCGTTGCGGCTGCCTCGTCCACTTCTTCACGTGCAACAGCATTGATCGTGAATATGTTGAGAGCGCGGTCGGGCCGTCGTCAGAGGTCGACGCAGGAGCAGGAGCCGCGCAGGTCCCGGGCACAGTCGAAGGACTTCCATCAGCTGCTGGGAATGCGACGCGCGGGCACTGGGGGCGTGCAGTCACATTTTCGAGCTGGTGTTGCTCAGGGTCTTGGTGGCTCTGGTGCTCAAACGCGGCGTCGCTTAAAAATATTTCTTGTTGTGTGCCATTCTCAAAATCAGATTCCGGTAAAAGTGGTAAGGGTAGTGATAGCGGCCGAGCAGACGCTTCTCCTTGTTGATTTTTCGCAGACTGTGAAGATGATGATGATATTTCTGAAGTTGTAATTCCTGGCTGGTCAACCTCTTTCGTTGTTGAAGTTGAACTTGTTGACGAACGTAATCTAGACGATTGAGATGTACATGTCGACGAAGATGTGAAGAGCAATGCATTTGAATCTGTTTCATTTTTTTGCTTCGAATAGAAGCAGTAGTTACTCGTATGCGTATGGTTGTACTGCGAATTATGTTGACGCGGCTTGTCATCCGAAAGAACTACAGCGGTGTCCGTGCAGCTGGAATTTTTGTGGTTGTTTTCTTCTTTCGAGCTAGGCCGGCCAATGTTGCTTTTCGGTCGTGGCACTAACACTGGAGCCGGACAATCGACAAAGGACGTTGGGGCCTCGAAAGCGTCGTCGTCTTTCTCATCAACGTGAAGATGGTCCTCGATGGCTACACGTACTACACAGGGATCGCTTATTGATTCGGAAGATAAAGAAGATGCTGACGGACGATATTTGCAGCTACTTGACAAACTGCTCGAAGAAATTGAACATGAAGATGAACTACTCGATGATGATGAGCTACTAGCTCCAATACATGTATTTTGTACTTTGGCAAAATCTATCCCGTAAACTGGCTCGTCGCTGGAACTGCTATCTTGTGCTGACTGCTCATGAAAATCTCCCGCGACTTCACCAGTCGACGAAGATGTCAGTAGAGCTACCGCAAAATCGTCCTCCGACGGCAGCAAGACAGGAGGGTTTATCCTTCCCGCGATTTGCTTATCAAGAAAGCCCAAAGCGGTTGGGGTCGGCGCACGGGAGGTACAGGAAGTGACTGTCCGGAAGTCGTTTTTTAGGGCTTTGATGTCTTTTTCCCCGAGATTTCTTTGAAACCGGTACTTGTCTTCGTACAGCTCGTTCCTCGGAAGGATTAGCTGTGAAAGACGACTCCAAACGGGGTCGATCAGCAGAGGCTTCAAAGAATACTCCATCTTGTTGGGCTCTGAAGGCTACTCACGCTGGAGCGTTAGTTGCTGGTTGGGTACGGGTTCTGGGGGAGGTCGTAGTCGTACTAGTGGTAGCAAGAACGGGATGGGGAAAAAAAGATTAGATACAGTACTGTAGCCCCCTCCTGCTTACTTCAAATTGTGGAAAGGACAAAAACAAAAAAAACGGCCAGAGCCACAAACATAAACCTGACATCAAAATCGGAACATCGTCCATGTCACGATTGCACACCGTTTCACGAGTGAATTTGTTATGCTCTGAAGGATTCTTCCACTTCCTCTTCGACTTCGACGCACCATAGAAAGGCTCGGACGAAAATCTGCCACGTTGTTCGGGAGTAAAGATTGCCATCATGCTAGACCACTTTTATCCTGATGGTTCCTCCGCCACAAAGAGAACCTGCAGTCTTCTCTTCTTCGAGCTCCACTTGCACGAGTAGCTACTCGTTCTGTACTCCACCACAACCTGTGCCGCGACGCCGCCATCACTGTTCAGAATCCGGATTTCCTTGCCATTAAACTCCAACTCCGGACATTCGACATTGTCCCCATCGACAAAAATCTCCAACGTGGTTCGATCCTTCCAGCTAATCTGGAACTGTGCTCTGCTACGCAGTGCCGAGCTCGTGTCAGTTTCACTTTCAATACGAGACAGTGACTTACTCATACTCCCGTTGGTCTTTGCTGTACTGATATCCTCTCTTTGCTTTTCTATGTCTACCCCTTTCCCGTTGCCATTGTCTCTGTGAAGTTCGCTCAGGAGCGTGTTGTCGGAGGCATCATCTTTGATTTGTGACGTCGTCTGTAGTTTGTCCTTTTCTTTATCGTCGACGGGCGCTTGGTCCTGTTGCTCACATTCAGTTTCAGACACAGGCGTTTTCGTACTGGTGCCCGACGATGACTTTGTCGCTTCGTCTTGTCCAACCTCTGCAACAGCAGTCGTCGATGCTGGGTAGCTCGCATCCGCCTCACTCCCCGCACCCCTTCCGTTGCTGTCCAGGAACCACGTGGTGACGCTGTAACGCATCGTTTTACTCGGGCGTACCTCGTGCGGCACGCGCTTGTCACTGAAGAACAGCAGTAACCGACCCAGCTTCGGCGCGACCGCGGAGCGCAGGCAATCGGAGTCATCCGCCTTGTACACGCACAGACTTCCGCCGTCGATTTCCATTTCCGGGTTCAAGTACACCAGACACGTTAGCACGCGCTTCGAGAGCTGCGGATGCTTTCCGTCGTTGTCGTAGTGCTTCGTGTACCGCGCATTTCCGCCCGGGTAGCAGGCCACCATGTGGTGCGAACGGGAGTTGATCCGGTCCAGGTCTTCCTTCGGGGGGAAGTACACTTTCAGCTCGTTCACCAGAGTGGAAACCTTCATGCCCGTGTCATCCAGCATCGGGCCGTATCTCCAGCCCGAGTTGTCACTGCTGCACTTGTTTGCGTCGTCGATGCCCTCCGCCGCGCCGCCCTTCAGTTCCCACGACTCTGCGTTGTTCGTATTGAACCAGCCGACACGGTCGCCTCGGGTGCTCTGCTCGATGTACGCGGTTTCTGTTTTTCCATTCACCACGCCAGCGGGGTTCAGCCTCCCGTCGGCGTCGCACTTCTGCACCTCTGTTCGGAGCCGGAGCGCGGTGTTCGCGGGCAGAAAACCGTCGATAAAGGCGTAGTCGTTCTTCTTCAATTGCTTCGCCACCAGCGCCAGACATTCGTCTTGAATCCACCACCACTCCGGCTTCGCGACGATTCTCTCGTATTTCAGACGGAGCGTATTCAGCAACTTGGCGTAAATCTGGTTTGCTAGCAGGTCGGTGCCCTCGAAATCGGGAGCTGTAGACGTACGTGCGGTGGGCGGGGTCGCTGCGTTCTCTCGTTGCTCGATTGGAGCCGCAACGTCGTCTGTCTTGCATTTTTGATTCCCCTTCCGCTTGCTTCGCTGCGACGCGGAGGCGGGCATTTTTTTCAGTAGGCTTGATTTTTTAAAACCAGTCTGCTCCAAAAGCAAGACAGCACTCAAAGAGGAAAAACAGGTGAAAAATGACGCAGCCAAGACGTTGCCTTGAATCGGCAAAACACATGTCGCTCCAGATAGATGAAGCAAGTAGCCATTTGGCACACACCTCCTCTCTCCACAGAAATCGCTTCACCTTCCATCTGTTACTGGGATGAAAAACGTAAACGGTTCTTCATACTCACACGAACACAATGGCTGTAGGTACATGGTCGGAAAACAAGACCGATGTCCGTTTGAAAGGGTGTATCGGCAAACGCTGCGGCATCAATACCACCGCACACCCGAAGGAACTGGCAATCTTTAGACAAGCGAAACCAAAATCGAAAGCGAAAAGAAGAGTTCGTTGTTCATGTTCTCGTGTCAAAGTAACAGGAGTCCAAATCGTTTCGGTGAGTTCTTTATTTGTTTGGAAGGGTGATCATTGTATCGACTAGACGGCTTTCATTCAAATTCGGCATTTATTGTGCCCGGCAACAAAATAAAAGTTCGTTCGTCGGTAAGTTCATTTGAAAGAAAAGGTAAACTAAAACAAAGCTCTCGTAAGTTCATTTTCGTCTGCATGACCCGTGCAGGAGCAGAGGGGAAAAACTCTATCTAAGATAGAGTCCTCTTAGACGTCATTTTTTCATTTAATCTTGTTTTGCAAAATTCTCACTTGTTTTGCAAATGAATCTGAAGAAAAATATCAGCTCGAAGTACAAAAATCTCTCAGCTCCGGAGCATCATCCCAGAACTCGGAAAGTCCGGGTGGCGATCTGCAAAATTTGCGTAGGGAAAGTAGAGATAGACCTACCTAATGAAAAACTCTGAGCCAGGCCTTTGCCGATACACGGCAGATCGGACATTTCAGCCCGCAGAACTCCAGAGACCCGCTGCGGTGTTGGTCTTGACTCAAAATCCGCACGCGCGCTTCGACCTGGTGCGGCATGGCGGATGGTCGCGTGCTCCCGCGCGTCCGGATGGTCTCTGTCAAGCAGTGCTTGCAAAACGCAAGGTGGCAACAGGGCAGCAACGCGAACTCCTTCTCGTGTGTCCAACAGACACAGCAAAGGGTGTTCTGGTCAGACGGAGACTGCTTGTTAGCGGAGAAAGAAGACGATGAAGACGAACGCGCTACTTCCTGCACAGCGGCGGGCGCACAGAAGAGTTCATCTCCATGAAGATCCCCCGGAGTGTTACTATGATCTTCCCCAGAAGAACTATCACGTCTTCTGTCGCTGGCATCTCCGAAAGCGCCGGAAGCGAAGGCCGCTCCGCTACCGCTTCCAGGAAGTGTCGAATCAGCATTATCATCGACAAACGGAATGTGAAAGGTGCGCTTCAGGTAGAACTCCAGCATCAGATTCTCCAAGTCATGCTGCAGTTTGTGCGCGTGGATCGCATTCAGAGCCATTTCCCTTGCCGCCATCGGCACATCAAAAGAGGAACTGCTACTTTTCTCCCCAAAATGATCTTCCTGATGATGCTTCGCTGGTACGACCATTCCGCTGCTACTACTCAGTGAACCCGCACGATTCTGCCGGGAGTGCTCATTCCAGATTTCCTTCAGAATTGGGTCGCTTTTCACCGACGAGAGCTCGGACGACACGGAAAACGGAAACAAATCGCGAAACGCGGTCAGAAAGTTGTTGGCCGTGCCATTGTAGTCCATGTCGTGCAAAAACTTCACAAGATTCTCAATGTCGCGCGCCGGCGATCGTGTGCTTGCTTTTTCGTCGTTTGTAGTTTTTTCCTGCGAATTTTCAGTAGTAGTGCCGTCGGCATCAATTTTCTTGGTAGTTTTTATTTCGACCTCGGCTGCGTTGTACATCCGCACAGTGTCGTTGATCCTCATGAAGGCCTGGTCTCGGGCGATTTGCTGGGAAAGCTGCAACACCCGGTAGCGGAACGCGTGCGCGTCATCCTTCGGATCGGCGTAGACTCGGAACTTCACGTCTTTCTTGGAAAGTGACGCCGGCACGTCGTAGAAAAGTCGGTCTGCATCTTGCCCGAGAGCTATGTTCTGGAGTGAACGGCAACGATTTGTTCCTCGGCGCGCCGTACTACAGTCGTCGAGACCAGATGAAGTTGAAGTGGAATTATCCTCAACACCCTCCGCGCGATCAATGTAGTTGCTTGAGAACGTAAATGACAGGAGCCGGTGACTGTCAACCGCTAGGCTCGTGCTGCTGAAGCTCCCTTCGCCGCCGGCTTTCGCCGCCCGGTTCTCCGTCAGAATGTCGGCAACCAGCTGACCAACGAGACAGGTCGCCAGTTCCCGATCGCCGTATGTGTAGGCGTCTGCACGGGACGTCGTTGAAGCTGACTGATCATTGCGGTCTTGGACTTGGTTCGAGCCCTGTTGAACAGGCGCTGCAGTTGATGCGACGTCCGCCACGGCACCGGTAGTGGCACCAGCAGCAGCAGCAGGTGCCTGAGTGGCGGGTGCCAGCCTTTCATCCCCTCCTGCACTTGTACTACCCGCAGTGACGAGCGAGGGACCCGTTTGCGCGTTGTGGTTTTCAACGATAACCTCTTCTGCTTCTGAAAGTGGCACAGGAGGATCCTCATTGGCTACAGAAGCATCAGTAGTAGCTGTGGCTTGAACTACTGTACCTGCTCCTTGCTCCACTGGTGCTTCACCTTCACTCGGAACAAGATATAGCATGTTTGCGAACCTGCTTGGAAAGCTCCAGAGGTTCTGCAGCAAGACGCCTTCCTCCGGGGACAACGCCGCGGCGAAAAGGTTCAAATGGTTAGTGGATCCGCCCTGCGCTGGAGCAGCTGCAGCAGCAGTACTTGTGCTGGATAGTGTGGTGGCGTCGTCGGCCCACCGTACTGATGCGTCTTCTTCTGCACCAGTGGCTGGCTGTGCTTCGGGTTGACTGTGACTGTTCGTCGCCACTCCCACTTCGTTCGCTGTTGCCAGAGAAAGCAGGGAAGCTCCTGCACCTGCTACAGCTCCAATCAGGACATCTTGCACGACCAGGTTTGCGATGGAAGCGTCAGAAGTCTGGGAATCGGTCCTATCAACGTGGTTCGTGGAGATGACGCCGGCGTTTGCAACATCTTCTGTGCCCGCGTTCAGAGGCAGATCCACTACTTGCAGCGACGGGTACGACCGCACTCGCATTGTGCGCGGCACGGAACGACAGCGACGCGACGTCGGCAACGCAGGAGACCCAGCTGCCACCCAGCCGCCAACGGAGGTGCTGAAGCTGGTGTCGTCGATAAGCGAATTCTCATTCTGATTGGGAGTCGAGGTCCGCAACGATCCCGCTCCGTGACGCAACAGGTGATCCCGTTGTTTTTTCATCCGCTCAAGGTCCCGCTTCAAGTCGTTGACACTGGCACGCATTTCCAGCATGTAAGTGTTTGTGGTAATGAGAAATTGCGTCAAAGTGTGTTCCCCAACGGAAACTTGTGGCTGCTGCCCGGCGTGTGAACCATCCATGGATGCTCCTGCTGCGCCAGTCGCACTTCCACTCGACGTATTTTCCTCGGCGTCCATCGTGGCTGATGTTGACAACTCGTCCTGATGTGCGGACGCGTTTGTGCGCGGCGGCGAAAGAGCGCCTTCTGGAGAATCAACAGCGAGAGCTGATCCCATCTCTGCGTAGTAAGTCTAAGTGCAAGTGGGAGACGCTAATCAGTGTCTTCCTTTGTCTGACTGGAATATGAAATGCTGTGGTTCAAGATCCGTCGTTCTCTCGTTTTCAAAACAAGCTCTAGATGTAAATGTTGACCTGACAGAAATAGCCCACGAGTTCGTTGCCTCGCACTGCTGGTCTCCGACGAGACAAAAACAGCAATTTTTCAGACTTTTCTGAATCCGAATCCCTCCCGACTCGCATAAAAGACGAATTTGAATTTTTCGCTCTGACGATTTCGCACAGTTTCCTTCTTCGTTCCCTTCTTCTTTCCATTACTGCGTGGTAGCATTTGAAAATGAATGTGTACGAAGTCGCGGCACAGTCACTCAGAGAGGCGATCATCGAGGGCATGCGAATGCACGTACCTGGAGCAGGTGAGCCTGACGCTACTTCGCGTTCAAAAGCAACGCTTGCCGGGCTATATCGAAATTGCTCGTTCCGTAACATAACAATATTGGATGATTGCATCTTATAGATACAACGGAGGCGGCAGGTACATCAATCTCTATTTTTTGAAAACAAAAAACAAAAGAAGTTCATGGAGCAGTTGTCCACATCGATGAAGCACATCTTCTGCTCCGACCAAAACAAAAGCTCATCGATAACTGTTGCCGGATGCGGTATAACTGGTGCGGCCAGTGAGAAAAACGAAATTGACCACATCCGGCGTAGGAGTCGAAATTTAAAAGGTCCAGAAGAAATCGGCGACGAGAAAGCGTTCATTATTGCGAGTTCGACAACGAAAAGGAAAAACCTAACAAGTTCAGCAATAGTGTGACAAACTAGACATACAAACACATCCAGCGGGACAAAGTTCGGGACTAAATTCTGTCACGTGAAAGAACTGAGGTGAAGCTAGTGACAGTAAGAAAAATCAAATTCAAAATCTAGAAATAAATCAATGGCAAGCCAAACATCCCGATAACTTTAGTTCATCAAGTTCTTGGAAAGACTCTACAACGGCCGCTCCTTTTTCAAAAGAACGCACCATGCTGGAGAGTTCCTGGCATACACACCGAGGATCTCCTCACAACAAGCCCAGAATCTCCATGATTGAAGTGCTCGTGACACCACTGGACGCCGAAATAAGGCGGTGAGGATTTATTTCGACTTGTTGAGCCTCGATGCTTACGTTCTACTCCGTGAGGCGGCTGTTTCACTTCCGAAGTCGCGGCCACAAACCCGGAGAGCCCGAGCCAGCTCGCCGCTGTCGCCACTCCGCCAGCGGCCCCCGTGCAACCTGCGGCGAAGAAGCTAGACACCGCGACACGGGGAAAGGCTTTGGCGTCCGCTTCTTTCGCGCCCACCACCAGATTCGTCGGCTCCGGCGCTGCCACTTCGCCGGGGTGCACCGAGCGCACGAACCCGACCCGACCCTTGTCGTCGTCGTAGATGCTGTAGTAGCGGCGGAGGAAGGTGTCCCCGAGCACCCACTTCTTGCCCGGCACGTCCATCGAGCCGAAGCCCAGCTCGCACTCCGGCTGCTCCGTCTGCTCGTTCATGTCCGCCAGGGTGTACTCCTGCGGGGTGAGCGGGTAGCGGATCAGGCCGTCGTCGGATTTCAACAACAGGTTCACGGTGGGCATCTTGTCCAGCCTTTTGCAACTCGTGTCCAGCTGCATCTTCTGCAGCAGCGGGTCCATCTCCTCCGCCGGGCCCGTGATCAACGAAGATCCCGTGTCCACCACCGCCAGACACTCCTTGTTCGGGTAGCTGTCGCACGCGTGCTGCTTCTCCCCGTTATGGCGCTCTCAAACGTTACACTCTCATCTGTTACATGGATGGTTTGCAATGCAAAACTGCCTTTAGAATCGACGCCATGGCCATCAAGCTGCTTCGCATGACAAATTCTCAGAGGGCCAGACAGGCTCATAATCGGCACCAAATCTGTAGTCATGCAAGACGCACAAGATCCCCGGTATGTATCAATTTCACTTTTGCCATTTTTGCATCACAAATTCATGTAACAGTTGAGAATGTAACGTTTGAGAACCGCATACCCGTTCACCTCCACGTCGGCGATCGCGACCTGCCACTCCTTCGGGTGCGTCGTCGTGTGCCAGTACAGAGGGTGCCCCTTCGCGATGTACTGCGGCTCGATCCCGCCGAACGAAAGACTCCCCGTCCGGTGCGTGTCCTCGCTCAAATAGCACCTGAATAATTTTTATGATTTATGAAACGATAAAACTAACATGTGCGCTCGCCTCTAGGTGGGCGAGAAACTGTCTGGGCACTGTCGAGTTTTCTGCGATAAAACTCAAACAACAAAGAAATAATCATCAAATCGCCTGGGACAGACGTAAAAGAAGCTGCCGCTGCGTTTGAGGAAGTAGAACTAGTAGCCTACTTCAAACTGCATCTTACCCCAGCATGTTGTGCGCGAGAACTTTTGCCTTCCGGATCGAGTGCAAGGCGGACCCCTTCGAGGCAGACGGCGCCAAACCAAAGATCCCGTCGAAAGGCAACCACTTGAAGGGCTCCGACGTTTGCGTCAAGCTGGTCCCCATGGTTTGTGCGGGAATGTGCAGGGCGTTCTTTCCGAGGTCGCGGCAGTTCGGGTTCAGCTTGGAGTCGCACAGCCGCAGCGTGTCTTCCGACTGCTGGTAGTGTACAGACCCGGTGCCGTAGTGGATCACCGTCGTGGCCCCCACTTCCGACGGGATCACCCGCTTCGTACTGCTCGCCGCCTCGTCATACTGGTGGTGGTCCGCGCACACGTCGGTCGCGCACTTCTTGCCCGGAACCCAGATCAGCCCACTGCCCGTGTCCATCACCGCCGTGAACGGCTGCGGTGGCGTGCCCAGCATGAAATCCCCGTAGTACTGCGAATTGTTGTTGTTCAGCATGTCCACGCGGATCTCCGGGTGGCGCGGTAGTTGCTCCTCAACCACTTTCGCACTGCTGCTGGGGGCGGTAGAGGAGGAGGAGCTGCTACTTGCCGAGGAACTTGAACTTGAACTACTGCTTGTGCCGACTGCCGAGGCTTGTGTGGCTCCTGCGTCGTGAGGATGATGAGAGGAGGAATCATGAGTGGCCTGTGTGGGAGCAGAGGAAAAACTCGTTATTAGCTTGCTGCTTGTAGTCGATGCAGCCGCGTGCGCGTGACCGCCACCACTGAATCCCGACCAAAAGTCCACATCGTCCAGCATGTGGGACCAGAGGTGGGCCGGCATCTTCTCAAGAAGTTCCAATGGCTAGCAATAGTCGACAAAATGGCACGTCTTGGTATTCCTATTCATGCACCCTTCTAGTAGAAGAAATCATAGCTGCTCTACCTGCTTCTGCTTTCAGATCGATTTTGTGAAGGAATCCTTCACAGATATTAATCGATAACTCTTGAAACGATTTCGGACCTACGATGCTATTCACAGGATTAGATGAAGAGTGGCGGATTTTTGATGCTTCAACTCATTTTGGCCTTTTCTCGATTTGTCGACGCTTCTCTTTATTTGTCGAATTTCACTACATACGAAAACGACGAGGCATGTGCGATTGTTCCTCATTGCTTCTACTTTTTCACCGAAGTTGCAGCTCTTGTTGCAGAAGAAGAACGATAAAATAGTCCGGGGAAATCAAAGTAAGTGTGTCTCTGCGGGAAAAACTCGTATGTGCACGCCAAGTCGTTCGTTTTTGAAAAAGTACTCTCTTCCACACATGAAGACAAGAGACTCTGACTCCGTAGAAGTAGTTTCTTCATGTTCACACAAAAAGCATATAGCGCTTCTCATCTTCTACAGCTGCACTCCCTGGGGCGGTAAGTTTTTGTGGAGATAGCACAGGAACGTTGTGGCCAGCTTTCCGGGTATCACGCGTTGCAAACTTGTTGCGGAGTCCAGCGGGTCGAAGGCTTTTTCCTGTAGCAGGGTGCACAACAGCGATTGCAACCGCTCGCGCATCGCCTGTCCCGCTAAGGCCCGCTGGAGGACCCTCCGGAGCGTGCCAAAAACCAGCGTTGTCCAGGCCTGGTTGAAGAAGTTTTTGTTCTCCGCATCGTCGTGGTTAGCAATGGCGAGCTCCAACTCACCCAGCTCAATTGAAGCTGACGCTATGCGCACTTTCAACGCATTACTATTCGGCCTGGATGAAGAAGTTGCGCCGCCTCCGCCTGATGCTTTTTCAACATCGTCTACTCTCTTTGAGTCTACATCTGCGCACGCAGTTCCATCTGTTCCGCCGTCTGCGCCCTCTCGAACCGAAACGGCGAAGACAAACTCAGCGCGGCTGTCTTTGACGTCGACGATATTTTCACCCTCTAGCCGCAGCAACGTGCCCGACGCCTTCCACTTGTGGTGCATCACCAGTCCGAGGTTCTTCACCGTGATCGAAAAGTATTTGGTGGTTGTCGTTCCCTGTTTGCTGTTGACGTCGTGCTCGTTTTCCAGGGTGATTGTGCGCTGCAGCTGCGCGGTCGCGCTCGCGGCGGGTGGATTGGCACAGCTCTTCAGGTGGCAAAAACACCGCGTCGTGTTGAGCGATGGGAAAGTCAGCTCCGACAATTCGTACTTCAACCCCTCGGCTTCGCCCTTGATATCGTCCAGGATGATATCCTCGAGGTACACGCGCAAAATACGCAGCAGTGTGCTCTCCTCCATGAACATCCGCGCACGGCGTAGCGCTGATTGCCCCTGCGTCATTCGTTGCGCCTGCGCAGAAGCAGAACCGCCCGCCGCGCTTCCCTGACTCACATCCACCACATGCTCGAACAAGTGCTCATCTCGCACCTGCAACTGCAGACGCACCTTACCCCTTGGAGGTGCGCCGCTGTTGGTACCACTAGCTGCGGCGCCAGAGGCCGATGTCGTCGTGGTGGGCGAGGCGTTCGGCGTGCTCGACGTAGAGGCTGCTCCAGGAAGATGTGAAAGGTGCTGTTGCGAGGAAGTTGTTGTACTACTGCCCCCTGCGGATTGTACCTCAAACGAAGACACCAAGTCCGCCACACGAATCCAGCCTACGACGCCCTGGTCGACGCAAACGATGCGCGCCGAGGGCAGACACGCTAGCATAGACACCAGATTCTCACGCCTGTAGGGCTCGGGCTGCGCAGCACCAGCTGCGCGGCCCCATGACACCTGTGAAGAAGAAGCTGCAAGAAGCTGCGGTCCTCCTGCAACTACCGCCGGCGCGATTGGCGTGCTCATCCTCGCCGCTGTTTCGGCACTAGAGGCTGCAGTTCCCGTGCTCACTGGTGTGTTCGAGGTCGACGCGCCCCCAGAAGCTGTAGCTGCGCTGGTGCCCCAGTTTGGTTGCGTTTGCCTCAATTCCCGCATGATTCGCAAATCTTCGAGGAACGGGTCCGCATTGTCGCACCACTTGAGGAATCGGACGCGGTCCCCCGCGCGCAGCTCGGTCAGCGGCTTCTTGATTGTCGCTGCATGATTTTGTGCACCAGCGCTGGAGGACGTTGTTCCGCTCGTGTTGTAGCTGTGGACGGGAACCTGGTTGACCCTGCCGATCTCGGCGGTGCGGTACACATTCACCGCGAGTCCGGTGATGGTCCACAACCCGCCCGACGTCTGGTTCGCCTCCAGCAGGGCCGCAACCTCCTCGTACATCGGGAATAGGGCGTTGGACAGTCGCGCGTTCTGTACCAAAATACTGCTGCTGCTGGCGGCCGGCGCACTTCCAGAAAAAGGCAGGCGTAACGAGGAAGCGGCCGAGCCAGTCGGTGTTGTGCTCGGCGAGGCGGTGGTGCTCGTGCCGGAGCTGCCAAGCACCTTGGAAGATTTTCGCTGGATGCCACTGGCTCGTCCTTGCTGATAACCAAGTCCGCCAGTGGTGGTGGACGAATCGCCTGCAGTTCCGGCGTTGTTTCCCGCCGAAGAGGATGTAGTTGACGCGCCAGCAGCATTTCCTTGTTGCAACTCTCTCCTTGTCCGCAACGCTCGATGAAAGAAAATTGCCTCCAATACGCGCCGAACGATGCGGATGAAGTCCTGGAGCCGCTGGTGGCGCACGCGTACTGGGATGTTGTCCTCTTCTTCCGGTAGAAACACGTCCCCAATTTGCTGCTTCGCGAATGCATACCGATCGAACTGCGGAGTTTGCTGGTGTATGGAGCTCCTGCGCCTGGGGGGTTGCTCATGACCGACAAGTTCGCCACCGTGGCCGAATGCAGCAGCAGCTCCTGCCACGTGCGCAGCTGCACCTGGTGGATCTCGGTTGCTCAATAGCCATGTCCCATTGTCGTGGCCGTGAAATAGATCTGGTCCGTCATTTTGGAATGACGACGTCGGTGCAGACCCACTGCTTCCGCCGAAGCCCAAGAGATTTTCTGCTGCGGGGTAGTTTCCCACCGGTAGCGTGTCTCGTAACGCTTTGAGGAAATAATCTAGCGGCTGGTCTTTCTTCCCGAAAAAGGGAAACGAGGAAAGCAGGAACAGATTCTGCCAAACACTGTCGAAGCTTTGGTACAGGGAATTTTTGCAGTGCGGCTGCTGCGAGGGCTGGTAAAGGTCATCCTGTGGCAGCCGGAGATGCTGTCGCTGATACGCTGCGGATGCCGATGCTCCTGAGCTCAGGTTCTGAGAATGCTTTCTGGGAGACGAAGAAGACACCATTTCGACGAGACTTCTAGATGTTGTTGGCGCCGTGGTAGTGGTACTGTGTGTACTCACGGTTCTGCCGCCAGTGCCGGGATGCAAAACAACCTAAATTTATGTTGCGAAAGCAAAATAACGTCGCACATGTTGATTGAAATCGAGTCGGATGAATCAATTATTGATTTTGATTCCTACAGATTTTCGACAATAGGAAGAAAAAAAATCCTTGCGAGCACAGCCTTGCAACTCTAGGCGAAATCGGAGTACCTCGCTGTCTGACGAAAGGTGTTCGTGGGCCGAGGAGTAACTTCCTGCTCGCGTCCGACCGTCCAAACAGTGACCAAGAATCTCAGGCTCTGTCGGGAGGTTAATATTTCTCGTTCTTGCATCCTTCTGCTCGTTCCCGTTCGCCAACAGTTCGTCCAGTTGCTGTTTCCTTCTCGCCTGCCTCTTGATTTCCTTGTGCACCACGGATGCGTTCAGGTAGTGGAAGAGCGACTGTAACACGAGAAAGAAGATGCCCGTCGCGGTGCCGGTCTGATTGCGGTAATGGTTCTTCAAAAGCGGGCTGAACATCGAACCGCCAGTATTACCCTCCTCCCCCCCGCTCCGGCTCTTCGTCCGCCGGAGGTCATGTCTCTGGTCCTCTTCTACCGGCGCCGCTCCTTCGTCCTCGAGTTCATACACATCGGTTAGAATCTGCTGCAGTATGCGATACAAAGAAACCTACCGCACACCAGTGTCACGAAAAGTTTTGGCAACCTGTCTGCTTCTTAAAGGGGCACCCTTTTTGCGTGTGGAATGGTCATTGAAGGGAGCGGAGTTCTTCTTGTCGTACTAATGCCATTGTCATGCAAAAATGTCGTCATGTCCTCCATGCGTAAGTGCCTTCGACTACGGTGAGCGAGATGAAATTCACATTCGATATGCACTCCGCGAATCAGATTGTCTGCGTGGTCCAAGAAGTGGGTCTGGCGCGCGATCACACAGTGGAGCAAGTAGTGGCCAAAACCGGGGAAGCAAACCAGCGACAGGAGGATGTTGACCACGGGCACCATCTTCCACTTCGACGGAGCAGCTGCAGCACTAGCCGCGGCACTGTTTTTCGCAGAACAACAAGTGCTTTCCTTTTCCTCGCTCGGTCCTCGGAGATAATTGGTGCTGCTGGTATTCAACACGCCGGAAAGGTGAACAGGCGTGGTCGCGGTCGACGTCACCTCGGGGGGGAGGTCGCGCTCGTCGTTTGGGGAACTCTTACCGCTGGAGGTAGCCGTGCTCGTACCGGAGGAACTGCCACCGGATGTAGTTGCTGAAGGTGCGAAAAGCGTCCGCAAGTAGAACAGCAGCTCACAATAGAACAGCCGCGACACGGGACCTTGCCAGGGAGCGCCAGATGATGCGGTGGAGGTGGTGTCTTCCGGCAAATCGGGTGGGACAGGGCCCGTCTCGCCACTGTAACGGGTAGGAGCTCCCGTTCCGCCTACAGTGAGCGGCGGTGGTGGCGGTGGTGGTGGCGGCGGCGAGAGTTGTGGCGTCGATACTGTTGAGCCAGGCATGACATTGTGGCTGAGCGAAAATTGCTGCTGGTGAGGACCCTGTTGGGCTTGGGCTATGCCGATGGTTTTGCCGCTAGAGGAAGACGTAAGAACGCCTCCAGATGGAGCCAAAAGTGAAACTTCGGTACGTGCCACTGTCCCAGCACTCTCAACATTTTCGTGAGCGTATAGGGGCGTCTTAGTCGACGTGCTTTCCGTGCGCTTGATGGGCGTGAACTGGTGTTGTTCACTCGTTGATCTTGAGAAACTGCTCGCGACATCTCCTGAGGAGGCGCTCGTCATCAAGTTATCCGGGTGTGACGCCGCGGTGCCCGTGTTTTTCCGTCCCACGGTCGACACAGGAGGTAGGCATGTGTCCAGAAATCGTTGCAGTTCGCTATACGGCGGCTCTGGTGGGCAGGGAGGCGGAAAGGGCAGGCGGGGTGGTGAAAAAGATGGTTCGGGTATATTGAGGTCCGCACTTCTTTTCTGGTGCTCTTGTTGTGGTTCGTTTTCTTTTTTCTCCTTGCCTTCTTCAGGCTCAGCCTCAACATCTTCGCCTCTGTCGCGAGCATAGAGGAAGTCCAGAATCTCCTTGCCATATCGAATCAGGTGCGCAAAAAACTCGGCTTGTTGCTTGCTCAGCTTTTCCAGCCCATTGAAGTTTTCCTCCAACAAAAACGACTCCAAAAACGCTAGCCATAGCCGCGTGATAAACTGTTGCCAAAAAGCATCGTAGGAGGACGTGTCGAGAGCAAGCGAATTCTTCATGATTTTCGAATTTGTTGAGCGGCGGAGAAACAACAGGCGTGCTGCGTTCTAAGACAACGCTTTGGAGGCTCTAAAGACTACGTACAGATCAATTACAGTTGCGTAAAATCTACGTTTGAACTTGAGCTTTAAGAGGTTGTAGGCTTCCTCGTCGTGCAGCATCAGGTTCCGATCATTTGAAAATCATATCCATATGCTCCAATGCACATGAACATGATGCGCCACTTGCGGTCAGTGTGAGGCGAAAAAACTTGTCACGATTTTTGTGGCGCGCGAACACCACCGCTGGCCTATCGCTTCTTGCACTAGGACAACGAAACTGGTGCCAACAGTGATATTTTACGAATCAAAGACGGAAGTTTCTAAGCGATATAATACGGCACGTCAACATTATACAGCTAGCACACGTTGCAATCCAAACACTTTTGTCCATGTTCTTGGCAGGAACCTGCGACACTTTTTGCAAGTAATACACTACATGAGAATCTACTGTGTCGTGCGAAATATTTTACAGTTGTTGATGAACGGATAAAGATTAGAAACAAGTAACCTGTACTTTTGTTTGTGCTTCTCTTTCTTGACGACATGTTGATATTGCCATTTTCTAGTACTTTTCAATAAATGAATACGAGCTTGGAAAAGTCTGTTCTAATATCTTGAAAATCGTACATGTTCTGCCTCTTCGGACAATCAATAGTATGTAACAGCTGGGTCATCTATCGGCGACACCGATGCATACTGCTGAACCGGAAAGAAGTAAGTACTACACACACCATTGATGGTGAAGATGCTGTGCACATGCTGCTGCTCCTCACCTCCTCTTCACCTTTTTCATCAATTTGGTGAGCGTCTGGCGCGACTTCGCCGCACGAGCGTACTGCGAGGCAAACTCTTCCAGGGCGGAGGGTTGCTTTCGCAGCATCTTTTTCCCGCCGCCACCGATTGCCACCGACGAAACGGAGGACCCATCGTCGTCTGCACGGTCGTTTTCTATCGAGTGAAAACTTTGTACCAGTGAGTTTTTTCTTCAAGAAGCAACGCAAATGCAAAACTACGTTTTCTTCGGTTCTTTTGCACAGCGCAACAAGGGGATGCGGTGATGCGTCGTAGGGACGCCCAAGCACGGACGAACGAAAAAACGCCGGCCAGACTTTTTTGCTCTTGCATGTGCAGGTGCACAATGCCGCGCATGACAGGAAATGGCCATTGCATCAAGATGAAACTTCCGCGGTGCAAGTTGAAACCCACACAGATACAGTTTTTATTTCGTGTGATATTCTCGATCTCGCGTTCGAAGTGGTGCTGGAGCTTCCGTGTCAACGATGCGGTCAATGCGTTCAGGTGGTCCCTTTTTTTGTACTCGGCGGAAAACGAAAGCACTGGCTGCACGGGAATGGGGTCGGCCTCTTCTCCTGCCCGTTCTGGAGCTTCACCAGCACCAGCAGCGGAGGGATTATTCATCCAATAGTGCTGTGTGGCGGCTGTTGTAAAGTCCCTCCCGCCGACACCTTGCAGTGCGGCAACACCGGATCGCTCTTGTTCCTGCTGGCTGTTTTTCTCGAAAATGTAGGACGTGTCGCGCGTGCTCAGTGGCAACCGCGGATCCGGCGCTTCGTCCTTTCCGAAGAGTACGCTGTTCCTGTTTTTCATCTCTTCTTCCCCAACTTCGCCCTCAAGTCCGCCTGAGAAATCGAAAACCACGCTGCCCTTCCGAGGAAAAGAAACGGAGCCGGTTCCGGTCGAAGCCGTCGGTGCTGCTCCTCCGCTCTGTCTCGTTCCCGCGAAGCCGGCGAATGTTGCTCGCTGGGCTTGAGCGGAGACTGAAATGGACGATGATGATGTTGGCAACATTATCGACGCCGTAGTTGCTGGTCGCAGCATCGCCGCAAAGGAATTTGCCTTCGTCACCCATAATTGTTTGCTGTCCACCTCAGTGTCGGGCTCTATCACGAGGGAAAAACTCTTCTTGGTTGTGAAAAGACTATCTGTAAAACCCTCACGCCGTTGTTCTCCCCCAGTATCATCTTGTGCATCTTCCCGGGCAGCAGTTTGTGTAGTAGGGGCAAAGTCAGCGGTAGATGCGAGTAGAGTTTTTCTGGACCACGAAGAGGTGGGCTGCAGCTTCTGTATTAGCTGTAGTGCGTGCGTAGTTGTACCGGCGTCGTTTTCTCCTTTGTCAACGACCAGTGCCGCTTGACTTTGTTTCTTGCCGACGGGGGACAGAGGTGAGCGGATTCTTGTACTGCTGGTTTTCTGGCTGTTCTGTCGCTGCTTCGCAAGCCCCGCCCCGTCCTCTTGGTTTTTCATCTCGACTCCGCGATTCGCTGCGAGCGCTAGTTTTTCTACCAAGGACATGCGGATATTTTGAGGCTTCCTTCGTTTCTCATTCAGCATGTTTCCGATCACACCCACTGCGCCCTCAAAAGAGGTATGGCTTTTCTTCACGATGCGCTGCATCTGCCGCACCTCCTTCTGCTGCCGAGGCGAAAAGTCTGCACTGAGGTACGCCGAGGCGGGCAGCAGCCGCTGGCGGCCGAGGAGGGAGAGGCTGGCTCCTGTCGAAACACCACCGTCTCCAGTTTTTCCTGCAGTGCAGCCACGACTTGGGGCGGACGACCGGCTGACCTGCTGTGCTGTCCCGGCTTGATGCCGCGGAGATGTTGACGAGTGCATCTTTGCTTCTGTTGCCGGAGCGGTGGAAGCACGCTTTGCCGTCGTGAATTCAGCTGCTTGCGATTCGCCGTGGCTCTTGCGGAGATCGCTGCTGTGTTTTTGCTGAACCAGGCGCCAATTATAGTGGCAAAACGTCAAACGATCGTCGAAGAGGTCACTTTTGCTGCGGTCGCGGACAAATTTCCGCAGCGCCGTCGAGGTGTCCAGCAGCTGCGAACGCAGTTTTGTCTCCGACGCCGATCTCGGCCGCTTCTGCCCCAGAAATCCAGCGGAACCTGGCAGCACAGTATCAGCGCTAAGAGCCACGTTGGATGAAGAAGTGCGACTTGTCGTTGAAGTAGACCCGGCAGTCGTGAGCTGCTTGTTCAGCAGTACTGCCGTCTCTTTTTCCTCCTCCTTCTCCTGCATCTTTTGGCAAAAATCCTTGAACAGATTGGGCTTCCTCGTGCCCTCGCGTTTCTTCCGCTCTCGCTCGCGCTGCGCCTTGCTCTTCCGCCGCATGTCCTCCCGCTCGTGCGACTTGCGCTCCTCCAGAGACTCGCGGTTTCGCTGCAGAAACTCGGTTGTGTCATACCGGTGCAGGCGCCGCTCTTCAAAGGATTTGCTGGTCGTCTTACTAGTATGTCCCCCTCGAGTAGACCGTCGGAAGGACGTAGAGTGACACAGCAAAAAAGGCGTCGTCTGGGGTCGGGGAAGGTCCTGTTCTACCGAGCAGAATGAATGCTCTTCATTTCCTTCGGTATCTTCAACGGGAGGCAGCGACTTCTTCATCTCGTCCCGGAAAATGTTGCTTTGATCATCCTCGTCATCCGTCATGGTCAGAAGCGTCGGATTTATTTTGAATCTGCTTCGTTGCTGTCTTGTTCCATGAATGGGGCTAGTTGTGGGTCGGTTGCACTGCTCCGAAGGTCCAGAAAATACCTCCGGAGGTACAGTTTCAAAATGTTGTCCGTCCAAGCTGGAAAATGCCACACTCGCTTCCGCATCTGAAGATTGACATTGATGCTCGTGACTCGAGGCACGAGCAAACGCGTCGAAATTGGTACCACCAGAGGTTGTAGTTGCCGGTCGGCTTGGGGCGCAGGTGGCCGCCATGCGAGCCTTCCGTTGCTGCAGCCGAGCAGCCTTCGTTGAATGCGCCTTCCGGAAGTGCGAAATGAAGTCAGGTAGAAATTCTTCATATTGCTCGTCATTCCGTTTCTTCCGACTTCTGCCAGGGCGGTCCCATACAGCGCTTCCTTGTTGGCCCTGTTCGTGGAGGTTCCACCCAGGCTGATGGACGGGAAAGTTGTCGTGACGTGGTTGATAGGTGAAAAACATCTTGTTGATTTTGTTTATGTATCTTCCTTTGTTGTGCTTGAGCAACTCAGAGACTTCTTGAATTTGCTTCAGCCGTTCCTGCTACTGGGAATTCTGGTGCTGCGGTGTTGGCGTTGTTGTTATCTTAGGGCACTTAGAAATAATACAAAACTTTACTTACATAGATACATCGGGCCCGGTTTTTGTCTGCGGAGACCATCAAAGCACGCCTTCCATTAAGTTGTAGTGCTCGGTCTGCTAATCCGGGTGTATAGATCCATCTCGTGCTTGGTCTCTAAACAAAATTCGGTGTCCCTCCGCTGGTAGTCCGCCTAATAACTTAAAAACCATAGTTAGGGTTCCCGCTTGCGGGGGCCGGGTCGGCTCGCGGCTCATTGTGTGAGAGATGTTTTGCTGAGCTCTAACCCTTTCGGATTGCTCAGGCTCCTGGTGCTGCAGTCACCGCTTGGGAGTATAAGAAAGAAAAACATAAGTCCGGCCGCACTGGCGGCCCTGCCTCACGTGCACCATCAGAAGTGCAGTATTGGTGGTTGTTGGTGCTGCACCATCAGAAGTGCAGAGCCGATGATCGGGCGAGCCCTTTCCGATAGTCCGATTACGGCACACGTAGATACGGCACTCTCAGTGAATGTGAACAGTGTTTCGCAGCCCCGTTCATCATACAAACAGACACTGTATCAACAAAAAACAACATGATCCCGACACGGTAGTTGCTCCTTTGTTTATTGTTTCCTAAACCACCAACACCATCCAGCTTGTTCAAAAAAAGACTATCGAAGGAACAAAATGAGGGGCCGGCATGCTAGCTCCTGCTAGTAACTCGCATCGTATGTCGTCACGCTGTTTGCGCATGCTCATCCAGCACAGCAGCAAATTGATTTACTATCGCACTCGAGACTTCTTGGACTTGGAATTTCCACTGCCGAAGGAAAATCGCGCACAGCTTGTTTGATTCTAGATTCAAGCATGCCCCCTCTGCTCACAAAACTAAGACGCAGGGCCCCGGCGCAACCAAAGAAACAAACCCGCGCTGGGCGCGTGTCTTCCATCATGGCGCGCGGGCGCCGGCCTCTAGCGTGCCTGCGTGGGAGGAAGGCCCCGGCCCGCCGGGCACGCGGCGGGCCGGGCGCGGAGGAAGGCCCCGCCTGCTCGCAAAACAAGACGAAGGCCGAATCTACCAGCCCGCGGCGGCGGCGGCGCGCGGGCGCAATGCAAAAACATCACGGGGGGCGGACTACTACGCCTCGCGCGCGCCTTGCGTAAAGGAGACGCTTGGGCGCCAAGCTAGCACCACCGCCAAACCCGGCGCCGCCTGCCAGCCGGATGCTAGCTGCTTCGCGCGACGGGCGGGGGGGGGGCGAAACAAGCGAGCCCGCCGCCCCCGACAAGATCCAGGCCAACACGTCGCCCGCCGGGTCGAAGTTGAACCCCTCGCGGCTGAAGGTAGTCGACGCGCCTGCATAGTATCCCCGGCGCTCCTCGCTCTGCCGCGGATTAACGGAGGACATGCCGCGGGGGCGTTCACACACAAGGCGGCCCGGCTTGCGCTGACGGGCTTGGGAAGATTGCCCAACACCGCAGCAGCTTGCGCTGTCGTCATCAGGTTCCCGCGCTGCTGTTCTCGACGAATGCCGGCGCGCCCGCCCCTGAACGCTAAGCGCAAGCGCCACGCTCGCTGCCTGCCCGCTTCGGCGCCGGCCCCGAAATGCGCGCGGTGCGGAGTTGAGACGAAGCGCGGCACCGTCGCCGGGCGGGGGCTTGCCTGCCACTATCCCCAGAGGCCACGGCCGCAAAACCTACCTCCAGAGGGCGGCGGCAATCATGTAAAATCACGCACCGGCGAAGAGCAGCCGCGGGCGCCTGCGCGGGGCCCGCCCTCCCGCCCGCACCTGCCCCGGGTGGTTTTTAGTAAGCGGGGCGCCAGCACTGGATAGCTTCCATCTGGAGGCTCGCTGCGCACTCTTCTCCGGCTAAACTACCGGGATCACCGGCGAAAGCGAGCGCCTTCAATCGTCCACGTTGCTGCCCGGCGGCGTTGCACTAGTGTGCGGCCCTTTGATTTGGCGAAGACATCCAAGCCCCCGACGTCCATAGCTGGCGAGCTGCAACGCGGCAGGGCTCTCGGACGGGGCGAAGGGGCTTGGGAGAAGCGAACCCAACAAAACGGCCGAACGACCGCGAGCTGGCGAGTATTCACGTACAAGTCATCCCTTCGCTTAGTTACGAGTCGCTGGACGACGAATCCGAAGACGGCGACGACTCGGGCGAACTGCTACGGCAACGCGCGCTTTTTTCCCTTCGGCGCCTTCTTCTTCGATTATCGTCGTACCGAAGACGAAAGAGCGTTCGTCAAGCCGTGCGGTTATGAAGAAGTGTCGCGGTCAGGCGACAGAAGTATCGCGGTCAGGCGATAAGATTGACGGCGACCGCTATGGCCTTGCGCCTTTGCCTCATTCTCCTGGGAAAGGCGGCGCCACTTTCGGTGAGCCGGCTCGCTGCGCCCGCTCCGGGCCCCCCCCCGGAGGTCGCCCCGGCCTCTCTTTTTTCTGGGCCGGCGCTCCTCTCACTCTTGAATGGCGGCCCGCAGGCGCACGGGGCGAGTCGCGAGAAGCGAAGGGCAAGGCGCGAAGAGCAAGGCGCGAAGAGCGGGGCGCAGAGGGCGGGGCGCAAAGAGCGAGGCGCAAAGAGCGGGGCGCCGAGATTGACAGGCCTCGGGCCGGCGCCCCACACATTGTCGGCGCCCCCGCCCGACGGTCGGACAGCCTCGCAAGCCCCCGGCGCGCCAAGTTGTAGCGAAGGGCCCGCGGCTCGTTTCACCTCGCGGAGGCGGGTGGCGCATAAGGGGCCCCCCCCGAGGAGTGCCCTCCAGCAATTTTGTCGCCGCCAAGAGAAGCCGCGCGCTCGTCTCCTGCCGCGGCGCAGCGGCGTCGAGGATGCGAACCATCGGCGTGGGGCCAAGAATCTGCGCAGGACCTTAAGGGCGGCGCTCTTCGCGGGAGCACGTTCTTAGGTCCTGTCGAGCGGTGAAGGTGTCGACGATAGTCCCCATCTCGTCGACGATAAACAAGAGGCCGCCCGCGATGAGGTCCGTCAGCACCTTGCTGGCTGCTTGTGTCCCGCCAGGCGGCCGGGCTGCGAGGCGCGCTATGCCGATCGTGTGGGCCCAGAGAAAACACTGCCGCCGTGCCTGCCGCGGTGTGCGGCGGTGGGCTAGTTTTCTTTTTGAAGGTGCACGCGCTGCAAGTTTGGGCGAGTTGAGTATCACAACTCCGCCCCCAAAATGAAAACACACGGGCTCCGCGGTGTTGGAGACACTCATAGGGGACAAACGCGGCGGCCTCGTCCTTCTTCAAGTCGCCGGCCCTGTCTGTCTGCCATACAGATCCGACACTTGCGCGGCTTCATGGCGTGCGCTCCGTCCCAAGGCGGGGCCGCGGGACCTCGAAGGCAGCGGGGCAATCCCAAAAGCAGGGGGGCCGTCACCAGCGCGGCAAGTGCCCGACGGCAGCCGCAGCGGGCGGCGTCGCGCCCTTGCCTGCGCGCGCCAGTTTCTCTACCTCCGAGAAAAACACACGCCGGCGCGAGTGAGAGGGCGGCAAGTGGCCGGCTTCAGAAACGTCTTCACCTGAAAGCGCAAGCGGCCCACCGCCATAATTGGTGCCAGCTCTTCCTTTGCAAAGGTCAAGAGCAACCACATAAAATGATCCCGGCAACCGCTGCAGAACACAAAAGCGCACAAAGCATCTTATCAGACAGAGCACACGGCGCGCGCTTGGGCTTGACTTTTGGAGGAATGAGAATGACGCACTTCCTGCTTCGTCAGAAAATTGCGAGCTCGAGTCCCTACAGGCCAGCGCCTCGGGTTAATTCACGCATGTTGATGTTCAAGTTTATCTGGAACATATTTTGTTCGACAAGTTCTAGCTCATCCTGTGTAAGTAATCGCTGTCACTTCATCGTATTTGCGGCGTTTGCTACTTTATTCCTGAGGGATATCTCTCTGATTTTGTGAGGAATTGCTGGGCACAGATGAGGCGAAGGACCCCCTGAATCCGGGTGGTAGGGGGTCTAAATTCGGTGCTTGCAACCCAGCCACTGCTTCTGTTTCAGTTCCGCTTTCGCCTCCATCCACTGTTGCGGTGGATGAGCCGACACGTGCAGCTGCAGCTACTTCCTCATATCTCGTAGCGTTATACACGCGGCTTCTTCCGACAGCAGCGCTGGCGCTCGGTGACAGGGGACTATCTTTGGGACTGGTTGTGCTCTGGGGGGTTGGTGCTGCTGTGAGCCTGTTGCTCTTCATCTCGTTGTGCTGGTCACGATTCTTCGGACTGTTACTGTTCGTACGCGCTCGAGGACTCCTGTGACCGCCAGTCTCTGCCTGTGACGCGTGTACCACGATCGATGAAGCGCCGGTGTGCGACGAAGTGGTCGTTGCAGTGCTAGTGTGAGAAGATTCAAAACGCATGTCGTCCAACGGTGCCGTGGTTCCAAGTGGTATGCTTGTCATGTTATTTGACTCGTTTCTCCCAAAGACGTAGTAACTCTGCTGCAGGAAAGGCTGATTTCTTGCGGAATAATTGGCCCCCATCGGCGGCCCTGTCGCACGAGATCCACTTGGACTGCCTCGCCCAATTATTCCATGTCCGACCTCAAACTTTCTCTGTACGTACTCCCGGTCCAAGTGCAAAACGACGAGGATCCCCGTTAGTCGGGCGGCGAGTTGCACCGTGACGATATACTTTGAAGCCAGATAGGAAGGAAGCAACAGGGAGAGGAACAGGGGAAGCATGTACTGCATCACGTACCACAATCCTACCAGGAGCAGGTACCGGAAGAACCACCGCGATTGGTCGGAGCTCCAGGCTTGGTCGTTGCGGTGCACCTCTGTGATGACCGAGAACAGCGAGAGAAAAAACAGGAAGTAGCAAAACCACACCGCGAGACCGAAGAACGAACTGTAGTAGAAATTAACCTCGCCGAAAACCAGGTGTCCGAATAGCACCGTGCCACTGGTACTAGCTGCATCCGGAGTTGCGGCTGATCTGACGCTGCCACCGACGACGGTAATTATCGTAAGTACACACAAGGCTGAAAACAGTTTCCACTTCAGTGTCTGCCACTTTCGACTTGGACGGACGGCGAGAAAAGCCACTGCCATCCATAGGAACAGCATTGCCAATTGCGCGAAGACAAAGCCGAAGAGGGGCAACATATGGTGGTAGTTTCCACCGATATCTGGTGGCGGTGGTGCGTGCCGCGGTTCGGTTTCCCTACTCAGTACTGCTGAAGAGAACTTGTCTGGTGGTCCTTTTCCTTCTGCACGAGGCGCAACAGCAGTTCCAGTCGCGCCTTCTTCTGCTCGTCTCTCGAATCCCGACCCCGAAGAAGCAGGAAGTGGCAACACAAAGACCACGTAAGCATACCACAGCAGGTAGCAAAAAACGGACTTCATGCTAAGCGTCAGCGCTGTTACCGGGTAAAACATGAAGCCTAATGCGGAGGCTTTTGTCGACCGGTAGACGGTTGCGAAGTACGCTTTGAACTGCGCCGAAAATGAACCCTCCGCGCCCGCAGGCTGCATCCTCACGGAAAACGCGGACGTTGACGACGTACCAGACGTGGCCCCGACACTGACTTCCTGCAGCACGGCCGTGCGGTAAGAGGAATCCCGTCCTGCATTTTATGAGTTGGCTTCTCTCGGCGACGTAAACACATTTGACATCTCTTTGTTAAGCCATTGCATACCCCGAAAGCACAGCAGGATATGCGCAACCACCGCGATTATGTACACATAAGGCAGGTTCATTTCCGTCATAGACAGCTCCTCCTGCCACCCCCGCAAAACGTGTTTTAGATGGAGGCGAACTCGCAGGGGGTACGAGGCCACGGGGGAGTTCCTCTCTGGGTGAGGTGGTCCTTGCCCTGGTGTAACCAGTGATTCTGAAGACGTTTCTTCTTTTTGCTTGACCTGGCAAAATACCGCATAGAACCGCCATGTGCGCGGCTGAAAGCGCTCGCGCAAGCCCACGGTCTCCGGGCCAGAGTAAAAGTCTGTTGAGGAGTCAAGCTGCAGCGAAATCACCCGCGAGGCCGTGCGCTTCACCTGAGGGCATCTAGCTGTCTTGAAAGTTGCCGCGAGCTGCTCGTGCGGGCGAAAAATTCTCCGAAAGGACCAAGGAGATTCTAGCCTTTTCTCGTGCATTTCCTTCTGGAAAGCAAACCAATGCTCTTTCTCATCGTCAAAGACCAGAATTTGCAAGTTCGGCCTGTCCACAGCGTACCCGGACTGCAGCCGCTGCTGCATCAGAAGGGCCGTCTCGTCCAGATTCGGGCTGCTTGTTTTCATCTCTTCTGCACTTGCAGAAGTGGTTCGTGTTCCCGAGCTTGCGAGCGCACGATTTCTCGCTCCGCCTTTTAGTAATTCCAAACTTCCCCAAGCCTCGAAGCTGGCCGACCCTACGCGTACCGCTCCGTCTGAATCGCTATCGAAGACGAAAGCGCCTAGGTAGGATATCTGCGTGTCCTGCTGGCCGTTGTGGGGATATGGTAGCGGACGAATTTCGGCTTCCAGGACGTAGCCGCAAACCTTGACGCCATTTTGAAAGACGCCGGCGAGCAGTTGAAGAACAAAAAGAAAAACATGGGGTCTACCCAAAATCGCGGCCGAGTCTCGGTCTCTTCGTCCTGGCAGATCGAGCGATGCCACCAACATTTTGTGCGTCACATCACAAGCTAACTCGGCAGGTGATTTTCCTTGGTCGAAACTAAAGAGGTATACGATGAAGAATGTGCTTGTACTGACAAAGGTGACCTGAGTTCGAACATCAAAATTTTTTTCGCACATAGATCGAGCAAGAAAAAGTTGGTCACAAGTAAACAGCTCCGGAAAGAGAAGACAGACACCCAGACCTGCACGGGTCGCGATTGCGCCAGGCCTAGCACGTTAATTCTTTCACAATCGGAGTCAGCCCTCTCAGCGGCAGAATTCACTCGAACGCCACCCCTCTCAGAGTCACTCAGTGGAGCTGCTCTTCCTCTTTTGCTAAGTGTATAGAAAACCATTTCTAATATCACAATGCGGTGCTGCATTTACACCATGTATGGGAAGGAAGCGCTATGCTTCGGCAAAAAGTTCTGCCTGTTAACACGCATATGCTGATTAATATGAAAAAAGATGTGCAAAATCTTGATCCAAATTTTTCATTCGAAGGAGAGCTGCCAGAGCTAATATTGCTCGTCGGCTTTGCCGCTCAAAACGATGACGCCCACAGATGAAACTTTTCACAAAGTCAACTAGTGACAACAACATGATGGTGATCAACATATCTTCCTAAAACTAGCTAGTAAAACTGGTACTAGGATCCGCAAAATTTTTGTTCATACAGTTGCTCCCGGTTTCGCAGGACCAGCTAGCAGCATCTTACGTCAATGAAGAGGCAGAGCTAGTGTGTGAGAGCATGAAAGGCAGGTTCATTTCTACAGCAAGTAGGTGGAGGCAATGGAGATTGGAGATCCTTTATTCGTACAAAGACCATAAACATTTTTCTTGCCGAATCCACTACTTCGGAAAAGTTCTACACGTAAAGATGACGACGTCAAAAACAAAAGCGAGAAGCCAGTTCACACACGTCGATGAATCACATTTCTACTTGACAATCACAAGATCGCTTTTCGTCAATTTGTCAGCCCCGGAAACCTTCATCCCATGCCTGTCCAAAAAAAGACTGACCAGCCTCTCGAGAAAACGGTTTGCCTGAACTGCTTTGCACAGCAGCGAAGAAATAGATGCGGAGTTTGTCGGATCATCGCGTGCAATGCCAGCAGTGGCATTGAGTCTCACGTCCAACACAAACCTGTTCCTCGTAGCTGCACAAGATGTAGTGCATGGGCGCCCAGAAACTCCTTTGGTGGGCGTCTTCGATCTTACCGTTGCGACTCTGTTGCTTCGCACTACAGAGCGCGCGTAAAGCTGCACAGTGAAAAGAAGTTCGTGTTCCGAAGGGATGGTTTTTATTTTTTCTTGCGCATGCGAATCGGACTCGTTGCATTTTACCAATCTGGCCACTTCGACACGAAATGGCTGCGACGCCGGTATCACCGTCGAGCTCGAGCCGGCCTTTTCATTGCTCCGCCAGAAGAATCCGGATCGCTTCAGCGCGTCAAAAACCACACGCCAGAGTTCCACCGCGGCTTGGTGCGTCTCAAGCTCAAAACCAAGTCGCCACCGACAGGCACCCCATAGCCGGGACCCCGACGGTGCTGGTGGGTGGGCGCTATACATTGTCAATATCTTTGTTCCTCGCAGCTTGGATTGCATCATCTCACTCCCTTTATTCGAAGGGCCAGCACAGTGTGGCCGATGACCGAGAGATTGTTGACTCTGCTTTCCCTCGTCGGGGCGTTCTCCAACTTTACACACGGTGTTCGAGGAGTTCGGCCTCGGGCTGTTGCAGTCAAAAACCTGTTCTTCCTGGTGGCTTTCACAAACTTCAGGAGGAGACGAGGAAAGAGGCTCCGCTCTTCCCACCTCCAGCGACCTACTCGGAACAGTGCTTTTTACCGGAACATCATTCGACGTTGCCTGTGTGATTTGGATTCCCGGCACGACATACACTGGTGGACTCCCGAGAACAGCCTCTGGTGGCGGTGGTAGCGGGGGCTCTAACCCGCGCCTTGGGCTAGGACAAGATCCGGGCCCAACCACATGCTCTTTACAGGGCGCACCTAGGCAGAAATTCCTCCTCTCGTCGGGAGAGCTCGCAGCAGGAGATGGCGAAAGAGAAACAGACGGCAGGCACGACGAGCATGAAGCCGGGCTGCACTGCCTGGTGGGAATTCCGTCGTCGTCCTCCGCGACTTTTCGCCGGCGACACGCCCTGATTTTAGTGGAGGAGGATAAGACGCCGGTCCGGCTTGAGGAGGCTGTCGACCTAGGCGGAGTGGTAACCGTTATGCTTCTCGTCTCGTCAAGAGCAGCTGCACGATCTGCACCTGGTTCCAGCGGCGCCAGGTCGCCAGCGATCGTGCTCGTGGTAGTGCGCTGCTCGATAGTAGTTCCTGGTGTCCTCATTGCGTCACTACACAGACCTGCGCACTTCATGCTTTCTTGAAGCCCGCGAGAGGTGTTGCTCTCCGTTTCGTTATCCTTAGCAAAATCCTCTGAAGTAGAGCAAGGCGTGGGCATGCTGGTGGTAGGTATCCGCGTGAAGTGTCTTTTGTACAGCTTTGCAAAAGGGAAGGCATCCATGCCGCCGAGTCGGAGTTCGTCTTCCCAGACGTCTTGACAGGTGCTTTTCTGACCGACCAAAAATCGCTCCGCATAGCGCTGTTGCTGGATGTCGTCGAAAAAGATGCTTTTGGACATCCCGTAGTCCTCGTCGAGATCAACGATGGCACCAGAATCACAATCCTTGCGGTCGGAGCTGCCACACGATGTTGACGCTTTATTTCGATTTCCTTCTCTATTCCGATCACAGCCATTTTTTGTGTTGTTTTTTTGGGTCTTCTCACCAGAAGGAGGAGCACTGTCGTGGTTCGGAGCTTCAAAGCATTTTTCCAGTGGAAGTACTTGTTTGTCCGTGCAATCTGGCCCTTGCAGCAGCTCATTCTGCTCGACACTAGCGCCCGACGACGGTGCCGCGCGGTTTCCTCCAAACGAGCTATTGCTATTGGAACAGAGGAACCAGGGATGTTCTTGAATTTGTTTCAGCGTAAAGCGTCGCAGTGAATCTACCACCAGAATCTTCCGCACCACCTCGAAGCCATTGCAAAGGGTACTAGCTTGTCTAGGTGTTGCACCAGCAGGACCGCCTGTTGCCGTGTCGGTGGTGGGTATCCTGTTCACCGTCGCACCAGTTGGTCCTGAAGGAAGCGGAAACGCCAGTTCCACTCTGCAAATTTTTCGAAACAGCTCGGGGACAGTCGGCGCGACGAAGGGAAGACTCGACGTCAAGAGGACGCACAAAACCACGCCAAGGCTCCAAACATCGACTTCGAACCCGTGATATGGGCGACATGCTACGATTTCCGGAGCCGCGTAATTTGGAGAGCCACAACTGGTTTTCAGAAACTCACCGTCCTTGACTAGTGTGGCAAGCCCGAAGTCGCACAGCTTCAGGTCTAGCTGGTACAGATTGGGCACGGCTCCCACCTGCTGTGAGTTCGCTCGAGGTTCTTGTTCGTGAGGAGTATCGTCAGGCGCAGGAACTGGAGCTGCATTCTTGCTGGCAAATGATCCGAAACGACCATCAGAGGTCGTGCCGGGTCCATGCCTCCGCTTCTTCAGTAAGACGTTCTCCGGCTTGACGTCGCGGTGGACGATTTGGAGGGAGTGGCAATAGTCCAAACCGAACACCAACTGGCGAAAGCAGTACTTTGCTTCCGCGTCGGACAACCGTTTCGCATGCACGACGTCGAAGAGATCCCCCTGATTCGCAAATTCCAGGAAAGCAAACAGGTAGTGACAGTGCTGAAGTCCGTACGCAAAATGGTGCGCGTAAAGGTGGATTACGTGATGACGACCTCGCTGCTTGTCGCACGTAGCGTACAGGTGGCGCAGTTTTTGACTGTGTCTGTTCCTTTTCCACCCATCTTCACCGCTGACATTGAATGTCTTTACCGCGGATGTTGAACTCAGGCGGTGCAGAAGCTTGATTTCCGTCTCTGTTTGGCGATTCTGCTTGGCGAGTTTCGGATCTACTTCTTCGTCTTCCTGATGCGCACCGTCGTGCTCACCACACCCAGACTTGCTGGCCGATACTGTCTGTTGTCCTGAAAAGGTCGATGACGTTGTGCGGACCATTGCCGTCTCCGCGTGCGCAGATGAATGCGGTAAAGGTATTGAGGTGTTCGTCCTAGTAGCGTGTGTTGTTCTCTCGACTGCAGATTCTTGCAACGTGTCAGCATCCGCAGGCGGCTGCTGCTCCTGTGTGCATCTTGAAACGGTCGTAATCCTTCCGCAGCTCCGATTGTTCTGCAAGTTCTCGCGTGTAGTTTTCGGGACTGATATTAGCTTAACTTTCCGTGCTGTTCTCACAATTTTCACTGCGACACTCCTTGGTTCTTCGGGAAGCTTTGCCGGAGAAACCGTGACGCCTCCGTACTTGGTCTCACTAGTTCTGTCGTCCGTACATACTACCTCCGCCCGCCGCACCACACCAAAAGATCCCTGCCCTACCAATTCTTTCAAGACATACAGCCTGCTTTTGCCTATGTCACCATTAACGCTTGGCGACCTCGTTTCATCATGATCGTGTGGGGGGACAATTCTGCAAGCCTCCAGGCCCAGCCCACTCCCAGTCGATGACCTCATCTGCGCCTTGGACCTGGTATCACGTTCCAACTCGTTTGGGGTTTTATCTCGTTCCTTTTCATCAGTGCCGACGTTTGCCACGTCTGCGGGGCGCCGATGCGCAGGCAAAAAAAGCCGCGCCGCGGCCGCGAGCGCGACCGTCATGGTAACGGTCAAGAGGTGGAAATCAAAAAACCGAGTATTATACTCACTTTCTCCAAAAAGAAATTTGTAAAGGAGCGAATGGAGGACGTGGACCCACTTATGTTTAAGATTATGAACCGACTTTTACGAGTTCTTTTTGTTTTTTCCGATTTAGGTTGACATGAGGTAACAGGAGCTGGCGCTTCCGGAGTGCACAGCCACAGCTGCAACAGATGTACATAGAGATATGTAATCAGCGCGTCTTCTATCATCTTTCTTTGTAACCATGACCGCGATTGTCAAGCTGAAGAAGAAGAAATCCGATACGTACATATGATCGCACCAGACCGATTGCTAGGTCGTGTCTTCCAACCCAACGGATTGATTGCGAGTTGCGTCTTCTCGGCTGACCACTTGGCACATGAAAGCCCGTGGTGCCAAAAAATCACACAGTAGGTCTACGGCCTTTTTCTTTTATCGCAAGTGTGCGTATTCAGAGGCAATGAAAAACGCCATCACCTTCGAAAACACAAACGAATTGGACTCGGTCCATTAGTATCCAGACTACGTGCAAAATCCCAGGGCCGGGGAATAATTGCAGCAGGCTAGTGGAAAAAATCTGAATTCGTTCTTGTTGTATGCGAGTTCGGTAACATCAGACGAGTTCCAGTGACAGTGTGCTGATCAAACGAGTCCCTCTATTCCCAAAAATTTCTTTTTCGCATCGTCGCGTAGCATTCTGAACTCCTTCTCGACAGCCGCAACAGGGATCCCACCGTACACATGCGGACACACCCATTGAGAACTCTGCCAGTCTTCGGCCACCTGAAGAATTTTTGTGGTTTTTCTTTTTTATGCCAGCACAGAAACCGATCGTCACGCTCCTACGTTTTTCTTGTGCATGCGCAGTCATATAAGACTCTCACCGTCAATTAGATCTTTACGGTTGGTCGACAAATGGAAACATTTATATTTCCTATTTGCAGATCATACTTTCTTTTCCCCGACGGGCATTGGCGGTTCGTCTTTCGTAATGACGCCGAACTCCTTCCGCAGCTTTGCCCGGCTGAATTGCAGGCAGACCCAGTCGTCCGTGCTGTCCTGGTAAAAGTGGTTAGCCGTTTCGAGCAGCCGGGCGGGCACTGCGGTTGCGTGCGTGTAGAAACCGTCCGCCTCAAAAGTTGGTGGGAAGTACGCTTCTTTTTTCGCTTTCGACGCCTGCCACAGCTTCACTTCCGTCATGTGATACAAGATGTCGGGCGGCGCGGTACTATCCGTTGGTTGACAACTGTTCGCTTTACTGTCAGCAGGAGCAGCATCGTGCAGTTCCGCCAACCTGGCGGACACTTTTTCGTTCTCTGCGCTGCTGTCTTCTCGCAGACACCTGTCCGGTCGAAACGCTGGCAGGCAGACCGGAATGTACTCCGTATCGACGGGAAACTGTGGCTGAAAACGCGTACTCTTCGAGATGAACGCCGTGCTGCCGGCCGGGCAGCGAACAACATCTCCTTCTGGTCCACCACCCTCTGGACTAAAGGTAAAGACAATCTCTCCTTTGAGGACGCAAATCCATTCATCATACAGCAACGTCAACCAAGGCTCCGCGGTGCCAGCCTTGGCTGCCACCGAAGCAATGGAAATTCGATCATCCTTTGTTGCCACGTTCCCCGCGAACTCGTCAATCGAAAGCTGGCCGGGGAGATCCACCACGCGCTGCTTCGAACCTAAGATGGTCACTGGCATTATCTTCTTGTTTATGTACTTTGTTCTTCAGCAAAAATGAGTTGGGCAGCGTTCTTTATCTTTTTGAACTTTGTTTGTTCTACATTATGTAGATTCACTGTTGTGCTCGACATTCGCACAACAAATTAGAATCAGACCAGAGTCAGTCGAGGACGAACATATTAATTAATGATCAGTAGATGAAAGCCACTGATCTTGCGGTTGCGGATCCAAACGAGACAAACGGCAAGGAAAAAGCGTCTGCCGGCGTTTCAAAAGCAAAACAAAGAGGAGGCAGAGGAGCTCACACGGAAGATCGTCATGATTTTTTGTATAGTTGAATTCAAGCGAGAGAAAAAAGATGACAGTGAGCAGGTCGCGGTCCTTTCGCGCGGACGGACTGTGCCGGCGCTGCAGCACCAGTTCGTTCTTGTAGCCTAAGCGTCGCGCTCCAAGATGAACGATTTCGTCTTTTAACATTCTGGTTCTGTGCTGATGCAAACATAGACCATTCATCAGCTCTGTGTCACCATCGAAGAAGAGAGAGAGACTGTTGAACTTTATTCTCAGAATTGACCTGCTTGGGGATGATATACATGGAAGGCATTTTTCAAACAGGAATCGAAAACTTAAAATGGCAAAAACTTTTGTCCGAAACACGGCCGTAAAACTAAAAATCAAAACCAAATTCAATCAAAAAACATGAAACAGCTCGAGTTCAGTTCGTCTTTCAAAACATTCGACCGACGATGGGCGACTTTCCACGTTCCAGCCTCTCCAATCGGTTTTCTACGTGGCCAAGCATAGCCAGAGCAACCCGCAGAGGCTCTTCAGAGAGAAGGGCCTCCCCGGCGTTGCCGATCACGTTCAAAACCCTACTCGCCACATTTGATTGCTGCGTTCGATGCACTTGCGGAAAATCGTGGGCATTGAGGCTGCTCTTCTGGGATGCTAATGTCTCTCGTCCTGCTGTTAGGCCAATATCTCCTGCTGTTTGTAGTAGCTCGCTGTCGAGCGGAGGCAAGGATGTACCCGGTACCTTCAACACACTGCAAAGCAAAAACAGTGTCGACTCCCGCAAGAGAAATTTCTCTGTCCAATAGGTTTCCGCTCTCGATGGAACGACCACGCCGCTGTGCTTGTGCCGTTCATCGCGAAGACCTGACCCTTCTGTATCGGTAAGAGTCGGAGGTGCTTTTGGCAAAAGTCTCGGCGGCAGGCGAAACATGTCTTCGCCGAACAAAAGCAGCACATTGGGGTCAGCCTGCCCCAGCTTCGCGATCGCGGTAAGTTGATACGCAAATCCTAGAGGGTCTCGCTGATACTCGAGAAACGCCAGGATCGCTTGCCATTGTGTTTTGCCGGAACGCAGCATGTCTACGACGACGCGGTGAAGGAGATTGACGTCCGAGTTATCGGCCGCATCAACGTGACCGGAGGTACCAGCAGAAGTTCCCGTCCTACCGCCAGCATCGTCACTCTTAGCTGCAGCAGGTCCACGTCCTGGAGTTCCGATGCTGGTCGTCCGAAGCCTACTGCCTCTAGAGAAGTCGCCTTTTTCATCAACACCAGCTAAGAACGAACTCGGCAGGAAGCTCGGGTTTTCCCAGAAGTGCAGCAGATGCGACCCGTCTCTGCCGGGCTCCCAGTGTCTCACGGACTGGGCGTAATCCAAAACTTGGGCCCGCAAGCTCTCCGTCATGTGATAAATGGGCGCGTGAAGAATCGTTGTGAACAGGCATACAGATGGCTGAGAATTCATCTCAGAGAACGTCGCTTCTCCTCTGGCTCTAGGCGTACTCGCTGTAGCGCAACTCCTACTCGAAGACGCACTTGGTGAGCAGGTCGAAGACGCCGACGAAGCAGCCCCGTGGTCATACCTCGGACGCGCCGCGGACGTGGTCGACGACGGACCCAAATACAGCAACGAAGACATCAATTGCGCCGTCGGTCCTCGAGTAGTACTAGACCTACCTGCGCATTCCGCGCTACCTTTCGGGGCGTGGATCAGAAGCTCGTACGCAAACGAGATCGCGATGGCGCACCCAGCCAAACTCCCGACGGGAATTACCCGGAGCTCGTGTTGCCGAATAGTATCACCGCGTCGCCGTGACGGTGGATGACCAGCGTCGGACGCTGATGTTGATGTAAAACCATCTTTACAGTCGAGAACTTCGGGCTCATCTTCCGACTGCAGGTCACATTTCACGCTTCCACCAGCGCTTTTTGTGTAGTTGTATTCCCTGGTCCCTGTATCTGGTGGTGAAAAGGTGAACCCGTGGTTTCGAGACGAGGAGCTCCAAGTGGCACGTGTACTGGTGCCCGCGAAAGCGTCGAGCCCCGCAAGAAGTCTCACGGGGTCGAATTCATCCGCCACGTTGTAACCTCCCGGCTTCGCCGCTGTTGTCGTGCTCATGTCTTCGTCTCCTTCAGCCGCAGTCATCTTGTCGAACACGGTGCTCAGAATCTCCCGCGCAATTCTTCCGTACTCTTCCACGCCCACATATTCTTTTTTCCTGGACAGAATCGAGTTTTTGTACCTATCCGACCGGAAGTCTTCGCTTCGGCCCTGCCCGAGCAGGTCCATGGAAATCCAACTCCAGGGCTCATTCTTCAACAGCTTGGTGCTCCGCCACGTGGTCGTCAGCTCCTTGATCAGTTCTGTAAACTCATCGCTGCTGCGCGGCGTCCCGTGGAAAAAGAAAAACACGTAGCGTGGGGGTGTTCTTTTCGAAGCAGTAGCGTTTTCCGTCCCTGTAGTTCCACCATGTTCGTGCTGTGGCGGCGTGAAATGCTGAAACTTGTAGAAGACTTGTCCAAAGTCCGTCTTGTGAAACGCAAACTCGACGTCCGTCACAGTCCACCTGTGGTACTCCGCGCCAAAAAATCCCACCCGATCCGCATCAAGCGCCGGCCCACGAGCAGAAACGCGCGCACTGGTGTGAGCGTCGACGGGTTGATGAAGACAGGCAGCGATTGTAAGAAGTAGCCCAGCGGCTGCCGCAAAACGTCTGAACGAGCGCTGCAAAAATCCTCGGCGACCGATGCAAGTCCTCCGGTTTACAAGATTCATCGACTTTTCTATCTGGGTTGTAATATAATAAGTCCGAAAATATGCGACGAGAAAACTTCATCACAGCAAAACTACCAGAGGTTGTGCACGGCAAGGAAGTGCACAGGAAAAGATTGAAAACTGACGTCATAAGCACGAAGAAAGTGAAATAATCTGACGCAGTTGTGTGGCCATGCAGTGGTCTTATTTGACACTGTAGCCAACACACAAGAAAAAAACACCGGAACGAAGCAAAACACAAAGCCCTTTTGCGTCTGTAGTCGTGGAATCGAGAAAACGTCGATAAGTAGCTGCCACTACTGAGCGCTGGGCTGTGCTACGACAACGACTACCTTTTATTTTGACGTCGAACGTTAGGCAAAGGTGCCGCAAACAAATTGTACATTGACAAAAACAATTTAGACTAACTCTAACATCACCAATCCGAGAAAGCAAAAATACATTCTTAAAGACGTTGAGAGATGACAAGAAGAGATGCAATTGCAAAGTAGCAACAAGTGTTTTTATTGTACAAAAAATTCTCCAAAATGAAAATAAAGCTAAGTGGTAGGAACAATTCTAGATGAAAATGAAACTACAGGTGCTTTGGCTTCTTCAATACTCTGACTCTGACTCTCACTCTGCGTGCTACTGTCTGTTTACATACCTTTATCGCATGGTAAGAAAAACGAGTCTTCAACTCACTTCAGAAAGCGCTGCCGGCACGCGCACGACCCGTCTCTCATCGCGCTCCGTCCCTACTGCGGGAAAATCAAACAAGAACTTCACCACATTTACAAATCGTCGTCGAAGTCGTCGTTTGCGTACTTCTTGATTTTCACCGAGTCAAGATCTTCCGGCTCCCCCCGGAACAGCTTGCGGTTCGTCATCTGCAGTTGCTTCTTGTTTGTGCTCATCATGCCCCCCATCACCGTCGCAGCTCCGGAGCCGGTTCCTGCGGATTTTCCGCGGTACCAGCACCAGTAGTACAGGGTGAAAGCGGCGGCGAGGTAGAAGAACAGCGCCGCGAAGTCTTCGAACGACTTCAGGGAGAGGAAGGCCAGCACTTTGTCGTAGTCCAACAGGTTGTAGGTGTTCGAGAAATTGTCGTCACTGGCAGATTTCGTGGCCGCCAACAACCCGGCCCCGGCCTCGGTGGCAACGGCCGCGCTCCGCACGTCGTCGTCCGAGGCAAGTAACGGCACTTCGAAGTTGTGCTTGACCCCGTGCAAACGACTCTCCGCTTCGATTTCGTACTGTTCGCGGAGGTAGTCGAGCGTCACGTTCACAGTCGTGGGCAACATCTGAGGGGACGTGCCCGACGACGTGGGCGAGGAAGCCGAAAGTGAAATTTGCGGCAGGTCCACTTTATTCCCCTGCTCGGCATTATCCCGGTGCTGCTGCCCTGTTTGCTGCAGGACGTCAACGTGGTCGTACGGGAGCGCGTTCGCATCGGGCATCGGAGGGACACCCGAGACAGGTGACCCGGGGTGCTGCGAATCCGGGGAATCGGAATCCACTTTGAGCATCGTGAGCTGCAGCTGCTGAGCTTTGCTGCGCTTCAATTGGCTCGGGTTTGGAACGTTGGGATTGGAGACCCACGGCGGGACCCACTCCGACAGGACACGGTGAAGAAAGCTGATGTAGAATTTGCATGTAGTCCTGCTCATTTAATATCGTGCTTTATTTCGAGGGCTTGAACTGATGACAACTTGCGTGAGAGCAATCGTATTCGCCTCTTGATAGCTATCTTTTTGGCTAAAACGGAAATCATCGAAAGTTGCAGCAAGCGGGAGCGGCTGCTAGAGCCTACTATACCTGCTCTCCCCTTCAGCGGCGGTTGACGCTTGCGACGATTCGTCAGCAGAAACAACCCCGGCATCGGCTGTCCCCGTGATACTGTGTGAATTCTCGCTGTTAACCCCCTTCGCGCTGGAGACCGTTGTGGAAACAGCAGTCGCACTGGCTAGGAAGCCTGCCAAAATAGACCTCATGTTGTTGATAACACACGTCTCTTAGTACAGCAGATAGCGATTGTTCTAGTGACTACTTTCAATAGGCATGGTTGCCCCAGACCGTAGTGCTAGCTAGTACATCTGTTGGAGGACCAAGTCGACATTCACATTGCATTTTCATTCTAAAAAAAAACATTTCCGATTCCTGTTTAGACTACTTACACGAGCGTCGAGAGTGAGGACGATTGACAGACTATCATTTCGAATGCGATTCACCGCAACGAATACGAAAATGCTGAGACCAATGAATTAGTTTGCGACAACGAAAGGGTCCCAAGCCACGATCACGATGTCGGTAGGTACACCTAGACGAATAGGAATAGACCACAAAAACGAAGTGCGCCGGCGCCTTTTCCTGACCGATGTGGAGCGAAAGAACTCAACAAACGTTATAAGGTTCACTTTGTTCACGAACAAATTCAAATCAAGGCGCTACTTTGCACTACATCTTCTCCTTACTTTGTCCTTTGTGTATTTGCGTCGCTGTTGAGAAAATGTAGATGTTCGCATCTTTTTTTTTTTCCTATGTGCTGTCTGGGAGCACAGGAGTTGTCTCAGTATCACGAAGAACAGCAGTCGCCCTACCGGCGTGAAATTCGAATTCCATCTCTCTTCTTTCATGGCTGTAGACGACTCCGGGGAGCTCCCACTCTTCGTCGAATTGCTCTTGTAGACACAAGCGGAAATCGAGACTCACCCGGGTTTTTATCTCGTTTTCTTCCGCACATGTAGCCACTTTGGCGGTTGTTCCACTGGATCCCGTTGCTTCTCCAGTGCTGGTGAAACCTGACACAGTAGCAGCTGCCACCGTTACTGCGGTGCTCGTACAGGCAAAGTGGCGGACCTTGCTGCCCCAAAATCGCTTGTACTCGCCCACTCGCAGCGGTGCGAACGGGTGCCAGTCCGCCTTGTTCGGAACGCTTTCGGACCACAGCGTGTTCATCAGAACAGGCTCTGTTGCGGGGCGGGGTCCTCCCACATTAGCTGAACTGCTGGCACAACTTGCAGTGTCCTCATCCGCGATTGGTTGTGGTTGAGAGGTCATGACATTATTCTCCTCCGGCTCTTGTTGTAACACATGACCAATTGGCACCAGCGGTACCCAGAAGTTGATTTCTCCCGGTTGATGCCCGTATATGTCGTCCGCGTGAACTTGAGCAATGGAGCAAGGCGTTTGGGTTTGGAGGGCCGTGCCGGCAACTGCGTTTCCACCATCGGTCGTTACGGTGTTCCCCTGCTGGTTTTTCTCAGCCGTCGCAGTAGCACTAGCAGCGCCTGCTGCCTCCGAGCTTGAGGAAAGGCTTGCGGGGAGGGCCTGCTTCACGCGCAGGGTAGGCGGAAACTGGTACAGCAGCACCAGCTTCTGCGTTTCGTTTTCCCCGCGAAGATCTCCCAAATGCGGGTTTTTCCCCAAAGCGTCCTGCAACAGCTTTGGCCCGACCTCCTCGGCGATAAGTGCCTTATAGCGTGCACAGAACTCCGGACATCGACGAATCAAACTTTGAATGCGGCCCGGCTTCAGGTGGTCCCAATTCGGAGCTGAGGGTCGTGCCGTCCCTCGGCCAGCAGCGCGCGGGAAAAACACATCACGAAAACCGGCTTCGATGCTGGTATCGGGTTTTGCGACACGGTAGGCGGCAGCAGCAACAGGCCCCAGAACTACGTCCTGTACCTCGCGAAGCAACACCTGTGCGATCGTTTCCACCGTTTTCTCCTTGAGGCACAGCGTTCGCTCCTCCCGCAGAAAGTCGGGAATGCTGACGCGGGGCTGGGGCTCGGGCGTGACCTTCAAACCCTGAAACACCTTCCGCGGCCCGCGCGCCTCTTGCTTTTGCAATTGATCCTCGACGGCCAGGCGGATGCGGCGCTCCGTCGCTGCGTCAAGAAGAAACGATGCAGCTGGGTTGCTGTCAACTTCAGAGTGGGGTGCTGCTATGTCGTGCAGCAGCCGCTGGGACCACGAAGACTCGGAGGCCGGTGTGGCAGCGCACGGTTCATCAGAACGCTCAACAATTCTGTTCGTCGCCTTTGTGCGCCGGCTGCGCTCGTCTCGCTTCTCGAGTTGCTTTTCCAGCACTACCAGTCTTCGCACCATGACGTGCCCCGAGCTTTTCGCCCACTCCTGCTCGGCGGTGCCGACCAGGTGCCATCTGCAGTTAGCGCTGTCCTCTGTTCGAGGATCTTCGACGCCGGCGCTCTGATGTTTGTCTTCTTTTATGGCTGCGTTGCCCAAAGCGAGCATGTCTTCGGGTGTCCAGCTAGTTCCTCGGGATGTCTCGTCCTTGTCCTTCTCCTCACTTTTCGGGTAATGCGGATAGAGAAAAACCAATCTGCCTCGAAGCTTCAGCGCACGTGCGGAGAGTCGAAAAAGCTCCGGCAGAAAGGCATTATCATAGATGCCAAGAACCGCGGGCGAAGGATTGGGGTTTGTGCCGGCAGCGGAAGCCCCTCCATGTGCGAGAGTTACCACGGGTTCTCGGCGTCCGAACGGCGGGTCACAGACTACAGCGTCGTACTGGCCGACAAGTCGGAACGGCGCGGCGAACAGGTTGGCGGTCACAAATTCGCAAGGACCGCGGGTTTCTTCCGCTAGTACCGCAGATGATGAAGCCGAAGATGCATATTTTGCCCCGTCTGAGACAACATCCGCGGAGAAGCAATTCCCAAGACAACCGCCGGCAACCAGTCGCCCAATAGTGCCCTCGCCTGCGCAAGGATCCAAAACCATGCTTGTGGGCAACACCTTGGCTGCGTTCAGCATGAGGCGTGCCAGTGGTTCCGGCAGTGGGGCGCGACGAGTCGAGCCTCGCCGCGCTGGTGTGGAACAGGATCTACTCATAAGTGCGCGATCTGCAAGACTCCGGTTGCTTTCCCTCGACGAAAAGCACGGGGGCTCCACGAGTTGCAAAAGCTGCCAACACGATTCGTGGGGGAGGTTTGACGCTTGCGTAGAGGAAACACGACGCTCCAGGGGAGCGCGAGGTGTTCCTGAGAAGGGAAACCAAACACCGAGCTGTGGGGCAAGCGCAGGCGGCCTTACTCGATTCGGCTTGCAATCTTCTTCTTCTATTTCTGAGGTCGGCTCATGTGCGGCAAATTCAGCCCTTCCGCGACCGCCGAGCTCCGGTTTGGTGTTGGTCTCGCTCGTCTCGTCGTCATCTGTGGTCGAGGGGGTGCAAGATGAAATCGTCCTGGAGCTTTCTTTTTTCAACTTTCGGTGCAAGCTCGGCGACAAGTCGGTAGCAGATTTTTCCAAGTCGATTCCAAACCTGTGCCGAACGAGTGGTGGCAGATCCGCGGTTCTCTGCTTCTTCGACAAGCTGTGACCATAACAGTCCGAGTCGTCAGATATGCAAACGAGCCCGCGGGCTAGCGTTCGGTGCCGTTCTTTTCCCGTGGTCCTCTGATCACCCCTGATTTCGTCTCCTTCTTTCTGCGCTTCCGAAAGTGCCGCGGCAGCACGTTCGCTTTTTCTTTCGAGATCAGCATCTATTTCTATCTCTTCCCACACCTCGCACGATAGCTCCATCCTTTTGGCAAACGAAACCATGCTTTGCTGATCGAGAAATACCACAGGCACCGGATGTCTTCCTGTTTTTGTCCCCAAGCGGCTCCACGCATTGCTCTCGCGGCACTTCACTTTGAAAACTGCCCCAAGGGCTTGACAGGCGAGCGGCACAAGTGGGGCATATTGTGCAGCACCAGGAGCCTGATTTTTCGTCAGAATGATGGCTGCGATGGGCCGCCCACGTTGCGACCTAGCACAAGCGGAGCTTGGAACGTCAAAAATCGTTGTCCTATGCCCACTTGCCACTTTGGTCGTGCTTGGCACGCCTCGATCTCCGAAGGCCGCAATACTTGCCTGCAATGAGTTACTTGGCGGAAAATCGGTTTGAAAATCTGGCCACGGCATATGCAACTCCTCAACGAAATGCTTCTTCAGTGACTCTAGCTCCCGATCGTACGCCTCGTTTTCACCCGCAGGCTCCAGTCTGATACCTCCTGCTTTGAAGGGAAGATGTTGCCCCAGCAACTTTGGCACAGAGGCAGTGTGAACGAAGTACACCACGGAGAACCTTTCCCCATCAAAGGGAAACGTCCCGTGCAACTCGCGCGCGTCAAAGTCATGCCAGGCATTGCGAATGTCGATTCGTTTGTCGAAATCCGTGACGAAGAGCTCACCTCCGGTAAAATCGCCTACCGCGATGATGCGTGCGTTTCCCCGGTAGTGGTTGGCGTCCCGGTGCGCGTTTGCGGCGTAGTTCTTGTTCACGGTGATGGATGTGAAAGTGAACCGATTTTTGGTGTCCCGCCCAGCATCTTCCGCTGCAGCAGGCGTGGCATCATGGCCCACCGCGACCGCATCTGTGGGTGTTGACTCGTCAGGTAGAATACAACCAGCATCATCCGCTATGCATCTGCCAAACGGAGCGCTGGGACAGAACTCTGCGAGCAGCTGCGCGACGTGCGGACACTTCCGCGCCGTTTGCGACAACACTGGGAACTTGCCCCGAAGCGTAGTCAGTCCCACATTGATGGAGAGGACGAAGTCCTTGCCTTCGGGCCGCACGGACACCCGCTCCGTGTTGCGGGGGAAAGGGAGCAGCTGCAGTGTCTGTAGAACGTCACTCGGATCAATTTTCCTGCCGGAGGAAGAAGCCGATGATTGCGCCTCGTGGTGCTTCCGCAAAATGTCGCGCGCCTTCTGGTCCGCCGCTGAATAGGAACCCGTCCCAGTCATCGCAGACGCGCTCATGGCGGCAGCGTTGACGTCGAAAGACCTCCCGTAGTTGCCGCCGGTTGGCACGCTTCTCTTAGTGGGGCCGAGGGGCCGGGGCGATCAACATGTCATAGAATTCGCAAAAAAGTAATGTTGACAAAACTCTAACAGGAAAACACATCTCACCTCCTCTACATCATCACTCCTAGTAATTGTCGCTCGTTGTCCTGTTTCCAACATGTGAATATCAAGGCAATATGGTCACCATCTACATCTTCGCTTACAGTTACAATTTTTTATTTCCGCCTCACATGATTCATTTAGGCCCGCGCCCGATCCAAAGGAAAGCGAGGCCGCTCCTCCAGCATTTTCTTGAGGATCTCTATTGCATTCCCTTGCCAATTTGTCACTTGAAACCGTTGAGGTAGGAGCATTTAGGACTAGTAGGGGGGATCATGATCATCTACATAAACGTCAAACGGGACGACCGCCGCTTCAACCATGTTCTGCAACGTGTGACTCGAGGGACTTGTGATCTTCGCGTAGGCGGACCTGTCGCAGGGAGACAACGCAAGATGAACTATTGTAGATACATGGATCATGTTAAGTATTGATGCTTTTGCTTTCTTATCACTTCGGCTCACATTACTTAGTGCGGGAATATGCGTTTTTTATCGAATATATCGATGTCAACGTATTTACTAAATCGGAAATCGATGTCCCCGCGCCGGAACCTCTAAGATCCAACTGGCCCCCCAACTTTCTGCTTCCTTCACCCACACCCGTCTCTCTTCTGCACGATGCAACGGCTCTGCCATGTTCCTTCCCTGGTCCAAATCCCCGTCGACGCGGTCCTCAGCACCTACTTCGATGTGAGGATCTTGACCACTTCTGGTCCTCATCCGCTCAGTATCGGTGTCCGCCTCGTCGGAGGACTCACTTTCATCTCCCAAGGGGTCGTCCTCTGTCATCGTCCCGCGTACCCGCCCGGTAGCTTCGTCAACGATGGTAGCTCCATCAGCCAAGATGTATCTGGCCGCTGGCGCCCGCACCAGGTACCCGGAGTGGTGCTCGAAAAGCCGCGGGAGGTTCGCCTTTTCAAACGCAGCAACTTCGTCTTGTTCCCTGGTGGACGGGAGCTGGACGAGCTTAGGCCGTGGCACTGCACCAGGTTCGTCTTCTTGCACATCGCCCTGCAGCCGTGCGTCGGCTGTTCCTAGCGCAGGTGACGCCGACGCAGAGCTGGAGCTGTTGGAACGTGAAGAGAGGCTCGTGGTGCCCGGCGCAGTAGAGGCAGAGTAAAAACAGCACTGCCCCGCGGTTTGAAGGGAGCTCTGGATTCTTTGTGCAAGACGATGCTCGGACCTGAAGTCTTCGCCCCGGCTCCCTGTCGTCGCAGAGGCATCGCCCAGTCTGCGAAGCTTCGCCATAACTTTCTTCGGCGACATGTCCGGGAGATTTATGCTCATTTTGGTCAAAGCCAGATCAAAGCGACTGGACGAAGTAGGCGCTTCTGCTTCACACCACGCAGCTTCCTCTTTTTGGTCGGAGACAGAAGCGCAAGATCTGCTTTGTTCGCGATGATCTTTTGGTTGTTGCCGGTGCGGTGCCGGGCCGCTTGCGGCGCGTCGTCCTGGCAGCTGCTTGTGTTGAGCATCCCCCTTACCAGATGACTGATCGACACGCTGGTTTGTCGGGGGCAGGGGAGCCTCGAACATGAGGCCAAACTGCAGTACCAGGGATCCTGCATAATTTCCCTGCCGTCCATACAAGATGTTGATGTCATCTTGCTCCTCTTCCGCATGACGTCCTTGATTGCCTACCATTCTGTGCTCTAGGCGGTCTTGCTCTTGCTCCTCAGCAGAACGCGTGCGTGTTGTAAACAAGAACCGGCCTGCTGTGTGTGGTCTGTCAGCGCCACGTCGCTCTTCATGTTGCTGCAGCAGCTGAGCTCCACCAACAGAACTTCCACTAATTCCAGAAGAGTCAAGCTCTACCGCACTGAACGTGATGGCCAGCTCCATTGACGGTGACAAATCAGAAAACTCCTCGGGTGGGAGATCGTAAAGCCATCGCCGGTTGTCCGCCACAACAGCCACTTTCACTCTTGGAACTAACTTGACCAACTGCGATGCAAAAACACCACGGACACTAGCGATACTCCCATTGCCATTGAGCATTTGTCGTCGTGCTGCGGCGACGCGCCGGATCTTCTGTTTGAGTTTGCCAATCAGCTGCGAAGCGAGAATTTCGAAAAACCAATCCTGCTCTTGGAGAGCCAAAGAGCTATCTTCGCAGAGGGCCCATTCCCTGAGTCTGCGAAGAGCACTGTCTGATGTCCGCGCACGATAACCTTGTAGGATTCCGTAACCAGTCGCTGCAGCCTGGTCGTCGTGTGCCGGCGACGTAGAGATGACGTCATTCAGGTCCCGCTTAAATTGCTCCTCAAGAGCCTTTCGTGCATGTCGGTTTCTCTGCTTTTTGGTTTCTGAGTCTACCTGATCAACACCGCGTTCCGCCCGGCCTGCTACTTCAGCTACAACTTCTGCCTCAACCACATGCTGGATTTGCCACACCAAAGTATCCAGCCAGGCTGAGAGCGCTACAACAAAGGGTGATTCCATCACCAATTCGCGAGACAGGTCAATCATCCCACGCGTGACTCCTTCGGCGGCAAGAGTTTCGGTGCCCTCTTCATACTTGGTGGCGATTGAATCGAGAAAAGATCGCAAGTCGTCGACGTCCCGTTCATTCGGTATAACAGAGTGCATCGTTGATTGTGGTCTAGGCGGCCTCGAGGTCGCATCCTCCCCCATTGCGACCGATCCATGCTCACGCGGCCGGTTTGGGTTTCCGTGCCGCAAATTTTCCATCATATCGACCAGTCGGAGCGGCTGTCTGACAGCGGTCAGGCTGACAAAGTCGCTTTGAGGCGCTTTCAAAGCGTCTGAGAAGTCGTTGGCTTGTCGCGCCAAAACCAGCAAACTAGGCAGCAGCCGGGTGTCACGATCAGGCAACGCCGGTCCCCGAACCAGGTTGTCCCCCGGCAAAAATCGCACTCGTTCCCGCACCCATGACGGAGTCTCGTCCTTCCTCAAAGAGCGTCGTGGAAGTGCGTCAGCAAGAAGTGCTGAGCCGGTACTGCTTCTGCCTTGAGAGGACCTTCGTTCCTCTGCGCACAGAAGCGTCTGTGCCAGAGCCGCAACAGACAAAGACCGCCATTCGGATGGAGAAAGGTCCAGCAGGATTTCCGAGGAGAGAGAGCGGACAATCAACCGCGGGGAAGCCGCGGTCTGCGTACCGCAGGCCGGCGGTGAACCTGTTGCAGTTGGGTCTGTTCGTTTGCCGAGACAGTCGTCAACGTCGTCGGCGCGAGGGTGCACAGCTAGAAAAGATGCACTAGTCGGGGACGCGGCAAAAGTGGCGATGGAAGCAGCTGCAAAAATGCTCACAAGGCTGCTGGAAAAACCGCGTAGCTTCGTCGCGTCGCTGCTTCGTTTTAACATCGTGGGCTGAAATACTGAAACCGCAAGAACAAATACAGATACTAGAATCAAATGCTAAAACGAAAAAATATTTCGACGAGGGACACTGCCTTGAATTTTGCTTTCACCTTAGTGCTGTTCTTGAGACAATGAGCAGACTCCTGCATGGAGCGTCGAAGTAGGCACGAGAGAAGCAAAAAGAGAACTTGCGAGAATGAGGTTGGGGGAAAAAAATCAAAGTAAAGTCAAAGACACATCGTGCTAAACTTCGTTTATCTTTTTTCAGGGTCAGGATGCTCATGCATGCTCTCAGACACTTTACGTCTTATTCCTGTCTTTCGGATCAAGAAAAAAAGATCTGGCTGTAGTAGCAAAATCACAAACCAATTCGTGGCACAAAAGAAACAATGTACCAATGCGAAAAGAGTTTTAGTTTAGAGACTTTCATCATCATCAGAATCAAAGCGGAAGCATCGCACAGAAGCAGGCGCATGACAGCACGTCGTCCTCCAGATACCCTAATTCTAAGTCCAATTCTTGTTCCTTGGCATGCTATTCCATCAGTTTGATTGCGAGTTCTTTGTGATTGCAAGCAACTGGGATCATATTCAAGGATGTTTCCTCGCGAACGAAACGCGTTCTCGTTCCTCATTTCATCTGCTGTTCTTTGCATGCGGTTGTCTTTGTCGTTCCCTTCGTTCGACATTCAATGCCAACGGTTGTTGAAAAATTCATGGCTCCTCGCCTTCACTTCATCCTTTTTCCCGAAAGCAACTGGAGGTCGTGTGCGTTTGATGACCCTTCGCTTCCAGCTTTGTTGCCGGCGTCGTACGGGTACACGTCCAGCCCCAAATCTTCCTTTAGGATCTTAAGTCCTTTGCCGCGCGTGAAATCTGGATCGATGAAAACCGGTTGGGTTTCGATGCCCATTTCGTTGGCGCCGCGGGGAAGGTAGGCGTAGCCGGTCGATTTGGGGCCCCAGGTGGTGCCCCAACTGTTGCGAATGATCCAATACTTTCTGCCGGTTGCCGCGTCTTCGCCCCAGCCGACCGCGACGACGGCGTGGTCCACATACTCCCACGAGTTGATCGCGCTCTCGGTCTGTTTCCGAATCTGGAATAACGCCTTCTTCGCCTCCGCCGTGGCAGTCCCGCTTGCGAGGGTCTCCCGCGCTTCAGAAATCTTCTGTTTCGCTTGCTTCACAGTGACTTGCTCGCTTTCGATCGCTTTGATGCCTGTGGCTCTTGTCACAGAGTGGTCTAGTACTTGATCTTCCTGACCTCCAAAAGCGTCGCCAGCAACGTCCCTCCGACGCTGCTCTACGTCCTGGCCCTCTACTCGCTCCTGCGCGAGCTGTGCTGTGGAAGCAGCTGCAGAGGATGCAAAGCTGCTTCCACCTGCAATATCCAAGTCGAGCAGAAACTGTAAGAGGTGCTCCTCGTTCGTCTCTGCGATGCTTCCGCCGGGTGTTTCACTAGCCTTGGCATGGTGCGCGACCAAAGCTGCCACGGGGATCCGCAACGTCGTGCTCCTGGCGCTGGAAAGTGGAACAGATGAGACCGCATCATTGTTACTCCTCTGGGCTGCAATACTAGTCACAAGGAGCGACGCCAGACTGCTACTCTTCGACGAGGAGTTCGCGACCAAGCGGATGCTGTCGTCGAGCGCTTCGTCGTTGGTTTCGTACACCACCTCCAGAAACCCGACGTCGTCCGGGGCCATCAGGTGATGGCCTTCCGCTTTGCTTTCCGACACGTACTGCGCAAAGTTTCCGCTGCCCGCGTCCACCGCGACTGGCGTCGGGCCGTGGTGCAGGATTTCGTACATCAATCTCGTCTCCGAGCATTTCCCGTAGAACCCGCCCACATACCCGTAGGACTGCTTCGCGGCGTAGAAAAGGTTGTCAATGTCTTCCTGTATTTGTTGCCGTTCGTCGACCCGGTGTGTTTCTCTTTCTGCGAAGGAGCTGCTGTTACTACTATGGTACTTCGCGTCGACTGCAGCTGCTACTTCTTTCCCTCTCGATTTTTCCGCTTTATTGGCTAAAGTCGTTTCAGTGTCACCTTGCTTCTTTTCGTCAAGAAGGGACGACGTCGAGGTTATTAATCCGCGAGGAAGGCCAAGCAACCCAGCACCGGTATTTGTTTGTCCGAAGATCGCGCGGCAGTCGACACTGTCAGCTCCGGGGGCTGCGGTGGTCGGCAGCGTAGAGTCCACGTTTTCGTGCGACGCGTCCGGGGTTCCGAATTCCGCAAAGTGCCGGGCCACCAGCTCTGGATAGCCACCGTCGCAATCCTGGTTGTAGAAGTTGCACTTCAGCGGCACCTGGTACGGCAGAATCACTTTCTTGGTTCGCTTCTTCCGGCTGCCGACCTGAGTCGCAGCCTCTACTTCATGATGCTCCTCGTGGTCCTGTTGCATGCTCATATCGTGCTGGTCGTGGTTTTCCCCTTCAAGATTCTCTCGGCGAACAAGTTGTAGCTGGCTGGCGCTGGTGCTGTTTTTCTTCGTATTTCTTGCAGCGGCATTGTTGACCTTTATCTGTGCTTTCTCGACGACGTCACCGTGCTGCTCCTCTCGCCGCAAAATTTCTGTTCCTCTACTGTTCTTCACTGCTCCCTTTTGTTCGCTTGTCTTTTCTGCGAGCGATGTCGAAATAAGACTTGAAGATGTAGTTGCACTGCTACTGCTAGTACTTCCGAAGGTCCCGACCAAGCGGTCGTAAAGTCCCGCCATGGCGCCGCCTGCTTGTGCCGCCAAAGAGTCGCCACTTGCGAGTCCAAAAAGATTGCCGGCGGAGGTGCTAGTGCTGTCATTATCTTCGTCCACTAGCTCCGCGCCGGCTTTCAGCAGCATTAAATTGTAGCGCGACTGGAGCGCGTAGGTGGCTGCGATGACGTAGCAACTACCGCAATTCCCTTGGTCGATCGGCGCCACGTCCCACTTTCCCTCGAACTGGTCGCGCCAGTCAAAATTTTGCCGAAATTTGTTCAGCGTCTCGAACAGTGCCCGGTTTTCGTTGCTGGCGTCAAAATTGCACGCCTCTGTGCTCTGCTGGGCGCCCGCCGTGGTGATGCTCGGTTTTACCTTGGCAGCCGCTGTGGTTTCGAGAGCACGCAGCTGCACTATCGGAGGATGTTCGCCTACGACCGCTGAATTGGTGGTGGTGGTTCCGGACTGACTTTCAGTTTTTTCCTCGGCACCCTCAGCCATTTTTTCTGCTGCGTGTTGAGAAGTAGAGGACAATGGTGTTCGCGTGGTCCGCAAACTTTGGTCATTTTCGGCGCGACTGCCGAAAAGATATTCTGACGCCGCATTGTACATTTCTTCGCTAGTATCGTAAAGGTTCTTGAAAACGTCATCTGCATGAACTCCGCTGTCGACGCGCTCTCGGGCTCGCTCCGCCCCGCTACGCGAGTTGTCCACCTGCGTCTGCTCCTGAACTCTGTTTTCAAAATTCGCTCCGTCGAGGCCGCCACTAGTGCGTGATCCGTTTACGGCTGCCACGTATCGCTTGGCCAGAACGTGCGGAAGGGAAAAGGCTGCTCTACTTGTTCGCGATTTGTCGACCTGAACTTCTTGTTCCACCGTGCTTGCTGTATTCATGATCTGGAGAGGTGGTTGCGATTCGCTAATCATCGCTTCTGTTCTTGGAACGTGCTCCTGCGGATCGCCGTGGCGGCGAAAGATGCGGTGCGCCGGGTTTACACTGCGTTTTCGTTCGTGGTTGCGGAGAAACACGAAGGAGGACACAAAATGCTTGAGCTCCGGATTTACCTTCTCCGCCCACCAGCACCCGTAGTGATTGGTCTCTTCGTTGAAAAACCAACCAATGTTCGTCTGGCCGCACAGCGACTCGTAGCCAGGTGGTAGCGTTGCGTCGCTGTTGATCATGGCGCCAGCCAGCCCGCACGACTCTTGCGATTTCTCGATGAGCGCCAGAAACGGGTTCTTCGTGGTTGTCCCGTTCACAGATGCAAAGGACCGAACCGCGCGGCTGCGGTAAAGCGGGCGCGATGAATGGGACTGGTGCACAAGCTCCTTTTGCGTTGGAGCAGAGGACAAGCTCTCTTCGGTTATTTTTTGGTCATCGGCACTATTTCCCACTTTATTCTCAGTTCCTCCACCTGATGGTGCACTTTGATGTTGCAAGAACGACGTTGCAGGTGGTGTTGACAGCTCTCCGTCGATTCCAATTTCTGCACGGGGACTATTTTTATTTGTTGCAGCATCTTCCTCTTTTGCGATGTGCACTGCAGTTTCATCTGTGATATTATTCACCGAACCGCAACTGTCGCAAGCGGAGGAATCGGAACCAGCAGGAGCTGCAATTTGAACTTGTGCAAAACTGGAGGACGATGTTGAAAATGAACTGCTACTGGCCTGGGCGCTGGCGCACTGATAGGCGGAGAAGGCAAAGAGCCTTTTCTTGCCAAAGTGCAGGTCCATGCCCTCATCGTAGATCGGCGTCCACGAGCCCAGGACGCCAGAACCTATGGGAAGAAAAAAGTGTTACAGTTACGCATTGTGTTGCAAAACTGGCAACACAGACAACCTTTCTCATGCAGGAAATGCTTTGGAGCCTCGTTTCCTTCCTGTTTTCCCTTATGATCTTTGCATTGCAAGTTTTCTCTGTCATGCGGAGAAAACTTGTGATGCTGAAGTTACAGCACATGTGTAACTGTAACACTTTTTTCCTTGGATAGAACCCGCCTCGTCTTTGATGAGGAGCTTGTGCCAGTGCGGAACCTCCTCGTCCGTGGTCACGTCAGCCGACTGCTCCTGGGTTAGATGCACAACCGCCTCCTCCGCCGCCTCCCCGACCTCCTCCGCCCAGTGCTTCTTCGCGAAGAGATCCAGGTTCTCCTGGTTTGTGTTGGGCGCGCGGTGCATACAGAAAGACTCGCCATGTTTCACCACCTCGTCACGCGGCTTTTCCTCCGTCAAATGCAGTTTCCACTCGCCAGCAAGGTCCTGCAGCAAGCAGTGCACGGGGAGGTCCGCAAGGACAGAATCATGCTGGAATGTCGCGAGCCAGATGACCGCCACTAGGAGAAGTTGTCTCCTCATCGTCATACCGGCTCTCATGCTTCGACTTCTCATTTGCTTACCTAGGCGTTCTCTGGTATCATTGTCAACGTCAAGGCCGATGTGTCAAAAAGCTGTCACTTTCTGTGTCCTACATCGAGTACTTCGTGCTAGGCACAGTAGTTTCTGTGCAGAAGAAAAGAATTCGATGCGACCGCACAAGCTACTTGTTCTTCAGTTTGAATGAGATTGTATGTTTGATTTTCAATGTTTTGTTGTACTTCGCTCTGCAGGAGCGAGAAGAGTGCCTGACTCTCTGATGATAACGACCTTCGTTCTGTTCTCAGCTCGACGCTAGGGGGGCCTCTTTCCTCCGAAAGAACTACAAGAACCGCGTCTCGCTTTGCTACATTTGCACTCTCTGCCGTATCATTTCACGGTGATGACGCGGTGGAGCAAACGAAGCACAGATCAGTGCAACGAATACGACACGTGGACGTGCACCATCGAAGAACGAAAAATCAAAATACGAATACGAAAAAAACGCTCACAATTCACAAAACGACATACAAAACAGAACCCGAAACAAGTAGCAGTGCCAAATACCAAGGCTGTTCTGAATGTCTATGTATGTCGTCCACCCCTCCCCTTTACCACCTTCATGATACTTTACTCCAAAGCTTTTTTGGAAAAACTGAATGGGTTCCTTCTTTTTAAAAGAAAAAATGCTGAGTATGAAAATGGAATGCGCTGTGGCTGTCGTTCGCGAGAAAAAGTCGTATCAATATGCACCATGCAGTAGAATACAACCTTCTCCTGTCGTCGCAGTTTGGTATATGATCGGTCTGTGTCGCTCTACTTTTTTTTGTTCTTGTACTTCCAATTCTAACAGGTGAAGTGCCTCACGGACATATGAATCGAAAACGAAATCAAATTTTAAACAAAACATAGCAAAAAAAATACTCGAATGTTTATACTGCGACAGAGGTGGCATCCGACGACTTAAAGTTAAAACACTCTCTTAACCATAAAGCTCCTGTTCAGATGCAGCGCTGCGGCGTTATGGGGCTGCAATCAAATCCGTCAGTCACGCACTGTGGGGCTATTCCTTCTCACGATTTTTTTCGAACAAAGTCATTATGACTTTGTTCGAAAAAAATAAAAATTAGAGTCACTTATTATAGGTTATTAACCCATAAGTGACTCTAAAACCACTAATAATAAATCGAAAAATTTTTCCTGTTCAACTCGTTTTAGTAGTACAACTTACAACAACCCAACCAATCGTCAGATTCCAAATGTTTCTTTGTTATTCTTGTGCAGCTGAAGCAGCATATCGTAGAAGTTGTACGGTTTCCAGACTCTCCAGACTTTCGAATCGCCGACGTAAGAGTAGTGCCCCGTCATCCACGGATTGTCACGACTTTGCTCCTTGAATTGCTCGTAAGACATGGAGGCTCGAGATACCGATACTGCGCTGCTGCTGCCGCTTTTTCCTGCATTATCTGCATTGTCCGCGCCCACCACGAAGTTCAAGTCGTTTTTCTTTTCTGTTTCTACAGGTACAGACGCTCCCTCGTTTTTAATTTTTTGATCGACGAATGGCATTTTTGCATCGAAAGCCTGCGCCGCATCTTGTTCGCGTTCATCTTCCCCGACGTCTACATAGTCGCCGTACATGAAGCAGAGGTACCGCACCGTGGCGCAACTCATGCTGGGAACCGCCGACATGTTGGGCAGTTCGTAGCTCATGTTGGCTTCCTCGGGCATGATGGGCGGCATGTAGGGCGCGTCCGTTTCCACCACCAGCCTGGAGAGCGGGCAGTGGTCAGTGATGTTCTTCCGCAGCGGTTCGTAGTTCTCCGCATCGGAATGCGCGAAGGGGTGCGTGAGCCAGGTGTCGGCCGAGGGCGTGGTCAAGTGCCCGGCGATGCCGATTTTCAGATTCGGGAACGTGTCCAAAAGTTCCTTCAGAAACACGCCCCCGCTGGACCAGCAGTGCAGGTGGATCTTGGTGTCCAGTGGCACTTCCTCCTTCAGAATGCGGAACATGTCCACGTCCGCGCCGCGAGAGTGCAGCACCACTGGCAGGCCACGCTTCACGGACTCGCGCAACTGCTCGCGGACCAGGTTCCGCATCGGCACCCGCTTGTGCATCCCCAGCCGACCTTCCCAGTTAAAACTATCCGGGTTGTTGCGGTCCTCCAGCGGCTCGCCTGCTTCGTCGAGAAGCACCACGGGCGCGCTGGTTGTAGAAGTACCTTCTTCATCAATTTTATTTTTCTCATCGGGACAAGTGAAGCTCTCGGCGTTCTTTCCCGCCGCGTCCGCCTTTTTCTTCGCTTTCGTCCAAAATCGAAATTTGTCTGGGTCGGTTTTGTCTTTCAACTTGAAAAACTCCGCGAAATTTTTATCGCCGTCCCGCTCGTATTTCTCGATGAAAATGTCGTCAGGCCGGTCGTACTCCGGCAGGTCGTCCGGAACCTCCAGGTCCGCGTCATAGTCCAGTCCACACTCCCCCCAGGCGACCAAACGGTTGATGGCCTGCAGCTTGTCCGCGAGGAGCAGCATTCGCTCCTGCATGTTGCGCTCGTTATTCAGGTATTCCACCATGGATTTCGGGTGCACGCCGATGGAAAAGTACAGATGATCGTCGAACACGAGTCGTTGTTGTTCGGAAGCGACAGTGTCAGCTTCTTGCCCGGCACTTGAACTAATTTCTGCACCTCCATCTCCAGTCATTTTTCTATCCATGAGCGTGCTGATTTTCGAGAAGTAGACCTCTTCGCAGTACTTTTCCCAGAAGTCCAAGCTGTGGCCGTCACATACGGACGTGATCGTCTTCAATTGCCACGCATTGGGGAGGCTGTAGGGCGACTCTGGGTGAAAGGTCATCAGCACGCGGTCCGTCATCTGCTCGCACACGCGGAAAGGCAACTTGCGCCAGATAATCTCCAAGTGGCAATGCGCATCGAGCAGGGTAAATTTGTCGTTGTGGTACTTCTCAAAGTGGACATCCAAAATGGGAAAGGAGTCATTCTTCTCTGACTCTGAGACATCATTCTCATTCCCATTGTCATGCTCAGTCAACATTTCTTCGCCGTCAGTCCGACCATTACCACACCAGGGCCTGCCACTGATTTTAGTCCTACTCGCCTTCTTCTTCGGCTTCCTCAAATAGATCTTGCAGACCAGTCGGTGCAATAAGGGCCACTTTTTGAAGTGCAAGTCGCGTTTTTGCGCCAGAAAATTTTTCGAGGGCGGCAAAAACTGCCGCTCCAGCGGAAAGAGCCGGACCACCTGGCTCTCCGACGCCTCCAGTACCTGCTTCGCAATCTCGTCCTCCGGGTCGGTTACCGGTTCGTTGAAATAGACCACCGGTTTGTCGTAAAAGTCCCGGAAAATCATGTCCAGGGTGTCGCGCAAGCGCCGTGTGGAGCGTCCGTCGTCGAAGTAGGGAAGCTCATCGCTCTTGTTCATCGTCGGGAAGGGCATACCCGTAATGGATCCGTCCTGATCCTGATCATCTTGGACTTGGGCCAATTCGGGCTCAGCAGAATTGAGTATCTCTGCGGATTGCTCATCCTCTGTGGTCAGTTTCTCTTTCCGCGACACCTTAGCGACTTGAGGTTCTCGGTCTACAATTTCCGTAAGCAGCATCGGTGTGCTTGTGCAGTTTGTGTTGGCACTCTCTTTGTAGTTGCCAGTCCGTTCGGATACCAGGGTCTCCGTCTCTGTCGCGTTTCTAGCCGGACATGCGCTTTCCGCGTCCTTTTGCTTCGTTTTTGCTGCCGCGTCCCCATCGGAACTATCCTGAGAAAGCGACCACGACGTGGATCCGCCATCCAAGGAAAGGTCAACTGTGATGCTGCTCAAAGGCTGCAGACTCCGCGCTAGGTCCTTTTTGTGATTCAGCGAGAAACTAGACGAGCCCAACTCTGTGGTTCCGGTGGGCTGTCGTGCCGCTTCATCAGACTCTGGGTTGTCTTCCTGAAGATCCTGTCCTTCCTCATCAACATTGTCATTTTCTGGCACGAAGACAAATTCGAATTGCGGCTGCAATAGCTCGTGTTCCTTGTACTCGTACCAGTACCGATTTGCCGTCACGGTTTTCAACACCTGCACCGCCTGCTGCGTGAGTCGCAGGTTCCGGATAGCCGATAACTTCATACTGAGCATCTCTTCTTGCTCGTCGGTAAGCTGCGTTACATCTTGTCCTGGTACAACTGGTAGTGTAGCTTTTCTTGCACTGGCAGTTCCTCCTTCTACTTCTCGTGCCTCAAAATCATCAACACAAACTGCTTTTTGCAACGCTTTTCGCAAGAAATTTAGAACCTCCCCCTCCTTATTCAAACACTGCCGGCGGCCCACGCGAGGGTTCGAGATGTAGTACTCGTCGAAAAAGGGCACGTTGATAGGCTGCTGGTCCTCAAACAGCGTCGCCTCCGCGACGGTGTAGGTCGTGGTGGTGTGATTCGGTTTGTTCAGCAGCATCTTTCCGAACTGCTCGTATTCCGGGGGACAGCAGAAGCACGGCTTGCCGTCCTGCAAGAACCAAAACCCGAAATTGTGAGTCGCGGGGTTGTCGTGACCATCGTGCACTTGTCCCTGCTCCGCCTCGTCCGCCCGCCGGGCTTCCTGGTTGTCAATCTCCTCCACCTCGACGCACTCGTACTCGTCGCGAGCGTTCAGAAACGCCGTCCTGGTAAACACCGTGTTGGCTTTCTGCAGTTGGAACTTTACGCTTTTCTGCAACTTCTCCAGCATCTTCTCTGTCACCGGATCTTCGGGTTTCTCTTTTTCTTTTGCAACCACAGGGGAAATAGAGGTAGCGTCAGTACTGTCCACGGCCCGCGAAAAAGTTGATGCGGGTGGAAATGGTGAAGCCTGTGATTCATTTTCTTCTGCCTGGACAAGAACATCAATCGCCGGGTCCTGGCTGGTCGAAGTGCGTTTTTCGGATGAAGAACTGTCTTCGTCTTCCTGGTCGTTGCCCTTCGTCACTGCGTTATGGTCTATGTAGCACTCCCCCATAATAATCGTGTCATCCTGCGCAACAACTTCACTTTCCTTCGAGTCAACTACTGCCTCGGCTTTGCCATAATGCGGTGATGGCTGATCTTCATTGTCAACGACCTCTCGACCACAGACAAGATTCCTCATTTCATCGTCCCTGTTTCTCTCGTCTCGACTACCAAGAACACCGTCTTGACGCTCGACGAGGTCTTGCAACGCTGGAACGGCGGGCGTAGGCGGATCCGGATGAGCTGCTCCCCTCCGACCGTTCGCAAACAAATATCGTGTCGGCATCACACCCTCGATGTTTAGGCCGGCCAGACTGTCAAACACTGTGCCCACGCTGGCGCGCAGGTTCGTGTCCAGCAAACTGCGGCGCACGATTTCGCGAAGCTCCAAGCGGAAAAGCTCCAGACCGTAGTAATAATTGATGAAGCGGTCGCGCGAGCCGCGAAACGAGACCTGCGGCTTGGGCCGCAATTCGAGGATGTCGTGTGCGTACTTGCAGTGCTCCCCACCGTACTGGCACAAGTCCGATCCCCAGGTGCATAGCTCCGTCCGCCACTCCTGCCGCCGCCGCTCCTCCGGGCAGTGAATGTGCTCGCAAGGGCCGCCGTACTTCATACAAGGCAACGTTTTTTCCCACTCGTAGGAGCGCGTCTCGCGGTCCCAGAAGCACAGGCGAAGCGTCATTTTGTCAATGTCCTCCTCGTCGTCCGCAACTACGAATTTTGTTCCGTCGTGTTGCACACCAGCGCCAGCACGCTCTTTGCGTTCGCTTTTCAGCTGGTCGCGCAACTCCTGTTCTCTTTTCTTGCGGTACGCGTCCTCGTCGAACTGCAGGTAATGCAGGCAGTGGCTCTTCCCGTTCTCCTCTACGCGTTCCTGCTTCAATAAGTTCGCCAACCGCACGGACCACTTCCACAGGAGCCGGTCGAAACACTCCACTGCGGCACACTTTTCGAAGTCGAAGCTGGTATTGTGCATGTGCTTGCGGGTTTTGTGCCAGGTGTCGCCCGAGAGGTAGTACTGCACAAAGTCCGTCGGCACCAAATCTTCCAAAAGCGTGTAGTACAGAGCTTGGTGCGACAGCATCTCGTGGGTCTTTGTCAGCTCCGGCTCGATCATCTTGCGCAGGTCTTCTAGGCTACTCCAGTTCTCGCCGCCCACGAACAGGCGCGGCCGCGAGCCGGGGCTGTAGAAGGGCTGGGTGTAAATCTTGTCGTACTTCATCGGGGCCGTGGAGGAAAAGTCCCGCGCTAGGATGTCTTTGGTTAGGTTGTGGTCGCGGGGCATAGCGACGCTCTCCATCGCGCCAGCAGGAAACAAATACGTGCGGCGGTCAAACTTCGCGCAGAGTTCTGTGTGCGTTTCGAGGTCTTCTTGTTCCCTGGGGGAATGCGAATGGTCTGCGCGACGGTTTGCAGAGGATGAGGAACTCGTACTACCTGCCTGTTGTAGTTGTTCACCTCTTTGCTGGTTGTATCTTGTTCCGTAATGGAATTTCTTGTAGCGATCTTCCCCGTCGTCGGCCGGGTACGATGAAGCTTTCGATTTATAGCTGCTTCGATCGTCGCGCTCAGGCACAGCGTCCGTGTGAGGATTGCTTTTCCCAGCATAGGAGGAGGCAGGAGAGCTATACTCAGTGTAGTTGTAGCAGTTGTAAAAATGATCAGAATAGTACCCGTAACTGCTGCTCCAGGAGGCATCGTTCCAGTTTGATTGCCAAGTATCGACAGAGCTAGTGCTAGATCCCGGGGAAGAAGACGTAGCATGTGCACTGTATCTGCTTCCAAGATCATAGCGCTGGTCGTCGACGCGCTCGTCACACGACGACGAAAATAACTCTTTGGGACTTTTTCGTCGTGGTGCTTGGCTCTTACATGCCTCAGGAGTTGCTCGCCTCGACGACGAACCACTGCTAGAAGAGCTGGGGCCTTTTTGCACCTGCATCTTCCGCGAGCCAACATTCTGCTCGTCCGCTGGTGTATCTATGCCGGGCGAGACCCTTGTTGTGTCACAAGTCGACGTGGTTTCGGCTGTTGAGGACATGCACCCAACTGGTGGCCCGCGGTCGGAACCGTCGGAGCTCCTTGCATGGGACAGTCCAGATCCACCTCGGTATAATGTGTGATACGCGCCGCGTGTTTGGTCTTTCTCGTCGTGGTTCTGGTTTTTCCAATCACTCTGGTAGGCTCCTCCACCTCGTCCGCGGTCGTACTTGGTGCTCCATTGATCGTGATCTCCCCAGCTGTAGGGAGACCGGAGATCCTCATCCCGCACAAACGCCTTCCTGGCTTCGTAGCACCCGCGCGCATAGCAGAGCCAGAACCCTTGGTATTTCCACCCGCCAGCGCATTTTTGGAATTTGTACCCGCACTTTGCGCACGTAACGACGCGCTGCTTCCATTCGTCGTGCGTGCCCCAGCATTGACCGCAGATTAGAAGCCCTGTTATTGATACATCATTCAAAGTACTTGTGATGCCCGGCCTGTTCTGGAAAAAGTGACCCAATGCGATATCTTGATTTACTGCTTTACGTCACATAATGCGAACAACTGCGTAGTGAGTTTATCTTGACGGTGACGGAAAGTTCATCGTCTTTTAGATCGGGCAACTAATCCTTGGGAAGAACAGCATCAGTATATACGATTCATTGGCCAGGTAGTGATCCCATACGTCCCGGCGTCTTCGCAAAAAGTACAAAAGACATCGTCGCCGGTCACCAAGTCCTGTATTTTTTTCTTGAGTCGTTTTTTCGCCTTCGTCCCGGACCCCGCCGCAAAGGTGGAAGTAAGAGCACCGCTCTTCGTCGCAGTTTTCATCTCCGCTCCTCGTCCTCCGTAAGAATCGCCACATGAGCTTCGGGTGCTTTCGCCAGCGGTGCCTACGCCGCTTTTACCACTTTCGTCGCGTGACAGCATCATCAATCTCTTTCAGGAAGCCCAACCACTGACTCGGCTAGTAGAGACAACGTAAGAAATAACACATCTATCCCGTTCTCGAACCTTACCTTGGCGCGCTCTGGCGACGTATAGGCCTTGCCCCACCTTGTTCACGGATCTGTTCCTTGTTTCGTGGTCCTCTGTAGTTGTCGTCTCCTGTGCGAGGTAGTGGGCTGGGGCAGGCCGGGAATCAAAACGGGGCTCGTTTCGAACATCATCATCCTAGGTTGCAGCACACAACTATGCCTTAATATACTACTTTGTCAATTATATGTTCAGCGGTCACTATGACTACAAAGAAAAAGCACGGCATTTGAATCAGTTCATGAATCGTCTAAATACTAGCCAGGTGTTGAAAAGAACCTGAATCGAAAGACCTCCACAAAGAGTCAGTCTTACAGTTGAAGCGTATGTTGCACATGGAGATGCAACCAGAAGAACAACGGAAATAACGCGCTCTAATATCACGATTACGATAAGATCAAGTAGAACTCCTAGACCTAGTGGACACCTCGCCAGGCCAAGTCTTCGATTGTAGATTGATCGTCTTCCAGGGGCGATTAGTGCTAGTGTAAAAGTTGATCCATAGGGACGGACTTGGACTTGCTGCATTCTTCTGCTTCTCCTGCGAGGTCTATGTATTACTACCAGTATGATCACGATCAGTTTCAATGATGATGATCTGCTCGATAGATCCCTTTCCAGCTTGTGCACCACCTGTGCCGCATGATCCTGTACCGCGAAGGAATACTCGGGCCGTCCATCTATCAGCAGATAGAAGCCCCATATGTTTATTGAACCTGAAAGAACGCGACGCATCAGAATATCACTGTCAGCTTTTTTGTGGGTCGAAAAAAATAGTCTGTCGGAAGCCGACGCGGCGATTGCAGACACACACGACATTTCTTTACGACGCACGTTAGACAACTTTCGAGCGTTCCAGAGCTTCCGCATCCGCGAGAGGAAGCGAGAACATACTTCGCCAACGTTCTTACCTCTATCTTGATGATCGTCATAAAATTCTTCATGACGTATCCATGCTACCTCCACCAGTTCTACCCGACTTCACACTCTTCACGGCGGCAAAAAACAACCTCTTTCTCCTGAAGTACGTCGGCTCGGCTTCATCCACTTCCTGCCTCTTCCGGTCTTTCAGCCAGGTGGTTGAAAACTCAATCGCGGTTTTTCGAAACAATTCCGTAACCTTCACTGGCCTGGTGGTCCCGGGCGTCAAGGGGGTCATGTTGCTTCTACCATCTTTCCCCTGCTGTTTCGACCAGTTCTCTTGAGGCGAGGCGGAAAACTTGGTTCCCGGAAGAATTTGTGAGAAGTCGAGGGCGGCCTTAAAAGTGGACATCAAAGGAGCAGCATCAGTGGCAGTTGTTTGATTCTGATTATTGTGTCCATGATTGCCATTAGCGCCTTTATTTTTTGGTCCGCCACCTAGATCAGGTTCCCTTCGTCCTTCATCTGCTACAGTATCTATTGTCACCTGTTCCGAGGACGGGTTCGTTGCGTTTTCCGCAGTTTGCTTGCCGAGAGGACGATCCAGCGGACCTTGTATTGGTGGCAGTCTGATGCCGCTTTTTGTCGTCGTGGTAGTTCCTCGTCGTATTGCGAACAGTTTCGTTCGTTCGGGCGACGCGCTTGCACGCCGTGGCGGCTGCTTGCAGGCGGAAAAGCAAGATCCAAACGCAGCTGCGCTACTCGTCCGCCTATTATCCATCATTGAAGCTCCAGCAGGGGCAGCCTTTTTATTCACGTTCCCCAGAAAGGAACGCTTTCGGCAGTGTCGGTCTTCATTGGTCTCTTCCGCCAGCAGAGTTGCGTTCTTTCGGAACGCAGAAGATGGAGAGACGTCGAGAGGTTTGGAACTTGACGGAGAAGTAGAGGCAAGATGTGCTGGTACTACGCCAACAGCTCCTACGCTAACGCTCATCCGCGTCAAGGCCGCAGTAGAAGGTGATTGCTGAAGGTCCCCCGGAGCAGGCAGACTAGGATAGCTCGTGTTGGAGGCACACACGTTCAATAAAAACGGGGCACTTGCAGCCGCGGTACAAATCGAGCGCCGCGTCGAACTGGATGTAGGTTTCGCGTAGTTCATTGCCAGAAGCCTGCTTGGTCTGCTTGGACTACTACTTGGAGCTGCGGCACTACTTGATGCTGATGTGGGCAGGGTATTCTGACCGATCGAATAAAGGCAGCATGATTGCAGGCTCTCGTTCTGGCCCAAACCATCTTCGAGGACCGCGGCGGGGCTTTGCTCGTTTCGCGAAGGCGGGTGTCGAGAAACTAACCCGTTGTTGCGCGCCGATGATAAGTCCTCTTCGGGCGGTGCTACTTCGTCTTCTTCGCGGTCCAACGGTGCGGCTGCGGTGGGGTCAATAAATGCAAGAGGTTTGCGAATGATGTCAACATCGGAAGCGACATCTCCGGCCTGACTGTTCAGAAAAAACAAAATAGCTTCGTCCACCACATGGTCGGCGAGTAGATGCGAAGACTCGATACTTGATTTATCGGCCAGATATGCTTGATATGCATCGTCTGTATCGGTATCCACAAATCTTCCGGGCCCTACCATCTTTCTCAAAATACTTCGTGTACAAATTTTTGCAACCGCGATCAAAAGATATTGGGAATCAAGATGGTCTGTGAGAAAAGAGACGATTGCACGCTCTGGACAAGGTACTCGCCACCTGTCTAACTTCTTTCTTACAACTTTCAATTTCATGCAACTGTACTAGTAGTTTTTGAGTAGACTACTGGCCAGGAATCTGGCACGACAACCCCTTACAGCACTGAACAAAGACAGCAACGACCGATACTGAACCAATTTTATCGGCGAAAAAATCAGAAAGTCGGGAATTCGAATTCGCAATCGGCTGCACGAACAACAGAAAACACCGAAACACATCAGAATGAATCGCCGAAAGAAAAACGTAAAACACGCGCAACGACTTTGCCAATAGGTATGGGAAGAAAAAAACCGACGGATCGCCTGAAGACAGCGAAGCAGAGAAACTTTGACATTGACGAGACGATCTCCTCCTTTTGAAGGAAAAAAGCAATCAGACGAAAAGTGTTAGAAGCCCGTAAGCAGGTTACGTGAGCAGATTATGTTTCCTTGTTCTACCCGATGCTTGTTGATGATCGAGCACGAACAAACGAATTTCGCATCGTGAAGAACAACTGAAAAATCAAGAAAATACCCCAAACAAAACACTGTCTGTTTGTTTGACAATAATTTGTTGCGCTTCTATTGCACGTGCTTCTCTTTACTTCGAAAAAAAAGTCACCCAGATATCAAGTGACTGCGAGGGGTAGTATCAATGATGCCATTGATCGCATTTAGTCCTCCATCTCCTCATCGGTATCGAGTTCTTCTTCTTCCTCCTCCTCGACTTCTGACCAACCTTCCTCGTCAGAAACAGCCTCCATGGAGGCCTCCTGAATGCTCTCCTCGTCTTCCTCCTTCGCGGCGGGCGTACCAAACTCGAGCGCCGAGAATGGCTCCGGACCGCCGATCATCAAGCTCTCTTCGCCGGTCTTCGGGCAAATGGAGACCGGACATTTCAGCTCGAAGTATTCCGTCTTTCCCAGGTTCTTGCCCTTGCTGTGGTGCAGCGCCTGGAGGTGTTTTTTTCATGTAAGTACAATTAGCGGTTGTAAGCACGTCGATCACAGATGGATGAGATCGTGCAGCATGTGTGCCAATCAAAAGTGCGATTAAGAACAATCTCAGTTTGATTTAGTTTTAGAATATGTCTTTTGATTTTGCAAAAAAAAAGACGCTTGATTGAGAGCAAAATGAAGAAGCTAGGCACCTTGTGCAAATCGACGCTGGATTGTCCGGTGCCGCTCAAGTCGCTTGCAGTCTGCACAGCCTGGCTTGCTTCCGACACAAGCCCTGTCGTGGGTGTGGTTCGGCCCCAGAGACCCGCGCAAGCCTGAATTTCCTTCTCCTGTTCTGCGTATATTGCCTCAAGGTCCTGTTTGACCACATTTTTCGGGGTTTGGATAGCTTGCTCGCTTGCTCCACCCAGTTTCGGGGAGCTGGTGAAGTAAAACATTGCATTCATTCGCTTCAGGATAAACCGCCCGGCGTCGATAATTCCCGGAAGGTTATGGTCGCGCTGCATCTTTGTCATCAGCGTCTTGGCGTCCTGGAATTCATTTTTTTTTCTACATGGTGCGTGCTTCCGCGGAGAAATTGACGGAAACAGAAACTCTGAAACAAGGAGCTAAATGCAATATGAATATTGTGTTTTATACTTCATGACATGTCTTCTGAAATATCAACTCATGCACGAGATGCAGTGGCCATGGGCATGGCCAATCTCTGTGGCAATAAAAAAACAAAAGCATTTCCATTTGTACCTCGAACTGTGGCAGTGCGAGTTTGATCTGCAGATCTTCTTTTGAAAGTGTTCTCTCCAGTAGTCGCTTCAGCACCGTGAGGGGCTGTTTCGACGCTTGTGGTTTCTGGGTGAAGAGCAGGTCCACGATGTTCTGGTTGCCGTCCACAACTTCGTCCTCGGTTTTGAAGTCGATGATGTTTGCCGTTTGAATTTTCACCTTTTTCGATAGGTTCATCTGGGGCGACTTCAAGTAAGACACCACGGTGTGTTTTCCTACGCCCGGGTAGCCAACCACCGCGATGTTTTTTGACGCGGAGTACCCCTTTGAGAGCAGTGCGATCAGTTGCTTGAACCCGACCGGGCGGAGAAACTTGTTTCTCGTACTTCTTGAGCTGGTACTGGAACCGGGCTGCTGTTGTTCACCAGAGGACAAATCGCGGATCAGCTTGGACGCCTCCTCGTTGCTGGCGCGCTTCATCAGGCTCAGCACCGGGATGTTGTCGGGCGTCGTTCGTCGCAGGTAGTGCAACCACTGCTGCAGGTTTTCCATCGGCACCAAGTCGCCCTTGGTCAGGACGATAATCTTGTTCTTCTTCGACTCGTCCTTTTCAATGGACAAGCACCGCGTCGCAAACGGGTCGCGGGCGTCCACGACTTCGATCACCAAATCTGCGGTGTCCAGGACGTTTTCCAGGGTGTTGACGGGCCGGGCGGGAGCCTTCAAAGCCTCCTTCCGTTTCTTCTTTTGGAGTTCCTGCGGTGATGAGGATTGACAGATACACGAAAAAGATCTTCATCTTCAGGACGCACGTACAAGAAACGGGAAGGGGATGAGAACGAGAACCATCATGAGAACATATTTCATATTTTATGTAGTGCAACAGTTCAAAGTTTCCGTGGTCTGTTGAGATCAAAATCATATTCACAGTAATAAGTTGTACCTTTTTCTTTTTCTGGTTGAGCTCCTTTTGCTTCTGCTGCTCCGCCTCCCGACGCTCTTGTCGCTGCTTTAAGAAAGCCAGCTCCTCCTGCTTGAACGGCCACAGCGCTGGGACCGTCATCTTCTGCTTCTTGCGCTTGATCTGTTGTAGCGCAATATTTTTCTTAGAGTTTCCTGATAACCTGGTCGGAGAAGCGAAGAGGACAGGAGCAGTTGCCCTTTTTACAAATCCATTTTTACAGATTTATCATGTGAAAAATGCAACGCAATAAACCAAGTATCAATCGCGTTGATACGACCAATTTCGTTCCTTTTCTTCGGCAACCAAACAGCATAAAACAGTACCTGCACGCCATTCTTGACCGCCTTACGTGCTTCTTTTCGCAATTTTCGCTTCTTCTCGGTGGCCTTTTTGGTGATTTTGTGCTGCAAACTGAGCGACTTGCGCTTTGAAGTGTTCTTCTTCCCACGGCACTTCATTTTGATTTTTGTTGTGAAGGAATGAAAAAAACGAAAAAGCAGGGGTTGACTCCGTATGTAGAAAAGTAAAGAGCGATCGCAGTAGTCGTAGTCTAAGTCTAACGGGATGTCAACTACAACAAAAATCGTACGTAGACCTGTTTTTAATTTTATTTTTATCTTCTTTTCATTCTCAGCATAAGCATTCGAAACAGCATGCAATACGTCTAAGTAACGCAGCAGAAGTAAATAACCTCAGTTATACTGCCTGCAATCGAAGCGGAAATCACTTTGATCGGAGTTGGTCTCCTTCACGTTTTTATTTTACAATGGGAATGTCTTTCACCCATGAGCATCAAAATTTGATCCTTCAATGATACATCACAACGGATCTTGGTGAGACCTAGTATGTTGATTAGGCAGCATCTTGAACGTGATCGCATCACAGGATTTTTCTTGCATATCTGATCTTCCTTCTTCAGATCTTGGCGAGCACAAAAACTCAAATTTCATTTTCGTCACGATCAGACGGCTGCAGCAAATCTATCAGATGACACTCACTATCACTACGACTAGGAGCTTCGAATAGGACTCATCAGATGATCTCTATCTCCAACCCCAGCACACCTCTACACTCAAATAAAATGAGATGAGTGAAAGAACACGACCTGCTCCTGGCCGAGCTCCTGCTGGAGACGATTTCAATTTTTGTTGTTCTGTCACGAAATTAGAACGCGGTCTCGAGAAACAGATCATGCAGAAAGGTCCCGATAGTCAAGGGCGTGAAGTCTTGCAGGGACGACTCTGACGGCAGAAGCATCCAAGCCCCAACAGCCTTTTCTTCCTCCTCCGATCTGCTACCGAAGTCCCCCGGCGAAGGAGACTCACCTACACCTGTGTCCTTCTTTTCTACCGGCCGAACAACATCGGCGGGAAGGTGCTGGTGGTCAGTCTCTGCTTCGACCTGTTCGGCTTTCTCCCGGAGCAAACGCAAACGTGAAAGCCGCAACTGCGCTGTGAGCTTCCCGAGTTGCTTCACCGCATCATCTATGCATTGCAAAAGTATCGTACTACTAGGAGCGAGGTAACAAATGACCCGTTAACTCGCACCCGCGAGTTAGCCGGCCGCCCGGCCGGCCGGACGGTTAACTCGCGGTTAGAAGTGTAGACAAATCGAATTGTGGTGCAAATCTACCCCGAAGGGCTCGCCAAGGATTGGCGAGCACTTCGATTCAAATTTGTGCTACCTTTCGATTTGTCTACATTTCTAACCGCGAGTTAACCGTCCGGCCGGCCGGGCGGACGGCTAACTCGCGGGCGCGAGTTAACGGGTCATTTGTTACCTCGCTCTAGTAGAAATCACAATGACGATGACAAATTTTACGATGAAGCACCACAATAAAGACAAAAATGCAATCTATTTGTACTTATATGCTAGATCAGATAGAAAGGTAGATCTGTAGCACATGACTGCAAATAGTACGAGTACGTAGTGCGATACTTTTGTACAGGATATTTCCCAGGCCGTGCATCTGCTGCACGATACGGTTGGAATTGGGAGCACAGAACGGCGTTTTGTACCGTTTGTTCACGGGGAAAAAATCTGGAACGCCGTAGGGCGATACTGGCATCACCTGATCTAGTACCGCATACGACCTCCCGTGCTTCAGGACCTCCGCCGACTCCTGTGGCCGTCGCGTGTCTTGTTCAACAGGGTGGCTTGTTTCATCAAGCGCATGATCAGCGTCATGTGTTGCCGTGCCCTTATCTGCAGCGGTTCCTCGTGATGTGTGCGTTTGTGCAGTGTCAGTGTGCAGTGGCTCGATCTGCTGCCCGTCTTCGTTCCCGAGAGTTTTGCTGTCGAATTCAAGAAAGCGTTCGCGGAGCATTGCCGTCTTCTCGTGTTTATTCAAAGAAACAGACCCTATCCCACTCGCTCCCAGTGGTCTATTTTTTGTATGACAAGCGACAGCCTTTGGACAGGACTCACTCTGGTGCATGGTTCACATGACAAATTAGGTGGGCATGGGTCGTTTTTTCTGGATAGTTTTCCGTCAGGTCGTAGACAGGACACGTGCCTAGCCGTGGGTAGTACAACGACGGGACGGCAAAAGTGCGGAGGTTCAGAGCCCGAATCAGGTGGCCCAGAGGACTCTGGTCCACAAAGGGAAAACTGGATAGAAGCCGCGTGTCGTGCAGCAGCCGCAACCACAGCCGGAGAAAGTGGAAATTACCTACCGTTTTCCGCAGAAACAGCCATGTGTTTTGGTGCATGGGGGAATAGGTCTGCCAGTGCCAGAAGCATCGGTCGTGAAACTGTTGCGCCCGGAGTTCTTGCGAGTCGCTCCCTTGTTCATTCACATGTCCGGCCGGCGTGCAGGCTGCATCAGATCCTGCTGCAAAAAGGCCGCATATAGCCGGCCCAATGTACCTAGCTTCTTGTTTGACGAGAAGCTCCACCTCAACGCACCCCGTCGTGAAAGCGTCAATCGGAGAAATCAGTGGCGTGATTTCGTGGGGGAGCGACTGCGGCTCTACTCGGTTCCGAGTTTCTTTAGGCTCACCTACATTTTGACCGCGGCGCGCCGAAAAGAACAAACGCAGCGCTTTGTGAACCAAAACCAGTCGTGTGTGAGCAAAGCACCACCGGTCTTCATTTTTCGGCTGTGATATCTCGTTAGCCTCCGATGCTGATCCGGATCCGGCAGCTTGTCGCTGTCCTCCAGTTACGTTGTGCCACAAAGCAGGCAAGTCAACGAACGACAGAAAATCACTGTAGGCCGAGTCCGGGAAGTGTTTCACCCGGTACACATCGCGTTTGTTCATATCTTCTTGTTCGTCCCCGTGCACGCGTTTACTGTCGGAACGCGGGGCCTCTGAGGTTGACGTCCACCATGTTGAAGATGCATCTCCAGCCGCGGGCGGTGCGTCTGTGCTGTCTTCGCTTTCGGTGGAAAATGCAGCAGCACTGCTGCCGTTGCTTTTCTCAGAATTCGCAGGGGGCGCGGCTGCAGCACGGGGCAACTGCCTGAGCTCCCCGCTATTCTCCACCGCACTTGCTTGATGGCCTTCCATGATCTTGGAGCGCTCCAGCCAGAGCGGTGCCGGGCCGCTACGCCACGCTCGGCGCAGGAGCAAGACCAGGTAACGGCGAAAGACGTACGCGACGTGGGGGCTCTTTAGGAGCCAGTCGGTGCATGGTGTGCGGAACCGCTCCGTGGAATACTCCCACCGTACACTGGGCGGCAACCGCACCCCGGGAATGAGAGGAAGCCGCTCATTTTGCGCCGCCAGGGTTTGCAGCGTCTCAAGATCTGTTGCATTCAAATCGCGCAAAAACGAGACCCCGGCGGTGTTCAACAGACGCCAGTCTGTGAGCAACAGATCTCCCTGATTGCCTCCTTCTCGTCTCGGAGGTTCATGCTGCCCTGTATCTGTAGGATTGCTAGATGGCGCCTCAATCACAGTCTTGCTGCTAGGAGGATATGTCGCAGATACCTCTTCCTCGACCACAGCCTCGACCAGATTTCCAGACTCAGTCTCATCCACCAAATGCTTCGTTGGGTCTGTCACGAGAACGTAGTCACCCCAGCCAATCCTCGGCGGCGATTCGCACTCTTGCGCAGCTGCAATCGACGTCCTCAACTCTGGCCCTGGTGTAGTAGTTTCCGGCTGAACAATAGTCGCCGGCGTTGTAGGCTGCGTCTCTTCATCAGTACGCCCATTCATATCTCCATCGGTTGTAGCACTAGGGATGCTGGTTGCCAATGCTTTGGCTTTTTCCGTCGTCTTGGTAGACGAGTCCAGTTGGTTCCCCTCACTTCTGGCACAGGACGTCGGTGACCGCTGTTCAGAGACATCGAAGAGGGTCTCAATCAGAGTGACGGCCTTTGCGAAATAGGCTGGATTCAAATAGGGGTAGGTTGTGCCGAAAGCCTCGAAAATTTTCTGAAAAAGAGGCCCCCTCGTCTGGGCCCACCAACGACTCGCAGCCTTAGTACCAGGTGCGCTGAGCAATTCCAATTCCGAGGTGGACGTAGTCGTGGATGCAGGAGTCCCCTCTGGGCTCCCAAGGCTGTTTGTTTCTGCGAAAGCCCCAACAGTGACAGGCTCGATGTTTCGGTTCTTGTGAGGGGCATCCTCCTGCTCCTGGGTCGTATTATGAAGGTTTCCGTGGCGATCATCTGGCTGATGTTTATTCTCGTCTAGTTGATCACGATCTGCATCTGGCTCAACATCATGCTGGGCGTACACGTACAAGAGGCGCGCCGCTCTTTCCCGATCATTCCAGAACGCCAACTGCGAGGCTATAACCCGCTCAGGTGTTACAATCTAAAGCGTTGCAATAGAATATGGAAATCTGTGATGCAAGAGTGCATGATCTAGCCAACTCTCATAGGATTGCGCATGACAAGTTCCGGAGACCCAAACCCCACTACAATCTGGCGAAATTTGTATTGCAAAAGGTAGAACGCTGTGCGAGTCTGTCGTGCTCATCCTGCAACACAACTTCCAGATTTTATTGTAACGTTGGAGATTGTAACGGTTGAGCAAGTCATAGAGGCTTTCCAGCGAACGTGGGAAGCGAAACCGGCAGCGGTTGCCTCTCTTTCCGCGATGTCTTGAACCTGCCTATACACTCCATGCGAGGCGAATGTAAGGAGGTGCGTTTTGCTCGCTCGTCTTTCACTCTCGTCTTTCGGACGAGCGCTTGCTCTCTCAAGAGGACGAAAATGCTGACCGGCGCTGTTGGCCTCATCTCCGAAGGATTTTTCCGCGTTTTCGTCCTCGACCGCCACCTGGTTGCGCTCGACAAGACCTTCATCCTTCGCGAAGGATTCTCGTACTTCCTCCCCACCGGCCGCAGACGCCGCAGGCAAGAAAGCACCAAAAAATGCGACGCAGCCGCAGCAGACAACGAGCAAACTAGGTCGTACACGAATACTAGTATACGTAACCAAAAGGAACTGCAGGACCCGGAAGATGCGCCTCGGTTTCTTCTCTCTGATATCATCAATTTCAATAACGATATTTTCTTCTTTTATAGTTTTGTTCCCAAATTCTTGTGCATCAGCTGTGTAGTAGTCCATCGCGTCTGCTTTTGATAGGATTTTGATGACTTCATTCTTGGGGACGGCGTGACGGACACGGCTCCTGGCGCTGTGGCTTTTAATTCTTGTGCAGTAAATCTACAGATCGTTGTTTCTCTTTTTCTTTTGCAACCCGCCAATGCTTGAAACATGAAATCTTACTGGACTGTACTGGACTAGGAGTGGTGGCGACGCTGCCTCTTACTCAACGATCGATGTCAAAACGAATTCTGAAGCGTTCTAAGCGATTCACATGGCAGTGCTGCAGCTGGCCCCTATGCGCCTGATCGCAAAGGACGAATCCCTCGTGACGACAACACGCGGAAAGAAACGAAGATTCGTCCTATTCAAGCCAAAACGCAAAGTCAGACTCGAGGTGAATCCTTTTTGGAATCTTCATCTTTTATCACTACCGTTTCATTTGTTTTTGTGTCCGATTGCAGAGCGCGGTGGTCCATCTCGTCGCAAAGGGAAGATACATCAAACTAGCAAACTAGAAAAGGCAAGCTTCTTTGTTTTTATTCAAGATGACGAGAGAATGCAGAACTTAACTCAATATTTGGCATTCACGAGGAAAAACACAGCGAAGGGTACATACTATCTCTTTTCATATATTACATGACAAAAATTCTAATCCTGTTTCAAATTCGAAGACACGATTACGAAAGAAAACCCGACCTTGACGACAACTTTGATGTATTTATATTTTTCACAAAAACGCAACAAGTCAAGCCTACTGAAAGTGCGTGGAACTCTATTTCAAAAATCGTCGAAGCCGGGCCCTGCGGTGCGTACTCCAAGGGTACCCTTGAAAACATCCCGCTCGACTTATACAGGGGCTTCGCTATTGTCGCTTTGAAGCTTGAGTGAGAAATCAGACGTTGTGGTGGTGTACAGATTCAATTTTGCTATAACTACCTTGCCCGATCGCTTCGACAAACTGCAGACAAGTAAACGTAGGAGTAGAAAGAGACGTTTCAAGAGTCGCAGGGGGCGCCATGGGTGGATATATAAGGGAAACAAAAGGAGTCGAAGTAGTTGTAGTCCGTATTCCAGCACTTACGTTTTTCGTCCTTTGCTCCAGCACCTCAATCGCTATCAGACAAGATGATGACATCGTTGCCCCCAGCTGGAGGAGCGCGATTCGCCGCATTCGGGGCGGGCGGCGGCACCGCAGCGGCGGATGAAGACGCTCCTGCTGCGCTACTGTTTCCCGCTGAACCACCCTGCTTGCTTGAAGTTCTCTTGGGGCTACCCGCACTTCCGCTCCTTTTTCTTTTTTTTGCTGCGGGCTGCTTCGCGCCCCCGCTTGTCTGATCTTTTGAGGTGGTGCGCTTGTTGTTGATCGTCGACGCAGCCGGCGCACTTGCTGTTGTGGTGGCATTCGGATTCGTGCCTGTCCTTCCCAAGGCGGAGCCGAAAAGGCCAGATGCGGATGCGCTCAGCGCTGAGAAGAACGACGTGGACGATGCGGACGCCCCTTTTGTTGTCGCTGCACCGGGGCCCGAAGACTGGTTCGCCGTCGTTGTTTTGTTGTTGGCGGCAGAGGCCGCAGACGACGAGCTCGCGGCCGCGCCGCCCGCTCCGCTACATTCCTGCTGCTTGAGGCGATCCAGCGTCTTCGAATCCGGTTTTTCGCTGTGCTGCGTCTGCCGCTTGTGGGTAGGGAGGCACTTCCCATGCTTCTCGATCGTCTCGTGGACTTTGCGCTCGTAAGCCTGAGAAATGGGGATAGGGAAGGAAACATTTACGATTGGCTGCTGTAGTGGCCACTAGCGTATTTGCTTTTGCAGGCGCACGCTGCAACATACATAACAATGCTGCACGGTGATACGCACAGGAGCAGAACAGATGCAAATAAATTTGAATCGAACAACACAGTCAGCAAGCGAGAATGTAGTACCTTTTTGTCCTTAGTGTATGCTCGTGCAGAGTCGCCATTCATGGGGGAGTCGGGATTCGGGTCGCAAAGAAGAGAGCGAATGCTGGTGAACACCGATTGCAGAGTGTAAGAGGGTGACCAGGCGTCTTTCTTGATGATCTGTTTGTTGTTCAAGTACTCTTCATTGTAGGACGTCAACAAGCATTTGCATGATATGACAACGTACAGTGCAAAGATTGATGAAAATAGAACGGAAAACGATCAAAACAAAAAGCAAATACGTCGAGACAGATGGTTCCCCCGGTGCCGACGTTTGGGTGGTATATGCCCTTGTCGAAGTTGATTTTTATTGGGTCGAAAGGGTAGTTATCGGGGAATGACATTTTTAGCTTGAACACTCCCTTCTCCCATACCGTCTTCACTGGACCTGATTTGGGGATTTTTTTAGTACGGAGTTTATCTTCTTTCATGCGAGGAAGAGAAACGAATGTTCAACGTTGACCACTCTGTTTCCGACCTACCAGTACAAATTAACTTCCATGGTGCCACCAGCGTAATTCTTTCTAGTTTTACAACGTAGGCTCTTTTATGAAGCAGAAAATGTTGTACCTTGGATGTAGACGTGCCACTCTGGCTTGTCGAACGTCTGCGGATCCACCCAACAGCCATTCGTCTCTAGGCTGAGAGCCTGGACATTCATCATGTCCTTCTGGATTCGCTTCAGGCATTTCGCAGACGGCGGCATTTTGGTCTTAATTTCTCTTTCGTACGTTCGTTATCTGGGTTGCATAGAACGTAAAGCGCTCGCTTGCGTCTATTTTTTCATCCGCCTCCTCGTGGCCTGCTACTTTAGCTGTTTTATAAGCGCGACAACATGTTGCTTGGATAATATCTTCACCCTGCTATAATCGTCCCAAGTGCCTAAGCACAATCAATTAAATAGTGGCGCAGTGGTGAAGCCGTATTAAAAATTCAAATAGCTGTAGTATCACTCCGGTGTCTGAAAATAACACATACTTGTTGTCTGAAAATAAGTTGAGCCGGCACGTGCTGGCGTTTCTTAAACAATCAGCGTTGGCAATAAAAAAGGTGCGCGATAGAAGGGAAGGAAGAGACAAAAAGCGGTGCTTGGTTGCTGCTGAAGGAATGCACTGGGTACGACAAAGCTACAATCACTTTTTGAAACGCAAACAGAATGAGTGGGTAATTATGTTCGAGCTCTTACTCAGTTCTGCGTAAAAAACTTCACTCGTCTGTGATTCTGATTTCTAAATTTCTCTGATTCTTCATGATTTCTGTTTCTCAGCAAAGAAACGGCAGGAACGCCAGCAGTTTCAATAGCGGTGTTGCAAAAGCTAGCCGCGTGATTTGTCTGTATGATCTGTGTAGCATAGATTCTTCGAGGACCTACAAACTGAATCAGCTCCACCAGTGCTACGTCGTCAGAGCTCTGAGTACAAACGAGAAACTTCGAGAGAAGCAACAATCACGCTAATAAAATGACGACGAGAAAATATTCTTCTACTAAACTTAAGTACTTCAGCGCTTACCATGTGAATGCAATTCTGAAGCCATCTATGGCAGGTACAGGTTGGCGCGCAAGACCATGATAAGAAGCCACGGTCTCGGAGGGCGACTCGTTCGATTCCAATTCCCAGTCATGGTACGATTCGACGTCTCTCAATGTCCATCTCATGTGGTCTCGATCGCATTCTATTGTTGCAGTCGAACACGACATGAAGATCTTGTTGCAGCGTTCCTTCCTGTATTTAATAGACAAGACCAGTCCAGCTGCTGCTCGCTGCACCAGCCTTCGTCGAATAAAATAAAATGTTTTCTTGTGCTGCTCTTCGTGTTGTTGGATGATAATTCTATGCTGATTCTTGCATGGTCGCGTTCGTGTATGTTGATGTTAGTGTCGTTTCCCATGCCTTTCACTTTGTCGGTGTCTTAGTCTTGAAGACAAAAAGTATAGCATTCGCATTCGGCCATAAAATTCCCTTATGATGTCACTCTACTATGCTTGCCGGAGGGACTCCTGCACTTGTGTCCTCCCAGATTGACTACTAGTCAACATCATGTACGACTAAGCACTATTCAGTAAGTACAATTTTACTTCGAGTTCGTCAATACATACTTAATACTTTACTGTGTGGCTGTTACTCGAAACTTCTCGGAGTATTAATTCACACACGATGCTGTGTATGTTTACCTCGTGTTTTCGATGTCATTGTCAGTGCAAATAAACATCACTGATGTATTGTGTTTTCATCATCGGCCATGGATGCGCGCCGTGAAGAGTCATGAGTTTTCATTTATACACGTGGAAGCATGAGCTGCTCTTTTCTCCTTCACAAGGTCGCGACTGCTAAGGGATAGTCTCCTGTCGCCTGGCACCAGCGCGATTCGCCCGTTTTTTTTGCGCCGCTCTTTTCCCCTTGCCAGAAGGCCTTGGAGCACAGCCTGCACGCGGTACTACACACGTAACCCACCGCGGCAACCGCCCCAAGCACGGGCAACGCCGGGGAGAAATCCCGCCAAAACGTGTTGCGCCGAAACGCGGCGTCCCGGGGCTTCACCAATTTTTCCACCACTTCAGACACGTGCCGGTCGTACTCGCTCCTCATGTACATTCGCAGCTGCGAAACCTCGAGTGCCTCCGACTTCGTGCGGGCGACATCAGAAATAAGAACTTCTTTTGCATTCTTATTGTGGTCTTGACTCGTTCCGCCTTGATGTGTACCATCCGTCTGCTCCGGTGAAAAAGAGGAACTCGCTCCTCCTGTCAACAGATCAGGAAACAGCACCCGCCCGCGTCGCTCTAGCTCCATCTGGCAGACCTCGGGGGTCGTGATACGGACCAGAGCGTCAAGATCCATCATCTTCGGGTCATACTGGTGCATGGACGGATCAGAGGAGCAGCAGACATTCGAAAAGTCGGTATTCTTTGCTCCCTTTACAGCCACTTTGCTTGTAGTATTCCCATTCCCAGTGCTCACAGTCGTGGTTACAACTTCCTTGTTGCAGTAGTCGTTGATCCCCAATTTCTCCAGTTTTGCCATGCTGCTCTTCAAGTTTTCGCATTGGATTGCCCGCGTGGCCGTCGACAAAGTAGTACTTTTGTTGGACCACGTGGGATTCACCGTTAGGCTGGCGTGCTTCCGCCGAAACAGCTGCGACGTGGCCGCAGTGCGGATCTGACTGTTTGGCGAAATAAACGCCAGAGTAACACGCTTCGAAGGTGCGCTGCCCCCCATCGGCCGCGGAAAGCTCTTCGACGCAGCCACACCAATGGCGCTTGCTCGACTGCTTGTACTAGCTGGGCTGAACATGATTTTTTTGCCAAGACAATAAAGCTCGGGGACGGAAATGCGATATAAAGTAGGCAAATATAGCAATTCAGAATGTTAGTTTCTTTGCGTTTAGTTGAGCTCCTTGTTGATAAGAGTGGCAATGACGAGGTCGGTAAAGTGGAGAAATTCGTCTTCTAGCGAGGGGGACAGCGTCGAAATACAGAGAATAGAAAGCACGATGAACAACGCAGCGAGGGTGGTGGAATACGTAAAAACCTTGTCTTCGTCTACAAAGGAATCCGCTCTTGAAGTGGTCATCACAACGCCTATTCCGCTTCTGCCAGCATGCGGGGATAAAGAAGTTGAAGGGGGCAAAGGGTTAACGAAGAAGCTTATACAATAATTAAACGCTCGATGCTAGCAATGGGGTCGTCAAAAGATAAGCGTTAAGGCTAGCTTTACCACGAAAAGTTTGCAACTTCAGTTGAATGATTCTGATTGCTCTGCTGTGAGTGATGCGAAAGAAGAACGAAAAATCGCTACAGCTCCTATTGAACTGTTGCTACAAATACAAACGAGCCTAACAAGTGACGAACGACGATTTATTGCGAGCGAAGGGGCCCGGACAATGAGCCCACGACATCAGAACGTGTTCTTTTTGGTGATCGATTTTTTTTACCGAGAAGCAGCAATGATCTCAAGAAAGGCTGCGTTGTGCCATCGTGCTTGATCGCGTATTTTCAACATTTCGTGAAGATCTAGCACAGCAGAATTCTTCGGAGGAGATCTTGTCGTGTATCCTAATTACCCACAGATCTTCAGAGAGGATCGAAGTGGTGGATCGATTTGTCTACCTGCTTACATTTTCGGAGCTTCTCAACGAGCCTCTCATTTTTGTTTTTTTTATCGCGACAAGGTCTGGGATCATGTGCAGCTGCAAGAACTCAGGTGACTCTATTCTCTCCGGTACCCTTTCATCTTGCTTTTCCCGTCACGAAAAGAAGGATGTACGCGAAAAGCGAAGTTTTCCAGTTCACCTTTCAAGATAACTCTTATGCTTGTGCGGTGTTTCATTGATGGTTTGTCGCTTTTGTAAAGTTCACCCTATTGAAGAAGGCGCTCTTGCCTCCACAAAGAGTGAGGCTCCCCTCGAATATCATCTCCTGTCCTTGTTTTCACGACCTTTGAATGACACGACTACTTTAGTCCGGCACGACTTACGCTACCGGAGATGGAGAAAGCAGTTGCACCCCCACGATAAACCCAGTGGCGATTGTAGTAATCCGATCTGCTAAAAAAATCACATGGAAGACAAATGCAGAGGCTACGTCTACACCATCGACATGTCTTCATCAAGCCCTTTTCTTTCTGGGTCGCACTGACTCTTCTGACTCCGAGGACGATGAGTTTTCCTCCTCCTCTTCTGAGGAGGAGGAATTTGCTTCTCCGCTGGACGAGGAACTGTTGCCGCTGTCTGACTCGCTACTTGAGGAAGACTCCACGACTTGCTTCCGCTGCACCTTCTTGCCCCGGGCTGCTGCTTGCTTGGCGGCGGCTTTAGTATTTTTCGCCGTAGAAGTCGTGCCCCCACCTCTTGTCGAGGCCCCTGCGGCGCGCCCTGGCTTGTTGGTGACGTCCTTTTTCGACGCTACCTGATTTTTGTCGCTGTCGGTCCCGGCACGCCCGGCGTCCGGATCTGCAATGGTGACGGCCACCTCCTTACCATCGATCCAGCCGCCGTGAAAACAATCCGCCGCCTGCTCCGCCTCCTTGAAGGTTGCCATCTTATGGATGTGTCAGGATTGAAATCGTCAAAGTTGAAATGGTTTGTCATGCATAAAATGCAAAGCATGAAGTGCCTGTGTTGCAGGGATGGCAAGTGAGGCCGATTGTGAGCCTGTTTAGGGTTTGGGACAGAGCTGCTAAAGTAGCATGACAAAAGCTATCTTCTGTGCCGAAGCAGCATGACAAACTGGATTTCGGCTCCAACCAAATTTGTCATGCGCCACTTGCAACCTGGGTTGCAACTGGCATCCATTTTATGCATGATAAATCATTTCAACTTTGTCGATTTCAAACCTGACGCTTCCATACATCTCGACGAGACCGTACCCGAGATTGACGTTGCATTTCTGGTCGCGCCCGATCAGTGCCCTTTTTACGGTTCCGTAGGCTTTGAAAATTTCGCGCAAGTGCGGCTCCTCCACGTTGCGGGACAGATTGCGGATGCGCAGTGTGCGGTCGCCGTTCTTAAACATGTCCTGTTGCGGACCACCCGCAGACGGCCGTCGCTTCTGCACGCTACGGCTACGCTCCCGGGCTGCTGGCCGGTCACGGTGAGCATTTCGATTCATCTTTTTTCTGTCGTTTCTGTCTTCCGAACAAAGTCGATTGTCTGAAAATTAACACCTTCGAATTTTGCGCTTATGCGTCTTCTGGAAAAATAGCAGGACGACACATTTAGTAGAATCCGAAGTAGCGCTGCGAAAGATTATAAGTATTTCCAATTCAGTTCTAGTTGTAGTTTCAAAATTTCTGTATACCACTGATCCGTTGACTGATTCCTGAAAACATGCAGCGAGATCACAAGAGGAAGTACTAGATTTTCGTGCTTTTTCATGGTAAATTTGATGTGACCGCTCCTTTCATTGAATCTGTGAACTACCGCCCGGTGGATTTTTCTTTTACTTTTGGAACAAGAACATGGTGATGGTCTGGATGAACAACTGCAAAAAACTCCAACAATCAACCACAAATAATGTTATCGTAAGAATTTAATTCTCGTCTTCTGGTTCTGCTTTAAGTTTTAGTTTTACCGGAAATCCATGGCTAATAATCACGAAACATTTTCTTCTTTGTGTTTTCTTTGCAGCGACGTACTTCTTTCTTTTATGTGTGTCGTCCACTGCAACTGCCGTGCCCGCGTTGCATCTTCGCGCGATTGAGCTTTAGCCGCAATCATCAATGTCGGCGCGTGCCGCCTAGAAGATGTACTACTTCTTGAGTTGTAAAGTAGGGGCCTTTAACAGGTCGAGGTTCAGGATTATCACGATAAATGCTACAGTGCTGTTGTCGTTATCTCATACTCGTTTCTTTGCCATTCGAGTCCATCAGATCCCAAGACAAGGAGAACCTCGCTCGATTGCGACGTTTCCGTTGCGATCCAATTCCAAAACATGAACTCGGAGAAATGAGTGTCGGGGTAACAGTTCAACATAATTTTAAATCGTCAACTGTCTGTCGACCACTGAGGCCCGAAACATACACTGATGGCGATGGCCAGACAAAAAGAAAACGACATCAAGCACAACAAGACACATATGGGCCTTGAATCGAAGCCTCTACTGCATCTCGCTCTTTGTGACAAAATCACCACAGGGAAAGGAGACGCGGGTGATCGCATTTGCACAAGCTTCGCATTCGCACACGATACAAAACAAAACTGCCCGATTGCGAAGTGCTGCATCAAGAAAACGCCAAATGCATAAGTGCCAGCTTGAGCCTTTGCAATCCAAAATAAATAAACCTTGAAATGAAAAACCATATACGAACTTTTGACATCGTACAAACTTTTACCCGAACCTACAGCATGCCGTACACCTTCGCAGACCGGTAGCGGGTGACCCATTAGCAATGACTGTGCATCATCGTGCTAGTGCTTAAAAAAATGAAAACGAACCGCCATAGAAGTTGCGCAAAACTCAAAAAAACGGTAAAAATTTTACTGGTGTCTGAGAAAGAAAAACGTGCTCTAGCTCTCGACCATTAGAATCGAACTCACTTCCGACATATCAAAACATGATGTAGTGGCAGGTACATCGTTCGCACCACGATAGCTAAAAAATAATTTTCTCTATATTTCTCGGCGCATATCCATATTTTTTGACCCACCACCTCGAGGGCCTAAATGCGCCGAACCTGTCAGCGATCATGCAGCTGCTCGTGCTCGTGCTAGCTCAGCACGTCTGGCCCAACAGCCCCGTTTTCACTTGCCAAGCTGGTTGCCGCAGCTGCATCGGCCCCAACCGTGGAGGACGGAGGTGCGGTGATGCTGTGCGCCGATCGCAGCTCTTGCTCCTCTGCATCAAGTCGATCTTGGTACCTAAGTTTCGATTTCAGTTGATCATAGATTTTGCGCGTTCGCGTTTGCATTTGCGTTCTCAACGAAATACATTTTCTTTGCATCCATATGAATGCCATTTCCTTCCCACTCATACTCCAGGTTGAAAAACAAAGATCCGAAAAATCCATCACCTGCAGATCGCGTCGAAGAGCTCGTTAATCGGCAGCTTGAATGACAGACCCAAATTCAGCACTGGCCTGTTGTCGTTCGACATGCCCACACTGCTGGGCCCGGTGTGCACAAAGGTTTTGATGTGTGCGACCGGTTCCGCTGACGCGGGCGGCTGGCTTGAGGACTGAGCAGGAGTCTTGATCTGGTTCGCGGAAGTTGTGGTCGCTGCCGCGCCACCACCAGCTGCCGGATCTTCTATTCTCCCCGGGTCCTGCTCTACCACCATGCGGTCTTCTTCCTGAACCTCCGGGTGGCTGGTTGCGCCCCCTGCTGCTCCGGTGGAGGAACTACTGGAGGAGGAACCACTACTAGGCGTTGGCGATTTTGTCGACCCGGTCTTAGAAGAAGTTTTTGCGCCAGGACCTGCACCGGTTGCCTGCTGTGAAGATAGTTTCTTCTCCCCCACGTTGCAGGCTTGTCCATCCGTTGCCGGTGCCGGATCGTTCGCAGCAGTAGTAGAGGAGTCCACCACTACTCCGGAGGCCGACGCGCCACCTTCCTCCGCTTCGACTGCCATCGATCCGGAGGGCACGGGGAGCTGCTCTTGTCCTGCTCCGCTTTCGACTTGAGGCCGGGACGACATGCTAACGTCAGTTGTCTCAGCAGAAGTGGAGTTAGGTGCAATGGCACTAGACGACATGCCTTTGCTCGGATGGCGCGCAATACCAGACGGAGCTAGTCCTAGTTCTGCAGTGGCGACAATGACAAATCTCGTCCACCCGCTCCATGCATTCATTAACCAACAATTCCAATCTCACCCTGCTCCTCAAACAAATCGCACAACAAGAAACAAAGCGATCACACTCAAAGCCAAGATGATGAGCAACAAAATCAGCTCTCCCACAACTCCAGCTCTATGATGTATCTTCCCGCTTCGCAACTAAGTACTTTTGCAACACCGTGCCCGCACGTTCTAGATAAATACTTTTAAAGCACATCCACGAACACGCTTGTAGGCGTCGTGGTTGCGTGCAGCACCAGATTAGCTCTAGAAGAATATTCGACTACTTTTTCCACACAAAAACCGTTGTCGTCAATACCAGGAAAGTATCCAAAGAGTGGCGCAATCGATTGCAACAGTTCACCAATAGTGCCAAAATCGTAGCTCCTTTTCCTGCTATGCTGTAGTGTGTTTGATCTACCACTACTTGTGAGAGGCTGTATTTTTACGGGTAAACGTTCAATATCTACGCCTTTTTGGTTTCGTATTATTCTACCTTCCTGCCCGAAGAAGTTTCGGCAGTCCGATCGCGAAAAAATCTGCGACAAGGACTTTCCGTGTCCCCAGCCCCGCGGCTGCAGTTGAATTCGCGCAGCGTGTTGGAACGAGTCGGACTCGCGCGCGGCTTGGATCGAAAAGGTCCGATTTTTAAAATCTTTGGGGTGGTCGCTAGTATGGTCCATGTAGTTGTTCTCGGGCCTTGTCTTGATCCCTAAAGCATTAACCAGCGCAACGATACTCTCGCCTGGAAACTTTCGAAAGTCTTCGTAGCGGAGGACCGGAATAGTAGAGCTTGCTCCTCTAAAAGCTGAAGACTCTCCTTCTCCTCCAGCAGCTTCAGGTGGCGATTCGAGAAGCGGCTGCAGCACCCTTACTTCCGGCCGGAGTCGGAGTCCCAGGGCCTCTCTCTGTGTCGTCTCATCTCCCTTTTCGTCATCGTGGGCTTGATTTGCCTGTGATCCTGGTCCTGACTTCCGACGTGTTTGCAGTTGCGCGTACACGGATGCAGAGGCAGGGGCAGCAGAGGCCGCTGACGTTGGAGTCAATTCTCCGGAAGCTGCCTCCACGAGCGGAAGCGCAAAATCAATCCATCTTGATACGAACCCGGCGACGCAGGAGTTCTGGGGCACATTCTTTTGTTTTAGCGCCACGACAGTGCCTTCTCGCTCCCCTTCCGGTGACCTACCTAGGTGAAGATCGGTAACAGCAACTCGTCCTCCTGCACCATCTGTATCAACAACATCAAGCCCTGGAGAAACAACACCACGCCACCTATCTCCACTCGCCAGGAGCGAAATCTGTTGCCTCGTTTCGTTGACGATGGCGTGCCAGGTTTCGTGTTCAATGTTGAGTAACAAATCGTGGTACAAGCGGCAGTTCTCCGCCCCGGACTTCGATTTCCCGAGGTGCCGCTCCGCAAATTTCTTCACAAAGCTTTCCCACCGCATCCGGCCCTGGTGTTCCAGGTCAAACCGCAGCTGCACGTCCCGTAGATCGTACTGCGTCATAATGTCGACTTGGTGCCGCTTCCGCTCGGTCTTGTGATCTTGCAGGTAGTCTTCGGACTCTACCTCTGACGTTGCGGTGGTTTTTCCCACAAGTTTCACACCTTGCCCGTCATGCAGCTCCACTTGTTGCGACGACGTCCCCTCTCGAGCTGCAGGGGCACTACTTCCACCACCTCCGACGCTTTTCTCTTCCTCTTCGTCGCGTCTCTGCTGCTCCATGCGCACCCGTCTAAGGCGCTCCGGGTCAATGCCGACGGATATCAAAAGCTGCGGCTCCAGTGGCTCGTTCATCACCTCTTCCCAGGCCTCTTCCATCACGGCCGTTTGGTCGTTCAGGTTCGTCTTCGCAATGTACTGCTGCCACAAATCCGGTCGCTTGTCATGTAACAGCAGCGTCATCAGTGTGCCCGCCATGGTCTGTTTCTGCGCGTCCCCGCCAAGGTGAGCCAGGCGGTCGAGCAGGGAGCGCGTGTTCTGCAAGGGCGAGCGGATCACGTGGTAGAATTTGCTTGAGGGACAGACCTGCTGGAACCGGGGAAGGTGCGGGAGAATGGAGGGGACCTTCAAAATTGTTAGATGTTGCTCAACATTTTCGTCTTGGGCTGGCGTTGAAGGAGCTTTTGTTCGTTCAGTTTCTTCTGTTCTTTTCACGAGCACCAGGCTTTCCTTTGCTTTATCCCGACGAGTAGCATCCAGTTCCGCGAGGCTATCCTCCCTCCCAAGCCGCCGGTCGTCGCGCCTTCTCGCCTGGCGCAACCTCGCACAGATCTCCCAGTCGCTCAACGGGTGCGAAAAATTTGTCCTCCCCCGATGTTGCCGGATGAAGTCGATCTCTGGTGGGTCCACGAGAAGCGAAATGTCCTCGCTCTTCCATTTTCCCACCTCCTGCAAGAGAAAATTCACCGCGTGCGCGACAGCGGTGGTGCCGGTTTTTTGGTTCCCGAGACCGATGATGGAGGGGCACCAGGTACAGGTATGTGAAGGAGCGATGCTGTCGTGGCGAGACGATTCCTCTTGTTCCCGACCAACTTTGCTGATGGAGGCTGCGCTTCCACACGCATTCAGTAAAAGAGAGCCCAGACCCACTAGAAGTGGCAGCAAATCAATTAACATGAACATCTTTTTTCCTCACAACAAAACTAGATTCTGAGTCTGACCCACACTGCGATCTAGATCACCGATCCGTCTGCGCGATCGCATTTCTGTGCCTTTCCCTTTCTATTTGAGGTCCCGTGCCTCTTTACATGTATCTCAAGGTCCGACGACAAGAACAAATTGAAAACCGTGATCGCGTCTCCACAAAGGCGGAGGCCAGCAAAACAGAACACTCTCTCGCAGAACAATTCATTGCCGTACCGTTTTATTTCGACACATCGAGATTGTGAGAAGGGCCCGATTCTGCTACGTTGCATCGTCGTACAACCATCAAATGAGGGACTTCGAAAAAGGCGGCGTGCTTTTTCAATGTTGGTTCTACGCTGGAACTCGTCCTCAACATTTACGTAGTAATCCATTTGCCAGCCTTTCACACTGCTTCTGGGAGCTGGCGTATCAGTCGTCGTGGATTGAAATTCATTCGAAAGGTCAGTGCGTGTTGGAGGTTCCACAATCAAGAACCTTTTCGATAACGATAACTGCTGACGCATCTCACCACGATCTGAATCACTTTGAATTTTCTCGCGGTCTTCACATGCAGATACTAAGCGGCTATCCTCGTTTCCAGTAACGGTATTTGTGGCATGAATGCCCAGCTCGTGCGCGATGACATCTTTTGGAAAAATGTACATTCCACGAAGTTGCCCCGTGAGTTCATCGCCATGGAACGCGCACACGAAGTCAATGGTTTGTAGTTCGGGGAGAGTCAGAGGACGTTCACGTGCGCTTCCCTGACACGAAGCAAAGCGAATTCTGCGAGTTCGAATCCCCGTACGAAATTCGGCAGTGCGGTGTAGCACACGGAGTCCACCAATCAAACTATTGTGACGGACATCTCTGTGGCCGAGCGGGAAGGTTAACTCCAGACCAGCGGGCGTGTACAATTTTTCTTCAGCCTCCAGAAGCATCTGATTGTAAATGCGGAGACTCGAGATGTTACGCTGTCTGCTCGCAATTCGTATGAACCAATCACGAGGAGAAAACTGGGGTTGTGTCAACCAGTCCTGCCGAAGCATATCAGCGATTGACTCAGCGCTTTGCCCGTCATCGTGAACGCTGAACGCAAGATCGCGTGGCTTCGTATTGATCGGCACATTTTCAGATGTGAAAAGCTTCGCGAAGCCCGTATGTACGTAAACTTGAGGTACGCCGTGAACATTCCTGCAGTAGGAAAACCTTAGTCTGGTCCGACCCCGACGAACTTCACCCTCGCGGTCTGACGTCCGCAGAGACACCACCCGCCAGAGGGGTTCGCTACTAGTATTCCCGTTGTCAGCAGGTGAAATTTCGTCGGTGGAATTTGATGTCGCAACACGAAAAAGAGCATGCTGGCCGAAGTGGCCGGGCAACCCACGGAAACGAAGCTCGGGCGCGACAGCGGTTATCTCGCGACAGAAATAGTGGAGCCCCTCTGCTCGAGAGAAGAATACTTGTCGCCTCTTGTCATACTCCTCATTCGTCGTTGCCGGGAAACGCTTCTGCTTGATTTCCACGACCGAAGCAAAAAGACGAGGACAAGGCACTGCTCTCGTTCCCGCTGCGGAACGACGCGCGAACAGAGGGGCGGTGCCAGTCCCAATCATAGGCACATACAACATCCTTCTGATAGAAGTTCTAATAGAGTTCACACAACGCAAACAAGTGCAACACTCTTTAGTTATCCCTCGACAACTCAAAAATCGCTTTGCTTTTGTGGTTGTCCTGGCAGCGCCATGTCGATGTAGTTCTTTTAGCGAAATAGGATTCCACCCCTCTCATCACAATCACATCTTTCTTGTTCGTACAAATTGCAATTGAACCCGGAGCCAAGCGGCACGACAACTAGCAATCAATATCTATCACACAATTCCTCGAATATCGTTCGTGTTACAAACACAAACGCGGTTGCAGCCAACCATCAACAAAATGAATCTAGGTGGTCCAACTCCGAGAAAAAATGTGATTTGTTGAAGATTGCGGAATCCTCAACAAGGCGTTTCCTTTTGTTTCTCGGATTCAAGTTCACGGAGGCGTCCTCTGAAACAACGTTTTTTCAGTTTCTGTGACTTGCGAAAAGGCTTCACTTCCTCCGGTCTCCAAGCAGTAGCTTAGACCGCCATTCGCTACCCCACAACATCTCGTCGTCGCCCCCTCCGCCTCCGCAGCCTGGCTGCATTTCGTAAACGAGACTTTTTTCAGTTTTCGTTGCTGAAAAAAGGGCCCAGTAACAGCATCAATACCAGCACCCTCAGCACCCGCGACACTCTTCTTCGTCCTTACCCACCACTTCGGTTCGCCGCCGAAATGGGCTTTGCGCGAACAGAACAGGCCACTTGCGTTCGGCACTCGGTCGTAGTCCTCAACAAAGGAGGAAAAGCCATTGACCGCCGCAGCGGTGCACTTGACACGTAACGTCCCCATGGGGTGGATCTTGTACTTCGTTTTATTTCCGCCCGGGTCCTTGTTCCTTCCGGACGTCTCGCCACTTGCGGTGCTCCTCTCGAAATCGTCCAGCGCCTCCTTCGCTAATTGGTCCTCCGGAACGGCGTTGCCCGCTTCGTCTACCAACCGACTCGTTGCGTTCGCACTTGGGCTTGGTTCTGTTTCTCTTTGTGTCGCTTCGATCGACGCCATATCTCTCTCGACGACGACCGTGAGCACGTCGCACGAGAATCGCCACATGCTCAGGTCGTCTTCTTCGGTCATGACGCGGACGCAGAAGGTCACAACCTCGCCAATCTGCCATCCGAAATGCCGCCACAACTTCTGGCCGGTACCCTCGCCACCGAAGGGCTCGGAATACACCGACGGGCCCGCGTTCACCACTGCCACGTCCCCCTCCCGCTGGTCCCAGACCGAGAAAATGGCAATCTTCTCACCGTTCTCGCGCTCTTGGATCCCACAGTAGCCGGCAGGTGGGAACTGCACCACACAGAAGTAGGTGCAACGAGCGGAATGCTCGACGGTGACGGACTGCAACAGGGCCATCTCCAGGTTTTTCGGCTTCGTGTCTAGAACCACTGGAGCCGTACTCGTGCTGTTACCGGCCTTGCTTTCCTCGTCTTGCTCTCCTGCTCCTACCTCAACCGCGACGTCGGTCGTATTTGCTCCTCCTGAAAGCAGCTCCGGCATCGGTCCAAATGCGTAATGCAGATGGCAGGACGCGGCGGGGCGGCACTGGTACGTCATCTGTTCCGCCTCGTCCTGGCCTTCTCCTTCTCCGTCTTCTGGGTTCGACTGGGAGCCAGACTGTCGCTGGCGCTTTTGACCTGAGTCTGCCGCTGAATCGCTCGCACCGTGGCGTTTGGAGCTCGATGCTCCCCCACCACAGCAAAAAAAACTTGAGGAACCTGAAGCTGGCATGATCGGGTATCTTTTTCGTTAGCGTATACTAATCTCGGAAGATCGAATGTTTATTTCTTCAGAAGGTTAACGCTTTTGGTTTTGATGTGATCACCTCTCTTTGAAACCCCTTTTTGATGCACATCGTTCTCGCCCCCCGGATCTTCGGCCTACTGTTCATTGATATTCTTCACACAACCCAGGACCCGATTCGTTTTTGATTTAGCCTGAGGAGCGGGAGAAAGAGTACACCGAACCAGCACTCTGAAGCAAGCTGGACCCAACGACGACGAAGCAGATTTAGTTTTGGAACTGGATTTGGAATAAGTGCTACATGTTCGGTACTTACGCTCACACAGAGCTACCGACGGAACAGCAGCCAAACTCTCCTTTTTTAATCCGGAACAATGTTCGTTCCCCTTTGGCTACAAGTACAAAATCGTTTCTTCGTGAAAAATACATAAATTTATTTCGTTCCTTGCTACAAATCATTCAAATTCAAAGTACACGTACAATTGTTACAAACAAGCCGAGGCCAGGCACACCGGCACAAAAATTTTGCACGGCGTTCGAAGTAGTCGGGATTTCAGTAGTACGTACTCTTGACCTTGAGGAGCTTGAGCAAGAGTTACGGAATACATGTTCCAAACACGAGTCGTATCCAGGAGCGCGACAAGTGTCTGCTCACCACCTTCTACTTACCACTGTTGACACCTGAGGAGCAGGTAGAGGGCGAAGAACGTGCAGGCTGCGGCGCAGTTTCCGTCGGTGGGGTCCTCCAGCGCGACGTGCATTTCGTACCCAGTCTTGCGCATGCAGTGCATCTTTTGCAGTCGCTTCGCCTCCACGGACATCAGGGTTCGCAGGTAGTCCTCGTTCAACAGCGGATCGTCCACCCTCGTTTCCACGTCGTTGCAACACACCAGTTGGCCGATGACCGGAAACTGCTGCCGCTGCCCGTACTGGTCGTCGAAATCGAAGTACTGCGAGCCGCAGTCCACAATGGCGCAGTGGAAGAGCCAGGTTCGACTGTGCCGCTCGTCCTCGATCTCCTCAAAAGACGGCCCGCTCCCGCACGCGCAGCAGCCCGGCTCGAGAATCTGGTAATTCGCGAGTTTCGGGTTGAACTGCACGTTCTGCAGTCGGAAATACGGCTTGTTGGTGCCGAAATCGAAGCACGCCAGGTTCACCAGCGGCTGGTTCGGGAGAAAGTACGCCACGTTCTCGTGGTTCCACCGGGCGAGGTAGCGGTTGTTCACCACGTTCGGCGGGGCCTTCGGCGTGGTGGCCCGCTCCGAGTAGCTGGAGGAGACGAAATCGAGTAACGCCACTGCTTCGGGCGTCTCGAAGCTTATCGGCGGCCCAGCGACCGCACTTCTCCGCATCGATGACCGGTTCATCATGGTGGATTGATGTGAACGTATACTTCCTCCCTGGGTGCCGCGAACACCGGAAATGGACTGTGTGGACCGCGCGGATGATACAGCGGAGTCCGCCGGCGTCGTGAGGAGCGAGCTTTCCCCCTCTTTGAACATGGACAACACCCCCTGGCCGGGGCCCAGCCGCAGCTCCGCCCCGCGGTTCGAGAGCTCGAAATGCAGCAGACTGCGCGTGTACTGATCCGCGTAAAACGCGACATCCGTCCCGTTCGGCGTGAACCGGCTGGACACCCGCAGAATGTAGGAATCGTTCGCGGGGATCGCCATTTCGTGGTCGAAAAACGTTTTTTTCATTTTCAGCTCCCCCTCCAGGTGCACGCTGGCGTGGACGGAGTGGATCTGCTGCTCCTTCCGGTGACCGCGCCCGGGCTTCTCCGGCTTCTTCTTCGCCCCGGGGACAAGCGGTTTCTTCTCTTCCTTCTTCTCCTCCTCCCCGCCCCCACCCCCAAACAGGTTCCCGAACCAGGCCCCCACCTTCTCCACGACCGACGGCGCGTTGCGCTCCGCCTCATCCGCCTTATCTTCGACGGCCTGCAACTTGTTCACGCCGAGCTGCCCGGCGCCCCCCGGTCCGGCGGACATCAAGTTGGACTCCAGGCCGCCGCCCTGCACACCTCCAACGCCAGCAGCCCCGCCGTAATCGTCTTGATCGTGCCCTAGCTCCATGGAAAACGGTCCCCCGCCGCTGGAGAAGAGATCCGGGTGCTGTCCGGTGCGTATCATCGACAGCCGCTTCTCTTTCGTGCCCGCCGGGAGCTGCAACAACCGCATGTCATTCTCCTTTTCTGGAGGCTGGTACCCCTGTGTTGCCGCCTGGTCAAACAGCTGCATGAACTCATTTCTTTCCGGTGCTTGGTCAACAAACTGCCCGTATTTCGACCCCTTTCCACCCTTTGATCCGTGGTGCTTCGACGACGAGGACCCTTTCATATTCATCCCGTGACCCTGCATGTGCTGCTTTTTGCGGCTGCCGGCGGCAAGCAGCTCGGCGGGCGTTTCCCCCTCCGCGGGCCTTCGGCTCGTGCGGCGTTTGCTGGAAGTGGAAAGCGCTCCTTGCTGAACCTGCGTCGGGGTGGTGTTTGAAGTTCCTGTGATGGGAAAACCCGCGTCCTCGTCCTCTTCCGCCACGTTGATAAAGTCAGCGATATCTGGCTCCCTTTCATCGTCCAGAGTTGTTCGTCCACTGGCACTAATACCTTTATTTGCTAGAGCATTAGCAGGAGTTCCATCTCGGACAATGCTGGGAGCGCCACCACCGGCGCCACGCTTTCTCTCTTCCATCTCCTGTCGCAAATGCTGCTTTCGCCTGTTTGCGCGCTCGCGCCGTGCCTGCAAAGCTGCGTCATGGGCTTGTTCCTCCTGCTGGACAACGTCGGTATCAATGTCCTCTGCTTCTTTTGGTATCAGGTGCATCGACTCATCATCATTCCCGCCAACTCCAACAACGGCAGGCGTGCCATCGTCCTCATCATCTTCGTCCTCGTCTTCGACACCGACCTTCGCAGCCCGGCCTTGGTTTCGGGCGGCGGCGGGTGTTTTTTTCGCACCAAACGGTTTCTTGCGGATGCGCTGCTTCGGCTGGCTGCGCTGCCGGGACCCTGTTGCAGATCTTTCCTCGTCGTTCCGAACCGGAATGACGACGTGGTCCTCGAACGTCTCTGCGTCTTTGCGGAATGCCTCCTCAAGTGCGCTGTCGCGAACACCAGTTTCGGCTGCATCAGCCATTGTTTTAGTCGTTCGCACTGTTCCCACGCAAATCACCTGAGCTTTCCAAAAGGAGGCAGCTTAGGACCAAGTTGAAAGGATAAGGAAGAAGAGTACTAGAGGAGTCTGCAATACTTAGGCTGCAATCGCTCGGAGAAATCAAAATGAAGATACTACAATGACAACATGGTCGTAGACGACTTCTTCAAATCGACAAACGATAGCCTTTCAGCGACAGTGGTTCAGCGGGTTTACGATGTGACGGCGAACAGGCGACGAACACGATATGGATATCGAGATCGACAAATGCAAAAAATAAAATTTTGTTTCGCATGTTAGGTGACGACAGAGACTCTACGACACAGACGATCGAACGAGGAGGCTGATCATCGATTTTAGCTTACACTTGACTGGGAGGATAACGATGAAGACAATCATGAGATAGAAACGACACACAAGATGCACATGACAATAACGAAGCGAGGAGGCTCTGGATCTCTATAACGAACACGAACGCGAAGTAGTAGCACCGCGTTCTGCTCAACGACACACGGACAAGCGTTGCAGCTGCTCGGTATCATGGCAGGTCCGCGATATCCGTTGTCGTTCTTGCGTCGCAACAAACGAAACGATCCTTACGATGGATGCGGCCAAGTGAGCATGTGGATTTGCTTCGTTTTATCTTTAACAGAGCGGATGTTTCATGATCAGGTCACCGACCACGCAGATTGCGTCCGCCTCGATCGGTGATCTTCTTCATCATCTTTGTTTCTTGTTCTGCTCCAGCTTCGGCTCCGCCACTCGTCTCCTGCTGCTGCTTGGTGGAGGCCGAAACGTCAGCCCCGTTTGTATCTTCCGCACTTGCTTTTACACTTTCCGCCCCCAAGAACTGCTCGTCGTCAGACCACACGACCACCTCCTCTGTCTGCAATTTCCGACTCTCTCCCCTTGCGGGCTGCGTTTGGAGCGCGGAGGCAACTGATGCTGCCGCTACAGAACTTTCATCTTGCAGTGCCCTGTGGTCCAGAACCTTGTCCACGTAGCGGTGCTGGTGCTCTTTTGCAGTCGCGGTGCTGGTGTTCTCATGCTCCCCACGACTTTGCTCATGTTTCGACGTGTCGGTGGATTTTTTCCAGTTCGTGTTCATGCTGTTAGTCATTTCTTCATCCCCGCCCACTTGTTCATCCTCTAGTATCCGCGCTTGCAATAGAGCTGACCACTTAGTATCCTCTTCATCTGAGTCGAAAGTCCCGGCCGGGTATCCGCCACGTCGCCGGCTGGGAATGGACGCGAGCAATGCAGACGAAGTGTCGGTAGTAGAAGCGGTGGTGGTGCTGATGTCACTGGGCACAGCCACAGGAGACGCTTCTGTCTGTTTGGTTTCTTTTTCGCCCCACTTCTGCTCCACTTCCTCTTCTTCCTTGCGTTCCTCAAGATCCTGCTGCTTCCTTTTCTCCTCGCGCTTTGCCCGTTCCGCCTGATAGGCCTCTTTGTCCTTTTTGCTCTTCTTCTCCCGCACCGTGGACACCACGCGGGACACCAGCGGTGCACTAGCAGCGGCGACACCGCCAACCACCGCGACCCCGGCGACGGGTTTGCCGATCTGGTTCACGGCGTCGAATTCGTACCACCCACCCGGGTGTCGATCCCGGATCACTTCTTCCAGAATCTTTGACCTCCCACCCGACTCCATCAGCGTCTGCTGTGCCGCTGCACCCCCGTGCTCCTTCGCGTACTCATGATACCAATCGGTTGCCTCAACTTCCGCGGTGGAAAGCTGGCCGTCGTGATCCTTGTCCGCCAGCATCAGCTTGACCCTTTCCGCCGCAGACATTTTGTCCCAAGCGTTGGTAGAAAGGAAACTCCAATTTGGACTGGCGAGCGCCTTCGCTGCGTCCTTGCCACTTCCCCCGCCGCTGGGACTCACGCCCTCTGTACCCCCCAAGGCGTACTCATGCACGAGCTGCAAATCGGCGCGCGACAACTCCCCCTTCTCATCGCGTAGGCTGTTGAAGTACTCTTTCTCGCCCGGGTCCAGGTTGCGGATCGCATCCAGCTGGTGGTCCATGCGATCCTCATTCTCTTCGACTTCCAAGCGTCGCAGGTCTTCCGGGGAAAGTGTCTGGTCCCGCGGTAAAGCGTCTAGGGCCAGGTGCTCCAGATGATGTATGTTATGGTGGTTGGTGAACATCCTGCGCCTCCTGGTTTCGGAAGCTAGCATGTTGTGCCACTCTGCTTTGTCCTCGAGATCCCGCCACATGCCGCTGTCCTCCGACTCACGCTGCAGTTTGTCCAGCTCCCACTGGTCCAAGCCGTCGGCCGCGTTCACGGACGGGACCTTTGCAGCGGAAGCCCGGAGAGAGAGGTGCTTCACGGGATAGGCTTGCTGGATCTGCTGCTCGAGGCTGACGTGATTCTCATCCCTAGCAATCGCTGCACTGCTTGCCGCGGCCGCGCGATCCTTCTCCGCGCCAACGAACTCCATGTCGTGGTTCGTGTCAAGGGTCCGGATGATTTTGCTTTTCTCCTCCAGCGGCAGCTCGTTGTAGTGCTCCACTTCTCGCGCAGCGTTCTGGTCCGCGATAACAAAGTGCGCCAGTGCGGCTTGCTTCTCGGTCACGCCCGCATCTTCAATCAGATTTTTCCCGCCATCTCCCGCCCCGGCAGCCTCCGCCCCCACGCCGGCTTCGTCGATCGCTCTTGACGGGCTGTTGACTTGCTCCACGATTGCAGCGGCTTCGCTGGGCTCGTAGCTCGAAGCCACATTAGTTTGGTAGTCGTGCAGTTCCTCCGTACTCACCTGTCCATCGGCCAACGGATCAGGAAGGGTGTTGGTGAGGAAATCATTCCAGGCCGGATTCTCTTCGACATTCAGACTTTCCAGCTCTTTAGCGTCAAGAACACCGCCCGTCTCCATCGCATCCGACACGGCATGGCCCGACTGCTCCATCGCCGCTTCTACCGCTTCCTGTATCTCCTCCACGACGTCGATTGCCGCGATTGTGGAGGAGCAGTAGAGTGCCAGCAAAAGAAGAATAGCAAACCTCGTCGCGCCCCCTGCCATTTTTGATGCAGTAACTCTCTACCTCTATTACGATGTCTCGCTTCTATCTTCGCGGAAATCGCGCAAACAGAGAACAACGAAGATACACTCACATACACGAGTACGGAGGTTTCTCTGTTGAATTTACGTGACCTATGGATGAAATTGGAGTCGCTCCTAAATACGCATCAACACCAATCGCAATCACCAGGACAGCATAATAATAAGACGATACAGGCGATGCCGCATCAAAGCCCTCTTGCTTTTCCCTTTTTTACGAAGACTGAAAAGTTTGCACCCCGACACTTTCATCCTCTCGCCTTGCATTTGTTTACGACAATGTCATGATCGTCTTCGCAATTTATTACCATTACTTAGGTCTGCTGCTACTTATTCACACGTACACGACAGCACTGAATACGATTGAGACACTCAGCACCATACGAAAGCCGAAACGCCGTCGCCGATATCCGTCAACTCATCGAGAAAGAGGAATAGAGAAAATTGAAAAAAATTTCAAGGCATCACATTGACACTCTTGTAACTTTCTTTATGACGACAGAACTAAACACGATGGCAGATGAACATGAATCTGGATGCGGTAAACCCTGGACTTTCTTCATTTTGTTTTTGTACGCAAAGGAACGCGGCGATGCACGAACCACCATGTCCCCTGACACACAGCGAAGGAATCCCTCGAACCCAATGATCATATTCGGAACCAGTACGAGCAGCTCAAGCTGAACACGCAGCGAAAATTGGGCTACGCGGAAACGAAACTACTTCGTCGGAGTGCTCGACTGTTTTCATACCAGAAAACGTTGCGGCTTGTCTTTGTTTATCCTTGCGCACACCAGACTCAGACTGTCCTTTCCCAAACAAACCTTTGCACTGGTAATTTTCTCAGATCGACGGTCACGCTGACAGGCGGAATCAGGGGGAGGTGATAGATTTCTTCATCGTTCCTACTCGTGCTGCTATTTAGCTTTTTGTTCCCGCCTTGCTTACCACTGTAATCAACGGTCCCAACAGCGTTCCGCAGCCAGAAGTATTCGTAATCCCAATTGCTTCGGTTCGCTGCACAGAACCAGAGCGGCGAGTCTCGATACGGCCGGATCTGCACAATTGTCTCTCCACCTTTCGCTCCAATCGTCCAGGGCTCTCTGGCGCAGTCGGGCCCGAACTTCTCAAGAATCCTTTTCAATTCCGGCACCCAAAACAGTGTATGCTCCAGTTCGGGATCGTGCACAATGGGCCAAACGACACACTCCAAGGTGCTCAAATGTGGCACGAAATTCTGATCATCTGCAGAACTTGAACTGCTTCTACTTCTTGCCTCCCTCTTTTTACTTTGCTCCTTGAATTTTCTACGCGTCGCAGCGAGACACGGACGGGGCAAGATTCGGTACGCCCAGTTCCCCCAGTTCGCGTCCGGCGTGTAATCGATTAAAGTGGCCTCGAAGTGCTCCGCCCCGAATCGCCAGTCGATCTCCAGATCGCGCACCAAAAACGAAGCGCAGCACTGCCGGTGCAGGTGCGACAGGTACCCGGTTTTGAGTAATTCGCGCATCCCCGCATCCACGAAGGGAAAGCCAGTTTCGCCTACTTGCCACTTGCGAAACAGTTCCTGCGTCTCGGGTTTTGCTCTCGCCCGCCAGAAAATGTCGGCCTTCTCCAACCCCATCGGCCCCTCGAGGCAGAAAAGTTTCTTTTTCCACAAAAAGTACGCGGAAAACCGGAGAAAGTCGCGAAAGAGGAGCTCCGTGTGCAGCCGCTGCGCAGTTGACCCTGATGTTTTTCCAGCAGACCCTTTGCCTGTACTATTTCCTTTGCCTTTCTTTCCACCTCCTTTCGTCGGCCGGTAAAAGCCGCCGAATCTTTTCTCGCAGTCGTACGCTTTCTTCACAATCATCCGGGCGGACACATTGCCGAACGCCAGCCAGGGACTGAAGCGCGTGCCAGAGAAGATGGGATTGTGGTCAGCCCCGTGGGCGAACGATTCCGTCGCACCGCAGTAATTCCACAAATTGTCACCGGTTTTGAAAAAGTCTTCCAAATACTGCTGGGCCATACTTTCGCCGCCGCGCCAACGGTGCTCGAAGGAATTCTGCAGGGTGTAGGGAGCAGCTGGGCCGATCACCGAAGTAGGGGCGGTCGCGCCGTCAGTTTCTGCTTTGTTGTTCCCTCCTGCTCGTCCACGTAAAAGCCTCTGCAAATATACCTGTCGATCTGGTGCGAGGGCCTTTTTGAAAATCCTATGCACTCTGTCTTCGAAAGCGCTCCTGTCGACGTAAAACTGTTTGAGCGATGGGCGGAACTCCGAGTCTTTCGAAAACAGCAGCACTTCCCGTATCGGCCGTTTCTTGGCCATTTTGTTAAACTCGCCCTTGAACAGGGGCATCATGTCAGACTCGGTTTCCGGGTTGAAACCGAGGTCCTGGATGTGGTGCACTGTCTGACCGCCCCAGTAAGTTCGCCACGTGAAAGGGATCCGAATCGTACCTGCTGGAGCTGCTGCAACAGTGCCTGCGTTATTAAGGGCGTTCAAGGAAGCGCGCACGGCCTGCTCAGTTTTCACCTCTTCTGTACACAATTCTTGATGGGTCACTAGGTGGAAAGCGGTGGACGGCGGGGCCACGTTCTTTCTCTGCTTGAGAAAAAACTCACCGAACCAATTTGCCACGGCTTCCGATTTCTCTTTGCGCCATCTTCTCTGCCCCGGTAAAATCTGGCGGTCTGCATTCTTCACCCCAATTATATCCTCCTCGTCTTCTCTTGCCATTGGTGTCATCTGCTTGCGTAGAGGCGGCTGCTCCGTGGAGGACGATGAAAGAACGGCAGCGCTTGCAGTGACCAGAAGCGATCCACTAACTTCTGCATCACCATCATCCTCGTCACCACCGACAACTTCGACATGGAGAAATTGCGGACACGTGTTCGCACCCCCGTCTACAACTTTTGCCTTCCGCAGGCTCGCGTCCAGATCCAAAACGCTTTCCAGCCAGAAACGAGCCCGAAGCGGAGAACAGCGGGGAAGATTTGCTTGCTCGCTCCGCCCATAGAGCAAGTCGTGCTCAATCAGGTGGACATGTAAAACAGCATCGAAAGTTGATGCTTTATTGTTTCTGTCTTCCATATTACCCATTCTAGGTGACGCCCGATGTGCATGCCACGCCGGCTCGTGGTCCTGCAGTCGCAAATCGCTCCACTTGTGCCAAACAATAGCGACATTCTTTTCTCCACCTCCTTCCGTAGGAATCGATACCCCAATCGCGGCGGACTCAGCTCTGTCGGGGGGCTGAAAAGAGGAACGACTTCCAGCTGAGGAAGGCTGCGCCGCATTTCTTTGTGTGAAATTTGTCTCGTCGTTTTTGCCCGTTTGTGCGCTGCTGGAGGTGTCGTCTTTCTTCCTCCAACGAAGACCACGACCAGGCGGCATGATGAGGAATGAAAACTATTTTGCGGATAGCGGCTGCGGCAACCCATACATCACTAGCTTGTCAAAGTGGTCATTAAGTCAGGATCGGAATCGGCCACGAGGCAAGAAGTTTGTCAGTTAGGAAGAGCCGTACTTGGTGGCTGGATGAAGGTAAGTGGGGTCCTGGTACGAACATGCATGGCCTTCAAGCGGATGAGATTACAACCATTCTTTTGACTTTGATCCAACTACTACCGAGAGCGAAAGAAGACTATGGATGTGGATCATCTGTTATTTACATCTTCCGACATACGTATTCAAATTCAGAACTAACACCAGGGTCTGTCTTTGCAAAACAACTGCTTGCTTCAACGACAGAATTGCATGTAATGACACGCTTGCTGGAAAATTCCTTTCGTACGCGTAGATCTGTGCAGGTTCCGTTGATGTAACACAAAAACAATTTCTGAAACTAGCGGCCTCTGTATTTTTACGCCATAGGAATGGGAATGACACTAGACCAAAAACCGCATGCAAAATTGAAAGGGAAAAAAGCTCGAAAGTTAGTAGGATTGATCAAGTATGGGATGCATATACGCGTAAAGATAAAGAGATGTAGATAGGCATAGATACTTGAAGAACTTTCACCTAGTTATGTACAGGCTAAGAAAAGATGAAGTCGAGGACCTATGCACGACTTGATAACATTGACGTACGTAACTGTTTGTTAGATCTTTACTCTATCGCCTGCATTAAAGCTGGCAACGAATACCAATCGTGCGAGCCCTTCTTGTTGTGTGCAAACATCCTACAAGGCAGCTGAGACCTTCGAAAAAAGCAGGAAATAAACCTTCTCTATGCACTGAAGACGAGTAAAACTGAACGTGTTCTTACTTCTATTTACTTAGGATGAAAAATTCAACTCTTAGTCTTACAACTCAACAAAAGTGGCCGAACGCTGTAACTCGTCGCCACCTCCAGCACCGCTGTTCACGTCAATCACGGTACTTTGCTTCTTTGGTTTTCTCATGCGGGCAATGCCAGATGTCATCTCGCCGCCCTAGGCGTCCTGGTATTCATATGCTCGCGAGGAGGAGCCCCCGGCCGCTGCAGCTTATGACAGTGCACAACTCCCCCTCCCCCTCATTTGTGATGCAAAAACCCAAATCCACATCTTGTCTGTAAGCACAGTTAGCATGACAAATCTTGGAGCCACAAACAGAACTACAATCCGTGTGCAGGTTTGTCATGCGCAGGCTCCATTTGAGCTGGTGTCTGAATTGCTGCTCATACCATACAATTGAGGGGGAGGGGGAGTTGTGCAATCTCATACAGCTGCTGCCAAGCTTCGCAAGTCCGCACCGCCCACACGGTCCATGACTTTTCGCCAGTTGGAAGAAACCTGGCGGCCACCGGTCTGCTTGCGCTGCCCGCGTTGGTCCGTGGCGTCGTAGATGGCCTGAAGGGCCTCTGGGGAGAGCGTTCCTGCGTCGCGCTTCGCCATTTCAGAGAGCTTCTTGAATACCATGAGACCCTGATTTTGTTTTGTTCAAAACGCACGCTAGATATTTTGTAATTGTATAGCGAGCAAGATAAAATGGTTCTAGTTCTACGTCCCGCTGCAAATTCCCATACTTGAAAAGTGAAACAAGTGCAAAGAAGCAATAAGTATCTATCGATCTCACAACCTGAAAAAAAAAAGCTCCCACTCAAATACTACCTTCGTTCTAAACACGATTTCCGGCGTTTTTATTCCGTACCGCACTAGAAACTCCACCGCTTGCGCCTCCGTTTCGATGGATCGCAGGTTGTACGAAGCCAAGTCCTTTGCGGTGACCGGGTAGTGAAAATCCGGATCGTGTTTTTTCTTCTCCTTCGTGTAAATGCGCCGCGCGATCTCGTCCTGCTCGTCCGCCTCGCTCAGGGCGTCGAGCACCTCGCGGCTGTTCGGGTACCCCCGGGTGGTGTAGTACTTGGAGCAGTCCTTGAACATGTCCATGCAGTCGAAGGGAAAGGAGTTTTCCGTCTTCTGGTCGTGGATGTCCTGCTTCACCTCCACAAAAGCGTCCACGATGATCGCAAGGAAGAAGTTCATCATGGTCAGGAACATGATGAGCGCGAACAGAATCAGGTATGCAATGTAAATTTCTCGTACATGTACAAAATGCATGACAAATTTCGCTAACTTGCAGTGTCCAATTCGTCATGCTAGACTAGGATTGAAGGCAAGTTTTGTCGTGCAGAGACTGCATTTGTACGTCGTGTACGGGAAATTTACTGTGGATATCAGGTACAGCCAGTACATCAACTGCTGCGTGGTGTCCAACTCGATCCACCCGTCGAAGGGGAAGTCGCCGATGATCATCCGAAACTGCCACTCCACGGCGCGGCCGAAGGTCCCAAAGTCCGCGGGCAGCATCGATGCGAACTGCCAATGCCCGATGAACGCCATCACCACGAACAGGTATGAATTGCAAAAGTGTCTGGGTCTGGAAGATTGCGAGATTTGTCGTGCTTGCCTGGCATGACCAAAAAGTTTGTGATGCGTGTCCAAGAAGAAGCACTTTTGCCTGTCATGCAAAAACCCAGGCTGTCATGCGAAAAATGCAACACAAAGCAGCACAGATATTTCTCATGCTTGGCTATGCATTACAGAGCATTCATTATTCCCAACGCAGCATTACAAGTTTCCAGACCCAGACATTTTTGCAATCCATAACAGGTATAGTGGCGGCAAAAGCTTATTTTTTGGAAAATTAAAAAAAACATTGGGTGTCATAGATACTGGCCGCGAAGAGCACTACCATCGCAACGTGTGTCGAGCATGCTCGGCTGCGACGCCTGTGCAGCCGCGGTTGGAATTGATCGGAGAAAAAGATGGTCAGGCGCCTGGTTGACAGAAATGATAGGGCCGGGGGGTTGGGCCTTACGAAGTGCACTGCACTCGCGGGCCCGGGCTCTGGCTCGATGCCCCGCCGAGACCTGCGCCGATAGTAGTGGAGCCGCCGGCACGCGGGCCCTGGTGGCATGCTTGCCAGTGGCCTCGCATATGTGTTTTGGCAGCGCGCCGGGCAGCAGGATGGGCGGGGGAGATGTGGCGAGGAGAAACATTCCCTTGCCAGGCTTGTGAAAAGGCCTCGAGCAATGGCCACGAGAAAATAAGAACGCGCCCCGGGCTGCTAGGGTTTTGCGCTTTCCGCCTCCCGCAGGCCTTTCTGAAGCGTCGCCCGGCGGCTCTTACAGCTTTTCTACCGGCTCTGGCGGCTGGCCCTTGGAGGGGCGATCCCTGGCGCGCCGGGGTTTCAGAGGGGCCGCGAAAGGGTCACCGCACTTGCTGGAGAACATGAAAAAAGCCCCGGAAACGCGCGGCGGCCAAAAGCCGCGCCCGTTTTGAAACCTGGGAGGCAGAGCGCCTGCTCCCGGAGTACCGCAACCAAACTCCGGGCTGGAGGGGCGGAAACTCTTGGTCGCTGCGCAGGTTTCACTCCCGCCCCGGCACCTGGAGGGGGCGTGGCGAGCGATTGGCCCGACCGAATGCCCGCCGCCCGGCGCACCCCCAAAGCGCGGGGCCTTTGCCTTTTTTTGGGGGGCATGAAACGGCACCAAGCGGGCTGCCTCTCCTGCGTGCGTTATGCCTCGCAAGGGCAGTGGGCGTTCGCAGAGTAAGCCAGGCCAGGAGGGCCTCATTGACCGCCAAAAGCGCCGCCAGCCCTGTCCCTTTCCTTTTTGCCGCGCCGTACTCGGATCGGGACAAAGCACGTGGCCGAACACTACCCGCTCGACCAGTCCGACCGACTGCGCCCAGTCGGGCACCTTCAAAGAGGGCCAAGGATAGGGCGACGCAGATGCGCACCCACGGCCAAGGAAGGCGGCGCCTGCTCGCGAAGAAACGGCCGCCCACCCCTTCTGCGTGTTATCTCCGAGTCGTGTCCCTAGCCCGCCCGCCCGCGGAAACCCAGGGAAGCGCCGGGGGCCCGGTCGCGCCAAACGGGGGAAAACCCCTCCCCCACCCGAGCATGCGCCGGCAGCAATAGGAGGGGGAGCAACCTGAGCCGAACTTGTTGGGCCCTCTCTTCCGACAGTCCGGAAGCTGGCCGCCTTAAATGGACAAGGTTTTCGTGGAACGGCGCGCGCCGAACAGCCCGAACCCAAGTGGCAAGCCTGTCGCTACGACGGAGCTTCGGCTGGGAGGCTTCCCAACGGGAATGCGGGCCGGGCAACTGGAAACACCTTCCGGGAGAGGCTAAAGAGGCACCCCCCCAAAGTGGGTCCATAGCATGCGGGATCGCTCTTGCTTAGGGCCACTTTTGAGGACCCTATCCGGGCCCCCCCGTCCGGGGGGGCCGAGGAGACCCCAGAGTGGGAAAGCAGCGGCGGCAAGGGCGGCCACGCAGCACGCGCCCCACGTGCACTCCGCAACGGCCGCGGGGTTCCGCAGCTGCCCGGAAGCGTGGCCCCGATTGCCCCGGCAAACAAGAGCGCCGGCGATCCGGGCGCCCCACGCGCGCTGGCTTCTGGTTTTGGCGCCATGCGCCCCGCGGTCTGGCCGAAGAAAAGCAGCGACAAAAAGCACGGCCCACAGCATGCCGGCAGTGTTTTCCCCGGGAAATTGATCCGCGCCCGCCCTGCATTGCCGGCTGGCCGGCTTCGCTATGTTGGCAGCGCGGCGCGCCGAAAGGGTAAGGCGGCCGTGGCGGTCCTGGTGTTTTCGGCATCCTCTAAAAGGGGCCCGGGCGCCGCGCGCCTCTGCGCCTTACCTACTGCGCAAGCGCTGTGGCCTTCGGCTCGGGCCGGGAAAACAGTGGGGCGGCGGCGCCAGGCCCAATGCTTTCCGCCGTTTGTTTTTCAGGAAATCGGCTCAAGGCACGGCGGTCAGCGGAGAGGGCTTTTCGGGTTGCCGTCCGCCCGTGTTGGGGCCGCTAGAGCACGGCGCGCCGCGGTCGGGCCCCCCTTGCGCGGGCCGCCTGATCAGTTCCCCACCTGCAAAAAGGGGGGCCCGGTTGCCCCGCCGTGCTGCCAAGGGCTGCGGCGCTTGTGCTCTAGCCTCCAAGCGTGCTGGCAGTGTCGCCGGGCGGTTGTTTTCCGCGAAATTGATATCCGAAATGCCGCCGGGTAGTTCTTGCAAGGAATCCCGCGAATTGGCGGAGGCGCGCTAGGGGGTGGCTTGGAAGGTGTAACCAAACCGCAGGCGCCTTGGCTGGGATGGAGCCACGCTTTTGCCCGCTTTGCAGAAATGGGGCTGCTTGAACAGGGTGGGCGTCGCGCAATTGGGGAATTGCGGTCGCCCGAGCAGGGGTCGTGGGCGGCAGCCGAGGGGTTTTGCGGCACCTCGCCGGGCAATCAGGGATGGGCATTGCGCCCGATGATGCCGCCTAACCGGGGCGCAGGAGCATGGCCCCGGGGCATCTGGTGAGGCGCAAGGCGCTCGCCCATTCCATATCACGCCGTGCCTTTGGCTTGGCCAGATTCGGCCGCGCCTGCCGGGCCGCCGCCTGCCCCGCCCAAATTTGGAGCGGCGCAGACCTGGCAGGATTGGCCCGTCTAGGGGTCAACGACGGACCCGGCTCCCTGCCCACGATGCCCGCCCTGGCGTGCGCGAGCGTTGAAGCTGACGCGACCTCTCGCGCCTTCTGAAAGGGGTTCTGCGGTGGTGTGATGTGTTTGACTTTGCGGCAGCACGGCAGGGCAAACTTGGTAAGCGCTGCGCTGGCGTGGGTCTTACGCCGTCCTGAGTCCAGAAGCGTGATGATTCGGCTGGGCTGCGAGGCCCACGATAAAGCCACCCAATATTTTTTTTAATTTTCGCAAAAATAAGCTTTTGCCGCCGCTATAACAGGATCGCGAACACGATGAAAAAATGCGCCATCTCGTCGATGGACTTCAAAATGGTGGACGTCAAGGTCGCCACGCGGGGGTGGACGTTGAGGTACTGGATCATCTGCAGGAAAGAGACCAACGTGACCGCAAACGCAACTTTGCGATACAGAAAAATCAAGTCGTTTTCCTCGTACACGTGGTCCTTCACGACCAAAAAGTGCTGGATCGAACCAATCAAACCCTTGTAGGAAAAGTCGTGGAGGGTGAAAAAAGTCGTCATCAAATCGTTGTATTCCTCCTTCATCGGCTTCAGACCTGATTTTTCAAATTTTTATTTTGCTTTTTTCGGGCCAACAAGGACAACTTTGCATATTTTGCATCGCTGTCCTAATGTTAGTTTTTCTACAAGCAGATCAAAGTGCAGCAAAATGGTGAAAGTATCAAGTACTAAGAACCTTTGAAGAGCCACACAAAAATCTCTGATTTCTTACATACCCAGAAATCCGATGAGCAGCCACAGGTTGAAGAACAACATGAACGCCCGACTGGCCAGCTCGTACCAAAGCGACACCGTCATCTTTGTGCCGCACGTGATCAGATACACGCTGTGCACCACGCCCATGGAGACGAAAACAATCACCATGACGTTGCTGAAGATGAACCACCCCTTGGTCCCGTAGTCGTCCAAGTCGACGTAGGACATCAACCGCGTCAGCCCAATCACGTTCCCCGCTTCGTCTATTTCAAATTCCACGGCGACACTCGTGAAGATCTCCGCCATCTGGGTGTACACCATGGTGGACACCGTTACCTTGTGCGTCTGCAAATCCACCCACCCGATCCGCCACCAGTCGGCCTCGATGTTGCGGCCGGAATGCGTTCCGCCGGTGTTGGCAAACCGCGCGTACACCTTCTCCCCGTGGAAGTCGTAGCCCTCCGTATCGATCCGTTCGTCGTAGCTGGAGCTTTCGTGGTGGTCGCGGTCCACGCAGTCGTACAAATCGACGACCTTCGGGGCGTCCTGGCCGAACCCGCCGTGCGTGAAGTCCATGGCGTTCTCAATTGTTACATTCTCAACTGAAATTTGCCACCAAGATCGCCACGATTAAGCTGCTTCGCATGACAAATATCCGAAGGGCTAAACACAACAGCATCTAAATCTGTGCCAGATCTGTAATGCAAAAGGCGCAGTCTTCCTCCTTTCACTTTTGCCGTTCTTGCATTGCAAATTTATGTAACAGTTGAGAATGTAACATTTGAGAACGCCATAAAGTCCATGTCCAGGTTGTAGGCCATCGGGTCGGAAATCTTGCTGCTGTAGGCCGCGTATGCATTGCAAATATGTCTGGGTCTGGAAGGTTGGAACTTGTGATGCTAACTTTGGACTCTAAAAAAGTCTGTATTGCATGACCAGCAAGAGGAGCCCAGTTTGTGCTACGCGGGGAGGGCATTTGTCATGCGGAATAGGCATCAGGAAGGCCTCTAAAAATCTGTGATGCTAGGGCTTCCATGACAGACATTCTGTGTCATGCAAAAACAGCATGACAAGTCTCGGACTCTTCCAGACCCAGACATTTTTACATTTGATACCGCGGGCGGAAACAGCATGAGCTGGTACCGCGTTTGGTAAATCAGGGTGTCCAAAATCGCGGATTGCATGTAGGGAAACTTGTGTTTGGGCTGGTAGTACCCCATGTGCGGCATCATCGGGTCGTTGAACGTATCATTCAAGTAGACTCGGTACTCGTGCAAGGGCGCGGTCCAGGCGATGTGCCGTTTCAGTTCGGACCCGCACTCGCAGCGATTGGTTTTCGCATCCGCCGTAGCGGCGAGAAACCGCGTTTCAACCCTGTACTTCCCCTCGGTTCCGAAGTGGATCAGCTCGCCAGGAGATCTTTCATCTGCTGCAGGATCTTCATCATCGGTATTCACCGCAGTTCGACGGTGCGCGGCACCACCACCACCACTCGGCCCTCCCGTCATCGGAGTAAAACCTGGGCAGCAGCAGCAACGGTCGGGCGGCGCCGTGGTGGTGGCAGTCGCGCTGGACGATGCAGCAACTGCAAGACTTCTGCTTGCAAGTAGTAATTCCCCGGAGGGACCAGTCGAAGGAGTTGTACTCTCTTCCACAACAGAACCGCCGCCAGCAGCAGCAGCAGCAGAGACAATTGCCTGGTGTTCCGGGAACAAAATCCTGTGCTCGGCATTTTTTGAGTCTTCATTTTTAGTACCCTGGTCATGATCTTCGTCCGCACTCACAACATCCAGGTCGATGAGATTCAAGAAAACCGCCCGTTGAAACTCCAAATCCGCCTGCTTCATCCCGTTCCCCTCGACCTCCTGCAGCATCCGCGAGGACGTGCTGTTGCCCGTGCCCATCGGACACTGGCTGTACTTCGGAAAGACCAAATGTTCGATTTCCTCGATGGTGAGTGGCTCTGCCGTCGTGACCGTGGTGTTGGTCGTGGTCGAGGCTGCGACGGCCAGTTTCCGCAACCGCAGCCGCACCGTCGCTGGCGGGTCCGAGGCACATGTGGCGGTGGTGGAAGACGCGGCGAGCTGCCGTCCGGGCGCAGTTCCGTCTTCCAACAGTTCCCGGTGCACCGTCGTGCAGACGCAGCACGTCTCCGTCGCGAGCTGACGGACGAGGGCATCTTCGTTCTCGTCACTGAATGGGTCGCTCTCCTCGTCCAGCAAGCCGTTGGCTTTTCGTCGCTGCAAGGCGATTGCTTCGCCCTCGGAAGCGGAGCCTGCAGTGTCCGCGAAGGGATTTTGCTTTTCATCGTCCGCTACCTGAAAAGTTCCGAAAGTACTACTTACTTTCATCCGCTTCGAATCGCTCCATCTCTTCCAATGACCGCCTCCTGACGCGCAGTGCCCGGCTGCAGCTTTTCTTCTTAATCGTGCCAAACGCGTAAGAGCCAGGGTTCCGATACGCTAGCGAGGGAATGTTGTAGCTGCCGTCTTCGGATTTCGGCGCCAGTTCCCGTTTCGCAGAAGATTTTTCCCCGTTTTTCTTCTCTTCCTTCTTTGTTTTCATGCTGTTCAAGTACTGTAGTTTTTCGTCGCGCTTTCCGCGTTCTTCTGACAGGCGGGCGGCTTTTTGGTGGCGACGAGACTCGACTGCAGATAAAGTCGACGTCGCCTTCTTCGCACCGGTCTCGTCGTAGTGCCACCACGCGCGGTCGGAGTTGCTTAATTGTCGGCCCCCGACGGAGTTTTCCGCATGCGTAGAAGGTCGTGATGATGTTGAAGCGTGTTGCTTAGCTTGTGTTCGTTTCTCGTCGTACAATCTGTCATTCTCCGCCACCAAGCGCTTGATCTCTTCTGCACGCGATTCCGCTGGGTTCTTGTTCTTCGGCTGATTCAACAGTTTCCGGAGCGCCTTGTCACCCTCGTCATCAGAAAACAAGTTGTGCTCTTCCTCATACAGTGCGGTAGAATCGACCCAGGAAAGATTTTCATCTTCCTGATTCTTGAACGGCATCAGTGCCTGGAAGTAAGAAGCAATGGATGCTCCTGCTGCTGAGTGTTTTGTTGGCCACAGAGAATCATGTTCAGAAACGAGCTCTAGTTTCTTTCTCTTCATTTCCGGACTGTTTGTCACAGCCTCGAACAGGTCGCGACGGAAATGCTTTGACGCAGATGTTGCGGACGTGCTTTGCTGTGTTCTGCGTTTCGACGTCCTCGATGAGGACGAACCGAACACGAATTCGTGCATGTTCGCTAGCAATCCGGTTTTTGTCCGTCTGTCTGGGGTTCTGTCGTCAAGGTAGTCCTCGCGGCCCTCTTCGTTTGCACTAATCGTGGGTCCTGCTGCACTTCTGCTGCTCTTGTCCCTGACCTCTTCGCCGGTTTCGAGGATCCGTTTGCGTAACTGCGCCTCAGGCATGCGCGCGATCTCGTCGAGCGTCAGAGAGTTACTGGCGTCGCCCTCTTGATTTCCGCTCAAAATTCTGAGACTTTTCTTCACATTCAAGCCGTTTTTGCGCAACAGCTTCCGCAGTTGGTAGCTGCTCGCCGACTTCTCCTTTTCCGTGAGTTGCGCTTCCGTGCGCAGGAGTTCCCCCGTCTGCGGGTCAATGGCGTTCAAATTCCGGCGATGAGCGCCGCCTGACGGACCATTCCGCTCGTAGCTGTTCTCTGGTAACGGTGTGTAGCTCGACCGCACGTTCGCGTCCACGCCCGCGGCCTTCATGCGCTTGTGCAGGGTGCCCACAAAATCCCTGATCTCCGGAAAGGTCGGAATCGCGCAGTCGTACAGCTTCCAATCGTGCCCATGCAGGTCCTTGCCCAGCGTGTTTGGGCGGGAATACACGTTGGTCAGACTGTTCATTTTGTCCACGTTCGTCACCCAGGGCGAGTCGCCAAAGTACTCCTCGATAAAGTCCTCGGACAGCTGCAGAATACGACTGTGCTCCTGCTTCTTCGCTTCGTAATCATAATCCGCTCAATTTACACCATTTTCTGCATAATTGTCAGCACTTTTGCCCGCAGCTGCTTCGTCAATATCATCTCGAACAAGGTTTCTCGCCTTGCTATACTGGTCCAATTCACGTTCTACCTGCTTCAGTCTCCGCAGGTGCGCCTCGAGCTCCGCCAAGTGTTCCGCGTGTCGCTTGCCCGACTGGGTCAACCCCAGGGGAAGGTTGAGGAACCGGGGGTCGCACAAGTACGTTTTGTCGGTCGGCCGCAGCGCCCGATTCTGCTTGTCGAAGTCAGACATGAAGCCGTACAGGTCCGCGATTGATACGACGTTTTCACGGAGCGACTCCTGCCCGATGTCGAAGTGGTCCAAGAGAAACTCGTGCACTTTGGCGACATGCGCACCGGGGTAGAAGATGTAGATGGCAACCAGGAAGAAGAGAAAGTAGATGAAAAAGTTCAGCATTTTGACCAACGTCACAAACAGGTCGTTCTCCAGCTGCAGCCGTTCCACCAGCATCTCCCGCGAGAGGCACAGGTCGTTGGTCTCAACGCCCGGCTGCAGCTCCTCCCGGTCGAGCTTGTTGTCGGCGTTGACATCCAGATCGAGCCAAACGGACTCTTGGTTCAGATGATCCGCGTTTTGGACTGTCGGGTTAAAGGTTTCCGCGTCACTGTCTTGCTGGCTTGCTGCGGCCTGCTGGCCCCGGTCAGGAGTACGCCCCAGTTTGTCGAACATGGCCGGCAAGCCTGGCGCAGCCTTCGCGGGCCCCCCGTCCGGGGCTACGGTCTTCTTGCTCGAGGAAGCCGTACTTTTCGCTTTGCTGGCTCCCTTGGGAAAAAGTTGGTACTGTTCCATGTAGTCCAATGGTAGAATAGCGATTTTTTTACATAAGGTGAAGGAAAGAATAAATGCGCAATCAATCGACCAAGTCACAACATGGCAAGTAAAAAAAAAACGGATTTAAACTCTCGGGGCAAAAAGTGCCACGAAATACACGTGCGCGGCCTCACCAGCAACCGAGGCGAAAATGATATATCCGGGAAAATCAGAAAAGTGCTCTGTGACGACAGAAAAAAGTGTCCGTTTATGCTAAGGATCTTTGCGTAGCCAGACTTTCGACCGACGTCGAGATGTTGATGTTGTTAAGACAAGCACGGTATTCTTGCGCTGAGGCAGGCGGCCGAACTGCGGCCTCGCTTATCGAAATCGACGGGCACCTTACCTGCCCGGAGGACACCGACAGCCAAAGCATGAGCCATGACGATACTTGCATTCGCAATTCAGAACCGATGATGGGAGCGAGTACCGATTGCACGACATGTACATTTGACAATGAAAAGCAAAATGATCGGGAACAGGAACCGAGCGTCTCCGTCACCGACCAACCTATTAAAAAACAGCTGCTCTTCAAAGGTCATCGCTCAGCAGCAAACGTAAGTCACGGCCAAAATACAACTTACCAAATGAAAATAAGTCGAATGGAAGTTCCGAAAAAATCATTTTCCACGGGGATTTGTTTTTTACCTTCTCGATCATCAATTCTTTGCTTTAGATAGCTATATGCGCTGGTGCTCCGGAAAGCGAAAATAGGTAAGCAATATATCGCATGATGTTTGACTCGCTCTCGTTAAGTGTACATTTAGAAATTCACTTGTTCTGTGAAAGAGATCACGATACAAAACTCGTACAGGGCAAAACTACGACGATTGTGTACATTTCAATTGTCCACGGGGAAAATGTCGATCACTATATGCGTCAATAAAAAATCAACAAGTCTTTATTTTTGCGTCGATACGGATACTTTCAGTTCTGAAAAGGCTTCAAAAGCAAAAGCGGCTTGATCTAGTAGGTTCAGAGAAGTACAAAACTGCGTCAGCATGCGGGGGATAGGGATTACAGGGCATTCAAGTATAAGTAAATCCTTTTCGTATGTGATTTTTGAATGTCAAGCATCACTCAGGCGTAGCCTTCCGTCATTCATTCGGCGATCGTGCTGGTCGTACTGATTTTTTTGTTTCCGCCCCCAGCACCCTTACTCGCGAGCGACTGATTCACTTGGCTCAACAAGAGGCTGCCGCCACTTGCCCGGGTCGAGCTCGAGGCCGTGTCGAGGATGGGGCTGCCCTGCGTGCTGCTCGCCGTGGTGCTGGAGGACTTCGGGGAAATGTTTCCCTTCCCGGCGCCACCGTGTTCCCCCACGAGCGATAACCCGTTCAAGTCCATGTTCAAACTCTGCAACGTTTGCAACGCGAAGGCGGACCCGGTGCCCTGCAGCGTCGGGTCGCAGTAAATGATCTTCTCCACGCCCCGGTTACACTCCTTTACCATCTCCGAGTGAATGTTGAGCAGCGTCATCTTCGAACCCAACGGCGTCGCATTCAGCAATTCCGCGCGTTTCGCCTCCGCCACGGCGACCGTCTGCACGGCCTCAGCCTCGGCGCGCGCCTTGGTAATCTTCGCTTCCGCCTGAGAAATTTTTGGGATGTAGATATACACCTTCTTGTGTTCACAATCGACCCCTGCGGAGGCACCACCGCAAGCGCAATCATACAAGAAAATCAACTCCATGCACGCATGCTCAGTAACAAGAAAACGCCTTCTACATCTCCATCTGCACACCAAAAAAAGTAAAAAACTAGAGTACAAAAGCCTGCGCCTCTTGCTGGATCGCAATCTTTTTTGCCTCCGCCTGTGAACGTGCTTCTTGGATGCGGCGCTCGTTCTCTGCATTGGCTCTGGTCCGCAAAGATTGTGCCTCGGCCTCCGCAGAAATATTTTGTACCTCAGCGATACGCTTTTGTTCCGCAATGGCAATTTCCGTTTGCCCGGCCAAGTTTGCGAGCTGATTCTCGGTTTGTGCGGTTACCAAAGCTTGCCGTGAAATGGATTCCGCAAGTTCTTCGTCGAAAATCTGGAAGGACTCGATGCGAATGTTAGCGATGTCGATTCCATACCTGAATCATTTGCAGAGCGCTGTTTCATCCTGAAGATGAGCATGAGCAGGAGGAGGATCTATCAAAATTGTTGCGAACGGAAAACAAACACGACCCCGATGAGTTCATCAAAACACATGAGCAATGAAATAATGCCCTCATACGTCTCCTACCTCGAATAAAAGTCGTCGTGCAACTTGGATAGGAAGTCGTCGTGCGCCTTGTCAAAAAACAGCGGTGCGCTGGCGCTCGCGTAGTGTTGCTCCCGGAAGGCTTGAATCTGCTCTTGTAGCTCTTGGTTCTTACTCCCCGCCAGATCGGACGACACGGCACTTGGTAACTTCGATTGCGCAATCTCGTTCAGAGCGGTAGACCGCACGATGTTGGTCAACGTGGCGATCGCGGTCTCGCGCACCAGGTCTTCGATCTCGTCATAGGAGATTTTTTGGCAGCACTTGATCGGGTCGCAGATACTGTAGAAGACATCCGCGCGGATTCCCACCTTCACCAGATCCTTGGTCTCACACGCCAGCATGTCCGCGCGGTCGTTGTTCTCGATCTTGCGGTTTTCGGATTTGGCCGGGTCCTTATTCGCCGACGCATTTCCAGCGCTGTCCTTTTTATCATTTCCGCCGTTATTGTTGTTAAACGCACCGGAAAAGATGCTCTCGCCGCCAAAGACAACGCCCGTCGCGGTGTCCACGAGCGCATCCGAATTGCCGCTGGTAAAGTGGGGAACGTTGCCCGGCGGTTTCTTTGCCGTGCAGGCAGCAGCAGCTGCTTTCTGCTCGTACTGCTCGCGGGCGGCCTGCCGGGTCTGCGCGCTGTGAAGAAGGACACAAAATTTTGATGTGGAAGTAGTTCCTCACAAAACCTTCAAACCTAGACCTACGACAGTAGATTTTCACTATTTCATGCACTCATCTGCAACATAATCGCGGTCGACTTGTACTTACTCTTTTGCTTCTAGCGAAACAAAACAACTCACTGGTCTCAAGCACAAGCTGCAAGTCACCTACATAAAAACATACCGTTTCTTTTTCTGATCCTGCGTCATTGACACCAGTCGCAGTGATTTCTGCTGGGTGGACAAGAAACACTCGAAAACGTGCGTGGCCGCGTCGATGACGTGCCGCCCGTGGTCCAGCACATCCAGCTCGCCGTTGCGGTACGTGATCCCGACTTCGCCTGTCCACACGCTCAAGATTTTTTTCGCGCCCAATTCGATGATCTTCTCGTTCGCTGGCACGTGGTCGACGAACGTGAAGTCCGGCGAGTTGTACGCGTACAGACCGCTGCTCTCGATGAAAAAGGGCTCGTTCAGCTGCCAGGCCAACCCGATCTCCCCCAGCGGGATGCGGAGGATGGTGATCGTGCCGTGGCGGATGACCTGGTCCGTCATGTCCGCCACTCCGCAGTACTGGAAATTCACCGACTCGAGCGCATGACGACCCGGCCCAAGGAGCCGCGGAATGTTGTCCAGGAATACCTTTTTTTGTTCGCTTTTCTTCGCAGAAAGGCAGAGATACCCTAGTACTTACACGAAAATGAATCATCAAAACCTTTTTTCTTGTAAAAAACCGAGCACAAGCTCCTGGTTCAAAAAGTTCTACCTTCGCGACTTTCCCCTTCTCGACTTGCAGCACATGCACTGACCCGTGTTCGATGTGCGGACTGCGCACATCCACCATACCGTCGAATCTGAAAAGTACGTTGTTGATGATGTGAAATCCCTCTTCCAACAAACGCGGGGAAATGGTGCCGGTGTCTTTCTGCGGCACCCAACACTTTCCGTATTTACCCCGGGGTACGCGGAGCAAGTGAAACGGTCCATGGCTGATATACTCCGCAGACTGATCGACGAGACGTTGGAATTGTACCTAGAAAGTTTTGCTTGCACGAGATTATGCTGAAGTTTTTGACCGCCTTCAATCAAAACATCCTACTTTGCGTGAAGGCTACAAAAGGTAGGCCCCACGCGGCCTTCAAATAAGATGATAGATACTGACCTAAATGAATTTTTCAAAAAAGAACACCACAACTGCACCAAAAAGAAAACCACAATACACAAGATAAGAGTGCGACGGAAACTACTTCTTTAGATTTTCTGTTTGAAAACTCAAAAGCAGCCTGTCATCATACAGCCGTCACACTTCCATTTCTTTCTTTTACACTAGCAGCGCAAACGTTAGATTCGCTACGAGATTGTCCTCAAAATATTTTTTACCAGTCCTGTGTTGCAGCAGTGCGACCCGGGACCGAGCAACAGCGGATTTCCGTTGTCCAAGCACAACCCAATCTGCCCGATTGGAACACGCACGACCAACAGTGTCCCCGACTTGATGACATTTTTATCCAAATTTTCGTCTAGCGTCTGCCAGTGCGACCGGCTGGGGCGCAACAACCACCGCCCGGGCGACACCACTTTCACCATGCCGTTGTGCACGTAGATCCCAATGCAATTCGGCGGCACGAGCGATCCGCAGCAACGGCACGCGAAGGCGATTTGGTTTCCGGAAATTTCGTTCGCCTTCTCTGCGATGGTCTCTGGTTTCTCGTGGTCGCAGTTCGGCGCGCGGAGCGGAAGACGCGTGCAGTACCCGATGCAATCCAGGAGTGTGTGCTTCAAGTCCCCGTTTGTCTGCTCCGGCTTCTCAATCAGACTGCAGTTCTCGATTTCAAAATCCCCGGGAACGGTGGACCCGTAGTTCGTCAACTTCGACATCGTGCACTCGTGATTCCGCAGTTGGTCTTTCGCAGCCTGCGCTTGCTGCTCAGAGGACATGGAGGTGTCTACCCCATTGCCACGGGTCGTCGCGTCCGTTGTCAGGTTTATCGTCGGTGGTTGCATGGTCGGGAGGACGTAGGCGTCCATGACCTGTTGCTCGCCCGGGTGAACATGATGCTGCCCCGGATGCCCCCGGCTGTGCTGAGGGGTAAACGAAGACGACATCGGTTTTTGTCTTGCTAGAGAAGGACTTGAAACAAGGTTTATTTTTTCGTGGACTTAGAAGTTTCCCAAACTGCGTCTCAAAATTAAAGAGTCCTCGGTAAAACACTCTTTAAGAAATGGTTGGTGCGAATCACTATCGCCACCAGAAAAGACAAATACGAATTTTTTCAGTACCGGAAATGTAAAGCCATGACGCACCGACCGAGATTGACGAAATGAAAAGGGACGCGTCACAAGGTGCGGACACATGTCCACAACCAAGGCAGGCCGCCGCGTGACAACGATCTTTACGATTAGACCGAAGAGGAAAAAGAAGATGATCTGCGCCCGCACCTGTTAGAGCGGCGGGCGCTGGTGTGCCTAGAGAGAAACACGAAGAGGAAAGCAAAAACATGATCCTACGGCGCTGCAGCTAGATCCAACAAAATGGCACGATCCGGATCCAAAAAAAAAATGGCGCGGAAATACAATCGAGATCCAGCTAGAATGAGAACGCGATTTTGGAAAAGCTGCTTCCGACTGCTTCGCCATCTTGACCTTCGCAAAGTCTAACGAGAGGCTTTCACATTGATCCTCGGCGTTAGAATCGCCCTTCTGAGTCTCAGGAATGCGTCGCAACCTCAACTTTTTTTCGTTCTTAATTTTCATGTGCGCAAAAGGTCTTTTCGGACATTACTGCAAAATCTTGGATTATCGTAGCAGGCAGGTCATAGTTGAATGCTAATGCACGTATGTTACGTATGCCATTGTCATTTTTCTAGGAAAAAAACGCTGGTAGTCGTAGTCGTCGTGCGCATATGTACTAAATACCTTCTTTCAACAGATGTCGCCACACTATCACAATTTTTTCACAGACACATCCGCCATGGCAATACATCGCAGTATGAATAAGTATCGTAGAACTTTTTCATGCCGTCTAGGAGGTTTTGCCACAACCAGCTTTCAATCGTGCATGTTTCGTCGTGAAGATAGTCGCGCGTTCGCTATCCTCCCGTACGAAAAGCAATGGTCTCAAAGAATCTAAAATAACAGCAATTGCACCTCCCGTCGTCATGGATTATGACGCCGCAGTGTCGCGTATAGAATTATGCTAACAGAAAAATGAAAAATGTGGATTATTGCAGAATAGCTAAAGACGAGTTTTTCCTCCACATATTTCAATCGTGAAGAACAGAACATCAACTAGTGAAAAGTGCGCAGAACATCAACTAGTGTAGCTGCTCATTTTTTCACGACGAGGTGGACCGCAAGTAATGTATGCAGTCGCTCCATCCCTTGGAGTAGATGGAAAGAGTTTACGGGAAGTCGTCGTCACCGAAGACGTAGTCGTCTTCGTCATCGGAGTCGTCCTCCGGGAACAGGCCCTTCTTCTTCAAATATGTGTACGCGTGGGAGATCGCCGGGTCGCGCATCTTGATCGGGTAGAGCTCCTCCTCGTGGGAGAACGGAACGCAGACCGCGGCCCAGTACTTGGACTCGATGTTGTCGAAAGTCTTCACCAGCTTGACGCCCTTCGCGCCAGCCACGTTGTTCACCACTTCGGACAGCCACTCGAAGGCGCTGCACTCGTCGGCCTTGTTCTTCGGAACGTAGGCCACGGCGGAGAAAGCCTTCTCCGTGCAGGAGAAAATGATCTTTCCGATCTTGCCGGCGCCACCTGAAAGATTTTATAGGAAAACCGTCGTGGTTGAAGATGACGTCACGGAAGAGGATCGATGCAAAATGAAGCAAAAATGAATGAAAAACTTCGGAGATCAGCATCAAGGGAACGCTTGGATTACGAGTAGGAGCTCGAGCTTCTATGTGGTTCTAGACATTTGCGCACAGACAGACGGACCTCTCGGCGGGAAATTTCACGAAAAAGACATATTAGCTACCTTTGCGCTCCTCCTCAGACGGGTTGGATTTGGCGTTCATGGCCTTCATCGACTCGATCAGGAGGTCCAGGTCGCCCTCCGGCTTTTCGATCATCGTGCAAAAAAACTGGAGACCACCCATATCAGCTGCGCCCTCGATCTCGACACCGCGCTTACCACCTTCCTTGACGATCTGTTTTGGATTGTTGTTTGGAGAATCTAAATTTTTCCAGACAGTATCAAGGCAAGAAAGAAGTGCCGGGATTGTCTGTGCAAATGCAACAACTCATCCGCTATTAAAGCTGCTGCTCTAGCTGCAGCTGCAAGAGCCGCGCACAAAAAAACGTATAACTCGAATACCACTTTCAACTTCTTTTCGTTGAATTCCTTGGTAGGAGCCGGACCCTCGACGATGACGTCGTCTTGGGTGGCGACCTCTTCCTTGACGGCGGCCACATCCGGCTGCTCGGTCAGCAAAGTCTGGACGGCTTCCGGCATTTTGTTAGAGGTGGGGAATGTGCGGGAAAAAACTAAATCGTAAAAAAAGGAGAAGAGTATTGGCGGTAAATATACGTAGGAGGGCAGGACTGTTCAGTAGATTCAGTGAGGATGCGAGTGAAGTATTTGCTCTTTAGTTTCTAAAAGAAAGTCGTTGAGGATCGTTGAGAGGTGCTTCGCTTAAAAGTTTTGGGGGAAGTTTTCTGGAACTGTAGCGGACTCGTGTGATCGTTGTTTGGATCTTGGAGTAGCAGTTAAGTACATGGGGCGTACTGAAGATACACTCTACCTCAATCGACATCGGCTTGATCTTTTACTTTTTCTTTCCTCATAATTCTTATTGTTTATCAAGTTGGTGTAGAAGAAGTGGAATTCTTGCTAGCGTGCACTTGCAAGGTAGATCCTTTTCCTGCAACCAGACTACTCTGACTTACACTTTAACTTTTACATGGTCGTAATAATCAATGGCAGAAGCGATCTCTGGTGAGTACATGAGCTCGCTTTGCATGTAGGACCCCGAGGAGCATAGACTTAGTCACGCAGCAATTACATGATTCTCTCACGACCGACACCGATACGTTTCTGCGGATGCGCATGCGTCAGAGCTCCACACTGCATCATGACACGAACGAAACACCTCGAACAAGATATGGCATATCATTGTATGGCAATTCCAGGCGGAGGTCCAAAACGTCTTTCGTCTCTTTGTTTTCATTCCATACAAGCACGAGCAACAATGCTAGAAGTTGTCGGCCAAGCTGCGCTGCGTGGCGCTCTTGCTCGCACGATGCTGCTGGCGGCAGGGCCGGACACCCCCGCGCCGCGCCACGAGGCTGTCTGGTGGCGCGCCCCGGCCCCACCCTACGGCAGCGCGCAGCGCCATTGTTCGCAAGCGCCGGCCGGCCTGGGGCGCTAGGCGATGGGCCGACACTGGGCCCGCGCGGCAGCCGCCACCCAGATCCTGCCGGGGCCGAACGGCGGGGGCCCCCACCACGACGGCCGGAAACAAAGCGCAGGACGACGAAAACGGCAAGCCCGCGCGCGCGCTAGGGCGCCGCACGCGGGCGCCTGGGGATGGGGCGCATTCCTGCGCGCGCGGCACTTCGATCGCAGGGGCGGGCCTCGGCTCCTCGCGCGACTCTTTTCTTCTCCTCATGCGACTGATTCTTCTCGCAAGAAAAACAGAGGCCGAAGTCGCTCCGCCTCGTCTTCGGGACGTAGTCGACACCGCGCTGCTTCCCGAGAGTCTTCGCCGGAATCTTGACTCTCTTCCAGTACTTTATGACCCGAAAAGGCATGACCATAGCAGCTGCGACAAGGTAGACTTGGCATTCGGTATGATCTAGAGTATCGCATTCGCCTCCTGACCATACCAATGTTGCTTTAAAACATTTAAACTCGTCGCCTCGTCAGTTCAGTTCAGTTCAGTTCGACGCATTATTAGTTAAGTAGTTAGTTACGGGCGCGGTGGCGGTGGCCTCTTACCTCAAAGCTCGATAGACAGGGGCAGGGAACAACGCAATGCTATGCGCCACGGGCACACGACTACTATCAGGCAGTGTGGACGCCTCCGGACAGCAGCAACTGCCCAGCATACAAAACTAAGTTATCAAACTCCTACCCTAGGGACCTGCTAGACTTTTCCTCTAACCCACTGGGGCGCGTATGTAGCTCGGCGGGGCTGGGTGCAGCGCATACAAACTCCTGCTGCATAAGCTACTTTTTTGCCCAAGTTCATAGTGAGCTTCTTTTTTTCCGTGCTTTGAACTTCTTCTTCTTAACTTCGTGCTTTTTGCTTTTACTTTCTACTGTAGTTTTTGAAAACAAAAAAACAAGGGTCACTGAACTACGCACCTTTTTTCCTTACAATATAGTATACTACACGAAACTACCTCCCCGCGGAGCGCTACTTGCCGAGCTTGGTTACTGCACCTGATCCGCGCAGGCGTCTCTACAAATGCAAAACCTAAACTATGGGAGGGCGATACGCGGAATGCTAACTACACGAACGGGCACTATATAAGGAGGGCCACGGCACTATTATACACACTTTTGTTTCTAGTGCACGACCGGCACACCCGCGAACCTCCGCCCGACGCCACGACCACCGGCACAACGGCAGCGTGAGGGATGGACTATTTTAAGCCTTTTTTGGCATAGAGAAAAGCATCCCTTTACCTTCTTCGCAGTGCGTTTACGGAGCTAACTACTCGCCCGGCGCAACGGGTGGCGCTACAAAAAGCTAATTGCTAACACTGCAAGTTTACGACTAAGACTACTTATGCTGTGCGCTTTTGGTGATTTTACTTCTACTTCTAACTATCCGTCGCCGCTCCATCGCTTGCCCCGTCCCAGCACAGTCGCGCCGTATACCTGATATTAGAGAGTTTGTTGAACGATGACAGGACAGCTTCACGGGGATCGACAACGAAATTATCCGCAAACTAGACAAACACTTCAAAATGAAAATATGCGTAGTTGGAGATGAAGACGAAGAAGAAGGCCATGCATAACACAAAACAATAGTTAAAGAAAATTTAAATTTATCCATACTCCACTTTAACCACACGCACATACAAACCCCCGACGACAAATCTTTGGCGCCACAAGTTGCCCAGAGTCAGTGCGCACGATCACGGCCTGCGGAAGCTCTTCGAGCAGAGACTCCTTGCCACGAGTACACGCTCCACCGCTCGCTGAAAAAATACCACGACGAGCTAGTCCATCTGCGGTCGGCTTGCTTCGGGCACGGTCCGTCGTCGAAGATCCTCCGGCGGTGCGCGGAGGCCTTGGTAAGGTCGGCACGCGCCACACTGCCTCTGGCGGTGGAGGGAGAAACCCCCACCGGTCGCGTCGTGCTTGCCCTTGTTGCTGCACGGCCTCGCGCTAGACGCTGCCGGAGGAAGGTTGGAGTTTGGCGTTGGTGACTATCTCCCTCGGGTCACAGAGCTGCACGGTGGTGCCGGATGGAACCATCTTGGGTGGCGGCGGCGGTGACTTTCACTAGTAGCATAAATGAATCTAGGGCGCAGCCGGCTGCACCCGGCTGCCTACACATACTCTCCAGGGGCCCCGTGCAGAGGGCCCCGCTCTCGACAGGTTTCTACTAAGTTAGGCTCCTTGAGCCAAATTGGCTTGAGCCAAAATGGCTACGGCTCTGAAATCGATCGACGTATCGTGGATGTGCGTGCACTATAATCATCTGTTGCAAAACAGGTCTACGCTGACATATATTTTTTCCATAGTGCTAGGCTGGACTACGTTTGGCTTTGGTCTTGCATGCTCGCGCGCATGATAAGCTCAACGGCCTCGCTCAAAACCGTGTCGCCAATGTGAAGAGCCATGAAAGAGGCGGGCCTTGCCTTCTACTGCTCCTGTTCGTTTTGCGCTATTCACTTCACGCCTAGCGTTCCGGGATTCATGCCTTGCACTACCTTGTCCCAGGTGGCCCAGTCTCGAAAGCTGGCCACTTCATATACTCTCAAGCCAGGCGCTGGCGCTCCGCGTTGCATTCCACCTGGTCCACCACAGCGCGGCGCACGCTGCTTCCGCGCTGGCCGCTAGCGGGATTTCTTACAGCGCCGACATCTTGTTGAGCGCAGTTTTCAGCTACAAGGATTTACGGTCTACACATCGAAAAATGCAAGTGAGGGGCAAGATGGGCGCAACGTCCATGCTGAAGACTTCACTCGTGTTGCTTCCTGGCTCTGGTTGTGCGGAACCGACACCCTGCATCCCTCTGGTTGTCGCACTTCGAAGCGCTCTTTTCAGTCGGCCCTCCATCGCTCACAACAGCTCCACGCGTGGCTTCTTCACGAAAGTAAATTATACGTCGGCAACATACATGTTCTTTCGCAGAAGTGCACGGTGCGTAAAGCAAAAGCTGCTCCTATACATGCAATATGTGAGGGAGCTGCTGCGGCTCGTCCGACTCCGGTCCTCACAGAGCTTGTTTACTTTCAGCAGTGGGTCAGGTTTTGGCTTGCTGTTCTTGAGGAATGTACAGTTTTCCGCACTGCGTGACAAATTGAGAACCTTTACTTTTCTACTCAAAGTCAGACGATCCAATCGCGCACGACAAAAAAATCTGTTGGAGTTTCTATCCGCGTGCTACAGCAACAGCTATCGATACCCATCTGAATTATCCAAAATATCAGCGCCTAGCTTTCGTGGTGCCAACTTTCACTTTCTACGGTCTAGTTTTGTACCACAAGTTCCAGTCGTTGCTTGGGATAGTCAACTCCTCATCATCTTCTAGCTCTATATTTGTGCAGAACTGCGGTGTCCCGCACCAGTGATGACAGTTTTCCGTGCTGTTTCCAACAAACTGCATGATGCCCGTGCAGTTATTGTCTTTCGTCGAGCACCAATCCTGTTAATGTGTGTGTTTGAGAGTGGGTATAACAATGCCAAAGCTGATAATGTCCTTCCTTGCATGCATAGCCTTGCTTGTTTATGGGCGCGGATGCGGAGCCGTCAAGGACAACCAGCATTTAGCATTTGCTTCCAGCTCACGACGGTGATACTAGATTTTTATATCAGACGAGAGTCACCCTTGCAGTACCTGCGCATCGTTCCATATGGCCATGGTCCATGCTTCGCCCTTGCTTCCGATGGGGTGTATCCCCTTCAGTTCGCCCTTGCACCGGACGTTCGGCATGAAGCGATACTGCCCGTCGCCGGTGACGCCACTAAGTTCGAATACCTCCATGAAATTCCGCTTGAACAGCCCCTTTCCGAATTCTTTCGCCTGTTCGATGTCGAGCCCGAAGGGCAAAGACAAAAGGTTCCCGAAGCCCTCCGGCCAGGGAATCTGCGTCTCGCCGTCACACTGCAGGTTGATGGCCTCGATGGACGAAAGCCGGTTCCCTTCCTCGCAGCTGGCGGCAAGGGCGGTGTTGATTCCACTTGGGTAGCTGTTTAGATGGAACAAAACCAAAGCCGCAGATGTTGACGAGACCAGAGACAGAGTCGTGAGCTTGATACTTGCGGGCCTGCGATTTCTTCTTCTCTTTTCCGCGCTACGACTAGCCAATCTCGGCGACGAGTTACAACATGCCGTCAAGACAGTGCAGTTTCCGTCCAGGCAACCGGCACGCACCGTAGAAGTCGTGGACGATGACGACGAGCTTCTTGTAAGACAAGTGTCTGTAAGTACCATTGTCGCTTTAATTGATCTCGTTCTACTCGTGAGGATCGTGGTTCTTGTCTACATTCTTTATTCGATACGAAAAAGTGGTAGATCCATGTATCATGTTGATCCAGCAGTACTCAGAGTGTCCACGAAATCCCGGAAGGAAAGAGAACGGAGTAAGTCAGGAGAAGATTGAGTGGGAACAAGTATCGAAAAACCAACGAACCGCAGAAGTGGACGGATACTCTTCCGCGAGGCGAGCTGCCACTCGCAAATGCATTTATGATATCCTCGTCTCTACGTTTGAAAAATATACCCAAAACCGTCGTCGTGTCATGCGATAGCACTCCATCGTTTGTGCTGTCGTGCGTGGTCCAGATGAGTATGTAGATTTTCATGCGTCTTTAATATGGATGAAACATAAGCCCCGCTAAGGTGAAACGAAACGGTGAGTATGTAACGTGATGAATATGCGCCTAATATGTAAAAAAATGTGTGTGGAAGTGAGAGGGTTCGCGCGCTAACACGCTTCCTTCCGGGCGGAAGGGTGCCAGCAACGAAAAAATGATGCTTCTGGGTAAGAACCTATGAGATGAAATGGGGTACTGCTAGTGGGGATGATATGTCTAAAGGGGTGGTGCAAGCGAGTTGTTGAAACTTTTACCTTGTCAGAAACGCGTAAATTTGATTTTGGAAGTGTCTTGTTAATATTTGTCTCAATTGCAAAATGTGGTTAATTGTGTGCAAGCACAATCGAAAAAACGGAACGCGTAACAAAATATTTTACAGCCCTGATACTATGCAATGGTCTATGACTATGCGATGCCGATCCCTTAGCTTATACTTATTTGCGGCATGTGACTCTTCATGATGGTCTACGTGATTTTTGTATGCTAGCACTCAGATTATAGCCGTTCTTCCAGAAGCGCTTCTACGTAAACATTTTGTAGAGCCTCTGCATTCCCGTGGCGCTACTGGAGCTGTCCGCGGAGGACGGGGCGCCGGAGCTTCCGCCGCTCGTGCTTGACCCGTACTGCATGCTATTTGCCCCTTCGTTCCTGTCGCCGTAGGTCGAAAAGGTGTTCACGAAGTGCTTTAACTGTTGAAGCCGGACCTCGTCGTTGGCCAGATGATGGTAAATCTCCCGCGGGTCGATGTTCATCGTGGCGATGAAGAGCGCGGAAAACTGGTCCGCCTCGTATTCCAACATCTTGTGCTGCCAGGAGGACGGCCCGAATTGACACCGGCATTGTTGTTCTGTTTTTTTTTTTTGCGATTTGGATTTTCAATTCAGAGATCACACAAATTTATGTGAGAAGTACTAGGCACTACAGTGTGAGGAGAAACATCAGAAGGTAATTTCCCTTTGCCATCTTGATATGACGTCTCTGTGGCTTGTTCAAGAAGAGACAGGTGCGTCAATATTATGATGCGAAAAATTATCAATACGTAAGTGTCCGCGCATGATGTGGCCGTATTCGTGTCCGACGATGTGCGCCAGCACTGCAAATTTGTTTGGAATCCGCTGCAGATTGATCATGATCATCGGGTAGCTCACGCCTTCCTCCTTCTCCCGCGTCGTGGAGCAGGCGCAGAAAGCCAGCGTGTTGTCGATCATGAAATCGAAGGCGTATCCGGTGAAGTCGTAGATCAGTTGCAGTACCGATTGCAAGTTGATCATCATTTGCCTCAGGTGGAACTCCTTATCGCTGCAGAGCTTCCTTTTGCAGCAGACCGGCACCTTGATCTTCGGAATTCCGTGCAGCGGTGACGTCATGTTGGCCTGCTCCGAGATGCTGCGGGGGTCTTTGCTGTTCCCGAACGTCCCGGGCTGCTGGTACGTTTCCAGCGCATTTGGCACAATCATCCCGCGGAAAAGTGTGGCGATGCCGATGTGCGGGGATTTGTTAGGCGCACCAACCGGGACGACGGCCTCGTGCTTTGCGAGAGCGGAAAGCTTCGCGCGCGGAATCCCGAGCGGATTGGTGTTCTGCAGCTGGGACAAATTGATTTGCGTGTTCCCCGGCTGGCCCAGGTGCGCGAGCGTGCCGAGCGGGTTCGAGCCTAAGATCGGTATTTCCGGGCACACGAGGTCGTCCCGGACCTTTGGCACGTTCCCGGTCAACTTCTTGTGCCACCACACCGCCATGGAGCTGTCGTTGTTGGTGTGAAAGGACTGCGGCCCGTTGCCGGCGTATTTGGAAGGCTTCAGCTTCAAGAAGAATTTCTTGACTTTTTCCGCCCCAAACTCCGACTCAATCACGCCCTGAAACGCCGTCTTCGTCCGGGTTGGCGACGTTGACTTCGTCCTTCCGTTCACTTTCGGCGACGGGGTGCAGTTCCCCTCCAAGATCGACGAGGGGACAATTTCCACGGTCAGAATCTTGATTTTATACGGCGGTTGCTGAAATTTCTGGCCCGTTTGCTTGTCGTAAATGGCCTTAGGAACGACCTCCAAGTTTTCGTTGTAGTACTCGACCAGTGGCTCGTGGGGGGCTTCGTCCGGCCGATCCGTGATTTCCGCGGCGTAGAACCTGATTGAGCAAATTGGTTTGAGATTGATTCGCTCACGCAACCGTGACACCTAGATTTATTCGTAAACGTTAAGTAGAAATGGAATCAAGATGCAACTCCACTTCTTTGACAACCGAACCTACATCTCAACATCATGTTCAACTACTTTTAAAACTGTCTACGAAAGAACTTTACCTTGATAGCGCACACCCTTCTTCCATTTGCTGTTGCATTTCCTCGTAGCTAAGCCTTGTTTTGTTACTTCGTCGCACCACCTCATCCCTGCCCGAGCTGCTCGACGCACTCGAGCCGGTACCACTGGCCGACGTGCTGTTCAGGCTTGCGTTCAGCTTGTTCGCGGTCGAGAGCGAGGAAGAGATTTTGGTCCTGCCGACCGGGGACGCGGTCGGCGACGGCGAGTTTGACGAGTCGCCGAGACTCACGCGCTCGAGATGACGCGAGGACGCGGTCGAGGTGGTGTGGAATAAGGACGTTGTCGTTGAAAAGTTTCCGCTGCTCGTCCTCCCGGTCCGGTTGCTCCCCGGCGTCAACGTGCTGCGGTTCGACACCGGCGTTCCCTTGTTTTTGTCGAGATTGTAGGTCGTCAAGTCCTCAAACGGGTCGAACATCTTGTTCGTGCGCTTCGTCGAGGAAATCGTGGGGGAGTTCGGATTGGATTTGCTGTGCAGCAAATTGTTCGCGTTCGCCGCGTCGGCGTTGCGGAGCGCCGAGTTCGTGGTGCTCGGACGGTGGGTCGTGTTAATTTTCACGGAGCTGCCCGATCCGCCCAAGACGTTCGTCGAGAGTCTGCTGTGCTGGTTCAGCAAATTGCTCGCCCCACTGCCGAACTGCTGCGCGCTCGTGCTGGTGCGGCCAGAGGACCGGAGAGACACGACCCTGCCAGCGTTCGCGCCTGTCGTCCCGGAGCCGAACGCAGACAGACGGTTGGTCGGGGAAAAATTTCCGTCTGTGTTCTCCTCTTCGTTGTAGTACCTAAACGGGCTGCCCGGCTTGGAAGGGGACGATTTTTCTTTTCCAAAAGAATCGTCGTCGTAGTCGTCATACGCAGAGGAACTTGGGGTGACGTCAATGATGTCCTGGTACCACAAATCCAACGTTGCGCGGTCCGCTGCGCCACAGGAGCTCTCGTCTTGGCCACTGATCTGCAGAATGCCGGAGGTCGCGGAAAAGCGACTCGGCTCCTTCTCCACTGGCGTGCAGATAAAACCCTCCTCGTCCAATGAAGAAAGGTTCCTAACCGTCGGTGAACGACCTCTGTTTGCGGAAGAGGAGGAAGAAGATGCTGCTGTTTTACGACCGAAAGATATCGCGGTAGGTGCAGCAATCGAGGCCGGCGGCCCTCCTGCAGCTGCCAACTGTATCAGCTCATTTGTGAACGTCACCGCAGCAAGATCTGGCGCAGCCCTGATGTCCCTTTCGCCGTCCGCCTCTGCCGACGCAGATCTCGATGACCCGGATAGGAACCGCTGTGCGGACTCCAGGGTCTTCTTGACGACTTCCATCTTCTGGGGTCGTGTCTTCTACCCCCGTAAGTCGGCGGGCGTGGCACAACCTACAAGGGCTCAGATATGACGAGAAAAGTAGGTTACTTTTCAAGTACTGGCTCGTCGTACTCGTGCTAGTTTTGTGTGCCTATTTGGAATGTCCTCGCGGAAACCGAAGTGTTTATTTATCGGGTACAACACAAGTGTCGTGGTCGTGGAAAATGTAGAAGTGAATGAGGGAAGTGGAAAATGCAATGGGCTACAACGAACTATGGGGGAAGTTGCGATGTGGGTTGCGTTGGGTCCGTCTGTGTGCGTAGTAGTTGCGTTCGAAATTATTAGAAACGATCGCCAGCAGAAAAAAAGCAGACCAGCATAAGATTGTGAACAAACAACGATGAAATATACGAAAAAAACGAGGACGACAACAGAGATGCACGACGACCTTGAAGAAAGAAAATGGTGCACGAAACCGAATGAGGGAGATCAGAGCACGCAGACGATTCATGTTAGTTTGCTCAAAGAAAAAAAAACGAAACACCAATCTTGACGAAAAAAGAAGAACGAAGATGAAATACGAACCGATACATAGCTATGTATCAAAACGACCGCTGGTAGCTGCACGTGAATGGAAAATCAAATGAAAAAAAAAAATCATTTACGTTTTAATTCATCATACAAACTTTCAGTTTTTTAGCACTGGCACTAAGAATCAACCGAAAGGTCTGCGCTTTCTCTTCGTAAATCAACCGAGCACAAATTTGCGCTTTCTCGAGGGGTGAGGAAAGAACACCTGAAAACGATCAAAATCAGCAGGCTTCGAATGGCGCACGCTCTTCTGTCACACCGCCGCTGTCTATGTATTCCTGAGAATCCATCAAAGTACTCATCCGCACAGTGACTACTGCAAAGGAAAGTTGCTCCCTTGCCCTAGCGGCCAGAAAAAAATGCAAAAATGCTGTATTTCGTGCAAGCCCTGTGGTATATAATTCAGCCTTCGCTTTCCAAACGAAAAGACCGAATTCACGAAGCTTGAAAAAGTTCTCCTGTTCCTCACGATATCGGCAGCTGAATGCGACTTGCGGTACGAAATTCGGTCGACACTCGAGCCGCAGGCTCGGTCGTGCCAGCCGTTCCGTCAACCACACGGTACTGCTGCTGGGTCGCATTGACATCAGGCGGACTGGAGAGTATGATGTGCTGGTCCGGCGAGGAGGAGGACCCAGGCAAAAAACCAGAATTGGAATTGTTCCCTCCTGCGTTACTAGTGTTCCCATAGCTCGACGCATTCTGGTGGTGCAGGAAGACCTCTGGGGACGCGAGTATCACCTGCTCCACCGCCGGACCCTGCTGCGCTTCTACGGGTTGATAGTGCTGCCCGGGTACTGCTTGCTGCTGCAGTAATACAGAGCCTGTTCCGACGACCGCTGGCAAAAACGACGCAGAGGGGATCGGCGCACCCGACGGGCTCCGGACCGCTTCCGCGCTGGAAAAGTGGTGGTCTTTAGACCCGGCAGAATTACTATCCTGCGGAGGAACCACACCACTGTAGGGGTCGAGCAACTGCTGGTCGACGTCTTTCACTGAACGCGACGCGCGATCCTCGCTAGCTTCGTTCATTCCTGGTGGCAGCTCTTGCGCAGTGCCGGCGGTATCGCTTGCCTCGGGTCCGACGTCTTCCTCATCCTCGGGGGCGAGCTTTTGATACTCGTCGAGCAACGCGCCTATCTCCTGCTCCGCCGTGTCTTTCAGCTCCTCAAACTCAGCCTCTTGGGACGCGTGCTGCCTCCGCAGCCGGTCGATCTCTTCCTCGGCCTGCTTGATCGACTCGCGGTTCTCCTCGGGGATGGCATTCTGTCGGTAGGTGTGGGAGGTGCAGCACAATTTTTTCGATAGTACAAATCAAGGGCTCATGCGTTTTCCGCAATGATATTGAAAATTTCAGCAACACAACAGGAACATGCTACCTCAGCCTCCTCCTCCATTGCTGCCTGGCTTTGGCTGGCTGACAACTGCTGCAAGAGGTGCTGTTTCTGGTCTATCCTTTTTCGTTTCTCCTCGATCAGGTCCATCGTGGCGGTGTGCGTTTGCTCGTTTAGAACACGTATTTTCTCGTCGTACCTTATGTGTCAACAGAAGCTGAAACTTGCAATTTTACATGTTGCGTTCTGGCTCCTTGTCAATTGATGTGTATGTCAAGAACAGGGAGAAATTGCATGATAGATTAAGCAGACAAGGATGTGAAACAAGCAAAAAGCACTGTACTCCTGAATCAGTTTCAAGTTTGTGTCCGCCACTTCTGCTCGCTCTGCCGCGTAGTCCTTTTCCAGAGCGGCAGCCTGCTCGATTTCCGCAACTTTTTGTCTCAAGAGTAAAACCTTCTGCTCCATCTCTCTTACCTTACTCCTGTGCCGGAAAAACTGCACACGGTACATCTCCTCGTCCTCTTGCGACAGTGGAGGCTCTACGCCATCACCTGCTGTGGCCGATGTTCTATTGCCGGCTGGAAACTTGTGGAGCAGCGCTGTCGCACCCTGGTGCGGATTCATCCCCGCGGCTGTTGCAGCTTGTTGACCAGCGCTTCCTAGCCGATCAAGCTGTTCGTTTGACGTATTGTTCGACGGGAAAAGAATAGACGAATTTCCCGCAGGTGTGAGTGTGCTGTTGTAATCGCTATCAGAGGTTGCGTTATAATCGAAGCCCAATTGATGGCGTTTTTGCGCCGAACCAGGAGCTGCTGGTGTGCCTGTCGCGCTGCCGAACAAAATCGACCCGCCCGTTTGAATGGGCGGTGGAGCACCAGGGCCGCCAGAAGCACTACCCCCTGGGGTTGAAACAACGGCCGCGCTCCCATAGTTCTCGTGTATGACATTGCTACCCGCCGTCGCACCGAAGATTAAGCTCGACGACGTTGCGGGAGTTGATATTCGTCCAGGGGCGGTACCCGATGGCTGTTTCTTTGGCGTAAAGACCAAATCGTTGGAAAAGATTCTGGACACAAACTTCGCGTTCGGATCCGCCGCGCCGCCGGAACCGAGGTTCCGGCTAATGGACCCGGGATAATCATTTGGAGTGTCGGCTGGACCTGGCCCACCGGCGGCGGCGCTGTATGAACTTGCTTGGTGCGACACTGTTTGTTCGTGGACCACACTGCCGTTGATGTTGTAATAATCGGAATTGCCTGTACCAGATGTGCTGCCGTTGTTCATTCGATAAGAGGAACTGGACGTCGCCGGCATGTTTGCAAATGTCGACCCCGACTGGTGAGACATCACGCTTCCTGGTGTCATGTAGTAGTCCTGGGGGTACTGGTTGAGGTTCACACTGTTCCCTCCCTGCTGCGGAAGTGCGTGGTTTGGCGGCAATGGCGTGCTGTAGTCGTATGGGACAGGCGTGTTGTACTGCAGATTTCCAAGGTTCTGCTGGCTCTGCTGCTGTTGCAGCACATATTGATCATGCTGCGCCGCCATGGTCAGTCCACCTGTAGTACTTCTGGTCGTGTTTTGGTGCTGTAAAACTGGTGTGGTGTAGCGTGAATCTCGGCTCGGATCATATCCAGGGATCGGGTAGGGACTTGCGGACACAGGAAGCGAGTCGATGTGGCGCTCGCGCGGAAAACCAGCTTGAGGAAGATTCGGGTTGACGTTTCCGTACGGAGATCCATAGCCACCGCCTGCGCCGGGGCTGCCACCGATGACGTAACTGAGCTGCTCTGGCGCCTGCTGCTGTTGGGCTTGGAGCTGCTGCTGTTCGGCGGCGGCGTAGAAATTCTGGTCGTAAATATTCACGCCGGATCCCGGAATCGTCCCCGTTACCTCGCCACGAGGCGACTCGGGCGGGGTGTTCCCCATGGTGAAAAACCAAGAACGTGAGCGTAGTCACAATGTCTCCTTCACAAGAATTTCTCCGCTGGCGGCTTTCTTCAGGCACCGTTTCTGTGCTCCTTCTTCAGCGATCTCGTAACAAGAGCAACCACAGCGCACGATGTACAACTAGTTCAAATTCTAGTTTCTATACCAACTTCTGCACTCACGCTTTCCCTCGCTCCACATTGACAAGGGTATCCCTCACTTGCCAATTTCATTTCACTTCGTGGTCATCTTGTTGTTCTCCACAGTGCGCATATTGACGCCTCGCTTCTCTTCGACTTTTCACCGCGGGGTGTCGATATGACGTTCTGAGGCAAGTGCGAGCACTGACTTCTCGCTCTCGCCACCGGTGCAGGGTCATGATTCATTGCTCCACCACACAACCTGGGCACAGACAACGAAGGCGAACAGATGAAGCCTACACGGACATAAGACGAGACGAGACCACGAGCCACGCTTGTGTGGTCGAAGAAGTACGGCTTGCGGATTGTACGCCGGGACATGGAGGAAACAAATCAAGAGCCGGGCACCGCCTTGCAACAGGCTGCAGAGCAACACCATGTCCACGCCTTCGCGTGTTTCCACACGCACCGAACGCGCTTTGAGCCCAGGCGGGGCGCCGGGCCTCCCCGGCGTCCGTCACTTTCTCCAATTTCAAGACGGGCGCCGCCGGGCGGGTACGAAGGTAGGCCGGGGGGCGCACTGGCCCATCGCGGAGGCGCGCGAGATGGGGCGGGGGGGCTTCGAAGGCCACCGGGCCACGCCCCCGCCATCTTTGGGCAGCCGCCGGGAGCACCGCGCCGCAGCACAGTCCAAGGGGCCGGAACTCGGCCACTTGGAGGGGTTTGGTCAGGGGGGGGCCGGACGAAGGGGCGCGCGTTGCTTGATGGCGCGGGTTCCCCATATGCGACACCGGCCGCGCGGTACAGATCCCGCGCAATCTAAGCTGCTGCGCCTTGACTTGAGGCGAGGCCGACGCCGAGCGGCTTTCTGTGATGGCGGCACTAGCAGCGAAGAAGCTGACTCCCGTGACTGCTTCCATGATCCCCCCCGAGCGAGAATGTTTCCACCGTGCTACAACCGCAGGCTTGCCGCGTTGTTCATGAAAGGCGACAACACCAAACGCACTGCCGGCTCTCCGCCACTCCCCAGCGTTCGCGCTTGGTGCCGTTCCAACGCGTCCTGTCGACTGCGCCAGCAATGTCGTCAGTACGACATTGCACGCCATGTACTCGGCTGGAGGTTTGAGTTTAGTGCATCATCCCAGCAAGGGGCATGGTGCTTCGGAAAGGCTAACGCTCGCATTTCTTTCTTCTGTGGAAAAGATGATGAGAAACGGCACTCTATCTAAACTCTTTTCTCGGAGATACCCAAACCTCTCTTTGTCTACCAAGACATGATCGCGCTCGCCTTCGCACTACGGCTTTTTTCTTTATGTGTACAACCACCCTCGACCTCGCGTTATGTTATCCCTCGACGCAATGCAGTAGAGCATTGCGTCAGAAACAAGAACAGAGAAGGAAAATTCGCTCTAGTCTAGTGACATGCATGAGAACACGAAATCGAATTTGATTTCTCGTCATACTGTATGAGAATTTGGGACTTTACCTTTAGCATATCACGCACGCAAATAAAAAGCACTGAGAGGCGCTGCAGAGGGCCTGCCGGAACGGCTACACCCATCCACGACGGAATGCTACCTAGGCCACACCAAGAGCGCGCCATGCCGCAGCTGTGGACACGAACACACAGGCCGGATGGGGCGCGCGGACAGCGAGCGAAATCCCAAATGGACGGGGGGTGCGGGCCCAAGCGAGCCCACGGGCCGCCGGGCGGCAGCTCCAAAGCCCGGCAGCGATCTGCTTCGGGCGGCCGGGCGCAACACAAAATGGCCACGCCACGCCGGTCGCACGGGGGCGGCCGAGTGGCCCTCGGGGCCCACGTCGCTCGTTGGTCGCGCGATCCTTTTCGCCGGCGGGCGCGCCAATGGATTGGCTGGCCTCGTTCCCTTATGACGTAGCTGAAGTTGTTTTGGAGCGCAGCCGCGCGGCTTTTTGTTTCCCCAATTTTCGGCACTGATCTCGGCCGTCCGCGCCCGCTGGTCGCCTTCTTTCACCGAACCCCTCTGACCAGTCGCGGCCTATCTTACCCTTAGGGCCGGCCCCGGCGCTCCGCTTTGTTGCTGCGGGGGCTCTGCCTCTGGGCAAGCGGGTTCGTTGCAACTCCTCCGGCATTCGTGCGGGGGCGTCACATGGCCTGCTGCGCACACCGAACAGGGCGGGCTAGGCAACGTCGGAGGCCTAGCGTGGCGCCCGGGCGAAGTGTCGGACAAATTCCGGCAAAACCACTGAAGCCGTAGACGCCTATCTGCCCCGTAGCACGTGAGAGGCCCACCGTGCCGCCACCGGTTACTGTCGTGATGCCGTTCGACCGCTGCGTCGTCGCTCCGTCGCCCGCTCATTTCCGACATATACAAGCCTGATGGCGCCACATTTCTCCATCTAATGTCACGGCGCCAACTTTGCTTGGTGGGTGTTATCATCCAAGGCACATTTGTCATTGTGCTGGTCGCACGGGCACTTGTGCCAAGGGACTCGTTTTTCTCTCTTGTTTGGAATGCCACTCAACATTGGGAAATACCTCGGCTCAGCTTTTCATATCTAGCTGTAGCAGTTGCTCCCAAGACCAACACACCGTTTCTGAAAGCAATGGCCAGTAGTTGCTTCTCGTTCTCTCGCTCTCACCAGGATCACTGACTATAAAAATGCATCTAATGTAGGTCTGCAGTTCGAACAGGGGGAGAAAAGACGCTTCTCCATCCTCGTCCTGACAGCCATGGTTGCTGCATTGTCTCGCTGAAAAGCGCACTAGCACAGTAACAGCTGCAGTGGCTTTCCAGTATCTGTGGGTACCGCCAAAAGCGAAACGTAGTGCATGTACGAGGCCGTACTTCTCATTTTGCGTTCAAGTTATAGATGCGTCAATATCATACAGAAACAGCGATCGGTGTCTTTGACACAACCACACTCGCGATTTCCATCACGCCATCAAAACCGGTTCCTCTGTTTTCAGGTACTCCCCTGGCTTCCCGGGCACCATCACCGTCGTCTCCTCCACCGCATCGTGGAAGTCCTCGAAAGCCTTCGCCAAACTCCCTTTGTCGTGCGAGTCGTAGAATAATCTGACAATCGGCTTCACTTTCCGCAATGGCACGACGAACCGCTTCCAGTGGTGCTGCAGGTGCTCGCCGTCGAGTTTCGTCAACGCGAGCGAGTCTTCGTGCAGCGGCACGCCGCCGTGCTTGCAAATTTCGTCGTACACTTTCGGGTCGGTGCAGTCAAACTTCTGAAACAACACCGGAAAGGGCCTCACTTTACTCATCCACGCGTCCCGGACCTCCTCGAACAGCCGGTTTTTGGTGTTTTTGTAGCTGTGGTTGATGAGCATCAGGCTGTTCGCGTAGAACCCGAGCCGCGGGTCCCGTATGTACCAGAGCTTGTTCCACCGGTCGTCTTGCATGATGTCCGCGGTGTGCTCCGGGTCGTTGCCCCCCGCCGGCGCGTCTTTCCGCTTCCGCTCCACGATGGAATCGTAGCAGACGGGCGCGAGCGGCCGACACCGCTCCTTGTTCGGGCCGTCGCACTTGAACTTCGTGCCCCAAATCTCGTAGTGGTAGTCGCAGTTCGTGAAGGACTGGCGGTGGCAGGTCCGAAAGCTGTAGGGATCCGGAATGATCACGTCGCTGTCCCCGCCGGGAAACCCGGGGGGGAAGCCGCCGCCCGGGTTCATGTACTTCGACATCTCCCCGTCCATGATCGATTGCAAGTCTCCCATGTCCGGCTTCCCGCCGAGCAAGTCGGTGATGAATTCCGGCAGAAAGCTCGTCGCGGCTCGTGTTTTCTTCCTGGATGTGGCTTTGCTGTGCCCCGCAATGAGGGACGGTGACGAGGAGCCGAAGGCTGTGGTCCTACGTTGACCTGCTCTGTGCAAATTCGCCAACCGACGGCCTTTTTGAGGTCGTTGTGGTCGACGACATTGCGATGATAATGGTGCTGCGACGAGATCTTTCTCCTCGGACGAAGCGAAAAAGCTGGAGACTGGTGCGTGCGACAAATGCGACGAGGCCTTTGGACAAGTGGACGGATGTGTAGTAGCAGGCCAAGAAGGTGTCGCCGCTGTGACAAAGATGGAAGCCCGCTCGTCCTGTGAACCTGTTGCAGCACTTGGTGCAGCTTTCCGGCACCAGAGTGTGCTATCTGACAACATGTCAGAAAGAAGATTGCGCATTTGCAAACCCATGTTTTTCGTTGGAAGTAGAATCTTAGACGAAAATGTGAGCTATGAAAACCTTTATCGCTTATCGCATCAAGTGAAGACGAGAGCAACCAATAAATATGTAAATTCGATTGACACTTACACGGTGCCAACTGCTTCGCATACGACAGCATCACCTCTACGACCATGAAATGAATCAATGTACGACACGACAATGCAAACATTCTCTCGTGATCTTACTTATCTCCGGCCTGGGTTCTTCTTCTTACGCTCTCCGACGAGTCGTGATTAAGATTAAGAATAAGAACTTTCATCGAACAATAAAGCACGATGTCAAAGCTTCGCTGTCCTCGGTATCGAACGACGTGAGCACAGGATGCCCCGGCCGACACTTATTTTCGATGCGGATAGAGAAGATGCGTCTTATGTTCTCATCGGGCTTCTTCGCGCATGGAGAAGTGCTGACTTCAAAGGACAAAGAACTCAGATCAATTCAAGTTTATGCACGGTCGGAAACTCTGAATAGCCACTTAGTATGACCAGCTTGAGAAATCGCGCTTGTGGTAGCTGCAAGTCGGTGTACTGGAGCCTGGCGTTTATTTCGTTTTCCAAGTGATATTGAACGCGGCAGAAACGTGATCAGAACGAAGTTAGTAGAAGAAGCAAATCGTCATCTTCTAAATCTAGTGAAACAGGAACAGAAACAGAATGCAAATGCATGAGTATGTTGATGTTCCTGGTCGCAATTGCAAGCAATAAACTTTGTACCTGTTGCTATTGTCCAGACGTAGCGTGTCTTGCGTTGCAAAATTAACTGGGTAATCTGTGTCATCCTTGGACACCTCGAGCTTGAGCTCCTTTATACCTCAGATATGGTTTTGTTCACGTGACTCACTCCATTCATGATGAAGACAAGAAAGCCGGTTCAGCGTTGGCTTCCGTCTGCCTTCCGTGCCGCATACAAAAGCAAAACCGATTTCAATCCGAAACAACTACCTCTTCCAGGAGAATTTCTAACATGAAGCAGAGAAAAAACCTTGCTTCTGCTTGCTAGAATGCGTACGCGTATATATATCCGACATGGTACCTGTGCTGGCGATTTTGATTGTGCTCGACCTTCGGTCTGTTATCTCGACCAAAATCTCCTGGGGAAACATGCCTGTTGATATCCAGTAGGTCTTTTCGTTTCCGTCCAGCATGTTTTCCTCAGGATAGGAGGGATCGAGGCTGGTGGTAAGCAGGATGCGGCACGACATCTTGTGTTTGCTCTTTTGATTCAAATTCGATCCTTGCCTTCTCTCGTCCTGCTCACATCAGGTTGCAGAGCGGCGAAAATATCCGAAACTTCGTATTTCAGCATCTTCACGAGTGCGTACCTGTCACTCCCGAACTTCCGTGCGCCCGCGTTAATGATTTATCGGCTCGGCTTCAAAAACACAACAACGCTATCCCAGAATCAACGCGGTCACGAGGCATGCCTGTATGGACCTCCAGGCGTGCAGTGGCAGGATTGACTCCTGGTTGCCTTCAAACGCTCAATTGGAATCGGGAAAGATGTTCGTTAAATTTGCGAAGTAGTCGTTTGACCAAAATGAAAAATCCACGGAAAAAGTCAAGCTCAGTGAAGTTTTCACGCTTCACGAGGGTGGGTGGCAGGTCGCTATCTTCCTATGGCTCTGGTTCGGCGGTAACAGAGCTAGAAGCTACTAGATGAAACCTAACCTCACAACTAAGTTTTGCTAGCCGAAAATCAAAATACTCACGCATTCTTCTACTTAATGTCGCCGCCGGCCGGTTCTCGTTAGATTTAGGTATAAGTGTAGTTCCTGCCTTTGTATTCCTAAAACGCATGGCACAACCAAAATTTTCTATGGAAAAGAAAAGAAGCTCAGAAGTCTCCGTGGTGGAGCCAACAGGGAGACAAAACCAAAATCCGTCTACGCCTCAGCTACGTTTTCGTCCGACCACCCGGCCCACCCGTTGTCGCCTAGAACCATTTCCTTCTGCACTTGTTGCTCGTCGAAGTCTGACAACGCGCACATCGGTTGCCCGTTGTACATGGGTAGTTTGTACTCGTCAACTTCGCAGGGAAACTTCCTACCCGTCTTCTTGCAACAGCAGATTTGGTCGCTATCGCATCCGATGTGGTCTTTGCAGCCCGCGGGCTGGGTTGAATTTAGTAGAGGTGTTTCAATTTTTTGATTTGCAAAAATAGTGCAACGCGACAGCCATTGTGAATAAGCATCTTCTAGCGCGAGCCAATTTTTATATTCTCATTGGATTGGTAAACGACGGAGGCTTGTTCTCAATCTTCATTTCTTCTGATAATTAAAACGAGAGAAACCATGTGGTCGAAATCAAGGCGCTTCTGTAAGTACCGCGTTGAATCGGGCGTCGAGTGTATCTCCCCGCATGTTGCAGTAGTTCTGTGCGTCCGAGCACCTTGGGTTTTTCGCCGGCGGGCCCATGATGTAGATCTCGCCCTTGTTGTACTCGTTCAATTGCTTCAGCAAAACTTGCGGGTCTTGGTTCCGGAACTCTTTTGTGTCTTTGTTCACGACCATAATCTCCGCCCCGGCCTGCATTCCCTGCACGAACAGCGGCCCCTGCGGGGGCATCAAATCCGCTGGCGGGCGGCCCCGGACGCACACGCGGAGCGCTTTGCTGCCGTTCATCTGCCCCATACTTCCGTCGCACCCATTCCCGGTCTCGCCGTTCTTGCAGCACAAGCCCGCCCCGCAAAAGTCGGGGCACGGTCCGTTCGACCCGCACTGGGACTGACACGCCTGGTCCAAGTGGTCGACGGGGGCGGCGGAGGGCTCTACGGACCGCATGACGCACACCGGCTTGTCCTCCCCGCCGATGTCGCCATCGCAGTAGTTGCCCGCCTGCCCTTTCTGGCAGCACATGCCATTCCCGCAGAACTCCGGGCAGGGGCCGGTCTTGTCGAAACAGTGCGGGAGGCAGGCCTGGCCCTTGTGCCTCAGAATGGGCAGCTCCGCCGTGTCAATGGACTTGATGTGGAAATCCTGGTCCACCGTGACGTGTTCCCGTTCGAACGCGCCTTTCTGGGAGTACGCGATCTTCTTCAGGTTCATACACCCGTTGTGACACTTGTAGTACCCGTAAGGGCACTTCGCTTTGTTCATACAGCGCCCGAGCTTCTTGCTGCAACAGAAGTCCGCACCGGACCCGGAAGTCGGGGCGCGAGGGTCGGTCGCCTTCAGAAAGGAAGTAGTGCCTGCAACTGTGGCTATTGATGGCGGCTTGTAGTTCCTGCTGGTCTTCACCCTTGCAGCTATTCTCTTAGTCGTGCGAGGTAGTTGATGTTCCTCGGCCGCAAATGGGCCGGTGTTCGAAAACGGCGACGCGCCACTGGCATGAGAAGTGAAAGTGGAAAATCTTCTGTGCACCGGACTGGTGACCCGCTTCGAGCTACTACTACAGCTTGCGATATTGAACAGAGAATCAATTGCGTTCCATAGTGAGCTGCTATCATAGCGACCAACGGTCGTACTACCGCCGTGCTGGTGTTTGGTGGCTGCACCACCGTAGTTTGTCCAAGATGTCGTGTACTTAGTATCGAAGTGTGCGCGAAAGAAATCATCTCCAGATAGTTCTCCGGCGTGGTAGGGTCCAGTGTCGAAAGGGTGGAACAGCGTGTGCAGCACTTGCTGCAACGAACCAGGCGGCATCTTTTCTTCTTGGCTCTTACGCTAGTACTGGTATGTCGTTGGGCGGAGAGCTGCAAGTTTTTCCCTACCGGAAAAACTCCCGTATTAGAAAGCTGCGACGTACGTCCATGTGGAAGAATGGACGTACTAAGCAAACCTAGAAAAACACGTTACTGAGATTGACTAGGACACCTCCGCTCCCGTGGATTCATCTTATTTTGTTTTTCGTCCATCTCGTCACACGATTGATAGCAAAAGCAGAAGCAATTTTGCTTCACTATAGTTTTTGCGGTCCCTCTCCATTTTTCATTTTCTCGCTTTTCTCTCTTTCAGCATCTCGACGACAAACGATTACTTTTACTATTACAGATATAGCATCACAAAGACTTCTAGGACAGAACGACGAACACGGTTCTTCTACTTTTGATTTCGTGAGTCTTCCGATGCTGAAACATAACACTTTTTCAGAGGCAAAGAAAAGGAAAACGAGTAGAAACTAGATTACTTAAATTGTTAGTAAGCTGCGACTGCGTCGAGCGTGATTATGTTATTGGAAAAATTGTCTTGAATGGAGGCTTGGGATTTTTTTTCTAGTGTACGTACTTTATTGTGTTAATTTTTTACAAAACTGAAACTTGTAAAGTTTCTAATGGGAAGGGGAATCAACTAGCTACAAGCAACTCAAAATGAATTCGAGTCGCTCAATTATCAAAAAGATCTATCCATATCATGCAGGTGCGGTACTCAGTTCATCTACACTACGTATGACGAGGTCATAGACTTTTCGCTCCTCGTTCGTACCCAAACCCGCATGATGTATTCAACAAAAAGAAAAAAATAGAAACGAACCAAAAAAATATCCTATCTAATTTCCACCGCTTCAGTCCTACTCCCCGCCAGGTTGCCAGACGCTTCCGATGACGGAAGGAGGTCGATCTGACTTCCGGCCACCTCCAGTCCCGCTTCTCGGCGCACCGCTCCTCGGCTCGCCACGAAGATCGCCACTTTTATTTCGGCTTCTCATCTTTTCTTTTTTCATTGAGCGTTTCGCCGAAGCGTCGGACCGTCCCGAGCGACTTCCACCTGAGGACGCTTTGGACGATACCTTCGATGCAAGTTTAGATGCTTCCTTATCCCAAGACAAAATCTTAAGCCACAAGCTGTCAGGAACTGCATCATCGGGACAAGAATTCAAGAATCTGCAAGGAAACGAAATCGAGAAACTTTAACTTCCTGCTGGCGAGAAGCACTAATAGCAGCGCCAGCAGTGTTTTGTTGTTTCTCATGATCATTTGACACACTCGATCATCATCATAAACATTAATCATGATGATCGTCTTTACTATTACTTCTACGATAACAATCCCACAAATGCTGAGACTGACAAACAACTAGGCTCGCGATTTTGTGGTAGGATATCTGCGGATGGTGTCAGCAAGAGCGCCGAAGGAGCTTTGTGGTGCGGCTAGTTGGGAGCCTGGTTGTGCTGGTTGCAGGGAACCAGGAATTGCTGGTTGCTGGGAGCCTAGTGACTGGGAGAGCCGGCCCGACGATATTGCGGCGGAGAGCCGGTTCTGTGAGGTTTGTGAACCCATGTTGCCCATCACCTTTCCTACGGCCTCGTGGTGTTCCAGCGCACGCTGCAGAAACAACGAACCTTGTTGGCGCGGAGCCTCGCTGGCGGGCGCGGCCGCGTGACTGGCGGGCGCGTGGCTGGACTTGATGAGATCCACGAAACTGGCGGTGCTCCCGCTGCCGTACGAAAGGTCTTTGGAGGGAGCAGCGGCGTCACCTCCCTGCTTTTTGCTCTTCTTCGCGCTCGCCGATCGATTTCGGTCCTTCTCTCGCAGGTCTCGGCCAGAAGCGCTCTTTTTCACCTTCTTGCTGTAGTCGTAGTCCCGATCCGAATGCCCCGAAGCGTCGGACACGTTCTTCTTGGACATAGACTTGTTGCTTAGCGACTTGCTGCTCTTCATGCTCTTCTTCGAAGACAAGGACTTGCTCAGTTCCTTGGCTGCTGCACTCTCCTTGTTCCTGGATTTCTTTATCTTTTGCCTACCCGCTTCCGCCATGTCAGCGATACCAGCGTCGTCGGGGTTTTCCTCCGAGAAGGAAACAATCCCCGAAAGCGACTTGGACATCTGCTTGGAAATGCGTCCCCCACGCGCCAAACTGTGCGACGCCAGGAAGCTCTGCGGCTGCTGTGCCGCGACGGCCTTGCTCGCGGCTGCCTCCTCGTGGTGCTCGTCGTAGCTCATACCTGCGCTATCGTGGGACCCGGCGCTCTTCGGCCCGGCGACCCCTCTGTTGTATTCCCTCACGTGGGCGCCCAGCAACGGCGCTCCCGCTGCAGATAATATCTCGTCTTGCGCCGGACCACCTAGTTGCCCTGCTCTCGAAGTAGGTACAACTCCAGCGGGAGTGACACTAGTGGTGATGTCCGGAATCTGTGCGACGCCCCTGGACCGGTTCGACGGGTCTCCGGACTGGAGCTGCTTGGCTTCTTTGCTGCCGGCTGGTTCCTTGCCGAAGCTGGACAAAATCTTCTTGTTGTCCTGCTGGGTGGACTCAAGACTGGGCGCGAAACTGTTGATCTCGTCCCCAAATTGCTCGTCTTCCTGGGGGACCCCCGGAGGGGCGGCGCTGTAAACCACCATACTTGCCCTCCCCCCGGCTGCGGCTGCAGGGGCTTCTCCGTACTCATGTGGCCCCGTAGCCGCACCCGTCGCAGGAGTGCCTTCATCGTCTCCTGCAGGAAAAGGGTGGTCGCCTGCGAGAACGTCGGCAAGGACTCCGTCGCCCGTGCGTACTGGTGCTGGCTCTTCGGTTCCCGGCTGCAGATTGAGCGGATTAAGATTATTGGCGCCATCCCCTGCCTGTCGCACCTGCCCAGACGGAAGACCCTGCTGCGACTTGTCGTCAGCTTGTAGGTCTTTTTGCTCCCCACTCGCGATTCGGTCCGCACTCCCCTTACTGTGTAGGTGGGATGTTGGGTGCGGCGATTCCTGGGACGACGTGAGATGCACCTCGTCTCTGTTCATAGGAGGTGACTCGGTGGTCGTGTCGGGGGCGGGAGTGGTTGTGACGGTCGGCGTGACCGCGATGGTGCCGTCATTGAGGCGTAAAATTTGCGATCGCGCGAGGGTCGCCTTTATAGAGGCGTTCTCTTCGTACCCCTCCTTGTAGTGAAGAACAAGACAGATCATCACCATTACCAGCACGAGGCACAACAAGCTTCCTACCCCGCCAAAAATCAACGCCAGCGTCATGCAGGCGTCTTTGGTAGCAGCCTCCCCCGACTTCGCCTCGTCTTTTCCTACCTCCCCGCTTGAAAGTACTTCTGATGGTACGGCGAAAGTTTGGTTACTTGACGCCCCGCCGCCGGTAACATTATTTGGCAACCCGGAAGACGGCGCTGGTGTCGTGTGCGCGTCACTTACTTCACTCACACCACTGAGTTCGGACCCACCACCTAGACTCCCACTGCCAAATTGACCTGGTATGGCCTCGTCGGTTTTCTCGCTATCGTCGAAAAAACTCAACGCGCCGTGGGTTGGTGGTGGGGGTTCTGGCTCAGTTCCTGGTAACGATTTTGTCGAAGGTGTAGGTGTAGGTGTCGCCGGCACCGGCGCCGCCTGAGGACCATCCGGTGCTTGCAGCATCTCGACGTCCGGTTCACTCGTTTCCGTGGCCGGTGGATGCTGTACCGGTGAAGGCGCTGGCTCTGACGATGACGGTGCGTCGGGGGTAACAGTCTGCTCAGCCGGCGATGGACGTTGATGCGCAGCTGCTGGGTCGGGCGTTTCCTGCTCCACCTCTGGTGCAGCAGCAGGCGTTGTAGTCTTTGGTGCAGAAGCAGGTGCAGGCACTTCCACGGTTGCAGGAGAAGAAGCAGGCGTTTCCTCTGGTGCAGGAGCAGGAGCAGGGCTTATTCGTTGTATTTTAACAGGAGTTTTGTATTCCGTGACGTGTTGTATTCTCGTCGTACCCTTGTCGTGCACGCCGGCCGCAGTTGTCGTGTCGCTCACGGTACTTATCTTCTTTTGCTGTTTCTGTTTCAGCCACTCCTGATACTCCTGAAACTCTTCAAATAGTTTCAGCTTTTCCATTGCATCTGCCTTGCTATCTGGAGCAAAAGAACTTTGTTGAAATTGAAGTTCTACGTCAGGCGGCACGATATTCGTATTTTTGCCGTCACTCCCTTCGACGGCTTTTTTATCTACAGCAGCTGCTGCGGAGGCGGCGGCTTGGTCTGCCGCTATTTTCTTCGCTGCGACCACCTCTCGCCCCATTTCCGCTTTGTTTTTCATGTGCCTTTGATGCGAGGACGTCGTCGCGGCCTCAACGTGGCTGCTCAACACCGTCGTCTCCGCTGCAGCTCTTTTGATTTCGCTCCGCTCCACGATGCGCTGAAGAACGCTGGTGGTCTCGCGTCCCGAGTTCCAAGAAGGAGAACTTCGTTGGACGACCCGCCGGTCAACATCGTCTCGTAGTTGATCAGGGTGCTCCTGCCGCTGTGGTCCAGATGTGTTACTACTAGCGTCTTCTTCATAGTGGCTCCGCGTCAGCGAGTCGTTTGGCTTCTCGTCTACGTTTCGATGTTCAACGTCCTCTTGCCCAAACGCCGCGTTCTTGTTCGGAGGAAACTTTTGCGACCGCCTCGGCCTAGTTGTCCGCTTAGAGTCTGCACGACTTAATGCTGCCTGCCGGCTATTCTTTGTTCCTCTCGACGTTCTCGTTCTTCCGACCTGGTACCCCGCGACGAATATCTTGTCCATACGACTTGGACCACCACCCGGAACATCTACGATATGTGGTGCTGTCGACGGTGGTCTTGTTGTCCATGGTTTGTCGTCTTCTACTGGGCCTGCTCCGTCAGCCCCTGTTGTACTACTACCTCGTCGTGCTACATCATTCTTGTTGAAAGCTGCGTCGTACGACGAGGCTCGTTCTTGCCGCCCGCCCCACAGGTTTGGAACCGACAAAAAAGAAGTCCAGGTGCTGGAAACGAAGAAAAAGGAAAGCGACCGTATGACCGATAACCTTTTAGAAGTCCCGCCAGCTGCAGCCGTCGTGAAGATATTTGTTTCAGCTGACATTTTGATCTTGTGTAAACTAATTACTGGTAGTACGTAGAGTTCTTTCTGGAGTACAACTACACCGGCTCCTCCGCATTATATTGCGGTTCGCTTCACTAACACTAGCCCAATCGGGTTCCTTGAAAATAACTACGGGCATACTGTTTTTTGGACGCGGCTGAAACGACTTCGATCTGACTTTTCGCTTTCTGGCTCTGGGTTAATGTAAATGTTTAGGTTACGTCAATCGCCGCATCATATGAGCACTTACATGGGATGAATACTTATGTCGCACAACATTATGCTCGCGGACTTTGGAATTGGGTGAATATTGTTCGTGGGGGGAAACGGTACACAGTACAATGGGGTTTAGTTTTTGCTGTGGTTTGGGAAGAATTCATGGCGTCATCTTGATGTTTGCCCTACTTACGTAATTCTGATTGAGCTTGTTTCGGAAAGACCAAAAAACACGAGGAAACGGAAAGCGCCTACTAGCTTCTCTGAAGTTGGACGAGTGTGGCGCGCGCCTTGGCTTGTCGCACGAAAGTTGTATACGTACGACCGACGAAGCAAATTGCTGTTGCGAAAGACAGAGAAGCAACGACGATGCCACGATGGGCTCGTGCTACGCCGCAAATTGTTTTGCACGTCATGGCAACACAACCGAACGGTATGAGCTAAGTGAAGACACAACAACCGAACAGAATTATCCACTTCACAAACGAGAAGGAGAACGACGAGCAGAAACCGATGGTGGAGAGAATAATTACTTATGTTTGTCATGCAAGTATGTGCTTTTCATGGCTGCACAAAAGCTTATGATGCACAACGGGTACGTCTATTCTTTCTGCAGTTCACACTGGACGAGTCAATACCATGAACGTCGATAAGGAGGTTGCATGCACCGATACTAATTTGTTCATCTCGTCTTTAGATCCATACTAGTATTTGAAAGTCTTCTACACGATGCGAATCGTCGAACAGACACTCACCTGAAAAATCAGAAGGTCAAGGTCTACGTAAGACCAAAGAACAACCGAAGCCGAACCAGATCAACATCAATCAAACGGGAAGAATAAGAGAGACTTTGAGTTTCATCTTGGGAATAGCATATTGGGTGTATTCTAAAAGTCTAGGTCTAGAAATGGGCGCTGTCATGCAACAGATAAAAAGCTGCCGGTTGAGATAATATGTATTGCTTATCACATGGTACAACACGAGGAATTTCGGTTTACACACTTCTAATTACAGAAAATGAAAAGATAAACTAATGGGCGAAGATGCGGAAAAAAACAAACATAATTGATTTTTACATAAAGAGATTATCAAGTCAAGCTTGAAACAAGTAGTGCCTAATCTTTGAATGCCTCACCACTTCGAACCTAACCTACCTGACCGACCGTCGGGAACCTCCCCGTTTGCTCGCCCGCGGGCTTTTCGACGATGGGCGGGGCTTTGTGCTGAGCCGCGGCGCGGTGGTGCTTGCGCGCGCAATAGCCCTGGCGTCGTCCAGGGTGGTCCCGGCGTCGGGCTGGATGGTTGCGAAATCAATCGGTGGTATGGCAGAAGCGCGCGCCGTGGCTCGCGCGTTCAGTACCGAGCTTCTATTTTCTGCGTCCATAGGCGAAGAAACGATTGTGCTATCCATTTTGGACTTCATGGAGGCTGGACTCTTGCTCTTCATTTTCTTACTCGTCGGCGTTTTGCTTCTTGTTGACGGGCGGGCAGACTTTCTTCCGCCGGGGGCAACGGATTTTCTTGAACCCGAGCCCGTCGCCTTTTTCTTTTTCCTGTCGGCGCTGCTGCCTATCTCGCTGTCTCCGGAGGTCGAGGTAAGGCCGCTCTTCGAGACCGAGCTAATACCGCTCTTGGCGCCGCTGCTGCCGCCCATCATTGCCGCCGCTAAAATCGACTTCCGCGCGCCCCCGCCGCTTTTGTCTTTCTCTTTGCCCGACGTGGGCGCGTCCTTGCCCGACATGGGCGCATCGGACACAATCTTGGAAGCGCGGGCCGCCATCGCCTTCGCTATGGCGCTACCCCCCGCCTGCGGTTTCCGGCTTGACTTTTTGGACTTGCTGGCGTTCTTCGAATCGTCCCCAGAGCTGCTCTCGCTGGTGCTGGTCCCGGAAAAGCTGCCCATCCCCTTCTGCTCCCCCTGGTCGGTGTCTTTCGAAGAGTTTATGTCCTTTTTCTTGTCCTTGTCCGCGGCCGGGGTCTGCTTGCCTAACTGTCCGAACGCGGCGTCGAAAAAAGAGGGCCGCGCCCCGCCAGGCGCTTGCGAAGCACGCCCGGGCGGAGCACCGCCCGCAAGCCCGGAGTCCAGTTTGAAATTGTCGTGCGTGTCGTACACCTTTTCTTTGTCCGGTACTTTATTCTCTTGCTTCTTTTCTTTCTTCATCTCTTTCTTTTCCTTCTTCTCTCTTTCCTTCTCCGCTTTCTGGCGCTCCTTCTCCTTCTGCTTCTCGAGGATGCGCTGTTTCTCCTTGTCCTTCTTGTCCTTCTTACTTTCGTCTTTGGTCGAGCTCCGGGCGCTGCCACTGAAGCTGCCCATGCCCACGTTGCTGAAGCTGCCGATGTTGCCGGAGCCCTCGTGGAACAGCGTGTCGTCGCTGCTGTTCTTGCTCAGCAGCTGTTTCTTGTCCTTGGTTCCCTTGCTCCCATGGAAGCTCTCGTGGGACTGGCCGCCTTGGTGCCCGCCCGAGAATGCCTCGCTGGAATGCATGTTGGACGTGTAGGAATTCAAATTGCTCCCATCACCGGACTCGGAATCATCGTCGCTTCCCGGCGTCGAGGAGGTTGGAGCGTCGTCGCTGTCGCTGTTGTTCTTTTTCTTGCCGGACGACTGGTTCGCTTTTTGGGAAAAAGACTGCGTGCCGGCCTTCTGCGAGAATGACTGGGTGGCGGCCTTGTTGGAGAACGACTGGGTGGCGGCCTTGTTCGAAAAAGACTGGTGCACGTCCCCGCTGGTGTCGCTCGCATCTTCCGAAGAACTGCGCTTCTTCTTTTTCGCACCACTGTCATCACTGTCATCGGAGGAGCTCTTCCTCCCCTTCCGTCTTTTGCTCTTCTTCTTCTCTTCGTCGCTGGAATTATTGCTGTCGCTGGTGTCCGTCGAGTCGCGGCTTCCTTTCTTGTTGCGCTTTCCCGACGAATTTGGCGACGCCGTGGTGTCCGCGTCGCCGCAGGTGAGTACACCGGCGAAAAAGAGGATGGAGATCAAGATCGTGCCGACTAAAACCATGCCGAGCACAACCAGGCCCATCACGAGACCCAGGTTCGTGGCCTCCGCAGAAACAGAAAGCGCAGCTTCCTCTTCCGTCATTAGAACGCCGCAGTTCCACGTCTCGCTGTTTTGCTCCGTCTCGCAAGAGCCCGTGTCGAGACAAAAGGCGGAGGTGGGTTCTTCGACAGTGCCTTCCTTCACGTAGCACCGCTGGCGCGTCGAGGAGGTGCAACTCTTCGTCTCCACGCACTCCTCTCCGCTCCGCGCGCGCTGCTCCGTCTGCCCTTCTCTAGAAGCCAGGCTGAACAAGCGGTGTTGGTGCATGCGCCCACGCGCAGTAGAAGATTCTTGCTGATGCTTGTTCCTCTGTGAGGAGGCCGAGGAAGCAGAGTCGAGTTGCGTATGCGACTGTTGTCGTTGCTGTTCTTCTTCTTTTGTCGTCCTTTTCTCTGCTCTACTGCTGACCGAGGATTTGAGCTCCTGGAAATTAGTGCCGGATCTGGATTCCACTGTATCAGCTTTGCTGTCGCGCTGCTCGTTATTGTTCGAAGATGACGATGAGACAGCATTGTCTGCTAGTACTGGCACCTGACCTCCTATCTTCGAGGTTTCTGGTCTATGATCTCTGGTTTGTGCGCTGGGAGATGGAGGCGCTTGATCTACTTCTGCAACTCCGACAACAGAAGCGACAGAGTTGCCCTCTCGCGGCTTCGATATGTTCCTCGTGCCTGCCCGACCTTTCAATATCGCACGCACTAGCGCGGACGACCTCCTCGGCACGTCACCGCCTCTATCTCTTCTGTACTTCGCGCTCGACCGTCGTCCAATCATCTTAGCTCTGCTACTTCTTTTTCCTCGCCGAGTGACCTGGAGTTGGTACCCCTGCACGACTTGGACAAAGGACCATGCCGCGCTGGTGCTCCTGCCTGACGGAAGTGAATTTAAGCGCGTTTCTTTTCCGATGCGGGCACGCGTCTGAAGAAGTGAATTTTGCTTGCTGTAAGTTCGTCTGAGCTCGTGGTGATTCGAGCAGCCACATCGCTTGTGGTCCGGTTCATCTTCGGAGACAAGGGGTCTATGGTGAACAAGAAACGTCGACCAAAAAGGTTCTGCAAACAACGTAGTCGTCGTCGTCCCGAGTAGTGTCGCCAGAATAAAACGCCACATCGGCAGATTGATATTTTTACCCGCCGAGGACGCAGGTGCGACGTCGCGGCAACCATAGACGAACGCTGCAGTTCCACGTCGCTGTACAACTTTCCGAGCAAACGGTCCTCGTTCTGCAACAGATGCAGGGCCGCTAGGTACTTGTAAAGATGTGGTTGTGGTCTGACGTCTTTTGCAACGATGAACAGTTGCGTCTCTATGATGATGTGTTCGACCGCTACTGGGACAGCGCGGTAGCATCAATATCCTGCATCTTTTATCTCGTGGATTTCTTCGCACTTGATGCCGTCTCATAGCGCTAGTAGCGCTGGCACTGGTAGTATTACCCGCCTCGCTTGTCCGCCTAGATGGTTGTCTCCCTAGTATCCACCTTCGCTCTACGTTTATGTCGGCCGCACAAGAATGCCGCGATGGAATTGACGAGCCCCGGGGTCGTCGTACGTCGAGGTCGTTGGGAACGGCTGACCCTGACGCAGGTCTTTCTTCATGATCATCGTCCTTCGTCTCCTGGCTGCTGCCGCTTGCTGCAGGACCAGGACCACCACGACCCTCTTGCTGCCATATCCACTTCATCATTCGCGCTCCTAGATCTGTTTGCTCGACGACCACCTGCTCTACGTCAGCCTTGATGTCGTGCCCCTGCGATGATCAGATCGGAACGAAAACAAGCTCCTCCATGCTGTACATGGCCCGGGGAATGAATTTGTTTGATTATTTGGGGACAACTGAATATGGGATCATGTTTCACACTGTGTGGGGGACCACATTATCTTCTACCTACAACAGGGGCTTTGGTGTTTTTTTGCAAAAACAAAAAGTTGATTTCATTTTCATTGTCAAGGGGGGTGTCATACCATAGAGAGGATTGGTTATTATCACGTAGTTATTGGGGGTTTTCTGTGGAAATCGAAATTGATTGATGAAAGCATTTTTGGCAGAAACCAAAATTAGAATTACGTGTGACAAGCATTTTCAATACGAGTAGCACGATGAGACGCGGCAGAAGAACGACACTAGCGTGAAGTTTTATTTTGTTTACGAGGAAGAAAACCATACGGCTGCTACTTCAAGTGAACGCTCACCGACTTCCTTCTGAAAATGCCCGCAGCAATATCATGGACGACAATCACATTTTGGATCTGGACGAAGCCGAACAATCAGTAAATACAACCGATGACTATGACAGGACATGGACAAGCTTTAACTTTATACCGAGTTGGATGTTGCGGACGAGGACGAAAATACATCTCCATGCAAAAGAGCCACCGTTTAGTAAACGAGAAGACGTAGCACAACAGGCAAGCGTACGTCACTGCTTTCAACACACCTGAAGGCGAGGCGCTGGGCGGCCGAAACGGCGCGGGCGCCCTTTTTTTCTTGTAGCAATGAATAGAAGTGATAATGATTCAAAAGAGTAAGAGATGTTCTAGCTCTTCCACACCTGCCTTTGCGGACAGTCAAACGTGTAAGTTTATCTAATTTTTAGTGTATTTCTAATACTAGAATGAGGAAGCAAAGAGAACAAATCAGAAAGAAAGTAAAGGAAGAAGAAGAAATACATTTTTCCTAGGGATCAAAATGGCTACTGGGGATGACATCAAAGTCTTGTTGTACGGCCTCTTTTTTCCTTCGAGTGTCCATGCTCCTTTTCTTGCCAAAAAAGCCACTATTATTGGTGTCGTCACTGTCAGGAGCATGGCCTTTCTTTTTCTCCTTCTTATCCTCCTTGCCGGCATCCTTCTTTTCTTTCTTCAGCGTATGCAAGCAAAAGTTGGAGTCAGCGAAAGATATTGATGTTCAAGAGCAGGACTCGCATACCCATACGTGGAAGAAAAGTTCCCATTTCTTGCTCAATGATGTAGAAAAAACAATGATCATGGCACAGCACGCAATCACAGAAAGCCTCAGTCATCATGAGAGAGTGCGCACAACACGTTTCTCCTGTAACTTGTTTACATTACTGGCTCTGGCGCAAGGCATCGTGATAATTATGAAGATGCAAGATAACACGCACAAATTGAGACCCTGGTGGAGAACAAATACAAAAGTTAATGCCAGCGGCGCAAAATGCACGTCCACGTTTGTCTGGTCCCTTGAAAAAATTAAAAGAAACCGCCTGACAGCCAAATTTCCGGTGGATAAGGTTTCTCTTCCTTTTTACTTCTTTCCTTTGCTTCTTTCTCTTGTCTTTTCGCTTCCTTCGCGTCTATCTTGGGGGATCCTTTTGGCGCCGAATCGGTTTCGTCGAACCGTAGCGCGTGCACCGCTCCTCCTGCGTTCGCCTTTCTCGATGACGCTTGCGATTTGCTAGAGGTGTCGTGGTGTTCCCCATCGGTGGTGTGCGCGGCTTCCTTCTTATTCGGCGGTTTCTTCTTCTGGGGTTTCGCTTTATTGCCTTTGTTCACTCCGAACCCGGCCAAGTTGAGAAACGCCGAGGCCCGGGCGTTGAGTGCGCCGTGGGCATGGGCAGCTTGCGTCATCGAGACCCGCTCTGCAAACCCGGGACCCGCCCTTTTCTGCACGGGCGGCCCGGCCTTGTGGTTTACCGCAAACGGGTTGGTAAAATCCGAATCGGACTCCTCCACGGAGTCCGTAGTCTCGGTCGTTGTGGCTTGTTGCTTGCTCCTCTTGCCCTTCTTCCCGTCATGATGCTGGTCCTTACCGTGATCACGCCCTCCCGCTTTGTTCTTCTTTTTCCGGTGACTCGAGTCGGACTCCGAGTCGGACGTGGTAGTTGTGGTGTCCTTCCCTTTCTTTTTCCTCTTGTCTTTGTCGTCCTTGCGGTCCCTCGACTTCAGACCCTTCTTCAACTTGTCGGCGGCCCTCATGGCGGCAGCCACGCCGCCGAGATGCTCTCGGTTGCCGTGCGACTGCTTGTTCGGATCCTTGTGGTTATTGTAGTTGCCGGGCATGGGTATCACGGGATTGGAAGCCTTCCAGTACTCGTTGGCCCGCCTGGCTTCCTGTCTTCGCTTCTCCTCGTAGTCATACTCCGAATCGCTGTTGCACTCGAGGACGCCGAGGCAGTACAACGTCATAAACAGCAAACCCATGCCTCCGACCGTGCACAGAATCGCAATGCCAGCCAAGCCGCCGGCGTCCATACCCAGTTTCACCTGTTGCTGTTGTCTGCTCATGCTCGTCTTTTGCTGCAACAAATGCACTCCTACTCGGCGGGCGGTGGTTTTTGCTTTCATCTTGGCCGTATGGTCAAGCTGCAGAAGTATGGACTCTTCGTTCCTAGTAGTTCCATTACCAGGTCGCCGTGTTGTTCCTATAATGCGCCAGTGGTCGCCCTGGCCCTGGGGATTCGCATCGGAATCGAACTGGGCAGCTGGTGCTGTTGATGTCTTTTTCGTGGCCACAACTTCAATGTCACTACTAAAGTCGCCATCTCCACCGGGTTCCGTAGAAATGACGGGGGTTGTTGGATTTGATATCAATCTGGGGGGGTTATTCCTAACTTTTGGGTCGTGCAGAGGATACTCATCTGAGTCTGAATCTTCTGGTCGTGCCGAAGCAGTCAGAGTCGACTGAGAGTCCTCGGAAGGGCCGCGGTCTTTATCTCCTTCTACGTTGGTTCGTGTTTGTTCGGGTCCTGCACTTGTTCCAAAACTTATTTCAGGATCGAGAAACTCCTGCTCTTCTTGGTCCTCACTGCTACTGGGAGTAGCTTGATTTTTAACTCCTCCTGCAACGCTCCTGGCTGTTTGTTCTAGAAGGGTACTACCCTCGTGTTTATAATGCTCTACAGCCTGACCCTCCTGATGATTACTAGGAGAAGGTGAGGGTCCCGGTTGTCCTGAATCCATTTGTATTCCCGAACATGATCCGCTTGTAGCTGCAAGCGTGGGACGAGACCGTCTCCCTGTCGACGTTACACGGGATCCGAGCCAGCGGTCGCTCTCGTCCGGAGTCGTGCCTTGCTGGTACATTTCACCTTTTGCTCCAGGCAGATCATGCTCTTCTCGTGCAATATTGTGTTGTAGTTCGTCATCGTGATCATACTCTTGCAGTCCACCGTCCTCGTCTTCACTGGATGTTGAGTGCTCTTCCCTACGTCTGCGCCGGGGCAGGTCACTCACATCGTGCTTGCGCGGCTTCTCCTCCAGCAGCTGCGAGACCGAGAGCGAGACGGTATATTCTTCTTTCGGCGGTCTATCTATTGGTATTGCAGCGGCGGAAGTAGCATTATTCTCCCTACTTCCACCGGGCACAGGAGTCACCCTTTCATCTGCGGTGTCACGACCTTCGATGACGGTACGCGGACGTGCAGGCCGTCTCCTCGTCCGACGTCCTAACTCCTCCTTCAGATTGAAGGCAGGCGGTTGGTGAGGCTCGGGGCGCATCTCCAAAGCAGATAGAGATTGCGACTCCTCCTCTCTCCTGCCATCGTCCTGCTTATTTCCTTCCTGTACTATCGATTCCGCTGTAGAAACTTTTGGTAGGTGCTTCAGACCTCCAGACATTTTCTCTCTATCGTCTGTAGCAATTGTTCTTTCGTCTGTAGCAATTGTTCTTTCGTCTGTAGCAATTGTTCTTTCCGAAGATGCTAGTTTTGTTGACGTCGGTCGTCTCCTGGTTATCTTCAGGTCGTGGTATCTCCTCTGTTTATTACGCCTTTGCTCTGGTAAATACCGATAGCCGTTAGCCTCTGTTATCAGTCTTACGCCTATGTTGCCCGGAAAGAACAGGGCCAGGTTTATCATCGCCCCTATTATTCGCGTGAAGAGGTAGTGTCTATTACAGCGCGACCGCTGCAGGGCATCCAAGATGCCTCCACGACGGCGCGCCATGGCGTTCGTCCTTCTCCCCGAGAGCTGCTCTGTTTTAAGACGTCGCAGGTTTGTTCACCATTGCGCCCCCTCGGTGTTCCTCCGGAGCCTTCCTTCACGTGGCTGGCACGTGGCCGAAGCATAGGCCATTGCCATTCTACTTCAATTGAAGTTGAAGCTTAACCATGAATTGTCAGCTCCTGCTGGTGCACTATTGATACGAGGGTCTAGTTGTTACAGACAGAGGAACAGAGAACGAAACCACACGACACTTACACCACATGGGAAAAGTCAGCGGAAAATTGTCTAGTGTCAGTTCACAACTTGATTTGGGAAATGGAGTAAGGGGGAATAAGCAGTACATGAATGGGGTTTTTAATTTCTTGGGGTGAGCCTTCGCCCAGGCTGCAATTGATTTTTGTGATTGTGATGAACGACGTTTATCAAAATAGCTAGAAGATAAAAACTTACGTATCAATTGACGACCGCACCGTAGCGTGTACAAGTACGAAGGGGTACAGCTACGACTACAAGTACGAGACAAAAGTGCCTGGACGAGAGGAAAACAGAAAGAGAGTACTACCGCAGAAGGAACCGAAGCAAAGCACGGTATGTGTACGAAAACTGATTTACCTGTGTAGCAAACGACCGATAATTCACCTGAGATTCACAAGAACTGAAACCGATGGCCATGTCTGTGACTGATTGCCCTTTCGACCGAAACAACAAATGGTAAGTACCGGTGCACAGAGTTGTGTCACAGAAAACGATGAACATCCACCGAAATTGCGAACTTACTACTTCCATCCAGTAGCAAAGAAATGGCAACAGCAACAACGAAAACTTTACTGAGAATGCGTGATAGATGTTGCGTAGTATCTGTATCTATGATACATAGAGGTGCGCATACTAAAATCGCAATCACGTCAAAAACGGAGATGTCAGAATGCGACGACAAAAAATCTCATGGTATGCAAAACGCAAAAACTGTCATCTTGGATGTACTTTGGTCTGAAACACTTCTTGTCGCATCCATTCGTAAATATAAAAGTTGAGCCCCACTGCTGGCGCGACTTTCAGCAGTTCAGGAACCAAGCCCCGGTACAGCCCCCGCAGTCCGTGGCTCTGCACAACATGCCGACCCCACTGGAGCACCGTCCAGCTCTCGTTGCTCATCTGCTGGCGCCGGCGGATCAGGTCCAAAGGCTGCACCAGAGTTGAGGCAGTGATCCCTGCGACGGCCCCACAACCCATGGTTTCTAGGAATGTAGTTCGGGTATGCTGCTCGCTGTAGAAGGTGGTAGAATTTCAATTTATGGAGACTGACCATCGTATGTCGCGATAAAATGCATCGTATGTCGCGATAAAATGTTCATCCCAAATTTTCGCAAAAAGAAAAGACTTTGCTTGCTCGGTACTGTTCCAAAAAGAGTACTGAAAGATCAACACACGCAGGCACAGTGCTACAATTCTGTACCGCAAAAGATAGACGTTGAGCGTCTCGTAAATGCCGAAATTGAGCCCGACATTGAGTCCCTGACACAACAGCGTACACGGGAGCCCGCGAACCAGCGCACGTGGTCCTTCCGTCTTGACCACATCCCGGTAAACGCCCAGCCACTGCTGACCAGTGGGGACCGAGAGGTGGTAGTTTCTCTGCTCGCAGGCCAACCGGGTGCGCATAAGGTCGAAGGGGTAGGCGATGGTCAAGGAAACCGAGCTCGCGAGAAACCTTTTGTTTGTGTGACAATTTTTCCTACCGTAGTACAACTAGTTCTTCCGGAATGTATACTAAAGGTTGCACTTGCGCTTGAAGACGCGGCACATTGGATTATAGAAGTTTCTGGACGAAATCAAGCGGTATCGAAAAAGTCATATTTTCAAATTGCAAATGCAAACCTTTAACAACCATTGAACATTTCCAGAGGGAGGACTCTAACTCTTCGTACCCTGCCGCCGTTCGTGCAAGAAACCCGGGGTCTGTATCGGATCTCCAAATCGGACGCAGGCTGTTCTTGATTGTCTCGAACAATCCGTAGTTTAAGCCTGTCAGTAGTCCTTTGTGCAGAATACTGGTCCAATTTCCCTTCCAGAAGGAAGTGACACCCTCCTGCTGCACAACTTTCCGCAGCAAGTCCAGGGACCCCGTGGGGACGAAGTTTGTGGTCGAGCCAGGCTTCTGTTGTACTATGGTCGTGCCTGCTGATGTGGCATATTGTAAGGAAAAATCCCCCCTCCCCATATCGAAAAGGAACGCCTCAAAAAATTTGCGATGCTGATTCGTGACCACAAATCGTGTCTGTCTTGCAAGAAAGCAACGGCATCCGCTCCGCCCCATTATGCAGGCGGTTTGTAATGCTGTTGGTCCTACAGCATAGGCGTTCCCCATGCTAAGCGCCTAGGCCAAAACCTCTGCGCAGTGGCATGATATCGGCCTGCAGTCCCCTACTGCAAGACAAACCTGATTTGTGTACGCAAATCCAGCATCAGAAATTTCGTTTTGATATGGGGTGGGGGGATTTTCCATTTTGATATGGCAGGTCCCAGTTTCACGCTCGTTGGCTTGTTCAGACCGCTGGTCGAAGAGGAACTGGGATTTGTTCCGGTCAAGATCGGAGAGGTTGGAAGTTGTTTTCCGGTCGCACACGTAGCTGCACCACGAGGAACACCCGCTGCCGTGGGCGGCGTTACTTGGAGCAAGATCGTCATTCGACTCAGTGGCGCGGTAAGTGTCTTTACTGCGAACCCGGATACCGCCCCGCTCGCGACCGACTTCCCAAAGTCGCTCGCATCGACGCGTTTGGTTTCCTTGTACTTTGAGGAAGAAGAACTGCGACTGGGTTGGTGGTCACGCTGCAGTGGCGAGGGATTAACGAAGGCTTCTACTGATTGCATGTGTGTCCCACCTGGAACTCTATTTTGCTCGGGAGGCGGATCCATCATGATGGGCCTCGGGGGTGTGTGCTGAACGAGTACGAGCTCTAGCAATGCTACATCTATCTAGAGCTACTAAACTACAAGAAGGACGAAGGCGCGACGTCTCGCTGGAAAGTGTATGAGTGCCAGTGGGGCTCGAGAAAGTACTCGAGTAACAAAAATAAAGTTACCCAGACGAGATCCGAGACTGTGGCGGGTCACAACGCAAAGGAAAAAAGCAAACCGAAGTACAAGTGCAAAATAAATTCCAGAAAAAGCAAGCAACTTGTAGTTTCGGACAAATTAATATTGATGACGGATCCGAGGAATTTTTGAAGATTTTTTGATCTGCTGATCGGAGTAGGAACCGAAAGGAAAACCATGATACCAAAAAGCCACGAGAGTGTGCATCGAAGCGAACACTATTTGAATAAGAATACGAATAGGCAAAGGGTTTGCATGAAAGCATACGAGCGCCACCAGTCGGCACTCTTTTCGATGGATCTAGAAAGAGCGGATGCAGAGAATAGTTTTTTTTACAAGTAGAAGTAGGAGTAGCTGTATAGTGGTACAAGTATCGCCGGCGACGACGGTTTAGGTTTACAAAGAACAGCAGATACATAGAAAGAGCATAGTTGATTTCGGTACATTGACATTCAGATTGCTAGCAGTTGATACATAGCTTTACTTGGCACAAACGCAGGCTTCGTAGATTCATACTGACGTGCTCGTGGTCTATATTTTTTACATAAGTGAGAGGTCTCTGTCATCTCAAGAGAGATACAATGAGTTGAGTTTTGAACGACAATAGGACAATCTTCAGGCGTCAAGTTTTTGTCTTGCTCTTGTTTGTACAGGTGTGGCATCAGTACAGGAGGGTGCACTACAAATTTTTGAAAGTCTGGGATTATACATTGCGATGAACTGGATGGCTTACAAAACACAAACAGAAACAGCTGCAGTGCCAGTGGCAGTATTTTACATTGCGGCTTTCGTCCTCGCTTACACTTTCCTTGGTATAGGTATGCTGAGTGCGAATTGCCGAGTGCGACATCAATTTTAGTTAATTTTGAAGAATGTCAAAGTTTGTTGGTTTACATATTTCTTGGAATCAAACTGGCTGCAAATTCTTGTAGTGGTAGGTCGTTCTTTTCGCTACTGTGCGATGCAGGTTCCACAAATCCGCCCACAGCTCAGCTCCCGGCGTTCCTGCACAGCGCGCACCAGTTCCAACACTAGGTCCGCATAGTGTCCGCTGCGCGAGTTGAAAAGAGAATCAGGAACAACTCCCTCCGCATCAGCCGCAATGGATGTTACCATCACCATTTTTCTCCACGTTGTCGCGAAGTGCTGAATTTTGGTCAGAAAGTCCGCCGTCTTCTGACTCAAACACGTCAACAGTGTTGGGTGGGCTGCGAACCGATGCATGATGGAGAGACTGTTGGCGAGTCCGCGCCAGAACATGGAGTGCGGTACAGCAACTCTGGCCGCACTTTCGATGTAGTTGCTGGGGCGCCGCTCCGGTCGCGGGGAAGAAGCTTCGACCGGTGCCCGCATCCGGATTTTACCGCCGAAAAACTTTTTCTTCTCCCCGTCTTGCTGCGCGAGAAGTTTTCGTTGCTGCTCGTCCGGTCGTGAAGAGGAATGAATTGTCTTGATGTAAACGGACCAAAATTTGTAATTGTATTCTTCTGCAACGTCTACGTCATGTCCTACGTGTAGAAACGGGGCCCCCGAGGCTGCTGTCGCATTCTCCACTTGTTGTAGATCACGAACCGAAAGTGCGAGAACATCTGCCACCATCGAAAGGTTCTCCGGGATCCACTTCCCGACCTGCTCAAAGATCACATGTTCGATCAATCTCCGATACGAGTCTTCTCGGTTCTGAATCGAAGCCTGAAGAAGGATGGGCTTCATAGTCATTGTCTTCTTGTTCAGAATGACGTGGTCTCCCGCGTCTTCTCCGCGTCCAGACACGACTACGGTAGGAGCGGAATCCGAGTAGTACGACTGGTGCGAGTATGACGATGCTCCGTTGGGGACGACGACTCCCCACCCATTCTGGCTGGACGGCACGATGTTGAAGCTGTTGTCTACTCGTTCATGATGTTCTTGACCCCGTGCTTTATTGTCCTGCTTTTTCTTTTTCCCGTTGTAGTTTTCGAACATGTTTCCGCACCACCGGGCTGGACAGCTCGATTTCTTCTTTTTTTCCGTAGTTGTGACTGCTGCCTGCGCGAAAGGATTGTTTCCGGTCACAAAAGCGTGGGCCATGTGGGAAATCGGCACGTTGAAGTACAAGTCCGACCGGGCTGCGAGTTGCTTCTCGAACGGTGTGAATGCAGCGGAAATCAGAGGTGGGTCTGAAGATGCTGCATCGCGAGAAGACGTTTTTTCTCGTGTTGCCGTTTTTTTCTCGTATTTCTTGTAGTGTTGTCCCTTCTTTCCGGCCATCTGGTCCGCGAATGCATCCAGGATCGTACGCGGGCCATTTCCGTGGGCGGCTGTTTGTAGAGCAGCCTCACTGTCAGAAGGAATCTCGGTCGCGGTCGATTCATGATCCAGATCGTCTTGTTCTGCTTCGAAGGAAACAAGGGAAGATCGGTTTTGCTCGAACCCTCGCCCTGCCTGCGTCGCGTTTCTCCAGGTCACAACGGCGACCTCTTTGGTAGTCAAGCCGTACCGCTCCATCGCCGAGAAAAGTTTCGTTTCAACCACCTCATCGATCCAATCGGCAATGCTCTTGTCCATCTCGTTGTCAGCAACGGTTGTGGGAACTACCGTAGCGAGGTTTTGTTCTCCGCTCGCCGCGACTTCAATCGCGGGGAGGGCGTCGTTCTCGAGAAGCGCCGGAGTTGTAGTCATGTTGCTCGGCCTCGGCTGCGACTGTTCTTGATTGTAGACAGAACTTTCCCGCCCTGACCGCATCGCGACCGTGTTCCTTCTCGACAGTAGAGAAGCCGACGTGGCTTGCGGCACAGGCTGAGCGTTCTCCTCCTTTTCTGTGACCGGTGACACTGGAACTGGAACTACAGTTGAAGGTCTTTTTGCAGCTGCGGCCGTGTTTTCTTCGTTACCCGCTTCCTCCAACCCAAGCAAGAATGCGTTGAACACCATGTCCGGCAGTTGATTCAAGTAACTCAAGGCGAAATTAACCAAATGCGGCGAATCACCGTGGTCGAGCAGAAAGTGCGCGGCAATGTGGACGGGATTCTCGAGAAAGGGGTGGCTGCTTTCAGCAGAGTACGCGGTGACGATGTCTTCCTGGAAATCGACATCCGGTGTTGTTGTAGAAGAAGTACCATGCTGTTCATGGTCCTCATCGGCTTCGTCCTCTGCAAGAGACCTTGTAAAGTTGGTACTGAGAATCGATTGTCCGATTGCGCCATTTGTCTCGATGGTCGCTTCGCTGAACAGGATTTCGTGGAGATAAGAATTCTCGCGGACCGCGAAATCGCTCGCAGTGTCGAATTCGAAAGACCTACCCGAAGCTGCGCGTCGTTCTAAGTTGTCGTTTTGGTAGAACTCATTTTCGTTCGCTTCGCTGGTCTCCGGCTCGTACTCAGCGCTTTCGTCTTCGTGGATCCCGTTGTGGTTCACCCGATAGAACGCCGACAGCAACGAGTTTCCCGCCCGTCGCATGTTCACGCTGAGGCTGTCCCGCTGGCTTTGGTCCCTGGGTGCGAGGAACTGCTGGCCGCTGTTCGTTCCGGTCGGGTAGCGGATTACGAGCGTCACCGAGGCGAACGTCTGCAGCGAGAAGCCAACCAGCACCGCACAAAGCGTGTACAGCACCACGACGTACCAATCTAGGCTTGTCGTGCGAGTTCCACTACTGGTACCCGCAATCGCGTTCGCGCGGCTCGCGACAACCACTTTGGTCTCCGCAGAGGCCAGTTGGCGGGATTCCCAGCCCTCCGGGACAAAACTGGGGCCCTTCTTCTCCAGGTATTGCTGGACCTGTGAGGGTGAGCGATTCATCTTCTGTCTTCTGGCTATGGAGGTATGCTCAAGAAAAAAATTTCGAAAAAATCAAATTATCAAACACGCGTGCACAAAAACCTACCCCGAAGTACCTGGCGCCTCTTGTCCCAGTTCGTGATCATGAAACACGACGGCAGTTCCTGGTTGGTGAGCGGGTCCTTGACGTTGCCCGCCTTGAAATGCCGCTCGATGGCTACACGATCATACGTGTTCCCGCTGGCAATCACCACCGGATCCCGGAAGAGCTCCATGGTGATGGGGCAAAAAAGCAGGTCCTGATCCTGGTCGTCATCAATGCTGTTGGAATCCTCATCCGAGTTACAAACTTCGGATGCACTGGAGCACGAAGTGGACAGAGAATCTGCAGTGCTGGATCGGGCCCGCGGGGAGCAGGCCGCTTGATTTTCCTCTGCCTGCTGCAACACGGCGGTATTCTCGCCGCTCTCGAGGACAACCTCGGCAGCACTACGGCCCGTCCTGGTTTGCATTTCGATTTCGCACATGTCCTCGTGTGATGCCAGATGACAACTACGTACACCCACTCTGCCAAAGGGGTGGCGCTTCAATGAATACAGTCACACAAGGTAACTGTTGTAACTCTTAATACTTCTTCTACTATGTAGAGCAGGCCATCACTTATCATTCGCCATTGAGACTCACAACTCCGAGATTTGCAAAAATTATGTCCTAGAACTTCGACAACCACGCTGCGATATCGACAACTCACCATCTCTCGTCTCTCTGTCGTGTCTTTACGCCTGGTGGCACATCAACATCTCTTTTTGCTTTTAGCATCAGCACAAAGATGGTCACACAATACCTGGCAACCACCAAGCTTTGGCTCAGAACGCGCGAGTGCGATTGCGAACGACACAGCTGCTGAAGTACGAGAAAATGAACAACATGACGCTTGCAAATGAAAGAGTTTAAGCTTTATTTCTTTCGTGTTCATGTTGCAAGCTGACTCATAGAAGGAAGAGGAGCTAAAGCTATTTTACCACAAGGCGCGGAGGAGATTGCTACGAACAATTCGGAAACAGTTCCTCAGCCTAAAGAGGCTATTTGTCCATGATCATTTTTCGGCAGCGGCGCCGTCCGCGTCTTGGCCCCCACCAGCAGGCCCCGAGCTGACCACAGCACCTCCAGCGAGCAGCTCCTCTTCCAGATGCGTCAATCGGTCGTCCATTTGTTCTTGCTTCACCGCCAGTATATTGAACTGTCCTTCTTTGTCCTCCTCCAGCTTCGCGACGGACTTCAGCACCGCCTTGTAGTCGAACTTCTTCAATAAATCGGTAGAGGCACTCGCACTACTTGCGGCTGCGTCACCTCCATTTATTTCTCTTTCCTCCAACAGTTCGAGCAGTTTCAGAATCGTTTTTTCCTGCGCGACTAGAATCTTCTGCTGGGACAGTTGGTGCTGCTGCAACTTGACAACTTCCTCGCCAAGGACCATGACCTTTCTGGTCAGCGTGACGTCTATGTCTTCCATGGTCGCCACCATCGTTCCGTCGTCGTATTGCGTCTTCATCTGCGTCTGCAGGTTTTGCAGCTCGTTCGTCGGGTAGCTCAATCGCTCTGCGACAGTTTGCGGTTTCGAGGTTTCCCCACCGATAGTACTGTTCTTATTTTCGGCTTGATTTTCTCGGTCACCAGCATCTTCCGCCCCGTTGCCGTTTTCTACTTCGCCGTCGCCGGTGTTTGGCTCTTCCTGTGTTCCTCCATCACCATCAGCGTCGCTATTCGCGAGTGCGTCTTCACCTCCTGCGACATTCGCTACCCTGGAAGAGTTTTTCCTGGACTGGTCCCCGCCACCGCCGGCGTTCAGAAGCTCGTCCAACCTGGCTTCCACCGCGTCCGTGACGATCCGGGCAATTTCTTCCTTCATCATCACCCCCGCTTCCTGACTGTTCGCCAAGTAATTTTCCACGCTCGACCGAATCATCGCTTGCAAACCCTGCTTCCATTCGTGCTTCGTCGCCGGCGGGGGTGCTGGTGTTGACGTCTTAATATTCGCTCCTGGTTCTTGTTGACTTGGCGTGTGGTAATTCTCCATGGTCGTGTATTTACTAGCAGCATTATTCACATGCTCGTTCGGCAGGACCGTCCCCTCAAGCTCGATGACGGTTCCCTCCGGGTCGTATGCGTGCTGGTCATCTGCTCCTTCGGTGGCTTCCAACTTGGACACCGAGTCATCTTCGTTTATCATTATGCCGGCAGCACGACCTGCTTCCTGCTGATCAGGATCTTCTGCATTTTTCGCATTCCTGTACCTTCGCTGGAAAAACCACCCCGGCAGGCCGTCTGAAAATTTCTTGCCAACCGCAGGTTCCTCAGCTCTTTTCTGCGCATTTCTATATTTTCGCTGGAAGAACCAACCGGGGAGCCCGTCGGGAAGATTGTAGTTCTTCTTCACCAGTTCATCATGTTTCGTCATTCTTTTCATAATTCCCGAAGGCCGATTATAATTTCCGTCGAGTGAAGATGAACCAGAACCCGTGAAGGTGGAACGACCCCGCATCTGCACCGACTGTTGGAACTCTTCGAAGAGGAGACAGAAGGCCTTGTGCAGGTGCATGTCGATCAGTTGCTCGATAAGCCGGGAGAGCCGCGACTCGGAAAAGGTGTCGTCCAACTTCCCCTTCAGATCCTCCAACTGCTGAAACTGCACGTTCGAATTCGTGTTCATCTTCTGCCGCAGATACTCGAACTTCTGCTGCATTTTCGCCTCCAAGTGCTCGTGGTCGGCCTTACTCGGGGAGATCCGCCCGTCTTCGTCTAAGGTCGGCGGGTGGTAGCCGTTTTTGATCCCTTCCATCTCCCTGCGCAACTGCGTAATGTCGACGCTATTCTTGTGCTCCTCCATGCTCGCGCGGAACTGCTCGTAGCTGTAGGCGGATTTCGCCCGTTCCTCACGAAAAGAGATCAGGTCGCTGATTTTGCGCTTCAGGTTCTGGTGCCGGTCTTCGATGGAAGGGTCCAGAGGGTTGAGGACCTTGTTCGCAACTTCCAGGTGCTGCTCCCGCGGCACGCCGTGAAGGCTTTGCTTGGTTGCCGCTGCGGGGAAAGCAGGCTGGATACCGCCGGATTGATCTGTTGCGACAAGCTGTTCGCTTTCACCTCCTCCCTCTGGAACTTCTTCTTCGTTGGCACCACTATCCATGAGCGCAGCCCCGGTGTCGTCCGGAACGCCCGGTTCCAGACTTCCCGGCTCAGGATCGTCGAGCGATGGCATTTTTCGAAAAAAAACGAATGAAATACTGTGTTGACCTGCTTAGCAAGTGCCGTGCGCTTCTCCTGTACTTAGTATAGAAGCGCTCGGTACTTGTATTTCGCTCAAGTCTTGCACAAGGGACGACATCCATGAGACGAACCTTAGCGACCCACATTTCTCACATCAACCACGCGCACTTTTTGCTTTCGCACACTGCGCTGGTCACTGCTACCAAATCACTCCCGCTCGTGCAAACGCGTCTCAGCCACACTTTTCTTCCCAGTTGTCAAAAATGTCAAACGACTTACAACGAGGAGCAGGAGCGTAATTCTATGTATTTATTTTCCAGAATGAAGCCGCACCACCCGGCTTCCTACCTGGCGCAAAACGAAAAGAGCAGCAGCAGCGCTTTAGGATTGGATATCATTCGAACAAGAACAAGCCCAGCCGAGTGCGCTTCTATTCGCGTTGAATAGATACAGCTCACATATTGCGAAAAAATGTGCAGCGGGAGCTGGTGAAATAAACCAAAACCGCGACAGATGCTTCTATCATTCTGTTTTGTTGACCATGGAAACCACCTTGTTCTTATTTCTGTCGATAATCAACCTGTAGAAGTGCAGCCACATGGACCGGCACAGCCCAAAGTTGATGACGCACAGAATCAAATTGATTACGCAAACGTCGTGCACTTCGCGGTAGGTATCAAATGTAAAAATGTCTGAGTCTGGAAGAATGCGCGATTTGTCATGCAGAATTTCATGACCCATGAGGTCTGGAATGCAGGACATAGCATGACAGATTCTGTGCGATCTTTCCCATGCCTATCCTGCATGAGAAACTGCTTCCCGACTTGGTCAAAACTGGACGACTTTTGGTAATCATGCAACACAGATTTTTGCATGCTTCAGATTTAGCATGACAAATTGCATTCTTCCAGACCCAGACATTTTTACATTTGATAGTAGGTCATCAGCGTCAAATATCCACACCCCACCGCGATGGCCAGGCTGACGAAGAACCCGAGGTGCGTCATGTAGTAACCAATGAGGGGAAGTTTCTGGAGAATGGGGTACAACACATGCGCTAGGAAATACAGCAGATTCGTGTCGGCGATGGAACGGTTCAGGCTAGATTGTCGCTGGTCCAGAAGCCCAAAAAACCTGTTGTGGAATACGAATCGAATCTAGCCAAATTTATACGCATGCTGCAACAGCAATTCTAGAAGAAGGAGCGAGGAACCAATGGTCCTAATCCAATCGCCGCGACTGCAACGTGATACGACGACCACATCAAGAAATATAGTGTTGTTTTGTAATGGTGTACAACTATGCAGATGCATTTGTATCACGAGCATGATCGCAAACATATATACGAAACATCGAAAAAGTGGAAAATTACTCGGGCAGGTAGCTGATTCTCTGGTGGAGGCAGTAGCTGCAGCTGGTCCACGTGACGTCGCAAAACAGCACCTTTCCGCTTGTCGGTGAGAAGTACTGCACATAGTAGACTATCACGCACCAATAAAAGCCGCACAGGCAGAGCAGCAACTGCTGAAACCTTATTGTTCGGGACCGGAAAATGGCGAAAAAAAAGATCAGTTGCAGGAACAGAATTGGCGTGTAGTACAGCCAGCCCCAGTCGTCGCGTTTGTAGGACTCCGGGGTGAGGTGCGAGGGGTTTATGTTGGACCAGCGGCCCGTCCAAAAGGAAGATTTTGAGGAAGAACTACTCGCAGCACCAGCTGAGGCTGCTCTGCCGCCGCCGCTGCCACCCATCATTTTAAGTATTTCGGCGATTGTCGTCGTGGGAGGTCGTAGGGAAATGCTCACGAAGTAAACTATGTCGCCGTTGTAGTATTGCTCCCGGTCGGTCGGTGGTTGAAAACGTGGCCGTGGGGTCGTCTGTAGCAGGACTGCTGTGTAGTCGTGTCGTCTCGTTGGCTTAGCGCTCCTGCTTCAGCTTGCAAAAATAGATCGACGTGCTGGCACTCTTTATCGGCTTTCTTCAGAAGAACAGGAAACCACTCCCGCGGCGTGCGTTGGGGGCTTCACGGTTCTGCAATCATGAGCTGCTATCGGCGGAGATGCACGGCTAGCGTGTCTACCAAACAAGTTTCGGCGACTTTTCTCTTCCTCCCCATGCTCATCGTCTACTCTCGCTAGCATGATTTTCTACTGCCTTGGTCGTCTCACGGCCCTCGGTGTCGCTGCAAGGTAGGAGGAAAATCGGGGCCTCATTTATTATAGCTAGTTTTCTTCCGGTTTCGAATGACCGTGTGTGTTTATTTCTAGGTGATAAAAGACTCCTACTAGCAGAGACTCACTTGTTTCGAAACCATCACGTATGTCGAAGACGACAAGTGAAGTGTGGAACTTATTTCATTTTACTCGAAGTCTACGTACAACTCTGCTGTGCGAAAGTGTAGAATGCTCGAAAAACTCCACCAAGCACAAGAACTTCTAATCGCTGGACACGATTCAAGAATGACAATGATTTCCGATTCCGATGATGAAACTAAAACTGTCAGCGCTTTATCAATCTAGTCCTCTCATAATTTTCGACGAAGACGATGCTTCTGCGATAGAATCGCGGCCGATTAGCGGCCAGCACGATGCATCACTATGCTGGATATCAAACTCGATGACACAAAGTCCGAGTACCTCCGGTTTGTCTTGGTCATCAGCGGTTTAACAAGAGACATGGAGGTCTCGTCCGAGTTACTACATCGGTACAGTTCAAAAACAAAATCTTTTTTCTTGTGAGAGAGAAATTCCATCTGTAAAAACATTGCGTCAAAGTTTCGTAAAAAAGTATCCAAGATTGAGGATCATTCCTATCTGGGCATATTTTCCGCATTCGCGATCACGAAGGTTCACACATCAATATCTACGCTGACGTTAAAAAACATCGCGATCATTATCATGGGGATCGTTAGGCACATCACTGACTTCTATGTATATTATTTGATGAAAGCAGTTACCCTGCTTCACTTCTCCCGACTCGGCTCTGGGTCGGGTTCCTTGCCACGCTTGGCAAATTTCAAGAGCGCGCTAGACTGACAAATTCCATGCTCTTCCTGAGCGGTGGCGCTGCTGTGGCGGAGTGCACGGCCGAGATTCATCCGCTCCTCAACTTTCTGTCGTATTGTTTTCGCCTTCATCGGCTTCGCCCTCACGACCTCTTTTTTGAATGCTGCGCTATCTACTTCTTTCATCTTTTGATACGTCATGTCGTCGCAGAATTCGTTCACGTTTGTTGAAGAAGACGAGCCACGTGGACTTGCTGGCTTCTCGTCATTGTCCCCGGCCAACTCTCGCAGCAGATCCAGCTGCGCCAGGCGGAGAAATCTTTTGATTTTGATCCAGTTACTTGGTCTGTTCCTTGTGCTGCCTCGCAATGCCGTCGAAGTTGAGCTGCTTGTTCGCGACAAAGGAGTTTCAGTTGTTCCACTGTTACTTCCTCCAACTGCTTTACTTGTCATCGGGTGGTTCATCGATGAAATCGTCTTGCTCCTCGCCTTACTTCGCTTTTTGTTTCTATTTGTCACATCATGATCGAAATACGTTTCGTAAAAATCGTCTACGACATCCAAAGACAATCGCAGCAGCTGATCACAGTACGGAAATGGCCTTTCTTCCTCATCGCGCTTCTTCTTTCTCCGTATTCTTCTTGCCAACCTCTTTCCACAACGAAACTTCAACTTCCGCATCACACAATGCTTCCGTCGTCGGTGGCGGTGTCGTCGTGCTTGAGTTTTGCTTTTCTCGTTCGACGAGCGTTTGTTCTTCCCTTGCTGTTCTCCTCTTCGGAGATCGTCCACAGCTGTAGGCTGAGCGTCGCCGGGCTTGCCATCCTCGTTGCCAAACCCGTGCTTGATGAACGTGTGGTGAACGCTGAGCAATTGCTCCTTGTCTTGGCTGTACATTGTGTTCCACAGCGGCTGCCCGTTCTCGTCCTCTTTTTTTATCCGGTTAAACATTCGGGTGGAGTCAAGCATGGTTCTTCGTCTTCCGGCACTTAGACCGCAAGAAAACCCAGGGACCGGCGATTTTTCCCAGTTTTCTAGTTTCTCAAACAAGGCCGCGAGTGACCCATGATTCATAGCTGGTACCTCAGTTGTACTGTTGTGCTTTAGCAAAGAACCTCTTCCTCCGCCATTTTTCACAGGGCAGACATCCCTCGTCGTGCTGCGCATCCGACACTTCTCCTTCTGTCCCTCGTCCCACAGCAGAAAAGTCGCGTAGGCCTTTCTCCTTAAATCTTTCAGGAACTTTTCATCCAGTATCCACGTTTCCACTTCGTTCAGGGACTGATAGCACGCACAATTCGACACTCCCTGGTCCTGGAAGATCAACGCTTCGGTCTCCAAAGCCGAAGCATTTTCGTACCGGTCAACGACCGTAGCGCAACTTTGCGGCTGTTGTGACTGTGAGTCACGTAGTTCCGACGCTTGAGATAATTCCGCACCAAACATTCCGCCTAGGTGTTCACGCCGCGAGCTAGCACGACCTTGTGGCAAGCCAATGGCGATCGGCAGGTCGGACCAACGCAAAGTTCGACACACATAGCAGTTTGGATTTACGTTGGTATTCTTGACGTCGTGTGAGTATTCGTATTCCTCAGCATCTTCGGAAGACCAAATACTCCTGGCGGCATCTTCTTCGGAATCAAAAGTAGAAGAATCTTCGTCACGACCTTGCGGTACTAAATAGTCGCTCGTGGGAGATTGTTCGTGGTCCGCATGATCACTATCGGAATTATCGCTGTCGCAGTTCCGCCCACACATTTTGGTTTTGCGCAAATGAAAAGTTAGATCGGGTTTTTTCTGTCCGTACTGCTCCATCTGTTTGTCCTCAAATTCGGCACGGCTCGTTTCCTTGTACTCCTCCTCCAAAACGCTGTCGAAGTACTGCCAGATGTTTTGCCGGTACCGCCAGTCTTCGTGTTGATCCGGCTCAGGCTCGGAGGTCTTCATCTCTCCTGCTACGGCCGATATTTCATGTTCCTCGGGAGTAGTTGCAAGTTGCGGACTTCTTCTGATGTGGATCAAGTCGCGGGGTTGCCACCTCTGCTCCTCCTCGGCTGGTGTCACGTAAGCGCCCGACGCCGGGCTCCGGAGTACGATTTTGCGCTTGATTTCTGGATGGAGTGACGCCGGAGTTGTCTCATTTCTATCTCCCTCTATCGGGGCCACCAGCAGTCGATGGATCGGGTAAGCAGTTGTGGTTGGTTTCTTGATCATCTGCGGATTTCCGAAAATAGTAGATGCGGAAGAAGGCGAAGCGGACCAAACTTTCTCTCGCTCCTGAAACGGCAAACACAAATCTGGATCTTCTGGGTTGTACTCCCATCCAAAGTAGTGGTAGTGCGCCTGCGCGGGCTTCGAAGAGATTACTGAATAAAGCGAAGGAAGCGTAGAGCCAGGTGGTCCTGGCGTCTTTACTTCTTTTGCAACCTCTTTCAGAATGGAATTTCCCAAAACGGCGGGAAGAGAAGCTTCGCTATTCCCACACACCGACGATGGAGGTGGAGATGAAGACCACAGATTGGCGTATTGTGATTCCGCCGCGAAACAGCGACGAATCGCCGGCTGCTCTCCCCATAAATTGATGCTTGGAGACTTTTGGCCTAGTTCTGTAGTTTCGTTCGCCGAAGGACCGGTCCTCGTAAACCTTGCCCAACGTGGCCGCTTGACAACTACTCTGCTGTTTTCCTGTGCCAAAGGCCGTAGACTGTAGCTCTCGAAAGGGAAAGTGGCGACCCAGTGAAAAAAGCGGCCCAGGAGAAGCGAGGAGTTCCAGCGTTGCGGTTCTTGCCGCTTGGAGGTGATATAATGCTGTCGAGAAACAAGAAGTCCTCCGCGAACGAAGCAAAGAAAGAGTGCGACTAGATGGATTGACTTCAGTCGTTTCTCCGTATTTGAGTGCTCCTTTTTCAACTTCATGATTTTCGCCCAGTGCAGCACCGCGGTCGCAACATAACGGATGTTGCAGGAGGACGAGGGAGTTGTACTTGTGGGAGCGTTCGCCAATAAGTCAGCCTGTGCACTGTCAAACCTTTTCCCAAAAGCCCGCGACCCATCCACACACTTGTTATCGGCCGCGACGAAGTGCAGGATCTTTTGGAAAACCATCCGGAGCTTGTTCTCCTGTCGTGCTCGTGTCAGTAGGGTCGATTTGCATGAAACTGGATCTGGGAACTTCCCTTCCGATTGCTCTTGCACGATGTCATCATTTTTACCAATAGCACTTTCTTGGTCACCTACTCTCATCCCGTTTTTCTCTTCGACGGCAACGACAAGCGCACCAAAGCCGGGATTTTGAAGCAAGCTGTCTAGAAAATGAGCGCCTTGTAACCAGGAACGGAAACAAGGGCTTTTCTGGTTCCACCGTGATGCTGACGGTTGTACTTCTCCGGCCGATGTCTCCCTTTTGTGTTTCTTTTCCACTTTCACCTCGACACGGCCTCCTCCGGCAATCGCTGCGCCTCCAGTGCTCTTTTCTATCAAGGTCGCAGGCGGTTGTTCCCGCATTCCCATCCGCACTACGGGGTCCAGCGCGTACGTTAGATCCACCTGGAAGCCTTTGAACACAAATTCCAGTGTGCCTTTCGCTTCCACAGGCTCAAGATCCACGGAGTGCACGTCTTTCGCATACTTCAGACTTGTTCTGTCTGGCAGTGCAGCGGTGGAGGGAAAATCTCTTGAATTCTCTTCAGTGGGTGAAAACCGTGATCGGGACCGCCACTCTGCTGCCTGCGCGCTAAGATTTTCTTCACTTTCCCCCTTTCTGCCGGTAGTACTAAAGCCTTTGCTTTCCTCATCGTCACCAGTAGCCCTGCTTCTTTCCACACGCTCCGGCAATTCTTGCGGTGTGTCCTTGTGTCCTCGCTTCCGCTTGTCTCTTCCCTTCAGCCTTTGCTTTCTCACTCTGCCTAACGCCCGCCGCTTCCGGATGCGAGCGATGAGCCAGTCGACATGTGCTTCCTGCAGGTACGTCAAGCCTAGTCCGAGAGTGTGCAGGTAGTGCCGCGCCTGCTTATCTGATCTGATGTCGTGCAGGTAGAGGCACACATCAACGTCAGAGTCGCGAAAGTGTACACCGTGACTGCGACTGCCGAAAAACGTGAAAAAGTACCTTCTTTGAGTGGCGTAATCAATCAAGTTGCCAACATCTTTGAGAACTTTTGCGTTTGATAGGAAGGACGAGCTACATGATCGGATGCCTCGTGCTGATTGTGGTCCTGGCAGCGGGCCGCGACTACTTTCTGGCTCAATCAGTACTCCACTTTTTTGCAAATTTCGTTTATGTTGATGAACTTGCCTCCCCCGCCGCGGCCAAGGTTGCGTTTTATTACCCCGCCGCTGAAACTGTGGGACTCTAGCTCTACTGCTTTGGTTCAGCGGCTCGTTCATTCCTGGTAGCACTTTCTCCCGTAAACCTCGCAGAAAGCGCGCGTCGTGTTTCTCCTCCGCCTCACGCCTCTTGTTCTGTTCAGCCACAGAAGAAACGCAGGCAAACCCACCGGCTGCACGACGTACTTTCAATACGACAGCACGTCCGCACGAGGAGGACGGCAAATTCGTTATTCCACTTACGCGTTCATCATCACAAAGGCTTAGCATCCGCTTGACAAAATACGTGTTCAGGAAGCAGGCCTTTGTGGCCGATGTGGACCATGAAAACTCCACGTCCTCATCGCTTCCAGTCTGGCCATCCGATAAGAATAGTGGTCTTTCCTCTCGCTCAGGTTCGCTACTTCTACGTGGTCTATTTTCACCAGACTTGTTTGTGTTTTGTTTCAGAAACATACAACTGGGGCCCATACCAAGAAAGTCTAAGTTGCGAAAGTCCGCGGCGACAGTGTGCCATTCGACGCTGGGCTTCTGCACGCCGCTGGTGCCTGCGATTTTCTCATTTTCACTTTCGCCGTCTGTCACGGCCGCAGACAGTCGCCTGTAACCCAGAATTTCGTCGCCAACTCGGAGTCCACTCGGGTTGTCAACAAGAGAGTTTTGAAACTCGGTATCGTACACGGCTCGGAGCAGCAGATTCTTCCTCCGCAGTCGTAGTTGATGCGGGTCAGGTGATTTTTCATCTTCGTGCTCGAGAGGGTCGAGTGTTTCGGGACCAGCAGGGTCGAACAGAAAATCGCTATTTCGAATATTAAACCCGCGGAGAACTACTACGCAAGAGCGGTTCTCGAAGCACCCCGCCTTTCCCTGACCATCGTCCCATTCCTGCTTGGGATCCAAGGCAACACCTTCGTGCACAATTCGCAATTGCAGCGTAGCCAGCTCTTCCCGCGTCACGGTGACCTCCAAGACTTCTTCGTCGGTCGTGGTGTCATCATTTGCAGCTCCATCGGACTTCTTACTTCCGTCTACGGTGCTGGTGGTACTACAGGACGGCAAAGGAGAAGACAATACACTGTACCACCCCCCTTCCTCTTGTATGCTCGTTGCAGTTGCGCTTTCACTGCCACAGCATGAAGCTGTCTGCTCCTTCGCCCGGCTTGTGGTGGGGATCACATTGTGATCAAAATCAAAATAGGACCCGGCCAGCGGCATTCTGGTATTCTGTTTGGTAGGTTGATTCTCAACTTTGCAGTTGTGCGATCAAATATTCTGCTGGTACTAAGGCCTTTGATGAGGCGACCATTGGAACGAAACTACACGAAGAAAGAAGTCAATGTCTTAGTCATTTGACTTCATGCTCATAGCTGTATCTGCCGAGAAAACAAGCATTCAGACAACAACTCACGACCTAGTTACTCAGTGTGAAAGTGATCATGTTCTAGCTGTGAGTATTAATGTAGTGCCTGTGCGAGTGCGTACTGCATTAAAGTACTTACTTCGTGATTGCCTCGTGGTGCGACGCAGCGCTGCAACTTGACGAATCTATTCGACAATTTCGTTAAGAATGTCCAAACGACACCTGATCTGCGCGGGGGTGATAGATATACACGAATGAGACGACAATGCGGTGGTGCGAAAAGCGGGACCTTCTGATTGTACAGCAGCACCAAATTCATGCGAAAAGGAATACGATGGATCAATTCCTTACGTCCGGATCCTCGTTCTGTACCCGAATATACACGCCTCTTTTTCAAAAACTTCCCACACTCCATTTAGACTGCAAAAGCAAAACTGCTGTCCTCGTGCCTCCGTTTCTGACGAACCTTTCTGCTCGAAACGCTTTCGCGTCCTTGTGACACGTTTTAAACGAGCAGTAGACGGATAGCTGCAAACAGCGACTGCGATGCTCTTGCTCCTCTTGCAAGAAGCTACTTTACAAGACTGGAACGCCTTCCCTTACTGTATGTCACTGTTTCACTATGTGTGCATGCACCTTTACGTGCAGGGGCCGACTAGTCCATTGGCCACCAAGGATTCTTGCTCAACACTGTCATATGTTCTAGTTTTTGAACGCCAGCTTGCACTACCCGGTCGCAGCTGACTCTGTGATGCTTCTAGAGCAGCCCACAGAGCCAAGCGGAGCTTCATCTTCCTACTTAGTACCCCACCTCCCCACCAGCGTGGTCGTGGAATCCGGTTTTTACATCAAGCGAAACTGCCTCCACACATGGGTGACGAACTTGACGCATCGCTTGTTCAGGCCGGTCTTCTGTGTGGCGATCAGTATCAAGTGTAAAAATGTCTGGGTCTGGAAGAATTCATGTTTGTCATGCTTGTCTGGCATGACTCTTAAATCTGTCACGCACGTTACCCAAGAGCTACGCGCTTCTGTGATGCAGAAGCGCAGTTTGTCATGCAGAATAGGCAACACCTAGGAGCTCAGAAACTTGTCATGCTGAGCCAGCATTTGTAGCCTCATCATGAGACGCCACCCAGCATTACAAGTTTCCAGACCCAGACATTTTTACATTTGATAATCAGGTACTCCTTCCAAAACGCGTCCTCGTCCACGTCGAGGAGGTTCAAGTTCGCCTGCATGGTCAAGTGCAAGTCAAACGCGTTCTCGATCCGCCTCGCGGTAACCAACTTCTTCGCGTAATTGACGTAGTACAGGTCCATCGTTGCCAACAACCTCCACAGTTCCTCCGAAGCGGTTACCGAGACGCAGCGCGCGTAGCTTGCGTTTTCCTGGGAGGTGTTCTCGGGGTTCTCTGCCTTGTTCTTGACGTTTTGCGCCGTGGTGGCACAATCTCGCAATTGTACGAACGACTCCTTGGCAGGTGCTTCTTCGAAGTTTGTACTACTTTCTTGGTGTAGTTCAACATCGCTCCGCGAGGACATGAACCAGGTTGGGAAAGGATAGTGCACCGTCAGATTCAACCGCTTTTGTCTCTCCTCCGCAAGGCCGTCCTCCTTCTCCGCTGCATTACCGTCTGCTTTCAACGATTCCGCCGACGTGGTCAACTGCGAATAATTACCAGATGTAGTCGTATCCACTTTCACCACCACCCTGGTGCCCAAGTTCACCTTGCCGAAGTAGAAAAACCAGCTGCAGACGTCAAACCGCTGCATGAGCTCGCTGCTCCCCCGCAAGGCCGCGATCTCGTTGCCCTGGATAGAAAGCTTCACCACGTGCGCGAAATCAATCACCTCATCCAGTTTCAAGACCTCGACGTCGTGCCTCCGGCACAGGTGCTCCGGCGTGTTTTTGTTGCAATTCCAGACATAATTCCCGTCGTTTGCCGATGCGGACGCCGAGCGGCCGGGCAAGTGGGTGAGCTGCAGCTTCCGCACCGTGCCGTCGTCCAAGGCCGCCTTCACCACGTGCAAGCGATTCGGAAAGTCCAGCCGCTCGTTCAAAAGCACGGAATTCTGCAACAGAAAGGACGCGTCCGGCAGCGGTTCGATCGCCGTGATGCGGGCGGTGGGCAGTAGGCTCGCGGCCAGGAGCGCGCAGTCGCCCAAGTGCGCGCCGCCCTCCGAAATCCGCAGCGGCTCGTCCGCGGAAACGGTTTGCAGAATCTCCCGAAAGGGATCCATGTTGCAAAACGGCTCTTTTTTGTACCGGATGTAACTGGAAGCGAGCTCGCGGTGCGGAAACACCTGCATGCGGAAGTACCTTGGTGGGCGCGCCTGCTGCACCAAATGGTTGCTCGGCTTGCTGTACCCGGGTTCCTTCCGCCCCCCGTCGCTCACCCAGACCCGCCGGCACTGGGAAAGTTGCGCGAGTATGGGAGTGTCAGGATTGAAATCGACAAAGTTGAAATAATTTGTAATGCAAAAAACGGATACCAGTTGGCGCCTAGTTTTCAAGTGGCGCATGACAAATTTGGGTAGAACCGAGATCCTGTTTGTAATGCTGTTTCAGTAAGGAAGACGCCTTTTGTCATGCTACTTTAGCAGCTCTACTTCTACCCCTCAACAGGCTTACAATCTGCCTCCTTTGCCTACTCTGCAAGACAGGCATTTTGTGGGTTGCATTTTACGCATCACAAGAAACTATTTCAACTTTCACGATTTCAATCCTGGCGCTTCCATAGCGAGAATGCCGTTGATATTGATCGAGGTGTACAGCAGCTTCCGTAGAATATCTGGCAAAGGATATCCTGAGGAAAAACGTCCCCACTCCAGAGTTGTCATGCTAAACAAAATGCGAAACACTTTGCCCCCCCATTGTCCCATGGCCGCAGATGGCTTGAGACGCAGGGCGGGTGGCTCAGGCGGACACCAAAGTGCCATCACCATCATCTCCCGGCCACTCCACAGTTGTCATGCAGATTTTTTTTTTTCATTGGGCCCCACGCTGTTTTTTTCAATTTTCAATTTTCCATGATTGTGTGACGGCGGGAACGGTACCCGCCCGTTGTGCTTAATAATGCGCTCCCACGCGCGAAATTTCTTTGTCTTTTGCATCACACATGTACAAACATTTTCAACCCCCTAAATCAACAACATCTTTCATCTTCTGCCGCCCTCACGCAACAGGACTACTCCTGAAGCGCGGGAACAACCCGAAGGTTGTTTTGCATGACAAGTTCTTGCAGCAGGTTCATGCAGCAGTGGGAGATACAAAATCAAAATATTCAAAACCCTAAAGCCCTACACTGTTTTTCGGATTCGGGATTCGGATGTGCGCACTCCGCTCGTGATTCGCGGGGGTTACGCCGTGCACAGCAGGTCGACACTGTCAGGAAAGTCGATGGATGTGCCGCATTGGTCCATACAAATGTAAACCCTAAACCCGCATGCCTACCGGGGGGTCACCCCTGAACCCTTGTTTCGAGCTCGGACCGGACACACGCATAGAAAATCCCCACGATATAGTTAACGTCTACAGCCGGAAGCCGCGGCGGACGTGCTATGCTGTCGGACGAATAGCGGGGAGGTGATATGGTCGAGAATAAACCTACACACGGGAAGCCGCCGCGCGAAACTGTAGCAAAAGTTTTTTTGAAAAAGAATTCGCAAGCCTATGACGGTTCGTATCTCGGTGGTACTACGCGAAGGTCATGCAAAAGAGTTTTCGCAACTTCAATGTTGAAAAATCTCGAGCGGAATCAGCAACGACCGTCCCGGCCATCATGTCACGGAAATACTCGTGCCAAGTGCGCCGCGACCAGCCAGCTCCTCACTTTCTCGCTCCCGTCGAATATCGAGCCCATGACGAAACGGCGCTACATCTAGAACCCCACCGGTGGCATTTAGTAGCCGCGCGCCCTGAATCGAACAAGTTATGACCCATACTGCCGTGGGACTTTTGTTTTTCAAAATACGCCGGGCGATTGGTGCAGCTACCGCCGATGCCTCCAGCGGAATTCATAAGATGTCTGTGCTCGAAGATAGTAGAATTTCTAAAAAACTAGAGATAAACAAAAACGGGGGGACGGGACCGCTGAACCCACGATCCATCCGTTGCGCGGGGCGGCTGTTACCCGTGCTGGTCCGCTGGTGCGGACCTTCTATCATCTTGACATCTTTATGCGCTGATGCTTCTGCCGCCACGTGCGTGTTGCAAAACATGGGAAGGTCTTGCACCACATCCACGGGGGCAGCCGCGCCAGCGGGTGGACATCGAGATAACATCAGGTCCACGCCGTGCTTGGAAGCCGGAGTGGTATCCGAAAGTTAGCGGCAGGGGCGGCGGCAAGAAGATGGCCGGCAAGTAGAAGATCATGACTGAGTGCGCTTTTGCCGAAGCCCGATAGTTAGCCTCACGCGCGGCGGCTGCGAAAGATGCGCACCCCGCTCGTGATTCGCGGGGGTTGCGCCGTGTACAGCAGGTCGACACTGCCAGGAAAGTCGATGGATGTGCCGCATTGGTCCATACAAATGTAAACCCTAAACCCGCATGCTTACAGGGGGGCCACCCCTGAGCCCTTGTTTCGAGCTCGGACCGGACACACGCATAGGCATAGAAAATCCCCAAGATATAACTCCTATTGCTGAGCGGTGTGAGTTAAAACTTTGCGACGGGGGGGAAAATCGCCCACGCCGAAACTTTTCTCGCAATTTTCAAACTTTCCAAAACTTTCGCGATTTGCGAAATCGCTCCCCGCCCACCGCCCAAATCCCATCACCCAACTCGCCACCACCCCCATCGCTCAGCTTCCAACTCCCGGCGCCCACTTCCAACTCCCATCGCCCAGCTCCCAACTTTCATCGCCCAACTACTTTGCAACGCAAAATATTTTGCAACTCGCAATATTTTTGCGACTCGGCAAACTCTGCCATAGCTAACGTCTATAGCCGGAAGCCGCGGCGGACGTGCTGTGCTGTGGGAGGAATAGCAGGAGGGTTTTTTCGCAAATAAATTCATCACTATTTTAGGAGGCCAGTGGACGTTACTTAACATGTGAAGCAGTTCTACGAATTCACCTGCCTGCCGCAGCAGGTCAAACAGGGCCGACACCTTTCACACAGTTAAGCAGAGCGCGTGCGCGCCATCTTTACATATTTTTTTTTGATTTGTACAATTTCCGCTCTTGTCGCCTGCTCCTTCACCAAGATCTCGCGCCACTTCCGTCTATTCCCCCCCACATGTACAACTCTGCTGGCAAGGCAGAAAAAAAAGACTCAGCCCCTGTTGGAATAATTAAGCACAAAAAGCCCACACAGAAAATCCCTGCACCTGCCTAGGGGCGACTAGGCAGATGAGGTGTGCCATACCGAGGGGTGTATATGTGTTTGAGTCAGGGATGTTTAATGCCAAGCGGGAAACGCATCAGGGATATCGTACGTGCGGGGTCCGCTAAAAAAAATATCGCGAAGGCGGCAATGGAGTAACGCTATCCCTAAACTTTTGCCGACAATCTAATAAGTGGGGGACAGCCGAAAAAAAAAGCTGCCGGGTCTTTTGCACAGTGTGCGTACGTCTACGATACGGATCTTTCTTGGGTCGGTAACGACAGCGAGGCAACTCTCCTCGCTGTGTTCCGCCTCTTTTTGTCAGTGCGCCCGAATTTATATTCCCCCCGGGGAGGGGGTGAAAAGAGTTGTCATGCAGATTTGCAATGACAAAGACAGTTGCGACGCGCATACCCATGGTAGACATTTCCAATCGTGTTTTGGAATTTGTGATGCTGAGAACAGGATGAGCAGATGGATCTGTGATGCGGCTGCACTTGCTAACCTGCACTACACTACGGAGTGCAACTTGTCATACGCGACTCCCAAAACTCCTAGGTTTGTGTTGCAAAATCCCCATCTTGACTATGGGGTGGGGACGTTTTTACACAGGATACCGGAAACCCGCGCAGGCGCAGGGATCTACTCGCACTGGTTGCAGCTTTTCGTGTCCTCGTGCCATCCGACAAAATATCTTCCAACGGTGCCAGCACAGAGGTGTCACCAACAGCCTCCAGATGGAGCAGTGGCGACCCAACAGCAGCAGCAGAGTCTTCACTATCGTCTTCAGAATCAGAAGTAGAGGGTGAACTATGTAATGTCACTGCCACCCCTTTCCGCAATTCCACGACCAGAGCATTGGGACGGGACTGAAACACCGACTTACTTTCGGTTTCGGTTTCTTCTCCTGCTTGTAGGTCTTGGTCATTTTTCGCGTGTTTTAGCGAGAGCAAATGCGCCGTTGTTTTTGTGAACAGAAGTTGCTCCGTTAGGTAGTTCTCACCAAGGTGAAACATGGCCAACGCGTTTAGCCCGACGTCCGCTGTAGCCTCGAGGTTCTGAAACATCTGAAACATCACATACGCGTGAATGAAATAGCATGCCTTAGGCTGGTTCTGTTCTGCTTCGTGCTGCAGCTCCGATCGTGTTCTAGTTGCACTTTGTGCAGCAACTTCTTGATGTTCATCTCTTGAAGACTCGACGCGCTGTGTCGCCCGTTGCTCCTCGCCACCTGCTTCCTTTCTGACGAGCATGCCCTCGGTCTTTTGCTGCTCCGCGACTAAACTAGTTAGAATGGAGACCTGCAGCTGTTCTCCGCCGCTTTTCGGCAATTTGTTGTAGTTTTTTCGCACGTTTTTCTCGTTCTTCAGGTCGAACATTCGCTTTCCCCATTCTAAACCGCGATGTGGTACCTGTTCCGGGGATATGTGTGTGAAGTCTTTCCAAATGTTCCACAGGCTGCGTGGCGGCTCGGTGACAGTCTGCACTGCGTCATATAGGCTGGAAGTTGAAAGTAGAGAGAGCTTGAAGACACTTGAAGTGTTTTCCTCGTCTACAGCATCTACAGCAGCTCCAGCCTCACCTGCTGTCCTCACGAGAACTCCATTTTTCAGTACGCCACCGGCGACCTCCCGCAACAAAAAACTCAGTTGGTTTCGAACGAAGAAAACATCCTGCTGCGGAGGCAAAAGAAAGGTCTTTTCCAAGCTGACAGGCAGAGTTGAGGATTTTTGCGATGTGGCTCCGTCCGTAGCAGCTGCTCCCGCGGTCGTGGTTTCTCCTCGTGCGGAACGGAAAGCAGTTGATGTCGCGGCAGCTTCTAGTACTTGTTGTACACTACTTGCAGGTACTACTGTTTTTGGAGGTGTAGTACTTCTAAATTCTCTTTTCCCCGCTGATATCCCGTCGTCCCCTTCTGCTTCTTCCGGATTATTAGCAGTTGCTTTGTCGGCGTTGATATCTCTGTTCGCGTGCAGGCTCATCATCATCTCCTGGTTCGAGGCGGCGAAGTTCTGGAACATGAATTCCTCACGGTGGACGTCCACGTCCATGCATTCCCAATCCAGATAACCTGGCTGAATGCCGATGTTTTGGATGTAGTGCTGCCGCATCAGGTCGATGAAGTGGAAGAAGTCCCATCCCGATTCAAGCAGCGGCTTCAGAAAAATTTGCCCATCTGGTACTCCTCGTCGGTGAAGTGTATTATCGACGGCCTTTTGCGGCCCCCCTTTGGGTGACGAGGGTGGCGTCGACTTCTTCTTCTTCTTTTTTGTTTTCCTGCCAGTCCCGTTGTACAAAAACTTGACTTTCATGAGCAAAACGAAAAGGGCGTTCTCGGCATAGACAAAAGCCGGGGAGTCCAGGGGATTTTTGAAGTAAAACGCTCTCGTTTGGGCGATTGCGAGAATCAGGGCGAGGAAACCGAAGGGACAGTCGGCTTTTTCTGCAATGCTAATCTCCTCGAAAAGTTCCCGGTAATTTTCCAGTGAAAAACTCTGTACTGAATCCTGCAACTAGTACCGTTTCGTACACGTATGTATCTATCTGAAGGCACATCACAAGTACAGAGCTCCTGCGGCCATCGCCATTGGAGATAGAGATCAACGAATGTTGCAGCGACTAGGACTACATAGATAGGCCGTATGCTTATAAGTATGTAAGTTAACCGAGGTGCGAGTGCGACTGCAACTGCAATATTGATACAGCTCAGATGTTGTTGCGCAGGCAGAAAAAACTAAAAAGTCTACAGAGTTCCTCCCCATAAGACCATCTCGGAGGGAATTCCCTCAGTCATCGACAGTCGGCGATGCAGTTTGCAGAAAAACCGGTCGTCTTGAACGGCCGGACGGGCCAGCTGCGAACCCGAAGGGCTTCGATCCTCGTGATCCTCCTCTGGCGGAATGGGATTTCGCTTCTCACCCCGTAAGTCTTGCAATATCCCGAAGGCGCCGGCGGCAGCATCTTCTTCGCCAGTCGCCTCGTCGTAGTAGCTCCAGGCATCCTGCGCCCGACAGCCACAAGTTGCTTGGTCGGGGTCGGCGAGAAGCAAAGCCAACGTCTCTTGCCGGGACAGGACCAGCGGGTACGTTACCACGTCTCGCAGCTCTATGGACAATCCCGGCGTTTCTCGCACTTTATTTTTCTCTGCCGTGCTTCTAGTTCCACTTCCAGCCTGCTGCTCGCGATCTCCCGGTAAATCTGCATTGTGAATATTCTTCGCTTCGTCGCCATCATTTTCTTCAGCACCTCGCGGATCTTCTAACAGAATCAACTGTTCGTCCGACGAGGCCTTCTCGTTGGCGTCAACTGGGTGGTTCAAACAGCATCGGTTGTAGAACTTGTCGATTATCCTATGTAAATAAAACGCCCCCCCCTGTAATGCAAATCTGCATGCTCAAAATGTTTCTCATGCGGAGCCCCGGGAGAGCCTTTTTCTAGTCGTACTGCGAAAATTTGTCATGCTCCAATCGCCATGATGTGCTAGATCTGTGGCGCTGCTGAACTTTCCAAACAGGATTACACTACGAGGCCAAAGAACTTGTCATGCGCAACGCCCAACGCTTGCTGGTTTGTCTTGCAGATTTCCCAACTTGACGATAGGGTGGGGACGTTTTTGAACAGGATATCGATGGCATCGGCATCATCGCCCAGGTGGTCCCAACACCCGATTTGACTCGCCACGCTCTGGTCCAGGGTAAACTAAAGGTGAAAATTATCAAACTCCTTCCTTCTCACAGTATTTTTGTCCATGGTGCAGGTGCTCTCCAACGGCTGATAATTTATTATCATATGCAGGTCTGATGAACATGAAATTGATATTGAAACACAATATGGCGCAAGCTTCTTCGGTACTGTAATAGCTACCAAGGTGAGCCAGAAACTGCTCTCGAACTGCTTGATATTGAAACACAAACACTGCAACAAGCATGACAAACTAGGAAACGTCACAGAGTAGGGAGTTTGAGATCCACGCTTCAACACATAGCAACAGCGAGCAAAATTATGCGGACCCCAGGTGTCCTTCCAGCACTCAGAGGCGAGAAGCGCGAAGAGCATCTTGACGAATAGGCCTGCGCTTCGGAATAAAGACGTAAAGAGTGCCTTTCATCGCAAAAGGATATGCTTCATGCAAAGTGTAAATGCGGCTCTGTCTTGCCGAGCGCAAAAAAAAATATACTGACGCGGGGCTTCCAAGACCTTCATCGGCATGCGTTCTGGTTCTCAGTGATTCAATACTAAAATTTTCTGCCTGTCAGGACCACGGACTCAAACCGAAATCACTATCACCAGACGGAAAATTGCAAGGAAACGATACGGATTTTGCAGGCATCGCGACCGCGACTGCGTAGCTCTTCTTTACAAAGTTTGGATGCAAACAACTAGCAACAACATCATGTTGTAATAGGAAGAGCTTCTCACTCTTTGTGTTTGTACTATTCCTCCGCACCAAGAAAGAATAACAAAGATCGTTCCTACACCAATTTCAATCACAGTGAACTCAAAAAAACGAGCGAAATCGAAGTAGCCGGTCATAACTCTAGCTTGTGGTCAGGCACAACCACATGAAAAGAAGAACATACAACCATACATCACTATGTACACTTCAGATCGCCTTCGAAAAATGATCGAGATCTTGACATGTTCTACTGAATGTAGACGTGCCACTAGCTACTTGACTGTTTTAGTTTTTTGTCACAATGGATCAACAAGAAGATCCGCCGGAGCACGCTGATCCATTCGCATTCGGAAAAGAGAAAACCAATTCGGTACCACGAGCGTGGTATGCTTCGGGGTTTTGCCAGCTGCGGCTGTTTCGCATCCTATTCCTGATGCGACAGAAAACTGGCACAGCGAACAAGGGAGGGGCAGAGATGCAGCTTGCGCTCGCGCCGCCCAGAAAACGCATTTCATCTCAAATCCGCTACTTCCGCGAAAATAGAAGGAAAATAAAAGCATGAGAAGAAGTGTGTGCATAATGTTTCCCTTTTGCTCCTGGCGTTGAAGCGAAAGGCGTTCGAAGAAACGCCTGAACGCCGCCGTCAGTCATCTGGTCTCGGCGCAAGTCTAGTACTACGAGCACCACTATGTATAAGTACTCGCTTGCGCTTTTCTTCCGCAGCTGGAATATAATGATTGATACATTATGAGGCGAGGAGCGTACGGTTCTTCCTCTTCGGCTTCCTCCACACTTTTTCAGCTCCTTCTCAAGAAAGAAATTCGTCAATCGTTACTGTACATCGAGCGAAAAAAATTTTCAAAATTTGACGAAATACAAAGTACTTTGGACGATACTAGACTGTGAGTGCGACAGATTTCTCCATGTTAGTTTTGAGGTCGTAGAAAACAAAGTTTTAAAATCTCGTGAAATTCCCAAATTTTGGTCGAATGTAAATGATGTGTAAAAGTAAAGGAATTGAATAATTTGAAATACTATACAAATGTTAGAACTCCCGAATTTCAGCAGTGTGCTGGCAAGGCATGTACTAGTGAAAGTGAATGAAATGATGTAAGTAATTACTTTTTAAACAAATGAAAAAACCCAACTCGGTCAATGTTGTTCACAAAACAGACGTCTTCGCAATAAATCGGCTCCTGTTTCTTACAGTGGTTGTGCTTGTGGTACACCCGTACTTCTGCTTAACAAGCTGTCATGATTTGGCTCGCCCGCCGGCCTTTTGTCCTCCTCAGGAAAATGCACGCCGGAAAATGAAATCATCCGCGCCCCTCACATGGGATTCGACTCCCCGGCGGCAGTCACTTCCACGTTCGTCACCATCCGCCCTCCCTTTTGGAGCATGCTGGCCACCCCCTGATCGCGGATTTTGTGTAGGTCCTTTTCTGTGACGAGCCAGTCGTCTCCCAGCAGGCCATCCCCCGGCACGCGCCCGTTGTCGGCCGCTCCGGCGGAGGCCGAAGCCAAGGCGTCCACCTGCAGGCTCCGGGAAGAGCCGGAGCAGCCCACGCAGGTGCCTCCCTCGTCGTCCACGTCGACCTGCGCCAGCCCCTCAGCGGTGGAGAGGTCGTCGTACGACTTGCCCGAGATAATGTCATCGAGCGCGCCGAAGTCGTCGGTCCAGTCGTGTTTCAGTTTCTTGTCCAGCGACAAAGCCGAACCCGCCGGCTCTTCGTCGTCCCCGCCGCAGCAGGGGGCCTCTTCATCGTCGTCGTCATCATCATCATCATCATCATCGTCAGGCTCCCCTTGCGCCGTTTTGGTTTTTTTGTGGTCGAGTGCCTCAAAGAGTCCCGTCACGTAAAAATCGCCCACCGGCTCCCATGCAGGCGGCACATGATTCAACGCCGCGGCCGCCTCTTCCTCCCGCCGCTCCTCCTCCGGCGTCTCCGCGGACGGGAAGGGGTCCTCTCGCGGCCGCTCCGGCAGCAGTCGCCCGTTCTCGTCGACACCGTAGCCCTTGGCCATGTGAACCACCTCCGCGTACCTCTGCTCCAGCTCCGCCTTGAGCCCTTCCACGTTCTCTGACGCGAGCCGCAACTTGTCGTTTTGGTCCTTCCACCATTGTTCATTCAGGTAGTTCTGCGAGGCCTCAAGCGCCTGCGCCGCTTTTGCGCTCTCTTTCGCATTCTGATCCCGCTGCTTCTCCAGTTCCGCGATCCGAGCCTTCGCCTGCTGCAGATCTTCCGACAGATTCGGCGGGGCCGCTTGCCCCGGCGTGGCCGCTTGCCCCGGCGTGGCCGCTTGCGCTTGCAGCTGCTCCAATTTGGCTTTCGCGGCCGCCAGTTCCGATTCCAGCTTGGATGCCCTGTTCGCCGCCTCCCGCGCCTCTTCGCTGGCCGCGTCCGCAGCGGCCACTGCTTGCCTCTTCGCCTCTGCGGCGCGCTCGGCCTCGTCCTTCAGCCGCTTCGTTTCGTCCTCGTCCTTGAAGATCTTCTCGTCGAACCCCCGCCGGTCCTTTTCCAGCTGCTCAAACAGTTCCGAGCCCTCGTCCCCCGTCGCGCTGCAGCAGAAGATCGTGTCCCACAGCCCGCGCGCCCGCAGTTCCGTGATCCGCAGCTCGCGTGCATGGGCAGGATCAAGTTCACGCCCCTTGTTCAGGATCGCGTCCTTGGGCATCTGTGCGCGGGCGGCCTCACGACCGGTTCCGTACCAGTACTGCTTCATGCGGTCCACGTACCACTTTTGCCCCGCCCCCTGCTTCGAGGTGAACATGCGGTACTTGTTCGCCGCCCGCGACGCCTCGAACTCGAAGCTGAGCATCGGGAAGTGGGTCCCGCTGTCGAACTGCGACCCGGCGGCCCACACACCGCACAGCTCGTGCAGAGTGGCCATTTTCTCGTCGTTCGTGCGGGCGAAGAAACCCTGCGTGGGAACCAGCGCGCCGCAGTCCCCCTGGGTCCCGTGGAACTCGGCGTGCTTGCGGTTCTGCAGGTTCTCCACCTTCTGCATGTTCGTCATCAGCTGCCACTTGCCCCAGGCCTCCTCCTGCTTCACCGGGTTACAGCAGTACTCCAAATCCCGGACGACCTGGCCGAGCACCCTCGTCCGGTCATCCTCGAGCAGCGTTTGCACGTCCAAGTTCGGGTCGGAACCGTGAATCTTCATCACTTCGTCCCAGTTCATCTGCGTGTCCAGGACATTCTTGTACCTTTTTTTTATTATTTTACAAAAATTAAGTACTTCTCGCATCGATCCGGCTTGATGTTGAGAAGATGTTGGACGTTTTGCAGTTATTAACATGATTAGCAATTCTTTTATTTTGCTATTCTCATTTTTTTCATAGATTCGTTTAGAACTAGAAATAGGATGGGCTGCTGGTGCTGGCATGAAATACACATCCACGAAGCAGAGACGAGGTAATAAGATAAGAACGAAATTGAAACTACCATTTCAGGGCGTTCGATTCATAGCTCCCCTTCAACTTTTTCGCCAGGAAGCCGCGATTTCTCTGCTCTTCCACCAACTCCGCACCATGAACTTCCTTGTAGACCTCGGACGGAAAGGTAGCCGCACTCAGACTTGCCGGGTAGACGCTGTTGGATTAGGAGAAAGAAAATTTTATTTCACATTGGCTTCAGAAGCTTCTCATAGAAGTTCTTTCGGAAATTATACTCAGGATGCCGGTCGAGATTGATTTTTTGGAGTACTACTGCTGCATTTCATTCTCAGATCGTTCAACTCTTTTAATACTAATGTCAATTTTCCGTAAAAGTTCTGGTTATATTCAATATACACAGACACGGATTTCTCCCCGATTGTCTAAATAGTGCAGCTCCGTTCGTATCGTGGTCGCTGTTTACGTTTATATATCCTTCAAGGAAATAAAGTACAACAGGAAATTTTTGTCGTTTTGAAAAAACCAGGCTGATCAACGTCCTTACCCCAGTCCGCGCTTGGTCATGTGGCACATCGTGTTCAACTTGGATTGTTTCACGCCAGCCGCTTTCGAGCCGAAGAAGCCGGTCGGCTCCCAGAGCTTCGAGCAACTCAGGTGGGTGTCATCGTCCTCGGCGAGCGGGGGAAGTGCGGGAGGCAGTACAAACGTGGCAGCGGCGGAAGATCGGCGCCCGCCCGGGGCGGCCACTAAAGATTTTCCACCCCCGCCCGGGGCGGCCGCCGGGGGCGCCCGCCCGTCGTCGGGGTCGTCACTCATGGGCTCGTCATCTGTGATGGGCTCGTCATCCGTGATGTCAGTGTCTTCGTCATCGGCATCGCGGCCGTCGTCGTCGCTCTCAAGGTCGTCAGAATCATCTCCACCTCCCTTGCCTTTGCCCTTTGCGGCCGAGACCAGCAGGTGGCTGCTCACATCCACGCTTGCGAGGAGCATCAACTGCTCCAACTGCCATTGGGTCAAAGTCGCCGACCCCACCGCGCCAGCCAGGCCGGAAACAAGTTTCGACTTCATCTTCGCCGCGTTCGCACAGGTTTTTCGTTTCTCAGCTTGCTCTGATACCGTTTTTCGAATTCGACCGTCCGCGAAGTACAATTCAGTGCTTCGCCGAGTTTGTATGTTGTGTTGAGAGTGGTAGTGTTTTTTACCGTCAATCTTGAGAAAAAAGCAAAACAGTTAGTGTTTAGGCTTACACATTTGCAACTCTTTTACCGGTTTTCGTGCCTCACCTCGCACAGTAAGAAGTAGTCCATTTTTTCTTGGAAGTGGGTGCGCTTCGTAATTGCCTTGGAAAGAGTTTACTTTTCACCTTTGTTCAAAAAGAAATTCAAGTTTCTTGCATACACACATAGAAGTTTTGTCAAAATTTGGGGTATTGAGACGCAACCTCTGCGATCAATGCCTGTGAAGGAGTTTAATATTGGGGAATGAGCACGTCGAAAAAAAACTACACGATACAGAACGAGTATTCTTGTGATAGCAAATGGTGCACCGACGTTAATATCAAGAATGCCGTATACTTTTCATTAGAAGTTTTTTCGTCGTCGAACGAATGACTGCAGTACGATTGGTATCCTAACTCATGCCGAGATGTTGAACGTGCAGAGGAGATGTTGAATGTGCAGAAGCAACTCGCACGAGACAGACCGAGATTACTTGTTGTAGACGAGGCAAACCGAGTCGGTGGAGCCACGACCTCCTCCTGGGCGCGTACGAAAACCGATGACTCGAATTATACAAAATTATAGTAAAACAGAAAACTTGAGCTTCATGCATCATTTCATTTTGGATTCCGTGTGGCGCTTGCCAAAAAGAAGCGAAATCAAGCAGAATGATACATAAGCGACTCCGATAGTATCTGAATCTAGGGGCAAGCAACCGAAGGCTAGTTCCCAGTTGTCAGAGCATCAGGGCAACATGGAGGTTTTCCGCAGCAACTCGAGTAAGTTATCATTTGGAATATTCTATTATGACTATGCTGCTTTTGTCGCGTTGTCCTGTTTCTCATACTGCTCGAGGTCGTTTGCACAAGCACATCATCATCAATCGGTCCTTGATACAACTCAAGGCTGGGACTCAGAATAAGTTGATGGAGTTACTCTTCGTAGGTCAACATGTATCATTTCGACATAGTACGTCGCGGCGTCCCACCTCAACTAAAACTGAAAGACGTTTTCATACGCGTAGAATCCGGGCTTGAGTTTCTCTCCTTCCACGCCCTCCCACATGGTTCCCGCGCAAATTGGCTGCGCCCGGGTGGCGGACGATGAGTGTGTGCCAGACGCATGGGACGTTTTCGCGAGGTCGTTCCAGGTGCGGGTGGATTTGTCGTGGTGGTCCAATTCATCTTCATCTACTTCCACCGGCTTGAGAATCGCTTTTGCGAGCCACGAGTGCGAACGCAAGTCCCGTGTGAGCAGCTGCGGGCGCTCCGGTCTGACAAAGCTGCGGCTTTCGGGCGTCGAGTCGCATGACTGAAGTCGGCTGTTGAGCTCCTCCGGGTCGACTGCAAATTGCCGAAGAAAGTCTGCCGCGCGCGGTAGTTGTCTGCGGAACATGACGGGCGCCCTCTCCAGACCCGGGCTCTTGTCGAGCTGCAACAGGTCGCACCGCCGTCCGGTGAACTCGCAGAGGAGAGATTTTTCGTGACTCCGCCGATTTGGCGTGAGGTTCTCCCAGAGCGAAATCATCAGCGTATGTCGATATGGGATATTAGCTTCACAACTAGCAACATTTTCATCTTCTCCAGGACCGCTTTTTACAACTTTGTCTACGTCTTGGGCGGAGCTGTCACGACAAGAAAACGACTTTCCTCGTGCTCTTAAGCTTTCGGCATCCAGCTCTGCTCCTGCTTCGTCGTTGCCTTCACTCGTAGCCTGCTTCGACGATCGATCAACTTCTTCACAGGCGCGGTTTGAGATTTTCTCCCGGCGCCGTCCTCGCCTTCCGCCAGCTACAATCATGCCGGGCATATGGATGCGTCAGGTTTGAAATCGTCAAAGTTGAAATAGTTTGCCATGCATAAAACGGATACCAGCTGGTGCCTAGTTTTCAAGTGGCGCATGACAAATTTGGTAGAGCCGAAATCCAGTTTGTAATGCTGTTTGGGTAAGGAAGAGGCCTTTTTTCATGCTAGTCCAGCAGCTCTATTTGTACCCCTCAACAGGCTTACAATCTGCCTTCCTTGCCTACTCTACTGCAAGACAGGCATTTTGTGGGTTGCATTTTATGCATCACAAACTATTTCAACTTTGAGGATTTCAAACCTGACGCTTCCATAGGGCACTACTCCGTGATACAGATCGCCCGAAAAGCACACCGCTCGGTTCTCCTATCAAGTGTAAAAATGTCTGAGTCTGGAAACTTGTGATGCTGGGTGGCGTCTCATGATAAGCCCACAAATGCTGGCTCAGCATGACAATCCTATGAGCTTCTAGGTGTTGCCTATTCTGCATGACAAACTGCGTTTCTGCATCACAGAAAAATGAAGCTCTTGGCTAACGTGCATGACAGATTTAAGAGTCATGCCAGACAAGCATGACAAACATGGATTCTTCCAGACCCAGACATTTTTGCACTTGATATCTCCACCGGAAACACCATTTGCGCCGTCGCGCTGTGGATGGTCTCGCCCTCGCTGCCCAGCTTCTGAGTGCTAATCACGGTCGGGGCAAGAGGGCAGGAAGACTCTCTTCGAGGAGGCAGCTGTTCCTGTGGCTCCTCGTCCTGTTTTTGCCGCCGGGAAGCTCGTCCTGCTGATCCCCCGCCGCCGGATAAGTAGAGGACGAAGGTCGCGACCGGGCTCTCGGGTTTCCCGTCCTTGTCCAGCATTCCCTCGTCTTTCGCGTCCACATGCAACTGATGGTACCCAAGGTGTGTGCGCTTGTGTGTCCAGGTCTCCGCGAACCGCACTTTGGTCAGCCTTTCGAGCACAAATTCTGCTTCCTGTTTGCGCTTGCAGTTGTCTCTTGCACGACTTTCGTCGTTCTGGTCGGGGAAGCTAGTACTAGTCGCTTTATTCTTCTCATTGTCCCATTCCGCCTTGAAGTGTTTCTTCACGTTTTCGAGAAACTCGTGTAATATTTGGTCCAGATACCCCTTTTCCTCCGGCGCACCGGCTCCGTCGCTCTGCAAGTCGTGGAACAGGCTGAAATAGCTGGGGTTCTTCCCCTCGGTGAGGCCGCAGTCATACAACAGGGGATCGTACCCGTGCGCGTGGAAAAATTGGTCGCAAAAAATCTGTTTCAGCTGGTCCAGACTGCGCTCGGAAAGAATGTTGTCCAGGATGAACAGCGGAGCCGACGCGGAAGCAGCAGAAGAGGAGCTCAGTGGGGTTGTGCTTTTGTCGTGCGTGGAGGTGGAGGAAGGGGGAGACGAAACAAGCACCGCAGACGGAGACGAGGGTGGTCCGACTGCAACAGCAGGAGTAGGCAAAGAGAAGGGGCCGGCGGCGGCGGGCGCGGCGCGACGATCACCACTAGGTGGACTACTGCTGTTCTTTGCGTGATTCGTCTCTTCCGCCGCTTCTTCGGCACAGATGCGGTCGTAGGGAAAGAGGCGGAAGCGGGCCTCGAACCCGAAGTATTTGAGCAGCTCCCCGGCAAAGGCGTTGTACTTCTTGATGCTCATCGGGCACGAAGGCGTCCGTGAGCAAGCTTCTGATTCGCGGTCCTCGCGTGTTAAAGAAACAACTTCATGCTCATGCTTCTCGTCTGCATTTTTCTCTCCTTGTTTTTCGGCCCGACGGATCGTCATCCCGGATTCGCTCTCCGTCTCCTCGTCCATTTGCAAGTACAGTGGCACTAATTGCTGCAGGTACAATCGCACAACGTCGGAAGCTCCGCGAAGCGGCTTCTTGTTCTTCGTCTTTTTGGTTCCCCGCTTATTAGAACCACTCCGATGAAAATCATTGCGCTCCGAGAGCATGTCGCCCGAACGGCTCCCGGGAGACCGACCACTCAGGGAGCTGCTGTTATGGTTATCGATCTCCATGCTCTCCAGCAGCCCAATCTGCAACACCGCCACGCTTTTTTCCTCGTAGCCTAACAATGCGTAAACTTTGGCCAAGTTGCGAATCAATTGGCTCACGGACACCTTGAGGAGCTGTCGGTGGTCCTTGTTCTGACGCAGCCCTGCGTGCGAGTCCTCCGCATTCAGGTTTCCAGCTTTTGACGACGAAGTTATCGCCGGTGTGGGGATGAATAGCGTCGTAAAAGCAGTAGAACCCTGATGCTGATCAACGCAACTGAAGGACGCCGACTGCGTTGACGTTTCCGCGCTATCGGCTTGTTTCATTGCTGTAAGAAACCTCGGGAGCTGCTGAAGACCTCGGAACACGGACTTGTGGCTTCGGATCGCCATTTCGTACAAAACCTGCAAGGTCGCAAGCCGGGTACAATCCTTGTTCGTCCGTTGCTTTGCCTGGGCACTACAACTCGAGTCGCGTTCGCCCGAGTAGTTCTCTAGGTGCAGTGTCCGCTGTGGCTGTGTCTGCGCACCAGATTCGTCGGAATATAAGACTCCGCGCAAATCCTCGACCTCGTGGATGGCAGTGATGTACCGGCAGAAATCGCGGTACTTGCCCACCACCTTTTGTTTTATGTGCTGCAGCAAAAATTGGAGCCTTTTCAGACACACGATGACGGCCCCCAGTTTTTTGTTCGCGATGACAATGTCGTCATGTAGTTCTTTCCAAGTCGTACAACTTTTCCCGGCGGAGTCTTCTACCTTTAACTCTACAAAAACCTCTTTGCGGATTGGGCTCCAAACTTTCTCTTCCCAGAGTGCAGAAATGAATGCGGACGTCGAAGTGTTCGCGCTGATAAGGCCCTGTGACCCCGTTGGTCGTGGAGCCGCTGCATTGTTAATGGAACTCTGATCCTCTTCTTTCGTCGTGTCAAGAGCTATTACGTCAACGCTTTGCTTTGCAGAAGTAGGTGATGCTTTATCCTTTGAGCTGGTCGCCCAGGGCTCTGCGCTGCTTCTTTGGTTATCGTCTTGATCTGCTATTTTCAGGCGTTTGTTCGCCGGTGAAGCGCCAGCTGCACCGGAACTTACCGCGGCCGTACAATCTGCACCTCCTGCGCCAAAGCCGCCCGTCTCGTCCGCAATCTGAAGAGGCCCTACTTCGGAAAGCGCCGGTGGAGCTCCTGGTCTTTTCCTACACGATAATATGGTTGGGTCGGAATCGCAAGTCGAAGTCAGGGCATGGCTTCGCCCCCCACTCCCTGTCTTCGTGCACTTCTCCACGGCGTCGTCAGTGCACGTCGGTGGCTGAACTCTGTCACGCAACGCGGCCAGACCGCTGTCGCACAATTTCGCGAAGAGAGCTTCCAAATTTTTCTCGGCGCAGGAGCCATCGGCAGTAATGTCGAAAAATGCGCGCCACAACTTTGCACAACCAGTTCCGCTCGTTGTCGTTGTACAACTGTCAAAAACATCAATATCGTCTTCAACTGCTCTTGCGGAAGAGTTCTGAGAAAAAACGAAATCGGGAATTTCTCGGGTGTCTTCATGGAAGACGAAATCCTCCAAATCGCTTTCGGTCAAGACCGTCCGCGCGAACGCGCGCTGCTCCAGGAACTGGAAGTCGAACAGGGTGTTGCCTTTATTTCTACTCCTGTCCTTCCCGTCCTTCTCCTTGTCCGCCCCCGCATCGTCTTCGTGAAACTGGTTCCTGAAAACCTCGAACAGCGTTTTCACGACCCACGGCTCGGGTGCATTCAGCTTCACGGTGTGTGTGTAATCTTGTTCACCAGCATTTTCATTTTCCGATTCGTCCTCCGGCGCCGACAATTCGTCCTCCACTTCGACTTGGTCGAGCACACAACTCGCCAAACTGTCGCCCGCTTCCTCTTCGAAATCAGCAAGCAGCTTCAGGAAATCGTGGATGCTTTCGCTCGTTTCCACACCGGCTTTACTAGCGCATGCGGGAGGTGCGGGATGTTCTGCTGGATCATAACTTGATGACACATGATCAGTTCTGGTTGATGACTTTGGAGCCACCGGCTTCGGCTTGTTCGTCGCGGACATCTGTGCGCTTCCGGAACTGCAGGTCTGCCGAACCCCAGTGGCGGGGAGATCCAGCAGGGAGAGGTAAGTACTTTGCGCCCTCATGAAAACGTCAAACAATGAATGCCAGAAGTCAAAAAAATCCCGGAACTTGCCGCTCTACATTTCTATCTAGATAAGTAATTAGTCGTGGTCTTCTTCTTTATCAGTTCTTGATAAATGCTTGTCAAGGTGTCATGTTGGTCGCCTGCTGTGAGTAGGTAATGTTTATCCATAAGGCCTTTTCCACCAGAGAAACAAGAGCCTTCCTGCAATATGTAAGTGGAACTGAGGGACGCGAATCCAGTCGAGCTCGGTCGGTGATCTATCATCGCTTTGATCTTATCACATCTTTCACTTGGACATCATCTATCTAATTCATTGTTGATTTCTGAGAATGAGTACTGGCAATGGATACAAGTAGCGATTTGTGCGGGATCGCGAAAAAAATACCTCTGGGTGGATGATCGCCTCTTGTACCAGAGCATTTTTCCCCAACGTCGAGAATTCTTGCTTGCGATGTGAGCCGATGAGACCTAGAGCACGCACTCTGTTGGACTTACGTATAGAACTGCTGCAAGCCAGCTACCGTAGGATAATGCTCGTGAAGATCGATCCCGTTGGAGCTTTCCAACGCTTCAGCATCTTTTTGGTCCCTCTTTACCAGATCTTTCAGATGAGAACCATAGTATAGACAAACCAAGCGTCGAAACAAGAGTAAACACAATTTATTTCTCGACTGCCATCCATGTCAGTGCCAGCACCTCGTCTGCGGATCGTTTGAGTATATGTCGCTTACGTCCACTAGTACAGTATCATCATGTCGGTAACGTTCCTGAAACAGAAACAAAGTCCAGTGGTCGGTCATGGTACTTAGTTCTTAGAACTTCCCGTTTTATTTTTCTTTGCTCTAGAAGTTGGTAACTCTATTTACTATTTCATGATTACATTTACAACAATCTGCGAGCAACGTCAGCAGAAAAACCAGTAGTCTCTTCCTTCGACGAGAGGAGTGCCTAATTTTTTCTCCACCAACGCCACAATGTCCATTACTTCCGCATAGAACCGCCCCTTGGCTACGCAAATGACGTACGGTGGCTGCGCAGCTTCGAAGTAATTTACACACGCAGATCCGCTCTTTTGTCGTTGTCGTGCAGCCTTTGAGTCCGCTGCAGTCGATCGAGGCTCTGATTTTCCTTCTACTCCCGGTTCGATCCTCGTTCTTTCTCCACCGGTCGCCGGTGCCTTGTCATCACTCAATCCGAAGTGCCGCAAGTCCACGTAAGGAATTTTTCCCACCGCAGCGCTGTACTCTTCGTGAATGTAGTACTTCGCCTTCAGCCGCCTAGGATCTACCTCTGCAAAGGCCTTCACGCGTTGTTTGTACTCCGTCTGCAGCAAGGAAAAGAACAATTTGCCGTCGCGGCCCCCGCCCCAAATCGTAAATTGTTTCCAGTACTGCAAAATCTGTCGCTCCATACTGCGCACGCGGATACTCGCCAGCAGCTTCCGCGAGGTCTGGGCACACAGCGTAGCGCCGGCGCGGTGTCGGTAGGTCAAGAGGGAGGGAGACGAGTGGTTCGCCGAAGAACTTCCGACTCTCGGTGGTCTCGCGGGCGTCAGCAAGTTTGGTTTGCTCAGAAGTACATCTTTCGCGACGATTTCGTTTTGGAAGAAGCTAAAAATGTGCTCAACATCTACTTGTTCCGAAGAACAAGAAAGCGCACTGTCATCGGTCGGAAGAACGCGGCAAAACCTGTTCGTTCTGCTGTCCTCAAAGCCGCTAGCACCGTGTGAATAATTCGGGCCCCCGCTGGGAAGAGGCCCTTCCCGGATATTTTTACCCGCAGCTCCAGGAAGTGGAAGATCCTCAACATTACACGAGGAACGCAGGAGGTCGTACTTTAGTAGGAAGGCGGAAATACGCTCGGTCAGCCCTTGATGATTGCCGCAAGAGTAGCTTCTGGCGTTCCCAGCACTGTCTCCTTGAGCAGTGCTGGTCGTTCGGATCTGGGTGTCATCCGTATAAAAATTCCTCCACAGAACTACCAGTTCCAGCAACTCCCGCATATAATCGTACACTTCTGCAGTGGAGCCGAAGTTTCTCGCCACCCGAATTCGCTCCGCTTGAGAGGCTATGTGCGAATGAAAGAAACGCAAATCAGCGGCGAGAAGCGGCTGGGGAGGCCGAGCAGCCCGACCTGCAGCAGAAGCTGCGGGGGTGCAAGAAGAAGAACTTGCAGCTTCATACGAGCTTTCACTTCTGTGTTGTTCGTGTACGTGTTCCTTCACCATTGCATCCGCAAATAAACGTTCATCTTTGTCTTTTTCTGCAGGCCGTTCGGCTTCCGGGGTCCTCTGCTCCGTGTCGGAGCTAGTGGTCAGTGGGACGACGTCGACGAAGATCATCGTGTCGTCCGCACTCATGTCCATGTCCTCGATCTCTTGATCTTCGCGCGTACTGGGAGGACGACCTCGAAGCGACGACGTCTGCCAGGTGTGATAACCGCCAGCCACTTCGAACGTCTCTCTTCGCATAAACCACGTAGGATGGATCAGGGTCACCTCGCGGAACTGGTCCAGCCACAACCCGCACAAGTCCAGCTCGTTGGCCCATTCCGTGTACCGGTGTGTGCTGTTCGCCGGGGTGCGGTCGAAATTCGCCCCGACGATGGCGTTCTGGAGATTCACTTTCCTCATCTCGGTGACGTTCTCTGGTGCTCCTTGCCTCCGTGGCTGATTTGTCGTCGTCCTCGAGTGAACCGGGTGTTCGTTTGCTATTGCTTTCGCTTCTTTTTCTTTGTGGGTACTACTACAATTGAATAAACCAGCAGTGTGGTCGTCGTCCTCGTTTCCTACGGGTATGAATTCCTGCACTTGCAGTGCAACTCGATTACGCAGCATGATGTCATCACCGTCCATGGTGCAAATGAACTCCGCGTCGGGGGATATGTCCGCAATTCCGCGGTTTCGCGCGCCCGCCTCGCCTTCATTCTGCGGGGAAAAAAGCACACGGATGGGCGGAAATGAAGTGCTCACCCTTGCTAGTAACGCACGTTTTTTCGCGAAAAGCTCGCGGCGTGTAACTGGAGCACGTCGTCCTGTTTGCGTGTCATGATCTGCGCTGTCGTTAACGTTATCGTTTTCAATCTCCATAGCATTCATATCACTACTTGCCGCGTGCTGTGCCTCATCTTCTGCCGTAGAATTTTTTTCCATTCTGCCGCGCAAACCAAGCACCGCAGAGATTTTCGCCTCGTCCGACCCAGCCGCCTGCAGCTGTCGCAAAAAGCAACGAGTTTCCGTGCTCGTGCTACAATCATCGCTGAGAATCAGCTCCAGGCTCGGGTACGTCTGCACCAACACGGATACGATGCACTCTTGCAAGAGCGGCGGCGGCACGTTGTAAACTGGTATCACCACACTCACCAGAGGCCGATGCTGGTGGTATCTAGGCTCCAGATCCTCCGCTACACTTTTCTGTTCCTCATCCACTATTTCTACTTCCTGAAGAGTCATTTTCTGTTGCTTCTTTACCTTTTGTGATGTTGTATCATCTGAAGTGCCCTCATGATCATAAAGTGATCATATCTACTCAGTCGTCTTCTACTTGTACTTACTACACTCACCAGAACGATTCTGAAGCATTGTCGTGGAGTCTTCTTCTTCAGTATGAATGCATATCGCGTGACGATCAAAGAAATTGCCATGATGAGCCATATCGCGTGATCGTGATGAGCACATCATACTGCTTCGTCAATCTTTTTGGAGCATCAAGATCAACAGGGAACGCTAACTTTTACTTTTGCACCATAGTTCTTCAACATCTTCAGGATCGACGTCATCATATATTGCATGATTGATCATGATCTTGGCACAAGCGATCAAAAAAATCACGGACCTCACTTTCCCGCTTATTTTCTTTGGAGTACAACGTAACACCGGATGCCCCACCATCCAGTACCATCCATGACCTTTACTGATCGATTCGATCTGCGGCATGCCTGGAGCCCGGTCATTTGATCCATCAACGAGCCGGTTTTTTGGTTCAATTTTCGCGATACTCAGGACCGTGCGACAGCTTCAACGAACTCGTACATACAAGGACAGGGCGGTTTGTTTGTGAGCGCCACTAGTGCTGGAGATTGGTGCCGAGATGAAACAAATGCCTCTTTCTTCTTGTACACGCCATTTTTGATTCCAAGGACCGATCTGATTATCGCATCTTGCTTGCGGTGTGCGACTTACTCTTGCATACTGTCTGAAATATGCTGCAGCTGCACCTGCAGATAAAAAAAAATAAAATGTCTCGCGTACACCACACGCACACCCTTGAACCTTCTCCTTCTAGTAGCCGGCGTACGCGGCGGCCTCGTCGTCATCGTCCGGAGATATCAAAAGAAAAAGCATTCCTCTAGTAGCTTCGCTTTCAACCCAAAGCCAAAAAACCCAGGGGCACATTGAAAGTAGAGAAGCACTTCCACTTATTTACTTATTTCGTACGCATGAAGCAAGTCCGTCACGCGTCACCCCTTCACTGCAAGACACTAGGCTCCTGTACTGCAGATCTAGATTTTGAATTTTGCGGGAGCCTGAGCCACCCAGGCTGAAGCGCAGTTGCCCGAGCTGCCCTGCCATGTCGGCTGCTCTTTACTGCTGCTAACGTCCTGCTCTACTTACTTCAGCTACAGCTTCTATTTCTATTACACGACTTTTCGCCGTATCGGTAAAAACCAAGTGTCGTGTAATGTAGTGTACCAAGACGAGCCAGACTGTGATCGTACTCCTACACAAATATCTGTCACAGCTTTGGCCGTCATAGCTAGGTCTCTTCAGGAATTTCTTTTTGATATCTCCTTCCGCTCCACCTTCACCCCCCGCGGTGGCATCGACGCCTTCGTATCCCGTGTGAAAACGTCCCTATCCCATATTCTACGCAAATGATCAAGCAATCGTTTATTCGCATTTGGCACGAAGTTTTACGGAATGCGCTACCTTCTGCACGCACCACGACGACGATCTCAGCGCCCTCAGCAGAGTCGTGTGATCGCGCCTCGAGTCCCCTCGTCAGTTCTCTCAATCCATTAGCGCACAACAATCACCCGAAACCCACTGAGCAAAACACGCATCGTATGAGCAACCGCATGTTGCGGCAAACAGCGACAGCCCTAGGCCTTCTATTTGTTCCATGTAGTACTTACTTCGTGTTCGTTCAGGGCGTACAGACTTACATGCATGACAAAACTTCCAGGTGGGACGAAAGTTAAGGCTTTCACACCGAATACGGCTTTCTCCTGCATCATGAAAATTCCACCGCCGATGCCGACCAGCGCCACAAAGAGGACAACGATGATGATCTTCATCGTCATCGATGCGTCACCTGTCATACGAACTCGTTCTACTACCATGCTTGCTTCAGCACGGGAGTTGTAAGGACTTAAGTAACCCCCGGTTCTTGGCCTAGAGCACCGTGGACTAGCAAGCACTATGTACACTTGTGCTCCTCATCACAAAAACCATGGTTGTGACAGTCACTGAGCTCGATAATCCGATCCACGCTTCACTGAACCCGATAATTCCATCCACAAAAATGAAAATAAATGATAAGTAAGTGTAATCATACCCTCCTCTTCTGCTGTGACTGTCGTGTCTTTGGGTGTAGTTGTTGCCGAAGAATTTTCTTCGGTTGAGTTCTCCCACGATTGACTGGAAAGATGGTCGTGTGCACAAAGTTTCGAACTTCGCCTTCTTGCTCTTCGACGTGACAGTCGCAGTCTCGAATACAAAATCCACATTTTCCAGTTCATCATATAGATCTACAGCTAACTGTAAAAACCTCCTTGCACGTAAGTAACCTCCACAAGAATGAAATTTTTCTTGACCACCGGCGCCGACCAGTGCTCCGATTGAGGTTGACGTTGACAAAAAGAATACACTCTGCCATAACTCAAGCTCCCAAACGACAATAATAAGAGCAACGAGTGCTTGTTGTTCATTTCATATGCGTAGTTCTAGTACAAATGCCTTTGACCATCAGTTCGCTGCAAATTCATGATAACTTTTGCACACAGCTCTTACAGTGCGTAAGACTGAGTTCCCTTGCACTGGCACGTCCGTACCAGACCAGATGCACGCGTGGTTACACCCCCCGCCAGTTTCAGCGCAAATAGTGTTTGTACTGTCTTCACTGGCACTTTCGCGTCGGAGGCCTAGCTCCTCCAAGGTGCACAGCCGACGACCGTTCTGCTCGGCACATAGGGCCACCGCCGCTGCGTAGTCCATCAGCCGATCATCGTCGATTGAAGTTGCTTTGCAGATGTCGGCGGGCGTCGGTGGAGTTACGCAATCCACTCGTGTTCCGTCGCTTCGTCTGCCTATCCAAGAAAAAACACCGCTCGTGTAGGATTTTCAGAAACCAAGCAAAGAAATAGTTTTGACTTTGAGCTCGAATCAAGTGCTCCGGTTTACTCAAACAAAGAGTTTTGACTCTAGCTATCGGCTGCTTCGGTTCCCTTATGTATCTATAGTACAGCTTACTAGTTACGTTACAGAGGCAGGAGCAGGACACTGCGTCATACAGCACCGCAATCTGACGGCTCGTCGCGGCCCATGCGTGCCGCAATCCCGATCTGACAGGGCCTTCTGGCCCCATTCAGTGGGGCCAGAGGGCTGGTCGCCCATGCGTCGCTACTTGCCCTCCTCCCATGTCGGCGCCACCGAAGAGTCCAGCCTCCTTAGTTAGGTCTAATGAATCGAACAAAGCATAGTTTGCTACTTTCACATGCTTAAAATCACGCTACAAAATCTAAATCATGACAGGTACATATAGAAACGGCGGGCTGCTGCAGCGAGCTGAAAAATTTTGGTGTTTTGATAAAAAAAAAATTTCGGCGATTTCTGGGAATCCTACACTATTAATGTTTTAATCGATAATGCCCACCGCTATATTGTTTCCATTGTCGATTTTGCCACTACCGAAGCTGGCGGAATCAGTCAGGTGGGCCTCCTCGCCGCAGCACCGCACGGGAAATCTCCCAGTCTCCTTGTCTACGGCCGTTGGTGCGAGGTTTGGATCACAGACGTTCCAAGCCTCAGCTCCGGCCTGCATGAACATGGCATGGCTTGTATCGTTAGCGCCACGCCTTACGTAGGCTTTCGGCGAACTGCTTGTTGCGCTGCGCAGGAGACGGGAGAAACTAATCTTACTAACACCTGAATTATGCGTCTTGGAACCAGAATCCGTCCTGGCCGTGTCCACAAGTACCGCTGCGGCATCTTCCGCCTTTCCGTGACTGGTGTGGTGCTGCACCGCAGAAGTAGGTTTTTTCGCCGCCGCGGCTCCGGCTGCCCGTTCCACGTGCTCCTTGTTCCTTCTGTCTTTTTTCCCAGCCCTCCGCTGCTGCTGTAGCTCCTCATCATGTCCGCTACCTCTACTTTTCGTTTTCGCAGAGGACGACATTTCTGGGGGCGGTGTTGCCCAAGCCTCGTCTTGCTCCGCATCAGGGAGGATCTCGGTGCGGAGTACCTTGTTTTTGCCGTGCGCGTCGTCATGTTCCTTAGCGCCGTGGCCTCGCACCACGAGACCCTGGTGAAGAATGTTGGAGAGCAGCGGAGCGCTGATATGCGATGATAAACACAGCGAGAGAAGCTTCATTTCGACCGTTGCCCGGCTTCAAACAGGCGCACGGATGCAGAATTGGAATTCTGACTGCAGCCTGTCAATAACTCGTCGTCGTCATCTGACTGCGCAGCAACACGACCTCTCACTCGAAACACGACAACAGAACTGGTAAACCCAAAGATTCATGTGAACCGCAAAAACGGTATTCTATCCTCAAGCAATGTGGTTTATGTTCATGGATCTTTTTTGACTTTTAATAGACTTCATATAAATATAAATTCGCACAGGTAAGAAGCCTGTCATACACTAGTACACTTAAGTTAGTCAAAATCCCTCGCACAAGCACTCTCGACTAGTACGACTCGACACTTTATTATTGATGCCGCATCTTACATCACGAAGCCCTCGTCCTGAAGAAAGTGGCTCGCGCGTCACTCGCTGAGCATCCCGTCCTCTGTGTCTCCTGCGCTCCATTTTGTTTCGGCTTCGTTTCGGGCCGATCCTCTGTGCCTGTTGTGCCCAAGTACTAGCCGTACTTTCACTTTGGCTATCATGACGAACAAATAATCTCCGCCGGAGGACGTCATAATTTTAATTGTGCCTCAACGTCATTCCTGTCTCATTATTGGAGTTCGACACACGAACACAGATACAAGTGATGTGGTTGTGCCTGTGATGGAAAACAGGCGAACAACATAGTTGTCAGTCAAAATCAGAAACACCAGATTGCTGACAGTACGAATTGGTTGTATTTGTTGAGAACAAGTACATATCGCTGAATCATCTGACTTTAAGATACAGACAAAGGGAAGAATTATAGATGCAAACCCCACCTATTTCGCTGTATAATCAGTGACTCGCGCATCTATTTTCACTCGTCTAAGAAAATTCAGTAAAAGCACAAAGCTACAACTTGCGCGTGCACAAAAGACCCCCCTACCATCTTCACGACCGCAATGCCCTTTTCAGCCCAACAAGATCTCGGGTGTTTAAGAAAGATCGAAAACACGCAGGGATGTTTTGCACAATGGGCAGGCTTTTCATTTCCGCCCCCATGCGAGGACCTACTACAACACCATTGGGTACTTCTATAGAAGTCGAGCGAGCATTTATTGTATCCGCGATATTTGTCGCATTCATCTCCACCTCCCCGCGTTCTCCCTTTTCACCGCCTTCGCCGTCCTTGTCTTCCCTATTAAATCCTGAGCTCTCGCAGCCGACGACGCAAATCCCCAGCACGTTGCAGCGCAGTTCGTTTTGCAGCAGGCGCACGGACGCGTCGACCGTTCCGCCCGTTTCAATCCACTGATCCACCAGCAGGACGTTCAGCCCGGCCAAGTCGAAATTGCGGCGGCACTCCAGGACATTCCGCTTCCCCGTGTAGTTCCAGTACTCGGCTTTCACGGTCGCGCAGCCCAGTTTGTTCTCCTTCCGCAGGCTGAGAAACCCACAGTTCAAGTAGGACGCCAGGGCGCCGGCGTAGTAAAAGCCGGCGGCGTCGGGGCCGGCTACCAGGTGGATGGGCTTGGTGTTCCTGCCCAAGCAAAAGGGGACGGCCCACTCCTGGACGCAGTGGTTCATGTTCGACACGCAGCATGAACTCGGGTCCAGCCACGCATAGTTAAAATCTTTCTTCTCTCCCGCAAAATTGTCCTTCACGTTCTCCGACTGCAGCATCAAAAACTGCTTGCGCCGCTTCAGGGACCGCGGCACTTTGGAGAAGGGGAACTTCCTGCTATTCGCCGTCTCCACGGCGGTGTGCGTCGGCAGCCCGTGCCTCAGCGCCTCTTTGTCCATGCGGGACCAGAAAAGTTCGTGCTGGTCTTCGCAAAGCTGCGGCGGATGTTGATGAAATGACGGCGAGGATGATCTTCGCGCTGCGGAAGAGAACTTCTCACGGCTCATTTCCTCCGCACTAGCCCCAACATCTTGGAAATAATGCAGTTCTTCGGGCCCGCGGCCGCGTGAATTCGAGGTCATATAATCCGCTCCTCGAGGGGTCGCGGTGCTGGACGCGGCCGTTTTACAACTACTTCTATCAAAATCCACCGCGGCGGCGATCAATCTTTGCAACTTGTCCTCGGACAGCTCGTGGAAGTCGTCGGAAACCCCCGTGGCCACCAGAACCACATCTACGCCGAGGGAAAGGTACTCTGCCAAGTTATCCGGCGTGACGCCGGAGGCGAGGCCGAGGGGTTTCTCCGGGCCGACGCCGGTCCGCATCTATTGAAAGGAAAAATGCCCCCACCCCCGAACTTGGGAGCATTTGTATTGCAAACCTTTCCAAATGAGACATTCGCCCTCTTGCATCTATCAGCATCACAGATGTCCAATCGTGAATAGCAAAAATTTGCATTGCAAAAGATCCCAGCAAGAGCAGCGCTTGTCATGCAAGCGATGCGATATACGCCTAGACTCTGCATCAGAAAGACAAAGACTCATACTCCTTTCATGCATGGCAAAAAGTTTTCATTTGGAAAATCCGCATCACAAATTCTTGCAACTTTGGGGGTGGGGGCATTTTTCACTGTAATAGCATCGACAGAATCTTCGCCCGCTCCGCGGCGATCCCGGTCGCGGTCCCGGATGTCATCACCACGTCCATGTAGCCGTGCCTGAAATGCATCAGCTGGCCGGACAGACCCGTTGGTTGAAGTCCATGAGGCGTAAGATCTATCTGCTTGATCATCTCCGAGCGATCCGGCACCAGGGCAGCTGACAGTGCAGGACCACCACCTTTTGCAGGTTTAATATTATCATTGTCCTCTCCTGCTCCTCCTCCTGACGCAGGAAAACCTCGCTCGTTCCTGAACATCGTGCCACCTTCATCTGCTCTTATTGCGGTTTTCTGTCGTTCTCGTTCCTGGCGCTGCTTTTCCAGCTTTGCCATGTGCCGCTTGCTCAGCACCGAGATTTCGCACGCGCGCGCCGCTGCGATCTCCCACTTCTCGGGCAACACCTCCCGCTGCTTCTTGAAGCACACACCCCCGAAGTAAAGCCCGTTCCAATAGGGAGAAACCTGCCTCTGGACCTCACGGATGCGGTCCGCCTGGACTTGTTCCTCGCGGTCTTCGTCAATCATACCGGTATCCGCCCAATAGCCGTCGATGACAATCGGCCCGTCTAGAAGGTCCTCTTCTAAAAAGTCAGCCCCGATTTCATCTCGTTCCTGCTGGAGAGACACCGAGCCACCGGATGCTGTTGCCCCCGCTGTTTCACCTACATTTCCGTCAGCTCTTGCTTCGGTTCGCGGCGTATAATTCCTCTCTTGCACTGTACTAGTTCTCCGTGTTGCACTACCCAGCCGTTCTGGTGGCTGTTGATGTCCAAGGGCTGTTTCTTCCTCGGTCACCGTCGAGTCATGCGCACTGGAGGCGACAAAGAAAGTCACTACTTCGTCGTCCGTCTTACTCTTTGTCTGCACCCGCTTGCTTTCTCGTACCGGAGTTGGAGTGGTCTCACCGTCGTGCGAGTCACCTTTGCTGAGGTCCGCCTGTTCTTGTTGTAGTAGATCCACAACAATGTTACTCTTACTTGTCGTAGAGGTGGCAGAAGCGGAATTCTTGCTCTCCATTTTTAAGTCGTGTTCGCGACCGTCTTCACTGAGTAGAAGAATTTCCTCTGTAGCGTCTGTACTACTATTTTCTACTGACCTACTTCCTGCTGGTGGAGGGAGATTGTGCGAACTTTCCATCATCTTCTCGACTTCGATAATTTCAACCCTTCTCGCGGACGAAACCGGTGTTGACAGAGTGCTTGTGCTTCTCGCCGGAAATGCTGATTTCAATGGTGCCTTTTCAACAGAAGCTTGGAGCGGGCCAACTCCCTCGTCTCCCGGACGAGCAGCTCCGTGTCCTACTGCTACTTCCGTGGTAGTGGATTTACTGTTCATGAAGTTCTGCCGCTTCGCCTTCAACACTTGGGGTGACGGGGCCCGATGATCTACTGCTGCGCGTAGTTGTCGGGGGAACAATTCTGCCGTAGTACCTTTCGACAAACGATCCGATGCAGTGTTGGGTCTATTCCCTATCAAGCTCGCTTTCGAGAGACTTTTTTCCAGAGTCGCCGCGCGGACTCGCGGAAGCAGATCGGAGAAGTCCCCTTGCGCGAGGCGGGCCAGCACCGGAAACGCCTTGTCCCCGTTGACGCCCAGGAAGTTGACACCGATGAAGAGCTTCGGGAACCTTTTGCGCACCGCAATCACGATCGGCAGCATCTCCCGGAAATCGTAACCAGTGTAGCGCGGCGTCTTGATTGCCTGACTCTCGCGTGCCGTAGCCCGGTCCTGACTGGCCTTCAACACCATTGGCCTAGGGGATTCCGCCGGACGGTGGATATTTGAAGATAATGTTGATGCTGCACTACTAGTTGCGTTCAGCAGCTGTGTTCCCTTTCCATCCATCTGTCCACCTGCTGCTGAGCCGTAAAATTGGTTCATACTTTGGGTGCCACTTCGTGTAGATACAGCAGAAATCAGCCCATGATAGGCCGACCCGTGCTCGCGCTGGTTGATCAAAAAACAGCCTTTCAGGCCTGCGCGTTCCACTTTTTCGACGTTGCGAATCGTTTGCTTCAGGTCTCGTACGTGAATCACCGGCAGGATCACGCACGGGAGGTAGTGTTTGTCCAGATTGTTTTCGACCTCCCTCGCGAGTCTCTCGTCGGATGCATCAGCGTTGTACTGAAAAGGCCCGAAACTGGTCTCGAAATAGTGCAAAAGACGGTCCCGGTTCAGCAACATCGCGTCTACTTGCGTTTTCGGTAAGAAGATGAAAAGATTGCTCAGACCAATGATGACACTTACGGGGCCGCCGGCGTAGCGCACCGACTCGTCTGGAAAACGATCAAATCGAAATCAAGTGAAGCGCAAAGATTGTGACAGCGCTTGGGTGATTTGTGTACACAATCAATGCAAAACTGAGGCTGGAGAAGCTCAGACGTAACCTATGCTCCGTCAGGGTTGATAGAAAGTCTACTGGGGCAAAACCTCATCTGTGCAGCTAAAGCTCGAGGGTCATGAAGATGAGACAACACAAACTAGCCAAGCCAAAACTAATTCTGATACTAAAACAAAACATCATTTTTGCATAAAGAATTTACGCCGTCTGCTTCTACCGACACCGAGACGCAATAAGTATGACAAATGAGAAAGGAAGAGGAACCAGAAAAATTAATATGAACGACATGCGGCTCCCAGGACGAAGGTGCTGTTGTCTTTGCTTGGTGTACGATTTTGCGCGGGGAAAAAGACGAAGTGTCAACATCAGGTACGCGAACAACGACACGACTACTTTCGACGAATTCAGTAGAAAGAAGAGAAGAACGACACCTCCCTTACGCTGTACGATGAAAGAAAGGAAAACACATGCACAAAAGTGAAAAAAGTCTATCACTTTCTTCGCTGCGACGTCTGGACCAGTATTCCATCTGAATCGGTGGAAAAGCGTTATAAACGCCTACCTCTTCCGAATGACAGACCTTGGCTCAGTTTGTTCTGGAACGATGAAACACTCTGTTGTACGCTCGTACGCTGAACAGGTAGAATTTTCACTGTGTATACTTATGTAAACGCAATTTCTTCAACATTTCTCTGACTGACTGGCGACAGAATCAGAAAATACATCAATGTTGTCGTCACAACATTCTTCAATTTGATACTTTTCCTAACTAGAGACTGCCAGAAATGTTTTTCACTCTATGTATGACGTACACCAGACACACACACACCCTTTACTTTTCGGTCATGCAGATTCCTTGTCGAAGACGCGGCGGCACTGGCAGACGCAGTCGCAGGCATCCTTTTCGCATGACGAGATCGCAGTGGCATTTTCTTCTAGTGTTCCTCTTGCTTAATCGCCAAACTCATATTGACGCGCTTCTTGGGGAACCCAGAGCGTCAGCAACAACTCCTTGCTGGTGGGTCGTGCTGTTTCCGGCGCTAGATAAAGAAAAACCACCGCACATGAGCATCCAGAAATCTTCCGCTGTCTGAAACATGTTCACACACACGCCTGCGAACCGGTACGCGAACGGTGCTTGTTTTTGCAAGCAATCCGTGAACCCCGTGAGTATAAACTTCAAATCGCGTCCCGAAAGCGCATCAAAATAATACAACTGGTTGTCCGGGTCTACCTCCAAAGCCGTCGAGCTGGCGCATGGTCCTCGTCCACCTCCTTCTACAGAACCACACACGAGCCTGTTTTTCTCGAGCGGATTGGCATCGTCTACTTCAGTAACCTCGGTGCGCTTGTTCCCGCCTACTTCTTCCGAGGCTTCTCGGCCTCGCTGGCAGAAGTGGTGCTTCCCGATTTCGGCCGGGGTAGCTGTAGTGGCTCGACGTGACGTTGATCTGACGTCGCTCCTGCCGAACCTCGTACCGAGGTCCACAGCACCGCCGGGCAGTCCTGGCTCCACTTCCTCAACATCTTCCGCGGCGAACGGCCAGCCGACGACCGAGAACAAACCCGCAGAAGTAGTCGACGAGCAGTTTTCTCCTTCGCGGCGCTTTCCTCCTGAACGCCTTGCGCTTTCTGCAGACGCCGTTCTCGTGTACAACGACAATGGTTGTTCATGGTTGCTGCAACTATCACCAAAACGGCGGAGCCCACTTCCTCGGTTATACAGGTCCTCCTCTTTGGTCCTGGCAACCAAAGGAAACATCGTCCGATCCAGCTCAGCGGTGCTGGCGGCTGATACTACCAGTCGTGAAGATGCTGCTGTGCCTGTGCCTGTGCCTGTGCCTGTGCTTGTGCTGTCCCCATCTTTGCTACTGCTCCTCCTTGACGACCTTAATCGGGGCGGTGAAGGCCTAGTACCTCTAGTTCGATCCGCCTGGGATAGAGTATCTACTGCATCCTCTTGCGCGGCGCCCGAACCGGATGCGGCGTCCTGCAGTGCGGCAAACAGATTTTCTAAGAACGCGACGGTAAAGTGGTTGCAGTTTTTCGACAGGAGATCGTACTTGTCGTACGTCCAGTCGATTCCCTGCTCCGCCAAGTTGCGCATCGCCTCCAGCGTCCTCGTCACTTGATTGTGCGGCAGCATCCCCACATCGACCTGCACAAACACGTTCGCACTCGGCGCCGGAAAGTACTTTGGCAGTGCGGTCAGCCTCTTCATCTTGTTCCGCCTCCACAGGGGCTCCCGCCAGTCCGAAAGGCCGCCGGCGCCGAAAAACATCTCCTTGTCGCCGTCTACCTGGATCGCAGAATGGTACGCAAAAGCCAGCGCCTTCGCGCACCCGTTGCTCGGCGCGATCAAATTTCGGACGGGCGGAGAGCCCCGGGGGGAAGTGGCGGTGCGCGAAAACAGGCACGGAGGACCGACAATCGACTCGCACATCAAGTCCGCCAGGGTCGTCGTGCCTTGCTTCTGCGGTTTCAGGGTCGCGTCGGTTGGTGGGGTGGTGGTCCTGCAGGGCTTCGGAATGACCACCTCCTCCGGCTCGCTGTCGTTTTGCGCAGACGTGTACATTTGGTGCGCGGAGGACGCCGGACTTCTGTGACCAGGAATATACTGCCCCGGAGGAGGTTCGTGGCAAGCGGCTTCGCGGTTGTAGATGTTGATATACACCCGCCGATAGTATTCACTGTCAACATCTGAGTCGTCTTTGTCGTTCGGCGTGGTGTTGACATGTGCGTTCGCGCCCCTGAACCGGGGAAACGCGCCAGACCGATGCAACTCTCGAAAAGTAGATGTTGGCGCCACTTGAGCGTCTTCTGTTGAGTGGCCGGCAGGTGAGGTCGGTGGCGTCGCTAGGGCCGTCCGCTGCGCCACGAAGGCCAGGAGCGAATCCGAAAACGAGGGGAGGATAGCTTGCTCCTCCACTCTTTCGGATAATGCGACTTGCGCATTTGATTTTGATGGCACCCTACTATCTTTACCCGGAGTTCCGACAGGACCCTGCAGCTCCTGCGCTCGCCATCGTCTCTCCTCTGGTTGTGGTTCGACGCTGAGACTCCGGAGCGAGGGGCGCTGCCGGGGCCCGCGGGGAGAATGTATCGAACTCAGCTGCTGTTCTTGCGCCGCGGCAGCATTTGCAGGCCTTCCGCCACTGCTGGAGGGAAACACGAGAGAAAGCGCCGCCCGGCAACTGTCGATTCCAAGGCAGCTACCGCTGGAATTTGCGCCTTGTTGGATCTCTCGCATGCGTTTTTCATATTCAGTTTCACGATCGAGGTCTGCTGCAATGTCACCATTATTTCCGCCGTCCCAAGACGACCCAGAACTACCGCAAACGCTGCCTTCCTGCGTCGTTTCGTCCGACGAACTGCGGGCTCGCTTATTTTCGAATGTTCTACTCGTGATCGACCCGTTTCCTTTGCTGCTTGTACTACCTCTTGTCCTGCTTCGCTCATTCGCCCGCTCTATGAAGCGAACACTTTTTGTGGGTCGCGGCTGGTTGGCTCCCAAGCCACCTAGCTCTCCAAGGGTGTGCAAGACCTCGGCCTTCTTTGTTGAGTTCGTTGGCCGGACTGGTTCCGCCGCGTGGCGACTGGCTTCGAAGCTGCTGGTCAAACTCACCCACGGAGAATTGTTTCCGTACGGCGCGTCCACTCGCTCTCCACTCAAGGAGCCCGCTCCGCGGCCAAAGTAAGCGGCCGAGGCTTGATAAGGCGCTCCGAGGCGCAATGAAACTGCTGCCAATATTGCGATCAAAAAAATCCGAGTGTGCCGATATATTTTCGGTCGCGAATTGAGAAACACCATTTTCAATTTTTCGCTAGTGCAATAGGCAGAAGAAAGCAAAAAAACAAAGTACACTTTTTCTTTCTTGAATAAACACAAACACTTTGAGTTTTTTGCTTTTTTTCGGAAAATTAATGAACAAAATGAAAATCATAAAAAGATGAAAGGTAGGATTAGGAAAAAGCGCTGCCAGTACAAGAGTCTGCCTGAGTCAATGTCGATTCGGCAATCTTCGCGGCACCTCTGTGCGAGCATCCATCCCTCGCCCGCATCGTGCGCACTTTAGCTGGTGTCTAATATCCTAGAAGCGCTAGAACGAATACGAGAAGTACAACTAGAAGACATTTGCTGCATTTCAGAACGACCAAATTCTGTAAAGTAGCGATCGCAACTAGGAATTATGCTAACTAGTACTACTACTAACTAAGACCAAGATACACGATGCTTCGTGCCCAAAAGAAAAAACTGGATCATCTTGGTTCTTGATTATGATCTGCATTCCAAAATCGCCGCTAAAAATTCCAACGATGAGGCACATACAAGAAGCAAGGCAGTACCTCTGAACAAGCTCGATAATTGCTCTTGCGCTTGGGCTTGCTGGTCCTTTCATTTTTGAAAGATGATGTGCGAATATACAATGCGGTGCCCGCTGCACAGGTTGGACAAAAGTGAATGACCGCAGACACTTCCACGGAAAACGGTCACGGTTCGCGTGGGCACGCATGCAGCTTTGATGAACGCTATTTTTCTAATCATGCATCAACCATCGAAGTGAATAAATTGCGACGAAAAGCAGCAAGCCTCCACTGTTTCTTCTCCAATATGCGCTACTGGTTTCGACCGAAAAAACGCACTGCTGTCGCAAAGTTGTGCGCACATTCGGCAATTGCAAATACTGCACGCACCAGTCTGTCTGTACCACCGGGGCGCTCTATCAAATGCAAAAGTGTCTGGGTCTGGGAGATTCTGAGGCTTGTCCTGCACAGTTTGCATGAGCCGTGATGTCTGTGATGCATGCCCTAGCATCACAGGTTTTTTGAGGGATTCTTGATGCCTATTCCGCATGACAAATGCCCTCTCCGCGTAACAAAAATTAGACTCCTTTTGCTGCTCATGCAACACAAATTTTTTAGACATCCTAATGCAGCATCACACGTTGCATTCTTCCAGACCCAGACATTTTTGCATTTGATACGCTCATGGCCGTTACCACCTGTGCCGACGTCTGGCAGTCCGTTGCAACTATGGAAGCGTCAGGTTTGAAATCGTCGAAGTTGAAATACTTTGCAATGCATAAAATGGATGACCCGAGGCACGTGTATTGCAGAGCAGGCAAGTGAGGCCGATTGTAAGCCTGTTTGGGGTTGCAGCTGGAGCTGCTAAAGTAACATGAGAAAATCGCCCTTCTTTGCCTACACAGCATGACAAAATGGATTTAGGGACCACCAAAATTTGTCTTGCGCCACTTGAAAACTGGGTTCCAACGGGCATCCATTTTATGCATGACAAATCATTTCAACTTTGTCAATTTCAACTCTGACACATCCATAGCAACGTTTGCACTCGTACAGGCTGCCAAGGCGCACACACTCTCCGTGGAAGGTATGATAGTAGATGTGGCTGGGACGCGCTGTTTTGGGGTTTTCGCGCAAATCCAAATACAAATTTGATTCGCGGCTCGTATAGTATTACTTATCTGCGTGGGTAGAATCATTCGCGCAGAATGAGCAGGATGGAACTCGAACTACGCTAAAGAAAAAAACTAACATAACACCGTCGCCGCTGGGTTATAGACGATTCCGGCCGTGGATGGACAGGCCTTGCAATAGGACTGCGCAAACTCGTCTTGGTAGGTTCCTCCCGGACACCGCAATGCCCGGTCCCCGAGCGAGTAGTAACCCGGCGGCACGCGACAGCAGCACTTGAAGCCGGGCAGGCAGTCGCAGTCCGCGCACACACCGTCGCAACTTCGGGCGTCTCGGGTATACCCCGGAGGACACGGTTGGGAGCCGGTCCGGAGAACAGCGTGGACGCGCTGGAGTATCCCGTGCAAATGTATCGTACTCGTAGTCAACATTGCATTTATGCATTACAAATCTCTTTGTCAAGGTAAATCAGCATTACAAATAAAATTTGTAATGCATTTATACGAGTACGATACTTTTGCAATTCATATGGAGTGCGGTGCTGCTAAAGTGGAGCAGAGCAAGAAACAGATGTCTCGGAGCTACACCTCCTGTCGTCCACCTCATCCGCATTCTTGCTTGCTCTGTTCGCATGACTACCTTTGTGTCCGTAGCCACAAATGGCACTGTCGTTCTTGATGGTGTCCCCAACTGCTACAGTTCATTTTGTGCATGTTCTTCGACGACCTCGGTCTAGTCTTCACTATCGCTGCCTCAACCGAGCTCTTGCAATTCTACGCTCATCTACTCACAAAAACCGCAGCTTCTCATCACGTCAGCGCAAATTCATCTACTCTCTCCTGAATCATGGTGGATATACGAATGTCGGAGTCAGTCCCTCGTGTTCTTGGCAGTTCTACTTCTGCTTCTCCCCGCAAGCGAATGGAAAATAGAATATCAGACAGCAAAACCCCCTTCACGACCCAAAACATGCGCCAGGTCTTTGCTTTACTCATCAAGCGCCCGCAGTCGTTTGTCCTGCTTTATCTACTTTCTTTCGTCTCTATGGCTCTTCCCAGGATGATAGTTGCGAGATCTACTATTCATCCCTGAGTCCGCAATGTGTTCATCGTCGTCAGACAGGTCCTCCTCGGACGCGACCGTGCTGGTGGTGTCTATATCACGCTGTGGGGTACTATCGAGGGCTTCCTCCCCGGGACCATGTAAATCGACTCCTGATCCGAAAACAGGAGCGCCACCATTATTCCCCTGCCCGGCGGACTGCCCAACGACCCCGGCAGCAGCGAAACCATTGATAATTTCGTGGGGAGGTAACAGCGAGGAGTTACCGAGACCGGGATGTTGGAGTAGCTGCGAAGAACAGGTGGTCCAAGCGGGATGCAGTGGGAGGTCGCTAGTTGTACCATCTGAAACAGTAGAGGGAACTGTTCGCGGGCGAGAAAACGAGAAGCCGTATCTCCTTGATAGTTCGCGGGCAGACGGCATCGACCATGAGCTGAAAGGCGTCGCCCCCGCTCCTTGCTCGCAACTAGTAGTAGTCGATGCAGCTTCATTGGGGCCAGGGGGTGAATCGCCAGCGTGTGCTTGGTTGCTCCGATCTCCTGGAGCGCCGACAGACTGTGACTGCTCCTTTGTGTGCTGTGGAAATTGCGCGCGACGATTTTTTCCCTCCCGCGCTTCGGTAGCGGAACTTGGCGCAGAGCCGCCGCCGGAACTTCTCCTGCATAAACCCGCGATGCCCCAGCCCAAACCGAATCCAACTATAGAGAAACAAGAAAATGCGAAAGGCAAGTTCGTTGTATTTCCGCTTCGCAACACCCATGGCATTGGTCCGCCTTTTCTCCATACGAGCAGCCCTGCGCGTACGCGAGAGGCTAAGCCAGTGCGGAAAGGATTCGCGCTGACCATGGCTGGCACTGCGGCTGTTTCCGCGGGGAAGCTTCCCCCACTTGGCGGCGGTACGCCCCCGGCCGGCATGCCGGCTCGCCGGCGGTAGAGCACCACCAAAGGACCGACTTCATCACCGGCTTCGACGAGTTGGCGGTGCGTGTCGTCACAGAAGGGAAACTTTTTGCTCTGCCAACACCGGCAGATGCGAATTTTGTCGCGCTCGTAGTTAGGAAGGTACTCGTTGACTTGGTGGTACTTCGGATAGTTTTGCGTGTTGAACTCCAAACCGTCAGGGGGCCAATCCATCGTGTAAGTATGATGATCCTATGGCCGTTTAACTTCAAAATGAGAATAAATTGCGAGTCAGGACTCAGTTGCATCACCTCCAAACCTCTCCGCTCCTAGGGCGTGCACGGGAGTGAGCCTGTCTCATCTCTTTTCCTGTTACAACGCGGAGTATCACGCTTTAGAACGGCACCGAGAACACTTGAACGTTATTCTTTTGACTCCGCAGTACCAAACTTCAATACCGGCGTGTGGGTCGATATTAAAAACTCGTCACTACAATACCTTCTCATCTTTGCTAGCAGTTTATGGCAGGAAAGTCCGCTTCGCAACCGTGACTTTGATTTCTGTGCTCAGTTACACGTACATCACAGCTCCCGTAAGTTTCGCTCACATCTTTTTCTTCTTAGTCATCTTCATTGACTTCAAATCAATGTTTTTCTGTCCCGTTGCCGACGATTCGCCTGCCTCATCATCCGCCAGAGACCCCCTCTTACTCCGGGTTCTTTTCATGGTTGACTTCTTCTCGTTGCCGCCACCTTCTCCCTCTCCCGCTCCGCCGCCATTCCCGCCACTTTTGTTTGTACTTGAGGCTGGTTTTTTCATGCCTTTGCTAGTCCCAAAATCAGCATCCGCCAGATAACCCTCCTCCTCGGCGGCGGAGGAAACGTTGTTGTCTTTACTCACATGCGGAGCAGCACTAGCCGGCTTCTTCGCTTTGGAAGAGGATGGAACAGCTGCCCGAGAATTTTTATCCCCTGCCAGAGCTTTCATCGCCTTACCGCATTTATTTCTCGTTTTAGAAGAACTCATCTGCGCACCTCCCTTCTGTTCCTCCGCTTGTTCCGACGTGCCTTTCTTCGGAAGACGAGCAGGAATTTTTACATTGCCCTTACTTTGTTCGAGACCAGCCGGCTTGTTTGCGACGAGCTTCTTCATCGCAGCCGCCTTTGCGACTCCTGCTTCCTTCTTCTTCCCCGCCGCACCTAGCCCCTCTACCGCCAAGCGAACCGGCTCGTAGGACATGCGGTGCTCCCGGCAGGGCCCGAACTTTTTCAGCGCCTCCATGTGGAACGCGGTCCCGTTATCGCAAGGAAAAATGCCCCCGCCCCATATCAAAATGGCGATCTGTGTTGCGGGATTTGTGTACACACATCAGCTTTGTCTTGCTGCAGTAGAGAACTGCAGGCAGATGCAAAGCCTGGAAGGGGATGGCTAGTTACAGGTGGGCGCTCAGCATGGCAGACGTCTGCCCTGTTGGCGCAGCAGCATTACAAATCCCCTGCGTAAAACGGCGGAAGCTCTGGCTTTGCTCTCTGCAAGACAGATGACCTGATTTGTGACCACAAATGAGCATCACAAATTTTGAAAAGGATGCCTGTTCGATATGGGGAGGGGGGATTTTTCCTTTCGATACCCGTACCCCTTGTGCCTCGCAAATCCGTACTGCGGGTACTGCTTTTCCAGCAGATTTTCCAGAATCTCGTCCCGGATCACCTTGGCCACGATGGACGCGGCGGCGATCAACCACTCCTTTCCGTCCCCCTTGATCACGGGAACCACTTCGAACGGGGGCGGGACGAAAACTGGTGCCTCATCTGACTTTTCCTGCTTTCCATCTTCTTCGCGTGCTGCACCTGCTGCCGGTCGACGTGCCACCTTCGGCTGCGCTTGGTCCGCCGCGGGGGCGGAGGCCTCTTGCTCGACGATGCTTTCCCCTGCGCCTCTTCCGTTGGACGACAAACAACCTTGACCTGCAGCGCTTGCGAACTTGTTGGTGCTCGAAAATGCGATGGCGGCTAGATTAGCAGAATCTACTGCTGCACTTCTGCCGTTTCTTTTCTCCTCGGCGGCAACAACTGCAGCTTGTTCAGCAGCTACTTCTACATCACTCTCTCGTCGCTTCTTCGCTGGAGAGGGAAGTTTGTTCACCAGAGAAGCTTCGAGACAATCAACTTTATCTCCTTCAACTTTTTCTTTTTCTGATTGATCCTCATTGCCTTTTTTCCAGGCCGGAACTGCAGCAGCAACAGCCGCTTCGTCTATTTCCGTTCGACCATCGAATTTGTTGTTCAGAGTCGCAACTACAACCATGTCCTCGAGTTTTTCCTTTTTCCCTTTATTTCCCCCCTTCAAGGCTTTTTTCGCCATCACTTTCATGTTCATCATCTTCTTCCGCTTGTCTGTCCATGCGGACGGAACATGCGGACCGTCAACCAACACTTTTCCGATTTTTTGCAGTTCCGGCAGGGATTCCGGCACCAGATTGTTCACGCTGGTCACCATGCCCTCGAACGTGGCCTCCAGAATGTTGATCTCATCAATGCGGCTCGCAGGAACTATCGTGCAACGAATGTGCAGGTTCTTGTGAAGGCTACTACTACTAGCAGCAGTTATTTCTTCTTCAGCATTTGTTATGCCGTTCTTTCCGCCGCTTTTCTTCATGATTTCCGGGCCGGTTCTACTGGAAGTAGTATTCATTGAGCTGGTCGTGTCAGAGATGCACCACTGCTCCTCCCCGTAGATGTTGCTTTCTTTCCCGGTCAGTCCAATCGTTTTCGTCACCATGGTTTTGGCGTGTTTCTGCAGCTGGGCAAACACCTCCCGGCGCTGCGGCTCGTTCAGTTTTTTCGAATCAGTCACGCCGAGGATACTCTCCGGCGGTAATTCCCCGTCTTTGACAGCGACGCACGCACAAACAACGGGTCCGGCAAGCGGTCCGCGGCCGGCCTCGTCCACGCCAATGATGGCCTTGCCCTTGGTGACACTGCCGTTGTACTGGGAAGGATCCCTGAGCAGGGGTCGAGTAGTGGGAAAAATAAATGCTGGATGCAGGAATTTTTGCCGCTGTCGTTCATTCTGCCGCTTGTTTAGCATAAAAGTTGTTCTATTTCTCGCGTGCGACCGGTGATGCAGCAGCTGCAAGTCGATAACGCGCGCAACAGCTGACGCTGACAACCGGCGCTGCACAAAGGCAAAGCGATAGCGAACATAATGTTCCATGGGAATTCTCGGAGCTCAGATTTTTTAGTTGTACACTACTTACTAGAAGAAGGAGCAGAGATGTTTGTTTTCCAACAGCTGCATGCAGAAACAGAAGGTATTTCTGTACTTCACAGTAATTTTTATGCTAAAAATGACTATACCTCGGTAAAGAAGCCGGTAGCTGTGTAGTCTTCTTGCTCGCTGCTCCTCCACCTCTCGACGCTGTAGTCGTTGCTCCTGCGCTCTTGAAGGAATTCTCTGCTCCTTTGCTCCCTCTCTTAGTCATCTTTTCCTCTTGTCGTTCCATCTGCTTGTCACGACTACTTTTAGAAATCTCGTCTTTCACTAACAGTGGTTTGCTGATGCTGTGACCACCCTGCTGTCGTGGCTTCTTCGCGTCCATAGCCAGCTCCTTGGTGTCCTCCTTCTGCAGGACCCCAAATGCGAGAGCTCCGGCTCCACCATCTCCCTTCGCTCTCTTCCCACCTGCAGCGACGGAGCTCTTGCTTTTCGCTTTACTCGCTGCACCCTGACCGCTCGTGTGGTCGTCCTCATGCTGCTCGAAGAATACGTCGGACCCCGATACCCGCCGCGGCAAAGGGGCAACCTTCTCAGGCATGATTCGGTAAACGGGTCGATGGACTTCTGTCGCTACAAGGATGAAATCCTCAACCTCACATTTATTTCTTCGGTAAACTATAACTACTTCTTCGCCACTAGAATAAAAGAGTGGGAGCCATCACTAGCATCACTCAGTAGTAGCACCACGAAGTGCAGGTGAGCAGATGGAAAGTGGCTCAAGCTGACCATGTGAGTCGCGGCTTTGATTTTACATTTCCACGGTTTCAAAAACAGCATCAGTAACTTAGGAATCGATCACAAGACGCATGATATTCCAACTTTCTACTACACAACACGCCGAAGCTGCAAACAACAAAGCTGACACAACACAAGGCAACGAACTTGAGAAGTCTCGTGCTAGCGGCAGTGGCTACAGAAGTTAAAGTTATCTATTTACTGCTCTCATGCACAACAAACACAAGAAAAACAGCGTGATCAACAACGAACCAACATCGCTCCGGAGTGGAGGCCTTTTCTTGCTTCTTCAACAAGAAGAAAACAACTACTCGCTGTCGCGTATCGGAACACAACTCCAGCTTGTGTTCGACGCTTTGATGCTGTTCCACGTACGAACTACAGCAAGAGGAGGAGCCATCTCGCGCAGCTCGTGCTCTTTTTTTGGGAATTTCTGCGTAGGTGTGAACTGAAATGGCCATAAAAATTCTGATTGCGAGAATTGAATATCTTTGCTAGTTGCGCATGTGCTCGATACGTAAAGAAGTTATTTTAGCTGTAGTTCATGATTATGTGATACGATTGGCAATTACGAATATACAGACTCGTAATTTTGGTCTTGCTTCGTTAAAAAATGGACAGCACGGATAAAAAAAGAAGAACTCACAAGGGGTAAGGTACAGCTGAGAAGAAGGGCCGCTTTTATTCGTGAGCTCTACCAAAGTAAAGGAATCAAGGCGGGTTGGGGAGTACGGGGGGACATTTGGCAGCAGCTCCTGCTGCTCCTTGTGAGAAGGAGCACGGGGCGTAGCAGGTATGCTTGATTTCCAAAAGTGGCAACAGCATCAGGCATTTCCTCTGGGGTCGACGTCGAGGTCTTCTTCCAATGCCAATTGTTGCAGCTCCGGTGCACCTGAAAAAAAGCAGTCGCGGGGCAAAAGTAGGTACTCACTATCATATAGCTCGAAATAGACCTATGCGGAGTAGTAGCAGTAGATGCTGAAGACCCGAGGACAAGTGGTTGTATACAATGTGGTGTTTCGAATTCTTGAGAGTTTTGTATCGGTGATCCGGGCTTGTGGATGTAAGAAAGCTACAGGTCTGCTCGTCTTACCGCATCCCTTTTGACAGACGCGGTTTGCAAGAGGGACGATTTTTCATTTTTTTGATCGTGCCTCCTCTACTGTCGGGAGCGATTGCGTTCTGGGCAGAAGCAGAACTGCTAGTTGTACTATCTTTATATCCCTTTTCGCTCTACTAAATCGCAGTCGTTCTTTGAGGATATAGTGACTTTTTCTTGAATTTGGACAACAATCAAGAGAGGCCGCTCTATCCAGTCAAAAAAAGATGTTGAGGTCTCAGTCTCGGTCTGTATTCTTGATTACGAAGTTTCGCGTGCGAGGCGGGTTCTTTTGCTCTTTACTTTCTTCGATAACTGTAGTTGCTGCTAAGAAAGAAACGTGAACGGGAATTCTCAGCCTGTAACTCTTTATATCAGAAAAATACATTTTTCGAGAAATCAGTCTCAGTATCCGGGGCGACCATCTTATTATGTTGGCATTCTGATAGGTTCGAAGTGTTTTTCTCCGGCTTCTACCACCTTCGCGCCTCCGGGAGTCACGAAGTCGAAAGCAGAAGCAAGTGCATTTTTCGACTATAAAAAAGCTTTTGTACTTCAACTTCTACACCCGTGGAATACTAATGTCGCCTGTGAAACTTGTATCTTGTGACATCGTAGATGCCGTGCATCAAGAATAAAATTGATTCAATTGTGATGTTGCGCCGTCGCTGCTGCGCCCCTCAAGCCAACGCGTCTCATGTCGTTGGAACAAGGCGAGGCGCCCATGGTACCAGTCGTGAGCAGGATTCCCGTTCCGCTTGATAGAGCAGTACACTTGGCAGCGCCTTTCCACATTTCTAGCCATGGAAAAACTAGAATACATCACGACCTCAAAGTCCATCCCCCGCGTCCACTACCGAATTTTTATGTGTTTACAAGATATTCATACAAATGATTGTTCATAAAATGTAATAAATGATCTTTTACTAGTTTACTTCTCCTACACTTGTTCGAGATAGGTCGAATCGATTTTACTTTTGGAATAGTTTACCAGGAAACACCCTATCCATACTTCGGCTATTGCTCTGCCGATAAGAACGGGCATTTCCTCAAATGTACCTACTATTTTTTTCTTCTGCCTTAGGAGGTTGATGTTTGTAGTTTACTCTGCTTCAAAAAACCAGATACACAAACTGTGTCTTTAATTCATGTTGATTCTCTATTTTCAGTTCATGTTGCTGGGCGCTCGTTGTTGTCATCGTCAACGAGCACCCAGCATTCGTTCGATTATCTTTTCATCTAATTTTTCGTGATAAATTTTATCCGTTTTCTGTATCCAGATGGCGAGGCCTTAACGTTGGAAGGGAGTCCTTTTATTTGTCGAAGTTTTTTTACTTACACGCAGGAGCAGGTGGTGTTTCGCTGTCGTCGAGGTGGAGGATTTTTACGCTGTAGAGAAAGGACCCCAACAGCCGGGGGAAGCTGGTTCCCGTTTCGCAGAATCTTCACGGGAGGAAGGGTTACTCGTATTCGATAAGGACCACGCTTGTGTTTGATGTTCATCTTGTCGCATTTTTATCAGTGACTTTTTCAGGAGTTCTTCTTTGCGTTTTCAGTTCGTCGCCTGGAAGTACCATTCGTTCTTCATCTTTTCGACGCAGTCCTGAATCATGAAACGCAAGCGCGGTTTGATTTTTTTGTCTTTGCTCCGGTCCATAAGTTCCGGAAACAAACTGTTTCTCTGGAACGCGCACACCGCTGCCGATTGGATCAGCGAATCGGCCACAATCTCGCACAGAATCACCAGCAGCTCCAGTTTCAGCTCGTTATGTCCACCGCCTCCGGCGGCGCTGGCGCTGGTCTTCTCGTCACCGGGAGATTTCGGCGGCTGCGGAGACATGAGCTCCTCGCAGATGTGATTGAACACTTTCGATGCCAGCATCTTTTCCTTCAGCAGCATCGCGATAAACCGCACATTGCCCGTCACCGTGTTCTTTTTCCTGAGGTTTTGGAAAGCCGATTTATATTTTTTCGTGTCCTGGTCTACTTCTTTTCGTATTCGTCCTTTTCTCATCGCCGAAGATTTTTACACTTACCTTATACTGTTACAGGGTACGGATGAAAATTATCATTATGAAAAAAAAAAACATCAGTACTTGACGAAGGCCTCGTATTCGTCAGACTCTACGTCGATTTTCTCAATGGAAAATTCCTGGCTGTTGACCAAACTGTCGCCGAACGTTTCCTGGCAGTCGTTGAGCAGAATGGTGCGAAAGTTCTTCGGCTCCTCGCCCTCCTCAAAAATGATCTCCCCGGCCACGTACTTCTCGCGCAAGTCCTCGTTCAACTGCACTGTCAATTTCGTGTACATGTCGAGGAAAAAATGCTGGGTCGTGGCCTTGTCGAAAACCTCCTTCATCAGCTGCTCAATGTGCCGCTGCTTCTTGATCAGACATGAAATCTGCGCGTAAATCGAGTCGAAGTTCTTGTCGGTCAACTTGTTCATGAGACCTGTTTTTGTTTTTCATCATCGACGCAAGAATTATATTGGCCTGATTGATAAGCACTCCTGTGGAGGTCAGGGTCGTGCTCCTGGGTCTGCAAATACAAGAATAGGAGTAAATGTGAATGTCGTGATCGTGTCAGCACTCGATCGTGTTCGTGCCCTGCCGGCGGCTCATGCACCACAGTACCAAACTTTTTTGCCACCTGGTCTTGTGCCTTTGTTATTGTGCAAAGAACGAAAGCCGCACAAGGCAGTATCTTGTATGAAATCTTATCATGGTATAGATATTAACTACCTTGGCAGAAAAGAATGCAAATGTCAGTTTGAGTTTGAGTTTCAACATTGAGTTTGAGTCTCAACATTGAGTTTGAGTTTCAACATTGAGTTTGAGTTTGAGAATTAAGTTAGAGTTTGAGTTTCAGTTTCGACTTCAAGTTTCAGAATCAACCTGAACTTTGAGTTTGAGTTTCAGTTTCGACTTCGAGTTTCAGAATCAACTTGGACTTTGAGTTTGAGTTTCAGTTTCGACTTCGAGTTTCAGAATCAACTTGAAGTTTGAGCTTCAGTTTCGACTTCGAGTTTGAGATTTAGAATCAACTTGGAGTTTGAGTTTTAGTTTCGACTTCAAGTGTCGTCCGACGGCCGTCGGACGGCCAGAAGTTGTCCGCCGGCCGTCGGACAACCAAAAGTTGTCCGACGGCCAAAAATTGTCCGACGGCCGTCGGACAACCCAAAGTCGTCCGACGCCCGTCGGACAGCCAAAAGTCGTCCGACGGCCGTCGGACGGCCAAAAGTTGTCCGACGGCCGTCGGACAGCCAAAAGTCGTCCGACGGCCGTCGGACGGCCAGAAGTTGTCCGACGGCCGTCGGACAGCCGAAAGTTGTCCGACGGCCGTCGGACGGCCAAAAGTCGTCCGACGGCCAAAAATTGTCCGACGGCCGTCGGACAACCAAAAGTCGTCCGACGGCCGTCGGACAACCGAAAGTCGTCCGGCGGCCGTAGGACAGCCGAAACTCGTCCGACGGCCGTCGGACAACCCAGAGTCGTCCGACGGCCGTCGGACTGCCAGAAGTTGTCCAACGGCCGTTCGGCGCCGGGTTGATGAGATTGGGCGCGCCGAAGCCGGGGCGACCACTCTGGGCGCGCCGGAGCTGGGGCGACCACTCTGGGCGCGCCGGAGCCGGGACGACCAGACTGGGCGCGCCGGAAATGGAGCGACCAATCTGGGCGCGCCGGAGCCGCGACGACCACATTGGGCGCGCCGCGGCCTTGTTTTGGGGCCGGCGCTTTTTTCTTTTTGATTTGTTATCTAGATGTCGATGATGCTAACTGACATTTGCGTTATTTCTAATGCCTACTTCCAGGCGAAGCTGGCTTTGCTAGTTTGACAAATAACATCAAGTGAGGTCGTTAAATACTCTTCAACTTCCTGTGCACTTCCGCGTCCTCGTCGCTCTCTGCAGTCGTGTCCTGGTCCTTTCTCTTTTTGTTACTCAGCGCCCAGCTGTTCTCGCCCAACTTCAATTGCACCGCCGGTGGGCGCCAGCAGTCCTGCAGCGCCTCGCTAGAGGAGTCGTTCCGTCGAAAGTTGTTGTTGCTGGGGTGGTTCGAACCGCCCTTGCCGTGATTGGAATTCCGGTTGTTTTCGTAATTGTTACCACCCTGCTTATTCATACTGCCATTCTTCATCGGCCCGGAGTTGTCTGTGGTCGTGTAGTTGTTGAATGATAGATCATGCACTATCTACGCGTAGGTGTAGTACGCGTCTAAGTACCGCAATAATTTCTCGAAGTGCTCTCTTTGCCAGTGACTGCCTCGATATCAACATGAAAAACGTCAAATAAAACAAAATGAACAATAAATCAACGCCTTCTATAGATAGTACTGTTCAACGGCATTCTTGCGTGGGGCACGAGCACCGCACCGGACTTGTCCTCCATGTCCCCGATTGCCGGGCGCAAGGCCAGGATGTCTGCCCTCGTGTAAGTTGCCTCCCGGTTGCCCTCCACCGTGGGCTTGGAGCGCAGGCCCGTGATGCCAATCGTTGGGCTCTTGCTGAACTTCTTTTCGTGCTCCACAATCTGCTCCTCGAGGACTTTTGTCTCTTCCAGCAAGGCGTCTTTTCCGTCGATGGCTTGCTGCATCTCCGCCGTGATGTTCTCCGACTTTTCGTTCATTTCGATTTTCTTCAATTTTTTCTCGACGGCCTTCAGTCGCTTCTTGTTTTGCTCGTATTTTTCCTCCTCTTCCTCGACTAAGCGTAGTTTGTCCGCCTCTTCCTTCTGTTTCTTCTCGAGTAGCTCCTGCGCCTCGCGGTTTTTCCGCTCCAGTTCCGCCTCCTTCGCTTTCCGTTCCTGTTCGCGCTGCAGTTCCAGTTCGCGGAGCCGCTGCTCGCGCTCCTCGTCAAGGCGCTTCAGCTCCAGAGCTTCGGCTTCAAGCTTTTCGTCCTCGAGTCGCCTCTTCTCGGCCTCTTTTCTCCTTTCCGCCTCCTCGAGCTCCCGCTGTTTCCGGAGTTCCTCCTGCCGTTTCCGCTCGGCCTCCTCCTTTTCCCGTCGCACCTTTTCTTCGTGCTCTTGCTTCAGCTTCAGCGCCGCCTTCTCCCGTTCTAGCCTCTCGAATTCCTCCTTCGCTAGCCTGTCTTCCTCCTCTTTTCGTAGTCTCTCCTCCTCCTCACGCTTCACGCGCCTGTGGTGTCGTTTCGTATCAGAAATTTGAAAACGTGCCATTCTTGCAGTTTCATTTTCATCCTTTGTTTGTTCTCGTTCACCCGCGAATCGAAACAAACCTTTGCGATCGCGAGTCCGATCTGGGCAGGGCAGACCATTATTAATTTCTTCTGGCGTAAACATCTTCTTCTTTGAGCTTGACGAGAAAAAAGTGAAATGAATCATGTTGACCTGGAAGATGGAATTGAGACATGAACATGATCAAGACCCCAGCAATAGTTAGAATCAATGCAAAAATACCGTTCTTCTGCAAGTCGTTTCTCTTCCTCTAATCGCTTAGCTTCTTCCTCCTGTCTGCGTTTTTCTTCTTCCTCGGCCTTCCGGGCGGCTTCCTGCTTCTCCCGTTCGGCTTTGTCCTCGTCTAACCTCGTCCAATCCTGATGAAATTGAAAAGACACGAAATTTGCATATGGTCAATGGAGGGGCGGCGAAGATTTACATTTGGTTCTAGTCGTATGTAGGTGACAGTGAAAGATAAGAAGTTGTTAGTACTGTTTTGTACTATCTCATTGTCATATCATTGAAATCTTCAGGGAGAATAACTTCTGTACCGTAACCGTACAAAGGCCAGGTACTAAAGAAGATCATGAACTTGCTAATACCTTCTTCTGCCCCCACAAGCCCTGCGGTTTTTTCTCCGTCGCAACGACGGGCTTTGCCCCTCCTAGTGAGGGAAAGTTGTCGGGCTTCAACGCCTTTACTCTCTCTTCCTCCAGTTTGCGAAGCCGTTCCTGTTCCTTCTTCCGTTCCTCATCGAGCCTCTTCTGCTGCAACAGCATGGCCGCCTCGTCCTTCTTGCTCATCCCGCGTTCGCGGCCTCCAGCAGAGCTCGCACTGGAACTCGGCGTCGGCGCAGCGCTGTTCGGAACGGTGTTGAATTTTCCGTCCTTGTCCGCCGCGCCTGCCTCAATGTTGGTGGAAGAGCTCGCGCGACTGCGCCCGCGCTGGCTGTCCCGCCGACTTCCTCGCTTTTTCTTTTCCAAATGGCTGTCCCTGTTGGTATATGGATTGCAAAAATGTCTGGGTCTGGAAGAATGCAGGAGTTTGTCATGCAGATTTTGCATGACCCATGAGGTCTGTGATGCATGCCCTAGTATCAGAGATTTTGCGAGGGGTCCCTGATGCTCATATCGCATGAGAAATGCCCTCTCCGCGTAGCACAAATTACACCTCTTTTGCTGTTCATGCAATACAGATTTTATGTAGAGTCCAAAGGTAGCATCACAAGTTGCATCCTTCCAGACCCAGACATTTTTGCATTTGATATGGTAACACTGTAGTCCTCCGCGACGGTGGACGTGCCGTCATTTTTATGGAAGCGTCAGGTTTCAGATCCTCAAAGTTGAAATAATCTGTAATGCATAAAATGCATGACCCGAGGTATGTGTGTTGCAGAGCAGGCAAGTGAGGCCGATTGTAAGCCTGTTTGGGGTTACAGCTCGAGCTGCTAAAGTAGCATGAGAAAATCACTCTTCTTTGCCTAAACAGCATTTAACTGGATTTAGGGACCGCCGAAATTTGTCACGCGCCACTTGGATACTGGGTTCCAACTGCCATCCACTTTATGCATGACAAATTATTTCAACTTTGTCAATTTCAACTCTGACACATCCATAATTTTTGCTGGAAGAATTGTCGTCTTCGAACAGGGTCACGCCCTGTATTCTAGATTCCGTGTCGTCGTCAATCGGAAGAAGTTCGGCGACTGCTTGCTCCGCCGGTTTGCTCGTGCTCGACGTACTGCTAGCTGCTGCCTTTGCAGTTGATGTACCAGCAGCAGCGATAGCCGCTGGCTCCTCGACATGATTTACACCCGCCGTTGTTGGAACTGGAGCTGGAAGCACCGGCTTCACGGGCTCGACTTTGATCGCTTCTTTCTTTGCCCAGGGTGCGTAACTCTTGCCGCCGATCACCTGGCCAGACGGCAGTTTGGCGTTCGGCGCAGGAGACGGACTGGCCGTCACGGTTTTCGCCGATGACGCTGGAAGAACTGGCTTCGCTGCCTCGGCCGTCGAGGACGTTTTACTACTACCCGTAGCTGGTGCACCAGAAAGAGCATCGGTCACCGTAGTTGCCGCACCGGTAACCGACGTAGCCGCTGACGTTCCTGCCGAAGTCGTTGCGACGGTGGAGGTACTTGCAACTGCTCCGATCTTCTCCGTGAAACCGGTTTCCACTACGATCTTTTCGCTGCCTGTTCCTACCTTGTTCGCCGCCACCACGCTGCTGCTCTCTACCTCGATGTTGCTGCTGGGATTCGTGCGAATACTCTCCACGGGGCTGGGGAGCATAGGATCGACTTTGGTTGCCAGGGGCGTCGCAGCCTGCACAGGCTTAGTCGCTTCATTCGGCGGCGTGGATGGGCCGGAGGTTTGGTGTTGTTGAGAACTACTACCTGCACTCGCGGACACCGCACTGACGATTGGCTTCGTGGCCTCCGCGACCTTGGGCGCCCACGGTGCACGCACCGCACCGGAGAGTTTGCTGACTGGTGCCGGCGCGACAAAATTCGCGGTTGCTGTTGTCGTGGTAACGGGGGTCGCATCCGTATTCATCGTCGTCACACTGGGACTCTGTTCCGCCTTCTTGTTTTGACTCAAGCGACTGGCCCACGACGCCGCCGCGGGTTGTCCTTCCTCTTTGGAGGCGCTGTTCTCTTTATTCTGCGCCGCAGGAACGACAGCCTCCACTTCTGCACTGGCTTTTGAGGACGTCGCGGGCTTTATTTCTCCTGCTACCCTCCCTGCCGGAGCGAACGCGTGCCTTGGCGACGGGGAACTCGATGCGCCGGTGGTAGCGGACGTGCTGACTGCCGTGCTTCTGGTGACCGCTGGGGCGGCAACCGACTGCTGCGCGAGCACCTGTTTCGGGGTAGTGGCTGCGGCCGGACTGGAAACCAGAGACTCAGTCTGCAGCTGGTTCGGCGTCGTAGTCTTGTTCTTGGTCTTTCCCTTCTTCGCCTTCGTGTCCACGGTCACCCACTCGTCCTCGACGACCTTCTCCGTTTTTTCCTCCTCTGTTGTCGCCTTCTTCGCCACGACAAAACCGCCAACCGCCTGCGGCGCCGCCGGCTTGTTTTGCTCCCGCCCGACGAGGGAGGACGCAGCGGCATTTTTCCCGCTCAGCAGTTCCGGATTGGTCGGCACCAAATGGTGCCCGGCGGCCGGCGTCATACTGGACGTGGTCGCCAGGCCCGCGGTCGAGATGGTTGATGATGCCGTGGTATCTACTTCCATACCTTGCTGATTGTTTGCTGTTGTCAATGCACCAGCCGTGGTCGCCGACTCGAGGTCATTTTCGGTCGACGGCAGCTCCACGCGTAAAGGCTTGGGCACCACCAGAGCATCCTGCTTTGCGGTGTGGTGGTCCACCGTGTTGGCCACCCCCGAAGTGCTGTGGCTGTCGCCCGACGGCGGCTCGGATTCGCTCTGGTGCGGCGGCACTCGGCGGGGCGCGGCGAGGGGAGCCGGAATCACCGGGTCCTCGGCAACGGATTTGCTTGTCGTGATGGGGATCAGGTCCACGGTCTGTTGTTCCGCGGACTTGGAACCGCTGGACGCCACGGCGGCACCGTATGACATCTTGTTCCCTGCGACCTGCTCGTTTTCTGCCGGCGGTGCCGACGCCGGCGGCGGGGGCAGCACGCGCGAAGTAGAAGAGGAGGTCGCCACGACGGTCGGCGCCGGACCTGCAGCTGCAGCAGCGGCAACCACGGTCGTCGGCTGCTTCGGCGCCGAGGGTGGGGGGATGCGCTTGCTCGAGTTATTGGCCTGCGGCGCGGTCACGGTAACCGCGGTTGGTTGCTGCAAAGCCTCGGTGGAAGAAGACGCGGAGGAGGAGGAAGAAGTGAGGGTCGCGTTCTTCTTGCCGCCCCATGCGGGCGTGGCTTTCTTCTCCTCGGAAGTCGTTCCGCTGATCTCCTTCTTCGGCGTTTCCTTGGTAGCGGCACCGAGCGACGGGAACGAATCCTGGTCCTCGATCTTCAACGGCTTCTCGCCAGGCTGCGCTTTCGCGGCATCGGCTTTCTCCTTCTTTGTCTTCGGGGCCCTGTGGTGTTAGATTCATCAGTGTGGACCAGTCTCTTCTCGGGCTTCCGGCTACGGCACTTCCAGCTAAGTCTACGACTACGTCGTCTAGCATCAATAAATGCAGAGTGGATGCACGAACGAGATACGAGTGCCAGAACATGCGATTTTTTTCGTAAGAGCGGGGTAACAAAATAAAAAAAGAGGGCCGCGGGGAACCTCTTGTCCACCCGGCCGGGTGGACAAGAGGTTCCCCCCTTTCGCTGCCGGAGCAGCCGGCTCGCCGAGGTCCCCCTCCGCGTTGCCACGTCGGATCTCCGCACCCGGCGAGCGGCGGACGACGACGAGGGGGGAGATCCGACGACGACGACGAAAAGAAAAAACAATCACTGTCAACGGTCTCGCGTTCACAGCAGGAATGTAGTAAAGCATGGCATTCTTGATGATGAATACATTCATATTCTGCAAGATCCTCGTGTGTCGCTCGTACGAGGAGAAGAACCCAAAACCTGCTTCTAGAAAATAACAACAAAATTACTTTCCGTTGCCCTTCTGCGCATTCGGAGTCTCTGGCTTCACGGCCTTGACTTGCTCGGGCAGGAAGTCCAAGAGAGACGTCTGGTGTGGCGTCGGATGCGAGGGTTTGTTGTAGTTGCCCTTGTGGTGCGCGCCGCCGCTGTGCTCGCCCTTGTGCAGATGCTGCTTGCTGCCTGCACTCGCCCATTTGCTGTTGGCCGCGTGCTCTTTGTCCTTGTGCGCGGCCGTGTTACTGCTCTCACCGGAATCCGCTGCCACTGGCGTCGTGGACGTGGTGCTGCTGGCCTGCTGCTGATTTTGCTGCCCACCCTTCTTCGACGCTTTGGTAGTTCCCGTGCTGATGGCCTGGTGCACCGTGCTCTCGGTCGGACTGGGCGCCGCGGGCGGTTTCGCGCTCGCGGATTTTTCGGGTTTCGCCGTTGTGGTGTCAGCCTTGGTGTTTGTTGAGGTGGTGGCATCCGGCTCCGCGTCGACCAATTCGTCCAACTTCGACGGGTCGTCGACGTCCGCGTCGTCGGCCCAATTTCGCTTAGACGCTTGCTTTGCCTTCGCCGTCTCCACGACCGGGGCCGCGGCGGCCGAAGCAGCACCCTGTAGTTGTACACAAGAAAACATCAAGTTGAACAAGTTCTAAGTTGTTCATACACGACACGCAGTATTTCAATGATTACAACGGACGTCAGAAAGCTAATTCCCAATAATTTTCAGTTTTTTTCTTTGACATTTATTCATGATTCGACACGCAACCAAAATTAACGAAAAAATTTTAAGTTCACTACTGCAGGTGCGGCGGGCGGCTTCGCTTTCGGTACTCCCTTTTCTTTCCCCTTGCCCTTAGCCGGCTTCCCTTGCTGGTACTGGCCCTTCGCACCTGCCGGGGCAGCGCCATATCCTTGGTTGTAATAGTAGCCGTTGTATCCCTGACCCCCATACCAACTGTTCCACTGCTGCTCCGTCCACTGCTGGTTCCAGTGCTGCTCGGCTTGCTGCTTCTCCTTCTTCTCTTTTTCCTCCTTTTCAGCCAACTTCTTGCGTTCCGCGAGCCGGGAAAGGACCAGAGTTGAAGATCCGGTCTTCTTCTCGGTTTCGTTTTCCGCCGCTGGGGCGGCGGCGCCAAAGGGATTGGTCGCGGGCACGTAATAGTCTTCGGCCTGCAGCTTTGTGGGGTCGCCACCTGAATCGAAAAAAAAGCAGTTCGACCATGATTTAGACGGCACCATAATTTTCATTTGCGTGCGGTAGACAAAAACCATAGCACCTTTTATCAAGAAGAACCTATGCACTGTTTGCAGCAGCAGACGGAGGAGCAGTGCTAGTCTATAAGCGTAGTACAACTTCATCCTACTTTGCAGTGTATAATAGCACTATGCGGAAACCAGACGTAGATTCAACACATTCAAGGGAATTATCAGACAGCAAACATCAGTCGGTTGAGAAGATCACATCATACCAGTGGCGTCCTCCTCACTGACACTGGACTGTTGCTCTTCCATCTGTTTCCACCCATTCATCTTGACCGAGCCCCCCTCGTCTGATTGCGCACCTCCGGTGCCGCCGGATTCCACGATGACGTTCTTGCCGCCGGCGCTCTCCTTGGAGGATTTGGCGCTCGTGTGGACCTCGCCGGTGGCCGCCGCGGTAGTTGTGGTGGGGGCCGCTTGCTCGGGCGCCAGCGCCGCGATGTCGGTGGTGGTAATTTCGGCGGACAGCTGTTCCTGCAGCGCCTGCTGTCGTTTCTCCTCTGTTCCGGGCGAAACACTCGCTGCACTTTCCTTGTCCACGGGCCCCTTCTCCGCTGTTGTACCTTCGCCGGTTTTTTCAGAACTGTCGGCCTTTTCCTTCTTCAGAGGTTTTTTTACAGCAGCGGTGTCTTGCGGCATGGCATGTCGCCTGGCGAGCCAATCATCCGTAGTTGCAGCCTGCGGGGTGGCCGCAGATTGGGCGTTGTTTTCTTTGGTATGCTGTCCTTTTCCATAGCTGTTGTCCTGTTTTCCTTCTTTGTAGCCGCCCTTCGCGCCGGGCATTTTCGAACCATACTGGCTGTATCCACTGTCCCCAGGAGCCTTGCTACCTGTGAGGAAAGATCAAGAGCTTTTTTTTTCACGTTTAGTATATCAATCGGAACCAACTAGCAACAAAGAAAAGCCAAAAGTAGTACCCAGAGGCGCGTGTGCGTGCCCGCGTTTCAGTAGTACAGAGGAAACAATAGTAAAAAAACCAGTAAAAAACATCAGAAATGCACCTTTGGTGGCACCCGCGTTAGTGCCGTAGGGAACATATGCGCCACCTTGGTTCTGTTGCACCCAGCCGCTGCTCTCCAGAAAAACTGTCGTCGTTTGCTTTGTGCCCTTAGCTCCAGCGGAAGCGCCACCGTACCCCTGCGGGTTCTTTCCGCCCGCTACGGCTCCCTTCATACTATTTTCCGCCGATGTTCCGTACGCGCCGGAAGCGTAGCCGTTCGACATGTGGTGCTGTTGCTGGCCGCCTTTCTCAGCGTTGTTTCCCTTGCTGCTCCCCTTCGCATCGTAGCCATCTCCTGTTTATTCCGACCATCGATTCTTTCATTCCATGAATCCATTGTCGTAGTGGTTAAAGCTACGTCTCGGCATAAGCCTCAGCAAAAAAGACTGCAAAAATAGCACTTCCGTGACACATGTAAAGACTTTGGTATCATGCAACCGTAGATGCGTACACTGATCCGGTAGAAGTTCATCGATTAAATGAAATTCAAAGTAGAAAATCACGAGAAATCAACAATATGTATCCTATACCGGAACTCCATCCGGAATGCGGCCCTTGCTGGCCATACGCGCCATAGTAACCCGCGTGGTCCGCACCATGATATCGGCCGCTGTGCGCAGATCCGACGTCGGACCCGCTAGACTTCCCCTTCTTTCCCACCCCCTTGGAGCCTGTGCCCGCTGGGTATTGCTGGGGTGTCCCCTGCGTACTGCTGTTATTCCCGGACAAAGCGGCTGGATTACTATTCTCGGTGCTAATGCTGAGACCGGGCGCAGCGGACGCCCCATGAGATGGCACACGCACGATGTACGGATGCCGAGCAGCGGGCGCCCCGCGCTTGCTGCCCTGGGACATGTCGTGGCTGTACCCTCCTTTGTAACGGAGACCCTTGTTCTCATACCCGGTCGCGTCGTCTTCCCACGAATTGCTACTTTGTTGCCCGCTTCCCGGAGCGCGCGGCGGTTTATCCGCACCAACGCGCACAATAGGACGTCCAGGTTGCTGGAAATTGTTTGCTCTCTGCTGTTGATTATTCAGGTTCATTCCGGCTTGTGGCCCACCGGAATTAGAAGCATTGGAATTTCGCTGTGGCTGTTGCAACAACAAGCTTTCCGGGGGAATTACGGCGCCGCGGGAATTATTTCCGACATTAGAGGTACTCGTGTTATTCTTGCTGTACTGCGAATTCTTCCCGCCGAAGTGTTGCAGACCCCCGTGTCCTCAGTAAAAACGTACCCGCCCCATATTTGCACGCAAATGCGCATGCCTAAAGAAGTTTCATTGTCCTACGCAGCCCCATAATCAACAGCATTTTCTATCTAAAGTTACCTAGGACGAATTTGCCATACTCTAAACAGGAGAAGATGATTGATCTCCGATGCGACTGCACGACTAGCTAACCACGACAACTACACTAAAGACCACAAGTTGTAATCATTACAACTTGTGGTCTTTAGTGTAGTTGTCGTGGTTAGCTAGTCGTGCAGTCGCATCGGAGATCAATCATCTTGTAGTGTTTCGCATTACTAATGCGAAACAGCTGAAACTTCTGAGCATGTGCAGCAAACTGCCATCTTGGCTATGGGGAGGTGGGAACGTTTGTCCTTCGGATATCCCGTTGTTGTTGTTCTGGGGGTTGAATTGCGCTCCGGCGCCATGATGATGCCCGGAACTCGTGTAGCTGGTCTGCCCGGACGATGCTAGTGCGGCGGCCCCCGAAGATGCTCCGCCAGGCGTGTCACTTGTTCTTGTTACGATGTATTGCACGTTCTGCGGTAGCGCGTCCTTTGGCATCGGGACCAGTAGTGTTTTTGGCGTCTGCCTTTCTGCCTGCCCTTCTGCAGCAGTTACACCCTGATCGGCTAATTGCTTCCAAATTTGCTTTTGCAATTCCATTTGCATTTTGCTCCTGTTTTGCTCCTGTGGCTGCGGTGCGGGGCTGCTCGACGAAGCGGGAATAATCTGCACTTGTTGACCGCTATTGATCATGTGCTGCAGCTGCTGCACTGATAGGTTCACGCCCCCTGCATTGATAAGTTGAGACGACCCAGACAAGGCTGCACCCGCGACGCCAGACGCTGTTCTCGAGCCCGCAATCTGTCCCTGCTGGTCCGCTTTCTGCGCAACGTGTTTAGCGTACATCTCGACAAAACTTGGGTCTTGCAAAGCTGCTACGGTGAGCTGGTTAAGTGACACCTGATTTTGGCCTTGCAGTTGCTGACCACCTGCTCCGAAGTGCTGTCCCGACGAGATATGCGACGTGTCGTTTCCTCTATTAAGTCCGCTCATCAACAGTTTAAGTTGCTCGCCATTCAGGTCTTTCAGCCTCTCTGGGGGGAGGTAAATTTTGTTGTCCTCAACCCGCAGCCCCTGTACAGCTTGTTGCTGCTGTTGTTGTCCAGCCACAGCATTGCTCACATTCGTCAACTGCGTCATATTAAGTTGTACCGGGCCACGTACTGGACTGGGATTTGCACTCCCGAGCGGAATCAACCCTTGCGGCGCAGCCAGAGCCGCGGCTTGGCCCCCGGCAGCGCCTGTTGCTGTGATTTTTTTAGAAATTTATATCTTGCGATGAGATACTTACGTGGACTGTCCTTCGACGCTAGCTTGATTTCATCTTGCAGCAAATTGCCAACTTCTGTGGTAAGAGTGGAATACAGACAATAAAGTCCTCTTGCTCGCATAAGCAACATGGTGGCGATGTTGCTTGTTTTTATTTGCAGCAAAAAAACCTACCATACATCCGACTACACGAAAACACAACGCAGTACCTGCAGCGCCCGGATTTATGTAGAATGTCGTCCCAGCTGCATTAGCGTTAGCTGGTGGACCCCGACTTGCTGTGCCGGCACTGGTGCCAGGCACGAACTCGGACGCATTTGCGTTCAGATTGCTCATATTGATTTATTGCGAAAAGCCCCCTCAGATGAGGATTTTTGCGGTCGGACACGTCCCGCGTCGCTCTCAGCAAAATCGTACTTTTTCTTCTATGCGATCTTCAGCTAAAGAGGATTATTTCCGCTTGTTTCCAGAATAATTGCTTTGGCGTCTGTTTACTTTCTCCCGGCGATGCAGCAAAATTTAACTATTGCAGGTTCCCGTTGATAGATTCTTCTTCGGCGGCAAATAAAGTCGAGTTCTGCGCAAAAAATATCGCTTCTTCACCGCTGTTTTTCTTGGTCGACGTGCACCACCAACAATGTTGGTCCCAAATAAAGATCGCGTTTTATTTACAGAAGTCGTCCACAAAGACAGTGGAGTGCGCAAATCTACAGATCCGGAGTTGTCGTAGGTGAGTGGTTTCTGCGAAAAGACTATTCCCAGCTTGAACTACGATCCGCTCTACTTGCTCGGCCCCGCGTGTTGTTTCCTTCGCATCAATTACTAGTCTTCCCGCACGAGGACCCGGCATGTAGCTAGTATTCTCAGTCTCAATCACACCAACCCCAACTAGTCGCGCCAACATAATTCCGCCTCCGAGAGTGGTCGCAGCTCACAGTTGTTGGGCCGAAGAAGTTCGATGTTGCGTTGAACCTGGGCAGAGATAAGACGTCGTCGTCGTTTTCGTTGGCGTCAGGAAACACGAACTACTGTGTCGAAGATGATCTCTTACTGCTCACTGCAGTTATCGCAATGGAAAGAGGCAAGTCGCTGTCGCAAAGAAGCATATGAGTTCTTGCTTGAAAAAGTCTTTACCGAACGAACCTTATTCACGTCGAAAATCCCTACGGCTTTACCAACTTGTTCTACGTACGAACTATTCAGACACAACCAGAAACTGTTGGCAGCTACGCGGCTATAAAAGCTCCTATCACGTTCAAGATGTTTCTGGTTCGTTCTGCGCTAGGTTGCTGTAGAAGATAGTAAGTAACTGTTCTGTGGCTCGTGCTCGAGAATACATATTATATTTCAATCAGACAAAAATCGAAATCGGATGAAAATCAGGAAACAAACTTGCGCACGGTATAGAGTTGCGGATGTGATTATGAATAATAGCACTGCAGCGGGTCGCTTGTAAGGGTAAATCTTGGTGCCGCAGTCAAAAAATTAGCTGCTCGGCTCCAGGCTGGAAGGGCAGAACAAAAACAGTAAAGTCGCTACTAAAAAAGTCGTTGAAGGTTGAAAACAGGATGTGCCGTTGATTCATACTATCAGTTCGCGAGGCAACTAGACTACGTTGTTGGATCAGTGCCAAGTACAGCGTAGCTATGACACACACGCGCTTTATTGCTTCTGCTTGGTGAAACTAGGACGCAATAACAACTAGCTTTGGCGCATATGGAGACCGTTCTATGATCCGCTCAAGCTCTGTAGAGGCTCTTCGATTGGAACTGCTGCTGTGCTCCCAATCGTCTGAGGTGAGCCGAGGTTTTTCTAAAGTTTCTTTAGCACTGATTTACTAGAAGCTTAGCGAAGATCATTATACTAATACAACCCGCAACTATTGTACTTCTAATGCCTCGACGGTTTTAAGGATCAAGTACGTACCCAAAATAAACACAACTCATGAGACAGCCGCGCCAAGTGGTACAAACTAACAAAACCGCGATACTAAGCTAGTAAATTTGTCTAAAAAAAATTCTCCGACTTGTAGTGTCCCTGATGAACGTAGTAGAGTGATGGTAGAAAGCGTATGCAAACAGGATCCAACATTTCCGACATTCTGTCAAGCTCAAGATGACTTACATAAGTAAGGTGTTCAGTCGTGGTTAATGGCATTGGAACTGGCATTCGGTCAGTTTCTTAGGAAAAATTCTGGATCCAAGATAATAGACTGTGACTGTGACACTTCGTGGTCTGTTCTATTATTTTTCAAAGTGTCCCATGTTCTCTAGTCGTCGCTCTCGTCTACGTATTTTTAGTCGAAGTGGTACCTAGCTTGCAGGAACACGCAGAACGCATATGCATATCCAGTGGAAGCAGCAGCATTACGTACTCTCACTGGGACTGGCTTCCTCGCGAGTATTTCCGCTTCAGCCTCACATGCATTTTCGATCTACTGCTTTGGCTATTGTATTCATTTTCAGAAATTTTGTACAGTTTGCGGTTTATTTCGAAACAGAATACAAATCTTGCTTTCGCTCCATTCATCGTCCATTCTTGCGTGATACTGTAATGGTATTGGAATTGGACAACAACATTTCTTGCAATTATACTCGAATTAAACGCAGGTTTTTATTTGCAGAAACTCGTTCTTGATGTTGATCTGCAAGAAAAGAAGGTGGACCAACATAATAAATTAAATTGTTCAGTGGTCGTATAACCAGCGGCCTAATCTGCCCTGCCTGTTGTCCTCGACCGACGCGAGGCACAATCTGCTGCATTTTGGTCATGGCATTTCTTCATCAAAGCTGGACGGCCGTGCGTATCATGCATTGGCTTTGTAGCCCTTCATCCTTCTCCTTGCATTAAGCTCTCGTCATAGCTGTCAGAAACAAAAAGCGATCAGCTGCTGAAATTTTTACCTGCACCTACTGCAACTAGATGCTGTTCTTTTCATTCAACAGGTCGTCTGGTGTCTAAAGCATAAATTCCAAAGTCATTCGCATTTGATAAAGGTGATAATTTTCTCGTAATATCTAAATGGAGTCTATTGTCTAAATAACCGGTCATGGAATTAAGTAGAATGTTACACGGTGGTACTAGTCGAAGCTGGTGTAGTCCTTCATCTCCTCTCTTGTCACATCTTGTCTACTCCTGCCGACAAACAAGATCAGGTGACACGAGCGAGAAACACACACAGGAAGCGGAAGCCGCACCCGATAATATCTTTCTCGAGCGGAGAGGAAGCAGGATGTTGTCAACACGAAGTTGCTTAGAAGAACGGCAGGAAGTTGACGCTGAGACAGGTGCCAACCGGCAAGTTTTGTGCGCGGTGGATGCACTTTTTCAGGTCCTCGTCTGACCGCTATTACAATGAAAAATGCCCCCTCCCCATATCAAAACGGAAATCTGTGATGCAGATTTGGGGTCACAAATCAGCTTTGTGATGCTAGAAGGCAAAAGATGCGGACTGTAGTGCTGTCTAGCGTGGGAAAGCCTTGCAGCTCCAGGATGACAGGAGGCAACTGGAAGTGGGAAACAGCATGACAGATTACCTACAACTTAGGCCGCAGCTTCGTCTCTTGGCCTTCTAGCAATACAAGTCGATTTGTGTACTCAAATACAGCATCACAAATTCGCGCGTCTTCCATTTCCGATATGGGGTGGGGGCTTTTTTCACTTTGATAACCGCAGCGCGTCCATCTTCCTTCTCTCCAGCTCCAGCTGCATGTGGGTTTGCAACCGCGCCAGCTTCTCGTTCTCCAGTTTGACCCGGGCCGCCAGGGCCGCCTCCTCGCGGGAAACACGCTCCCGTTCCTTCTTGATCAGCTTCTCTCGATCGGCCTGCCGCCGGATCTCCGCCTTCTTGGCCTCGGCCAAGTTCCGCTGTTTCTGCGAGGAAAACAAGCTCTCGACCGCCGCGACTTTCTCGTCCGCCTTTTTCTGTTTTTAGTGTTAGTGGTGGTGTTTCAACAGCATCAATTTGAACAACCATGATCTTCAACCGTTTATTCGCAACGTCGAAGCAAAAAACGCAACATGATCATCTTCTAGAAGGTTGGGCTTCAATTACAGCAGGAGGGGATCACCATCACGAGGACAACGAAGACGCCGCCTTCGCAAATAATCTTAATCGCAGGGACGAGCTGCATCACCATTAGCGTGGGTAGCCATCAAACTTGCCGCGCATAGGAAGAGAGACACTAAGGAAAAATTCAGAACAATTGAAGATGTGCGAAAAATTATACCTGTATCACGTCTCGTTCTTCTTTTCTCTTCTCCCTGGCCCGTTGTTCCAATTTCAAGCGCAAGATTTCTTCGTCTTCGATGGGAATGGCGTCGTCCGCGTTTTCATCCTCTTTGTCGAGAACCCCCCTCTCCGCGTCCTTATCGTGCCGGCGCAGCCACTATGCATTGCAAAAGTATCGCACTCGTATAAATGCATTACAAATTTCCTCAGCATTACAAATTTGTAATGCGGATTCGCCTTGATTGCTAGATTTGTCATGCATGACTGCGATTACTACGAGTACCATACTTTTGCACAGGATAGCCATTCCTGCTCCTTGACATTCTTCATTTCCTCCTCCGCCATCTCCTGCGCGCGCTGCTTCCGCCAATTTTGGTGCTCCTCCAACGCTTGGCGGGCCATCGCCCGCTTCCGCGCGTCCAAGGCGGCCTTGACCATTTTTTCCTCGACCATACGCTTCTTCTCCTCCTGTTTCTCCAACATGGCCTCCTTGTGGTCAGCTTGGATTTGGAGCACCACGTCTCGAATCTGTAATGAGGATCCAGCAGATTTATTGATTTTGAATTTCACTTCTATTACGCTTACGCGCCCCACCCCCAGCACCACACATAACAAATTCAACAAGGCAGGAGCTCGTTGTCAAGCGAGCAAACACACGCGTGCAAATCGTCCCTTTCCCTGCAGGAGATCATGTCGAAGCAATACGATCTATCAGCCCGACTACCATGTAGTACCTCGTCGTTTCTTTTCTTTTCCCTCTGCAACTCGCTGTTGATTCGTTTTTCTTCGAGCATTTTGAAGTGTTCCTTTCTTCTGTCCTGCTCGTCCCGCAGCTTTTGGCGCTCCTGTTCCTCCCGCTCCGCATTTGCTAGGGCGTTCGCTTTCTTGGCCTGCCGCAGCCGCAAGCGGGCGTCTAGCGCAACTTGCCGTTTTCGCAGGATCTCATCCTGTCGCTGCTTCAAGACCTGTAGTAGTGAACTGACAAACTTACTATACAGCTTGAAACTGTTGATTCAACATCATGGGCACAGGACAGAATCAACCTCGGAACAAATTTACTGCATCAATAGTCGAGAAAAGAGAGAAAGTCCAAATCGTACCATATCTCGTTCTTCTTGCACAATTGCGCGTCTCTTCGCAAGCATTCGATACTGCTCCTCTTGGAGCTCCTTGGCCTTCCTGGCACGGGCGGCTTCGCGTTCCCGCTCTTTTTGCCTCGCCGCGCGCCAGTCTGCACGTTCTGCTTTCTTATCCGCCTTCTTTTTCAGAGCCCTGAAAGTAAAGTAGATGTAGATAACGAGAGATTTATGTCATCTATGTAGATGAAAGCGTGAGATGGAAAGCCAAAAATGCGAAAGCGTGTAGTTGAGGTAAATTCTCGACACATAGTCGACACTGTTTTCTCACGAGCATTCGCCGGAGACGCATGGTGAAATTGAGAATGAACTACATCGAACATTTGAGAAAACGAAAAGCCTGATTTGGTGATTTGTACTTTTTCACGGCCTCGTTTTCTGCCTGGTTCATCAGCTCTGCCATTTTTGCCATGGTCATCTTCTTTTCCTTTTGGTCCTCCTGGTACTGCACCGCTTTTTGCTTGATGAAATCCCTTTGCTGCTGCAGCTTCTTCATCCTCTGTTCCTGGTCCTCGTCTAATTTGTGGCAGCGCTGACCGGCCTTAATCTGCTCTAGCCTCCTCTTCGCGTGCAGAGCCGTCAGAAACTGCTTGCGCGCCTCCTCGGATTTTACCTGAGCAAAGCGTTATAATATTTTGATTTTTTTCATCTATCTTCACATAATTGAAAACGATTTCGGGTATAGCTGGCAAACACGCAGCGTGTGGATGGAAATTTGAATTTCGGCAGTGTATGTGTAGCATCAAGAAGAAAAATAAAACAGATTCGGAATCGTACACAACTATTTGTACCAGACTGATGTAAAGCGCGTGGTCGTCCATTGTGTCGAGTTCCGCGATAAGCTTTGCTCGTGTAGCTGCGTCCAGCTTACCGCCGCCCGCACCACTGTTTTATTGTTTCATCATCCCTTTATCCGCATAAGTAAGTGCTTTGACATGCCTGACACGCAGACATGTGATGCAAAAAAAAACACAACAACATTTTCGGAACGCTGCTGCTTCACCAAGAAAGTCATAGAAAAGCATGAGTGCACATAAACGTGTATGATACGCGTCATCCTTCTTCTTTTTCTTCTTTTCCTGTGGCTCCTCCTCAGGTGTGGGCTCTGGTGCTAAACACAACTTTCGACCTGTTTTTGAAAAATATGAGGCAATTGCAGTCAGTCCTATCCCTATGCAAATGAGCCGCATAGAAGTCCCAGAACACGTTGAGCATAGAATTTGAAACACTGACTTCCCTTTCACTGGGATCGTCAATGTTTAAATTTATTCGTACTCGTCGCAAAATTCGGTACCTGAGCTGGTGCTGTCCAGGGCTACGACGAAGTCTAACCTTTCTATGATCCAGTGATATCTTGCGTCGCGGTTCGTTGGGTTCATCAGCTCCGAGTTGTATCGAAACAGCTCATCCAGCTCGGTATACGTGTACGGCAGCGTGTAGGTCTGGTTTGTCTCGAGCTCGTACGCGCAGAATATCCTGAGTAAAAACGTACCCACCCCAGAGTTGAGATGGGGACTTTGCAACACAAGCCTAGGAGTTTTGTGAGTCACACATGACAAGTTGCACTCTGCAGTGTAGTGCAGGTTAGCAAGTGCAGCCGCGTCACAGATTCGTCTGCTCATCCTGTTCACAGCATCACAAATTCCAAAACACGATTGGAAATGGCTCTCGTCATGGGGATACGCATTACAAGTCTTCCTGTCTTTGCAAATCTGCATTACAACTCTGGCGTGGGTACGTTTTTGCTCAGGATACAGAAAGAAACCGTGTTTCTTTCCGGGTCATCGTAGACCGCAATAATGTAGTACTCGCCTATCAAATGTAAAAATGTCTGGGTCTGGAAGATTGGAACTTGTGATGCTAACTTTGGACTCTAGAAAAATCTGTATTGCATGACCAGCAAGAGGAGTCTAATTTGTGCCACGCGGGGAGGGCGTTTGTCATGCGGAGTTGGCATCAGAGAGCCCTCTCAAAATCTGTGATGCGCGGTCGTGCATTACGACATCCTGGGTCATGCAAAACATGCATGACAAATCTCAGAATCTTCCAGACCCAGACATTTTTACATTTGATATCGCCCTCGATCTTCTTACCCTCCTGGAACACCAGGGAACCCCCGGTCTCGATCGGACGCCGCGACATTTTTTTGTTGTCTTTTTATAGTAGAAGATTCTCCTTTCTGCTTGAAGTAGATATGTCGTGCGTGGTTGCGGAGAACGAGTGTAGTAGCGGGGTACTACTATCGTCTTCGTTCTCCGTCGTGATAAAAAACTCGTCCTTGTCCCGTAGCTATCATCAATTCGGCTTCAATACTTTTACTTCATATAGTTTTACCCCTGTTCATTTCGTTTGTTGCGGAAGTCAACAGTTGTAAGCAGGCACTGTACTGATACTGATTCCTGTACAACGGACGACAGGCAATATAACGACCCGTGAGAAATACGCGTATCAAGTTCGATGGATTCCCACCATTGACGAAAAAGTATCCACGATACGACCCTTCCCTCAAACTCAATCGTGTCTTGCGCGCCCTCTGAGGCAGCTCGTCTTCGTAAGAACTGTGAACTACACAGTTGCGCTGCCTCTGCCTTGACGTCACCCTCTCTATTCATCTCTCTCCATGGGTACGAAATATTCATTAGGACGCATGCAGCAGCTGTGCTCTCTCGTTTACCCTAATCCTCACCCCTAGCAAACTCTCTCAACGTCTCTCATTTGCTCAATAAAGCGATACGATTCTGTGCAGCAGTTTTCTAGAAGTGTAGACAAGGAAGCCGCGAGCTCTGTCGGCAGATGTAAGCCTGTACTCAGGACCCACATTCTGCTTCATCATCTTGGGCCTCTCTTAATTTCCGAGGAGAAAAATAGCTGCAAATTGATAACAGATATGTACACGTTGAGGAGATAAGTTCCGTTCTTGCTAGTAAATCATACAAGTAAAAGTTCCACTGTGCGACTTCGAGTTCGTCCTGCCGGTGATATAATTCCGACCGCCTACGAGACATTGAATTGTTGCCAAAAAGGTGAATGATAGATAGCATATTATTTCCATTGCCAGATTTTTACAAGTTGTAAGGATTAAAGCTACAGAACGGAGTGATCCAAATTTCTTGAATTAAAGATAGGCACAAGTTCGTTGTACCTAGTAGATGCGACAGTTTGGTTCTACTGTACAGAGATGTCTTCAACCAAATCTAGTCACTTGTTTCGTTTACTTCCCACATCCACTCCAGAGCCAACCTAGCCCATCAGCGCCTGCCGTTCCAGACTTCTCGGGTCACCCCCGCCGACCAGGCTTTGCATCGCTTTCAGCGTGCCCTGGTCCAGCCATTCGGCGCAGGCAGTGACAAGGGGCGGAAAAAAGCACAAGTGTATGCGGAGAAAGAGCCCGGGTGCGAGCACCTCTCGAATCTCGTCCAGGTCAAAGTCAGTCATTTCCTCGAAAGAAGAGAGCGGACCGAAGGTGTACAGAACGTGCCCGACCTGGTTTTGTGTTGTTTTTCTTTTGTGCTCAGTCGCGGTTTCACTTTCTTTCAACAACTTCAGGGAAAAAAACCTATCTTTTTTCCAACATTACATGACAACGTGATTACGCCACCGTGAGAAAAGGAAAGATCCTCTCGAGTACCTCGTCCAGCACTTCTATCAGGTCCGCACACCTTGGGTGTTCCACCATGGTTCCCGCCCCGTCGTCCACTTCGGTGTTGTGGTCGAAATCCGTGTTTGCGGCCTTGTATGCATTGCAAGAATATCGCACCATTACTATGTTACACTCTAAATCTAATGGTATATTTTTGCATAATAGATAATTTTTTTCAACCTGAAAAATCAAAGAAATGTGCCATGCAGGTTTTTTTAGGTACGCGTAAGTAGAAGAGGAACGGATACGGAAGGCAGTACCAGTAGCTCCGTATAATTATGCATGATTAAAGTTTTTTTAAAAGTACAACGAGCACGATATCGTTTTGCAGTGAATACCTCGGTGAAGCTGGGGAACTCGTTCTCCACCTGTGAGCCAGACTGGTGCTGTGGCTGCTCCCTGGACGGCATTTCGCCCGCCGGCGGTCGCCCGTTGACCTCACCGAACCCGGAGGGGAAGTAATTTTCCATCGTCGGCTGCTCCTCGGGGTTGATTTGTTCCTGTGTTGGCTGTTCCTCGTTATGATTTTCCTCGTTCGTGGTGGAGTTTGTGGTCCCGAACGTGGACAGGGTTTTCTGGAACTCCTGCTGCGTTTTCGTATTGGTGGAGTTCGAGGAGAACGTATTCGTCAAGTTCGTGTTTTCGTTGTCCGTACTTCTGCGATTCACGTTGACGTTCGTGTTCCTCCAGCCGCCGGGTTTGTCGTTGTTCGTACTGTTGTTGGTCCCGGTTGCGTAAAAACCGTTTCCGCCCGCGGTCATGTTCGCATTCGAAGGGTCGGTCTCCAGCGTGATCAACGTGTTATCCGTCCGTCGGAAAAACGAACCGGACTCGTTCGCACTACCCCCCATCATGGTGGTCGTTGTATTTGCGTATGAGCTGCTCATGCTGTGCTCTCGCATCGACTGCTGGTGCTTACTGTTGCGCCGCCGTTGCAGCGCCTGCTCCTTCTCGGAAAGCTCGACGATGATTGCGATAAAATCCATCCAGGCGGAACAACGGCAGATCTGCGAGGTTTAGTAAATGCTAATGCTCCTCATACTAAGCAGATGGATTTATCTTGAACTTCAATGCCGAAAGCAACAATAAAGGTACACTTGCCTACATTTTGCATTGCAAACACATGACAAAAGTATCGTACATTTCTGTAGGTTTCAACGTCAGAAATGGCTAGTTGCAGGAACTCGTTGTGGGCCTCGTAGAGCTCAAGCTCATCGACGACCGGTTTGACCGCGGTCTCCTCGATGGCGTTGCGCTCCAACTTCCACATCTCACGCAAACCGACGAGAAGCACATCGCCCACCTGTTTTTTCAAGCTGAGCAGATCTCCTAGTTCTTGCCACTTAGATGCAACCAGGGGTAGGGAAAGATAAAGAAAGCGTCTACACAAACACATTCAAGTACAACTGCAACATTCATTTAGATATAAAGACGCTCGTGCGCTTGTCTATCATTTTGATTTTCATCACCTGACTATTAAAGTGAATAAAATCCAAGATGATCATCTGTCAGACTCAGACCTTGAGTGGGTATGGCTTTCCCTTCTCCCTAAGCTTTGCCCCGTTCACACTGACGGGAGCTTTCGCAGATTCCGCAACGACTACACTGAGCTTGTAGCCCGCGATGGCATTACCGATTGTCGTGATGGAGCAGTGGATCTTCGAGACGTCCTGTGCTTCCAGTAACAAGTCCGTGGGCCGGAGCTTCTTCCTCGAACGGCCCAGGAAGGTAGTAGTGCGAATGCGATGCGTCCTGTGAGTTTGGTTTTCCCAACAGCAAAATGGATATGTATTGTAAGTAAGTAAATACAACATCCACACCGACACCGCTGTTCGCAGTTCGTTGTGCAGGATAGTGATAGAAAAAAAGCATCGACTTCGACATCGACTCTAATGAATTGGAATTATGGAGCAAATCAATGAGTTGTGTGAAGCTACCTGCTTGGGTCTCCCATGCAGCGCAATCTATATGGCACTTCATCCTGTGCCAAGATATTCATGTTCATGCCAGGCTGGACCGACACCGGGTTTTTCGGGGCTACTGGGTGACTCGCGAAGTTTACTGCCCCGACGGGGCTCCTTTCCGAGGCGCTGCTCCCCCGTGCGTTTTCGCTACGGCTCTCCGACTCCGCGGGACCGTCCACTGGACTGGTGCCTTCGTCCGAGGATGTCACCCTCGGTGGGCTCAAATTATTCCCTGGTGCCGGCGTAGCGACACTGGAGACCGGGCTTGCCGCAGGTGGTCCCCCATTCCCGTTTTTCGGCGGCCCCGCGATGCCGTTCGTCGGCGGCTGGGCGTAATGCGCAGATTCCATAAGGCCCGCATCGTTATACTTCACGGTATTCGACCCACTGGAGGTGTAGGTTGACATCAAGCCATCGGGCTTGCCTTTACTTGTCTTGTTTGTCCCCAACGGCCGTTTCCGGGTGCCGAAGGTAATGTCGGTGCCTGCATTTTGATTTTGTGGCTTGTTCTTTTTCCGAACAAATTATAGTCCGGAATAGATCAGCATCAGGGAAACGATGACTCTTTTCATACACATGACTCTGAAATTATACTTAATTGACAGCACCATCGAAAAATATGATCCTTGTGGCACTTACCAGTCGGCCCGGTCTCCCGCAGTTTCCTGTGTGGAATGGTCGGCAGTGGCGACGTGTCCACATTTCGGAGCCACTCTTTATTGCCGGGACCGGACTTATTCTTTCGCGTAGCCATTTTCGTGTGTTACTTCTTTAATTATTCGCCTTTGGTGGTCCACACTAAATTATCTTTACTGGTCTAGGTTTATGAAAAGCTCGATCTTCCTTTATGCTCTTCGACGGGAAAGGCAAAGGAAAAGCTCGCGCTCCCGCTGCGCTCTCTCTGCGAAAGACAAAAAATATTGGAGCCATGGACTTGGAAAACTTCAAGAAGAATGCAACAGACGAAGGCAGAGTAGAACTACTATCAATTCGCTCAACGAACGTAATAATATGCGAATCTTCTTCACTCCTCAGTTTCCTCTCTTCTCAAGCGAATTCCTTCCGTCACCTCATTTTCACCCCGTCTCTCTCTCTCTCTCTCTCTTCACGTTCGACAGACACTACTTCTTGCTTCTTCAACAAACGAACAACAATCCAAAATCTTTTCCCTGGGTACAGGCGTACCTGGCTCCAAAGTTTGGCCTTCGCGTTGATGTCGTGTTTAATCTTCTTTTTGTTTTTGTCGTTCATTATCGACTCGCGCTACGTCGGCGGTGATTCACATGCTGTCGCTGACTGTGAAGATCTTCGGTGCTAGATTAAGTACCTTCATGTAGTCGTAATATCAGGATGATCCTATGGGGTTACATTCTTTGTCTTTCACATATAATCTATGACTTCCTGTAATGTCTGAAATCAATAGAAAAAAAGGGTCCCAACTTCAAAAATTAGGTCGTGCTGGTGGTATCTTCTTCGCTCGAAGGATAAAGCTATACCGTCGCTCTGTATAGTCGTTGTGGCTAGCGGCGCAAAGCGATCGCCTGATCGTGTTTGCGCCTAGAAGGGTAATAAATTTTTCGTGGAGGCAACTAATCGGTAAAGTTTACTTCTCGTCCCGGTTTCATCACGAGTCAAAATTCCATCACTTCTACATGGTACATTTTCCTGGACATTTGTCGAATTTAACTTGATTTTGACCCTAACATCGTCGTAGGTTAGAGCATCTATCGCAAAATTCTCGTCCGCAACAATTTGAAGCATTTTCATACCAAATCAGAGTAGCCGCGCGCCCGCGGATTTACTCATCAGATTTTTCCTTCCACACTATAATTCATTTGACAATAGAAGGAGATGCATACTTCTCCGGCTTCGGGGGTACATAGGAGGAAAGATTTACTGGAATGCTTGTGCCGCAATCAAATCGTTTATTAGGACATATTGACTCCTCTACAGAGAAAAAACATTTCACACGGGTTCGCGCTGATGGTTTCGGCATCAACCTTTTTTAGCCGGTTTGTTGCCCTTCAAGTAGCAAATACAGCCAGTATGATGTTGTCGTGTTAGAACCAGGCTGGAGACAGAAATCTATGGTGTTCCAAAGATATGCGATACATGAAAAAGAAACGGATCCACCTAATCTTCCACGCAATTTGCCGGTAAAGTATTACTGGCATAGGATCACAATCTATTCTTTCACGCAGCGAAATACTGAAGAAAACCTTTAATTTCGCAGTAGCATAAAAGGTAATGTAAACCCCTTCCGTAAATCTAAGTTTTCAAGATCTGTCGCAGCACTTGGTTCCTGTTGCTTTTCTGTGCGATGCTAACAAGAGTCTGGCACTATGCTGTTTCGATACGTGTCTAGTCCTATCATGCTCCTCAAAATTGTACATTCTTTTCATCTTCTTCCGTATTTTGGAAGTCAAGCAGGCGGCAGGCGTCTTGATGGCACAGCAAATCTTTCGCAGTTTCCTTCGTATGTCACATCTTCGTGCAAGTTATTGCAGTAGCAAACGAAGAAATGCTATCAAAAAAATTTCGTGCCTACCGCTGTCTGCCCTGACTGTCTTGCGGAATAGGGACGGCTTGATGAAAGTGTCGTCTACTGCCCTTTCGCTGGGATTCTTTTTCTTACTTGTACCAGACAAGGCTCTTGTACTCTATCGGAGAAACGAGTCACATAAGAATTATTTATTTTCTCCCGTGAAGAAATTCATAAAATCTTTCCCCCCGACATGTCGCAATGTCGCTTCTGTGAGATTTCGCTTTGGATTAATTTCATCTTGTCATATTTAGGATTTGGATTTGATCAAGTTTTTGACTTCGTTTTCTTTTTTGTTCTTTTGCTATACTGATAACCTGTAAAGTATTCGAATGAATCATACTATCTAACTGTAAGTTCGCTGTATCTAAAAACAAACTTTCGCTGTGTCGCGGCAGCGTAGAAGCATCGCTGACTGTTCGTATCTGCAAGAGGCTTCGCTTTTTACTTTTTGTTTCGCTCGCGGACCCAATTTGGCAACATCTTTGCGGTGGCCTCGGGTGGCAATTCCTGCATGATCTGGGATTCCTCTTTGCTGAAATCAAACAGCTCCGGCATCTGTTGATTTAATTTTGCCCTATCTTTTTCACATATCATTGATTTAGATTTTGGACAAGTAGAAATATGCCTATATATATATTCTAATTGCATGCAAACAAAAAAGATTCAAATGATGACGAGACCGCTGCACACACGGTCGAGATCGGTGCTTCTTCTTGATCAGGATTTTGCACGTCATGACGACGAAAAAAAGATTTAAGTACCGGCTTGCTGCTGCTCAATTTGGTATTCTGGTCGCGCAATTCCTCGAAGAATTCGTGTAATATCGCCTCCAAGCCGTGGGGCCGGACCTTGGGGTCGTACTGCAGAAGCTTGGAGACAAAGTCGATAGCGTCGGGACTCGTGCGCTGCCGGAACACCTACGTCGTTGTGATAGAAAATCAACAGCGTCGATGGGAGAAAAAAGTAACACCTGGAGGTCGCGCATGCCACCATCAAAAGCTTCTAGATCTGCAAATAACTTCGAGAATGAAAACAGTCCGTCATGACGAAAAAACGAAGTCCAAAAAAGGGATCGGTAAGTACCTTGCTCCATGGGTGTGGTTTGATGCTGGGGAACTTGAACTCGGTGTAGTTGGGGTTCATGGCCATCAGTTGCTCGCGCGTGGGGGTACCAAGCACCTTGATGATTTCTACGAGCTGGTCCACTCCGGATTCGCCGGGGAACAGGGGCTGCCCCAGAATCATCTCCGCGGTCACGCACGCGGCGCTCCATATGTCGATCGCGGTGGTGTAGTCAGTAGCACCGAAAATCAACTCTGGCGCACGGTAGTACCGCGAGCAAATGTAGCTGTGAAAGGATTGCAAATTCTACTCGATTCTGATACTCAAGTAGGCACCAGTCTACTCTATTTATTAGGAAGGTCCTTCGCAGAACTGTCAATCTATGAAGCTGTCGCTAGCATAACTCCAACGAAATTTGTTGTTCTTGATGTGTAATTTATGCGGAGTTCAGAAATTTTTGTACGCAACGTTTGGCTCGCCCTTCACTAGCCGCTTCGCACTTCCGAAATCGCAAAGCTTGAGGCAGTGCGTTCTTCCATCCACGAGGAGATTCTGTGGTTTGATGTCTCGATGGCAGATACCGACTGCGTGTATGTAGGCGCACGACCTGCACATCTGGTATGTGTACCTGTTGTTTTCGCGAAGAGCGATTTGCAATTGCTCACTTCTAGTTGTGCTACGGACAACATCGTGCAAAAACAATAGCGATGTTGCGGTTTGTTATGACTAACAGAAAAGGTACAGCAAAAACAGAACCATCATCGTCGTATTCTATACAGTTTGACGAAGATTATCGGCATCGGCTGCTTCATCTTATTGTAGTGCTTCATTACTCGGTACACGGTATCCGAGCAATACTCCATTACTACGTTCAAGTATGTCTCGCCGGGTTTGTCGCCTGTGGTTGTGTTGTTCCAAAGATATTGAAATCAGTCATAGATATCTCGTTTCTTCGCACGACATACAATGAACGAAAAAATGCTGCAACCTGCCATAGTACTTCAAAAAAAGCATACCTGAAGTGTAAAAGGCGTGTTTCAGCTCTACTATATTTGGGTGCTTCAGCTCCTTCATTATCTGCAGCTCTCGGTTTTTGTACCTGTTGTGATATTGATTGATCGTCATGGACGCAGGGAGCCGAAACCGGATGCGGACAGCTCTCTGTTTTGTGCAAACAAGGTCTGTATCTTTATTATCATTAGTCATATCATATCGCTTTTAGCTTTGCCTTGAAACCATCTCTTCACCTCTTGTCCTGGAAAACTTTCTTGATGGCGACCGTTTCGTTTGTTTCCACCACTTGTGCCTGGTAAACGATACCGAAACTCCCGCTCCCCAGTACCCTCTCGGCGTTATACCTTTTTTGAGTGGGTTTTGAAGGAGTTTTTAGTTGCGTAAACAAAAGTTGATCACGACTGCAAAGGCAACGTTGTACAAGAACCGAATTCAACAAAAAGGACCTGGTGCCAAAAAAAGCGTCGAATGGTAAAAAAACTATGCGATACGTAAAGCTCGCCTTCGTTCCTGCGGGCTGCGACGAGCTACCGCTAGTTGCTTTTGCCGTTGTCTCATCCAGGGCAAGATTTCTTATGCCCTTTTCCACCCCGACTGTCGACATGGTGCGAGCAGTGCCAGTGTCGTCGATCCCCTCTTCTCTGTCTGCTTGTTTTCAGGCGCAAGAGATACTGGGGATAACTCCTCGAAAGTTGCTACCAATAATTCCAGCGAGCTGATGTTCGGTTAGCAGCTGCTTAGGTATCTTGCTGGCGTTTTGAATGGTTAACTTCGAACGCAGCTCGTCTCTGCCGGGAGCCAAAGGAACCTTGGTGCCGGTCTCACGAGTTTTGGGTGTCCTTTTTGTTTTTTCCGGCCGATGCGTTGAGCATGATTGGCTTCGATTCTTCTCCTTCTACTACTTGCGGTTTTAAAAATGCGCTTCGGTAGCTCCGTACGAAGCTGAAGAACTAGGCTCTATATCGATTGCTACAGTGTGTTAGTTTCAGGTGGATGCGGATGGAGAAAAGTACCTTGGCCTTTTCTTTCTATCAGCAGTACCCTCCGTGGAATCTTTTAAGACTAAGCAAATCTAGTACTAGAGTAACTACGTTCTTCATCAAGAACCATCTATTCCGATGTTTCTTGCATCTATTTCACCAGGCAGTACTAGTACCGATTTTTTCTTGAAAAAACACTTTCAGAAAAAAACTTTTGCGCGAAAACCCGAAGCTGGAGCACCTACAATCTTGATTCAACACTAAGCTAGGCTGTACATGTCCGGCCTCAACCACCGCAAGCGGTAACAGAGCTCCTTCTCCTCTTTTTTGTAGTTTGCTTCTGCTACTTAATTATAGAAAAAAACTCTCAGTGGAAAAAACTCTCCTTTCCGGGTCGGAAGTCATGTGCGTTTTGTATGTTACTGAAATAGGAAAGAAACTATTGAGGAAGAAAGCCAGGAGCAGGGTGGGAGCTCCGTGGCCGTCGTTGCTCTTCGGCTAAGATGAAGATAATCTTAATCAGCTGATGCTCCTATCTAATAGGCAAAAATACTACTGGTTCTATGTATACGATACTTATGGGTTGTGTGTGTCTACATCTTGTTCTGCTTCCGAGCATAGCTCGAGGTACTCTCCTACATGTTATTATTAAAAATTGCGTCAGATGACGGAGTCAAAACTTTTTATCAAAAAGTCAGATTTAATGTTTCTGTTCGACATTACGAGAAGGATGCTGATGTACTAGCTCTCACAGTAGCGACGAACCATGAGCATGAAACTCAACTTCACCCTCTCTTTTTACACACAAAATGTCGCTTCGGGAAGCCTCTTCATAAACCTACTAGCTCTAGGTGTATTTTGTTTACACAGCTCGCGCATACGATTTCATCACTACAAAACGGTTCGTGTGTATGCCTCCTTTCCTAAAAAAATCTTTGGAAAAATGAACCTTAAGGGCGAATCTTGGAGGTACGAGAATATATTTGCTCTTTTTTCGAAACCTATTAATTTGACGAGTGACTGACACTGAATGAAAAAACAAAAAAATCTCGACAACACTATCTGTGTAAACTTGGACTGGCTACAAAAACCACTAATTTACTGGTAAGTTCATACAGCAGAAATCTTCCCCGTGTCGCCTCTTCGTCCTCCTGAAAAATAAAAAAAATAATTCGATAGCTTAACAAGTCGTATCATCTTGTCGTGCTGTAGTTGTACTACTTGTATTTACTAACTTACATGCACGCTGGACCTCCTTATTCTACGAACCTTTTACTGAGATCTTCACTTTCGTGCAGGCATATGGGTCAGCTGTACCTCCTGCATACAAGTAGTAAATGAGGAAGGAGCTTTTACCGCGGAACATCTTCTCGAATTTGATCTTCATCGTACAAATTCGCATTCTATTTGAGTAATTGTGAAATTGAAAGTGTCGCCATCGAAAGACTACTGTTTCATTGCACAAGAAATATCACATCATTTCATTTCTGGAGGAATGCAGGACATTCATCACGCTATGATGCCGTAAGTAGATATCAGTGTGAGAACCAATTTTGATTTTCGTTTTGCAGGCTGCAGTAGACAACGACATATTTCCATGCGTACTTACATTGATCTGGAGCTACGCAAAATTTGACTGTAAAAAATGCTTTCTCTTTTATTACACGGAAAGGGATAAAAACGAAGCGCCAGTGACTCCATCGTCTACGTGTGCCTCTAGATCCAGACCTCCTGACCACTATTTCGCAATGCCGTAGAAAAAACAGACGGAACCGTCGCGCCATCACCGCTGCCGGCGACCGGGTCGGCTTTATTGTTCGGCTCCCCCTCCAGTTCCAGTTGAAATTGCAAACAGGCTAATTCTTCGCCGTTGTTGATCTTCGGTTTGAGCCACACCGTTCCTTTCGAAGCCAAGCTCGCGATACCCTCGTTCACTGTCGCGGACAGAGCTAGATCGTATGTCTTGGGCGCAGTAGAGTTTTGGTTTTCATCAACTTCCGGGTTTTTCTTCCTCGCGAATCTACTTGAAGAGGACCACTTTGTTGACGGAAACGCACCGCTGTGGTTCACCATTTCTTTCTTCTCACCGCAATTCCCCAGACCGTCCAGGTGAAAGTTGCCCAAGTTCATGGGAAACTCGAAATCTTGGTCCGTACAAAGATCGAAGTCGTGCTTGAAACTCACGAACCAGCCTTCCTTCCCAGATACTTCCAAAATGCTTCCTGCTCCGGCCGGAACCTAAGGAGAGAGAACAATAAATAAGGCGAAACTAAATGGACGCTGATCAATACTTAATATTGCAGAGTTTCACTCTTGTCGCCGCAATCAATGTACAGGTGTAAATTTCACCGAACAAGCAGGACCAAAAACAAAGGACTAGTTCTTCATGTTCTAATTCCAAAAAGCTACAGGTGCAGGATTAGGCACGATAGAAAATTGTACAGGCACGCCCGACTGAAACTCGATTCCAATCTTCATCTCTTGTCCCAAGACCAGGGGCTGCGGCGAAATATCCACTTTGGTGATTTTACCCGCGTCGCCGACGCCTCTGGAGTTCATCCGCGCAGCGGCCTTATTTTCCTTTAGCTTTTTCATTCTTTTCCCAAAGGGAAGTACCCCGAATCTTTTGTCGCTGACCGCCCCGCAGTCGCTCCATGAAACTTTCAGGTTACGCGCTGACACGAGGCTGGACGAAATAGTGCTGCCCAAAACCGCAGCCGCAAGGTGGAGGAACGACGAACGCAACCGAGCGAAACTGGGAGGGACGAGAGCCAGCATTAGCATTTTCTAAGAAAATACCAGAAGCAAATGCAGATGGTAGAAAGATCGACCTTGAAACAGAAACGGAACTACTCCGGAGTAGGAGGACGAGATCACAACTCAACAAACACGATGTTTCGAAATGGTCTTGGAAAATTTTGCTACTTACGACTGTGGGTATGGTAGTGGTTGGAAAGTAGGAGCGCATACCGAGTACATCGTGACGAGACAGAAGCAATAAAAGAGCACCCGTGACCGTAACCATATCGAACACGAAGACCACCGAGTGGAATAAAAAGAAATACACGTCTGTCGACGTCAGGAGGTGTTACTGAGCAATTTTTGACTTCGTTGGAAAGATCAAGATTGAGTAATTTGTTATTGTTTCTGTTCCGAATCAAAGGATCATGTAAACGAATAAAAAAAACTGTGCGTTACAATGAAAGTGGTAAAGTGCCGTTCCTTTTCTCTCCACTGACAGATTGTTCGACGCGATTTTCTTGCGTTCTGTGAAAGCTACAAACAGCGATAAAGGAGCCGTAGTAAATTCACAACCTTAAAACTAAGCTACAACGAATCAGTGCTTCCACGGAATTTCGCCTCCGCGCGGTCCCTCCTTCCGCTGGCATCGTCCTTTTCCTGCTGTTTGGCGAATTTGAGAAAGACTTGCTCCAGCGTTGGTTCACCGAAGGAGTAGTCTTCAATAATATTCAATGGATCCTCCGCACACCACCGAAACACTCCCGCCAGGTTCACTTGCCGCAACAGCCTCTTCTTGTCCTTCTGCATAAATTTCGCGGCCAGCGATCCTCTTCTCGCACCCTGCACTTGAGTGGTGACCTCTTTAAACTCGTTGTCTTCCTCGGAAAGGAGCAACGCCTCCGCTAAGCCGTATTTCTCGAACTCTTGTGCCGTTAGATCCTTGATAGTCCCGTCATCTCCAGTCGCCTCCGCATCATCTCGACCTCCATCGATGTCGATACTGACGGCATTTTCCGCATCTGGAGGATCAGCTTCGCCTTCCGGTGCAGTAGCTGGAACTCTTTCTTGTTGATTTCCTTTGAGCCTTGCCTTGTAATTCAGGGTAAATGATGGCGCTACTGGTTGACCCTGTTTTGCTTGTTTATTTCCTGGCACTCTCAATGCGTTTTTTGGAGACGTTGTTTTGCTCGTTTGTTTCTTCAGAGACCTTTTCTGGATCCTCGGCGGGTTAAGCGAGAGAATCAGTCGCACTCGGTGATGCGAAAACAGCATTTTTTCCAGCACCTGGATGTCCTCGCGAATCAATCCAATCTCGCTTACCGGCGTCTGTTCCTGCGATGTTGAACTTCCGCTCGATGTTGTACTTCTGCTCCTGCGATGTTGTACTTGTTTCTTCGTCTGCTCGACAGTCTTGCCGCGTTCGATTTCTCCTCCCCCATCTCGTCTACTTTTCCACGACAGCAAAGAATCGATCACAAACGTTTCCACCTCCTCAACATTGGAAGTCAGCTGCTCAATCATCTCCGTTGACATCTTTGTGACGTTGCTACCACTATGATGGTAACCGGCACGTGTAGAAGTTCCCGGGCTACCAACCGCGCCTGGTTTATTTGCGTGGACCGCGATGTGGCTCGTCGTACCTGAGAGACCGTTCGGCGGAACATCAACAGGAGAAACACTGTGCGTGGTTGATGGTGGCCTTTCTTCTTCCGCCGCGTGAGGTAGAGCCTGCTCTTCAATCATATCACGACTTCCCAGCGGGTTGTGATGTTGTTCAGTTCCTTGTTCCGGTTCTAGTGCATCTGTCTCTCCTTCGGGAACCACCACCCGCGCTGCGACGTTTGTTGCGTTCTCCTGCGAAGCCGGTACTCTTTCCTCTGATCCACCCACTGCAGGTCTCGACAACTCCGACACGCCGTTGCTTTTTACAACTTCGACCACAGCGTCGCTCCTCGGTGAGTTCTTTTGTGCCTTGTTTCCTGCTGCCGGGAGAACTGATTCTCCAATACCGCTTATGCGCGATCCGCCGCCCGCTTCCATCGCCAACTCTTGCTGCATCCTTAGCAACCGGTGCTTGCTCAGGTTCAGAATCAATTCCAAATGAAATCCGTTCCCGTACTTGCTTTTGATTTTGTAGCTGGGCCCCAGACACTTGAGCTGCCCCGACACCAAAATGCCAATGCGGTCCGAGACCGCGTCGGCCTCGGCCATGGAGTGCGTGGTGGTGACCACCGTCTGCCCACGGGGCCGGTTGATCAGCTTGTTCCACAACGCCTTCTGAGCCACCACGTCCACGCCCGCAGACATCTCGTCGAGGAACACCAGTGCGGGATCGGTGACCAGACTGACGGCGAGGGAGAGACGTCTCTTCATGCCGCCCGAGTAGGTTTCCACCGCCCGGTCGGCGTCCTTGTCGGAAAGTTGCACCTCGCGCAGAAACCGCGAGACCCGCTCCTCGCCGTCATCGCGCGGAATGCCGAGCAGCTCGTCCGGAGACAGCCTCTGACCCGGTCCTGGCGGTAACGGGTAGTACGTGCCGGAACACTTCGCGTACAGACGCACATGCTGCCGGCCGGTAAGGTGAGGCCACAACTTGTCAAACTGCGGGACCACCCCGATCACGTCCTCCCGCCGCTGAAACCCCGTCGTTAACATATCCAGCTCATAGCTGGTCCGCCTTTTGCTTCGCTTGGGGGACGACATGATCGACCGCGCATTCTCCTGATCCGTCGTGCCAAAGCTAGACATGATTTTGCCAAAAAGAGAAACCTCTCCGATGTCCAAGGTTTCGTAGCCCGACAAAAGGTTGAACAAAGTTGTCTTCCCTGCGCCGTTCGGGCCCAGCAGTGCAAAGCACTCCGTCTTCTCCACCCCCAGAGTGACGCCCCGGGTAGCCCACCGGAGGCTGGTGGTTTCCTCCTGTGTCGGACTGATGTCGAGTGCTGGAGGCGGTGCACTATGATCTTCTTTGGACGGCGAGGGAGGAAGATTCTTGGTTCCCTTCTCTTCAGCTGTAATTATTTCACCAGGAGGAACGTGCCTGCCGGCGTCTGCGTCGGCAGGAGTTCTTGTAGCCGGCTTTGCTAAAGAACCTCCTCCCTCGGCGGACGAGAATTGCTTCTTCAGACCGTCGCGAACGAGCCGCGCCTGGGTACTCGCTGCTGTTGACAACACTTTGAAGTGCTTCCAGACGTCTATCGCGAGCACAGCGGGCTCGTGCTCCCGGTTTTTCAGCCGCTTTTCCTCGGCGACGATGTCCTCGTCCCTTTCTTCGTCCGCAGCGATCGGTGGAACGACGGTCATAGCGGCAATCGCCTCCGGGCTGGGTAGGTTAACCGTGCCCGGTCCTCCGGCGGCTACACCGCCTAGAGAGCCCTGCGAGCCCGCGCTGTTCGTGGAGTTTTGCGACCAGCGCGACAGCATCGGGTTCAGCGAGGGCGGTTTGGAGGGCAGGTTGTGCTCCTGTAGAGCCGGCTCCGCCCCTTCGTCGCGGAGGGCGCCTTCCAACTTTGCCTTGCTCTCGTGCCGCACTTCTCCGCGTCCCGCGAGGTAAGGCTGGATCAGCCCCTCCCAGAGAAGCCAAACGGAAAGGTAGAACAAAAAGCTGTAGAGCGGAGCCAGCACCTCATACCACGCAACCGTCTCCCAGTACTCGGCCTGACAATGATTCGGCTCAAGCTTCGCCAGGCTCCGCTGCAGGTCGTCGCCATCAGGCATGTCTTCCGGGACGTGCCCAAACAGAAAGAAGTTGGCACCGTAGTACTTGCTCTTTACCACCGTCCGCCCGTTCTCTTCTGCGACCGCACTGTCGAAATGACGCCGAGCCTCCGACGGAGGTGCGAGTTTGTTGAAACTTCCAGAGTTGGTTCTTTGAACCAGCCGTGACCTGAGCAAGGCCCCAGTGTTGATGTGGCCGACAAAATGCACGTCCAACTTCCACAATGCCCACATTTTGTAGAGCCCCTGGAGGCTCGCCGCCTGGGCGATCGGTGGGAACAGGATGTAGATCGGCAGCCAGACCTTCATCCAGCCGTTGGGGAACCCGAATTGCAGGATCTCCCCCACACTCTCCACCCCGGCACTGGCCATCGCGAACTCGAGGATCAGGCAGCTGGGCGCGGTCTGCTCCACGTCGTAGTAGCCGGTGCTGAGGATTTTCCCCAAAATCATCGGCAGAAACGCGACCGCAAAACTGCACACGAAAAACACCGTCCACAGGTTTCTCGTCGTGAACGAGCTGCCGCACACGAACATGGGACAAATAATGGAGTTCAAGGCGGGGAAGACGAGCTGCATGCAGACAAAGACGCCCCGCATCGCGCTCGAGCACGAAAACACGTCGCCCATGGAATGCAGCGTGATCAGCGCAAACGCAAGCCAGAACGGGGTCGCAAAGAAAATGAACCACGACGCGAAAGTGCCCGCGTGGTAGGCAACGCGGCGGACACCGTGCATGGACAAGTGGCGCCACAGTTGCAGGTCGCAGTCGCTCTCCAGCAGGTAGTCTCTCCGGACGAGGGTTCCGCCGAACAGAAAGAAGGCAAAGGGCATCACCAGCGAGGCGAGACCCAAGCACATGAGCACCGCGGCCCAATGGAGATTCAGTTGGTCTTCGGCGGAGGAGGAGGTCGTCGTGCTTTCATCGTTCTCGGCGGCCGCGAGCTGGGAGTCGACCTGGTATTTCATCAGAAGGCAGTAGCCGAAGTACGCCGCCAGAAAAAAGGCGGCAACTGCCCAGTGTCCCAGAGTGGTTCGATTAAAAACGGAACCGAAAAGCCGAAACTCCACGATGGCCAAGAACTGCGACTTGAATCCGAGCTGCCGCCTCCTGAGCGGCGCACGAGACAGGGCCAGGTCCCGCGCGCCGACCGACCGCAACGCGGCTAGCTGTGCGAAGTCGTACAGCTCCCGGTCTGCCACCTCGCCCGCCGTGTGAAACACTTCCTCCAGCGTGGTCTGTGCGATGGTGAAGTCCACCCTCACGGGGTCGGCGAGTTCACCGTGCAATCCGGACAACAAACTGGTGGGGATCACTGTCCATCCCCGTTCGAGCATCTCCCCCCGGCGCTTCTGCAGGGCCTCCAGCACGGCCGCCATTTGCGGGATCTTTTCCCAAGGGATGAGAAAGGCCAAGAAGTGCCGGCTGTTGCGAGGATTTTTCGTCACGATCTTGCCAATCATAGTCCGCGACCCGTCGTCCAACTCAGCCAGCGGAAGTGGCTCTTTGTTTTTCTTCCGTTTTTTCTTTTCGCTTCTCTCGCTGTCCGTGTCCATGGAATCTGCGCCTCGGTCCAGAAGTGCTGCAGTGCCCATCGAAGGAGGACTCCTGGCGGCAGTTGATGTCACTGGCCTAGAGGAAAATGTGATGCCTTTCGGGTACAGAACACGTTCGATGATGGGCGCGAGGGATCTTAGTGCGTTCCTTACCAGGTCTGGGTTCGCGTCCTCCCGCTTTTCGATCATCGCGTGAATCCAGAACCCGCTGCCGAGTTGCCGCTTCAGCTGCTGCGACGTGCCAATCGCACGGATCTTGCCGTGCGCCAAGATGCACTTCCGCTCCGCAAGCAGGTCCGCCTCCTCGAGGTAGTGTGTGGTGAAGATGACGGACCGCTTCTCCTCCTTCACGATCTTCTTGAGCAAAATCCAAAAATCTCGGCGCGCCTGCGGATCCATGCCCGTCGTGGGCTCGTCCATCAGCACCACCGGCGCGGACCCGAGCAGACAGCACAGCACCCACAGCCGCCGCTTCTGCCCGCCGGACAGGTACTTGCAGTGCGTGTCAAAGTGCTGGCTCAACCCTAAAAGCGACGCGTACTTGCGGACCGAGGCCTCCACGTCGTCCACGTTGCGCAACCGGGCAAAGAACCGCACGTGCTGGTCCACGGTGAAATTGTCCCACAAGGGATTCCCCTGCGGACAGAGTGTGATCAAATTGTTCTTGCGGATCTCTGCCGCGCTGTTGGTTCGTCCCATGATCACGATCTTTCCGAACGTCACCGGGACCTTGCCACTGATCATGTTCAGCAAAGTGGTTTTTCCCGCCCCGTTGTGCCCCAGCAGCCCGAAAATCTCGCCGCGCTTGATCTCGAAACTCACGTCGTTGTTCACGACCTTCTCGCCTTGCAAAAACGTCTTCGTAACCTTCTTCACCTGCAGAACGATCGGCACTTTGTGTCCGCGCGCCGGGACGGACGGCGCAACATGCTTCCCCTTCTTCGCCCCCGCGGGCTGCAAATTGGCTTGTTCTTCAGGACGATCAGGCGGCTCGAAAGCAGGTTCTTTGCTTCCCCGTTGTTGTAGGCTTTGCCTTTTCAACAACGACAATCTCGCAGAAGCTCTGTCTGCTCCGCTCGGCCCGGCGACCGACTGGCGATACTTTGCTCGCACTGAATCCCAATCCGAGTCCGAAGAATCGGAACTCGCAAGCACCATTTTTACCTTGGGCGGCGCGTCCGTCGCGAGTCCCGCTTCGCGAAAGGTCTCCTCGACCGTAAGCACGTCCCCGGAAGTGGCCTGCTTCTGGTACCTTTCGATCCGGTACACCACCAGAATCCAGAAGCCCACGTTGAGAAAGACCGCGAGCAGGTCCAGCAGGATGATCAGATCGTAGTCCGCAAACGGAAGCGTGCGGCTCAGCTCCGCGGCGCCCGCCTGGTTGGCGTACTGCTCGATCTTGTCGCCGTCCTCGTAGGACCACGCGAGACGGGACAGCCCGGTCAGATCCAGCGCGGGCTGGCTGCGGACGGTGTCCGGTGGCGGGGAGGGAAAGTTGTCGCGCGCGCAGTAGTACAAACTGTGGCCGCGGAGGCCCTGGTTCCAGGCCGGCGCCAAGGGTTCCAGCGAGTACCAACCCATCTCGCTGCCCCGATGCCGCATCAGCTGCAGCACGCCCTTCATTTGCCAGCCCCGCATGTTCAGCCGCATGTAGGCGTAGCCGGGAACGGCAACGCCGAAGATCGTCGACAGCACCACGTTCCACGCGCCCGCGCTGACGTCGGGACACATGGATGCCAAGGGGACCTCCTCCGTGGCCGCGAGCCCGTGGGTGGTCAGCGCGCCCCGGATCGCAGTCGCCCAGAAGGAAATGCGCGTCGGCAGGAGGACCTCCCAGAGAATGTAGACGCCCAAGACCAGCAAATTCCCGAGCGAACTGATCGTGGTCACCGCGCTCTCGAACTTCTCGGAATTTCGCACACGCATGGCCAAGGCGGACACCGCCAGCAACACCGCCAGCGGTGGGCACATGGGCGCGAAGACGTAAAACAGGAAGTTCGACGGCCACAGGCGGTCGAGGGGGATAATCTGTGCGACCAGAGCCAGGTTCACCCAGTGCGTGATCATGAACGGGGTGCCGAGGACAACGAAAAAGAAGAGGATGTTTGCCACCCAGTACGTGCGCTTCCGCATGCCGTAAATCAGCTGCATGTCCATCAGCTCGCTTTCCTTCTCCGCAAAAATCGCCAGTCCGTACAAGCGGTAGAGGAAAGACAACGGTAGTAGAAACGTGAACCAGGCCACCACGGCTTCGAGGATGAACAGGATGAATCCGATATTACCATGAAAAATGCCCTCTCCCCATATCAAAACGGAAATCTGTGATGCAGATTTGTGGTCACAAATCAGCTTTGTGATGCTAGAAGGCAAAAGATGCAGACTGTAGCGCTGTCTAGCGTGGGAAAGCCTTGCAGCTCCAGGATGACAAGAGGCAACTGGAAGTGGGAAACAGCATGACAGATTACCTGCAATTTAGGCCGCAGCTTCGTCTCTCGGCCTTCTAGCAATACAAGTTGATTTGTGTACTCAAATACAGCATCACAAATTCGCGCATCTTCCGTTTCCGATATGGGGTGGGGGCTTTTTTCACTTTGATATCCGAGCAACAGCCGCATGCTTCCCATGGCGTCGGGCCACCCGCCCGTGGTCTTCACATCGAGATCGGACGGGGCGTCCGTCAGCTCCGCGTCCAGGGCGTTCAGTAGCGCCCCGTCCGTGTCAAATGTTGACAAAATTTCGGCGCGCATGGAATCCAAAAGGTTCCGCTCCGTCTGACGGGACACGAGTGCCAAGGCCTCCTGCGGAGCAGGCGGTTGTGGTGCGGCTGGCTCCGGGGGCAGTGTGGAAGTTGGCGCTGGTGCGATACTTTTCCCTTCATTCTTCCCTGGCTCCACAGTCCCGTCGGGCAGCTGTACTCTCTGGCTTTCTGCGTCAACATGGGGATCATTTTTGGTCGCTCTGCTGGATGAAGTCGCCAGGAAGGTTGATGTTGCCGTGTCCTCTTCTTTCCGAAGGGGACGTGCATTTTTATACACGACATCATCTTGCTCTTGCGAATCTTCTTCCTCTGCTTCGGCGAAAGATGTAGATGTGAAGTGGATCTTCGCGGCTGTACCTGCTTCATCGCCCTCTGCGGTAAACAAAAATCGCGACGACTTATCCATGAGGGAATCACCGCCAGCGTGGCTGCCGTAGGAGTTCGTGCCCCTGGCATTGTTGTTCACGCTTCGTCTGATGCCGGAACTTGGATCCGCGCACGCCGAGCTTTCTCCCGTTGTACCGACGCCTCGTCCTTCTGTCTTCAACTCTCCTCCTCCCGGACGAATGTCTTCGGACAACATGGTGTGCTGCGGTTTCGGTCTGAGTGGAGACGCGGCCAGAGTAGTTACACCCTCACGGCGAAGTCCGCGTTGCAGCAGCGTCGTTGGACGTCGAGGAGCTTTGATTTTTGAAAAACCAGCGTCCCTCGACTTCCCGTCAAGCGTAGCTGCTGGACTCGCGCGTCGACGCAGATGCGACTTCTGCAGAAACGAAACGCGAGATTGTAAAAAATCCTTCCCTGGCGGGGCACGTCGGGCCCTCCTCTCCAGCCTCTTTTCCATATCTATGCCTTTGTGGTCTTGCTGCCCCTTTCCGCTTCCCTTTTCCGCCAACCGCCGATCTTTCGATCTGTCGCGCGGCAAGAATCTAGCTATTTCCTCTACGGGGGATTTTGCTTGTTCCGGATCATCTGTTCGGTCCTTTAGTGCTCCAGCGGAGGGGTCTGCGCCCCCGAATTTCCAAAATCTAGCCACCCTCTTCTTCGGGTCCTGATCCTGAAAGTCCTCGGCCCCCCCGGGACCGAAGCGCCCGCCCGGATTCAGAAGTTCCTGCTTATTTTTCTCGTACATGTATAACGAGTTTGGTGCTGGGCCAACCTTTTGACTTTCTTTACTGTGCTCCGCATCCAGCAGCATGGGCGCCAAAGGCATATCGTAGTAGGTAGAATTCTTCAGATCAGTGGCCTCCTTCACAGCCACCTCAGCGGCCCTTTCCCGTGAGCTGGCCAGTCTCTTACCCAGCTCGACTGCCGACACGTCGCTCGACGCGAGTGCGTTCGCAAAAAACTCCATCGTCAAAATTGCTTCGACCGACTGCCGTAGCTCACTCTGAAGAGTCGGTGTAGGAATTTCCGTGGCATTTACTACCCCTACTGTGGCATTGGCAGCGCCGCCGCCCTGCTTTAGGTTTCCGAGCTTCTCCTGGAGTGCGGCAGCTCGTGGTCGCATGGAAAACAGCTGCAAAACCCACCAGGGATGATCGTTTCCCCAGGGAGCAGGAGCTTCCTCCCCGTCCACGTTCTGAAGCCCCGCCTTTTCAGGTTTCTTAGTCTCTGCATCTTTCTTCACATCGAGCTTCTCGGTTCTCAGCGAGGTGATGAGCATCCCCAGGCTGTGGAGCAACTGGAGGTTGGTCTCGCTCTCTGCTCCCTCCGCGGCTGACAGTGAAAGGCCGCTTTCAACAAACATGTTTCTGGTCTGCGCGAGCGCAATAAAACGACTGGCTGGCACCACTAGATTGGCCAAAAACAGTGCCGTGCTCAGGCTTCCCAGCTGCCGCAGATCCTCCTTGGTTAGCGTGGAAGGGGCGGCTGGAACAGGGCCCTCGCCTTCTCCTTCGTTATAATTCGCGCTGTCCAGGTCCTCCCCGTAGAATGCGCGGACAAGCTCGGCGGTGACGTTCAGCGTGTCCCGTACGTAGTCCGCGTACACGCTTTCCCCGGCCAAAAACTTCCAGTCCACGACTCGCGACAGGTCGCCCGGCGGCTCGGTTGAGGCGAGTATCTTCTCCAACAAACCGATCAAATCGTGCTCGTCCGACAGTTTCTCCGCAAACGTCCTCGCGCTTTTCATCTCAGCATTCTCCTCAGAAGATTTCTTGCCCAAGATCTTTCCAGTCCCACCCCCCAAGTGGCCCCCCGAAACAAGCCTTCGTGCGTATTCCGTTTGTTCTTCGATCGGCATCAGGCTGTTCTGCAGAAGATGCGGATCGGGAAACGCCCGCAGCAGCAACGCTGGATTGGTTTCGCGCACGAAGTCCACGATGGAAATGCTTGCTTCCTGCCGCAGCACCTTTGCGGTGATGTTGGACACCAGGCCGCTCACAGCGTGGCGGAACAGCTCCGGTTCGGGGCCGCCCCTTTGCACGGACACGAGCTCCGAGTTCGCCACGTGGGGATGCTGCAACACGCCGTGCAAGAGCGTCATCGCCTCCTGCTGGCTGTCCGCGTTGTTGTGAACCAGACCGTACGCGAGCTCACGAACAATCCACTTGCGCACGGTGTCCACCACGGTGGCGTTTTCTTTCAGCTCCGCCAGGGTCGTGTTCGGGAGGGTGAGCGTCTCGTGGTACGCTGTAAAGTGGTCCGCGCGCAACTCCTCCGCGTTCCAGTACAGCTGGTGACGGATACCCAGGCATAAGACAATCACGTAGGTGACCAGATACTGGCAGTAGCCCCCGTTTCGCCAATACACCTGCATATTCTTCTCCCAAACGACGCCAAAACCCGCCAACATGCTGGGCGGACCTGAACAAAAGCAACGGATGAAGGAGGATTTAAGGTTTGATGACTTCTCGCATGAAGGAACAATAAAAGGGAGGCCTTGTCAAATCAAGAACTAGCTCTGTGGGATAATATTGGAGTAGGATCTACGCCGTGGCGAAACGAGCTCTATTGTCAAATTGCATAGTAACACAAGGTACGAAACATCATAACTAACAAGGAAGTGTACTTAGGTACTAGTCACCCATGTACGGGCTCTCGTGACTCTGTCTCCTGTAAAATTTTATTGTAGTTATTGAGGGCAGACACCGACTCACAATATTCATCGTCGAGATGCAGCTATAGTGAATTTACATAGCGGGTGGATTTTTTTTCGTAATTCAAATGGGGTAAAAATATGGGTTTCACTTCTAGGAATGCTACTTCATCCTGCCAATGTAAGTGTAACGAAAGGGCCTCAAGAGATCCTGACATTGTGAAACAGAAACAGGAGCTGTACTTGCGATACCGTCGAAGGACGCACGAAGACGAAGAATACGAACGATCCAAGATGTATCACAACTGAAATTTGACACGACACTAAAGAAGAACGATCGCCAGACTATGCACGAAAATGTTAGAGCGCCGTTATTTTTTCCTCACTGCATCAGGAGCGGACGAAGATTCGGATGCATAATCACAATACGAAACATGCGGGTGATTGTGGCTTTTTGCATTCACATTCTTCCTGGAGCCTGCAATAAATGAATCAAAGCGACGCGCTCAAGCCCGCAGATGAACAACAACAAGCGAAGCAAAATATGAACATCCCATGGTCGACGGCAATATTTTTTCTTCTCTTGGAAAGATACATAGATGACAAAATGAAAAACTTCTGTGGGGATACTACTGGCCGCGGGCAGAAGGGGAGAAAAATGCACAGATGCGTGTGTCCAAATGTAGAAAATTTCTGGGGAAGCTAAACTAACGGCTGCTATGCATGCTTGCTGTTCTTCGTCAGACGTACTTTAGAAACAAGACGAAGAAGGAAGATAGAAAGAATGTCTGTTTCTGTGATGTAAGTCCGACAGGAGTCAGTATGAGAATAAAGTGGAAGTCCATAATTGGTGATGGTGGGTCTGGGTCTGGGTGATGTAAGATAAAGAGACAGCAAACCCTGCCGCTCCTTGAAAATTCAAATTGGGCCAAAAGTGCTGTAGTAGTAAGTAAGTACATAGATGAATTCAATTAGAAATAGAAACGCAAAATAGTTGTATCCAGAAACTGATGTCGATCGAGTGAGGGTTGAGCGAATTCATCAGGTCTCTGTTGAAGCGCCCTTATCCTCTTCGATGGTTTCCTGTTCCTTTGCGAATTTCAAGAAGACCTGCTCCAGTGTTGGCTCACCGAAGCCGTAGTCTTCGATGATCTGCAGCGGGTCGTCCATGCACCACCGAAACACGGCGGACATCAGTCCCGGTTTCTTCTTTAGGTTGAAGATCACCCGCACGCGGAACGATTTCTGCGTCTCGTCCGGCAGCGCCCCTGTTTCCGTCGCCCCCTCCGCATTCGCGGTCTGGAAAAGCATTTTCTCACTCAAGGAGATGTCTTCCGCTTCCAGGGGAGTATGCTGCATCAGAGATTGCATCAATATCCGCTCGTCCAGGATGTCCGCCGTTGCCGGCTCGATTCTTGCGACAGTAGTTCTTCTTGGAGCTGCTGCTGCGACCACGATTTCGGCCGCAACAGCGGCTGGCGCACCAGGTGGTGGTGGTGGGGCAGACGAGAGTATCTCGTTGCTCACGGCTAGACTGCTTACGGCGTCCGACTCTGCTCCAGCGGAAATAGCATCCTCATCCGCCTCTCCCTCAGGTTGTGCCCCGTGAATAATTTGTATCTGCGGTATTTCCGCACCAGAAGGCAGACTCGTCGTTTGACTACTCGGAATGATATCAATCGAATCATCCTGGGTCGCCGCACTACCTCTCACTGGGGCTCCTCCTGCTTGTGAGCCAACGGTCGACGACGCTAAAATGTCCTCCCGCCTTCTTTCGACCTCTGCAATATTTTGTTGATCGTAGTCTCCTGCGATACTAAAGTTATCGCTCCCAGGAGCGATGGTCTCATTGACACCCGCCAGAGGCGCAGTTTCATTGATGCCTGCCTGGCTGCGACGTCCGTTCTCTTCCAGCCGGAAACTATCGATGTTTCCCGCTTTTTGAATGCTCTGGACGAAAGGCATCACGTTCATCGCGGGATCTGGCGTAGTTGGTGTGGCGGGGCTGTTATCTTCCTCCTCCATGGCCGCCTGCAGCTCCTTCAAAATCTCTTTCTCCTGCTCCTCCTTTTCCACACTCATTTTGCTGCGTCGCTCCTCGTCCGAGACCTCCAGGAGCGGCTGATCGTCATCTTCCCAAACGGACGCAGTTTTGGTTTCCGGCGCGGTCAGCGCGAAAATGCTTGCCGTGCGTCGCACCAGCGGGCTGCTCGTGCTTACCTTTGCCATCCCCGCGCCGGCGGGGGTCGTGAAACCCTTTTTCCACCGCACGAGAAGCTCCAGCTGGTAGCCGTTACCGTACTGCGACTTAATGCGGTGCGTGGACCCGAGGCACTTCAACTTGCCCCCGACCAGAATACCGATGCGATCCGACGTCGCGTCCGCTTCCATCATGCTGTGTGTGGTCGTAATGATCGTCTGCCCCTTGGGCCGGTTGATCAACTTCCGCCACAAAGACTGCTGGGCAACGATGTCCACGCCTGAAGTGGGGAGAGAAAGATAATTCTTTTTCTTGACATTCTAATCTTCTGAAAGTAGTGGTGCGGAAGCATAAGTAAGCCTGGTACCAGAAACAAGAAATAACCGCTTCTATTGACCGCTACATCTGAGTATGGCAGTGACAGACCAGCATAGCGAAAAAATGTCAGTATGTAGAAAACGCAACTTTATTTGTGTTCAATACCTGCACTCATTTCGTCCAAAAAGACCAGCTTCGGCTCCGTGATCAACGTGAGCGCCACAGACTATGAAGTGTAAAAATGTCTGGGTCTGGAAGGATGTAACCTGTGATGCGCATTTCAGAACACACAAAAATCTCTCATGCATCGGTAGCAAAAGCTTCTCGAAACCTGTGATGCTAGAGCTTCCATGACAGACCTTCTGTGTCATGCAGAAACAGCATGACTCTTCCAGACCCAGACATTTTTACAGTTGATACAGACAGCTTGCGCTTCATGCCACCGCTGTACTCTTCGGTTTTCCGGTCGGCGTCGATCTCGGATAGGCTGACCTGCTTGAGAAACTATCCTGAGTAAAAACGTACCCACGCCAGAGTTGTAATGCAGATTTGCAAAGACAGGAAGACTTGTAATGCGCATCCCCATGAGAGCCATTTCCAGTCGTGTTTTGGAATTTGTGATGCTGTGAACAGGATGAGCAGACGAATCTGTGATGCGGCTGCACTTGCTAACCTGCACTACACTGCAGAGTGCAACTTGTCATGCGTGACTCACAAAACTCCTAGGCTTGTGTTGCAAAATCCCCATCCTGACTCTGGTGTGGGTACGTTTTTACTCAGGATAGAAACGTGCTAATCCTCTTCTCCCCGGCTTCGGGATCCAACTCGCCCTCGCGCATGTAGGTGCCGCAGCACTTCGTATCAAATGTAAAAATGTCTGGGTCTGGAAGAGTGCAAGACTTGTCATGCATATTTTTCATGACCCCTCATGCCTGTAATGCATGACCTAGCATCACAGAATTTTAGAGGGCTTCCTGATGCGCCTTCCGCATGAGAAATGCCCTCTCCGCGTAGCACAGACTGGACCTTTCTTGCTGGTCACGCAACACTAATTTTTTTAGAATCCAAAAACAGCATGACAAGTTGCATTCTTCCAGACCCAGACATTTTTACAATCCATACTTCGAGAAGAGGCGCAAATGCGCTCTCCCGCTCACGTGCGGCCACAGTTTGTCGAACTGCGGCGCCTATCAAATGTAAAAATGTCTGGGTCTGGAAGATTCCTGCATTTGTCATGCGTGTCTGACATGACTCAAGAATCTGTGATGCATGGGCACGAAGCGGTCCTCTTTTCTGTCATGCAAACACGCAGTTTGCCATGCGGGACACGCAACACATAGGAGCCCAAAAAATTTGTCATGCTTGGCTCCGTATTGCAGTGGAACTCTCGTTCACTTTTAGCATCACAAGTTTCCAGACCCAGACATTTTTACATTTGATAGCGCCAGGCCCATCTTTTCCCGCGCGGCCTGCGGGAAGGAACCCACCGTGTAGCTCGCTTCCTTCGTGTTCACACAGTCTTGTCCGTAAATCGAAATCCTCCCGACATCCACCATCTCCGTGCCAGATAACAGGTTAAACAACGTTGTTTTTCCCGCGCCGTTGGGCCCGAGCAGGCCGAAGCACTCCCCCTCGTAGACACCGAACGTCACGTTTTTCGTGGCCCACTTCGTGTTCATCTGCTGCAGCTGCAGTGCCGTGTACTTGTTCTCCGTCGCGGTTCCGTGGTGCTCGTTATGGCTGTCCTGCAGCGCCTTGCTGCTGGGCGGGAAGTGCTTCACCAATTTAACGGCGTCCAGCGCGTAGCTCTCCGCGGCCCGGTCCGGTTTCTGCTCCTCTCGCACGACGTCCGGGTCGCGATTCGCATTCACTATCCTGAGTAAAAACCTACCCACACCAGAGTCAGGATGGGGATTTTGCAACACAAACCTAGGAGCTTTGTGAGTCACGCATGACAAGTTGCACTCTGCAGTGTAGTGCAGGTTAGCAAGTGCAGCCGCGTCACAAATCCAGCTGCTCATCCTGTTCACAGCATCACAAATTCCAAAACACGATTGGAAATGGCTCTCATGGGGATGCGCATTACAAGTCTTCCTGTCTTTGCAAATCTGCATTACAAGTCTGGTGTGGGTACGTTTTTACTCAGGATATTCACGTCCCCGTCGTTATCGTCGCCGAGCTTTTCCAGCCGGACCACCTCCCCCGTTTTGGTGTCGCGCTATCAAAATGAAAAATCCCCCCTCCCCATATCAAAACGGAGACTTGTTATGCTGATTTGTGGCCACAAATCAGCTTTGTATTGCACAGAGGCACTGCGGCGAGATCCCCAGGCTAGGTAGGGGCGTATGGGTCTAGTGGTTCAGCATGGCAAACGGCCCCCCTTTAGGCCAGACAGCATGAGAAGTCGCTTCCATAATGGGGCGGAAGCTTCTGCCCTTGTCTTCTTACAAGACAGATCGGATTTGTGACCTCAAATCCGCAACACAAATTTTTGGAAACATACCTTTTTAATATGGGGAGGGGGGATTTTTCCTCTCAATACGCGCACCTTCAACTTCTTGTGCAGGATCTCCGCGAGCTTCAGTCCGATGACCGGGTCGCGCAACAGCTGCTGCTCCGTGCGGTAGGCGTCCTTCCCAAAGTACGGGAGGTAGACCTTGTAGTAGAGAATGCCGACAATGATGTAAAACACCAGGCTCCACAGCGGCGCCAGCACCTCGTATCTGCTCGTGACCTGGAAGTAGTTCGAGTTGCAGTTGTCCGGCAGACCGGAGTCCGCGAACGAGATGCGCAAATCCGCGGGTAGCTCCTCCACATCGCCGGTGAGGTAGTACCAGACGGAGAAATGCTCGGCTTTTTTGCCCGTGATCCGGTCCAGTGCGTGCAGTTTCCATAGCCCCTTCAGGTTCGCCGCCAAAGCGGTGGGCGGGAACACGATGTAGATCAAGTACAAACAAACCTTCGGCCACCAGACCGGCGCGCCGAAGTTGAAAATCTGCTCGGTGGAGGTGACGCCCGCCTGAATCATCGCGGTGGGGAGCACCCAGCAGTCGATCGTGTTTCCCTTCTTCATGTCCCAGGAGTCAGTCTGCATCACGCGCTCGATGATCGTCGGGATGAACCCCATGGCGTAGTTCAGGATCACGTACATCGTCCAGCCCCCCGGGGAAACCATGCCGGAGGTGAGCAGCATGGCGGGGAAGAGGGAGAGGATGACGCCGAGGAAGAAGAAGGAGAGCCACAGCGTCCCGATCATACTGTCATTGAACCCATAGACCGGGTTCAAGTAAATGATCAAAGACAGCGTGAAGAAGAAGAACCCGGGTAGGGTGAGAAAACACAACCAGTGGAGGCAGGACGCAATGTGGTAAGCCGGCTTGCTGATGCCGTGCAAGTACAGGTGCTTGGCGAGCCCGTGGTCCTCTTCCGGCAGGTAGCTGTCCTTCACGACGCTTGCGCCGAACATTTGCCAGGCTAGGGGGGCGATCACGCCGCCGAGGCCGACGGACATGACCGTGGCAAGGGTGGAAGTTTTCATCTCCGTTTTCTCCTTGTCCTCCTCCTTCACTTCCATGAACTCCTCCAGTTTGTCGTCGACGTTCAGCTTCACCAGGATGCAGAGCACGACCCACACGATCAGAAACACCGCCCCGCCGATTTGCGCACCGAGCAGTCTCTGGTGGTATTCTCCGTAAAATCGAAATTCCCAAATCGCGAGAACCTGGGCAAAGAAGGAGTAGTTGCGCGGCATCAGCGGTGGGCGGTTTGCGTTTGTTGTGGTTCCGTCTTCGTCGATCGGATTATGCAGATCCAGCTGGTCCGTTCGTGCGGTTACGCGCTTCAGCATATCATTCGGATTGCTGTCCACCAAATCCTTCATTTTCTCGTTCTCGATCGCGGCGAGGGAAACTCTTGCATTTTGGTTCAATTTTTTTCTGCTCCCGCCCTTCGCCTGCAGAACCCTCTCTTGCCGTTCCGCCTCCTCGCGGTCCGCGAGCTCCCCCGCGTTCCGGAAGACTTCTTCCAACGTGGTCTGTTCCACCGTGAACTCGACCAAGCCGGGTGGGTAATTCTGCTCCGCAAAATTCGCCAGTGCGTCCAGAATGCGCGGCATTTCCTTCACCTCCGCCCATGGAATGCTGTACGCGAGGAAGTAGTCGGAAACCTTCGGGTTCTTCGTCCGCACGCGATTGAAAGCGGCAGCTGTTGCCCGATTTTTATTTCCACCTGGAGTTGTACCTTGTTGTTCTATCTGCTCTGATGACGTGACCGGTTGTTTCATATTCTTCTCCGCGTTTGCGAACAATTCCCTTTCCACGATCTGCTTCAAGTCTTGGTGTAGAATCTTCTCTGCCAAGGCGACATTGTTCTGGCACACAGATTTGTCCACCATGGCGTGGATCCAGAAGCCCTGGCCGAAGTTATGCTTCAGCTCCTGCGACGTGCCAATGCAGACGACCTTGCCGCCAGCGAGAATCAACTTCCGATCCGCCAGCAAGTCCGCTTCCTCCAGGTAATGCGTGCTGAAAATGATCGCGCGCTGCTCCTCCTTGACCAATCGCTTGAGCAACACCCAGAAATCCCGCCTCGCCTGCGGATCCATCCCAGAAGTCGGCTCGTCCATGATGACAACGGGTGCTGACCCTAGCAGAGAGCAAAGCACCCACAGCCGCCGCTTCTGGCCACCGGAGAGCTTTTCGCAGTTGGTGTCCAACTTTTCGCCCAGACCGAGCAGAAACGCGTACTTTTCGATCGTCTGGTTCAGTTCCTTCTCGGGTAATTGCCGTAACCGGGCGAAATACTGTAAGTGTTGTCGCATCGAGTACGTGTTCCAAAGCGGATTCGCTTGGGGGCAAAGCGCCAGGTTCTGCCGGACCTTCGTGATCGAGGTCTTGATGCTGTGTCCGGTCACGAAGCAGTCCCCGCTCGTGACCGGGATCTGGCCGCAGATCTGCGACACCATGGTCGTTTTCCCCGCGCCGTTGTGGCCGAGCAAGCCGAAAATCTCCCCGCGCTTCACAGCGTAGGAAATCCTGTCGTTCGCCGTCTTCCTCCCGTTATCAAACGTCTTGGTCATTTCGACCAGTTTGAGTGCGATAGAGGGATTCCCCTGCGAATCCAGGATGCCACCCTTGTTTGGAGCTGCATTTACAGCATTCTTCGCGGTCTCAGCATCCGCTTCCCTGTGATCACCGGCCTCCGCCCTGTGTCGCCTTCTCTCCGCGTAGAGCAGGGCGCAACCCCAAAACAGCACGTTCAAGACCAAGCTGAGATACTCCAGCGTGACCGGCACCCAGTACTCCGGGCCGAGGTGGTGCGCCAAGTCCGTCGCGCCGGCGTTGTTCACGTACTCCTCCAGCTTCGCTTCGTCGTCCCAGACCCAGGTATGGATTGTAAAAATGTCTGGGTCTGGAAGAATGCAACTTGTCATGCTAAATCTCAAGCATGCAAAAATCTGTGTTGCAGGATTACCAAAGGTCGTCCAGTTTTGACCAAGTCGTGAGGGAGTTTGTCATGTAGGATAGGCATGAGAGAGATCGCACAGAATCTGTCATGCTAGGTCCTGCATTCCAGACCTCATGGTCATGGAAAAGCTGCATGACAAATCGCGCATTCTTCCAGACCCAGACATTTTTGCATTTGATACCAGGGGAGTTTCGACAGTTTCAAAATGTTCAGCATCGGCTTCTGCCGCTGCGTCCACTCTGGTGGCGACATCTCGTTGTTCCGCGCACAGTTGTACAGACTGTGCCCCCGCAGCCCCATGTTCCAGTACTTCGGGGTCGCGAGCAGCGAGCTCTCGCCGCTCTCCGCCCCCTTGTGCCGCGCGAGCTCCGTGGCGCGCATGAGGTTCAGCCCCCGCTCGACGATCCGGAGGTAGCTGTAGCCCGGGACGGTGACCCCGAGCCCGAAGGAGAGAATGTGGTTCACGGTTTGCCAGTCGTACGCGCTGCTGCACGGCTCCGGCGGCCGCGGGAGCGACTATCAAATGCAAAAGTGTCTGGGTCTGGAAGATTGCAGGAGTTTGTCATGCATCTTCTGGATCACGCAACTGGTCTCTAATGCACGCAAAAGCATAATACAGGTTTTGCGCAGGCCTCCTGATGTCTATCACGCATGAGAAATTCCCTATTTGCGTAGAAAGAAATGGGAAGCTTTTGGTGCTTATGCAATACAAATTTTTGCCTATTCCAGAATTCGCATGACAAGTTCCAACTCTTCCAGGCCCAGACATTTTTGCATTTGATAACGACGGGTCGTAGACCACATCCTGCTTCGGTTCGGACACGCCAAACGCGCCGGCGACCGCCGTCGGCCAGAAGGAGAGCCTCGTGGGGAACAGGATCTCAATCAACACATACGCCCCGAGGATCATCAGATTCCCCAACCCGGAAAGCGTGCCGAGGATGGACTCGAATTTCTCCCGCTTTTCGACACTGATCGCGAGGGTAGACGCTGCGAGTAAGGCCGCTAGCGGCGGGAAAATCGGAATCCACGGGGTGAAATTCAGTTCCTCCGGCGCGAACAGCCGTCGCAATCCGTGGTTGTCAAATTTTTGGTAAATCGCTTTACTCGAAACGGAAATCAGCGACTCCGAGGCCGGCGGATACGGCTCGTGCCACATTTTCTCGTTGGTGTCCCCGCGCGGCAGCTGCCAGTGCTCCCCGGGGAGCACGTCGCTGAGCATCTTCAGGTTTAGCCAGTGCGCCACGAGGAAGGGCGTTCCCAGAATCAGCCAGAAGAACACCAGATTCGCCAGCCAGTAGGTCGATTTGTCTAAGCCGTAGATTAGCTGCATCTCCATCATTTTGTTCTCGCGCTCCTCGAAGATCGACGACCCAAACAACCGGTACAGGAAGGACAGGGGCAGTAAAAACGTGAACCAAATGGTCAACGCCTCCACCACCAAAAAGATGAACGCTTGCAGGAGCTGGAGACTCTCCGTGCCGGTTCCCCAGGGCACGTTGTACCGGATCAGGGTGCTAAGCGGTTCTGGTTTTTTCTCCTCCTCCTCCTCTGCCTTTTCGCCGCAGCAGGAGGCGGAGGACGGGCCCGCCCCTTCCGTTTTGTTCTCTTTCAGCAGCGCTTCAAGTTCCTCCTTCGCTTTCCGCTCCTCCTCCTGCTCCTCAGCCTCGAAGGCCTCCTCAAGGTCCGCATCGATCATCGGGCGGAGGTTGAGCATCTGGAAAAAACGGTCGAACTGCTTGAACACCGGCTCTTTCAGCGCCGCTTTCTCCACGTTGCGCTTCACGTTCAGGATGCGCAACGTGTCCAGCAGCGCGTCGTCCTGCTTCTGCCCGATGCGGTCCGTCGGGTTCTTGATGATGTCCCGGATCTCGTCCAGGTCGTAGGAGGTATGGTCATCATCTCCGTCAGGTCCGTTTTCACTGTGCTGGTCCTCGTGCGCAGTTTGCTGAGATTGTTCATGCTCCAGGGCGGAAATGCCGTCTTCACTGTCGTGGGCAGAATCTCCATTTTTGTCGTGGTCATGTCCATCTTCATTTTCCTCACCCTCCTGTGCAGCTTGATCGCCCTTTATTTCGGCGTCCGACGAGTCATCTGATGCTGTAGTCCCACGGCTCAGCAGAGAGCTTCTTCTCCCTGACGTTGCACCCAAAACCTCTTCTTTCCCTGCAATTGTGATTGCGAGTCCGCGTCGCAAAAAACTCGTTTTCCTCTCAAATACCGCCGCGGAAGACAGTTCGTGAGCTCTTGTCTGATCCGCGAAATGTTCCAAAAAGGAAGTCCTTGCGGGAGAGAATGATTTTGAATTTCTTTGCTTTTCTTTCTTCAAAAGCCGGGAAGTTGTACGAAATTCTTTTTCTTTCATGTGCGTATCTGGAACGTCAGACTGGCGCGTCTTTGCTGGCGTGATTTTGATGTTTCTTCGAGTGGTCCTGACACTTCCGACGCCGCCTGCGATCGCATTTACAACTTTCTTCGACACGAAAGACGAAGCTGAACTACTCACCAAGTGTCCAAACCCTTGCTCATCTAACCAGGGCCTTAGCCGGTCCACCAACGTCCCTTCCTCGTGGTGTTTGAGCAAGTGGGCGGCCAAGAGGTCCGCTTCGGCGGGCGTAATGTCTAGCCTCGTGGCGAGGTCTTGCTTCAGTTGCGCCTTCTCCTCCGGGTCTTCCGCCTTCAGAAACTCATCGGCTTTCATGGCGAGCATCAGTTTGTCCATCATGCCCATGTCCCCGATAGTCGCCAGCCCCTCTTCCAGAAGCTCTTCGACCTTGCTTTCGTCTTCAGCCGGAAACAAACCCTCCCCGATCTCCTTCAATCCGTTTTCAACGGAAATCTCCTCTGTCGTCACTGGAGTTTCCGGTGTTGGCGTAGCAGACGTCGTGTCCGGGGCTTCCGTCGAGGCAAGCGGCGTAACAGGAATTTGGTTTTGCGGCTCTTCCGTTGTGCTGTCGGCTTGACCGTGCAATATGTTCTCTGCGTCAACTTCCCCCGTGATGCTCCCCAGCACGTCGTCGATAATCTCTTCCGAAAGGGCGTCATCGAGCACTACAATCGGAGGGATTACAGTGCTGTTGTCGCTGTTTTCAGGGAGGAAAGGGTCCAAGACGTCGCTGTCTGTTCCTTTTCCCGTGCCTTTGGTTGCGCCCGTTCCTTTGCCCGAGCCCTTGGAGGGGGTAACTGCGACGTCACTCCCTCCGTTCTTGAAACTGAACCAGCCGGGAATGGTGAAGGGCTCGACCTCCTCCAAAACTTCATTCATCGCGTTGACCATGCGGTCTTTTGCCCCCTCGAAGTCCCCGGCTTCCAGATCTTCGAAAATCTCCTCTGCTTCGGCATCCATGGCATCCTGGTTCTCGGGGATGCTCATGAGCTTGAGCATGCCGCGCAGTACGTGGTTCACCTGCTCCAGGTCTCTCACGGAGGGCAGCTGCACTTTGCCCAGCCTCTGGCCGTTGGGTAACACGTGGTCGCCGTAGCCGTGCCTGGTGGAGGTATCTTGCACAAACTGCTGCCACGCCGCGAGACTGCGCACGTCCAGCCGCAGCAGCTGGAGAACATCCTGGAACACCTCCTGCGTCATCTGGAGCAAAGCCAATTGCTCGTGCGTAAAAAACCGGGCTGTGCCAAGCCACTCCAGGCCAAGCAGCTTCTGGCGCTCCTGTAGATTGGCCTCCAGCTTCACCGATTTCTTCAGCACCCAGTCACTTGTGAGCAGCTTCAGAAACGGGTCCTCGTACGCCTTCAGCCGCCCGTGCCGAGCGATCAGCTTCTCCTTCCAGGCGTTCAGATCGAGCTTCTCGCGGACCTCATCGACGTCCAATTTCGTAATGTCACCAAAGAAGTCCATGTCAATTTTTATCCCAGGAACTTCCACTTTCAAGTTCACATCTCCCCATGACCCAAACGTGGTTCCTCTTCCGGACAACGATTTATGTGTGGAATTGGAATCGTTTCTTCCAATTCCAGTCTGGTTACCTGCTGTCGTGGCGTTCTTTACAGTGGTTTCGTTACTGTCGTTCACGTCGCGCTGTAAAAAGGATTGGGAGTGTTGGCTTTCCTCACCAACTGGGATGTTGATCTTTAAGCGTACCACGCCGTCGTTTGTTGTACCGGTTTCGTTCGGTCCGATAGTTGTCCCGTTATTTCCGGGGGTGGGAGTCGTTTCATTGCCAATCCCATTATTCGTGATCCATGTTACAGCACCAGCAGCATTTTGGTCATCGTCATACCCTTCTAAAATTCCCAACCTGTCCTCCTCCTTCTCCGCTTCGAGCAACTTGCCCAAAACTTCGAGAATTTCAACGAAGGACAGATGCCCCCACAGATTCTGTGCCGACTTCAAGGTCACGTCTACCGGAAAATAGAGGTACTCGTCCTTGTAGCCCGCGTACTTCTGGGTCCGGGAGTGGAAGGGCTTGAAATAGGTGTCGATGTAGGTGCGCAACGCGTGCACCGCGAGTCGGTCCGCGATGTACAGGGTCACGTTGCCGGCAAAGTGCTGGTACTGCTGGATCTGGCGGATGTCCGCTGGGGTCCGGTAGAGCGGGTCGTGTTTCTCCTCCGAAACAAAGCCGTACTCGTTGGGCCGAATCTCTGTCAACTTGATCTCCACACTCCCGACGAACATCTCCCAAAATAACGCCTTTGTGTGCGGGTCCTCCTGGATCTTCCCCAGTTTCTCGTCGAAGGAAGCCTTGGACGTGATGTTGTGCATCAGCATGGCCTCGACCACCTCCTGCAAAACCTGCGACAGGTCCCAGCGGATCATGTGGTAGTGCTGCTTCATGGGGAGCGGCTTGCCGTCATTTAATCCCACTTGCTGGACTTGCCAGCTGCTGTTAGCATCTTTCTTGCGCATTATTTGAGAAAAACTTGAAAGCCCTGTAACCTCAGCTTCAGAAGTGTTCGAGGCATTTCCTTGCGCTTCCTCTTCTAGCACAACCGTCAAATTTCCGTTAGAAGCCACCGGCGCCACCATGCCTCTTATTGAGCGCATTCTGTCCTCCATCAAGTAGCCACCTAGCAAATGCGTGTAGTAGTAGTCTGTGTTCCCGTAGTATCAAATGTAAAAATGTCTGGGTCTGGAAGAGTGATGCTGTTTCTGCATGACACCGAAGGTCTGGCATGGAAGCTCTAGCATCACAGGTTTCGAGAAGCTTCCGCAATGCCGAATCCGCATGACAAATCCTCCATTTTGGTGACAGAAAGTGAGCAGCTTTGGCTGCCTATGCATCAGAGATTTTTGTGTGTTCTGAAATGCGCATCACAAGTTACATCTTTCCAGACCCAGACATTTTTACATTTGATACGTAGTAGTCGTTGCTGTGCCTGGCCAACCATCGCTCCTGGTTGATCCAGTATCCTATGTAAAAACGTCCCCACACCATAGTCAAGATGGGAGGTCTGCAACACAAATTCCCAAGTTTTGGGACTTCTGCATGACAAGTTTCCATCTGCAGTGTAGTGCTGGCTAGCAAGGAGAGCCGCATGACTTTCTCATCCTGTTTACAGCATTACAAATTGCAAAACACGATTGGATTTGGAAACGCTTCTCATGAAGATGCGCATTACAAATGTTCCTGCCATTGCAAATCTGCATGACAACTCGGGGGTGGGGACGTTTTTGCTCAGGATATCCAGTACTGGATCTTCACGCCGAGAATCAGCACCAGGAAGTAAGTGAAGAGAAACTTGCAGTACCCACCGTTGAGCCAGTGGACGTCAACGTTCTTGCCGAAGACAAGCGTGAACATCTTCGCCGAAGTTGCTTTTGATTTCTGTCGTATACTAAGAGGAAATCATCGAACAGAGGTTGCACGAATGCGGATCAAATTGTTTGCGGGTCGTGTGGGGAGTAAGAATTAATTACTTCAATCCAGGGAGCAGGTACGATTACGAATACGATGATAGCAGCTCTTCAAGCAAGATTTGTGCATCTTCTACTTCCCTGTGAGTGCTCCATCTTGTTGGAAACGATAACCCACAGCCGCGTACATTGCGGATAAATCCTGAGAAGGAGCAACGACAACGATCTTTTTTGGTACGACGACGAACAAAACTTGAATGCAGTACGATTGCCTAAACGGAAACAGGACGACGACGAGATGCTTGCACACTGTTTGCACGAACGATGAAGAACCACCGGGCTGAAGACCGGTTTGCATAGCACGAAAAGGAAAAAGAGTACGACCACTTGGACTATTTGATACCTACCATACAAGAACGCAAACCGCTGCCACTCCGGGCAGTCACCTGATGCGAAAATATGAACACGAGGACAATCAGCGAGGCAGAGGCATAGCAAAAACAGCTGAAAAACTCATGCCATGTTGGAGATGATCTGTAATGTGTGTATTCTTGAAAAGGTCGCTGAAAACGCGGTCGCTCTGCTTTGTCAAATTTTCATCTTTGGTTGAGTATGCGTTCCTCTTCTCGTTCCCACATTTCCCAGTAGTGGATTGTGTCTAGCGCAACCAAACAGCTCTCCGCCACGAGCACGTCCGGGTCGTGACAGAAACGGCGGAGCCACTCCTTCGCGCTCTCCCCGCCGATGCTGCCGAGCGCGATAGCGGACTCGTGTCGCACCATGCCGTGTTCCGCGTTGTGCGGCAAATTTAGGTTTTCCGCCAAAAAGTGGACGGCCTCCTCGGACTCGATTTGGCCCAGGATGAACGCGATCTCGTGCCGCAGCACCGGACTGGACCGGTCAGACAAGAGCGCCTCGCCCAGCGGCTGCACAGCGTTCAAATTCCGCAGTGTGAACATCGCAATGTAGCGCTGAAACAGTTCGACCTTGGGGTCGGAAAGCGTTGCCAGTAATCGCGGAATGTCTTGTTTGGTCGCATTCGCTTCGCCGAGCGCCGGGTCGTAACTGGCAAACTGGCAAGCGCAGACGCGGGCGGTTTCGCGCCGCAAGCCCTCCACGGCCAAATAGCAGGTTTGGCTCAGAGCGGTCAAAGGCCGTTGGCTGGTCGGAGACATTGTAGTGGAACCAGACGAGGACATTCGGCTCTCTATTTCCGAGGCTCCTCCTTCACTAGGCAAAACGTACTGCTCGAGAAGTTTGATCAAGGTGTCATTTCGTCGCCGAAACATCAGTGTCTTCGCACTTTTGGTGCTGTCGCTGACAAATAATGTTTTCTCTTTCACCGCATCAATGATGGGTGTTTCTGCTTCTATGGGAGGTGAGACTTCATCTTCGAGCTCCTCGTCCGTGTCCGCAGTTGCTTCGTAGGTGTTAGAAGAAGGGCTTGGTGCGTCTGCGAACTCGTTCCTTTCCGGCGCAAAAGTCAAGTGCGAGTCCAGCTCTTCGTGGTCTTCTTGGCGTTCTAGTTCTTCATCATCTCCAAGCAGTGCCGACGTCAGAGCCGCACCATGTATTCTCGTGCGCTGCGTGTAAATCTTGTGGAAATAGTCCCGAATCCTTTCCTCATCCTCGTCTCGCAGGTTATTGTTGAAAATCGCCGCAATTCCTTCCGCGGCCTCGTGCCGAGTGACCTCATCCTCAGTCGCATCGTCCAAGACCTGCAGCAGTGACTCAAACGCCTGCTGCTTCAGCTCGAATTCCTCCACATCGGCCCCAAATTGGCCGAGCAAGTAGCAACACTCGTGCCGGAACAGAATCGACTGCTTGTCTGGCCTGGCGGCTTTCTGATTCTGCTCGGAAGAAATTATCTTCTGCTGCTTTGTCGGCCCAACTTCTATTTCGCTGCCTTCCTGTTCCTGGTTTGCCTCTTCACTACTTCGCTTTCTGCTTGGTATTACGGTCGCCCTCGACGAATCGTCGTGATTCAAGGCCTGCCGGAGAATATCGATGCCGTGCTTCTGGGAGGGAGCCTTGCTTCGGACCGCAAACATGCAGCGGTACAGAACCTGAATACCATAGGACGTGTTCTCGCTCAAAAGGCACTCCTGGACCTCCTCCCAGGTGGGTCCTGCAAGGCGATTGAGGAAGGCGGTCGCGTCGATAGTCATGGTCGTTGAGCTCTTCTTTTGTGTAGTGTCGCTTGATGCCTATAAAGAACAGATAGAAAACGTTAATTTCTTTGGTCCCTTGACGTTTAGCAGAATCAAAACTCGCTGGTCAATTTGAAGTTGCAATGAATTGCCAATTCGGTCTGAGTCTCACCTATTCCTTCGTTCTCAGTCTCACCTATTCCTTGAACATTGGCATGGAGCATATGATGAACCAATTTTACGAAGAGGATCTTGAAAATTTCTGGATCTTCAGCAATTTTGATTTTCAGGTTGACACTTTTGATCTTCAGTCCATGCTGATGGGAACGTATTTGGAACGGACGCAGAAATGCTATACGTTTTTCTCATAGCAGTAAGACACGCTTGCACAGATGCAACGCTAACGAAGATTCGACAACAACGTACTTATTTAGTTTGTCGTTGCGCCCAGCTTGATAGCGATGCTTTCTACCTTGTCCAGTAGTAACTTTATTCCCTCCTCGTCCCGAGCTAGCTCTGCGGCCATTGCGTCTTCCTCAAAATGCAACAACCCTGCTTCCTGGTCAATGCTGCCCCGAAGTCGCTTGTCAAATATCATCTTGGCCGCCAGTCGCTCCGCCCGGGGCGCGATTTTTTCTAGTTTTCGCAGGTGGATAGAGCTGTAGAAGTTCGAGGCAATAACGATATTGTGCTCGCTGATGGCCTGTCGCAATACGCGCGCCTTGTTGTTCTGCTGGGGGGGTGTCGTCGTGGAAGGCTTTTGGCCTGCAAGTTTTTTTTTCGTATTGACAAGTCGTGGCCATTTGCGTTTGCTTGGCTCTTGTGCTTGTATCGAGCTTTGATGAAGCGAAGGAAGTAAACCGAAGTCGTAGATGAAGCATTTTAATTTTGATACCACTTTCAACAGCGTCGACCATGACGATGTCTTCGCTTCCGCTGTCTCGGCTCCCACTGTAGGCTCCGGTTTTGTGCGCTAGCAAAAGTTTTTCCATTTCCAGCACCTCTTTTGGTCGGACGAAGCGGTTTTCGAGCATCACGGCTAATAGCTTGCTCAACCTCCTTTCCCCGCCCGTTCGATTCTCGTAGTCTTTCAGCAATGCATGTTGCTGCAGGGTTTTCAGCAGCCGCGTCCGTGCCGCGCCGGACGGCGCGAGGATGGTGCACTGAATCGCGTTGAGAAGCAACTCGTTGCGGTTATTTTTCGCAGCGCGGTATGCGGCCGTCAAACAGTCGGCGGGAGACGGATCCTTAGTGGGTGAGCTTTGTTCTGTTGCTGTCGACGAGGACGTGCTCGGAGCAGAGCACTTATCCAGCATGTCGACGTATCGTGCGGCCGCATCCGCGTACTTCCCGCGACTATCCAGCAACCGGGCGTGCGTACTACGATATCGTAGATCTAGTTCCCCATCGTCTTGGTTGTGTACCAGCATACCCGCGCGCGCACAGTAGTTCTCGAGCAATTCCTTCGATTCCGTCTGCAGGCCAAGCTCCGCAATTTCGACATAGGCAAGAACCTAGGTTCGGAATATAAAAGCAGGGATTGCGCAACAGAACACGTATAAGGAAATGCTTCACGAGTGGAGGAAAATCGTAAGTACGTATCTTCTCGAAATCATGAAGAGAGCGAAAGCAGAATACAGTGACGGACGACAAGAACAGTGTGCGCAAATGATAACCACGATGAGCAGGAGGCGCTCTGTCTTTCTAATACAAGGTTACCATCACTTGTACCTTCTCCCGCACTACTTCTTTTTCCTTATCCGGTCCGGGAACGCAGTCGAAAAGCTTCATCTGCGTGAGCACCTGCGCCGCCTGAACGAGCTTTTCGTTTGACTGCGACTGGGAGATCATTTTGTTTGCCAACACGTAGCGCAGTTTCTTGTCCTCCTCCTCGAACCCGCGGGCGAGCCGCGACTTTTTCGCCATAATCTTCGCAAGAGTTATTTCAATGCCCTTCGTCAACGCATCAACCTTTTGTTCTTCCGCTCCACTGCTGTTGAGCGCGCAGTAATCTGCAACAATCTGGTTGAAGACCGCCCTTAATTCGTAGGTTTGAAACCGGTCGGAGTCGACCAGTAGCTCCAGAACGTCCGCGAGTTTTTCCGGGTACGGGTAGCAGTCCACGAGGATTCGTTGCGTCTGCTTTTTCTTCTCCTCAAAGCTGGACTGCTGCAGCAGAAAATCGACCAGCTGGCGCCCGCTTTTCTGCGAAACATCGTCCATCCTCGATGATCTAATTGGAAAGCAAAAATAAAAGAATCAGGAAAATTATCTATAATGAAAATGATCTCAGAGTCGCATAGGAGTTGAAGATGTCGCTGTTGTCACGAAAACCCACGTAACACCAAGAGCGGAAACTAAGTCAGTAAGTCTAAGTACACAACTTGCGCGAACTGCGCAGACTGCGAATCACAAATTTCATCGAGAGCAGAGGACTGGGGCTGCCGCGAAAGAAACGTATAAAAATATGCTTTCTACTTTGCTAGTCCTCCTGTCTAAGTCTATCATCTTGGTCCACAAGTAGATAGCAACGACCTGAAAACAAAGATGAGATCGGAAAAGCGACGATCTGGCACGACCAAATCACTTCGAGACAACCAGAATGGGTACACTCCTGGCGTGATCTTCAGTTATGGTGGATCCTAAGATCTCCGCTGTACTCCCATTTTTGCTGAGGGGTACTTACTCGCAACCGGACCTCCAGCTAGTGCCGGAACCTTTGTTCACAAAACGCCAGCAATCTGTCCGCACGGCAACGGGGCGGTGCTTCTGCAGAGCAGCAAGGCCAAGGCTTCGTCCCATGTAATATGACTTGCCAACAAGATGATGCTGAGAAGTTCCTTGCAAACAAAAAAAATTGGCTCTCGTAGATGCTGTGAAAAGTCTAAGTCTGCCATCCATGTCGATTACAAAAAAGTAAAAATCTGAAAGGCGAAAACCACACAATAGGCTTCCAAACATATCGTCATGGTGGAAGAAAACATGGAGGAAATCTGAAGAAAATTGTCGCTCGGCCAAACCAGTTCATTCACGTGAGAAAGAGAAGGTGTCATTGAATCGATGAAACAAACTCAACAGCAAACAAGACCAAAGTAAAAAAGTGTGCGTGCGGCATCAATGAATTTCGGTTTCGAGTTTTGATCAAAAAAACTTCAAGTTATGCACTCGCCCCCACAGCACCCGCCGAGGCTCCAACACCATTCGTTCCTGCGCCACCTCCCTCGAAGTTCAGCACCTTCGCCGGACTGCACCCCAGCAAGCCCAGACTGTGGTCCACGGCGATGCTGTTCATGACGCTAGCATCGCCGAACGCCACGCCCTCGATAAATTTGAAGAGCGGCTTGGCCGCACGGCAGCAGTTGGCGACTTTTTCCTCGGTCAAAACGGTCGGGTGGTTGTTCCACAACAGCTGGATCTGCTGCAGAATTTCGTTCCCCGGATTGGCTTTGCGCAGCTTCTGCATGAAGTGCGAGTCGGAGAGAATGTGCTTCCGCGAGGGTTCCCAGTAGTCCACCACCCACTGCTTAGAATTGGAATCGAACCGCTTATTCGGCTCAATGTGCAAGTACAGACAACACGCCTCGAATAGCAAGCGTACCGCCTCGGGCGGTTTCTTCAGCGCCTTGATTTCAGACAGGTCGCGCAACGACACCACCGTTCGGGGGTCCGTGGAAGAAACGGATTTACGAGGACTCTGTGGATAGATGACCGGATTTTGTATTTGTTTTCAACTTTGCTACTACGAGGAGATCTTTCAACCGATTCGCATCCAATCAAAAAGCAGCTTGTTCAAAAAATCTGCAAATAAGTACAACCGGTTTCGGCGTTTCGTGAATTCCCGAGACCACAGACATGTTTGCGTGGACGCCAGCAGTTGCGCTGCCCGACATCCCGCTTGCGTTTTGGTCCGAGGAATACTCCTCCTCACTCCCCGTGGTCATGAGAAGTTCTTGGCCGTGGTTCCCGGCGTCCGTGCTCATTTTACTACTCAGCGCGACCGTCTGGACACTCGTCACGGAAATCAAATTTTTCTCGCGCGCCTCGAGCAGATCGACCTTCTTCTGCAGTTCTCGGGCCTGAAACCGATGAATGTGGGAAAGATTTCGCTTTTGTATATGAACAAAAAATTGAACGTTTTTACATGTTCCAAATCACGAAAGATCACGATCGGGGTTACTTACAGCCACGACACACGTCATCGCATCAACATCTACACTTCATGTTTCGTAAGTACCTCTTTCGTCGCCTGCAGCTTTCCCACCTGCTCTTGCCGCGTCTTCAATGATTGCTGCTCTGCTTGCTTCTTTTTCGCGTCCAACTCAGCTTGGAGCGACATAATTTCCTCCTTCTGCTTCGTCATATCTATGCGGCACTGTGCGATTTCCTTTCGCGCCTCTTGCAGGTGTCTTTTCGTTTCCAGCTCTTTCTTCTCCGCTTTCACGACGCTCTGGTCCTTCTGCTTCAAGTCATGCTTCAATTGCCGAATCTCGCCACTTTGCTCGTTGATTCTCTTTTGCATCAGCTGAATTTTCTGCTGCAACTCTTGTGCGAGGGAAGTTTCACTGCTATCCTGTTCCTCTGCCTCTTCTTCTTCTTGGGAGGCACCTCGGCGAGACGCGGAGCTGCTGGCCGCGTGCTGGTCTATCATAAGTGGCTCGACTTCCTCGGCCTCAACGCTCGTGGCAGAAAGATACGTGGTCCTTCCGTTGGCGGAAGCGCGCAAGCTTGCATCGACAGAAACACTGTCCGCCCTTCTGTTGCTCTGTGCGCTGGTGCGTTGCGCAGGAGGACCGAGATGAGGTGGGACGAAGTCCTGTAGTTTTCAATCAAAATTATACGGCTGCTCGAACCGTCGACTCACACTGGTTCAATCCAGGACACAATAATGAGCCAATAAAATAGACAAACAGAAACTACAAACAGCAGGATGTGTATCCTCGAGGGGAGGTTGTAACAAGTAGAGCAACTTTTATACTCCGAGAAGAAGTAACACTCGCACTAGTACTTTGTTTCTGCGAGATAGACCGCCAGCGCCGCCTTGACTTGTTGAAGCCCTGCGCCCCGTAGCTGCATCTCTATCTTCCTCATCTCGGTAGTCGCGCATCAAGATGCTATTCTGGTTCAGCTGTCCCTCGAGCGTGAACACCTTATTCGGGGACACACTGAGCGCCTTCGCGTGCGAAGCAGAGGAAACCCGCTGCACCTGCTGGTTTTTTCCAGCCAAATCTGGACTGCGGCCGCGCGGCAGCGTCGACGCGCGCGTGGTCGCGGTCGTGGTGGTCGAGGTGATCTTCGCTGTTGACGAAGAGGAAGTAGAGGCATGATTTGGTGCGCCAGGGACAGGCTGGTTCACGATGACAGCGCTTTCCTCCGGCGGAAGTGGTCTGGCCGCCACCGCAATAGTGTGCTGCGCCCCAGCTCCCGCTCCCGGTCTGGTAGCTGGTGCCAGAACGTGTTTTCTTTGCTCATTCGCGGGGAACAGGCCGACAACTTGTGGCGAGCTTTGCTGTCGGTGTGGCGCGGTCGAAGTGCCTGAAATCACATGGACCACAGGAGCACAGGTGCTCGCTGCCTTGCTCCCCTCGGCACCAATCTGCTGAAAGCCGCTGCTGGTCTGCCGCTGCGCGAAGAAGGGCGGCTGCATGAGCCAATTTTGCACCACGGGCGGCGTACTGCGAAGCGCGCTGTTGAAGGTGGCGGAGGACGCCGAAGAAGTTCCAGTACCCCCTCCTGCCCCGCCGCCCGCCGGCGGACTTACCGGCACAGCCGTCACGTTGACGTAGCTTGCAGTGGTGAGAGTCGGGCGCCAGGCAGACGCAGAAGAAAGTGTGTAGCGGTGCGCAGGCCGCTCTGGGGGGTGAAACTGAACCGACACGGACCCAGAGTTCGTGGTTCCGTGCTGGCTAGCAAAAGTACTGGCCGCACCAGTTGCGAACGGCCGCACCGAGACGCTGCCGCCGGATTGGTGTAGGTTTTGCACGAGGAAATTCGGACGGGAAAAAGAACTTTCGTAGGCTGAGGACTGTCGCTCGACCTCGACAACCCGCGCTCCTTCCGGTGCTGGTCTAGTGTTCCACGACCCTTTGTTCGTCTGGTGCATCTGATGCAGCTCCTTTTGCTCCGACGACACAATAAAATGCTCCTCTTCAAGTTTCTGCTGCTCAGTCGCCACTTTGTTACTTTTCCTCTGTGCCGCTGGTGTTGATGCTACATGTCCCGCAGTTGAGCCACTTTTACTGTTTAGCACACTTCTGCTCCCAACGGATTTATTGCTGGTCTTGTGGTACTGCTGCGTGGCTTGCAGAATCGGCTTCTTTGGCTTTAGGATCTGCTCCGTGGGGGCCACTACAACAGTGCTGTCAACAGCATCGTCATCGCGACTGGGGGAGTTCGAAATCGTCTCCCTCTTCCAGTCCCGCGGCTGCATCAGGTTGGATTGCTTCTTGACTTGTCCTGCTTTATTCGCGCTTGAGGACGCCGAGCGCTGCTGTGGCTGCTGCGTTGCACTACCTTAGAATTGTAATTTGTGCTTCTGCACTTGTTGATATTCATTCCAGTACTTAATTGAGTCTCGTCGTGGCCAAAAAAATCCGCCATCACACACAACAACTTATCACTTGCCCTGAGATACCAGGAGGCATGGCATTGGAAATCGTCTGAAGTACCATGTTGCTGCGCTTGATGGTCTGAGGGGTGCGCAACAACTGCGCCGCTGCCCAGCTGCCAAGGGCCTGTGAAGCTCAATAACGGGCCCGGCTGAAACATTCTTTTAGAGTGATCAAGAACACCGCGGCGAGACCGCGCTCCCTAGAGGAAAGAATAACAAGACGACATTTTGATATAGCTTTTTTCCGTTCACCAACGCGTTTGGTTTTCTCTCGCGAGTTTGACCACACTGATTTTTTGTTCCGACGTGGCAAAGCAGGAAAGCTTGCCTGTCACAAGAAGTGACTAGGAGCGCTGCGCTGACAGCGGCTGTGCTTTGCAAGAGGATTACGTGAGGTCAGTGTGTGTGTGAAACTCTTCCCTAAAGGCTGTATACAATTTTGCACGTCTCACATTTTGGCTCGTATTTCTCTCTCAAAACTGGAGAGAACTTGAACTACCAGGACGCAAAACATAATCAACCAACGATTTTTTTTTCCGACGAGACCGAAAACGGAACGAAATTCCCGGACAAACCTGTTCGCACTCACCTTTGGGTATGGAAGCCAAGTGGCTGGCAGAAAGAAAACACGGGAATCATGAAGGGCAGGAAACTTCGTTCTTTTAGTCTCCTTTAGACATTTCCTGTAAACTGCTGTGTAGGATGAAGTAGAAACGCTCCATTTACATCGAAAGCTTTCATTTGTGTCGTGTTTTTTCTTTTTGTACATTTCATTTTCGGTGTGAAGTGTGGATTTTTCAAAAGCTCTGTAATCGTCCGTCGAGCAGAACGCGCTCACTCTTCTCGACGCCAATACCAACCTGCTAGGACGACGCCTGCCCACCGGTATTTTTCGTTGACAAACTTTACTCAAGATTTCTCGCTTTACAGACAGCAACGTCTGCTCAGTGACTGTATCAATTAGCAACAAACTCTTGTATCAAATTGTTAAGGGTTATCGTTATTTATCGTGCTTCTACCTTCCTTGTATCAATCGCAACAATGAGACTTTATTTGATTCGGCCGCATGGCAATGCAGGCAACGGCTTTATCTGCATGTCTTTCATTTCCCCCGCGGACGAGGCACAACAAAAACTGCGATTAGTTTCTGCGTCGCACCGACCGAGGATTTGATGGTTCTTCTTCTTCTTCTTGCAGACCTATTCTTTACTCATCCGCCGCTGCTTCCTCCTCTTCATCGGGTTTCTCCTCATCAACCGGGTCTGGCGGTGGCACATACCTGCGCTCCTCCTCCCGCCGGGCCAGCTCGGCTTGGTCGAGCTCCGCCTGCTTCTGCTCGAGCTCGGTAAGGACTTTTTTCCTGCTTGTGAAGCGCTCCATGCAATTGGTGCGCACGAGGTCACTGACGATCGCGTCGTTCCTTTTGCAGTCCGCGAGCTTCTTGGTCGTCTGGGTAAGCACCTTTGATGTTTGTCGAGTTTCTTATTTCACTTTGCGTTTATTCCAGGTAGAGGTTCATCATTTTACATGTACTCGTCGGCAGTGATAAAGTGCCGCACGGTCTTTTTTCAAAAATATGACGCGCGCCACAATAAGCCTCTTTAAATCTGTTGCTATGGGTCTTCTTCAAAGCCGAAACGATCTCGCATCAGGTTCAGGAATTCAAAAGGCTATACGCCGTCATTGGAAAAACAATGTGGAGCAAGCTTCTTCTTGGCATTGGAAAAAACAACAAGTTACAGAATATCCCTAGTAGGTACCCAAGGCAGAAACTCGGCGGCGATGATTCTTCTCTCTGCAGCAGGAAAAAGCCCGTGGTCGGCCTGCACACTCTCCAGGGCACCGGAGCACAATCCCGAAAGATACCGCTTGGAGGCGTATTGGCAGAGAATTTTCTTGCGCAACTCGCTCTCCCGGGCCGCTATCCTCTTTCGCTTGAGCCGCTCGGTGGCAGCCATGCTGTGTAGTTGAGTGCGAGAAGCAAGGTGTATGTTTGTAGCTACGACCTTTATTCGTGTTCGTGAGAAAATCATCCCCTCCTATATCGAATTCGAAATTCATTATGTCACACCAGCTCACACAAAAATATCGAACGATTTCTTACCGCGCCCTCTCGGCTTCTACTTCGGCAAGCTCCTCTTCGCGGCGTATTCTGCAATCCTCGAGCCAGGATGACTTGTACGCCGTCATTGCTTGCATTTCGAGCTCCTCCTCCACTTCCATTACAGCTTGTTCAATCGTTTTTGTAACCAGGACCTGCATTTCGTGAGAGAAGCATCCATTCCAAACGAAATTGAAAAGTGTCTTTATTTCAACTGTACGATACTAACATCAAAGGAGCATGAGCATGAATATACGGATGCGCCGAACACACGCGGTTATTCAAATCGAATTCACATGAAAACAATGATCTTGTGTACATTTAGCACGGGCTCGATTTCGGTGTCAAATTTGAAAAGCTCTCCCTCCGGTATGTGTGTTGCCGCGTCCACCCCGGTCTTTTTTGGGACGAACTTCGGCTCTGGCGGCCGGGGCTTGAAATTATCTGTCTGTGAGCTCTCCGAGGCATGGTGCAGCTGGGGCCGGGGTTCCACGAGATGGCTGTGAAAATGTTTGAAAATTGAATCTTAATCCAGGAAATCGTCAAAAAGGATACAGGTCGAAACAGGATCAACGAGCGGAATCGAAATCGATCGCACAATGCATATGCATTACGGCAAACGAAACTACGGTTTAGTTGTTTCATTACCTGAGCAAGTCGACGGGGATTCTTTCTGGCTTCGGCAGGTCGATAGAAAATGGATTTGCAGCTTCGGGCTCTGTTCTCTTTTTTACTCGCTTTGGACTTCTCTGTGGTCCTGCTCCCGGTCTGCCGTTGGCATACGTACTTCCCCGATATACCTGACATACAGACGGTGGTAGCTGTCGCATGGACTGCTAGAATCAATCAACAAGACGACCACATTTATTGGTAAGAAGAAGAACGGTGACATTCAATCACGCGCATGCGGGAAGCCAAGGCCGGTCGCATGCGGGAAGCCAAGGCGTTCCTGATCGCGTATCCCAGCTAAAACAACATCACACATAGCAATCAAAAAAGCCCTGAACATGATCACATTGACATTTTGGAAAAAATGCTGGAATCAAAATAAGTACTCGCTTGTCCTGGTGGATATTCGCGAAAAATGAACCATCTTCGGGTGGTTCCTCCCGGTAGAGCTGCTGGTCCTGTTGATTCACCATCTTGTTCTCGCAAAAGCAGCGGTCGGCCAGTGCGACACTTGCTTCTCCTGACTGTCTTTACCGTTGCGCACAGGCTTTTCGTGATCCTACGTGGAGTGCGGGAATGTACTTATTTCCGCTGCTTCTCGGACCCTTCACGCTGGTGCAGGGACGTTCTTTTCGTTGCGGTTCTGCTGTAGCCTGAGCTGAACGTTTACCACCTATCCCGGCCAAAGAGAAGATGAACCCCGAAGCGGCGAGACCGCCCGAATGGCGTGCAGCCGCTCGCAGCGACCATTAGTCTTTGAAGTTCTTGCTATACTTTTGACAGGTTATTTTCTTGTTAGCGTTATTCCGTCAAAAACTGTTTTTTTTCTTTTCTCCTGTGGGCGTGCTCGTCCGACATCATCCATACTTGTCACGAAACGCACGAATTTTATTCGATGGATTTCCGTTTCCACCATCATGTTGTTTTACCTTGGATTCAGGGACAGTTCGACTCTCGACTGTCTTCAAGCACGATTCGATTCACTCTCCTCTGGCAGCCAAATACGATTTTCGAAATCTCTCGAGACGAGTATAAGTTCGACAATGACAACAGGCCGCAGCAGTGGCGATCTGACCGCGCCGAGCTGCTGAATAAGGCCCTTCGATGCTGTCAACGACGGTGAAAACGAAGTGTAAATGCAGTAGAGAACAGGCGAAAAACACAACAGACATGTATGTACTTAATCATTTACTCGCGTGTATTTGATTCCATGTGTAAAAGCACAGAGGCTTTCAACGCAGTTGGATTCGGAGCGACTTGGGGTGTCGAGGCAATTATTAGCGGTCCACTGCTTGATGGGGATCGACATCAAACAAAAGGTGCAGGCCAAATACTGAATGATGAGGGAAACGCTAAACACTCCAAGTACTTGATGAAACGTCTTTTTCTTTAACCTTATCTTGATACTTCTTGTATTTCGGCAGATATGGCACTTTCACTTGGGGTAGCTAAAGGTATCGATCAATGCACAAAATGAATGAACAACTTTCAGATGTATGTGGTTTGTTAGAAAAAGGTAGGTAGGTATAGAAAATATGAAAACTAGAAAAACTGAACCAACAAGTCCAGAAGCCAATCGATGTCATTCTCATCTTGGTTCGCATCGATTGAAACGCACAAAGTCATAAAGCCTCGTCCCCCCAGACCATTTTGGTCGTTACCGCTTCCGACGTGCCCGAGCTAAAACGGCAGAGACGAAGACGCTATGCAATGCAAAAATCTAGTCAGGGTCGTATCTGGGGAAGCATATGCAACGAATACATGGGCTTGTTGACTTCCCACTCCCAGCAAACTAACGCACTAGAGAGTAGTCCTGAGCACATTCAGAACTGTATCTGGTGAGAAAGCACTCCTGTTGTTGTTGGGTGGCACTGTCTTTTCGGTCAAAGATACATCAATATAAAGAATCCAAGATCGCGCAGTATCTACGGTGTCTTTGTTTCAAATATTGTCGAGACATGGATATAATCAACAAACGAAGAGGCTGCTTGCGCACGCAAGAAGGAACGGCAAACCGTGACAAAACTACAATTGCAATCATTTACATGCAGTTTTTCGTTTTTGTTCTTTTTGTTTGTTTTTCCCTGACCTTGACATACATGTTTGCACGCGATAATCTCCCAGACTTGCTGGTCGACGTCATCGTAGTTCGTCGGCTCTTTCAGCGTATCACAAGCGAGTCGCCGTTCAAACTCGGGAGTGCACTTGCCATCCCAGTCGAAAAGGACCGCGCCTTCGGCATACGGGTTGTTCCAGGTCGGTGTCGCTGTACAGTCGTCATTGGGCTCGCGCGTATGCAGAAGGAATTGTCAGTCACCTCCAGGTACCGTGATCATCATGGTCGTCAGTGCATAGCAAGTCTTGAATATCACTGTTTCTGAACATCCAATGCGAAAGAACAGCATCGGGCTCTGCTAAAGCTTGCTTCCCTTTTTTGCGCGAGAGACGCAAAGCATGTCCCATGATTTCTATGGACAGAAACAAAAACAGTCTGAAACTTTATTTATATTTTCTCAGTGCACTACCATATTACAACAATCACGGACCTTCTGAGGTGGCTGATTTTTGATCCTTAGTCTCTCCAGTCGCCCTCGCCCGGGTCATTCTTCCAAGCATTGTTTCCGGGTCCTGTGTTGGGCCAGCCCCAGTTCAGGAAGTTCAGGCACCCAGCCTGAAACGAGGCACCGCTTGGCATGTCATTGTGCTTTCTGCTGCTCAGCTCCTCGCAGATTTCTTTGGCAGTGTCCTTGATTTCGCCGTCTTTGACGTAGCCGTACAACGCCAAATCTTGAATGGTCATCATCTTGAACGCGAGTTTGATGCGCTCTTGCTCGCTCAGCGACTGATCCTCGGAGTCGAAATACCCTTTCTGAAAGGGGTTCAGTTTCTGCTTGCACTCGCACCCGTACTCATAACGAGCTGAACTGGCTGCCTCAGTATCGAAGCCCGGCGCTGCAATGTCCAGGTGCCGGTACGGCGCTTTGCACAGTATGCAACTAGAAAGCGCCCCGGACCCAAAGTCGTACTTGACAAACTTCAGCATTTTTAGCATCGCAAAGGTGGACGTTCCAAATGCAAACTTGTTTTCTGTTCAGAGCCCAAACGCGCACGAAACCTGTTACATTGCAAATCCTGCACCTTCTGCTCCTCTGTCTACGGCTTCTACATCTACGCCACGCATTTCTACTTCAATTCTATGCTCCTCTGAACAATTGAAGACTACTCAGCCTGCATGTGCTGCTACATGCAAGATGAACATTCAAGATTCACCGGCGAAGCTTCGCATGGAAAACCTTTGCTTCTATCTTGTTCTGGGTTCGAGACAACTCTACTTTCCAATGTGATAAAGAGCGGGTTTGCATCTCCCTGACAACTGTTGGTCACCCGCACCATCACGTTGAAGTCTTCGCCCCCGAGCGAGTCGCGGTAGCGCACCATGAAGCAGTACGGGCGGGGGTCCGGATGCCGAGCCGGATCGAGGTCCTCGATTTCCAGTTGTCGCAAGAAATCCGAGGCAGCTGCGGTAACCCACAGCTTTTCCCCGTAGGCGCTTTTTTCCGCGTCGGTTGGGGCATACGGTGCGAAGCTCGGATTCGCAACTTTCAGGTGGCCATCGCCAATTTTTGCACACCCAGGCATGGTACAGCAATCCCAGTAATGAGAAAGACCAAACTTCTGGTCCCAAACCAGTTTGTCGATGTGCCCGTACGTGTCAGTTCCCGGATGTGTCAGCACGCTCGGTAGTGTACTCGTGGCAAATGGGTCCTGGCCGACTTGCAGACGAAACTCCGTACCGCTCGATGCCTCCATCGGCCAGGGGGATGCGGTGGAATTGCTGCCGCATTGAACTTCCTCGACCGCACCAGCACCAGCTAAATTGGCTTGTTCCAGCAGCTCAGGAGTACAGCACTCCCAGTCATTCACGTCTTCCCCAATTTGCTGGACGAAGGTGCAGCAGTTGGTGGCCGCACTGCAAGCACTCCAATACTCATTTTTTTTGTGGCACGTCAGTCCTGCGCAGCAGCTTTTCTCGAGACAACTTTCCCCGCTTTTGTCGTCAGCACAGTCTGCGGCTTCTGAGGAACCGGTGCCAGTACCACCTCCGGATGGTGAAGGATTTGGCGAGGGCGGCGAGGGCCCCGGACCTTCGGGTGCGGGAGTTGGAGCGCCAGAGGTACCACACTCCGGGCTCACACATCCAGCGCAGGGGAAGTTGTCCTGTCCGCAGGCGGGACGGCACATCGCGGTGAAGGGAAGATTGGCTGCTGCGTCGGCCTGGTAGCAGTAGACTCCGGCGTTCTCCAGGCAGCACCGGTTCTGCGTTTGGTCGCAGTCCTTGGCGAAAAAGCCGTCCGTGCACGTGTTTTCCGAAATCGTCGGAGGGATGTCGCCGTCGCTCTTGAACAGTTGGCGATACGCCGGGTTTGTGTCCTTGTCGAAGACCCACGCGTAGGTCGCGTCTTTGTGAGGGACGCACATCGCAAAATACGCATCGAAAACGACAACGCACGCGTCCAGCGCGGAGGCACAGCACCGTTCGTTCTGGCAGCTCATGAACGTGAAAGCGCAACCGTCTCCGTTGCTGCCCAGCCCCGCTGGATCCAGAATCATAGCCTCGTTCTCCAGAAACCAGGCCGGCCCCCCGAGCTGCGACGTTGCAAGAGTGCCGTCGTTGAGCGCCTCCTCCGAATCGCCGCACATAGCGCCGCAGCTCCTCTTAAGACCAACTTGCACGAAAGCGGACGTCTCGTTCACGAAGTTTTCAGGAACACCACCATCCTCCACGGAGGCCCGGCCGCGATGCAGTTTCGGGTTCAAATTCTTCCCAGCCGACCGCCCCGCTTCCGTGGTCTTTAAGATCGTGCGCTGTTTGTGCTTCATCACCTTCTCGAAGCTCAGAGCGGCGACATGAACTGTTACGAGCGCGGACCACAGGGAAGTAGCAACTAGCCTGTTGCCGCGCCGAAACACGATGATGCCGCTCCTGCTGCCCACTTCCATCATTTGATATCGTTTCTAGATGAAAGTAATGGGGAAAGGAAAGGTGATAGCGCAGCTTCAAAGTGATTGTTCTGTTTCTTATCAAAGTGGAAACAGATTGAGGAACTTACGAAAGGGACAACTGCAGGACGTCTCAGAAAATTCCGCTTCCACTGGGAATCGCAGACCTGTATTCAATCTGAATCTTGAACAATATGCGAATGGCTCGAAGCTTGGTTTGACGTGGGAACCCTTCGCCGTGGTGGAAGAGCCTAGCACTAGTACAGAAGTGAAAGGACAACCTACTACGAACTCACATTCTACGACGTCTTCGTACTACATGTCAAGTACGACTACGAATACGCACGAAAAACGCATGATTAGTGGGCTACACGTCGTTGTGATGCCCGACGGTCTGGCACACGTAGTGTGTACATGGGCATTCTGATGAACGAAATACACAAGAGCTCGCAGGAATTTTGCTGACTTTACAAAAGTAGCTGAGATCACGAGAGAACAGAGCAAAAATTGCCACAGGTGGGTTGAAGACTTGTACTAAACACGTATCTCAGCACTGCTTTTTCTTTGTTCAGTGAGTCGAACGATTGGAAGCGAAAAACACAGCACGGGACTCCATGTCCATACGCTTATGATTATGAAAAATTAGGCGTATGGCTCAGGAGTTTCTGATGAAAGCGGTCTCGATACAAGCCCGCCGATCCAGAAAAAGTATACAAAGAACAGGACTCCAAAGTGTTTCTCTCTTGTTTGTAGCGCTACCTATCCATGCAGGTAAAAAATGTTAAGGCTAAAGCTTATCCTCCAGCTGATCGGCTAGGAAAGAGAGATTACTAGTTCCTACTTGATCGGTTTGTCGCAGTTGGCTCTCCCAGTCCACCTGCGACAGCGCGGCGCCGCTCGGGCTCCGCTCCTGTTTACCTGGATACGAGTTCACCTCAGCACCCTGTTGCGTTTGGGGGCTCGCCGCAGGCCGAACAAGCTTCGCCCGCTGTAGCAAGTTTGTGAGCATCGGCGTGGGCGTCGGGACCACCGGAGGCGTGGTCGCTTTAACACTAGGTGCTGGAGGTGGAGTCTTGGACCGGTTCCTCCGGAACCTGTCCCAGAACCGAGGTTTTGGGTTGCTGTCTGCGACGGCTGGAATTGCCGGAACGAGTTGCTGTGCACCACGTTGGCTCCTTTTCACTGAACCGATTCGGGTTCCGGCAGAGCTGGCTTCCGTGCCTCCTGGACCTCCTTCTGCTTGGCGCTTGCCTTTCAGCTTCTTCTTTCTCGCCGCGTCTGGTTGTCCAGGGGAACCCTGCTCTGGCGAAGGAACAGGCGGAGACTGCGGAAGAGCGGAAGATGAAGATGCAGAATCCTGTGCAAGTTGCTCCTGCAGTGCTTCTGCTTGCTTGTCCGATTTGTGCTTATCCCCATGATCGGTTCTTTTGCTCGTCTGCTCCCCGAGAGCAGCTTGTTTCGACGAGGCCGCGGAACCTCCCGTCGACGGATCGTAGGAGTGATAGTCGGATGAAGACTCGGCCATCACCTCGGCGTCCTCGGCGTCGCTCAACGACCAGGCGGCCGCGGAATGACGGTCAGTGCCGTAAAGACAGTGAAGCAACAGATATACCATTCCGGCGATCAGGACCACCGCGGCCGCAACCAGGAGGAGTGTGCGCACGTTGCCGGACTCCGACCCTCGTGGCACGATAGCGCTACGCAAGGCAGAAGGGGAGTGCAGCATTCCGGCCTCTTCCGGCGGCGCTGGCAAGTTGTATGCAGTTGAAAATCGCCGCTCGTTCAGCGAGCAACAGTGCGCAGTTTTCCTTTTGATTTCAGCTTTACTCGCCAGTCGCGCAACAACGAAAGATCTACAGACATGAACTCAGAAGAATGCAATCCGTGTCGGTTCTCACAGGCCTCATGCACATAAAAATGCAGAAATGTATGCGAAAACTTACGCAAAATCGTGTGCTGCTGATCGAAGACCGATTTTCATTTCAGTAGCTTGTCTTCATTGGTTGCATTCGCGAAGTACTCTAACATTAATTCGTCCGGCACGCAGAGTCTTTCGCTTTCGTTCTTCACATCTCGCACGCAATGCTCCATTTCGAGTTGACAACACTCCGCATCGGTGCACTTCCCCCAGGTCTCGCTACAATCACCAGTTGTACTCGCGTTGGCCATTGCAGAGACTACAGGGAGGCCTATGTGCCCAGCTATTTCTGGCAGCACGCCTCCATCGGTAAGATTTGCGTTTCCTTCAAGGCGGTTGATCGCTGGTGGGGCACTGGTGCTCATAATTGTCCCCGTCGCATTGGTGCTTGTGGCGGCAGGGGTGTTCATCTCGGTGTCAGAGGACGTCGGCGCTACTGTGCTGGTATTCGACGAACCAGTCGCGGTCATGTTGGATTCAGACGCTGCTGTGCTTGTGCTCGCACTAGTACTGCTGTCGGTAGCGCTGGATGTTGGCATGGGGGTGGTTATGGGGGCGGTAGCTGTCGTGGGCAGAATTGTGGCTGTGGGAGTGACGGTAGAAGTAGAGGTGCTGGAGGTGGGAACTGTTGTGGTGGCTGGGATAATGTTGGTGGGGGTACTAGTACGAATTGTAGGAGTAGGTGTGGTGGTGGTCTTGACAGGATTGGTGATCGGGACTGCAACATCGAGAGACGGAGCCTCCGTGACCACGCTTGTTTGGTCGGAAGTCGGAAGAGTTTGTCGCGGCACGCATTTTCCGTCGACGATGACCAGGTTTGGCTCCTCGCCCTGCACGACCCTTGCGTGCCAGAGCTGCAAGGGGCCCAGAGCAAGTTTCGACCCCGCCAGGTCCCCGATCCGCTGGCTGAACCTACCCTGCTGGACCGGCACAAAGCCCGTGGACAGCGAGACCCCAATCTGCACCCCGTTCTGTCTCATCTTTTCGTAAAACCATGCGCGGGGCAGCGAGTAGTCCGCATAAACGGGGGCAGTCGGCGACGGTGCGCCATGGCCCGACAACGTCACGCCAAACGGTGTAGCCTCTACCACTTCCTGCGAATCGCTTTTATTATCTACCGGCGTGAATACCTCGCTGAACACGAAGTCGTCGTTCGGCAGACCGGTGCGCGTTTCCAACAGTAGCTCGCCGGTGGTGCTGGGATCCAGCTGCCAGGTGTGCGCTGCCGTCTGGATCGCGCCGCCCGTCTGACCCGTCCTATCCAGTTCGGGAAAAACGGCGGTCCCACTGGCGGCGCGCCCTGCTTGGAGAGGGTTGGCATTCCCGTTCATGTCCACGAGAGTAAGTTGCAGACACGAGGCAGTCCGGAACTTAAATGCGCCGTTTCGGTCGTGCTTCCAGCGGTAGCCGCACCACGGCCGACCCGTCGGCCCATCATCGTCCAGTGGGGCGACGAACCACGCAATTTGAAAGTTCACGTCGGGCTTTACCTTTCGCGCGTCGAACCGGACGGTCATGCGCGGCCGCGACGATTGCGATTCAACCGCCGGCGGCCCAAAGTCGAAGGTCTGCTTCGTCCTGCACCGGACCGCCGAGGAAGGCCGTTGGATTTGCATCTCCGGCCCATCATCTTGCGAAGAGCGAAAACTTACAGACGCCTTCGGGCCGGTCGTGGGGCAGTTCAAGAAGTCATCGGCGCCCAAACAGTACCCGTCGATTCTAGGCACAGCTTTGGTCTCGTGCAAGAGTGTAGTTTGTCTCGCGAGCGCCTGTTTGCCTTGTGTTTTTCGTGATGCACTGACTTGCAGAAGATTTTGTCCCCCATTGTGTTGTCGTAAATGATTCTCCCACGAACGGTCCTCGCGGTGGCTTTTCTCAATGTCGGCAATCATCCGAGGTTTTTCCTCATGGTCCTTCGATGCGCCAGATGCTCTGGGCGACGAGGTCGAAGGCAAAGAAGTTTCTCCTTCCTGTTGATCCTGTTCCGATACCGAATTCTGCCTTTTCGTTTTCCATTTCTGCAAAAAATGAATTCTCGGCTTTATTCTTGATTTAGTTCTTCTGTGCGTCACTGTGGTCCCGCCGCCCATCAACGTCTGGCCGCGCAGCACTAAGCCACGTCCGTCCTCGTTATCATTCCCTTTCCCTCGGGCATACGTCGTGGCACTAGAAGCCACGTCGACGGGAGGCGCAACCACTGTGTCTTCCACCTCTTCGGGAGCCGCAACGAATCTGGCACCAGCACCCTCTTCCTTGCTGTCTGTCGGCCTGTTTCGTATGTCCTCACTGTCTATGGCACTGCGCGTATCTTCGCGATGACGACCAGATTTGATCTTGGTGTTCCGCAGCCGGGATTGCACAGCCGCGACGTACAGGTGGACAGCGTTGAAACCAGTGCAAGAACCGCTGGGGAAAACCCCTTGTCCCAAAAACCGCGCCAACAAAGACGTCAGCATCGCTGAGTTGTGCAGAACCAGCACAAGGATGAAGCGAACGACTGAAGAAATCATGGCAGGCTCGTCAAATAGTTGACGCCGTGGTGGGTCGAGGAGAGACGCTAATGTGGTTGGTTTATGTTGACTTCTTATATGTATCTATCTTCTAAAAAAATACTCCCTCCATGATAACGGTCTTCCTTGGCAAATGAAGCAAAGACATGTCAACATGATGATTAATCATTACAACAACGCGCTACGAGAGGACCTGAAAAATTGCCGGATTCAAATAAATTTCAAGTTGGCTCGACGTAAAAGACGACACATCACGAATCGCGGTGAAGTGGTACGAAAGAAGAAGACAGGGACGATTGAGTTCAGAGTGCACGCAGGTTGGACACACCTTCTTTGTAGTACGAAATCTTCACGATTCACCAGGACCTGCACGACAAAGTCAACTATGACTATCTGCACGACGATATATACAAAAGTCTGCTTCATCGTGTCGGTTCCTTCATTTCCGACCAAAACATGAGGCAATAAACCGCGGCGGACTAGTTCCGTGCTACAGCTCTCAAAAAAACCTAGACCGCTAGCTGAAACAAGAGCAACGAGCAGTTCTAGAAAAAACACACGCCATCTTCTCGCGACTTCTGATCGCTACAAGAAGATGTTCCATACGCTTTCATAGGGTATTACTTGACCCGGGATCGATCACAACTGCTTTATTATGCGTACTCGTACAGCAGCGCCTACGAGTGAAATAAGTAAATTTATTCATGTTCGCAAAGCTCATTGTCCTGTATCTGTTTCCTCGACATTATTGGACGGGTCTTGGTTACCCCAGGTCCAGATCTGGAGCCTCCCCCTTCGAGTGCTTGCGCGTTGTAGGCTCCCGATTCTATGAAGCCTGGTTAATACCCGCCGGCTCCTGCTCCTGCTGCGGAGCGGATTCCTGTGCAATCACGCTCAAGGCTGTTGCGGTTGTCACCTGAGTCCCTGTTCGCGCTAGATTCTTCGGCCCGCGCACACGTGGAACCAACGCAGGCACACCGTCACGGCCCGAAGACGCGTTCCTTGCTGCGCTAATTCTATCCATGCCGCTCGTGCGCAGTAACTCCCGTGATGCAGTCCGCCGCATTTTTCTGTTCTGCAAGCTTGATCGACCCCTGGAAGATCCAGAACCTTGTTGCCGCAAGAGAAAATTGGGTACGACGCCGGTACCTTGCAAAGGCTGCCTTCCTCTCGTTTGCATGATATCGCTTTTGAAAGCCGGAGCTGCACCCGCCGACTGGTGACTGATCGACACTTGCGCATCAACTGTCCGCGCCGGCGTCAATGCTGCTGGAGGAGACGACGCACCTTTGTTTCCTGTCAGGTCCTCCCTGGGAGTTTGTCTCGGTGTTTGCTCGTCCTCATCGGTAGTTCTCGAACCACTTGTATCAGCATCAGAGACCGCAACCACACCATCCGAGCTTTCTCCAGCGCCTCGTCTCCGTGCTGGTTTATTCGCGAATGTCGGAGATGAAGTCTCAGTTCCGTAAGAGCCGGCGCCTGTCCCCTTCAACCTGGCTTTGAACTTTAGTGCCGGCACAGCTGATTGCGCCGTTGCCCATGGCTTGTCGACCAGCACCGCACTTTCGACTATGTTACTTTCGCGATTACTCGTAAATCTATTTCCGGGTCCATCTAATGCCAAAGAGCCACCAGGAGTCGAGGACAGTGTTGATGCTGTCGGTCCGCGGCTACCAGATAGCACCATCTGCGGTGTGTCTGCTGTCATATTTCTGGATGTCTGCTCCCTCGTAAGTGAACTTTGTCCCCGAGGGATGATCATCGCGCTGCCCTTCGAAAGCTTCCTACCGCTCTTCCTCTTCACGCTCCGTTTTTTGGACGAGGTCCGCGGTCGCCCCCGTTGGCTGTCGTCGTTCCCAGACTGACCTCCTGGAACCGACGTCGTGTCAACCACTTCTAGGTAGTTGCTGTCCATCCCGGCAAACGCAGAGGAGGATTCGCTCACTACGATCGCGCCGCTCCCATACTCCGAGCTCCGAGCCGCAGAAAGTGTGTGCCTCATGGCGTGGACACAGGTTCCAAGAAGAATCACCCCGCCTAGTACCAGCAGCGATATGCCCCACCAAGATTCATACCAGCCTTGTTGCCGAGGAATATCTTTCGGTGAACCACTGTTGTTCGTGGTCGCAGTGCCCGTTCTTGCGTTCTTATACTGCTCCACCTGAACGGTCTTGCCACTACTAATACTCGCCCCTACTTGCGACGATGGCAGTGTTCCTGAAACAACTCCAGGCGTTGAAAACTGTGCTGCCGTCTGCTGCACCAAACTAGTGCGAGTAGCCTTGTGCTCATGCTCCTTCCAATTTTTCGGCTTGTTGTGTGCTGCTTCCGACTTAAGGACATCTTCACCAGGACCAAAAGGTGTCACGTCGTTCTTTTCTACGTTGTCTGAAGTGCCGCGGGCAGCGTGACCTCCCGCAGATGGAAGCTGTGCTGCTGAGGCTGGTAATATTGCAGCGCCGCGCGATCCTGCCTGTGGTTTTGTTGTGTGACTCTGCTGCACGAATGTCCCTTCATCTGTCCCTCCAGAGATTGGGAGGCCAGCGGTCGTCGTCCCTTCAACGCCATCGAGCGTCCCTTTCGGGTTCTCAACTGTCTGACTGGCGCTGGTGTTCTCCGATAAATTATCTTGTGATCGACGCGGATCTGGATGGGGATATTCGTCTGCCGCAGCGACAGGACGATTAATATCTTCTCTTGATACAGAAGCAGATGCTGAGGACGCTCCTGCCGTTCCTTTTCCACCTTCAGCCTGAGCGATAAAGATACCTCGGGAACCTCTGTTTATTATCTTTGTTGCTTCCTGATCCTTGCTAGTGTTGCGTGTCCTAGCATATGGCAATTTGGATTCAACATCGCTCGGCGTAGTTCCGCTGGCTCCGTGGTCCTCGTGCGGGGACAGGTAAGACGTCGCTCGGACTACTCGAGATCGAAGAGTAGTTTTTATACCAATCAGCTTCCTTTTGGCGGGCCAAGGTGCGACAACGTTTTCACCACTTTCTTGCTCGCCCCCTCGTACTATTCTGTTGCTAGTTTGTTCCGTCCCACCGGCTGGTCTGTCCTCTGTAACAGCTACGCCGTAGTTCCCTATTGATCTCGGTTTTGACCCGTGCTGCGGAGGCTCTGCTCTTTCCACCAACTTCCCGCCCGAAGTTGCAGCATCTCCTCGGCGCCGAACGGGCTTGTACAACTGAAGACCCAACGCACCCAGACAAAGCCGTTGCCCAGACAAGAAAGCGCCTCGGCGAAAAATTTCATCGGCGAACAACGAAAAGCAAATGAGCCCCAGAAACGAAACCGCACGAGGCTGGAATGCGATTGAGGAGCTATGTCTAGTGCTAGTCATGCTCAAAAATAAAGCAGAAACAAACAAGGGAGGTAGCTAGAAGTAGGGTATTTCGAAGAAAAATAATCGCGCAGCCAGGTGGTCTACAGTTGTACTAAGATATTACCAATCTACGTACGATAGCACATCGGCAGGGGGGAGCAACTAATTTTCAGAGGAGGAAGTAATAGTAAATCACTGAGAAGAGCCGCGGGGAGAAAATAAAATTCAAGTGGCAAGTCGTACGAACCGGCAGCCTTGGCACTGGGTGGTAGAGGACTTCTTGGGAGACAGCACAACGCATCAACGAGTCCCGATGCGTGGTCAAAGAAACTCGAAGCTGCGACCTACAGAGATTGTACAACGTGAACGATCTTGATCGCACGAGTCCGACGAGAGGACCACAGTCTGCAGAAGCAAGAACTGAAACGAGAATAATTGAGTGCATGTATTGGGTGATGTGGGTTTGCACGACAACGAGGCAACACGAAGCCAAGCGCACGAACGTAAAGACAGGCAATCGAAGTGCACGAAACGGAAATCGTGTACAACCGACAAACAGCCCCAACTGTTTTTTAACGATCAGCAAGAAGGAAAACAAACCAATTTCAGTGCATTCAGAAAATCTGGGGTCTTGATCCAGACTCAGCAGTATGTCGAACTAATTGACGGCATATCGCGCTCGAGATGTAGTCATGCAAATACCAATTCACATTCTACGTCATCATGATCATCATTCCATCGTGACGAACTGATTATACATTTTATTTCCATTGGGAGCCGGAAACGCGGACAAGGCCAAAGTATAGACTTTCTGGGGTTGATCTGTCTGGAGCTCTGAGATCGATGAAGACGAGCAGTCCTGATAAAAAACGTAAAGACCCCTTCAATGTGAATAAGCTGTCGACCCTCCTACTCTGTCAAGGTCTCAAGATCTTCCGAGTCCTCTGCAGCAGCGTCGTGACTGTCGCGCTTAGGAGTTTCTTGTGGCGGGTCGGCGGCAGATTGACTTTCGCGCTTCGGAGTTTCTTGAGCAGGTGCCTCCTCCGCGGCAGACTGTCTGTCGCGCTGCGGAGTTTCTTGAGGCGGCTCTGCAGCAGAAGATGATTGATTGTCGCGTTTCGCAGCTACCCCTCCTATGCTCGCTTGTTGCAGGCAAGCGCCCGATTGCGAACCAAATCCGAAAAATTTTATGCTGCCCGGGACTGCTTCGTCGTCGGTCCCGGTCCCGCCGATCGAATGCTGTGCGTTATCGCGTCCATCCAAGATCACAGAGCTGCCAATCCGGTCTTTATTTGACGGCCGCTCGGTGCTTGGCGGTTTTGCGGCGCTACCCTCCTGCACGAGTCTCTCCTCCGCCGTGTTGCTACCGCGGCCCCAAGAGGCGCGATGATGCTTCTTTTTATCCTCCTCGTGATCAGGAAGCTTCGTAAACGAGGACGCTGCGCTGACAACTGCTGCGGCTTTTTGTGAGGATCCTACGGGCCCGCTGGACGCAGATCTTACGTGTGGATGCACTTCCTCGTTGCTCACAGACGCGTTGTACACAATGACGCCCACCGCGAGAAACACAACTATCGCGAGCGATACGCCCAGCACCAGTCCGATGCACGTACTACTACAACTCTGATCGACATCGCCTTTGTTTGGGGGGCTCTCGTCTGCATGGCGGCCCCCGCCTAGTTGCTGTTCCTCCTCTTCTTGTCCGTGCTTATTATTTGCTTCCCCGTTCCCATTTTGATCCTCCTGGTGGTTCTCGTTGTAAACCACCTCGTCACTACTACTTTTCAAAGCTCGCGCTGTCTCTAGCGTGCTGTCTCTAGTGTGCTGGTTCTCCTCGCAACAGACCCGCGCGCACAGAGTCCTCACGTCCTCTCTTCTTTTTACCCCGGCGGACAAGACGAGGTCGCTCATGTCGGCGGGCAATATATTCGGACAAAACTCCGCTGGACCGTGCAGCTGCAAATACTTCTTCACTACAACAGCCCCAGCCTCTTGGTCCACCCGGTCGTCGGGACACTCGCCGCAAATAGGGTGGCACCCTCGCTCCCCGCGCTGCGGCCAGTCGGCGCGCGGCGCAAAACCGGGCACGCAGCTCGAGCAGTGCTGCTGCCCCTCAAAGGAACACCTGCCACCAGCCGTGTCAACATAGCCGTTGCTGCACGCGCAACCACCAGCAGTGGAGGGGCTCGTGTCGTCTAGCTTGCTCAGCCAAGCCCACCATGCGGTGGTGGGCGAGAGTGATGGAGATAACTCTTCGGGAGCACCAACTTTTACAGCAGGAACAGTGTCGATTACTTGTCCGGGAAAAAGTGCAACAATAGGTGTAGGTAATTTCACCCCAACGTTTGCACTAACTTCCGTCTTGGGCCCGCAGCAGCCGAGTCGCACACCTTCTTCGGTGGGGCAGCACCTCCCCCTAAGGCCTGCGCACTTTGGGTGCGCACTGCACAGCACGTCGGGGTCGCCAACGAGAAGTTCCACGCTGCAACATTTCAGTTCCATCCCGTTTGCGCCGTCGGTTGGGCAACAGTTACCCTCGGTGAAGCCGGCACTCACACAGTTTGGATGAATACTGCAGGCTGCATTCGTATTTGCGCCACCGGATGAAGACAGTGAGACAAACGAGGGGGCCTTTTGCAGCTGCAGTTCAATCATATCATCATCGCTTCTGTGGCTGCTACTTGTTCTTCCGATGTCTACTTCCGTCAAGGGGGGCTCCAGTCCCCTCCTCAGGCCCAAAAGAGGTTTCTTTTCTGGGCCGCGAATGCTGTGGAAGCGATCTTTACTTTTTTCTCGCACGGACTCTAGTTCCCGACTCCGCGGTGGGCGTGACTGCCTCCTCGTACTTTTTCGCGAAGCTAGAAATGAGAAAGGTCGCGACCGAGTGGATCTGCCGGTGCGCTTTGCTTCCACTTGTCGCAGAGACGAGGATGGTGTGTTTGTCGTGACTACCATCGCGAACGCACCTGTGATTACCGGTGAAGATGGCATCTTCTGAACGGAGTTCGGCCAAGCGGCAGTCAGTCGCACTCGGTCGTGCGGGTGGTGCGGTCCGCTTGATGTCCCCGGGCTCGTTTGCGTCCTGTGGGCATGGTCCTGGTATTGTTCGTTGTCCTGCGTCTCTCCGATTCTGGACGACCAAATCGTACTGCTCCAGAACAAGAAGGCGACCCGCCCTACCCACGTGCACAACTTGAACGCATTCATCACGAATCTAGACGCAGACAGATCTAGAGAAACTTCTCTTCTTGTCTTTTCATGTCAACATAGCTCTGTTGGTCGTGCAGAAAAGACAAACGACAAACGACGGACAGGACAAAGTAAACGCAACAATCAACTACTACTTACGGAGACGGCCAAAAAGGCGGAAAAGGTAGAATGAAAACATAGAAATGAACGTAAAGCCTACGGGGAAAAATAGAAGCAGAGGCTGTATATACTTCGGGTTAGCACCTGCTGTACCTCAGTTTATTATTGCAGCATTCCATTGAATCCATCCGTTGAAGCGACACGGGACAACGATCAAAAAATTGTCAACTTGCGATTGCACGACATAGGACGAAAACAAAAACGAAACTGGATGCAGAGCAGTGTGTGAACGACGAAATTAGTAGCGGCACGGGCTTTCTTCCAATGGATGACGACAACTCGTATGCATTGAAAGGCAAAATCCCAAAGGGAAGTTTGAGTATACAAGACGAAACGATTCATCACCTGGTGTGGCTGGCCTATGATTCCTGGGCCCTCCGAATGCGGGAGAATAGGACGATTCCCCGCCATGCCCGCATTTGTTTCCATTTGCCAAGATGCACGAACAGCGCATGCAAATTAAGCGGAATTTGCAGCCTTTTGTGCTTCACTGCGGCCCGCACTCAAAACGAAAATTATGGGTCGGGTAAGAGTACTCTTCAAAAACTTTGTTCGTATGATTTTACTCATGACTGGGGGAAATGCTCTCTCTTCTCGATGAATCGCATAAGAACTTCTAGGGTCATGATCGTCTTTCGAATGCTAGAAGCCTAAAGCGTCTCAACGTGGTCACCGTCAGAGCAAGCGGGTATACTCAATTTTTTTAAAAAAAACAGGGGGGCAGCATAAAAAAATCGTAAATGAATGGGTTTATGGTTCTCAAGTGCGTCTTAGGCTTTAGCGGTTAGCTAAAGTAAAAAGTAGCATAATGATGAGGAATCAAATGCATTTATATGGTGCAACTGGTGTTCAATCATCCACTAATAAGCGATGCTTTCGTCGAAACCGGGCTGGTCCGTGCCTCTCATATGCTCCTCCTCGTCCGTGGCCATCCTGTTGAGTTTGGCGATTTCCGCCGCGTTGAGCGGGTAGTCAATTCTACTCTTCTTCTTGTCCCTCGTCTCTTTCTCACCAGTGTCCTTCCTACTCAGTTCCTTCTTCTCCTTCGTTTCCTTCCTACTGACCTCTCCCTTCGTCTCCTTCTCCTTGGACCGCCCTTCCCGATCCCGGCGAGTCGTGAAGGACGACGTGGCACTCTTTAGCGTGAGAAAATCGTTCGCTGCGCTCTTGAGGATGCCCTTTTTCTCCAGCTCCGCGGCCCCGCGCGACCGGGACCGCTCCTTCGAAGCCTTTCGTTCTTTCTCCTTCTCCCGGTCCGTCTTCCGGTCCTTCTTGTCGCCTTCCCGGTCCGTCTTCCGGTCCTTCTTGTCCCCGTCCCGGTCTGTCTTCCGGTCCTTCTTGTCCCCGTCCCGGTCTGTCTTCCGGTCCTTCTTGTCGCCTTCCCGGTCCGTCTTCCGGTCCTTCTTGTCCCCGTCCCGGTCCGTCTTCCGGTCCTTCTTGTCCCCGTCCGGGTCCGTCTTCCGGTCGTTGTCCGTCTTACGAGAGCTGTCCTTTTGCTTTTTCTGGAACCCGGGTTCAATCTCAGCTACCTCGCGTCGCGTCTCCGGGGTAAACGCGTTTTATCAAAGCGCATACTGCACTCGTACTAACCATGCTATGTGCTGTCGTGTTCATCGTTGTCTTCATCATCATGCAGAGTTGTTCTCGTCGCGTACTTCCGATAGAAGAAGTTTCTAACTTCAACTAGATTTTTCTCCAGCTGGACATCTACCCAACACACCCCACAAATGTGAGGACGAGACGTGACTTTTAATTTCCACGATGAACACCACAATGTGCCACTGCCATCTAAGCAAATGCAAAAGCAAATCTTTCAAAATAAATACTTTTCACAACGGCGCGCACAAAAGACACGGGAACGAGTGCTTTTTTCAAGGAGTTACTTTCGATTTCTTCTTCTCCGACTTGTCTAGCTCTCCCTTCGATCTTCCGCGAACCAGGTTGCTCTTGTCGTTTGGCTCCGGGGCGGCCGCGATCAAGTTGAGGCTGCCCGATATCCCCGATGGTGCGATGAACCCCGATGGTGTGATGCCGAGGTTGGATAGCCCAGATGGTGTGATATTGTTCATATTACCGATGTTGGAGCCATAATACTTTTTGGAGCTCGGCGGTCCACCAGCGTCCCCGCCCGTAGCTCTCGCGGCTGCGGCGCCGTAGCCGAGCAGGTGGCTTCCAATCGACTGGTTCACGTTTGTCAGCGAAGCGTTCGTCTCGCCGCCCGTGGTGGCGGACGCATTCATCAAGTCTGCGGCCCCCATCGACTGCGACTTGAAGGCCGCATTGGTGGACCGACTCGTGTTCCCGGTGGTGGCGGAGGCGGCTTCCGAGGGATCCAGAGGAGACAAAGGTGCCGCCTGCGCACTGATTTTCATTCCCTCGCCGGGCATTGTTGTACCTCCGTTTTGAAGAGGATTTTGCCCCATTTGCTGCTGTTGTTGTATAACAAAGTTGCTCGTCCAGGTTGTACCTGTCTCGCCGAGTTTTCGGTCTTCTTGCGCAAGCAAAAACTGTTGTGAGCCGTCTACACCCTGAGCATCCCCGCCGCTCGCGACGTTCAGCCGTTGCAGTGCGGCGGACGCTGGCTCGTTGGAGTAGTACTTCGTGTTCGCATCTTTGCCTGTTTTGCTTTTGCCTTCGCCCGATCTACTCTTCTGGCCCCCGACATCGCTCTTGTTAGATGCGCTCTCCCTGACGAAGCAAAACCAATACGCCACCGCACCAAGGATGGCCGCCGCAATGAAGAGCCCGATGGACCCCGCAACGATCAGTGGGGTATTCAGTCCAGGACTGTCGAGGGGAGCTGCAGCCGGGGAATAAAGCGACCTCATGTACGGCGGGTTATCCACAGGAGGCGGAACTGCATGTCCTGGTCCTCCGGTGGAATCTGGTCTGGTCGCAGCAGTCCCTTCCCCACCGCCTCCTTCTTGTTCTTTTGGAGTGCCGTTCTGACTCAGCACGACCCAACTTTCTGTTTGCTTTTCCAGTTCCGTTGGCGCCCCATAATGCCGCGCGTCCTCGGCCGTCTCCTTTGAATTATCCGCATTTGTTGCAAGCACTTTTTTAGGTGCCTCGTCGAGTAGCTGGCTCTGCGTGGTCTCTGTCCCGTCTCCTTCAAGAACAAGAGTAGAAGCCTTTTTATTATTGTTGTCCACATCGATCAGATGCTTTTTGTTTTTTGTCTCCTGATTCTTCTTCACGAAAAGAAACGCTTTCACCAGGCTATCCTCGTCATGTAACACAAGCCCTGCTAGCTGGAGCTTCAGACCGAAAAGAGCTACGGTCGATATAATCTTCGCGGACAATAGGGGGCGACCACAGGTATTGTGCTCGCAGCGGCCGCGAGTTTCAAAATGAAGCGCCATTGTTCGTTGCCTATGTTGTATGGGATTGGCTTATCACGAATGAACAAGTTGCGAACTTTTTTGTGAATCAAAAAGGCAGGGGCATCATGTTGGTCTGTCTTATGTCCTGTTACTCAATGATCGAGGTCATCGACAAGGGAAGATGAAGGGGTTGCAGGTTGTGGCTATAGTACAGTTTGCGTCCATGGTCACTCGCGGAATAGGATAACGAGGGAAAAGGGCGGAGGGGGAGGACGTAAATTGCTAGCTGTAGTTTGACATTGATGATAGTGTACAAAATTGTAGTAGGGAAAACGCTCTACAGATACGGACGAAAACCGAAACGAAGCACAACAAAAAAGGTTTTCCTTTCCGTTTCACTACGGACGCGAACGATGTCAAGAACGATGTGAAAAACGACAACATAAAAACGATCACGATGTGAAGACCGAAAGCAAACCAATGACGTACGGTGGTTTTGTACGGAAAAAACCGGAACGAACGAGCTGCAAGACGAGAAAACCGAGTCTATCTGAAACAACTAAGTACAAAACGATATATGCCATCGCGGAAGAACAACTTTCAATGCGCATAGAAAACGCAGAGCATCTACACTACTGAGAAAACAGAAGTGGGATTTGTTGGGCAAAGACTGTAAATCATGCATGGGATATTCCGATGTTGCCTATGGGTATCAAGCACGAAGGTGACTGCTCAAAATCATGACAGGGTAACGACGATTGGGATTGGGGTGGATCACGTTAGGGTCAGCAAGTTTACTCTTATGATAGTTTTATTTTTAGAAGGAAAACAAAAATACATAAGGACGTGGAAACATCTATGCGAGCTCTAAATCTAGTAGAGTTATAAGACTATAATAATCGTTTCTACGCCCAATTCGGGAAGGACGAACATACTTGATCTTCATGTCCACTCTAAAAAGTAACTGGGAGGTTACTATTTCAACTACTACACGCTTCTGCAAATTGGATTACTATACCTCGGCAAGCCCAGCTACTCCGGCTGGGGTGATTTTTGCCTTTTCGATTTTTTTTTCTTCTTCTCGTCATCAACCGTGTGGAACAAATTCATGTTGAGTGCATTGAGGCCCTCGGAGTCCTCTTCCCCCTCCGCCTTGTTGGACTTCCTTTTCTTTTTTTCCTTTTTGTCTTTTTTCTTCTGCTTCGCATCCTCCCCTACGATCTCTATGGTAGTATTGAGCTGGTCCGTGTAGCGGAGAGCTGAATCCGTTTCACCTTGGTGCAGCCCGGTATTTACGTACTGATTCGTGGTGTACAGCATCGCCGCCGATCCCAGCCCCTGGTCCAGGGCCTGCGCCATTTGCCCGCTGCTAGCCGTATTGCTCTTGCTGGCTCCGTAGCTCTGCTGGTTCGTAGACGAGCGCACGACGGGCGGAAGAGTTTTCCTGTTTGACCCCATGGATGCTGTAGTCAGCTTCTCCTTGGAGCTTTTCGGGGCCAGCATCTCGGTGCTATCTTTGGTAAGATTGGAACGGTGCTTTTTCGACTTTTTCTGCACGGCGGAGTTGTCGCTGTCCGACGTCGTGAGGAGGTTCTTCTCCTTTTTCTTTTTCTTTTTTCCTTCCGAGGCTACACTCGTGGAACCTTGCTCGTCCGCGTCTTGCGGCCCAAACTGCTGCGTGTCCTGCACAGCGTACAGTTGGCTGGTGCGTAGCACGGGGCCGAGCATTTCGGAAAAACTGGTCAAGCCGGAAGAGTTTCCGACCCCCGCGGCCGCGAGCGGCTCGGCGTGCAGCTCCACACCGGTCGGGCGCGTCGACCGGTAGGACAGCGCCGACGTCGGCAGGTCCATGCCCGGCCCCGACGACACCAGGACGCTACTGTCACCTCCAGGCGGTGGCGTGGTGCTGTTGGTTCGGATCATTCCTGCCCCCGTTTGTGCGGGCGCGGACCCCGTATTCCTGTTTGCCAGCCACCCGGCGCAGAACGTCAGACCGAGTAACGCAACAACCGCCACGGAGATGGAAATCCCCGCGCACATATCGCTGCACATAGTATTCTCGGTAGAAGTAGGACCATCCTTGTTCTCGCCGTCGTCGTCCTCCGAAGGCGTCCCCCAGACCTGCGGCTGCTCCTGCACGTCCGCTTTTTTTCTTTCCGCCGCAACTTCTCCCTCGTCGCCGCAGCACGACGCGGACACGAGATTCTCCTTCAGTGGCTTCGGAGAGCCCCATATATCCAAAGCTGTCTCTTGCTCCGGACGGTCTTCTGGCGGAAATATTTTTCCACTCCCACTAGATTGCCCTGCCTCGCCGGGGTCCGTCGACGCATCCAACGCATTATTTGCGTTCACCTGCTTCCAACGTTCTTTATTCGATTTGTTCTTTTCCTCTTCTTCTCCTTGATCGTGATCTTCCGGTCTTGGAGATGATGGTTTACCGTCTTGTTGTATCTCGGTGTCGGTTTCGCCTGTTCCATCGTCCGAGGAGGAGTCAAACAAATTTGGTGGAGCCGTGGCGTCTGGGTTCGCCGGAAAATCATCCGACGTCTTGGGCGTTGGTGTAGTAGGAGGAGCAGTTGCGCCACCACCACCGCCGCTGTCTTCACTGCCTGGAGTGCGCGGCGGTGCCATAGTGCTCCCGACGGTCGACGGTGGCGCGGCTGCTGTGCTCGTTGGAGGAACAGGATACCCCGTTGTGCTGCTGCTTCTAGTGCTAGTACTTGTGGTACTGGTCGTACTGCTGGTACTGCCCGCCGATGTCGTGGCCGCTTCCCCAGGACCAGTAGTACTGGGTTCCTCGTCAGAAGTTGTGCCGTTGTTACTACTACCAGGCACTGTTGGAACGTCATCGCTCACATCAACAATATTGTCCCCACCACCAGGTGCTGCAGTTTCCATTTCCTGTAGCGGCGTCGTCGACGTGGTTGTTGTACTACTTGTGATGGACGTTGTCGTCGATGCGCTTGGTTCGTTGAGGAGATGATTTTGCTGCAGTCTGAGAAAATCTTTGTACACTTGCCGGCAGGTTTTGGGCCTTGTACTATCCCCGAACACGTGTACGTGCTTGGAGATGCGAATCGGCCCGAATCTCACGGTGGTTCTGCGCCCTGCCGTACGTTGTCCAGCGGATTCGAGCCCCGCCGCGGTGCGCGGGTTCGGCACGTAATTTTTGTAGTCCCGCGCCCAGATCGGCCACGTCTTCGTCCGCCAGGCCTCCTCCAATGTGGGATCGTACTCCGCAAGGCTAAACACGTTGTTGCTTACCAGAACCCCGCCGGAAGGTCCATCCGAAGTAGAACTCGTTCCGGGCGTCGGGTAAGGGCTATTCTTGAAAAGATCCGACTCTCTGTCCACCATGCGCACGCTTTGCGGCCAGTACTCCGGGTTGTGCATCTCGATGTCATTCCCCTGCCGTTGCAACACCTGCGGCGCCGTGACAACATTGTCGCTCGTCCCGGAATCACCTTCTTCGTCGGACGCGCCAGTTATCGTGTCCTCGTACGCCATTGCTGCCATCGTGCTGGGCACCGGCGCAAAATCATCGTGCACACTGAGGTGCAGGTGGAAGCCCTTCTGCCGGCTGGTCTCCAAGAAAGGGGTGCCATACCTCTCCGGGTACTCATCGAGCACACGCTGTCCGGCTGACCGACACGGCTTTTCGACCCCAGCGGTACAGTAGGCATCGAGCAACCGATCCCAGGCTGCTCTTGCTTTCGTCGCTTCCTCGTCACTACTACCCGCGCTTTCGACGACTACGGAAGCCAGCAGCTGGCTCCAGGGCCAAATAGGTTCCTCAGCCACCAAATCCGCGTAGCCGATCCGCCTGGCGTAGCTTTCCGCCTCCTCCCACAGAAACTTGCGGTCTATCAAGCGCGCGTCGAGACAAGCCTGGTGCGCTAGCCTGCATTTTGTGTAGGTGCGGCTTGCGCTGCTCTTTTCGGACCAGTAGCCTAGGTGTTGCACCAGTCGGAGGGGAAAACTGGGTCCCGACGGCGGGAAGTACTCGTACCTGAGACACTCGTTTGGCGCGCCAACAGGTGGTGGCACGCACTGAATGTTGATGCTTTCCTCCGCCGAGACGCGCTCGTCCCGCACCAAACTGAACCCGCCTGTGTACTGGTGGAACCAAAATACCGTCCGCGACTCCGTTGTGAGCGGCACGGCTTTCGATTCTTGCGCAGGATTCAGATTGAAGACTGCCCCGTCTGCAAGTGGCGGCGGAAAAGCGGAGGAACTTTCGCCCTCAACGTTCGTGTCGACCGAAGGCCAATGGGTCTCCTGCAGCCCAGGCTGAAGAAGGCCGTTCTCTGCAAGAACAGTTCCCTGCTCAACGTCCCAGGGCTGCATCAATCCAAAACTGGAAAGCTCAGCACTGCGTCCGATACTATCATACCCCGCGGGCAGCCGCGGCCCGAACTCGGTTCCGCCGCGGAAGGCGCGGCCCATGTTGTAGTTGTTCTGTTGCAGGTTGTATTCGATCAGGTCGATCCGGTGACAGCGTCCGCTTTTCGTCAAACCGGTCACAGTGTCGACCGCCGGCGCGCTGCAGTCTCCCCTGGGGCGGGCGGAAGCTAGCGCATCATCAGCGAAGCTGGCGCTGTCCGTTAGACCGGACTCCTCATCCGTTGCCGGCGCGCCGACCAAATACGCGTGAGCGGTGGACGTGGCGCCGGCGGTAGTGTCCGTCGCATCCTGCGCATCATCCTCGTTGATGGTCGCCAGGTCGAGCGTCAAGGCGTGCGCGAACTCGTTTTGCAGCTCCGCGACCGGCATGCGAAAGTCGAACGCCGCCCTGGTTCGGCAAGATTCTACGGTTTTGTCCGGCTCAACCGTCAGAAAGTCGCCAAACGGAGTGGGCGCACTGGAGAGCCCACTGCAGGCTTCCGGTGCGTTTGCAAAGTCGAAATCATCCAGCGTCAGGCAGTAGTCGTCCAACACAACCTTTGGCCAGTAATGAATCCCTCCCGGCCCGCCCACTGGTCCCCCGCCGAGCTCTTCCCACTGCTTCCGATAGAGCGTCCACATATGCTCCGCAAGAGCGTCGTCGTCGAAAGTCTCGTCGTCCACGTCTATGATCTCTAGCTGCTCGACGTCTTGCGCAGATTCCAAAAACCTCTTCCTCAGTTCTATTTTGGATCGCTGCTGCTGTTCCTGCTGCAGCCCTGCTTTCCGCAGTGCTGTCCTCTCCAGCAAAGCTTGGTCTCTCGCCGTTGTTACAACCGAACTTTCGTCACCGCGGCTAGTATCCTCGATCCCTGCTATGATTGACGACTCCGACAGAGACGAGAATGCAGAGGCGGCCTCCTGAACGTCATATGAAGATCCTTCCAACGCGGTTGAGCGTTTTCGACCTCGTAGCGACGAACGAACTTGCCGTGGTGCCTTGCGTGGTGGAGAGGACGAAGATTTCGCTATCCCGCTTTTTCTGGTAGCTTTCTTACCCTCGACAGCACCAACCGCGGCTTCCGTGTCTGCTCCTATTCCCTTTAGTACACTTTGCTCCTTAGTCGCACGTAAAAAGCGACTCTTGCTCGTCTGTCGTGTTTCCTGAACGGCTCTTACCGTCCCACTAGACCACGCTGTCCAGTCGGAGAGGCCGTGCAAGCACAGCATTGACCGACCCAGCACTTGCCATAATGACGCCGACATGATTGCTCTTCCCGAGTCGGCGGGCTAGGGCTGCGACACTGAATAAAAGCTGGCGTTTATTCCCTTATCCACCCTATCAAAACCCTAGGTCTGATCGATTTAGAGGCGAAAACAATCCAGCCGGCTTTTTAGCCGTAAAAATCTGACCTGCCCACAATTTTCATGCAGAAGCCAGGCCCTTATCTTCGCACTTCGATCTCTTGCAGTCCCGCCACGGTCCGCGTCATCCGCAGATAATCCGCGAAAAGACCACGCGCCCAACTGCAAACAACGTAAATCGAGCGCGCGCGGCCCGAACGCGCGAAATAAGCGCTTTGAGCTGTCTCACCCTTTTCGCGGCCTTTTTTTGGTGGCCCAGTTGCCGCGCTCCTTTACTGCCTCACCGCAGCAACAAATCAGGCGCCTTGCTGCTGCCCTAGTTGCCAACTCTGCTGCTGCGCAACTTCGTGCGCAAATTCTATACAGAACTGCGCTCGAAATTGCGCAAGAAATTGGTCTCGTTTTCTCTCTAGGTGTGGCGCGCTAAAAATGGGTCTCATTTGGTGGCCCTTAATCCGCATGCTGCGCTCTCGTTTTTCCTTTCGTTTTTTGTCTTGTTTTTTTTCTCGTTTTTTCTCTGTGTTTGGCGTCTCATTTTTTGCCTGCCTTTTCCGAGAGAAAAAACGAGACGAGTTTGGAGGTGCCTTTGGATACATTTGCGACAATTTGAGTCGCACTAAGTGGGGACAAGCCCAGCGCCGACCGCTACACCAGAGCTGCCTAACGAGAGCCGCAACAAGAGGCCAAACACGTCAGCAAATAAGCACTCTTTCACCAAACAGCGCAAAACGCACGCTCGCGTCGCGAACGTGCGAATTAGGACACTTGGTGCCAGGTTTGCCGCGTTTGGCCTGGTTTTGGTGCAGTTGTCCATGTCTTGGAAATTGCCCGCCTAGTTTTCGAACCAACGCGGACGGAGGTTTTTGCGAGTTAGAAAAAGAGCAGGGAAGATTTTTGCGGGCATTTTCAAAGCTGGATTGTTCACACCCCTAATCGATGAACGACGATGGGCTCGTCATCTGATTCGGCTGCGTCCACACCCCGCGTTGCCTACCGAAAATTACACCACACTCGAGCGCTTCCAAAAGTTTACCTGGTTTTGTTTCTATCACACTACTTCGATCTGACTCAATCCCAACGGGGAGGGTTAAAATGAGTAAAAGTTAGTTTAGGTTTTTGTAAGATAATTCTGAATGTTTTCACATGGAGTCCTGCTGCGACAATGCCATCAAACAAGCGATTTTATCGATCAAAAACTTTGCTCCCGTTTACGTTTTGCATTTGATTTCCCAGCTCAGTTGCTGACGAAAAAAACAAACGAAAAAACCTTCGTGCCGCTAGTCCATTGTCCTCAGATGGACAAGCACAAGACAGAACGAAACAAGGAACGAACGAACGTTAGTGTCAGTCGCAGCTGCACGGAAAAAGACGGAACGAATGCGGGTAACTCCCGTGGACGAATTTATCACGAAAATCTAAAGCAGGCCCGCAGAGGAGACGTAAATAACGGACGACCGACAAAGCATCGAAAACAGCTGCAAATTGCAGGCTAGCAGAAGGCAGCCGGTAAACTCACGTAATGTTAGTTGCAGTAGGAGCCATATCAGAGTGCAATAACAGATTTCTTCTCTTCACGGCTGTCAGTTTCAGTGCGAGTGGATCAGAATCTACTAAGGAGATGAAACAGCACAAGGTCAGTTCATTTCTACAGCTGATTTGCGTATAGACACAGAAGCAGAACTGGTACCCCATTAGCCTCCATTACTAGGATGTGCCAGTCCAACTGAACGTTGACTACATGAATGTCCGATGATGTCCATCACCTCATCTCCTCACTACTTTCTGGTCCATGCAAGAAACCTGGAAACTCGGACTCTGGTTGCGTGGTCGTTCGGGAATCGGGCTGCGTGGTCATTCGGGAATCAGGCTGCGCGGTCGTTCGGGAATCGGGCTGCGCAGTGGCGCGGGAGTCGGGGTGCGCAGTAGTGCGGGAATCGATCCCCGCGGCTGCACTTCGCAGATCGCCGAGAAGATTACTCATGAGCTGCGGCGCCGCCGCCTTCGCGGCAAGTGCCGCCTTGCGCTCTTCGTTCTTCCTTTTGATCATCTTCTTATTCGTCTTGTTGCGCTTGTTCGACGACGACGAAGATCCACTGCCACTGCTGGGCTCCTCTAGTACCTCGGGCTTCGCTTTTGCTCCCTCTTGCTTTTCCGCTACCACTACGCTTTGTTTGATGGCCTTGCCGCTGCTACCAGCTAGCGCTCCTCCGGGTGCTGGCAATGTGTAAGGTACCACGCCCGATGAGAGCGCGGATGTACGCCCTGCGGCCGGAGGCACGACAGCGTTCTCCGGATGGGCCGTTTCCCGGGTCTGGGACAGCTGGTAGGTCGTCACTTGTTCGTTCGCGGCCTTGGCCACTGCGACTGTGGGCAATTTTGGTACCGCCGACAGGTGGTAGGACATGTTGACGCTGTCGACAGTTGTGTTCAGTCCCTGTGACGGTGCCTTCGACGCGGCGCGGTGCGAGCTGGACAGGAGGTACTCGCCCGTCGGGACTACCCGTGCGTCCCGCCTACCTTCTCCGGCATCGCAACACGGACAAGCACAACTTTCCCAGTAGAGGTACAAAAACACCCCGGCCACCACACTCGCGCCCGCCAGCGCGGCGACGAGGAACAGCAGCCAGATCGGCAGCGCGGCCGCCTGCTCGGTCGCCGCCGTACTATCCGGGCGTCGCACCGCCCATCCCGTGCCATACACGTTGCTCGTAGAAGTTCTAGAGGAAGATACCATCCCATTTGGTGGAGAATTCGGAGAATTCACAGCGCTCCCGGCCCCGCGTGAGGACGGTGGCACATCGTTTGTAGTACCATCGGATCCGGTCGGAGTGGGTGTCATTGCGGTTGAAATCGAAGAAATGGCTGTCGTCGTGCTCCGCACCACCCCAGAAGATGCTACCAGCTGTACATCTGCTGTCGAGGGCGGTGGGGGAGGCTTTGTCGCCAGGATCGGCTTCGGCGTCGGTCTACGGAGCGGCTCCCGGTTAGAATCTGAAATTGCTGTTGTAGTGGCCACGGGCGAGGCGTCGGATTGCGCTTGTCCGCCACCAGGGCGCAGCTGCCGGCACCGCTTCGGCGTCGGACCTTTCTTGACCACCGCATTGCCGGAGATCCGGATGGGCCCGATTTTCGTGATGGAGTGGCCAATCCGGTGTCGGTTGTCCGGCTCCGGCCGGTAGCCCCCCTCGGCCGCGGGCACGAACGTGTCGGAGACCTTGAAGTACAGCTGCAGGCCGTTGACTGCGTTCTCTCTTTGCAGCCAGGGGCCGTACACATGTGCGTACCAACCCTCATGCGCTGGTGTTCGGGGCTCCGTCCGCGCCTGCAGCTCCAAGGGGCACACGTCCGGAAAATCGGCAGGATCCTTCCCGCACCACCCCACCACCGCCTGCGGATAGTGCCCGCTCTGGTCGTCCCTGTCCCTCGCGGTGACGCTAATCCAGTACGTGCCAGCGCAGTTCCATTCGCAATCGACCGGGCTTTGCATGCTGAACTTCACGTTTTTCCGCTGCCATTTGTTTTCCCTGATCGACCACGCGGCCTTCGTCCACAGCTTGCCCTCGTTCGCATCACCAGCCTTCTCTTTGTGGTCCGAGATGTACAGCTCGCCAAAGTCGAAGTACCGATTCGCATTGTTCTCGATCAGATCCAGCTTGGTGCACAGGTCGGGGTGCGTCTTCGGGAGCTGCGTGCAGTCGGGCACTCTGGTGCGGTTCTCCTTGTCCCAGCCGGCGAATTTGTCCGTGTTCGGCGCGACGAGGTAGGCGTGTACGTTCACGTCCGGCTGGGTTTTCGACGTGTCCAGATAGAACTCGAGCGTGGCGCCGCCGTTTTTCGTCATGTCAAACGTCATTCTGGTGCGGCAAAACTCGAGCGGAAGGCCCCGAACCTCGGCCTCCGCGCCGAAATACGCTCCGTTCCAGGACCGCGCATTGTCCGCCCACGTCACGACATTACCGCAGTTTACGCCCTCGCCGTCGAAATCCTCGGCGGTCAGACAGAAGTCATCGTCGTACGCGGTGTTTGGGTTGGTCAAGGTCCAAATCTTGTCATCGATGCCTGGCGTTACGTCAATCTGCGGCCTCCAGGGTGTCTGTCTGTGGGTCGTGGAGGATTGCGATTTTTGCTCTCGGTGGTCTTCTTTGCGGCCACTTCTTTTATCTGTAGCTTTTTTCTTATTGAACTGCAGCAAGCTACTTTTATCCTTTTTCCTAGCAAGGATCCCTGCCCCCGAGCTCGTCGTCTTATTTTGGCGCGTGCTTATGTGCTCCGGACGCGGCGCGACTGGTGATAACTTCAAACCCAGAGCCAAAGAATTCTGGTTCACGGCCGCGGAAGTCCAGAGCAGGACGAACGCCCTGTGCGAAGCCATCTCTATCGAGGGGTATCCGTCAACGACAGAGAGAAGTAATTTTGCTGTTATTTTACCTAGGCTTGCTCCTTCATACGAAAGAGCGCGTTGCCCAGCCCGTGGGAGTTGTAAATTTCACCAAACAAAACATCATGCTTTCAGTTGCGGAGATGGTCGAGAGCTAACACGACCGTTCTACGACTTCCGTAAAATTCCACAGAGGTATAAGAGGGTGGATTTCGAGGAGCCAACGTCATCTGATACGCATTTGGATTTGCGAAATTTGGGGCAAGAGGTCAGATAGAAGAATCAATCATTTACTTCGTATGACACGAGTACGAATTTACAGACGAGTAATATGGTTTCTTCTATCGTGTTTTTGTAATCGACAGAACCAAACCAGAACGACGGCAGCTTCATCGGCGACGAAACTAGAGCAGAACGCTGAAGCTGTTGCCGACCGCAAAGATGAGAACGAATCTACGAAAGAACGATGAAGATACGCACAGAAGCACGAGAGACCACACGGACGACGGCGCCTAATTTTCTTACGATCAACCAAATAACTAAAACGTGACACACCACATCCAAAAACAAACCGCAGCGCACTCCGGTTAAAGTTCAAAATGCCCTTTTTTGAAATATCATACAACAAGCTGCTGCGCACACAGCACACTGACTTCACCAACACAAAAAAATTGTACAAGAGTGTAGTTCTGTTCCTCAGTTTTTCTATTTCATTTTTGTTCCCTTTGTACAATGAAACTTTTGTAATCTTTCATCCGTTTCCGCCCGTGGTCGTCGTTGTTCCGGCCTGGTTCGTCACAGTGATTGGTATATCCGCCATGACCGCGGCACCGGAGTTCCCGCTCGGTAACGGTCCAAGCGGACTGGACGCGAACTCCAGACTATTTGGCTGTCCTAAACTGTCTACCTGGCTCATCTGCGTAGTCGACATCACGCTGGGCTGCAGCAGGTCTTGTAATGGTGGTAAATTCTCCATACTGCCACTTCGATCTGCTATCGCGGGTGCGTTCGCCGCCTCCTCTTCGTCCTCCTCGTCCGACGACTCCCAGTAGTTCTTGCGCTTGTTCTCGATCGGTCGGGTCCACACAGCCGAATCCGGCAGATTCGTCCAATCGGAAGCCGAGGCGTTAGCCTTGTAGAAGTTGTTCTGTAAGATGTCTTTGAACCGGTGCATGCGGGCGAGCGGGGCGACGGTCACGCGAACTTGGTCGAAATTCTGCTCGTAACCTGTAGGGGAGCGGAAGGTGAATCAACGAATTGTAGATCAGTAGCTACACTGAAACTCAGAATGCTCGTGTCATCTGCGACAAAGACTACAAACTTCAACGATTCATTTTGATTCACATTTTTTATTTTTTTTTACATCGCGACGTCATCTACATCTTCAATAAACTTCCGGAAAAATACTTGGAATACCGTTGCATATCCTCGTGTCTAGAATCGTCGAGCATGGCAGCGCAGACCCACCGGCCTCCGCGGATGCTAACACCCACTGGGAGTTCAAACTTGTATCCTTTCCGTTGCGGAACTGCATCCAAAGTCGACATTTACCGACGTTAGGAACCCATCGAACTCCGAGCGCAGATTCGCCGACGGAATGCGCTTCGACGAAGGTTACCTGTGGTTTTAGGATAACCATGATGTGCTCGTCGTTGCTGCAGGTCTCTTTGATAAAGCTTTGGTTCGATAATTGGCACAAACCGTCACGAATCGTGGGAAAGCTACTTAAGTAGTACCAGCAGGGAAAACTGAAACGAGAAGAACGGCCGATTTGAATGTATGATACTTACCCTTTCGTTCTTGAAGCCCTGTAGCGCTTGCTGCTCCTGCATGACAAACGCCGGATTCATGTGGACCACGTCGAACTCAGACTTCGCGTACTTCGGTATTACTTTCTGCGTCAAGCAGATGCAAAACTGCGAATTCTTCATGAAGATTTCGTTCATGGAGTAGGTGTGGACGTGGACAAAGGGTGCGCACACCCGCGGGTCTGCCGGTAGTTTCAACATCAAGAAAATGTTCCGTTCGGCGGTGGACTCCAGGCGAAGGATCTTCTCCCCGACGCGCTTCGGCTTGAAGCAGCAGAACTGATTGTACGATTTTTGCACGATGGAAGCGGAAACAATCAAGCAAGGCCACTTTTCAAGCTCAAGCGAAAAGCGACAACAAAATAATAAAATCTACTTTTTCTTTTGGAGCGTCTAGACTGCGTCGTCGAAAATGCAAACATATTGAACTTCCTTACCTTATCCACCAGCTCTTTTTTTTCTGTGTAGTCCACTAGCCTGAGCCTTCTTGGATCCTTGACCCCGCCCGCTCCGGACTTTCCAGTGGGCACCAACGCGAGCATCATTTTGGGGCAGATGGACGATTCTAGCGCGAAACAATTCGCCTTGTAGCCCTGGCGGAGTCGCAACGATTCCGACTCGGGATGCTGGATGCCGGCGGACTGCACTTCGCCCTTGGGCCGGTACTGCCAGGTACAGTTGACGTCTGCGAATTCCGACATACACTCGAACGTCGGCCACTGGATAGTGGACGGCGCATCGGCGCAGCCGAACACAACCTCCATGGGCTGCTTCATGTAGTACTTCGCCCGTGTATCGACTGCGCGAAGCCCTTTCGTGTAGTCCCATTCCACTGCGGCGAACTCCTCACGGTGATCTAGAGCAACCTGTGTTTTTGAAAAACAATTTTTGATGCAAAAATGGCGCCGACGCAAACGCATGAAAATTCAACAAGAATCTACTGTCTTCCCAGCGATAAAAGAAAACGCATAAACAAGAACTTCGTCCGAAATCCCATCGTAGTACCTTTCGCTACCAAATCTCATTGTACCTTCCGCACCAAGCCTCGCCTCCCCACGGGGATCACCAGTCCCTCGTTCGGGTAGACGATTTCCTTTACCGCCTCGATTCGGTCGCCCTCGTGCAGTTCGTGCGACATGAACTGCTTCAGGGCGTCGAAGGACAGCATGGATTTCTGCTCGGTCATGTAGGCGTCGATCTTGCTGAAGTCGTATTTCTTCCGTTTCTTCGCAATGTCCGCCGCCGTCTCCTCCGGTGGCTTTTCCGTGTCGTCAAACTCGTCGCCCGCGTGTCGGCGCTGGGGAAACAGATCCCGCAGGTAGCTCCGCCCCTGCTCCTTCTCGTGCGCGGCGAAAAACTCGTCGTGCTTCATCACCTGGGCGTACGGCGCCACGGAGTAGTCGTCCTTGCCGTATGCAAGAAAAAAACTGTGTAAGTGTAAGTCTGTGATGCAAAGCATGCAACACTGTCATACTTGTCATGCTAGCCAACCATGAAGTCCTATTTCATTTGTGTTTTCACTTACTAGCTGCGCATGACAGGCTTTGTCTGTCATGCAGAGCAGATTTGTCATGCCGTCGCCCCAAGACACCTACACTAACACAGTTTTTTTCTTGGATATGCCGCCGGGGGGCGGCCAGTAGGGCCGTTCCAGGTGCCGAAGCCGCCCGGTGTTGTACTCCAGCATCTTTTGCTTCCGGATCTCCTCATCCCCCTTGGTGATCCCACCGGATTGGAGACGCAGCGCAGAAAGGGAAAACCGGTTCTTGTACTGCTCCCGCAGCTTCTGCATGTGCTCCTTGACCTTCTCCGGGTCGCCATTGCCCCACCCCGACATCTTGGCGCGTGTTCTACTCCGGGGGGTAGTTCCGTGCGCGAGGACGACGAGAGAAGCAGAGGCACAACAAACGGTATTACGCCTCAATCGACTAGAACGCGCTCACCAGGAGCGGCGTGGTGCGCTTTTTTCGGTAGCGCCGCCACGGTCAGTACGGAGCAGCCTGCCCTACTTTTTCTACTTGCTCTTCGAAGGAAAATTTTACATCATATCTTCCTATTTGAGAATGCGGCAAAGCACGCATCTCAACCGGTAGCTCCGACTCTAGAACTCAAATGAAAAACGACAACGGGTGAATGTGCAAAACAATAAGAAGGTCGAAGTTTCTTCATGGTTATTGGGTCCTGAGAAAGAAAGCAGTTCAACATCAAGTATTGGACTAGAGACGACGTGGAACGTGAGAAAGAAACAGACGGATGCATCAATGAATCTCTCAAAAAGTCTAATTCCTTGCGGGAGCATTGGATTACATACATTTTACTGTGCACGAAAACGTTCCTTCAGCATGATCCGGCTGGCACGGACATGGACGATAGGACGTTGTTGCCATGAAGTAGAAAAGAACGCACGACTTCGGCATCTTCCCTGCAGCCAATTTCTGGCAGCTTCAGGTTTCTGAACGGAAAAGGTCTGCTGCTTGATTGAGTACGATCAATTCGAGAAATTGCGCAGGACGACGAGAAGGTTTTCTTTTTCGGTTATCTTGGAAAAAAGGAAAATCTACATACACATGATCTGAAACATACGAAACCTGCCAATAATGCTACTTTACTATATTTCAACGAAATATATCGAGTCATGCTAAAGCTTTTGCTTTTGGTTCTCCAACCAACCATGGAAAAAATAATTAGAAGAAGTCTCGCCGCTGACCTCTTGTACTTCCTTCTGCCTCCAAGCACGTCCAGAGACTCTCCCCCTGCCTCCCGGATGATCGTGAACCGTCCTAGATCCAGCCCGACACCCAGTTGACCAAGCCGGAGAAGATGCTCTGGTTGCTGTCCGGGAAGACGATCAAGTCCTCCGGCAAATCCTTGTTCCCTGCGACGCCGACACGGATGATGGAAATCTTTTCCCCCTCCAACGCATGCAGCGACTTCTTCGCACCGTCGTGCTTGTTGCTCCCGGAAGTCGTGCTCTGGACTTGGTAGTAGCCTGTGTTGCATTAACATAAACATGCATTTTGATACTTTAATTATATGACTGATTTAGTACTTGCAGTTGCAAAAGTGCGTCATGGTCTCTTGGAATAGAAGGTCTTGGGCTGTACAGATGAACCCTCACATGCTGAGAAAACTGCAACAAACTGTTGCTTCCATCAAATCAAATCTTTTACCAGTGTTCAAGCCCACGACCGAGTTCAAGCGCAGTTTCTCGTCCCGCGGCTGCACACCGTAGGAGTCGCGGATGTCGATCAGGTCGGATTTCTTGGCTTTGGAGCCGACAAAAGCGTCCAACAACGCGACCTGGGCCTCGGCCGAGTTTGCAAACGCGTGGGACTGGAATCGCACCCCCGTCGACTCCGCATCCAGGGGCTGGAGAACCAGCAGCAACGTGGAGTCCTCCCGCGGAGTGTCCTGCACTTCAAAAGAACCTGGTGTTTTTGTTTTACTTTTACTTTTATTTTTTGCATGACCGATCGACTTCTTGTGTGCTGCTCTCGTGAGCATGATTGTTCTGAACAAGTTTCAAAAATTTTGCACCTGCATCAGGAGCTTAAGGGTCTTCTTCACTCCTGGCCCACTAGCAGCGCATCAAGCAACAAGAACCACTGCAGTAGCGTGTTAGCATCGGGCGCCATAGGGTGGCGCTTGATTTATTTATCATCACATTCTGCGGCGCTGTACGAATTGATTTGCGAGCACATGCAAGAAAAGCATCCTGTTGTAGAGATAGTACCCAACAAAACTTTCTTCTCTTCTGCGAAAAAGTCAATCTGCTGGCCCTGCTGCAGGTTGGTCTGGATCTCCCCACAGGTTTTGTAGTCCAGGCTCTGATCAAAAACTTGCGTCGACTTCGCGAACGGATAGGCGTTGCAGACGCGGAGGGTCGTCGAGAATTTCAAGTTGTTGACAATGTAGTCATGCGCCCCCACCGCGTTCGTTTGGGATTTCACATGGACTCCAGAGACAGAGGCGACGGTGCAAGCCGCCACGATTTTGGAAACGACCGGAGCCATTTTTGGAGTGTCTTGTGCGGGTTGTGGTCGGTGACAACACGTGGAGGATTCTTACACGAAGCTTGGTGCGAAGGAAGACTTGGTGAAACTGAAGACGTTGGGTGAAGAGTGGTGAATTTCGAAACCGGATCTTGTCTTATGTGGCATACACAATGATCAATAGTTTTGCGCAAAAATTGACGCAAAATAAATCCGCAGCTGAACAATCCAAAACGAGACTTGTAATGCGCCTGAACTGCTTTTTCTGAGATCACTGAACACGACACTGCAAAAAAGATTCGTACCGCTTTTTGCCTTTGTCTCGTGGCGAGCGCTGCGTTGTCTCATGATGAGCGGAAAAGAAAACTAGACCCAGTAGAGCCTTTGTTATGTCTACAGCCTCAACTACATCTGCAGTACCTTGCATGTGCAATGTTCGTCATGAGTCACGAAGGCGTCAACCTTCACCTCAGCGCAAAGAAACACTTGGAAAAATGCTGAGCGGGAAAAGAAAAAATACTTATTTGCAAGAACAAACGAACATGCGCATGCCTTCTCGTCCCTTTCCTCAGTAGTCTCGCTTGCTGCACACAAAGAACGCGTTTCCCTTGGACAGAATGTCGCATGGCACGTCGTTGAACTTTCCGAATCCAAGGAGGATCGCACAGTCTTCGTTCCCGCCCCAATTATTTGGCTCATTCACGTGCCAGGCTAGGGGTCCGTGGGGTGCGGGGAGGACTGGCGTGTGATCATCCGCATACACCCACTCGCCATCGTTCACCGCGTCGGTATAGCCCAGCACTACCCCGTGCTGCACGTTCCCCATGAGCTGGTAGATGAACCGCATTTGCTTCGGCGTCTCCACCGTCGCCAGATTCGACCCACTCGGGCACTGGCCGGTCTTCCCGTAGTTCGTGCCGAAGTGGTAAGACACCCCGTCAACGGACTTGTAGCTGGCGGTCCGCGCGCTCCCGGATTCCCCCCTGTCATACGTGTTCCCCACGTACCGGTACACGGAATTCCGCCACCCGCCGCCACAGCTACTTCTATCCCGACGGCCACCGAGGCCCGCGGCGCACTGCGTCGTCTTGCAGTCGTTATCCGGCTTCACGCCGTACCTATCGTAGCCGTCGCCGCACGCACACTCGGCCCCGTTCTGGATCGCGAAGTACAGGGAGGCGGAGCCGAAGGCAGAATCGGCAGAGGTCTCGTGCAAACACTTATCGTGAGGAAAAATCCCCCCTCCCCATATCGAAACGAAGTTTCTGATGCTGGATTTCCGTACACAAATCAGGTTTGTCTTGCAATAGAGGACTGCCGGCGTATGTCAAGCCTCAGTCGAGGGGTTTTGACGTAGGCGCCTAGCATGAAAAACGTGTATGCTTTAAGCCCAGCAGCATCACAAACCGCCTGCAAAATGCGGGGCGCTCTCTAGACTTGCCTTCTTGCAAGACAGACAGGATTTGAGGTCACAAATGCGCATCACAAATTTTCAGACGGATACGTTTTCAATATGGGGAGGGGGGATTTTTCCTTACGATAACACTTCTCCAAACACATGTCCCGCGTGTACGGTTTGTCCGCGAAAAACGGCAACATGGCGCGGTCCCCCTTGTCCTCGTAACACCCCACGTACTGCACGTCCGCGCCCAGCTCGTGCTCGTAGACGCTGTTCCTCCAGCCGCCGCCGCAATACAGATTTTCCGCAGTTTTCATACTCCCCAAGGCTTCCTTGTGCTCGCACCGTTTGCAATCTGCGTCAGGTTTCTTCCGCGCCGGCATCTCGTTGCCGCACCAGCACTCGTGGCCCCCCTGCACCGCGAAATACTTGTAATTGTGGCACCAGAGGTCGCAAGACTCCGGCGTGGCGGGCATGCGGTCGTTGCCATTGTGCACGGTGGGTGCCATTAGCACGGGCAAATCCCGGTTGTCGTCGTCCTCGAAGCAGCCGAGGTATTTCGGCGAAAAGGTATCGCACAGCTTCGTGTCGGGGTTCAGCTGGAAGTGGTAGTCGCAAACCCCGCAGGCCGCGGTGTTGTTGGCCGGACAAGCAGCGCCGATTGCCGGGTCCCCGTGCGCGGGGCAGTGGCAACTGTGAGGTTGAGAGCAGAAAAAAATTGCCGAAAGACGGTGACCGGCAAAGAGACTCAAAAAATATTGAGTAAACGTTATGCACTACATGACAGCAACATCAAAGCAATGAGTAAACCAATCTGCAGTACACTTTCGGCCCACAGGTCCCGTCCGGCAATTTGTCAAATCCCTCTTCGCATTCCATGCATTTCAGCATCCCATCCTGTTCGCAGTCCGCCCCCTCCGCGTGTTTTCCGTGCGGACAGTTGCAAACATTTTTCTCGCATACGTTTCCGTCCAGATGATACCCCGGGTTGCACGACTTGCACACGTGCGCAAAGGGCGCCGGGCAATCCACCCCCGTGGCGGCTACGCCGGTCGTCAGGTCGCACACGCATTTTTTCTTCTCGCAGACATGACGCATCTTGTTCATAAAGAAGCCTGGCTCGGTGCAGTTGGAGCATTTCACCGTGTTGTGCGTCGGGCAGTCCTCGCCGGTCGCCGGAGTGTTGCCCGCGCCGCCCGGGCACTGGCAAACATTGATTTCGCACGTCTGCTGAGGCAGCATCGCGATCGGGAGAGTGGCATTTTTTCTGTCTTGGTTCTTGGCGAAAAACCAGTGATTCTTTCTTCCCCCGTTCACCTGCGCAAGAAATGTGACCGCACTCGGAATGTCGCTGCCGCTCGGCACGGCACCCCCACCTGTGGTGTTGAGATGATACCCGGGAAAGCACTCTTTGCAGTTCACGTCCCCGTCCTTCGGGCACTGTTCGCCGCTGAAGGCGTCGCCGTGGGGACACTCGCAGCGGTTCGCATGGCACGTTTCCCCATCCAGCGTGTACCCGACAGCGCAGCTTTCGCAGCTGTGCGCGTGGTCCTCCAAACACTTCGCCCCGACGTTCGGCTTCCCGTGCGCGCACTTGCAGCGATTCAGCGCCGCGGACTGCTTTTCGTGCCCCGGCTTCGTGCACCGACTCCACCAATAGACGGATTTGAATTCCCCGTCGTAGCTACCGCACTCACTCTGGTCCGGAATGCACTTGCTGTCGCAATCCTTCTTGCTCCCGATGTGGTAGGAGCTCGAATCGGTGGACAAGTCCTCGACGCACTCGCAAATGTCCCCCGCCTCCGACAGGATGGCATAACTCGCCATGGACACGTCGGCCTCGCACTGCGCCGCGCAGTCCTTGACGGAAAATTTTCCATTTGCGGCTCGGTAGAGCACCTGCCGGGAGCTGTACTCCTTGGCGTTTTTGAATTGGTAGCAGCCCCGGTAGTGCGTATCCAGGTCGTAAGGGCCGAGGGATTTGCTATCCGCGTGGCCGGTGGAAGAGGAAGTAGAGCACGTTTGGGCCTTGCTCTTTGCATTGTGCCCCAACGCCGTTGCCTTGATGCTGTTTTTCCGCAGCCGCAGGGCGGTAGCCGTGAAGAACGCATTATTACTCAAGTTTTGTAGGGGCCAAAACTTGAGCAGAAAGAGAAATGTTAAGCGCATCTTGGCCACTTTTTAGAAGTTTCTCTCACTCTCGATGCCTCCACCGTACCACTCAGCTCACTTTGCGTTGCGCGTGTCGTTGAAGTGAAAGTGGTTTCGCAGACAGTGTCAGAAGTGGAAAAAACAACTCTCTCTCTCTCGGTCGCAAGGATGATTAAAAACTTGACATAGGGTAAGGATGAAGAGAAGAACAGCCATATTCATATTGTCGCTCGGTCAAAAATCTTGTTCTTGTCTGTTGAATGTTATTTCCAAATTTGTTCAGGGGGGTCGTGCTCGGACGGTCTTCTCTGTTTTTATGACGCTTTATATTGCATTCCAGTGTTTTTCGTTGGGGTTCTGAATTTGGCGGGGCTACTGAGAAAAGTTGAGAGCGTCTCTAGGTATGCAACAAAGCAAGGAAAACTTCTTGAATTGGGTCGGGATAATTGCATAATTCGCTGTTATTGTAAAATGAAATTACCATGTGATGAAAAAACGATTCTGTGATTGGGAGAATGTGGAATAGGCAGTGAAAATAGAGGGATAGGATGGACTAAAAACTCTTGAATTACAAGCTACGCAAGAACAAAGATCTGCATACGACAGGGCAGAATAGACCACTCAGTACACTTAAAACAATCGACACTTCTTTACTGTTCCGTAATGTCAAAAAGCTCCTTAGCGGTCTACTGTCAGCCTCAAGAATCAGAAAGCACAGTTATCCCGGTGTCGCCAAACGCGAAACACAGAAGCGCTCATTCCGCGAGGCGTGCGCAGCGCTTCACCAGGGAATATGGTGGCGCGAAGTAGTAGGGCGTGTCCGCGTTTAAATGCAGCGAAAACTCCGTGATTGTGGGCACCCAAAAGGTCGGACAGTCCTGCACACAGCAGCTACCCGCTTTGACAAACTCCTGCCCGAAATTCAATCCGGTCTTGCGCGTGATCGCACACGCGCCGGAATCTTCGAGCAGGTACTCAAAAAGCGAGTTCTTTCCGTCCAGACCCGAGCGGATCCAGTCACCTGTGGATTTGGAAAGAGAAGTAGAAGTTAGCAGTTTGCGACTCAATTGCGTATCTCAACGAACTATCAAACAGAAACAACGCATGCTGTCACCGTAGTAAATAAGTTTGACCACCGCTGCTGCTCTCCCTTGGAACTAATTTGAGTTTCACCAAATTGACTACAAAATAAAATTCAATGTATACCTCCGCAGAACAGCCGCAAGTATTCGTCTTGCGCGTTTTCCAGATCCGGGACGACTTTCTCTGCCGCGCCGTTCAGATCATAAATGCTGGTTTCCCGCACCAGAGTCATAGTCGCGTTCGCGCGGTGACTTTCGTCCTCGCTTGTCTGAATGATGGACATTGCACCGACAGCCTCTCCTGCAGTTTCGAGTTCAGCCGTGGCATCATTCGCTACAGTGTCCTCGTCCAGGATGTCCGTAGTCGCCGTGCTGGTACGGGTATTTGTGTGCAGCTCTTCACGGCCGGCTCCTGCTGTTCGTTGAGAATTCGGTACCAGCCCAGACCTTCGGTGCGCGCTGCTACTGTGTGATTTTATCACGGAAACGGTTCTTACCGACTCAGCCAGATCGACCAGAGAAGCCGTCAAACAGAAGCCGAGAAGCAGGAAAAACTGCAATCGCTGCCCGTTGTTCCACGAGTGATGCATTTTTTTCTGATCTGTGCAGCAATGCGGAAAATTCAAAATAAGGTGATCAAAATGGGTTTCTCCAGTGGAAGCCTTTTTCGTGAAATTGACAGTAAAACTACTAGTAATCGATTGGTTAAAAGCAACTGGGTTACTCGTCCTTGCGGTCGTAGTTAGTGCGTTCAAGCGCTCTTTACGTTTAGAGTTGTATAGTAGGTGGAGAAAAAAGTGGGACTTTATTCATTTAGGGGAAAGAAGAGTCCTGCTTTGGCGATCGCCGGAAGAAGTCGGTGGATATGCTCTACGGAACGGACGCAATGCCTCTCTACCAAGCAAAAAGACGACAGTATGGTACGACGCATAAAACCAACACAGCACGACGCGCAAAGTGGTCGAATGGACGAGTAGGACGACCGAAACCATCAAAAGCATGAACAACCGTACCGAGAATGGCTTATGTTGTTTGGGTTTTTCTACCACGACAACACACCGAAAAGTGAAGACGAACCGAAACTCGTAATGAGCAAGAGCCCCACGCAGGGAAGCTGCGATCATGGACGAAACGAATAGCCGATGAGTTTAGCCCTATGAAGCGTCAAAGTAATTGACTCTCTTTCTGTGGAACTGGAACGCGTACGCGAAACGCGACATTACATCCCGTCCATATTAGCACCATTTTTCGCTTCTTTCAATTCTTAAGATAAGCTCTATGCAAAGACAGCACGCGAAACAAGACTGTCCTTGCAAACACATGGTAGCGGATAGAACGCGTTCGTTTCTTGCAAAACATGCAGTAGAAAGCAAACCTTGATGTTGACATTCCAGCTGTATTCTTTGTGCGCAAGAACTCTTCTACGGTGAACGAAGATTCGGATAGGCGTGGTACGTGGGGGGAAGCGCAGTGTTTCTCTTCCCGCTCTTGTACTCAGGCATTGAGGTTGCGTACTCTCTTGGCAATATTTCATTCTCCTCCACGCCAGCCATGTCGGGCACTGCGAGTTCCTCCTTCTTTGCTATGGCGAGGAGTTGTTCGGATGTGAGCTTCTGCTCCTTTCTGATTGCAAAAAGCACGTTGGTGGTTGCGCTTTCTTCCATGGTAACGGAAAAGGCCTCGGGTATCACGCCGTCTTGGGAGGAACCTGGGGTGTTATTTGAAAACCGCGAATACAGACCACAATCGGCGATGGTCAACATTTACAAAAGCAAAGCAGGAGGAACTGCAGTATTCATCTGAACTTTTCCTTTACGTGAAAAAAAATATCAAGCTAGTACGTGCAACAGCGCCCATCGCCTCTCCTTTCCGGACTGGCACGACGACTTGTGGTATGTTCCAGTGTGGGTGAATAGCTCCTGGGTAGACCATCAGCCTCCGATACATTGGGTTGCGCAAGAAATTACTTCGCAGCATCCGTTTCACACAGAGATTCATAATCATGCTCGGGTTCAAGAAAAACAACCGCTTCGCCGTGATGATTTTCGCCCCTCTTGGGTCCAGCCAGCGGTGCGTCTTGTAGAACTTGTACATTTTGGTGTCCCACGTGTGACCAGGAAAAGTGACATGGATGGCGTTTACAAGAATCACCGAATCGCCGTGCATTGCTCGCTTTTTGCGGTCGCAACGGTGCTTGCCAAGGAGCAGAGACGCGACTCTGGTTCCTGATAGGATTGATGAGGAGCTTGATTGATTCCAGTTGAATTTCTAGCAACAGAAAACCTTCAGCTAAGCACTTTTAATGATCGCAATCTTAACTTCAACAACCACCTAGAAAAGCAGCTCCATCCACAATGCCATCGTCTATACCAAGTCTTCCGACGCCCCACCCCTTGCAGTCTATGATGTGAAACCATCCCTTCGTCTCGTCGTAGTGGGAGATGGCTTTAAGACTGACGTGGGGTCGGGCGTCCGGCGCCGTGGAGGGCATGTTCCATTTTTGGAAGGGGTGCGCAATCCACTGGTACTTGCTGAACGGGTCGATATCGTCCGTCGTGTGAAACGACTGCAGCACCCGTGCGGCATTGGTCCGTCTCTTCCACAGGTGAAAGCTCGACCGCTTCCGCTGCCCGGTCCGCGCCTGCAGGGGAAGTGAGGCGCGGAACATGATTTTGTGCGGGGGCTATAAGGTGCCTTGTCGCAGCGAATGAACTTTTTTAGAACTTCGTTCGAAGACCGACAACACGATGATCGAGTCAAAAGATCTTTGCCGGCAGTCCTGAACCTGATCTTGATCAGCTCGAAAAAATTACAACCTTCCCCCATTTTTTTTGCTTCCGCATTTCAAACAACGGCGGCGCGGAGGGGTATGCTACGCGGGAACACGTTTCAAGGGTGCTATGCGGCGCACCAGCCGATGGATGCGTTTGCGTCCTTGTTATTGAGTCAAGTTTTTTTCTTCGTGCTCCACTCCCGTAGCAACTGCAAGGCTCCTGCCCACTGAATTTACAACAATTATTCAAGAATCGATATTCCAGCTTCAATCGTTCGAACTAGGTTTACAGTGTTCAGCTGGTCGTCGTTTTCGTGTTCAATGTGATCTCCAACTGCGTTCTCAGAGAGACTGCAGCTGCTTCCCATTGTGATTACTTGAAGTTGAAACAGACGAATTTCTGATAAATAATTTGTACAGTCGTGGTTAAATGGAATTGGTACAGGAAACCGAAACAAGCGCGCCCGATAGCCATTGCAGCCTTGAACTGCAACGACCGCGGGGCCAAAAATTTGATACAGTCATACTTGATTTAGAAAGCTTGCTTAACTTTTTTTTGTGTACAGTTGTTTTAGTATTTCTTTGCGTTCATTCTACCATTGAAACGTAAAGTTCATTCGCGTTGTACGTTAGTCAGAAAAAGCGGTCGCGGTCGAAAGGAGCATTTTTTCTTACTCAGCTTCTGACGGTACGCGTCGTCACGGTAGCTAGTAGCTGAATAGAATGAGTTGCAAAAAAAGTCAAGTGGTGGCAGGACAGAACTGCCCGGGTAGTTGTTCAGAAAGTTAAGTTTTGCTTTTAATTGCAAGTTGATTTCTAGGAAAGCTATGCACAAAGTGCATTGTAATCCTGCTGAAGATGAAGATATCGCAATGCAATTGAAACCTGGAATACAAAAAAAATGAAAGTGTATACGCAAAATCAAGCATAGGAAACCTGAAACAAGGATGTCACAAAGAAGATAATCAACAAGAAACGGATCGAAAGTGTAAAATCAGATAAAAACCATACGATACGTGCGTGAATCAAAGTCAAATCAGAGTTCGTAAATACTTCTCCAATCGCCTCGATGTAATTAGTACGCATACGAATCTGCTCCCCTTTCTGTCAGTAGTTCAGTTCTCCATCCCACAATCGAACTAAAGACGTAATTTTTGCTGTTCTGAAGATGAAAACTAAAGTTGAAAGTTGCAATACCCTGAAACTGATAAACTGAAAAAAATGTGATAAAATTCAAACAAGTAAACAACGTCAATAGCCTCTCAAGCCGCAAGCTTTACTCGGTAAAGCCACACAGCCTCGGTGCTAATGCTATCTGTGCAGACCACTAGCGATCAGCATTTAAAAAAGTGTCTGTGTCACTCCCTCCCCTCAGCAGCTGCAACAGCTCAGAATTCGTTTCTCGCAACGAATTTTCCCGAGTTCGCAGCACTGCTCCCTTGGTAGTTCTGGAACAGTTGGACGCTCGGACGGGCGTTGGTCGCGGCTAGGTTGAAGCTGGGTCGTTGCTGTTGCGCCACCGGATTTCCGGCGCTCGCCTGTTGCTGCTGTTGAGCTTGCTGCTGGGAACCGCGCTCGAGGTAGTAGTGCTGACACCTTTCGCACATTCCGTATTTGACGAACTTGACAAAGCGCGTGTAGATCTGGTTCTCAAACTTTGCGTCGCGCGTCAACCCATAGTCGAACTGCGCGAAGTTGACTAAACCATTACCAACACAGGCCGGTCGGACCGCCTGGAGCGCCATCCCGTACATCACGTTTTGCTCTGTATTGTAAAAATGGAATCTAGCTTGCGTCATGCTGGCATCATGCATTTCAAAGGTGCGCAAAAACATCAACATTGTTTTTAAAAAAAAGATCCATCTTCTACAACCGATGAGAACTACATCAATGCAGCATGATCTACCTTTCATCTTGTGCTTGTGCCTTGCGGCGTCCATGTTCTTGATCCGCAACCTCTTCGTGTTGGTTTCAATGTTCACCTTGTCAAGCTGGATGTTCTTTTCCTCGTCCTCCCAGAGACACAGCTCTTTGCACTGGACTTGGAAGAAACTGACCTTCTTCGCCTTGAGCAGGATTTCGAGAATGTCCAGTCGGTGCAGCTCGTCGGTTCTGTAGCGTGCGTTCAAGGACTGAAACAACTCCCGGTTAAAGATCGTCTGGTCCTTCGCCCCGACCGGGGGCTGGCCTTTGAAGAAAAAGATCGCCTGTTGGACTTTTCGCTCCACGCGCTCGAAAGTCAAGTTTCCATTCCAGGAACTCGATCGCACCTGCTGCATGTCGTAGGGACCGGGAAACGCACGGGCAAGCTGGGCGGCCTGGGGTGATGTCGATTATGTTTTTTTTTTCCGATTGCAAAATTAGGGAGTCCGTGACAGAGGACGCAGCATCTTCAAGATGTGGCATTCACGCATCACAAAACACAAGTACTTCGTGAGCCGCGTGCGCGGAGCCGACTGGAACTAAGTTTCCTATTTGCAGCTTCACCACTTCGACGCCACTTTCCAAGCCAGAGGATTCCCCAGCAGTAGTGGAGTGCGTCGCGTTGCCGCGGTCGTTTACCTTGATAGTGGTTTTTGCTTGTTGATAATCACGCATCTTTGTTTTGATCGTGTGAAATGTTTGATCGATGAATTTACCTCTATCCGCATGGTACAGCAGAACAAATTTTCCGCTACTATACCTGCATTTGCCTCTGTGCCATCGAAAGTCGCTTCGGCGATCTGGACTTGTTGCTCTCCCCGTTCGCTGAACTGCTACTTGAGCCGCCCATGTAATACTCATCAACGGATGGAGACGGCATGTTGTATTTCTGTTAAATGAAAATTTCGGCCGAATAAAAGACTTTTTTTCAGATCTTGAAAGAGGAAGTTGCAGAAAAGCCATCTCGGTAAACCGTACGACTCTTCAAAGCAAAAATTTTTGTACCGCGTCCTGCTGCGGGCTGGAGTACATATTGGGCCCTGAGACGCGACTGGACGGCGTGAAGCTCATGAAGTTATTTCGGTTTTGCATGTTGCCCGATTCTGAGCTGGAGGAATCCGAGACGACCTCACAATGAAATTTCGTCTGGTCCATCCCGCACACCTGAATCTTCTTACCCTGGAGTTTCCCCCCGGTGAAGCCGACGGTAAATTCCTTGCCGATGAACTTCTGCCGGTTTTCCTTCACGCGATTTATCAAGTCCTCCTGCGAGTAGGATCGCCATCTCGTGTCGTTGCCTGAATGACAATTTCAACAACTTTGCGATAAATTTCAAAAATTTGTTTGCATCACATTGATGTTAGTTCATCGCATCGCATAGTTAGTTTCACGACAGGCAACCAAGTCCGCGAAAAAAAAGAAATCAATACACATGCTGACGTAGCCGATCGCTTCATTGGCCACGATCACCGGGTTGGGCAATCTCTTTTGTATCGTCGCGTAGCCCGCTGCTGACTGCAGCTGCGCAGGCGCGGTAAGGTGCGGATAGTTCGGGTGCATATCGCTTTTTGGATCTTTTCAAAAAGCAGAATGAAGTATTTCTTCTTTGTTTTCAGAAAATTGCAGTGCGTTTCAAAAGTAACTACAGAGTCTGACTCTGCAGGTTATTCTCCGATAGATTTAGACACCAAGTGGTTCCCAGAAGATCAAACAAAAGTACAATTCAAGGCTTTATTCAAAGTCGGACAAAAAAAGACCCCGATAAAACCTATGGCGTTTTAATGGGAAAAGTTAGGATTGAGCTACGCTACTTGCTCGATCCATCAGAGAAGCGACGAATGGCAAGGGTGACGAAAAGCGACGAGATATTGACGATAATGACGTATGATCGCCGACAAGCATGATTCAACGATTTACGAAATGACGATGCTGTGAGTCCTTAAAACGAATCGGTGATCTTGCTTTGTTTTCTCAGACGTTGACGAAGACCGATATCCAGTATTCCGAGCCGGTTCCACATGCAGCTTGTGCAGACAACCTGAAGGCTACTAGCGACGCAGCAGTACTAAATGACTTTTTCTAAAATGAAACGAGTTCCCAAAATAGTTTGCAGTCCAGACGAAGAGGCGAAAGTCACAAATGATGCTGTGTATACAAAAACTGAAACTCACTACGCTAGAAACGAATTGTGTAGAAGAAGCAATATTCCCATAAATTGGCTTTAAATCGGAAGTCAAATTGTCAAGTTACAGATGTGATGCTGAAAAGTCGAAAAACCAAACGAAAAACTCAAAACAGAAATAGAAACGGATTGTGTAATTAATATGAAACTGATAAAGTAAAATAAATGTAAATTGTCAAACAAGTGAAAAATTCAAAACAAAACCTTAACGAACTCTAGATACATAGTTACTTACCGCCAAGTCAGACCATCTCATGATGATCGCAACCAAACTCACACCAGATGATTTGACGCGGTTTCCGAGCAGCTGCTGAAGCTCCGGTACTTTTCGTCCTGCATCAGCACCTCTTCCTCCGACGCCGTTGAAACCAGCATGTGCTGGTCCACACCGAGATTCATCATCATCTGCTTACTCTTCGACACCGCGTGGTACAGCACCGAGGCACTGTAGTTGGATTTCGGCATATTGTCCGACGAACCACTGTTTTTCGTTCCAGCAGCGATCGCCCGCTCCTCGATCCGCACCCGCTGCTCAATTTCCTCGGCCCCACTCGCGCTGGTCACGCTCCCCGCCATACTCGACTTGCTGCCCGCGAAGTGCGCCCGCGAGGTGCGCTTCGAGGAGCTGGATTCCGACGCGGAGGAGGAGAGCATCGCCTCCGGCTTCAACTCGCTCAGCAGGTCGCCGATCAGCAGCAATTCACTGGACTTCGAGCTCACCGCAGACACCTCCTGCATCGATTTGTCGAAGACCGTCTGCGCATTTTGCGTGTCGTGCACAAACCGCATGAAGACGTTGTTGTAGCTGCTGCCGTAGTCCGCTTTCCGCCACTGCCGCTCCAATTCGTGCAGCTCCGTCCGCATCTGGAAATTCAAGGCAGTGTTGATCGCGTCGGTATTTTTAGTAGTACCCGAGCAAGTTTTCGAAGATCTCGTCGAATTCGGTTGACCAGAATTTTTAGAGCCGGCGCCGTTTTGATGTTCCGGATCATTTTTGCTGCTACTCGTCTCCTCCACGACCTCTTTCGAACTTTTCTGGACGTGCAGCTCTTTCGAGCCGACCTTCGACCCGGAGTGGGAGGTGCTGGGTGTGTTCATACTGCTATTGCTGGCACTCTCCATGTACCACCACACGACCTTGTTCGGATCGAAGTCCGCCCCGTTTAAATTCTTCTTCGGGCTGGAATTGGAACTCTGGTTCATGACGGATTTGCTCACGGACGCCATCAACTTCTGCAGCAACCACTTCGCTTTCACCACAGTCTCCTTGTTTTTCGCCCACACCTTCACCATTACCGGACACTGCTGCAGGTTGCCGTGGTAAAACCCGCGCTTGGAGTACAGCTCCTTGTTCCGCTCCAGCTTCTTCGACTTCGTCTTGCTGTCCTGCTTGGCCGACGGCAAGGTCTGCGCGAGCAGAAAGTCCGAGATGTGCACGGTCACCTCCACCTCGTCGTGGATCTCACTCAGAACCGACTTCAGGTTCGCGTCCTCGAACCCGCGCACCCGCGCAATCGGCTGGAACATGTAGGACAGGGGGTGCAGGGCAATGGGGAAAGTGCAGGAATAGAGTGACTTTGTGTGATTTTGCTGAGTAGAAGAGGACTCGGAATCCTGCTCACCGCTGCTGGACTCTGCTTTGCTGTCTTTTTTTGAAACCGCCTCCTGTTTCCAACTGAGCACCACCTCCTCTTTCTGCAAGTCGTGGTAGCAGCTCAGCTCCGGCGCTTTCACTTCAACCTTCTTGGAAGTTTCTGCTGGTACTTTCCGCCAGGAAGTGCTGCTGGAGGTGTGCTGTTCTTCTTTCTTCGGAGACGGAGGGTCCAATCCCGGCGGCGGACCGTCCAAATCTTCTTCCAGCCCCGGGGGCGCCTTCAGCGGGCTGTGATTGTTTCCCCCCGGAGTTGTCATGAGCTTTTGGCGGTCCACTGAAGAGGACACAGCCGGCCCGCCTTTTTTGTTCATCAACATCTTCACCGGCGTACTGTGTGCGTTTTTAGCGCGCGATGGGGACGACCCAGCGGCCGCAGCATCCTTTTTTCCAGTACTTTTCGGGTTCTTTTTGTCGTCCGTCGCGGTCCAATCCTGATGCTGCTGGAAGGTGTTGTCTCCTCCGGGGTAGTGAAAATAGTCACTGGTTGGAGCACCTCCCGCTGCAGCTGCCCACATATCGTGTCCGCCGGTCGTTGCTCCGTAGTACGCGGCGTGCGGGAAAGGCGCCACCGGCACGAGCATGATCGGCTGGAAGTGCGCTCCGGCCGCACCAGCGGCCGCGGCGTACTGCGGATGGTAAAATGCCGCCTGGGGATGCGCAGCCGCGATCATGTAGGGAGGCTGGTGATGCATGCTCGCAAGTGGAGCTGCTGCGCCGTAGTACATGTGCTGTTGCGCGAGCTGCTGCTGGTTTTCCTCCGTTCCGCTCTGTTGCGCAGTGCCAGCCTGACCTTGATTCGCCCCGCCGACGGAAACCTCGCTCTTCTCTTCCTCCCACGAGTGGTGCCCGCCCGCAACCTCCTCCTGCTCCCACGAGTGGTGATTGTCGAACAGCGGGCTGGCCATCACACCAGCCACCGGGGAAGGAATCAGGTACGGGTCCGCATTTCCGGCCGCCGCAACCGGCGAAACCGCCAGCATCGCCGGGTTGCTCGTGTTCGAATGGTAAGGACTGGAATAACTGGGGTACTCAGTCTGCTCCTGGTGTCCCGCCTGATTCGAACCGGTCGCTGGGTAAACGTAGTACGCCATGATGAAGGTTGTTCACTAGAAAATCACACTAAGAGTGAGATGAAGATCATCGATTCTCGCGAAAAAAAAAGCAAGCCTGGTCCAAGACTCTGATTCGGTAGCATCATTGCAGTTTCGGTTTCCGTCGATCAAAATCTACTAGCAAGTAGGACTAGCGATACAACGAATCACTTTTTACACGATGATTGACATTGATGATTGCATTTCACGAGAAAACTGATTTGCAACAATTACGATGTTCTTTTCTATTTTCACGAATAGCCACGAAGTGGAGTACTATGAATAGCCGGCGCCGGAGCACCAGCATCATGACTTTGCAGGTACTATTTTCTTCGGCGGATTCCAGAGTAGCAAAGTTTCACGATGACGATATGTTTCACGGTAACGATATTGACGAATTAGTCATCGCGATCGGTTATGACCCTTTTGCAGCATTGGGTAGTCACGGAAAGTTGAAAACGATTGAATTGAGATCAATGCGACGGACTGAGAAAAGATTTCTGCTAGCGGTGAAAGCCTCGTCTTGGAAGGAACTTCACCATCACGTCTTAGTCTCCTCACAAGGAAGGATTTCTGCATGGCATATCGAATGTACTTTACAGTTTGAGTTTTAGGTAGTCGCGACAAGCCAATTACATCCTTACGTATACGTGAGTATTCGCAATAGAAAAATCCCACCTACAGGCGTGGCCTTTTTCGATGTCACCTCCGCTTCGAATCCTTCCGTATTTTCTCGTTAGATTTCTCTTCGCCCCTACTTTTCTACCTAGCACCATCGCTATCCTCGTACTTATTTACGCCTCATTATATTTTCGTTTATTTTCTACTTCAAAGCTAGTTCTTTACATCGCCCTGTATCTGGGGCAAAAACCACGTCGCCTCACCGGCGACGCTGCCCACCACGCTATTCTTCCATCAGTTGACGCCGTTGAGGCCCACCCTCGGTGTCTTCCAGTCTGCCCCGTACAGCTTTTCCACGCAGGCCCGGGGCCGCGCCGGAACGGAGAAGTACCGGTCGCGGATGCGGATTTTCTTTCCGTCCCCGACACAGTCTGCGAGTTTCATCTCCTCGAAGACCCACCAATCCACGTTGTAGAAGTCCAGGTGATAGTCCACGCCCCGCTCGATGCTGGCGGTCACGGTTTGCTCCCCAAACATGTCCAGATTGTTCAGCGGGTCGGACTTCACGTCGGAACTCGGCTTAAATTGCGTGCTCGGGAAGCCAGCGTAGTCCGCACACACCCGCGCAACCTTCTGCTCCCACTGGTCCACGCCAAAGTTGTAGCGCCGCGACGGGTGTTTCTCGATGCCTTTGAAGAAATGCTTCCACTTCTGCTTACTGATCAAGCGGGCGGAGGAAGGCGCGGACTTGGACGAATGATCGTCAGAGGATTTCTTGCTTGCACCGTCCGGCTTGCCCGGCGAACTCGATGCTTTCTTCTGCAGACTGGTTGGAAAGGTATCTTGCAACAGGCCGTCGGCGTTCGTTGTCCTCAAGAGCTGCTGCGGAAGCACTTGTTCCGCGATAGACTTCTGCACTTTTTTCTTACTCTTTTTCGCCGTGGTAGTACTGCCATTGTTCTCCACCTTTCCAACCGACGAAGATTGTGCTGCTCCGCTGGGAGCTACAGAGGGCGACGCACTCCCCAAGAGTTGCGCAATACCAGCAGTAGCCAAATCCTTTTTCCTCTTCGCAGCAACAGTTTCTTCGCTCTCACTTGAGCTGCTGCTGCTGCTGCTTTCTTGGTCAATCAGCAGTGCAAGTTTCGCCATCGCCGTGGTTGAAGTGAACGTGCTCGAGGTGCTTGTAGAGGTGCTCGTACTAGAAGCAGTCACGACCGTTTGTCCGGATCGTTTCATCTTCGACGTTGCACCTTGAAGATTGCCGGCGACTTCGTTCACTTTCTCCCTGCCACCAACACCATGTTCACCTACTATATCTGCCGCCAGACGACTTCGACTGTGCTCCTCCGCCTGCGTGTTTCCTTCACTGCCACCGAAAGCCGGCTCCAAAACAGCACCAGCCGACTTGGATGTTGCAATCGCCGCAGAAGTACCGGAGTCAGCCGTCATCGTCACAACTCTCGCTTCCTTTCGCAAGTTTTCCAACAGCAGGTCCGCGATTTTCTGGTTTTTGAAGACGAAATTGTGCAAACTTTCCGGCGCCAGCACCGCCTGCGCGAACAGCTCCCAGTAGCGCCGGTCCACGACCAAATCGATGTCTTGCGTGTGCTGGATGATATCCTGGTCCCGCACGCCGCCCAATAGCGTCCCGTAGAGCAAAAAGTAGGGAATGTGCAGCTTTTCCAGCAACTCGGCCACGTCCGCCAGCATCACGAACATCAGGTCGCTGCAGCAGGGAAGGTTGGTGAAAAAACTGTTGCGGCAGGCCGGGTAGTCGCGCGAGCACTGCGGGGTTCGACAGTACATGTCCCCGGTGTGCTGCAGAAGCGCTTGCTGTCCCCGCAAGCCGCCGCCGAACCCGCCGCCGCCGAAACCCCCTCCGTAGCCGCCTAATCCTCCCATCATGCCCGGGTACTGGCGCGTGTGGAGGAATTCGGAGTCCCGCATCCCCATTCCGAGGTAGTCGTCCATGAAGCCGCCGCCGTAGGGCGAGGGCCCGCCACCCAGACCGCCGTACGGATTGAACGGGTCGGAACTGCCACCGGACGCTATCAAAAGGAAAAATCCCTCCTCCCCATACTCAAACTAGAAATTTGCGATGCAGATTTGTGGTCACAAATCAGCTTTGTCATGCTAGAAGGAAAAAGATGCGGACTGTAGTGCTGGTTGGCGTGGGAAAGCCTTGCATCTTCAGCATGACAGGGGGCAGCTGGAAGTGGGAAACAGCATGACAAATTGCCTGCAAACGAGGCCACAGCTGCGTCTCTTGGCCTTCTAGCATTACAAGTCGATTTGTGTACTCAAGTACAGCAACACAAATTTCGTTTTCGATATGGGGAGGGGGGATTTTTCCTTTTGATAGACGCTTGCTCCGCCGAACTGATGCGGATCAGCGTTTCCAGATGGATTTTCGTGGCTTCCAACTCTTTTTGCCAGTACGTTTTCTCCTTGAGCAAAGCTGAATCAATCCGATCTTCGTTGTTTTGTTGTTCCGCGCCGGTTTTCTTGTCGAACAGGGTGAGCGCGGAAGCTGCTGCGTTTTCTTCCTCAGGAAGGACCCGCCCGATCATTTCTGTACCACCAGCTGAAAATGCATTGTCCTGCTCTCCACCGACAGACGAATGCTCTGGTCTGGTTGCCGCACCGTGTAAAGTAGACGATCGGAGACTCCCATCCACCGACAACGAACGAGTTTCCATCTCCGCGCTTTTGCCCAAATCGTCCAAAACCTGGCCCTCATCCAATGTGAAAATCACGAGAACGTACCACAGTGTGCTGCACGCGGCGGCGATACGCATCCACAGCCAGAAGCGAAACAAGTTCTCCTTCTTGAACAGGTACTTCCGCGAGGAAAACATGATAACCAACGCGAGAAAAAACCACGCATTCTCCGACCTGAGCGACGACGCGGGCGGAGAGGGTATCGAAGTTGATTTTTCTTTCGAGCCCGAGAATGACCTGTTCGTATTTATTCCACTAGTGCTCTTTCTTGCAGTGCCGTCCTCTTCGGCTCCGCTCGGTCCCTCTTCGAACAGCAAAGGTTCGGGTATAGCCCAATGATGCTCCTCACTTTCCAACTCCCGCAGGGAGTACATCGTTTGCCTGTCGCGACCGTAGTCCTTTTCAGATTTCAGTAACTGGCGCTCTGCAGACGTTTTCTTGTTCGTTTTTGACTTGGTTGTCCTTGCGCGGCTTTTGGAGTGTTGTCCCCTACCTTGCCCGGAGAAGATTTCTTTTACTTCTTTCTCGAAAACGTTCCACAAGTAGACGGTGCGGGCCTTCAGCCGCGCTGCGTGCGTGGCGCACATCTTCGGAAGCACGGCCGTGAAAAAGATTTTGGAGATTCGCTGCGACCGTTCGAAGTAGGAGAGTGTGGTGCCTTGTCTTTCTGTCGACGCATCGCCATTGCCAGAAAATTCCCCATCCGAATCAAGAGCAGTCTGGAGCCGAAAGTTGTCCACTTTTCGGATAGCAGATTCATTGCCCGCCGGAATTTGTTGGTGTTGTCGAGAGGGTCGAAAGTGTTCCGCAGTATTGTACTCCGCTGCCCGCTTCAAGTTTAAACTAAAGCTCAGCGACATTGTGGAAACTTCTTCCGGAAAGGAAAAGTGCAAGGCTTCTGTCACGTTCCACTGAAACACGCTGTTATCATAGTACCCCTCTGCGGTCATGCCGCCAGACAGCGTTAGTAGCTCCCCTTGCAACGCAACTCTTGCGTGCATTCGAGGAAACCAAACCACATCAGGGATTGTTGGGACGGTGATCGGCAAGAAGCGGAGTTCCTGGGCGTGCGCCACGCTGGTCTTCGCAGTTTCGCCATTGATGGCGGTAGCTGAATCCGTGGTGGACAACAAATAGCTGCCATAGTGAGGTTTAGCTTTTGCACCGGCGGTTGTCACGTAGTATCCGCCCACCAACAGAACTAACTCGTGGTCTGCGAAATCTTTATCAGTGCCAGGCCTGTGGGTTACCAGGCTGTGCCCCGATCGCGCTAACTTGGCGTCGTCTTGTTGAAGCACTTGAAACCACTCGACTTTCATCTTCAGCTGTTGCTGCCGAGCCGAAGGTGTAGGTTCTGCTGGCACTGCAGATTCCTGCTCTATTTCGTCTTGGTTCGCAGCTGCTTGCAAAGCGGATGCATCTTCCGCAGCATTGCCTCCTGCGTCAAAACCAAAGCCAGCCGGAGTACCACTTTCCCAGCCACACGCGCCAAGGAGAGCGCCGTCCTGATCAAACTCTTGCAAGAACGGCCCGTAGATGTAGTCCACAGCCAATGTGGCCAAACGGTCAGCCGACCAAAAGTCGTCGACACTCGTGCTGTTCGACGAAATTTCGGTTGGTTTCATTGCTGCGACATGCTCTTTTTCCTGCTGGGAAGATTTAGGCTTGTTTGTACCCACTCCTGTTTCTTTCTTCCCCTTCTCCGCCACATCTTCCGCCTCCGTGTCCAGCAATCCAGAGATGTCTGCTACCCAAACATCGTCCAGCACTTCGTCCTCCTGGTTCCGACCCCCATGCAAAATGATTTGCCTCTTCTGCTCCAACACTGCCACCGCAAAGTCCGACCTCGCCTCCCAGGGAGCACGGGTGGTCACGCGCCGCCATCGCGGCTGTAGCTGCGGTCGCGCTACCTCAGGGCGGTCCAGCTCTTTTGCTGCTAGCTCGGACGACACAGGAGTTGCTGTGCATTTTATATCCTTGCCAGAAGAAGAACTGTCGTCGAGAAAAGTAGCGCATTTTTCAATCTTGTTCCGCACACCCTCGAATTCCATCAGCCATACATCCTTGAAAACTTTCCCGTCCTCCCCTCGACCCCCGAGCAGCAAAATCTTGTTCCCCTCCACAAGCACCGTCGCGAAGGCGGCGCGGGGCTTCCAAATCCGGTGAAAGTCGAGCTTCTCCCACGACCACAGATCCTTGGTGGTCCAAACGTCGTTCAAATACTCATTTTTCCCGTTCACGCCACCAAACAGAACCATCTGCTCTTGTTCATCTCCGACTTTCAAAACCGCCGTCCCGAAGAAGGACCGCCCCTGCCAAATCGTGCGCAGTGTGTGGAAGCGCCACAAGTAGTCGGAGCTACCCATCTGGTACTGCAACGAGCGCCCGTCGGAGGTTTCGAAGCCGACGAGTTTCGGGTCCAGCGCTGGCTTCTGAATTATGCCGTCTGTAGCATTTGTGGCGTTGCTGGTCGTGTTGGTCTCATTTAAAACCCCGGGAGATTCCTCCGCTACTACCTCTGTAGGTGGCGAGTCGCTGCTTTTCTCTTTTGTTAGTGACTCTTTCTCCACCTTTTTCGCGCTTTTCTTGTCCTTTTCGTCTTTTGAATCATCAGAACTAACTTTTCCGTCTTTTTTCGACTCAGCTTTCGTATCTTTGCCGTCTTTTCCCTGATGCCCCGCTTGAACTACACCAGTTTTCGACTCTGCATCCGACGCCACAGCAGAGGTGTTTGGAGGTACAGTCGCGGTTTCATTCGTGGTGTTGGCTACTTCCACAGCGCTCGTATTGAATCCCGGTTCGCTTTCAGGACTTTGTCCGACGGCATGCAACACGACCCTCCCTGTAGCATTAGATCGACGATGCACGATCTTCACATAATTTGGCGCTTTTTCCAAAGATGGTTGATTGTTTTCCGGAGGCGAACCAAGAAATTCGGCTTCCTCATCAACGACAGTGGCGCTTTTCTGCGGCGTCATCAGGTTTTTCTGCTCCTCCTGTGCCGAAAGATTTGTGGACAACGTCAGATTCGTCGTGTTCGCATCGTTATTAGCAGTGGAATTATCAAGCGAGCCGGTGATATTTTGTTCTCCAGATGAAGTTGCAGTATCATTCGACATCGCGGAGGCATTCTTCATAGTACTATTCGCTGCAGGTGCAGTTTCTGTGCTGTTTGCAGAAGAATTGCTTGCCGTTGCATTCGCCTGCTTTAGCAGCTCCTCTTGTTTCTCCTCCTCGGTCAGCGGTAGCAAAGTGTCATTCCGCGCCCGCAAAAAGCCATTCACGTCTGCGCGTAGCAACTTCAGAAACTTTCTCGTTGTTTCCGAGAATTGAGGAACCGCTACAGTTTCATCAGTTTCGTTCCGTGACGCTGGCACATGCGTAACGTTCGTCTTCGAAGAGGAAGCAAATTCATTCCAAGCGAGACTCTCGACCTCTGCATCGGGCTGCTGCACTGCAGAAGATGATAAAACCCACACATCCGACAGGCGCCCGTAGGGCAAGTCGCGGATCGGGATGTATTTCTCACTCAAATCGACGTTCCGACTCCGGTAGCTGTACACCAGGTTTTTCCGCGTCAAACCGTGCTCCAAGTCTGCGGCCAAGTGCTGTCTGGTCACAGTGATATTATCCTTCTTCATTTTGCTCCCGAGAGGATCAGTCGTCGCATTCGTGGATGTAGTGTTTGTCGACATGGTCTGTACATTTGCAGCAAGAGTGTCGGTCTCAGTTGCGTTCGTCGAGTTTGTAGTTGAAGCATTTGCTGCAGTAGCGTTGCTGCTGGCATCTTCGTTAATTTCCAGTGCTGCTGGTGAATTGTCCTTTTCCTTCGTCTCTCCGCCTGTGACTGCGGTAGTACTTCTTGTCGTCGTAGTCGTTTCTTTTGCTTCTTTTGCAGGCGATTTCTCCTTCGCTCCTGATGTCTTTGCTTTCTCCTTCTTGACATCAACGTCGACCTCGCCAGCAGCACCCTCTGTTTTCTCCTGCTCTTTCAGTACCCCCTTCACTCCAAGTTCGTTCACGCCGTGCCCCCCAAGCACGACTACTTCGTCCTTGAAAACGGCCATCCCGTGCCCGATGCGCGGAGTCCACTCGGCAATCAGGTTGTTGCTACTCAACAGGCGCTTGCTCTTTTGTAAGGGTGAACTGCCGTGACCGGCAATCAGTGCGTCAGTAGCAACGGCATTTTCCCTGCGTTCAAACAGCAAATAGCGAAAGTCCGTGACCGCGATCGCGTTTTCGCACACGGAAGACAAAAAACAACGCTTGTTCGTGGCAGACCACGTGACGGATTTGCAAACCGGGTTCGACTCGCATTTCAAAAGACACTCCTTCAACTCGAAATCCTGCAAATTTCCCAAATCCCGCAAACCGTCGCACCGCCGCATCGCGTGAAAGTCGAAGGATATACCATTCTGCTGAGCGCCTTTCCCTGCTTCATCCGCGGAATCAGCATAATTCGTCCGGTCATCAGCACCGATGAAGGAGTCGAGCACCTTCGCTTCGGACCAGTAGTTGCCCTCGTTGTCGGCAATCAGGATCAGATTGGTTTTTTTCATCACCCTTGTGAAGAGCGAGTGCCACTCTTTCCACTCCACCTCTTTGGCGAATTCCACCACGTCATTCACCCTCTCCAAGTCCTCGGAAAGCAACTGCAAGCGGAAGTTGCTTTTAGGTATCATTTCTCCGGCAACGGCGCTATTGTTTCCTTTTTCTGGAAAGTAAGTCCCAGTGATAAAATTGTAGTAGTTCGCTGCGCCGATTGCTTATGCACATGAAAAACTCGGACTGCAGTGATACAGGGAGCAGTTGGAATCTTATGTAGTACGGCAACTCCTCAGCGCATGACACGAGTTTGACTTTCTATGCTAGAACACGCAAATAAACACGTGTGTGTTAGCTTTGAGTTTGATGACTACCAGCTGCAGTCCAAGATTACAATGTTCATCACCCTACCTCCTCCAGCAACTTCGTCCGCGTGTTCAAGTAACTTTGGACCATTTGCGCCAACAGCACCGCCTGCGGACACTCGATGAAAAGTTCCGCTTTCTTCCGAGGGTGCACGAGGAAAAAGTCCAACAAAGGCTGCAGGACCTCATCCTGCGGGCCAGTGATGAAAGTCATGTCTCGCAGATCTGCTTCGGAGCCACCAGCGATCTGCTCCGCCAAATCAACGTCCTCTTGTGCCAGATAATTTTCAATCTCCTCGCGCAGCGCGACGACAACGCGAACCTTGTTCTGGACGACATTAAGACAGTCAAGCTCAGCATTGTAGCCAGAGCCACCGGAGAAAAAAGAACTACTACCATAGTCGTTGTGGTTGGCATTGCCGCGAATTTTCTCCTTAAACGACGCCTGGTTCAGCTGGCCCGTGTGGAAGTCGCGCATGAAGTATCAGCTCGAAAATAGAGCTTCGGTTTCTACGCTGCTCGGCAGATGCAATTTTTCCTTTTTTCAAATTTTTCTTTTTCAGTTCCATGCGCAAGAGCATTTTCCTCTGGGTCTTCGGGCACAATGCTCCATTATCACTTGCTTCCAGCACCGGTGCACAAAGAAATCGTACACAGGCCCGACCAGCAAAAAAACCGAAACACTCAGCAACATGCATACAGTCGAGGATGGTCCCGCTGTCTCCCTTTGCTTCGCCGAGCCTTCTGGTGTCTTCCGCTTGTCGGGCGGCTGCTGCTTTGCTGCACGACTGAAATTGAAAACAGTTAGCAGCAGTAACCCGGCAAACGAAAAAAGCCGACACCGCACGCGGCATCGGCGGGAAATGAAAACGAAAACCTCCCGCTGCATTGTGTCGCCCTATCTGTGACCTTTTTGGAAACGATTATTGTAGCTCAGGCACAACAAGTCCCCAGCTGGGGAGACGCAGAACTGTGACAATTCTAACTTGCGCTAAGGGAGTGAAAGACAAAGAAGGAACTCTGGATATGACTGAAGTAGATTAATGTACTAGGTGTACCACGAACGTCTTTGCCACATTCACGTGCACTTCAAAGGCTTCCACAACGACCAACGCGACTAGGAAACAAAACGTGTAGAAGATACAATGAAGAAAAAAATCGAGAACAAATCAAAATATAGATCAAATCATCAACAAAAACAATCAGGAACAGCCAGATCAGGAAGATCACGACGCGCCGGAAATTTGTTTGCACCTAGTCAGTGCAAACTTGCTGTAAAACCAGGGACCTTCCTGGTTTTAGTTCTACTGCCACCGACCGTTAAGAAAAATCCAGATCCAGTCCCCGAACACAATAAGCATGGACTTGGCAGCAACCTGCAGCCGCGAGAATAACAATGAAGACTGCATGTGCAAACGTTCACGCTGCAGATACAAAAGATAGAACGCGAAGAAGTTTCCTGACGCGCTTGTAAAACACATCATATCATCGACAGCGTGAGACCAATCCTGCATACATTTTTTGTCTCTTTTTGTTTTTCAGTAAAACGAAAATTATCTCCTCGTCGATGTTTCGATCGTACAATGATACTCAATATTCTCGCCCGCCTACCGACCACGTCGCGGAGGTTTGAAAATGAATAGCAATAGTGGCGAACTAATGAGTGCCCCGAAAGCCCTCCCTCCAGCCCTTTACTATTTTCTTTCGGTTTTCACTGGGTTTCGTCGATTGTGTCCGCACGCTTCACAAAGCCCCAGCACAGCTCCTGACAATAAACCGGCTTGTGCCTAAATCCCTCCGCCGCACCCTCCACACACTTGTACCCAACTAGCTCTGTCGCAGAGGCGACCATGACGCTGATGCAGCACTGTTTCGGCGCTTCACGCGCCGGAATGTAGCACTTCCCGTGGACTATCCAGCGCAAATATGTCTGGGTCTGGATGACCATGACGCCAACAGAAAAGTAACAAAGTCCGGAAAATATTGGCAGGGGGTTTGCGAGATATTCGCGCGCGAGCGAGGTATTCGGCGCGGTAGATATTTCTAAAAATCCACAAAATCGGAACGCCTTTCGAGGCGATAGTGGCGCGTTGTAAATGTTTTCGAATATTTTTGGGAATGATTTCTGTAGGAATGTTTTGAACGTTTTCAAACATTCACAAACCCAAAGCGCCTTCCGGGGCGCCTGCCACGCGCTGCAATATTCTCGAAGATATTTGAAAAAACTTCTTTGCGAATATTGTGACCATTTCCGAACATTCGCAAGATCGGAGCGCCTTCCGAGGACCTAGCCGCGTGTTGTGATTTCGAACATATTCGGAAGTAGTTTCTTTGCGAATATTCTGAACCTTTCCAAATACTCACAAAATCGGAACGCCTTCCGAGGCGATTGCCGCGCGCCATGGGCTCGGAAGGCCGTCCGGTTTTGTGAATGCTTCGAAGTGGTCGCAATATTTGAAAATATTGCCAATGTTTACAAACACCGCGCAAACATCGAGCAAATGTCTCGCAAGTGAAAAAAGCCGCTTTTTGCATTTTCCGGCAACGTCATCCAGACCCAGACATTTTTGCACTGGATACTGACGTGATGACAACTAAATGGATCGAGGGCCTGTTCATTCCGTTGCCGAATCTCTTCTATTAACTCCGCTCCATGGTTGTTTCCGGACTTGTACTCTCCCCCGTTCTTCTTGATTTGTATGCACTGTTCTTTGTCGGCAGATTGATTCTCGACGCATGTCTTGTCGTTGAAGGGTATGCAGCATTCTCGCGGCGCCTGGTGACCTGAGCCGTCCTTACTGAAAAAACACGCTCCCCCATTCGAGTAACACTTGAAGCCGTTTCCTCCAAAGAACGAGGGCATCCAGCGGAACCTTGAGGTCTGCACAAAGCTGGTGTCCTCTGATTCCCCTGTTATAAAAGTATTATATGGCTTCAAGAAAAGATCCAAGATCTACTTCCGCGACGCCACATCTTCTTCGACTCACAGTCAGGAGCAAAACAAAGATCAAATCATGCTACGAACAAACGCTATTAACGCGTGTGTGTGCGGTAGAAAAAATCTTTTTACCTTTTCCCGCAGCAGCATTCCCCGCGTTCACGTCGATGTCTGTCTCCTCCAACTGTTCATCTAACTCGTCCACCTTGCCCTGAGCGTTCACCAATGCCTCTTGCCGCTTGCCGCTTTGCCGCATCACCGTACGCGAGAGCATGTTTGGCGGTCCCTGAAGCGGACGCCACGGCCACAGCGGCGAACTTCGAACGGCTCTTACACCGGTTTCTCTTCGGCATCGTGCTGGGTTTTGGGGGAGCACGTGCACCTGTGGCGTGCTTCCCTCCTCGAAGGAGCGGAGCTACAGTGGACGATGCGCAGAAGAGACTCACGTCGGAAATATGAAGGCCATATTGCAACTAAAGTTTCCGTCAAAAAAAAATCAGCACGCTACAACGAAACAAAAGACATTTTGGAAGCCAGGATGACACGATACGCAGGAGTATACGACACACGATGGAAAATACACCACAAATTTCAACTTCTACGCAGCGACTTCTCGGATTCTTGTGGATTAGAGTTCGACGACCACGACGAAATGAATGTCAGTGCGAGTGACCCAGTCAGTTTTGCGCAGCTCGAGTTATTTGCCACTCCTGGTCCTGCCATGATTACGAAACTGTTGCTTCACGATTTTTAGTCTGAAGGTACAATGCGTGCGCATCGTGTACAAACTTTTTCTGCTGAGTCTTGCACGACCGCAACACAACACCTGCGCGACCGCTAGGGCACACAACTACTGTGGTCGATACGATGAGGATATGTCTTGACTGATCGAGTCCCTGTACTCACGATTCAAAGACCCAACTGAAATTTTGTTGTACACAGTCAAAGAACAAATACAGTGTCGAAACGAGTCGCGAAAGGAATGGACTACACAGTGCAGCACCTGCGAAACACTGAATTGCTGTGCCTGGCTGCTAACTTTTGCGATACTTCTCTGCCTACGTCGCGTTCTTAGCTGTTCTCGGTAACGCTTGCTGCAAATAATCTTCAATCGACCGGAAGCGAAATCCAAACTCCTTTTCAAATTTCTTGCTGGTCATAGTCAGGTCCAGCGGCACTGTGTAGCCCATTTTTGCCTCCAGGTCTCTCGTCAGACAGGGTTGAAGCGGCCAGGTTTCTTTCGAAGTGCTGGTCTGTGCTGGTTGCTCTACGTCGATTGGTGCCGGTGATTCTTGCTCTACCGGCGCGCACACCTTTTCTACAATCCGCGCGAGGTCCAGTCGCGACAGACCTGCCGGGCCCCCGATATTGTAGATCTTCGCTACCGCTTCGTGCTCAGGAAGCTCACGACTAGGCATGTCTATGCTACCGATATTTTTCTCCTCTTCAGCCGCTGCGCTTAGTATCCCAGAGCTAGAACTCGTCGTTTTATTTTGCCCTTCTCCCGGCGCAGCGCCTTTTGCATCGAAATTCTTGGCCAAAATTTGGAAAATCGCCTGCGCCACGTCCTCCAAAGCGACAAAACTCCGCAGGGAGTCGGTGAGAAGAGATAAAGTCTCCTTATTCTCGTGGGCATCTAGCAGCGTCTTCAAAAAGCGCGACTCCGTATGGAGCATGTTGCTGAGACGGAGATTGTAGACCTTGATAGAAGTACGATTTGGATCATCGTCCGCATTGTCTTCGTCCCCAGGAGGAGCTGGACCAATCCGCACTGTTTTCACCGGCTGCTCCTCAGTCTTTGCGACAGCCGCCTGCTCAAATGCGAGTTTGCTTCTCCCATACGCGTTCACCGGTTCGGTCGGATCGGACTCAGAGTAGCAAAGACTGTTGCAAAACTTTTGTCCTTTTTTGCTAGCGTCGTCTTCCAGACCTGCCGTACTAGCAACTGCGACGTCCCGACCGGCGTACACCATGTCCGTGGAACAGAAGATAAAAACGCTTCTCCGCAGTGATGCACCTGCAGGAACCCTCTCAAGACCGGAAACTTCTGATGAACTTTCGTCACAAGAACCTCTACTCCAAAACCTGAACAATTCATCCAGCATCTTTGTCGGTGTGTTGTAGCCTCTCAGTTCAGCAGGACTCATCTGCTCGCACTCCTTCGGGCTGCTGACCGCGGCGGCGTGAATAACCGCGATGGGTTTGATGATGTGTTCCACAGCATGAGCAAAGGCGGGAGACTCGAAGTAGCTGCTTTCGTTGTTCGAGTCGTCGAAAAAGTGCACGATCCTTAGGACGTCATCGGCCTCCTCGATATCGTACCCATTTTGCGATGTGCTCTTTGCCCCAACAGCGCATGAACCATTCGTCGATTTTGTCCTCGTAGACGCATACAGGAGACCATTGTGGGACTGCAGCCAGGTACGGAGATCGGGCGTGTGGTACAGCAGCTGCTTTGCCAGCATGCCATTCGCGCCGGTAATGAGAACGGACATTTTGTGGGTGGCAAGGTGTTGATTATGTAGTACTTGTTTGTGCGGGAAGAGTACAAGCGACATGTGTCTTCAGTGGGGGCTTTTTATGTGAACCGACTAAAATTATATAGCACGAGTTGTAGAACAGCGTCAGCAGCAAGTAGCAGCAGCGCAACAGACTGTGCACGCTGCTTGGTAGCGAATCGGAATCCGAATACGCTTGCAAATTCCACAATAATTACCGTGGTGGAATTGGATGTCGGCTTTTGAAATATGCACACACTTCTGATGTTGCAGCTGCAGACCCAAACAACTGTAAAGTTAAACTTCATATATAACATCTGCCCGTTTCGAAGATACAACACAGCACGCCATTTGAATCAAAGAAGCGAAATGGCACCAAAAGAGTCTGTAGTCCGGTATGGTTCACGCCTGTGAGAAGTATTCTTTATCTATTTTGGTACACGGCCGAGCAAGAGGAGACGCGACATCTTCATCATGGGCGGAACCACTACACATGAGAAAGGGCTCTCCTAAAGGTTCATTTGTTGCAAGAGGACTTTCCCCCTCTGTAAATTCCAACTGTAGTAGATTGAAAAATTCACAACGTCGCTGCCGGTCCTTGATCTCGGACTTTCCTCAAGATCAGAAATCCAGACTGCAGGCCTTCCACAGCAACCAATACCCTGGTAAGGACAGAAGCCACCAGATCCACGGTAGCACGCGCTCCCCGCCCCACTCCGGACCGAGGGTCTCCGGGTTGAGTAGTATGTTCAGCAGGGCGGTGACGAGGCAAAACCCCAGCAGCATCAGCCCGGTTACTGTTGACTCGAGGTTCTTGCTGCTCGCCTTCGCTTCCACGGACCCGGCACTCTGTGATCGTCGCCCAGAACTCCCGCTCACCAACTCCTGTGTCGACGCCGCGACGATCTGCTGGTAGCTGCCACTGCGCAAGACGAACCCGATGCTGGTCGCCGCGAGGCCCGGGCCACCCAGCCCCATCAGGCACGCGAGGACGTAGAGCCAGGGGGAGGACGCGGAAGGCACTGTCGTCCATATAAACGCCGTGCAGGAAAAAAGGACGATTAAGAACACGATTACGGTCTTTATGATCCCCTGAAAGGAAATCCGGTTGCTGTCCAGCAGGCCCCCCTGTATCACGTTTCCGAGCAAACCCGCCAGGAAAAATATGCCGGCGTAAATGTTCGCCGACGCTTCGCTGGGGAAAACTTCGGAAATCACGGTGAGGTGGGCGTTGAAAACCCCGAAGAGCAGGGAGACGCCCAGAAAGCTGTAGGTGAATTCGGGGCATTTGGTGAACAGCACATACATGTTGTCAAACAGCGGGCAGTCGCAGGAACACCGGAACAATCCTTTTATTCGACCGCTGCTCGTCCCTCTCCTGAAGACCCTTCCTCTTGATGTTGACCTCGACGTTGATCCGGACATGTCTGCAAGTTCCGCTGTAGTGTTGTTCTCCGGCCCTCCTGCTATCCTGTTCGTCGGAGAAGAACCTGTTTCGATTTCGGTCAACGAGTTCAAATTCAGCTCGTCTTCGTGGTAGAATTCCTTCTCGGACCCGCTCCGCGCACCGCGGTTCGGGATCAAGAGCAGAATGGGGATGAAAAGCACGCATGCGAGGAGGTTCAGTCCCGCACAAACGTACAGAAAATTCTTTGGGTTGTCCGCGAAATACGGGAGGCCCGTCAAAAACATGCCCACCCCCACGCCCGTCGTGTCGCTGGCGATCCCGAGCGCGGTCGGGGTTGCCCGCTCATTCTCCAAAAAATAGTTAGCGGGAATGCTGGCGGCGAGGCACTGGAAGAATGGCTGCCCGAGCTGTGCAATCACTGTGCCAACGAACACGCAAGTGAAGGACTCCCCGGAGTCTAGTAATCGTATGAACATGGTGCCGATGGAGAAAAACACCATCCCGCACACCAAACTCGGGATAACGCCAAACCGCTCGGTCCAGTACATGGCAGGGAACTTCAGCGCAGCCAGCGGCTTATGCGTTGCAAACATGTCCCAGTGTGTGTCGAGAGAAATGCGATACTTGATGGAAACACAAGCGCCAGATGAGACCAGCCGCGATCGAACCGGTGCCGGAATGCTTCTGAGAAAATAATTGCAGTTCACTTGTAGTTTCTCGAACAGAAACAATCCGCGCGAATGCACGACATGGAACAAACTCTAAAATCCGCACCCTGTCTATGCAGCAGTGCAATGGTCTGTTCCCACACTGAAGACATGTTTGCGGTCGATAGAGATACACAATCGTCCCCATAAGATTCACGAGCTGAACGGACACCCCGTAGAACGCTGCAACCTGCTTGACGATTGTGAAGAACCCGTTCAGCACCATAGAGCAAAGCAGCTGCACGTAGCAGAAAAACGCCAGGAGAAAAATCCGGGTCGGCTTCGGCAGAAGAAACGGCATCTCCGTGCGGCGAATGGGGGGCGAGACCGAGGTGATTGATGTAGTAGTCATCTTGTTCAATGGGTTTTTCTCGCAAAGTTTAAGTTTTGTTGTCACGACACAATATTAAAATCTCTCTGTATTTATGTATCTGCAGATGATCGTCACGAGTGGTCTTCTAGTTGATCAGTAGCCTCTCTACCCAACATGCTTCGCCACTTCGCCTATGAACACGCCTTAGTCACGATGAAATGATGAACCTAGTCATTGGCAACGCACTCAGCGCAGTTGATATTGTTATTGACAGAAGTTCGCATCAAACAGAACGACAGCGGGGATTTTTTATTTATTTTTTGAAAGTCTTATCGAGATAATCTGCTTGTTCGCGCCTCGGTCTTGCAACCCATCAGAAGGCTATTAAAACAGGTTGAAAAACGAAAAAAAGGGAGCTCGCGCGGATTTTTTTTGTTTTTTTACTTTTATATTGAAAGCGTCGCACTGGTTGAATACTTAGATTTTCTTGCCAAGCTGAAGAGAAAGTTTCAACTCCTAAGAGCGTGTCAAAAAGTAAGAAAAAAGTTCTTCAGAAAAAAGTGAAAACGATGATCAACATCGGGCTTTTTTGTCACAATGAAATCAGAATCAAAGTCAAATGTCGTCGCAAACAGAGTCAAATTGAGAAAAAGAAAATTGGTACTTGCGGAAGGAGTGGCGATTTGGCGAAAATACTGCTCAACCATCAAATCGGTACACTTCCAACGCAGTAATTGTATAATTGAGTCAAATTGAAAATAGAAGTTTTTTTTTTCCTGATTTACTGTTGTCACACATCCAACTTCACCCTAGTTACTTCTCTGCCTCTGCTACTGAGTGATCCATCAGGCATTTGTTCCAGGAGAAGTTCTAGAGGCGGACAAAAGTAAATCGGAAATGTTTTTTAGAAGTCAAATAGTCGTGTCTTGTTGACAAGAGTGAAAAATGTAAATCAGAAAAAGAATGAAGAGATTGATAAGATCGACTCGGACACAGCACCAGCAGGGTAGGTGAAAACTAGTGTAGGAAAAAGTGCGTATAGGTTATATACCCTCCTTCGGTAATCAATGAGAAACAAAGGGTGAAAGTCGCCGGGGAAAAAGATCCTTAAACACGGGCCCGGCACGGGGGTGTCTTAGCGTCTTTTGGTAAGATATTGACTCCTCCGAGGGGGTTTGCTCCTCCGGCAGTCACCCCATGCTAACTGGGTACGCGTCGTTGAGGGAAGAAGGTGTGGGAAACGCTGAGATCACACAGAGATACTTGATTGGGTGGGAATAAAGTACTTAAGGAGTGAGTTCTGATTTCGTCACGAGCGCGATCCTGCGTCGAAAAAAAAAGTGAAAAAGTTCGCCAAAAAAGTGGTGTACAGTGATGTTTGCTAACGTTCTTACTTTCCCAAACAACAGAAATTTTTTTGTCAAAATGACAGTCGAAATTCGTAGTCGCGGAGCTGCTCGAGGAAGAGTGTCGCAACGGGATCGAAAAATTACACGAAAAAAAAGTGAAAAGTTTACCTTCGTGGTCTCCTGTGTGCACTACAGCCTGTAGCGGAGGCTTTGATCGCTCCAGTGCAGCCGTCTTTTCTGTGCTTCACAGAGAGCAGACACGAAGTGCCATGTCAAACACGATTGTGTCAAAGAGAGTTGCCATAAAAGTTGAAAAGTTAGAATGCCTAGAAGCTCTTGATTGGAAGGAGAAGAATGCGCGATGAAGCTTTTCCTTGTCGCGTTGTAAGCGTTCGTCGTATAATTACAAGACAACGACCAAGTCCAGCAGATATTTTTTGTCTGCGAAATAAGACTTGATACTATGATCTATCATCCCCGAAACGACACTGAGTTCAGGTGCCCGGCGATGTTGAAGCCGCGGCCGCGCTTTCGCACCCCGGTCTCGTTCGCCTCCGGGGGCTGCATGGGCTCTCCGAGCAGGGCCTGGTTTTTTTGGAGCACCGAGGTAGGCAGGTTCATGCGGTTACTGCGGTCGTACCCACTGCTGCTCTGCAGCGTAAACGGCTCGCTGCGACTCGATTCCCGCGTGGTGAGGCTGATTTTCTCGCGGTTAGTCTCCCGTACGCGCGCCCATTTGTCGTCCTCGTCATCCCCGCTGGTGTTCTTCCAGCTGGCGTTCGAGTGCATGTTGCTGCTCCCACCCTCGACCTGCTCCGACCGGAGTCGCTGCGTGTTGGCGTTGGGGACCAGACGATTGCTCATCACGTTCCCGGAGTGCCCGGCCGGCACGAGGTTGGATCGAATGTTCATACTGTTGTCGTACAAATCCTCGCCGGACTTCTCGTTCTTCTTCAGTTGCACGCTGTTGAAGGTCGAGCGATCGCGGGGTTTGATCGAAAGTGTGGGTGACTTCAGCTCCTGGGCGAGCTTGGACTTGCTCTCGTTATAGTTGTCGAAAGCGGCCGCGAGGTCATCGGACGGAGGCGGGGAAATAGGTTTCCTGTTTTGGATTATGATATTGACTTACAGTGGGTGGGTTTTTGAACATTACGTTCTCGTTCCCCAATATTCATTCTAATTCACATGGGGATCATGAGCTTGACCTTGACAAATCAAAATATACTACAATTGTCTACCAAAAAATAGTAGCCCACCCTATACCTTGCCAGCCTCAAGCCCTTGTTCCTGGTGTCTATGTCCTTGTCGTCCGACATGCTTGATTTTTGCGGACTGCGGCCGCGCACGCTTCTCCTGTCCTGGTCGCTCCGCTCGTCGGTCATCTGGGATACTGCGTCGCTCATGCCGTCCGGATGATCCTCGGACAGCCGGCGTCCGCCCGGCTTGGAGGACTTCTCCCTCGCCTTCCTGCTCTCGTGCTTGGACTCCCGCTCAAACGACCGGTTATTTTCCTCTTCCCCGCTGCTGTCGCGGTGTTTGTTTTTCTTCTTCTTTTTCTTCTTCTTTTCTGCCCGATCGCCCCGGTCGCCGCGCATCTTACTATTGTCGTTTATGTCCAAGTCGTCCTCGGAGAGACCGCCTGCGTTATTTGGCGACATGCTCACATCGTTGTTGTTGGCGTACTTGGAGGGTTTATTTTCCTTCGAGCTGCCCAACTGGTGCTTTTTGTGGTCCTTCTTGCCCCGCTTTGACTGCCGCGCGACGTTATTTGCGCCGTCGTTCTCGGAGTCCTCGTCTATATCGGACTGCAGGTTGCCTTCGTCCGCCGGTGCAGCTGCACCTCCTCTCGTCCGCCTCTTGCTGTTATCCACGGCCCGGTCGGATTTGTTGTTGTCCTTCTTGACCCTTTTCGACTTCTTCTTGTCGATCTTCTCGCTCAACAATTTCGAGGACGAGTTCTCGTGCTTGGACCGCTTTTTGTCCTTGTTCCTCTTCTTGTTCTTCGACGACGTTCCGCGACCGAGTGAGCTGTTGCTGTCGGACTCGAGATCAGCGGCAGGGTTTATTCGCGTGCGCCGCTTCGAATCGTATTCGTCCCCGGGGTTCATCATGTCCTCTATCAAAGGGAAAAATCCCCCCTCCCCATATCGAAATGGAAATCTGTGATGCAGGATTTGGCTACACAAATCGGACTTGTCTTGCAGTAAGGCATCGCAGCCAGGTCCTCGGCCTAGGTAGGGGCGTATAGGTCTAGTTGCTTAGCATTGCAAACGGGTGCCCCCTAGGCGCAACAGCATGCCAAATCGCTTCCATAATGGTGCGGAAGCCTCTGCGCCTGTCTTCTTGCAAGACAGACGTGATTTGTGACCTCAAATCAGCAACACAAATTTTCGGAAACATACCTTTTCGATATGGGGAGGGGGGATTTTTCCTCAGAATATCCTCCTCGCTACTGTAGAGTTCCTCGTCGTTTTTCGAGCCTCTCCCCAAGGCATTCAGCGCTTTCGTGCCGCGCTTGGAGGATTTCGTGGTGTCTTGGTCCTCCTTATGCGACTCTTTTTTCTCTCTGCGGCTTCGCTTCGTGTTCCGATCCGCTTTTCGGTCCTGAAAGCTGGAGTCCTGGCTGGACCGGGCCCCCCCACGGTAGTTGACGTCTCTGTCGTCGGACCGCTCTTCCGATCGCTCGGAGGCTAGCTGGAGGTCGTCCTCGTCCGAGTGGACGATGTCAGTGTCCCGCAACTCCTTGTCGGCGTGCAGCTTTTTCATCTTTTTCGATTCTCTCTTTTCCGCTTCCTCGATCCCCCGGCCCCGCTTTTTCATTTTCCTGTCTTCCCTTGTGCTGTCCCGCGCCCGCTCGGGCGACTCGTTCTCCGACTCGTTCTCGCCATGGGCAGCAGACCGCGATCTTCTGCTGTCTTCGTCGTCCGACCGCGAATTGTAGTCGTTGTCCTTGTTGAACGCCGCTTCTTTCGACTTCTTCTTCCGATCCTTCCGGTCCACTTTCTTGCGACCCCGCTCCCGGTCTTTGTCCTTTTTGTACACCTTTTCCGCCGAGTCCAGGTTTTCCCGCGTGCTGCTGCTCCGGACCGGGTGGTCGCTGGAGAGGGACCCGCCCTTTTCCAACTCCTTCTTGCCGGTCTCGTGCTTCGAGCCTTTATGGTCCTTCACTTTCCTCGACTTCCGGCTTTTCTTCTTCCGGTCGTTAGTGGTCCCGTACAGCTCGCTGTCATCCGACTGCAGCGGGGATTCGTTATTGTCATTCGCGTCGCTCAAATTGTCGTCGTCGGAAAGGGGCTCTACGACTTCCTCTCTCCTACTTTTGCCGCCGTGGTGTTTGGACGAGCTTTGAACAGCGTTATTGCTGTTTTCCCCGCCGTCTTTGTCGCGATTTTTGTTTTTGTCCTTCTTCTTCCTACTTCCCGCGTTGTCCTGCTTCGCGGACTCGCGGTAGGACGTTGACTCTGTGTTGACACCCGGGTCGTCTTTCTTGCCGCTGTCCGCGCCCGCCGCGACGATGCGTATGTTAGAAGTACCAGGAATGGCATCCGCCGTCTCGTGCGAGGCTGCGTAGGAGGCGTTCGTGGTCTTCTGGTGTGCTGAACTTGAGGTGGCTATTGCCGTCGAGGAACTCGACGACGCCTTGATGCTGACACTGGACGCGGTGATGTTCCCGCCCCGCGTGGAGGTCTTGGTCAGGCTGCTGGAAGTGGAGGAGGAAGCCATAATCACCGTTCCGCTGCCGCCGGACGAAGTGATCATGCTCTGCTTGCTCGCCTTGGATTCAATGGTCGTGTTGGTGGTATCCAAATCGTTATTCGGGGACCCGGACGCGGAACTGGACTGGGGAACCAGCGTGCCGTTGCCGTGACGCTTCTTCTTCTCCTCCAGGATTTGCTTCAGCGATTTGATGTCCGGCATCTTGCTCTGGGGCGTGGACTTCGAATTCTGCGGGTTCACACCGTCCAGGTTGTCCGAGGGGGGAGACTTGTTCGCGCTGTCAACGCCGGGAGTGCCGGGAACGCTGTTGCGCCGTCGCTCAGCCTCGGCCAGACGGAGACGCTCCTGTTTTATTTGATGCAGTCTGGATAGACAATGTGGCTTTTACGCCGAGTAGTTGGTGCTAATTGCACAACGACAATGCGGGCGTACAGGAAAGTCGAAAAGCACAAAAAAAAATTCTGGAAGGAAGACCTACTAGAAGAGAAACGTTTGATCATAAGTTTCAGGAGTACCTGCTCAAGTCGCGCTTTCTCCTGTCTTTCCCGCTGTTCCTGCTCAATCTTCTGATTGCGCTCCCACATGGCCTGTGACATGCCCAGAGCTTCCCACGGCTTATCCGCACTGTAGCCCCAGTCTTGACCATCCCTGTAAGATTTTGAGTTTTCTATCTTCAACTGTTTCTTTGCTCCCCTAGAGATGCAGACGCAGGAACACAACAGAATCAATTTTAGCAAAATTCGAAATCTACGAAAACATGGCACTCAAGGCCGTACAGTTGAATGCACCACGCAAAAGTGTATCCAAATACCAGTTGGCCCATTCGTCCTGCTTTCCTTTGCCCTTCGCGCCCAGTACACTGCCCGCCTTCGCATTCGCGGCACCGGGTGCCGCTTTCATCTTTGACGCGGGCGATCCTGGTACTGCCTTCAAACTGGCACTTCTTTTCGGGTTTGCGGATTGTCTTGAAAGCGCCTCGGGGCCGAGCTCGACAATAAATGATTTTTCGTCGATGTCGACGTTCTGCATGTAGGGCACAATCTCGACCGGCTTGCGTTGCAGGTCGCGCCGCATGGACTTGGGCACGCGAATCCCGTTGTATCGCCCGTTTTTGTCCGGGACAATCCTTTCGCCAGGAAAGGTTTCCACGCAGGGTCTCCGCAGCTCCATCGGTTTTCCGAAGGCCAAGCAGAATTCGTCTGTGAGTGTTGGTGGAAAAGAAAAAGTCAATGCAAGCGTGCGCGCAAAAAGTGTGCGAACAACAACAAGATGAATATTTTCGTAAATAAATCGTCATGCTATTTACATGTTTCTAAGTTCATCGTCAACAAACAAACTCATTGAAAAAAGCAAGTACAGAGGTTTATGTTGATCGCCTCGGACTCGACGATCCCCTTGCTGAGCGCGACGATGGCGCCGTCGTCGGTGTACTCATGTTCGTACAGAAATCCCTCCTCCGCGTGGTAATCCGAGTGCTCCTGGAACCAGCCCCATACGCGGTGCTTACACCAGTTCGGGTCTTCCTCGGCGCGAATGGTACCGCGGGGACACCGAAACGTCTTCGGCCACCAGCCGAAGCCGCCCCACTGAGCCATGGCTCCTTCGTGCTAACTTTCTACTTGTTCTATAGGCTTTCTACTTCGATTTGTATCAACAATAGTGGTGATGTATGCTTGCTAATGTGGCCCTAGTAAACTTTTCCCTTTCTACCCGCCTCAGAAAGAGAAAACGGACCGGGGTTCCGAGCCCAAGTTTTGTGATGAACCCCGTCCCGATCTCTTCAAAAAAAAACTAAAGGTTGTTTGTTCACAGAAAACGAAAATTCTTGTCGTGCTTACTTGAAAAATACCAATTCGAATGTCTTTCTATTTTAAATCAAATTGTTGTCGCCAACCTGTGGGATAATTTGATTTGGAGGCGTTCAAAACTTTTGCAACGAGATTTGATGAGTCTTGCCTTGCAGGTGAAAAACGTGATTTTCTAAAGTAAACGGAGTTGTTGCTTATTTGCGCAAAATTTGAAAGGATTTCGGGAACTGAGAGGGCAAACGAGAACGCATCTTGGGATTTGGTGTTTCGAAAATTCGCTTGATTTTGCTTTGGTGACGCTACGATTTTGAACGAACGAAAAGCGAGAGGATTTGATCGTGTTTGGACGTAGGTCTTGCTGACTTTGCTTCTTCACGGGAACTCGTGAACGTAAAAACGATGGTGAAGCCAGTCGGATTTCTTTGGAACGGCTTTACATACACGTGTGTACAAAAAAACTGTAATCACGTTTGTACGGAATTCACTTCGTTCTTTTTTCATTTTCCCAAGCAACGTCATCAAGAAAAATTCCTCGTATTCATTTCTACAGCTCCTTTTCCTCGAGCTATGGATGCAATTGATTAAGAACAAAGAAATGATGCACACAAAAAACGATCAGACCGAGTCGAGTTATCAATTGAGGTGTTCGTTATTGAAGAACGGCAAAAAAAATGCGACCTCATGCACAAAAAAATGGTATACAAAAATCACAATCCAGACTAAAAGCACGCCTATATCGCAGTGGTAGCTGAAACGGTATGCTTCGGCCGCATGGTACCTTGCATAATGCGTTTTGCTGCTTCTTCAAACTGCTTGCTTTCATCGTTCGTGACCGCTTTACCTGCGCCCCCGATTGCATCATCGACTCGCCCCGAACTCTGATCTGCTGTCGCATCAGCGCTAGAATTCTGCGTTGTGCTTGTGTTATCGGGTCGTGAAGTAGCGGGCGTAATGTCATTCAGCTTCTCATTTTCCGTTTCCGCTCCCGACAGCACGTCTTTCAACTCCTCGTAACTGCGGTTCATTCTCCTCGTATTTCTCTGCACAGCATTGTTGTAGTACTGTGATTTTTGCCGGACCTCGCGCAGCGGGGAGTACGAACCACTACCACCGTCTAGCGTCGCTGCCGCATCGCCCTGCCGAAAACTTGCACTTCCACTGCCGCCACCGACATTCGAGCGTCGCATGCTCCCGGCGTTTTTCAACCGCGCGAGCATCTCCTCTGCGGATTCCTGACGGAGCTGACGAGGCTTTGGCTTTATTTGTTTCCTTGGTTCAACATGCTCGCGGCTTGTTGGAACGACAAAACCTAAACCTTCGCCTTCTGCCGTCCTCACGTCTTCCGGTTCTGCATCTTCCAACACATGTTGCCAGGAGGCTGAAGTTGCAGCATGGACTGAACGACTTTTCGTCTCCACTTTGTCGTGGCCAGCACCACGCTTTATCAAACTAGAAGTTGTTGTGCCACCTTTATCCGCACCACGACTACCTGCTGTGCTTTTACTACTTTTCATTTTCCGCAACTTTTCCAGGTCCATCACGCTTTCTTGTTCCCTCTTCTGCCGCAATTTTTCGTGGACACTCTTGTCCTGTGGGATGTAGAAGACTTCCGCGACCTTGTTTTTCTCCAGAAAAGCGCGCTTGGTCCGCAGATCGCTGTTCTTCGCGAGCAGCCGCATAGGAGCAAGTTCCCAAGAGTCGCTAGCTTTGTTCTCTAGCACGTCCTTCCGAATTTCAGCGACGGTGCGGATTTGAGCAGCAGTTGTCGGATTTTTGTCATGATCAATATCCGTTGGAGCAGCGGGGTTCTTCATTGCGATCTGCTCCACCTTTGTGTTTGCCTCTGCTGACGCTGCTTCTATATCATGAAGCAGCTCCTTTGCACCATTAACAGGCTCCCGACCCACAGACGCAGCTGCAGCTTGTGTGCTGGACAAAACCGGTTGATGCTGATCCTTTTGTGCCTCAAGCAGCTCTTTGTAGATTTCCTTCAATTTCTCTTCATCTTCTTCATCACCCGCCAACGTCTCCTCTAATTTGATCAACAAAAGTTCTGGAATATCCCCCTCCCCGCTCTCAACTAGCTCTAACACGGCTTCGCGGATGTCGACCGTATCTGTGAGGCTTTCGCTGGTAGAAGAACGTAATTCGGGGCTCGATATCACCTTTTCATCTTCTCGGGCCGCGGTGGAATTAGTTTCAGGATTAGCCGCGTGCAGTTGCGATCCCGCTAGCGGTTGCTGTGCAAGGGGAATGCTTTGAGCTGAAGCAGGGTGTTGAAGATTCTCGTTTACTTGCTGCGGTGGCGCCGTAATTTCTGCTCCAGCGGCCATTGCAGACAGATTCTGGACGTCGACCGCTTTGTGTGCTGGCGCGTTCTGGACTTCGACCACTTTGTATGATGTCGCTTTCCCTGCTACAACGCCTTCCGATCCCCCTCGGTCTTTCGGAACCACGATGTCTTCAATGTCGGCAGTGGAAGCTGCAGCGCCGGGCTTCAGTAGACCTCCCCGCACGACCCGCTTGACGTAGTTATTTTCGCTACTAGCAGTTGCGTCCTCGGGACTGCTTTCCTGCTCCGCTCGGGCCGAAGCTGCCCCTTCCCCAGCGGACACGAAAACGTGTTCGACAAGAGGAGTCGCCACGGCAGGTGAACCTGTTCGTAAACCGAACTGCAGCTTCGCTTGCACTTTTTCCAGTATTTTCTTCCCTACAAGGCCGTAGTCCACCTCAACATCATGATCTCCGTCACCACCTATTTCGTCCGAAAAAAGCGTCAAAATTTCAAAGTCCTTGTTCTCCGAAAACAGGTTTTCCATCCGCCAGATGTCGTGCTTGATGTTCACAAACCGCATGTCTGTACTGCTTACGGCAGATTTCGGTGGCAGGATATCGGCGACAAGGACTTTGGTAGTGCTAGTTTCAACGTTTTCATGTGCATCCCCATCGATGGAAACAAAATCCTCTCCTTCTTGTTGAAGAACAAACACTAACGTGCAGTCCGTACTGCTGGAACTGGCACTGCTGGTCCTCTTCCCATCCACACCTGAAGCCCCTCTTGAAGTCGATGAAGCCGTTGCGTTTGCGTTGAAAACTCTAAGCTGTTCCCCGTCCGCCCCGGGTGTCGCCAGCAAACTCTCCCGCACCGCCTCTAGGACTGCGGTCGGGCTGAAGATCCGGTCCTCTGCCGTGCGAATCACGTTTTATGGAACTGTCAGGATTGAAATCGTCAAAGTTGCAATGATTTGTGATGCATAAAATGCAACGCAGAAAATGCCTGCCTTGCAGAGTAGGCAAGGGAGGCAGATTGTGAGCCTGTTGCGGGGTAGGAATAGAGCTGCTAAAGCAGCATGACAAAAGGCGTCTTCCTTACCCAAACAGCATTACAAACTGGATTTCGGCTCTACTCAAATTTGTCATGCGCCGCTTAGAAATTGGGCTTGCAATTGGCATCGATTTTGTGCATTACAAGTTTTTTCAACTCTGACGATTTCAAACCTGACACATCCATACGTTTGTCATCAAGTGTAAATCCAGATCTTGCTCCAAATCGATCTCCGGCTTCAGGTACCGCTTGAAGTATATCAAATGTAAAAATGTCTGGGTCTGGAAGAATGCAACTTGTCATGCTAAATTTGAAACAAGCAAGAATCTGTGTTGCATGATTACCAAAAGTCGTCCAGTTTTGACCAGGTCGGGAGGGGGTTTCTCATGCAGGATAGGCATGAGAGAGGTCGCGCAGAATCTGTCATGCTAGGTCCTGCATTCCAGACCTCATGGGTCATGGAAAAGCTGCATGACAAATCGCTCATTCTTCCAGACCCAGACATTTTTACATTTGATAAAGTAGCTCGCCTGAGAGAGAATTTGCTGCTTACTGGACGAGAAGCTGGTAACTCTGTGCCGTTCGCGGGTTGTTAAATGATCCCCATCGTGGCTGCGGTTGCTTTTTCCACCTAGAACGTTTTGCAGTAACTGCTCTCGCTGCTCAGCAGCGGAGGAAACAGCCTGCAGAAACGTTTCCGCAAAACCACCTTGCAGGTTCAGTCTCGCCAACACCGCTATTGCGTTCCGGGCACTGACGCTACTCTGCACGTCCGCGTGTTCGAGTAGCAGTTCCGTAAACTGTGGCATTCGCACATTGAAGAAGCTGTTCTCCAACTGTATCTTCAGCTCGTTTTTCAAGTTAATCTTTGGCTTGGTCGTGGCCTTTTTCTTCTCAGAAGCAAGGGAATTATGAACACTGCTACTTTTCATCTGCAGGACCACCTTCTCCCTTATCTCATTGAAACCAGCAAAGCACAAAGCCGCCAGCATTGTTTCGGCACTTGCTCCGTCGGTTATAAACTTCCTCGCGAAGTTCGTTTTTTTCTCCGTCGGGGAGACTTTCTGCTCCAGTATTTGCTTCATTTTCTGTAAGGAGGGAATCAGATTCAGCTCGGCAAGCTTGTTCACGTACTGGAGCCGCTTCGCCGTGGCACTTTGTCGCGATGGAGAAATCATCGATGACCCGATTGTGTTGTTGTACGAGTTCTGCAGATAAATTTGTTTCTGCGCGGAAAAGACGAGGTCGACAAAGTTGATACTTTCCGCATGATCATCCGAAGTCTCTTGGTGTTGACGTTGTTCAGTATCCCGTCGCAAAATCTCAGGCAGCGCTTCGAAGACCAGATTGTCGAGCATGTCTTCCGTTAGATGGACCGCCGCGGTCGTACTGGTGCCCAGTGCGTTTACCGCGTTCTTGCCTTCAGCATCCAAAAGCATCGTCGCCGCTGCCCGCGCCGTTCTTTCCACAAGGCTGCTCGTTTTCTCGCCGGTGTACACGGCAACAGCCTCCAGATTCTGGTTGTGCCACAGCATGGAAATCAGCTTTGAAGCGGTGTAGTAGGGATGGTTTCTAACAAAATTCGACACAGGTACAGGAGTTCCAGGACAATCGTGAATGTCGCGCGCGTCTTCAGCGAAGTTCGCTTGTAGCAGAACTGGTAGCACTTCCAGCTGAAAAACCTCCAGGAACGTGCCCGCCGAGGTCAGCGCCGGGCTGTGCTGCAGGTTCTGCTGCACCAGAAGAGACCAGTAGAAGTCAACTGCCGCTGCTGTCGCGTGTTCCAGTAGTCGCTCTTCGATTGTTGTCCTTGCTTGATCTTCGCCGCATCGAACGCGGCTAAGCAGCTCCAAAGGCTTCGTCAAATTTCGCAGCACCCCATCCGCGACGGTATCTAGCAATTCCGTCGACCACAAGCTTCCTTGTCTGATGGCGTGGTCTAGAACAATCCGAAGCGGCGCTATTGTGGTCGTCCCGGACGTAGTAGAAATCGCGGAGCCAAAATCAAGCAAGCAATCCAGATCGCTTCCGTTCAAAGCTTGGAAAATAGTTTCGACGACCTGCGCCGCCTTTGAACTCACGCCGTTGCTGTTATACGCATCCAGTACGACGAGCAGCTCCTCCGCCTCGGCACCCTTTTCAAAGAGAGATTTTTCCAACTTCGCCACAAATGCAGGATGGTGAAAGAATGTCATCTGTTTCTTCAAAAACGCCGCCGCGTTCAATAAAGTTTCGTGGTCATTCTTTGACTTTGTCATCACGGAGGAAAAGTGTCGCAGGAGATCTTGCGGCCGTGGCGGTTGTGCAGAAGATTGAAATCCTTTACCCTTCCTAGAAGACGACGAGCCGTCGGCCGCTGCAAAGTACTCGATCAGTTTCGCGTCCCAGGGCCGCAGCAGGCTTTCGACAAACGCGTCACGGACTTGATGGTCTTTTGTCCTCTCCGTTGCAGTTGTACTGTGAAACAGCTTCGTTGCCTCAATGAGATCTAGAACTTCCTGAGATCGAAAACCTAGAACATCCACAATCGGGCCACCTGCTGCTGCGGAAAAATTCGTTTGCGGCGCATGATTACTTCCAACGTACCGCAGCAGCAATGCTCCCAAAATCTGCGCCCACGGCCCGTCTAGTTGTCTCGTGATGGTGAGCAAGGGTATCAACCCGCGGAGAAAGGGCACGGCCTGCGGGGCGACGGCATTGTTCCTCGATGATGAACTTGCAGATGGTCTTTCCTGCAAAACCTCCTGCTCAAGTAAGAGTTTCACGCGCAACAGAAACTCCGGCAACTTCTGAACTTCATCCAAAAGTGCAACGTTCTGCAGAACTTGCGTTTCTGTTTCTGTACTGTACAACATCCCGCGTGCGTAATTCGTACTATTTAGCTGCAACACCGCCACCACCTGCCGCAGCGTCCGTTCGCAAGTTGCAACCGTCGCGACAGGAAAACGGCGAAAGTAGTCTTCCAGAATCACGCCGGCTTTTTCTATTTGGTGCGCGGAAATCTTTTCCCTGCCTGCATCCTTCCCGATCGCAGAAGATCGTAAGAAACGCTGTTGCTGGTAAGATCCTGAAAGCACGCCAGCGGCTCTGCTGCTCGCGGTGCTGCGGTAAGGCTCGAAAGTTTTCTCGGTTTGGCATTCCAGCGTGCAGTTGCGAAGTCTCCGAAGACAAGCTGAGCGCCACGTCGACGCAGCCCGACCAGATGGTCGCAAATGAACGACGTGCGACTGCATCTTCTTTGAGAATTGAGTACTTCTGATGTTTTGATATCACGATTGCGTCCCTTCTTGTTCGAGTCAAGACTTTACTGGTACGGTACAATGTAGCAAAACCGTTTGGCGCAGGTAGACCCGCCCAGACGAAAACTGTCACCGAACGCGAGAACACGCACGGGCGGAAACGCAGACAGCAACTTTTATTTACCGCCGACACATGAGAAACCGGGGTCGCAGAAAAACACAAATAAGGTCATGATCCAATGCCTAAGATACAAACTTCGAAACGTCCAAATACCCGAGGGAATCTTCTCAGCATGGAAATGGTCAGTGGTTTTGAATCAAAAGAATGTACATGGAGATAGTGGACGAGTACTGGTTTTGATTTTGAAGATGGTATTGTACATCGCTTGAAAGTAACAAACTGAAACAGAAAGATGAACGGTGCTGCAGTGCAGTCATGTCTTGCTTTAAAAACAAAATGGTAAAAGAAAACTATCGCGGTCGGAAAAATCAAAAAGAAACAAAACACCATGATATTTACCTTTATTCACTGTGATGATGTATAAAACCGAAAGAAACAACTTGCATGATATTTTCAACGACTTTCTCTTTCTCTATGCTCTAATTCCGTACCACTGCTGCTAGCCAGTCTTTCGCGCCAGTAAAGGAGCCTGAAATCATGTGACACTTACCTTATTCCTTTTCTTTCCCGCCGCCCGGACTGGAAGCTAAACTCCGAATTCCATCCGCGGTCCATGAGAACAGATTCTTCACCAACAACCCAACGGGACTGGAAGCTGCAGCTCCTGCCTCCATTCCCTCTTCTTCATTCAAGTCAGTCAATAACAGATCTTCTTCGTCGATGGGGCGTGGAGAAGGAACTGGTGCCTGGTCTTTCTCATTCCTCTTTTCATTCCTGTAAGTAACCCTGCGGCGGACGACCTCAGCGGTCGATTTTTTTGCACCCTGCTTCACAGATTGTCCTGCTTCCTCGCTCGCCGAAGATTTCGCCCGCTCGACGTCCTTGAGCTCTTGCTTTTTCAGCCTTGCTTGTTCCTTCCACTTTTTTGCAATGCCGTTCCTGCGATTCCGCTTTTCCTTCTGACTTGATCCGTCCATTCTAGTGTTGCTCGCCCGCTGAGTCCGCTCTTCAGCCGCGAGCTTGTCTTCTTTTTCCAGAGTTTTCTCTAACGTTTGATACGGGTCCTCCGAACCCGAGGCGGCCTCCGAGGAAGTTACAATCGTTTGATTTTGTCCGGCAGAAAACTGTTCTTCGGATGAAGATGTAGTTGCTAAACCACTGCTACTCACCGCCTCGCTCCCCGAGCTCTTCGAGGAACTACTCTCGCTTTCTACAGATGACAGCATCGAGCTTTTTTCCTCTTCGCTCCGTCTCGGGTTGGCTTGTTCAGCACCGCTACTGTCGAACATTGTGTTGCCGCTGCTACTGGAATGCTGGTCGTGGTCCACCTCCGTAAGCCCGCTAGTACCAGAGGAGCTTGGTTCTTCCTCTTCCACTCCGTTAGAGGACGAATTTTTACCAGAACTGCTCTCTCCCTCCTCCTCTTCTTCTGAAGATGTTGCCACACCGCGAACAGGTTGTAGTGCTTTGTTCCCCTTCGGATGTTGAACCCGATCTGACTTCTCATTTTTGTTCTGTCCTGGCCGGATTTGAACTTGACTTGACGAATTTCCACTACTTGAAGACGCCTGATCTTCGCTGCTGCGCAAGTCGATCTCCTGTTTTCTTCTCCTCGAATCCGCTTTGATTTCCCCCTGCTTTTCTCCGCTACTTGCCTGTTTTTCTTCCACAAGAACCTCCGGTTTCTTCTTTTTCTTCAAGCTGCCAAACTTCACGAGTCTCCGAATTGCCTCCAGTTGCCGCTTCTCCAGGTGGTCCAGCTTTCCCGCCTCTAAAGCGCGTCTGAGCTGCTTCTGCGACTGCTTCGTCAATTCAGATTTGTCGGAGAGCGAGTCGTCCGTGTAAGTGTATTCACTACTTTCTTCTTCCTCGTCGTTGTACTCCTCGTCCCCGCTCTGGTCTTCTTGTTTTTCTCCCTGTTGACGGCCGGTGGCCTGCTCCTTGTCCTTAAAATCCTTGCCCTCCTGCCCGGAACTGCTCCTATTCGACGAACTGCTTGCGGGCCTACTCGACTTGATATCCTCGTCGACCACCTTAACAGTGCTTTGACTTTCAACTTCATCATCCTGCCTTCTCTCGTGGTTGTTCACGAACAACGGCGTTGGCCCGCGTCCGACAAACCGCGCCGGCAGCTTGCCCCGTTTCTTTTCCTCCGGCAGTTTTGCGAGCAGACTCGTTGTCAACTTCCGCGGGACAATCGTCGGGGAGGTCTGCCGACTGGATTTGGCGGACTCAAAGAACTTTTCGAAGTGAATCGACTCCAAAACTTTACTTCGTGGGGCGGTTTGCGACAGGGTCAGCAACTGGTCCCGCGCCTCCTGTTCGCCGGCGTGCAGGTAGAAGTTCTGGAACATGTTTCGGTGAAAACTGTCTCGGTCGTTGCACTCAAAATGCCGATCGTGGATGACTTCCGGCAGAAGCAGCGTCGCCGCGTCGTCCGCTTTGGCTAATATCACCGTGCCACTAGTCGCTGAATGGTAGGACTTATGCGAGTTCGGCCTGCTTATTTTCGGTTTATTTTCTGCCTTATCAACCTCCAAAAGCTCGATTTCCGCAAGATCGTCGTCCGGAGATTCCGGAAAAAAAAGAAAGGCGCTTTTTGGTTCTTTGTCAACAGGATGGCTATCTATATTTTCGGTCGTTTTTACACCTCCATCTTGAGCTTTTTCCTGCTCTCGTCGCACGGTAATTGCAGGAGCCGGAGCCGCTTCCTGTTGACCATCTGCTTGCTCGTCCTGAAAGAACTCCGAGGACAAATTTTGAGCAGATGTTGACCGCAAGTCTTTCGCGAGCTCTGCCGCATCAGGAGATAATGCAACAAAGCTTGTCGAGGCCATTAGAACTGGAAGCGGGAAAACATCTGCCGCCAGCGCCGCTTGGATCTCTGCCGCGGCCTGCTCCGTGTTGATAAGGAAAGGCTGAGGCTCGTCAAACTTGTGATTAGCTTCGGACTCAGGTGTGCTTTTGATGAGTTCAGCTTTAAGCGTTCCGTGACCCTCGCCTGAATCAAAATTCTCTACCGCCGTTGCTTCTGCGTTAAAGTGCTCGTCCCGGATATCGTTCTCAACTTCGTGGTTCTCCTCGGTGACAACCGAACTCTGCTGCAGGCTCACGGTGCCTTTTGACGACGGTTCTGGGGATAACTGCTGATGGTCTTTTCCTTGTTCAGATGCCTGGAGAACCTCCGGCGCTGATGCAACATTGGAACCTGCAGAAAATGAGGAGACCACTGGTTTCGGTTCATTTGACAACCCCGCGGTGGATACTGGTGGAACATCATTTTTCCGCAGCCCTGGAAAGAGCAAGCTGTCGATCCCGACGCAAAGCTGTGGCATTTTCAGCAGTGGCGTTGGCAAGGTGAGAGTACTGCGATAAACAGTTACATTTGTGGTCGGAACATGATGATGTAGAACAGGATGAGCTTCTTCTTCTCTGACTACTGTCTCCACTTCTACGTGGCCCCCCGCTCCTAATTCTGCCGCATGGGAGCTCGTTTCCTGCCGATTTATTTCTTTTCCTTCCTGCACTTCCATCGATGGCAATCTTTCAACATCAGCTTCTGGGGCTGCGTCTTCTGCCGTAGCAGCAGACTCGACTGAAACCAAAGAAGACGACGAGGGTTCAAAAATTTTTTGCAGGTCCCCATTTTTGTTGTTTTCCACAAAATCATCCCCGTGCTCATTGTCACTCCACACTTGCTCCGACTGCCGGTCGAACAAGTAAAGCAGAGGAGCAGGCTTACTGCTGTCGGCGTTGTTATTTGCTTGTTGCACTTTATTCTCCACCGTGTTACTACTTTGTTGTCTCTGGCTACTTCTTTGTTCCTCCCGTTCCGGTACCACTCTCCCCTCTTCCATCTCCAGAACAACATCCACGCCGCTGCCCTGGAAGACCGCCTGACTGGGGGTCGTTCGCGTCCATTGCACTTTATTCTTCACAACGCTGCCGCTCACCGCTGGTGGCAACAACGGCTTCGTGGCGGCTTGCAGGCTTTGCTTCCCTGTGTCTTTGTTGGTGACAATGTCAAATTCCATCACTGTGCTGAATTCCTGAACTCCTGGCTTCTCTGCCGTTACGGTCTGTGATTTCCGCAGTGTTTCCTCGCGCTGCACGACTAGCGATTCTTGTGACTGCCCCTGCGGCGACAGCGTTTTCTTGCTGATTTTCTTCACCGGCTGCAGGTCCTCCTGTTTTGCTGCACTTTTGTCCAGCACAGTTGTGTTGACCACGCCGGAAATTCGTTCAGAAGTGCCCGTGCCTCGATCACTGGCGAACTGTGCGGCGGACATCCGGGCCGCGGTCGCCCTCGTCTGGTTGTACGTGCTGATGTCAGAATTCAACAACCCAGTAGACGTTTGCGCTGCAGTTGTACCACGAAAATTTACGTTGTCAAAACCCGTGAACCTCCCCGTCGGTCGCAGCTGTGGCTGGAAGCCGAAATACGTTTCCGCACGTTGTTTCTGCTGATTGCTGGCTTCGAAATCATCGTCTGGAATTATCGTCGAGACCATATCTGCATGCGTGGTTAGGACCATCGAGGATTCTCTGGCTTTCGCAACCGGTGGCATCGCGGTGAAAAAGTCAGATATGGTTGGTGGAGTGATAAATTCGGAGTAGGGCTTTTTTTCTCTCACCAGTACGCCAGGCATCGTCACGACGAAATTGCTGGTTTGCTGTTCCGTATCCGTCTCCACATTGACATTGGCAGTATTTGCGGGCGGGAGTGGGTAGTTCTGAATCGTCTTCTTCGATAAAAACGAATTGGAAGCGCCGGTTGGTGCTCCATAATTTTTACCGGAACTGAGCATGATATCCCGTGGCTGGCAAGCCATCGAGGTGGGCACCGCAACAGGCTGACTAGCTTCCAACGAAGACAAGACTGGCGCGACTACATTTTCTACTCCGGTACTAGTACCCGCCGCAGGTCGCACTAGTGCACCGGCCACGACAGGCGTAGTATCTCCAGCGGCGGAAATTTTCCCACCGGACGCAGTCGCTTCAGCCCCCCGCGCCGTTAATGGAATACTATCGTCCCGCGGACCAGTTTCAGCTTGTTCCTTTTCTCTGAAAAAAGTAAACGCGCTCGGCGTGCCGTTCGACTGCACCCCACGACTTTTCTTGGTCAACAGCAAGTTCTTCGTGCTCGTCTCACTGAGGTCGGTGTTTTTCGACTGGTTCTTGTTCGAGAAAAAGCTGCTGGATGATGCGTACAAAATTTTGTCCTCGGATTTCTCGTCGTTTTCGTTTTTTTCTTGCTCTTGCTCGCCGTTGACGAAGGAAAAGCAAATGTTCGAATACGGCGTCTTGGGGTTGTAGTTTTCGAGCCAATATCACACAGAAAAAAGCCGGCAGGGCATATTTGTAATGCAAAAATAAATTGACAAAAAAATTTGCATTGCATATCCTAAATAGCATGCTATGAGGCCGCCCATGACAGATTTTTCTGTGTATTTATTTTTGCATTACAAATATGCCCTGCCAGCTTTTTTCTGTGGGATAGCCAACTGCAGAGAACCAGGGCTTTCTCGTCACGAGAACCGTTCTTGTTGCTTCCTCTAGCAATTTTCTTCTCGCTATCCGGTCCTTCACCTTCCTCGCCTTTCTTTGAAATCTCCTGGTCCTCGCTCACGGCAGCCACCTCCACCTCGTTCTTCACCCCAGTCGCGTAGGAACAGAACACTCGATTGCTTAGCATCGCACTGTTCTCGAGGAAGCTGCAGCACACCAATCCGTTTTTAGCAGCGGAATTCTTGTTATTTCTACCATCTTCCAGCCCCCGCTCTGAGCCGCTGTCCAGAAGCTCCTGCTTCCTTTTGTCTTCCTCTCCCTCGTCCCCATTTCCACGGTAGCTATCTAGGCAAGACCCGCAGTCTGGGATAAATTTGAAAGGACAATTCTGCCCCCATCCGCCGCCCCCCGCGGTAGACGACTTGGAGAGGTTCAATACTGGTTTTTCCTGCTGTAGTTTATTTTCGTTCTTCGTCTGAGGCGAGTCTTCTACGACATCTTCAATGCCAGAACCACGATTTGCCGCCGCTTTTCCTACGTCGTCGGGAAAAGGAACAGGGGCAGAGGCGGTTTCTCGGGCTGATTCAGGCCGCGTATTCAAGCCTGGCTCTCCCTGATAAACTGCTGGTGCATTCAAGAGACTTTTTTCGGTCTGTCTCTGGTTCTGCTCCGCCTCGTGTTCTTTTAAAACGCGACGTAGAACTTTTTCCACTTGGTCGGGCACATTTTTGGTTGTCGAGTCAGTTCCGGCAGCTGCTTTCGCGGGAGATTTGAATGGCGAAAGTGACGCGTTCCTCTTCCTCGCACTGGTAGACACCGTTGTAGCTCCCTGCTGCACGTTTGTTTCCCTCAAACCCTGCTTCTGACTGGTGCCACCATGCGCTATCTTCTTGTTTGGCGTTTGCTGAATGGATCGCTTTATTTCACTAGGAGCGCGAAGTGCAGCGCTCGCACCATTCGTATTCCTCTCCCCACCTTCGCCTGCCGCTGCCAAGGCGCGCTGCAAATTTCTCAATTGCAGAATTTTCTGCAGCTTTTCGTCTGTCTGATGCTCTAAACCCGCCACTCTTCCCGGCGTGCCAAGCTTGACAAATCTTTCTGAATTGTTCTCGACGGAATTCGTGTTCTGCAACTCCGCGAGTTCCAGCGCGACCTGCTCTTTCAGACTGCGGTCGATGAAATCGAGAGCACGGACGGTCGAAAGGTCAAAGTTGTTCAATTTCGGGAACCGCCGAAAAGTACGGGAAATTCTTCTCCTGACAGTTTTCGACGTGCTGTTACTGCTCCTCCTGTCCAGCGCATCTCCAAAAGCGGTTCTCAAATCGGATTCCAACTGCGAAAGAATGACTTCGTCAAAATCCTGGTCGTCCTCGTAGTTATCAGCTTGTTTACTGCTCCGGAATACCGCGATGGCTTCGACCAGAACCGTGCCTCGCGTGTTCAAAAGTTCTAGAATTTTTCCGCCGTCAAAGCTATTGTCGCGGCCATACGGATTTTTCGCTAATAATGAAGAGTCCTGGTCGACGTCGGCGTCCTCCCCGAGTCTCAAACCGAAAAGCTTCATCTGTCGGGCGAACTCTTTCGAGAACCCAGAATTCGCGCCCCCGTAAAAGTCTAGAGAAAATCTCTCTTTTTCAGTGTCGCTGTTCTCCTGCATCCTCGACGTTGTGGATTTGATTTCCCCATTGTCATTTCTTCCACTTCTAGCACTGGACGAAGTCGACGAGCTGGTAACGTTCTCCTCTCCATCATTCATGCTCGACGTAGACGACACACGACGGTCCACGGCCGCCGCGTCTTCTATGCTCGGAACTACAACGGGGGCGACGACATCCTCTCTTTCCACTTTCGGTTCAGGCACGGGCGGCTTTCTGGCTTCACCCGCCAGAGCTGCAGCAACTAGGTCCACGTAGTGCCCGGACAGCGCTCCCTGCGATAATAAAGCTCCCGTCGCTGCAGTCGTGCTGCCCGCGGCAGCTCCGACAGTAGACGCAGCACCGGGAACTGCATCTCCCTCCTTTTTCAAACCAAGCCTGTTATTTCCAACAGGCGAAGAGGCTGCTGCTCCCTGAAAGGCCCTTAACGCTGACACTCTCGATCTTAAATTTGCCGTCCAGTAGCTAGTACTTTGCGTCGCTCGGACGGGGGGCGTGACGGCTTTCGACAACGGCGGATGCTTTGGCTCCGAAAGGGGTTTGTGGCGTAGCGTTCTCTTCTTAATGCTGGTGGATTCCCGGCTTTTATTCGCGTTCTCTTCGTTACGAGCAGGCGATCGGCCCCCGGGAGAACGAGACCTGCCGGTTACTCCGCGACTGAAGTCCATGTCATGAAAGTCTTGGTTTTATCTCCGATCAGACTTTGCAAAGAAGTAAATATCTACGTACGACTACTCTTCATCCCAAGGTAGTCGGTGAAATAAAGCCAGCCAAAGAGAGCAAAAAAGTTGGAAAAAAACCTGGTGGTCGTATTTTGACCGACAAACAACTATACACAAATTGGATTTCAGCCTTCCGCAACCGACGAGATCACATGACGACATTCAAACGACCTTTGAATCCTTTTTTGTCCACGATGTCAACGATGGGTGAAACACGGTTTTTACCGTGGCAGTAGCGCACTGCCGCTGCATGAAACGAGCGACAAAAACTTCACGTACAGTTCTACTTTTAGTGTTGCTGTGAGCTTCCGACTTTTTTTTCTTGATACAAAAGCATAACTCGTTCCTGACGAACAACACGGCATGCATTTACGATGTGGGTCTATACCTCACTTACCCGACGAATTTTCAATGCTTCCGCAAACGACTTTCGAACAGCGGCTTTCAACCCTAGTACAACTACATGACGGCACTATAGAATTTGTGCTCGCATCAGTGACAAAAGAATCCAAACAGGCACGAACGTCTGAAGACGCCCTAGTACTGCACCGTAGTAGAAGTTATGTACTTCAATCAATTTACTCGTCGACGTCATCCCCCGCCGGTGGCTGTACTGGCGGTTCCCCCGGTTCGTCATCCCCTCCGTTCCCGCCTGTGACCCCATTTTCCATGTCGCCGGTCGGCGTGGGCGTGGGCATCCCGCCGCCCGAGAGGATCGCGTCCATCTTTTTCTCCGCCTCGGCGTACTTGTCGTAGAGCTCCTCACGCTGCTTTTTGAACCACGCGAAGGTGTCCGTTCCGCTCAGCTCCTTCTCTTCCTCCGGTTCCAATTCCTCCGTTGCTTCCGGCGTCGCTTCGTCGGTCACGGCCGGCTTCTTGAAGTGCGCCGGTGGGTCTGGCGCGTCTTTCGCCGGCAGTTGCTTCTTCAAACTGTCCATCTGGAACTTGACGTACTCGATCTTGCGCCCGTACTTGACCAACCCGTCCTCGATCTTCCGCATGATCTTCATGTTCGGTATTCTCTGCGAGCAGAAGCTGCCGCAAGGGAGCCCCTGGGTCCCGACGGTGTACTGAAAGTAGTTGTGCATCGCGTTCCGCTCCCGTCGGTCCACCTCGTCCAAGCACCCGCGCAATTTCCGCCCCTTGTTCTCCTGCGCCAATTTCTCCGCCGCTCGTTGCTCCGCTGTCTTCGCGGTGCCGTAATTCTCCGTCGTGACCTGCTGATCCATGGCTGCGATCTTCTCGAAGCACTTCTGTCTGCACTGATCCGCGCCTGTGCAGGTAAGCGAGCTGCGCTTCCGGTGGGTGCACTTCGCGGAATTGGTCAAAGAGCACCGCTCCACCTTCAAGTACTCGTAGCGGAGTTTGGAGCCTAACTTGTACTTCCCCTTGTAGTCATACCGCCACCAGTTGGCGTCCTCAAACGGCGTGGGCACGTTGATCCCCGCCTGTTTCGACAAACCCATCATCTGCGGGATCTTCACCAACGCGTTGTTCATCATGGGTCCCGCCGACGCCATCAGCTTCGCCGGATTCGGAAAGGGAGTCATGGCCTTGATGAAGGACGGCACGATGGCGAAGGAAGTCGATGCGCGGGCCTTTACTTGGTGTCGTCTTTTCATCCCGGAAGGAACTGCTTGAGTGGTAAAAGAGGAAACGAGTGCATGTTCGTGCACTGTGCGACTTTCTTCGTCGTGTACTTGCTCGGCCGTGCGATGGTTGAACGAAGTTGTCGAACGGCCGTGAATTTGTTGTAGAAGGCCTCCCAGCAACCAGGTCCACATATCCTGATACGCGGAGCCAGGAATCTCAGAACCTGCTGGAGTGTAGCGCATCTTGGAAATTCGTGCGTGTGTTTTATTTTGAAGAGTTCCTACTCTCCAAGACTTTGTCGCACTACAGTCACTTGCGAGGGATTTCCGTACCGGGCTGCGACTGCTGATGTTCTGCGGCACGCGATCAAAACTTGCGATATGAGAAACACGCGTGACGACGCACGATGACGAGCGAATGGCAACGACTTACTTTCTTTCGAATCTACTTGTGACCACGACAAAGTTTCTTGCGACAAGCGAATAGGAGCAACGACCTAAGGTGACAGCGACAAGATATAGTACAAAGCGAAAAGCAAACAAGAACAACTTGACAATTATTTCCATCTTCGACATTCATTCGTTTTTGCGTTTGCCTAAGCCTAACTTCAAGAATAAAAACATGCGTATTATACAGTCGACCAGCAAACATGTGCATGTCCCAAGCAAGCTGGCTGATGATCCAAGTAAATCTTCTCTGCGGAAGGCTTGGGTTTCGCACAATGACCCAGAGTTGTAGTTAGCGCTTGAAAGTGAACCCATCATTATCTATCTTACATACTTTATTTCTAAGTAATTTCATTTCTATTCTTCCAATCTTTCATACTAAACCGCTTCTCCATGTTGTTTGTCGAGAGTGTAGTGGTATAAAACAAAATTGTCGAAACTGATACTGAATTTTACGCATTCCTGGTTTGGCTCACTAAGTCTCCATGTTGGAGTTTAACAGTTACAGTTTCATTTTTGATATATGTCAATTTGCATTTCCATGCCATCTAGGTAGTACTTAGTGACATTTCACAATACTACAATTTCATCGCACTGAATCTGAAAATGTTCGTTCAGCCATGTGAGAATAAAAAACTTGTAAACTTACAAGACGCCCGTGGTGACAGGTCGTCGCTGGTCAAAAATGTGTGTGCACATCCTGTCGACCCGTCATTCTGTATGCTCCTCCGGCGACTAGGGCTCGCGGACTCAATACAGTTTCTCGATTTCATCTGCCCAGATTCGCGCAATATCGTCCCGTTTGAGCTTCATCGTTCCGGTCAGCTCGCCCGTCTCGACCGAGAAGTCCCTCGGGAGAATCGCAAACTTCTGCACCTTCCACGCGTTGTTGGCGCACACCACGCTATCGGCATTCACCTGCAGGTGGTGACATATTTCAAATTCCATTTGCAGGACTTCATCTTCAAGCGAATGATTTATTGGAGGAAAGCCCTTAGGCACTGCACTCAAAAGCAGACGCCGCGCCTCAGCGAAGCACTCCAGCTGAACACGCCTGAGCGAGGACATACGCGAAGCACTTGAGCTTGAAGCGAAGCACTGCGACCGCAGCGACGCACTGCTTATGCGACGCGCGAGTTACTGCGCAACACTGTTCAAGTTCAACCGAAGCACTACTTAAGCGACTTAGAGGAAGCACTACTTAAGAATCGAAGCACTGCTTAAGCGAGGCACTACTTGAGCGAGGCACTACTTAAGCGAGGCACGACTGAAGCGAGGCACTGCCTAAGGACCGCACTACTTAAGCGGCGCACTGATGAAGCACTACTGAAGCGAGCCACTGCTTAAGCTGTGCACTACTGAAGCACTACTTAAGCAGCGCACTACTTAAGCAGCGCTTTGCTTAAGCAGCGCACTACCTAAGCAACGCACTAGTTAAACAGCGCACTACTTTAGCAGCGCACTACTTAAGCGAAGCACCACTAATTTAAGCGAAGCGCCACTCAAGAGGGGAACTTCAGCAGCGAGGCACCTCAGCAAAGCGAAACACTTAAGCGCAACACTTAGGCAAAACGCTTACGCGAAACACATAAGCGAAACACATAGGCGAAACACTTAGGCGAAGCACTGGAATACTTAAGCGAAACACTTAAGCGAAACACTTAAGCGAAACACTTAGGCGAAACACTTAGGCGAAACACTTAGGTGAAACACTTAGGTGAAACACTTAAGTGAAGCACTGAATACTTAAGCGAATCACTTAAGCGAAACACTTAAGCGAAACACTTAAGCGAAACACTTAAGCGAAACACTTAAGCGACACACTGTAGCGATAAAAGCATTTTTTTACACGATCGAAGCACCTAAGCGATTTGAAGCACTTCAGCAACCAAGCGAAGCACTTAAGCGAAGCACATATGCGCTGAAGCACGACCGCTCCAGCGCCTTTGACATCAATCAAAAAGATTTACGATCTCCAAAGCACAAAGATACCTTTTTGATCGCGGACTCAATTTTTTCCTTCCAGATGGCATCGTCCCTGGCGTCCAGGGTCGTTGCGCAGTTCGGCGAGACCTGCAGCGCCGGACCCATCAGCTCGTTTGTTCCGGGCAGTTCGCCGGTGTTGCCCTTGACGAGCAGGGTGACCAGTATCACGTTGTACTGCCGCTTGTCCCCGATCATGACCACGTTGGACACCCCCGGAACCGTATGCAAGAAAAAAACTGTGTATTTGTCTTGCAGATGCTGCAATACAGTTACGCTTGTCATGCCGGATATGCATCAGAGGCTATTTTAATTATACGTGTTTTCGCTTACTAGCTACGTATGACAGGTTTTCTCTGTCATGCAAAACAAATCTGTGATGCTGGTTCTGCAAAAAAGTTACACCTACACACTTTTTTTCTTGGATAAACCAAGGCCTTCAACGACTGCTCGATCGGCACGGGCGCAATGTTCTCGCCCCCGGCGGAGATCAAGTTGAAAAGTGCCCCCATCCCCGAACTTGGGAGCATGTGTATTGCAAACCTTTCCAAATGAAACACTCGCCCTCTTGCACCTATCAGCATCACAGATTTCCAATCGTGAATAGCAAACATTTGTATTGCAAAAGATCCCAACAAAAGTGGCGCTTGTCATGCAAGCGATGCGATACAGGCCTAGACTCTGCATCAGAAAGATTCCTACTTCTTTCATGCATCTGCATGACAAAAGGTTTGCATTTGGAAACTTCGCATCACAAGTTTGTGCGACTTTGGGGGTGGGGGCATTTTTCACTGTAGTAGCAGAGATCAGCAGTTCCTTGTACCGCCCCGTCAGCTTCACGAAGCCGTCAAAGTTCTGGCAGCCCTTGTCTCCGCTGTGGAGCCAGCCGTCCTGGTCGATCGTTATAACCTGCTCAAGTGTTACAATCTCGAACGTTACAATAGAATCTGGAACTTGTGTTGCAAGAAGTGCATGCTCTACCCTACTCCCACAGGATTACGCATGACAAGTTCTAGAGTCCACCCAATCCGCACTACAATCTGGCGAAATTTGTATTGCAGAAAGTGGAATGCTGTCCGAGTCTGTCATGTTGATCATGCAAGACAAATCTCAGATTCTATTGTAGCGTTTGAGATTGTAACGTTTGAGCAGGTCATAATCGTGGCGCGGTTTTTCTCCTCGATCTCCCTCACGTGGTCCGCGCCGAACCGGGGATTCGCCAGGTACCCCAGCATGATGTGCCGCCCGCGGTAGCAGATCTCGCCCTGACTGTCCAACTCGGGGTTCTCTATGTTCGAGGCCGGCGGGCAGCGGACGAAGCTGAGAAGGTGTATTTTAGTGGAACTACAGAAAGAGTAGTTTATGAGTATAGACATTTCATCTTCAGCACGAGGCAGTGCTGCTTCTAGGTACCGAAATTGATGATACACTCGGGATCACTATATTCTCGAAAGAAAAATCAGTACACGCCCGGTGCCTTTTCCGTCATAATGGCCAGTTCCGCGCCCGCTTGCGGCTTCCCGAGCACGCCGCACTTGGCGTTTTCTCTGCGCTCCGACAGATTTTTGTAGAAGTCGACCGGAAGCATAGGGGTGCTGGATTCCGCCTGCGAAACAGTAACTGCAGCGCAGGACTCCGACATACCATACGTATCGGAAACGCGGATACCGAAAGAAAGAAAAAACTCTTGCACCGCGGGGGGCATCGGAGCCTGGGAAGATTTTTTTTTGAATATTGTTCGACCGAACCAGAGGCCGTGACATCGCGCCAACGAACCGAAGATCAATCATGACAGAGACCAAAAAAACAAAATTCAAGCCCGCGTGAGGAAAAATTGTTCGTAATAAGTATGCCGCTTCTATGAGCAAACTCTACTATACCGCCCCAGTCATGAAGATGCGCGTCTGGTCCAGGCCAAGGTTTTTGCGAATTTTGAAGATCAATATTTTCTCCCACCACGAACTCCAGGAGTTCGGCTGCAAAGCAGTCTTGTCGCCTGCCGCAATCAAATCCAAGTTGTCGTGCTCCATCGCTCGGTAGGTTTTCAGGCACGCCCGGCGTGCCCGGTTGATGAGCGCGCCGATGCAGCCGCCGACGTAGCCCTTGGTTTTCTTCGCGAGCACGAGCTGCACACCCATCATCAGTTTTTCGTACACGCGAGGAACCCCGAAGAACACCGTGGGACGGCAGAGCAGGATCCGATTCTTCATCGTGCCGACCCTCATGTCGTACGGGCGCACGAAGTACACCGAGACGTAGCCAACGTCGCCCTCTTCCTCAGCTTTCGGGTTTAACTTGTTCCTCCGTCCGAGTGCGGTCACGTACAGCGGAGCTAGCAGATCGCAAATAGTGCCGGCGATGTGGGAGAGGGGCAAGTACGACACGAGCCGCTCCTCTCCGCAGCTGCCATACGTGCGGTGCCACCCGTATTCTGGGTCGCAAGCCGCAGCACCTGACAATGGCGGTTCACATTCGCTTTTCGAATATATAAGTTCCGTAGTAATTATCATACAATTCTGTGTGTAGTGTCTTTGTCAAACAATTCATGAGAAGGGAAACCCAAAGGTATCACGTTGCATATACAAAATTTCTATACAGTGTAAATATCAAAACGAATCGTAAGTACCGGAATAGCTGAGATTGTCGTGGGACAACATGACGCCCTTGGGCCACCCAGTGGTGCCCGACGTGTAGACGAGGCAGCAGCACTGCGAGGGGTCGATGGACTCCATGCGGTCTATCAGTTCGGAGTCGTCGTCGCTGTTGTCTCGGCCGCGCTGCAGCTGGGCGGTCCAGGAACGCACAATCACGACGGAGCCGTCCGATCGGGTGAACTCCTTTTCCGTTTTCCCGGGACCAAAAAACTGGTCGCGGTTCATCTCCCCCCAAACGAGCACCAGTTGCACTGTCGGGCAGTTTTCGAGCGAGTCCGCGACGGCCTGGTACTTCTTTTCGCCCTCTGTCATGTCGACCACCACCACCGAAGCGTTGCTGTTATCGAAGAAAAAAACTGTGTTAGTGTAACTTTCTTTGGCTGACAGCATCACAAATTTGCTCTACATGACAGAGAAAACCTGTCATGCGTGGTTTGTAAGGGAAAACACACATGAAAAGAGGACTGCATCGCTGTCTGGCATGACAGCTGTAACTCTGTTGCATGTTCTGCATCACAGATTTACACTTACACAGTTTTTTTCTTGCATAGCTGTGGTCGACCTTGTACTGCACCTGTTCCTATCAAATGCAAAAATGTCTGTGTCTGGAAGAATACAAGTTTGTCATGCTGCATTTGAATTCCAAAAAAAATCTGTATTGCATGAGTAGCAAAGGGAATGCAATTTCTGCTACACTGAGAAGGCATTTGTCATGCAGAATAGGCAACGATCAAGAAGCCCTGAAAAAATTTGTATTGCTTGGGTATGCATCACAGACATCGCGGCTCATTCAAAACGTGCATGACAAGTGTCAGAATCTTCCAGACCCAGACATTTTTACAGTTGATAGTTCCTGCGTGTCCGTCGGGTAGATGCCGCAGAACAACCCCGCGCAGTAGATGGCCGCCATGGCGCTGATGCTCCACTCCGGGGCGTTGAACCCGAAGATGCACACGGTGGGGTCCAGGTCGTTCTCGAGCCAGCTCGCGCGCTCCAACTCGGAAAGCTTCTGGTAGCACGGCAGGTCCTTCAGCGGCTTCAGGTCGTTCAGAAACGAGATGGCCATCGACCGCACGTTATCAAATGCAAAAGTGTCTGGGTCTGGAAGAATGCAAGATTTGTTTTTCTCATGACCCATGATGCCTGTAATGCATGACCTAGCATCGCAGACTTTTAGAGGGCTTCCTGAACTTGATGCACCTTCCGCATGACAAATGCCCTGTCCATGTAGCACAAATTGCACCCCTCTTGCTGGTCATGCAATACAAATTTTTGTAGAGTCCAAAAACAGCATGACAAGTTGCAATCTTCCAGACCCAGACAATTTTGCAGTTGACACACGTCGTCCCGGTACTCCTGGTAGGTCCACACCGACCACTGCTCCAGTGGCAGCGCTTTATCAGAAGGAAAAATCCCCCTTCCCCATATCGAGAAGGGAAATTCGTGATGCTGGATTTGCCTACACAAATCAGATTTGTCTTGCAGTAGAGGACTGCAGGCAGATGCAAAGCCTGGAGAGGGGCGCTTAGAGGTGGGCGCTTAGCATGGCAGGCGTCTGCCCTGTAGGCCTTGCAGCATTACAAACCGCCTGCATAACGCGGTGGGCTCTCTGCCTTTGCTCTCTTGCAAGACAGACAGGATTTGTGGTCACAAATATGCATCGCAAATCTTCAGAAGGACGCGCTTTCAATATGGGGGGGGGATTTTTCCTTTCAATACGCTTCGTCCCGCGTTCCCGCCTCCGGAAGCGGTCGCTCCACCAGCAACGCCGCGCGGTCCGGCGCCAACTCCGCGGACCGCTCCAGCGCATTGCAAAACGACTCGCCCTCTGTCGCGGCCGGACCCTTCTTCGAGTGAAAAATCTGCTTGCCCGCGTTCTTCTGGGTGGTCGTGAACGACGCTGTGGTTTTGGTTTAGTGTCAGGTCTAAAAGTGCGAAGAACCACTCTGAAGAACGATAATCAATCATCCCCTTGCCCCTAAAGCGACAACTTCTCAAGTACAACCAGAATCACAGATTGAAATTGAATCGATAGAGGTCCAGCTCAAGAACAAATAAAGCCTTTGATCCACTCTGCTCACCCGGAACTCCCCTGTGCATAGCTTCCCGCTCAATCTGTGCCCTCGCGGCATTGTAGTCCACGAAAAACTCGTTCGTGGTGAGCACTTCCTTCATCGGCAGCGCAAACCCGGTTTTCCGGAACTTAGGCTGCTTGAGGCCCTCCTTGCCCTTGAAGAACCCCGTTTTTCGGAACGTTTTCTTGTCCCCTCCAAACACGACCGAATCTCGGGAGTCCCGCTCGAACCGCGCCGCCCCGCCCGTGTGGCTGCGGTGCTTGATACCGCTTGCCTTCTTCACGACCCCCGCCTTGTTACTCACCGTTGACTTCACCGCGGAAACGGGGATGGCATCTCCGCCGACTTGCAGCAGAGTGCCCGTGGTCGCCACGTGCTCGTGGGTGGCCGTTGCCGGGTCGCTCATGATATCCGTCTTACGCACGTTTTCGTTGAATACTTGCTGCGTCGATGCGAAACAATCGGGGACTAGAGGTGTAATTTCATCTTCCAGACTTCTAGTCGCAATCATACTCTGAGTTGCAGCTTTCGTCGAAAGCAGAAGCCGACGCAAATTTCAATAGTCTTAACGAATACGAAAGAAGAAACGAATACGAAGGTGACGGGAAGCGGCTGGTCCAGTAAAGCTTGAAAATTTTTTTCAAAAAAACTGGTGTCGACGGATGGTAGAGCTTGCGAAATGGAGCACGGGGATCTACGTGCCCAACTGCCACTGCATGGAAAAACATCGATTGATTTTAATGCCATGTTTCACTTTAAAAGTGAAACTAAAAAAAGAAAGAAACGCACAAAACTTCTCGAAGACAACGACAAAAAAGGACGAAGTGGCACAAAAAGAAAAACTCTCTCGGTCCAAAAAAACAATTTAGCGCAAGCTTCTTTGGCACTGTGACAACTCTATTGGACGCCAAGGTGAAAAAAATGGAACATCATGCGTCTGCCTCTAAAAAAGGAAACGATTGGCAAGAACAGAACAGGAACAGCAGAGGCGAACAGCCGCGAATACCTTTAGAATCTTCATCCGTTACGCGGCCGTCATTGTTTTCACTCATTTTGTGATATTCTCGCTTGTGCAAGAGCATGAGCGCTGGCCGCAACAAGTTTCAATGCCACAGTTCGCAAGTTCATGTTCAACAATAAAGTTTACAAAGACGTGCTGCGCTTCTTCGCCTTTTAGTTCCTACACCTTCGGTCTCTTTACCACTAAACAGACTGGAATCCCTTCTGTGGACAGCACGTACTTGATTTCAAACTTCCCACTGCTGAAGTATTTGTGCCCGACGCCCTGGTCCGGAAACTCTCGGCGCAGTTTCATCTCGTCGAAGCAGTTCCCCACGGCGTGCTCCACCCCGTCCTTCCCGGTGATTTTCAAAAGTTTTTCGACGGATTTCTCACTTTTGACGAAGAAGTTCTCCTTTTTCTGCAACCTCTCAAAAGTCTTCCGGCGCTGCTTGCCCATCTCCACGAAGTCCTTCACGGCCTTGCGAACGTCCGGATTCTTGCTTGTTGCTAACGTCCTCTCGAGGGTCGTAACTTGCTCCTCCCCATTTGCATCTTTCTCGTCGTCGAGGACGCTGCTGTTGTCATTTATTTCATTGGCCGCAGATGAATTCTTGTTGTCGTCGTTTTTCGTTTCCTCGTCCTCGTAATCGCTTGGGTACTCCTCCCGTAACCTCTGTTCCTCCCGTTCCGCTCTGGCTTTCTGTTTCTTCCGCAACTCCTGGATTTCCTTCTTCGCGTATTGCGGAATGCGAACGAAGGGCCCCCTGCCCGGCTTTCTCTTCGGCATGATGACGGTTTTCGTCGTACGACAAAGGCCTTTAGCTACTCAAATTAAGTACGATGATGTCTGTGGAATAAAGATTCGTAAACTACAACAGCAACAGCACTGTCCAGATCGTAGAAGGCGGGAAAAGAAGAATCTTCAAACAAAGAATTTCAGTACTCTGGTCTCTTTCTGGTGCCTGCTCTGAGATTCTGGGATCTTGGTAAAATTAATTCATGAGTTGCGAATATTCTTTCCTGTTACGGTCAGAATCCGTATGATCTGGCAACGATTCACCTCGTTTAGCGTTGGATCCGTCCTACGCGACTACTTTTTGTGCTGTGGATCTTTCTGCGCGATTTCGATCCAACGATTTCAAAAAAACCTTTTCTATTTTTGGAGTGAACGATCATGAGAGGAAACAAACTTGCCTCGTATTTCCGCAAAGCGACAGTGCCTGCGCTGCTTTTTTTTTTATCTGTTCTCTCTACGCAAGGCTGGGTCAAGTACAGGACGCTCTTTGTCTTCTTCATCGGCAGAATCTTTTGCAACTGCCTTTGCGCACAGTGGCTTCTGCTTTCCTTTCAGCGCAAGCGCCCGAAACAGAAATACCAATAATAGCCGCCTCAGCGGGGGTAGTGAGGTCATGGCGGTTTTTTTGTCTTCACGCTAAAAACAGAAGCGACTTCTCTGCCCACCGCGCCATCGTGAGTAATGTTATGCACGACGGCACGGCGGTCGCTAAAAATGTCGATCCAGAACTGGCCTCCATTTGGTTTCGAATCGAAAAACCTTCGCCGCATGCTATGGCCCCGCCAGGCCCCACCCCCGGGTCGGCCCCATGGGCCCCCAAATCGGGCCCATAGCATGCGGATTCGCTTTTTGCTTTTGGCTGACTTTGTTTTTTTTGGTTTTTTTTGTTAAAACGCCGCATCTTCTGGCCTTAAGTCCGCCTCTGAAATGGCGGATTTTGGTGGCGTCTTTTGGGCGGCCCGGATGTGGGCCAAAATGGGGCCCATACCATGCGGCTTCGCTGTTTTTTTCGGACTGCTGCTTTTTGAACGCCCCTTTTTGGGCGGCCCAAACCGCCAGAAACTAAGGCGGTGGGCGCCTCAGAAGGGCGCCCCTTTTGCCGGCTCCCCTGCGTCGTTTTATCAAGCGGGAATCGATAGAATCCGCTCGGGCTTGTTTGACGGCAAAGCCCCGGCCGCTTGAGAATTGAAAATTTTTTATGCCCAAAAACACTTCCGGCCGCTTGAAAACTGCCGGTCGTTTTGCGCACTGCCTGTCAAAAAAACCACTAGATTAGAACGTTCGTGACCTCACTACATACAATACTACTCATCAAGGAATTCAATTTGTTTGCCTTCAAGGAGGTACATTGATCTAGGATCTTACATACAGAACAAGGAATAGGATTTTGTACAAATCACTTACACTTAGATAGGGTATCCTCATCTGGATTTTACGAAAAAGTCATAAATTACAGGCACAGCTATGATCTCCTATTCGGTACATTTAGTTTGTTACATAGTCGCTTCCTTTTCAAGACAAAGCTTCTTACTTAGTGGTGTATACGTGTCTACTTCCTTCAAACTTCTTCGACCGGCCCGTCTTCCTGCGCCCCCGCCTGTTCCTTCTCTCCGCCCGTGGAACAGCAGCACTGACACAAGCAGTAGAGGCAGCGGAAAGGGTAGCACAGGTAGGGGATGAGCCACGCCACCCTTGAGTAACACGTATAGACCGCGATCAGGGCCGTCAAGGAAACACCCCCGCCGGTGATCCCCAAGCCGAGCACCAGCTTCCCAAACCAGGTGTCCAGGAACTCCTCTGCCTCGTCGGTGCTGGTCGGGATCGAAAACGAATCGTCGGCAGTGGCATTTGCACCTGCGGTTCCGTTTGTCGCATTTCTGTTGCTCACGGCAAACATCTTCATCAATTCGTCGGTCTGCGAAAGGCCGCTGCCTGGTTGTTCCAGAAGAGAAAAAGACTCTTCTTCTGCGTGCCTGACACTTGATGCTCTCGCTGCACGCTCTGTTGCATCTACTTCGGGAGGGACGAAAACCGCAACTTCGGAAACCGCGGCGTGGTTGCTGTTCCTCCTCGCAGACATGCCCCCGCCGCTGGAGTAGTGGCCCCGGTGGCGACGCTTTGTCTTCGCTGGTGCCGGTTTCACCTGCAGACTTTCGCTGGTGGTCGTGCCACTCGCTGGATAGAACTGCTCTTCGAGCTCCTGGAGATGCTGCAATTGCTCTTGAAACGACACTAATTCCCGGGCGCCGTTGCGTTTCTTGTGCAGATTCACGTGCTCAAGCTCCAGGAAATTCGTCGGCAACATGGAGCCGAACGATCTCTGCACGCCGGGGTGTTCAAGTTGAGCGAATGCGCTCGATTTCTTGTCGGAAGGAGCGCTGGGTACGGTATTCTGTTGTGGAGCGTAAGAGTTGTACGATGATTGCGAGGCGGGATAGAAATTCGGGGCCATCGACTGCTGGTCATAACTGTTTGCTGCGAAGTTTTCGTTCTGCGCTCCCGTGGTCGTGGACGAGCTACCACGGACCTGCTGCTGGTTCTCATTATCGTTCGAACTCGCGGAACTTGAGCCAACAGCAGCAGAGTCAGGATTTCCTCCATTTTCGTTCCCGCTGCTGTTTTCGCCGTAGAAATAATCGCGGATCAAGGTGGGTAAATTTCCGAGCCCCAACACCGCGCTCTTGATCCCGTTGTAAATCCATTCTGTGTAGGGCCACCGTCCTTGCCGCGCCGTTTGCTCGTATTCAAGTTCATGCAAACGGTCTTCTAGCGCCTCCATCGCCGGCAGCTTGGGCAAGTTCCGCTTCCCTGTTTGCTGTGCTTGGATTTCGTTATTGTACCATGCGTACGGATCCGGCGGCTGACTGGACGGTTGTGGTTCTTGGGACGCTGCAGTGCTCGCGGTCGAGTCACCACCTCGCTGCGCAGCGTTCGTCGGGGTGTAGTTCTCATAGGCGTTCTGTGCCGGATTCGCGTGTTGCGAATCATGCTCCTGCGAAACACTAGCCGTCGCGGGCTGCTGCGTTGCCTGCTGTGCCGCATCCCGCGTGTCGGTCATCGTGGACTGCTCCGAGGCAAGCAGCTGTGGCGGATTATTGTTCGCACTTGCCGGATTCGTGATTTGGGTCTGTGATGGATCATCCCGTGGCGGACCCTTCGATGAGGCACCCCTTTCTTCGTTGTTCACCGCAAAATTTTCCTCCTCCGCCATTCGCTCCTGCTCAGAAAAGTCCTTCGACGGCATTGCTGCCTGGTTCCCGCTGTCGGAACTGGGATCCTGTTGGGGTAAGACACCACCCTGTGATGGGTCTCGCGACCGGCGCTGCAGTCTGATGATCCTCAGCCCGCCTTTGCTTCGACCACCACCGCCCGCCGCCGGTGCCACCGCAGCATCCCCACCGCCCGCCGCTGGTGCCACGGCAGCATCCCCACTGCCACCGACGTTCATCTGCAGGAAGGAGTCCGTTTTTCGTGCGGGTTTTGGCTCAGCCTCCTCTTGCCCCGGACAGGCCAAACCCGGGCCGCACTCCGTGATTGAGTCCAGGTTGAACCCCTCCGCCACGTGCTCTTTCGATTCAGCTTTCGAAGCCGCCTCGTCCTGGTGGAATTCTTTCTCGTCCGGGGTAAGCACCCGCACGCTCCCTCCTGCAAGCAGGGCCTCCTGCAGGAGTTGCAGGAACGCGGAAGCTGCCTGAGCGTCGGATGATGGGGCGGCCGGCGAGGGAGCATCCACCGCACTTCCAGCAGCTTCTGGCAGCAGTAAACCGCGTTCTTTCAGCAGCGCCAGCAATTGTTGCCCCACGTCGTGATCGCTACTTCGCTGCGCAGAGCTTTGCTGGTCAACGGGGGCAGCAGCAGGTGCCGCCTGCACGGAGGACGCAGTCGTGGAGTCTTGCTGCTGCTCCGGAGTAGAACTACTTTCGGGCTGCGCTTCAGGTTCCCCTTCGGCTTGCTGCTCTTCCTGTTCTGAAGCTCCAGTAGGCGCCGATTCAATCCGTGCGTCAGTGTTTTTCGTGTTCGGTCGTCTCTGCCGCACTCCCTGCGCCGATGCGCCGCCACCTTCCGCAGGCTCCGCTGCAGCAGCGCCCGCACCCGTGAGGAGCCCCAGATTCGCCAGGGCCTCTGCAAGTTGCAACTGCTCTTGCGGACTTGCCGCCGGGGCAGAGGACGTGGGATGTGTCTTGGACTGCTGTTCCCGTTCTGTAGAGCCTTGTGCTTGTGCCTCGTCTTCCTCTTCCGCATGCGCACCATCTTGTTTCTGCTCGTCCGCGGGGGCTCCGGGCGGCCCATCTGCCAGTAACGGGGCAAGCAGTGCAGAAAGCGCCTGGTCCGGTTCCTGTTCGCCGACGCCACTGCTTTTCGCAGCAACGACAGGGGCACTTTCCTGACTCCGCTTTGCCTGCCCGTTCGGCTGCTGCTTTTCCCCCGAACGACCGCCCTGCGGGTGTCCCATTCCTCCGCTGCCAGCATAGTGGCTTCCAGGCACCGAAGCTGCATCCTCGTGCTCTGCAGCATCACTTCCGCCACCTGACTGCGACAACTCAGCTAGCAGCTTCGCGAGCAGCTCCTGGTTTTCATCCTGTGGGGAATCTTCATGCTTCCGAACGGGAGCAGGACTCGCAGCCGGCATCGGCGCGCGCGCCGCACTGCTGGCACCGCCGCTACGACCGTCCGGGCTGGGAGGCCGCATCACGATGACGCGCGGGGGCTGCCCCTGCTGCGTCACGACGAAGACCTCTTCCGGAGCGCGCTGCTCTTGTGCCTCCTGCGCTGTTTGTTGATGCTGCCCTTGTGCTGGTTCCCGCGGCTGCGGCACCTCCTGCTGTTGTTCGACAGCTCCAGGAAATCCGATCATCGGAGCGCCCCCGGGACCGCTCCGTCGGACTATGGGGACAAAGTTTCCAGCTGGCGTTGCCTGCACTTCATCTGGAGTTGTGCCTTGCGCATTCTCATTCTGTTGTCCCAACAGCCTTTGCAACAGCAGGGCGGCCATCATCTCATCGTTTTTCTCAGCCATCGCTACTGGCCGCTGCTGCTCCGCTGGGAGTCGTGCTACCACTTCCTGTCGTTCCGACACTCCTCGTCCGCCAGAGCTTTGCGAAGATGTTGAACCAGCATTGTCTACTTTGGTGGCGACCTCGGACGAAGCAGGCACACGAACGTTTCGAGCCGTCTTGCCTGCGGAAGTTTTGCTTTCATCATCCTTTGCGGCGCCACCGGACTGCATGTCCTCCGACTTCAGTGCTGCACCGGCGTAAGTCGCCTGCTGATTATCGCCCATGGTGTTCATCCGCAATTTTTCCTTTTGTGCCTCGCGTTCCTGTTCCTCCCGCTCGGCTTGAATCATTTTCTGCAGGTATTGTGCCAACACCGCTTCGCTCTCGGCTGGTTGCTCCTGTTCCGCGGCCAGGACTGCGATATTAAATGCGGAAAGTTGTATCTGCCAGACGACGCCCCCGCCGTACAGGGGCAGGAACAAGGATGCGATTTTCAACATTTTGCGTTCTTTGATAGCGCGAACACTTCTTTTGAATATATAAGCTTGAAACTATGCCTCAGTTGGCAACTAAGTCCTTACCCTATTGACGAGTGCTGCAGTGGTGCTGTGCTTTTGATGTCACACGTTGGGCATCAATTTTGGCTTCGCCCGTTCATCGCAGTCGAAGAGCAGCAACAACGATTCTCGAACGCAGAAACCGAGGCTTGCGAACTAGACTTTTCTCTAAGTAGTTCAGCAATCTCCCTCAGAAATGTCGCTCACAAGAGGCTTCGCTCGTGGTGTGGCACACCTAGTACTGCGAGATCGATTAGTACTGTGAGTCGAGTTCTCTTGTTGGACGCGATAGGACGAGCAACACATGCTCCCGCTCTGACCAGTACCTCCTGAATATCAGCTTGCTTCACATGGAAAAATGAAGCCAGAACTTCAATGCATTTCTTCCTCCGAATATGTTTCCTCATGATGGCAACAAGGGCAACCAAATCATCTCGATGGCATCAGGAGGAGAATAGACGAGATTTTAGTATAAATTCTCTAAATATGTTAGACGATTTCTTCTTGTGGTCTTGCTCCTGTCACCAAATCTTCTTCACCTCGCCTGCTCCCAAAGAAGCCTAGCAGCAGCAGCTTCTTCGGCCAGAAAAAGGGCACCTGTTTGCAATACTCGCTCCACTCTTCGCCGTAACGAACAGCCATGTGCTTCTCCAACGCGGGGCCGGATTGGAAATATACCCAGGCAACCATCAGCAGAAACCACACGATCCCGTAAACGAAGAAGCCGCTCAGACCCGCGTAGCCGAGAAAAGAAAAGCAGTTGAAAAAGTAGCTCGGGTGCCGCGAATACGCGTGCAGTCCCGTCGTGAGGAGCCGTGGCTGTGCGCCAGCTTTGTCGGTTGTAGGAGCCAAATTCGACGTAGAAGACGAATCATCCACTAACAGTCGGTCGAGGTCGTAAGTCGCACGCTCTTCCGCCCGTCCGGAGGTCCCCGATGTTGCCCGATCGGAGTAGATATTGGAGCCGCTCGGGTGAGGTGCGGTCACGCTGTTGTTCTGTGAAGAAGCCAGTAAAAGCTTCCTTCGCTTGAACGCGTGCAATTCGTAGTCGGCGTACAGCTCCAGTGCGAGGCCAGACACTAGCAGAAACGAACACAGGACGGCGTTGGTGGTGGAAAGTTTATGCGGCGAAAACGCTAGTATTGCAAGTAGCACCGTCGCAGAAAAGAAAAATAAGTGAAAGCATCCGCCAATAAACAAGCCGCTGATGAGCGTGACAGATTCCGTGTGGTTTAAACAGAAATTCCAAGTGGTTACTTTTAACGAATAGAAAACCGCGCCAAAAAATAGTAACAGCTTTTGCTTCTCGTCTAAGTCGCGCTGTTTCGTGAAAAAAGAATCGACGGCTTCGGCTTTGACGTGCAAAAAGTGCTTCAGAAAGTAAATCAGCCCGTGGCTCAAAGAAAAGCCCTTGTCGGTCCCGAGTGGTGACGATGAAAATAATAGCGCGTACACGACAAAACAAACAAAGACTTCGGTCGCCGCGAAGCAAAACTTAGTACGTGGCCGCGGAGGATGACTTTGGCCCCGAGTCAAGTGGTCCCGTCCCAGGAGCGGCATGAGCGCGGACGTACTTCTGGGGTAGAGGCTTCAATTTCAATTGAACTACATGCCACAAATATTCAGTTGCTTTTTGTTCTCGAAATAAAAAGAAAGATCCTTCGGGGAAAGCACTTTCAAAATTCAGTGCAAGGATAATCTGGATCCATTGGAACAAGCTCCAATTTTCTTTTTCTCAACCACTGACTTCACGCGCACCTCTCTGCTCGCTCGACTTTGTTCATGCTGGTCTATCGCTGGTTCGTTCAGCTGTATACTAGTACCAATGAGGCACTCAATCCGGAAAGCAAAACTCGCAACGAACAAGAGATATTTTCCTCGGACTAAAAACTCGGCCACAGACGAATGCATGGACGCAAGAAGACACGCAAATTCAGGCTGTCTTTCAGAATACGTGTTCGTTGCGAGGGCGATGGTGCCGCTACGCCGCTACAACTTCCGTTGGCTCTGCATCTTTGGCAGAGTTATGCCAAGGTTCTTTTGGCGCGAAAACCTTCATCACTGTACGGGTGGTCTAGGGTCGGTGTAGTTCACCATCTGTATTTCTAAGATTTCTAATCGAGCACTCTTAGTGTTTTTACACGGAGTGGGGCTGGGGTTTCGAGAGACAGAGACGATGAGAATTATACAACGCAGGCCCCTTCTCGTTGTCGTCATGGTTGTTGCCGTTTTGCTGTACGTGCGTGCTTGGTGCGCCCTCGTACAACTTTTGGCCAAACAAAGAGGTAAAGAGATTACTTGCCTGCACGACATAATTCATGCCGCTATCTTCTTCATCACGAAGGTAAAGCTTTGAAATCGGGACATGCTTGATCATTTGGATTGAGTTTGCGTGTACGTGGTACTTGTTCACAGTGGTTGCCGCTCTTCAGCGATTCACTGAAAAACTGCTGCCTGTGTACTTTTCTTTTCTTCTATCACAAAAGTGCGCACTTCAACTCCATGGAGTCGAGCAGCGGCTTACTTATGAGTTGCAGTACTTTACTTATACTTATAGGTATATGGCGTTCAGAAGTTGATGCTGCTGCCTGTGTTAACAGGAGGTCTATGCAGGGTGGATCGCTGAAAGTTAGAATGTTAGGAACAGCACTGATCTCCCGACATGGGTTCAGTGCTCGTCGTCTGTGCTATCACCTTCTGCCGTGCAGCATCTAGCATAAGTGGGGATCCGCGCAAGCCGCTCGGGACATGCGAGGGTGTCCAGATCTCCGATGCCGTATATATATAAGAGCCATATGAGGTAATATAGAGCCACAAGTAGTATGTCAGAGGTCTTTCATGTATACTGTAATTGCACAAAAGCAAGAAAATAAAGAAGTCCGAGTAGATCACTGTATCCGGAGCAAATTGCGAGAGTTGGTAATGCTTAGTCTGTCTTTTTGGGTTGAACCGAAGAAAAAAAAATAGCTCTTGTTCACTACCCATTTTGTCGGTCCTCCTACTTCCTGTTCCTTGTCCTCGTCGATATAGAAGATCGCTAAGTTTTCTTGCGCATCCATAGCATGTAGAACGAATGTAGTGATATACACAGGTTGCTCGCTCGCACCATCTAAGTTTACCAGTCGCCCTAGTACCAGTCCTCGTCCCAGTGGTTCTTCCGGGTGCGTCGAAGGTCTGGATCAAAATCCCCCCGGAACTCACCTCCAGGATACACGTCCTGGTGCAAGCCTGCCTGGCGTAGTTGCGATCTTTCCCAGTCAAGACTCGGCGTCGACCTCGACCAATACTCCGGTGACGTCCAAGAATCGTCCGCCGATTCAGTCGCAGCTGGAGCTGCACTTTGAGCCGCAGCTGAAGAACTTCCAGCGACGCTTCCAGCCGTAGTCGCATCGGCGGAACCGCGCTCTCTATCTTGCTCAGGCAACAACTCAGGGGTCTTCGCAGCTAATTCCTCTAACTCTATATCGTTATCGGTTTGACGACGGTTAAACTCATCCAGATCAGCCCTTCTCTGAACAGGGATCGTATCCCGAGGAATCCCTCCATACTTCTGCCATAAGAAGGCCAGAAATTTCCGTTCGCTCTCTTCACGGTCTTCACGGATCCTGGTGGGTGTCCACAAGCTTTCCGCGTCACGCGAACTTGTCTGTATCTTTATGTCTTTTCTATTGGTGATCCCCGTGGACTTGACCGGACCTCTATGGCACCAAGGCCCCGCTCCCGCAACGCCAGTCGGAGAAAACAGTCCGAGGCAACACAACAAGGCGCCCGCCTTCGAAACAACACCAGATCTCGACGAGGACAACATGATGTTAGTTTACGTGCAGCTCCCAAGTCAAAAAGAAAAACTGGTGTGTGAAGTTGTCAAGTTTAGTACAATATACGATCGAGTTTCAGATTCGGAAGGTTTGCAACAAGAAATGGTCCTAGGATCAAAATTCGAAGAATAATGCTACTTATGATAAAGAGGTTAAATAAGCCAAAATAGATACCCTACGCAAGGATAACGGATTCAGTCAATCAAAACAAAGCTTAATAGATGAAGTAGTCCACTATCGGAGACCTGTAGTGTACTTCGGAGAGGATACTTCCAATTTCAATTGTTCGGACGTATGTCTCCCTTCGTGAGAGCAAAAAACGTTCACCCATGCTCCCCCTTTTCCCTTCTTTATACTGGCGCTTCATTTGTGCACATCACACTTGTACCGACAATTCCGCAGATGATCATCTGTGCGTATGTATTTTTTTTCCTTCTCGGAACCGCAACCGTTTCGTTCAAGATCGATACTATTTTCGATTTATAAGGGCAGAAACTGACCAGTGGCGGCCCCAAACAAAGCCGCCACGGTCACCGAACCGAATTTCTGTCGCTCTTAATTTTGCAACTTTTTTGATGGCGACAGACACAACAGGCGCAATAACATAGGTAGCAAACCGCACTAAGTCCAGCATCGCGACCGATTTTCTCAGGTGCTCGTCACACGAGCAAGAGCATTTCCGAAAGTTCTTTCTCCATTTCTCGAGGAGATGCCGAGGCCCCTGAAAGACCATCCCATCATGATCGTATTTGGCTTGTCAAAATCGGGTTTCGATCAAATGCAACCAGCGCTCGCGTGAAACCTGAACAGACAAACCGGCGCAGGAAAAAATGGCATTGTAGTTGTGTAATTTTGTTTTTGATTCTTGTTTTTCATGTTCATATCGTCGATGCATTGAAGGGAGTTCCGGTTCATGCACTGAACATTATACTTTTGGGTTCCCGCCGGTTCGTTCGGGCACAAAATTAATACTTGGTCGGAGAACTCCCAACCTAATTGTGCCAGAAACCGCGGACTTTTTTGTAGGGGGTCCTACTCAAGGAGGGGTGGGGGCGGGGTGTTTTTTGGGGGTACAGGAGGTCACTCATTTAGCCGCTATGCTTCAATTCAACACAAACGAGGATCACAGCTTTTAATTTACTGGTCGTCTTAATGTGGTTTGGCTGACTTTAAAAACGCAAACGCAAAATTGAAGTTGTTCGGTGTTACTACGTGCATGCGCAAAAAGACATCAATGTTTCGTACTTTGCATCAGAACTTTTGCACGGGCACGAGTTACTTCTTTGTTTCATCTGGCAGAGAAGTTACTTACTCCGCCATGACTCAATGCACCAGAAGTACAGAAATAAACACTAACTGACGCAATCCCATTAATTATCGCCATCACAACTCCTATGCTTCGTGTGTTTATGTGAATGTATGTGGGTGTGGTTCATTAGATTAAGAGTTGTGTGCATGCTGCGTGGCGGTTTTTGCTTGTAACAGGCACGTACTACAAACCGCGTCGTCACAAGCAATATATTATTTCGCCAGACGCACCTGCAAAAAGAGGCTTTTGCACAGCGTGGCAGAAATAGAGTTCATTCGCATAATTTGTTCCGCAGATGATGAACGTCTTGTGGCCCTGGCCCATCAATAAAGTAATAACGATGGATCAAGCTGCGGGATGTGTCTAAAAGCTCACCGAGCGTTAGTTACAGGACCCAAAGAGTGTTGCTACCCGTGTCATGCTCAGAGTCGTGTCATCTTCCCTGGAGCACGCGCTCAGCTTCACGAGAAAGATCTGGTTGATGTTCTACAAACACACAATCGTCTTCCCAATCTTCGCCGATAAGATGCCAGGGTTCCTTGCCCGCATGCCGGGCTGCCTGGCGTCGGGAAGCAGCAGGATGCGGTCCCAAACGGCTTCTACCCGGCGAATTTGCAGATGGGGATGGCCCCGTTTCGGCGGAGGAAATGCGGGTGGCCAAACTGCCGCTAGCAGCACTGGCCTCTGCCCGTTTCACCTGCAGTTCCGCCGGTGGCCTATCGGCTGTGCCTTCCCCGACGCGACGAGCTAACGGACTCTTGCTCCGACGACGCTCTTTCGGTCCCGCACTGGTGGCACTGCCGTTGTTTTGTCCATGTTTGCGTTGCTTGTCCAACTCGTCTACTTCCGAGTCCGTCCATCTCTGTTTCCCGCGGGTATCACGCTCCTCGTCTTGCAGAAACTCAATCATTTCCTTGAACGCTTCCTTATCCATGTTGCTGAGACTCACATCGCCATGTTTCTTCTTGAAGTTGTCGTACCTCCAACCCGCCTTCAACTCTTTCAAACATCGCTCTAAGTCTAACTTGTTTCTAGGGGATGGAGGTGGTGTCGGGAACCGTTCCTCCCTGCTCCTCACAGCCTTAATGCTTAGAGCGGCAACCAGGCTCCCACTCCCGGTGTCCAGGACGAAACTCGCCTTCGCGAGCAACGTGGCAACAAGCGAGAACATTGACATCAAGCGCGGCCCCGGTGAAATGCCACCGGACGACCTTGCCCGCATGGTAGTTGCTGCCATCAGGTTGCAGGTGATAGTTCGTGCGGTCTCAGGTTGGTGTAGAGGTCGGTGGTGGATTGATGAAAACGGAAGTACTTCGAGTTGAGAATTGTGAAGATAGAGAGAATAGAGATACTGTCGCTATGATAACAACAAACAACAGCAAAGAGATAAAAAGGTACGTCTATCTTCTTATTTTGCAGAAATAGCTTTAAACAAATGCTGCCCCTTCGATATTTATGCAATCAAAACTTGATATACAACACCAAAAACCGTTTTGCAGTTGCTCTTCGGAATTACGATAACCCCTGCTAGGCTGAATCATAATTGCACCATTATACAGGTGTGCTACTTCGCTTCACAGCAATCCGAAAGGTCACGGCGAAATATGAGGAAAGAATCGATCATCCCCGCCGTATTCAGATACGAAATCCTTCTTTGGCCGATATGTCCCAACGATCAGTTCCAGTACAGCAAGTTGCAAGTAGGATTTTTAGCACATCAAAACCGAAGAGATTGATTTTAACCGACTCCATACCCAAAAGGACCTTCTGATCTTGCGCCTTGGAATTTCCAGATCAAGTTCTCACACTTTTTGATTTTTGCAATCGATCCTATTAGCAGGAGTGTTGTCCTCACAACCAGCACAAATTTTTCTGGACAGGTACATGGACCGAGGCTCGATCACGCATTGGGATCCACAGGTTCTTTTTTTTCCATGATCCGGATCTCATCATCACGCAAGAGTTGCGTGATCTCGCTCTCGTCGTCTGAGTGTGGTGATTTCACGAACAATCATGCACCGCTCGATAAATCAATTGTTCCGAATTCGTATTTTGTACGACAGACATTTTGATGCGATGAACATTCTTGATTTCTACCGGCGTCAAAATGAAGACAGATCTATCCGATGCGCAATATCCCAACGAGATCGAAGAAATCAGTCGAAACAGCTAGTGCTAGACCGGGGTTTGGTCTGACTCTGACAACATGATGGATTACATTATCATCAAACAAGAAACCTAAAACGCCGCGTCCCCACCGCCATCGCCGGCGTCGTCGTCCTCTGCTTGCTTTGTCTGTGCGTGCAGCAGTCTTCGCTCCTCGTCTTTCCTGGCTCTCTCCTGCATCGGCGAGGCCTGTGGTCGCGCCGGGTTTTGCAAGCTACTCGAGGTCGCCGAGGCCCGCCGCGCCAGCCGTCGGTCCCGCATGATAGTGTGACACTCCTCGATGGGGTCCGCGCCGGTAGGGTGCTCCAACACGAACAGTTTTGCCTTCTCCCGTCCCCCCTTCTCCGCGTTGAACAGTACCGTCGAGGTGCGGTGCCGGAGCCCCTCTGATGATGTCGCGACCGGATTACTGATGTCCGTCCGCCTTCACCACCTCGGAGGGGGACACCACAGCACCGCTATCCTCCCGGATGATGCCGATCTGGAAGCCTCCGCTACTCGCCATGCGCACCAGCTTGCCCCCGTACGTGCTGCTCCGGATGTACTGCACGGGCTTGTAGCCGAGCAGCATGCGCATCAAGTAGAACCGCAACAGGTAGAGTCTCGACCGGGCCTTCAGGTCGCAGCTGCCCTTCGCCACGCCGTGAATCACGAAGGGAAACAACCGCTTGAACTCCGCCACGTCCACCTTCCCGTCCTTGTTCTCGTCCACCTCTTCGTGGATCAACACGATCAGCAGGACGCACATTTTCATTTCCAGCTCCCCCTTCACGGTGTCCACGACGAACCGCGCCACGTCGTCCACGCGCAGCAGGTGGTCGTCCGCCTCGTCCGGTTCGTCTTTGTCTTCGTGCGCAAACCCGTAGCGGTAGCCGATCCAGCGGAACAGCGCACTGAGCTCCTTGTCCTGCAGCACGCACGGCGCCGCCGGGTCGTACTGCGCTCTCCGCATGCAGTTGTAGAGGTAAAAGTGCTCGCCGTTGCTAACCACGATGAAGTACCAGCAAAACCAGGAGCAAACGGGCGTGGAGGCGAAGAAGGTGAGAATCACGAACAGCGTGTCGATGCTCGACAGCCCCAGCGTGTTGTCCGCCCCGATGCACAGAATCGCCGTCATCATCCCGCAGAAGAAGCACCCGGGCGTGATGCGCTTGGACAAGGAATCCAAATCCCGGACGACCAGGGGGCCGTAGATCTGGAAGATGACCTCCCCCATGATCACGTTCAGCATGCAGCTGCTCATGTGCAACGTGAGATACATCAGCAGCGCGTCCAGGTACGACAACTTGGTCAGCGTGTCCGGGGCGTCGTCGGTGGCGCCCTTGCGGAAGGCCTGCAGGGCCAGAAACGCGAGGAACCCCGACATGAAGCGCGGCACCATCTTGTCGGGGGTGACGATGAAGGTGCTGAACGCGAAGAGACCGAGAAGCACGCACGGGAGGAAGAGCCGGTAGGCAAACAGCTCGCTGTCGCGCTCCACCGTGGCGGTGAGTACGACCACGTTCTCGTCGTAATTGGGGGTCACCGCGGCCGACACCACCGGCCAGGACCGCTGCCAGTTGCTGTCCAGCGTGGCCTGGCTGATCCCCGGGTACTTCTGCGCCGCGGCTTCCGCGTGCGACTCGTTGAGCGCCTTGATCCCGAGCAGGGCGGCTTTCACCTCGTCGTGGGTGTTGAAGCTGACGCTGGCGATGCCGAACTTCGCGGACCAGGGGCCGTACAGGGCGTAGATCCGCCACGTGAACTCGGTGTAGTCGAACAGCCACTCGATGTCGCCGTTCGGCCGCGCGGTCACGTCGATCTGCTGCTGGTCGAAGGGGTACCAGTCCCACTCGGAGCTCACCGTGCAGCCCTTGCCCTCGATCTGGTAGCTCCAGTAGACGAAGGGGTACTTGACCTCCACCGACTTGGTCGACCCCTCCGACACGGACGCGCAGGGCGGCATCCCCGCGCCCCGGGGGAGCCAGATGCTGGCGTGCGGGATCATCTGCTCCTCGGTTGTACTCAGCAGGTACCCCGCGCTGATGCTCGCGTAGGACTCTAAGGCGTTCACGGCCTCCGTGTTATAGCCACCGTCCGATACCCGCGTGCGCTTGTCCAGGAACACCTACTCGATCTGCAGCACCGCGGTGAACGTCGTTTCCGCGTACTCGCGGAAATTGCTCCACTGCACGCGCGCGAAGGTCGGCGCCCGGGTTACGGGCTTCTGCTTGAAGGCGCCCGCGGTACTAGCGGCCGGGGAGGACGAGGCGCCGGTCTGCGGCGGCTTCTCTCTCGGGCCGCTCTTGGACGAGAACGTCACGCTGGTGTAGATGTCGCACCGCTGGCCCACGTAGGTCGCGGTTTCGCACACGCAGTGGCCGTCCGGATACCCGACCCCGGTCCCGTCGTCCTGGCAGAAGCCGAAACTCCCGCACCTCACGTTGTCGCGGTAGCACGCCCCCTCGGCGAAGGAGGTCGGCACTTTGAAGCCCGTCGGCCTCAGCTGCGCGGTGACGCCGGCAACCGTGACCTCGCTCGAGTTGGTGAACCCGTTCGGGGTGAGCTTGTTCAGCCCGGTCTCCTGGGCGCGCAGCAAAGAGTACCGCAGCCCCTCCGGGTTGCGGGTGGGCCAGGAGGTGACCGTGTTGTTCACAATCTCGCCGACTTGGTTCACCGGTCCCGTCAGCCCCGTGAACTTCAGCGGGTCCGCGGGGCTACCGGCAAGACCCTCCGCGAAGGAGGTCACCGCCGCGTCGTTCGCGAACCGGTCCCACCCGAACGCGGCGGCGACCACCCCGTCGTACACGAAGGGCGCCGTGGTCTGGCAGTGGTCGGGGATCGCCTGCCGCAGCTCTACTGCCATGGCCGCGCTGCCGCCGTGCTTCTGCGTGGTCGAATCGGCCAGCCCGAGCACTTGCTCGGCGGTGGGCAAGGGGCCGCTCGCCATCTCCCGCTTCCACTCCTGTTCCAGCAACCAGTGCAGCTTCGCCCCCGACGAGCCTGGCTGGGGCGGCCCGGTGCCAAACGAGTGCTCCGCGTTGTCCTCCATGATGCTCCACACGCCGTTGGCGTACCCCGTGAACCACGCGCGGCGCTTGTTCACCAGCCCCTTGCCGCCCAGGGCCAGCACCGAGGGCACCACCCACGTCCAGTCGGCGGACAGCGGGCCCGCCATACCGGCGCTCTCCGCGGCGGTCATCATGGCCTCCAGGTGCGCGGCAACGCGCGTGACGTAGATCACCACGCGCGGGGTGTTGCGCCGCAAGTTCGCGACGGTCTCCGCCCACGTGTCCAGCGTCGCTAGGTCCGCGGCCGTGCGCAGCGTCCCGGACCCGTCGGTGCTGACGAAGACGGACTCCCTTAGAAGCACTATGTGGTGCTCGACGATCCCCTGGTGCTTCCCCTGGTTCAGCTTGCTGCCCCCCGTGAGCGGGCCCAGCAGCTCCCACACCTTATCTTCGAACCGCTGCTTCAGCGGATGGCTCCAGGTCGTGCTCAGGGGCGCTTCGGTGATCACCGCGAAGTGCCTCCAGCCAAACTGGTTCACGAACACCTCCGCAAGCTGCTCGATGGCGTGCCCGTCGTTCGGGTGCATGCCGAACAAGTTCGGGTAGGCGTTGGTCGTCGTCTTCGGGTAGGTGTCGGTGATGTACCGCGCGCTGGTCTGCTTTTCCCCGACCGCGATGAGCGGCACGTTCGCACCGTCGTTCTCTAAAAAGTAGCTGTGCGCGTTTGACACGTCGTCGTCGCTCCACGCGGTCAGGTACCCGTGCGCCGGGTTGGCTGAGGTTTGGCTCGCCTTCACCAGGTTGTAAGCCGCGGACAGCTCGGGTAGCAGTGTGTTGCGCGTCAGCCCGGTGAGCGGGGGCGTGTTAGACGTGATGGTCGCGGAGCTCGTGCTCGCCGGGGGCTGGTAGTGCGACAGGTCCTGAGCGGCCAGGGCCACTTGCGTCACGTTCGCAGTTATCAAATGTAAAAGTGTCTGGGTCTGGAAACTTGTGATGCTAAAAATGAATGATAGACGCACTGCAATACGCAGCTATGCATGACAAATTTTTTGGCTGCCATGCCTTACGTATTCCGCATGGCAAACTGCGTTTTTGCATGACAGGTAAGAAGGCTTTTTCGTGCCTATGCAACACAGATTCCCGAGTCGTGCCAGACAAGCATGACAAACTTGCATTCTTCCAGACCCAGACACTTTTACATTTCATAGCAGTGCCGGGCGAGAGGGTGGCCCGGAAGCTGGTGGCGACTTCCGGGATCACGTACCCGTTCCGCTCGTTCACGTGCTTGGCCGCGATCGCGGCGATCCCCGCCCACACCGGACAACATTCCGGCTCCTCTCTGTAGGGACATACGAAGCTGAGTCGGACCGTGGACGTCCCTTGCGCAGCCACGAACCTAGTAGCTCCGAGGTGGAGGAGAAAGAAGGCCGCGGCGGCACGGAGGGAATGTGGTTGTAGTCGTGGGGACGTCATTTTTCCTTACTAGAGCGGGGAAAGGGAAATGAGTACAGTCGAACAAGCCTCAATCGTGGTCCACCGCCGTGAAACAGCAATAAACAGTTTCGGAATTAAATAATATGCTCTTTGCGGTCAACTACACAAGAGCATTGTAAAACTGGGGGAGGCGGGGGGGTGAGTCACGACTTTCTTACTCGATAATGAGTTTTGCAAATACGGGTCTGTCCTGTACCTGAAATTGTGTCGCAAAACCGTAGCAGAAGTGTTACAAATAACGTTAATGGCGCCGGAATATCAGAATGCACGACCTGTACTAGCTAGTTCCGACAAGAGTTGTGCGCAGCACGAGCACGAACGGAAAAAAACACGGCACCGATGGAAATTCGACTCGGAGTCGTGGAAGCAATCACTAACCACGTGCAACCGACAGTGATCAATTGTTGCGAAAATATAAAACGATAGCAACCGAGTGAATCGTTTCAATCTCAGAAAAGGTCCTTTGCATTTCGTTCCTGTACGAGTCACCTACTGGTGCGACCTGTGGACGTACGATTTTCGACGATGGTGTGCTCGCTGTACACGATCTTGCACGGTGTTCTATAGCGTGATTGCTAGACGAAGTTTTCGTACTTCGCGGGGCGGCAAATGACAATAAGATGAGCTTCATACATCATGGTTAGCACGAACCGAGTGTGCTGACGCAGGAGAAAAAAACCGACAATGATCTCAATTTCATCCAACACTCCGTTGCCTTGCCTCGCGCCGACAGAGGTGTCCTGTATGATCGCTGGCGCCGTTTTCTTTGGACGCACCGCCGAAAAAACGACTCGAATGACTAGCAATGAGAAACTTTCTTGATTTGCGCAAGGTTGCAAAGCCTTTTGGAATGATCGTACATGCAGCGCGTGCCTCTGCAGGAGCTCTCTAGCTACTTGCGACCGCTTTAGAGGAGGTGCGACGCAACCACTTCGCATACCGTGGGCGCTCCGCAGCTATGAAACAAGCTCCGCTAGAAAGACCATCCAAGCGAGCGGCGCAGCAGTGAATGGTGCGGCCAAAACCGCAACTCAGACGCGCAGGCAGAAACCAAATTGATGAGAAACGCAGACGCGCAGTTTGAAGATGCAGTCGACTTGAATACCAAGATCCCGGTGCTCATCGTTTGCGGCTGCTTCCCCTTGTCGGGCCTCCTCGCTGTCTCTGGCGGGCGCAAGAGGCGGAGCGAGCGTTGCGACAGGATCAGAAACGACCAAAAACTTCCGAAAAGACACGTCGACGCAATGACCCACGGCCGCCGAGTCCGTCGTGGGTTCTGCTCGAAGATGAATCAATGTATGTCCCCTACATGATTGCGCATTTCTTCTTACTTTCGGAGCGGGCGCCCTTGTGCGTCGCGTTGATGACCGGCAGCGCTGGGTCGTTTCGGGGGTGGTCGATGATCTCGGCGACGACCGGCTTTTGGTAAGCGGACTCTTGTGCCTGCGTCAACGAAATGCCAATCAAGTCCGCGGCCACTTTGTAAAACATCGTGTCAACGCCCTCCGAAAGCTTGCTGCTCACAAAGTGCGCGGACCTGAGCATTTATTGTGACATCCATGGAGTGGACCGAAAATCATGTTGGCTAATACGAAGTGAGAACAAGTTGCGACAATTCCTGATCTCGTTGGTTAGTTCTTTCTCCAGTGTTAGATTTAGGGAAAACGCAAAACCCAACGTAAAGGAACAGGGACAAAATAAAGACGGAATGAGCACGTCAAAACTCGAAGTCAGCAAAAAACTACACAGCAAGTACTTCATCCTTTCGACTTCGCAAAACTGGGTATGCCGTATTGCCTTCACCGCGCGCAAGTGCTGCAAGTCGGCCTTGGTTCCCACCAGCACTAGGTGAGGAAAGTTGTCGTTCACGTCTGGTGTTTCGCTGCTGCCGGCGTTGCAGTGCTGCTTCACGAGGCTGAGCCAATCCTTCAGGTTCTCAAACGACTGGAAAGAGGTGATGTCGTAGCAAAGGAGCACTGCGTCCGCCTTGTGCAAGTAGCTCTGGATCATCTTGCCCCCGATGCTCTGCCCGCCGATGTCCCATATCTGCAGGCACACCTGTTTGGTCGTCGGCTTCTCAAAGGTGAGCCGCTTCGTGCAAAAGTCTACCCCGATGGTTTGCTTGTAGCTCTGCGCAAAGTGGTCATTGACAAAACGCTGGATCAAAGATGTTTTCCCAACGGCACCGTCGCCAAGAACGAGGATTTTCACCTTGATTTCCGGTTTTTTGTTAGTAATTTCATCATGGATGTTGCGCTTCTTGCATAACAAAAACAGGTCTTCTCTTGCGATGCAAAATGTCGACCCACAGCGGCTTATTACCTGGTCGAATTCCAATTCTTCCTCGCTGTCGCTGCTGTCCTCTACCACCTGCGGTCTCTGCTGCACTTGCCGTGGAGGTGCGGTGATTTGCGTCATATTTGATAAAGCGTTTCCTTATGGATGAATGATTTTGTATTGAATTTTACAGCATCCAGAAGCAGACAAGCATACATACAACCGGCAAAATTTGAATTCTACATGCTTATGCCAGTGAGTGAAAATAAAGACTCCTTAAAATAACTGGTTCTCGTCGTCTACCTCTCCGGTTTATTTTCCGTTCATCACTTCTAGAAGACCACTACACAGAGATCACCGACGGGGGAGATGAAGCGCAACAGATTAGGCAAGGACCGAGGGTATTTGTGTCCTTCTATAGGAGATTGCTATTTCCTTTTGCACCATACTTTTTTGCGTCGAAAAAAAAGGCGTGGCATCGGGCTTTTCAACGTGCGGAACAGTTACCCGGTCGAAGAAGCAATAGTTACAGTGGTATTTGCCGCTTGGAGTCGTGGAAGTAGTTGGTCGCGCCATTGATTGAAAATCTTCGGAAAAGAAAAAGCACGCATTCTGTGCGACGAGCAGCCGAAATTTAATATGAGCAAACAATTATACAAATGAAACGAAACTACGCAACTGCAACACGGTGGTCGCATCCGGACAATTTTCCGGCCACGAGAAATGAATTCAAATTCATGCAGCAACTTCTTCGCTGTTTAGAAAATAAATCCATTCGGAACTCCGCTTCTCAAAGCACCTCCGGCAGCACGATGACGCTCCGTTGTGCCTTTTCTTCCGATACCGCGGCGTGCTTGGCCGCCGCGAATCCGATCCGCCGCTCGTTGCTGTCGTACACTGTGTAGAACTTCCGCAAGAAAGGGTCCCCAAAGATAAACAAAGGCCCGTTTGGCGGGGGCACGTCGATCGTCATCAAGGACAGATCGCATGACACCGTACTTCCGCTTTCTTCTCCTGTCCGCTCAACATAGTCTTCCGGATCCAAGTTGAGGATCCTTTCCCCAAGCACGAAGCCCAGCGTCGGCAGGGAGTCGTAGTTGCTGCAGTCGGGTTTCACGTCCAGCCTCCGTCGCAACTCCTCCACGACCGCGCTCGGCCCCGCGAGCTGGCTCGTACCCGTGTCGAGCGCCACCTGACAAGTGGAAGTAGTAGTTGGAACAAGTGCAGCTTCCTCATAACTGTGACGGTCGTCGGAGAAACTCCGCAAGTTCTTCGAGTTCACGGCGCCCAGCTGTATGTTTGCCAGAAATGGCGACGACGCCGAGCATAGGTTCTGCCTTCGGCTATCTATTGCAATGTCTCGCATTTCGACCTGCCAATACCCCGTGGGCCGCGACACGGGCACCCAAAAAAGCGATTTTTCGCTGCTCGCGATGTGCTCGGGTTTGTAACTGCCGAAGGTAATCTCCGATTGTTCGGCCTCGGAATCGTCCGATAGAAACACCGAGAACACCATGCCGCTATTTCTTGTGCCACCCGACGACAGCATCGTGTTCAGGAAGTTGAAATCACTACCCTGGCTCATTTCTGGCAAAGAGAGTCCCAGAACCCCGTCGAAGGCAAAGTCCTCAAACGGCTCATTGGTCTCCTTGACCGCTGTGACGAAGTTGCCAAAGCTGCAAAAATTATTTCTATCTTCGACTGCTCCCTTCGATGTCAAGCAGATCTCGTCGCGCACAAACACACCACTGATCTCACCCGTCCCAAAGGTCACCGTGAGCACGTCGCGATCTACTGCTTCGGGGTGGCTATTTTTACTTTCTTTTGCCATAAAAACAGCATCTGCATCTTCTGCGGCGTAGTTTCGCAAGATAAAAGAGTCGCTATTTCTGGCCGACGAGACGCTCGTGCCGTCGAAGTTGATCTCTTTCGCGGTGGCGGACTGTCTTGAATCATAGCGGCGATGCGAGAAACACGGGCTGCTGTGGCAGTCCTTTGCCGGGACCATCAGGTTTCCACTCCCCGTGTCGAATACAACAGAGAACTCTTGGGGTGGGGTACCCAGGTAAATTTGTCCGAAGTAGGCGGTCTTGTGTTTCTTCGTGTTATAATATTCTTCGGACCAAGACGACCGGCGGCCATCCTCGCTATGCCTTTCTCGCCGCTGTTGCAGGAGAAGTCTTCCCGGTTGAAAATTATTTCGCTTTTTTTTCGACAAAGAAACGACCTTCTGCTTTGTCAGTGGGATGGTCAACGATCGCTCTTTTTTCGACGCAGACACGATATGAAATGTACTACGCAATTCAAGGTATGGCAATTCAAAAAAATCGGTCTCAACAATCTATATAGCAGCTCCAGCTTTATCATCCATTTTCCATCCTGTTTCGCGACGCAGAAGTGGCGGCGTTCGAAGGTAAGTCCAGTTGCCGGATTTGGTTTATGCATTTTATGATATGAAAAAAGGTCCTGATTTGAACTAGCTAGCTAATGACATGACTGCTGAAGTGCTATCATAAAAGAGGCCGGCTTGGATCAGTGTTGCAGGCCTGTCTGGTTCGTCTCCAGAGGTAGGGCACCCCTTGACAGCACAGGAATCGCTCAAGTCCAGAGTTAGCTCGTGCTTTGCAGGAGTACCGAGCTAACGGCGGAAAAGATGGAATGCTGAGCACCAGTATACCGCCGTGCTTAGCTGAAAAGCCTTGGCTTTTTTGTAGAATTGAGCATACCGCGCAAATAGAGCAAGAGGGCCGCAATTCAGACCTCTCCGGGAGACGTCCCAAATAAGGGTCCTTTTGATGCGTCGCAGGCTTGTACTTAGATACAACTCAAGATATGGTCCAAATGAGGCCACTTTTAGACGTTAAAAAATACCTCTTGAGTCGCGACTGTGTAAATTTTGCAAAAGCGATCCCGTTAGCTCGTGGAACGATGATCATTTTGGACCACTTTCAGGCCTCCCTTTGCAGTCGTCCTCGGAAACGAGATGGCGCCGCGACCTGTACAGTGGCAAATTCCTGCTCAAGTTCAACGATTTCCACGTCTGCAACATGGGCTCCCTTTCTAGCGTTCACCAATATGCAGTTGCTTTACTATCTAACTTACCTGCAAACTATTAACCCTCCTTCATGCCTAAAGTAGCTAGCTCAAGTCAGGACCTTTTTTCATATCATATCTAATTGACACCTTCAAAGCAGGAGACAATCTGACCGGCGGAGAAGACGGATCGCAGATTCGCATTACAAAACCCCAATAATACAGCGTTGTTTTGGGGTCGCAAAATGCAAAACTGATCGTTTTGAATTGCCATACCTTGAGTTGCGTAGTGCGTCTCATACACGTATCAAAAGGAAAAATCCCCCCTCCCCATATCGAAAACGAAATTTGTGATGCTGTATTTGAGGCGTGAGGCGTAACATGATCGCACTCGGAAGAGGTGGAACAGTCAGCAGCCCGAACTCATCGGTTTTGCCAGGTCCACAACCCCCTGGGGGTGAAATACGGGGGTGGCTCCGCGTGGCTGCGATCTAGGATCGCTACCTGGAAGAAGGAATGGGAGCCTCTTTTCAGATGTACTCCGCAAACCTAAGCCAACCACTGCCCCCGCAGTTACAAACTCACACCCGACATCGAGAACCGATGCGAGGGAGACCCCGGCAACCCTTCTCTGCGACCGAATACCGAGAGGGATAAGTGGACCCCTCAGTTTAGACGGAAGCAGAGGCATAGTCCCGGAGGGCACAAAGTGTACGAATGCTCCCCCTAGTGAAAGCCGGGTCGTTTCAGCACTATGAAACAGTGTGGCGATCAACCAAGGTGCTCGACTGTACTCAGCGGCGAGTACGAAGAGCAAGGGACGTGAGAGACACCTTCCGCGCGACATCCCGACCAGGTAACCCGTATCCCCCCGCCTCAGGGGACCGGGGACCAAACAGTCGTGGCAGCAAAATAGGCGAACCAGACAGATGACAAGTCAACTGTCCGCAACCTCGTCGTCACCAGCCAACACTGCAATCATGAGCTGGGGGAGCCAGATAGCCGACAGTCGACCGCCGGGGGGTGGCTGAACGAGAGCACTCCGTCCAAACTGACGAGAGGCAAACGAACTCCGACCCACACCTGAAACTCAAGAGCGGCCACCAACCACCGAAAGCAGCGAAGACCTGAGCAAGCTCAAGCAACAACGAGGAGACCCATCTACCCATCCTGACTCCTGCCGGTGGCGAAGACGCGCCAAGGACCGAACCTCCTGCAACGGGATTATCAGCCCGAGGTCTGTCAACGACAGCACTGGGATGACGACGAAAGGGCTCTTGAAGGACCAGCTGACGTAGTAAAGGACACCGTGGCGCCCTGCAGAAGAGTACGGCGTCGCCGAAAACACCGCGTAGACCATCAGCAAGGGACGCAGCGAGGCCGCCCGCCCCGACCAAAACACACCATGCCGCAACTCCACCGTGAAAGCAGCTACGTTGTGACTGGATGTAGGTAGTAGAAGGCAAAGCACCTCCCAGGCAGGGAAGGACCTCCCCGCAGAACCACTCGCCAACACCGCCGCTCGCCGCGCCACCCTCTTATAAATTTTTGAGGGTAGCATAGTGACGGCAAACGCCCGATGCTGTATTTGAGTACACAAATCAGATTTGTCTCGCTGGCGAGGACTGCAGGCCCATATCAGGCCTGAGTAGACAAGTTTTGGCCTAGGCGCGTAGCATGGCAGACGTCTACGCTGTAGGAGCAACAGCATGACAAACCGCCTGTAGAATGTGGCGGAGCCTGTAGACTTGCCTTCATGCAATACAGCGACGATTTGTGGTCTCAAATCTGCATCACAAATTTTCAGAAGTGTCCCGGTTTGGTATGGGGAGGGGGGATTTTTCCTCACAATAACACGACCTTCTGCTTTGTCAGCGGGATGGTGAGCGATCGCTTAGTTAGAGCTTTAACACGCGTTAGCATGAGAAGTGGTGAATTTGTAGTGAATTGTGCATGACAAATTGCAGATGAGCCCGCCGGGACCCTGTCCCTCTTGGCCCTGTTCTGGGAAGTAGAAGGCCCTGCACCGCGCAGCAGCCGCGGGCTTTTGTGCAGTGGGCAGCCAGAGGACATGGCCCGGGCGCCGTTCTTTGGGCAGATTTTTGCGCCTCCCCGTTCTCGCAGAAGAGCACTGCAGCAGCAGCAGCCGCGGCAAAGACGCCAGAAATAAAGGCTGCGAAGCGCATACAACTAAGCAAGAAGGCAGGCAAGGACGAAAGGACCCGGCCGAGAGCTTTGACGCATTTTTCCGGCAGGCGCGTGAAATCTTGCGGCATTTTCAGCAGAATACAGACGGGCTTAGGGCAGCAGAGGACTCCGCTTTTTCCCCCTTTGCGTTCCTTCCCATGGCCTATCTGTGCACTTTTTTGAGCACACCAGGCCAAGCAAGCTAGTGCCCGTAGCCGAGTCGTGCCTTCCCTTCCACCCGAGGCTACTCCCAGATATCCAATTCCAAGCCACAGCCACAACTCGTGAGAGCGCACGTGTTGAACTAGTGCCCCTGTGTTCAGGCGTCGCCCTCCCTCCCGACCATTCCGGAGAGGAACTTCTGAGGCAGACGCGCAGATGAACAAGAGCCCCACGATTCACCATCTTTGGTTACATATGCCCTACACAGTCCGGCGGGCCCCCGCAGGACCACTTCTTTCGGTGCTGCAAGTGCCACCGCGCGACGAGCAGCCCTTCACGCTGCGTGGGATGCTTGGGCTCGTGTGTCTAATACGCAGCGCCCTTCTCTTTTAACTAAATGCAAGCCATGCAATACAAATTCACCCTTCTGTACGCTAACGACCGTTGAAGACATAACTGCTTTGTCAGTGGGATGGTGAACGATCGCTCTGTATCAAATGTAAAAATGTCTGGGTCTGGAAGAGTTTATGTTTGTCATGCTTGTCTGGCATGATTCTTAAATCTGTCATGCACGTTACCCAAGCGCTCCGTTTTTTTGTGATGCAGAAGCGCAGTTTGTCATGCAGAATAGGCAACACCTAGGCGCTCAGAAACTTGTCATGCTGAGCCAGCATTTGTAGCCTCATCATGAGACGCCACCCAGCATCACAAGTTTCCAGACCCAGACATTTTTACTTTTGATACTCTGCTAGAGGAGGACCACTGTGGTCTCGGCGCGCCTGTGCTGCACCTTCTCCCCCGCCTTGGAGAAACCCCTTCTTTGCTCCCTTCGCTGCGAGGCCCCCGCGGTCGATTTGTTCACCATAACGGCCTTCGACTGTCGCAGTTGCGCGGGAAGAAGCTCTCTGAAGGGTAGCAGTCGCGAGCTCGCCGAAGAGTCGGCCGGTCTGCGTTTCCGAGGAGTGCTGGTAATGTTCCTCATGTAGGGCTTTCTGCAGTTGCGAGGCGTGTCCCGAAGTAGAATGTACCGCGACGAGAAAACAGAGAAGGCGCATGGCAACGCCGTTGAGCCTTTTGTTGCTCCGAGAAAGAACGCCGCGCATCGTCATTCTGCTGCGGGCGAGAGAGAACTACTACCGGGCAAGAGCGCCCGGCAGATATTCGCTTTAAATTTTTTTCATCCTAAAAATTTTTTCTTTCCTTTTTTATCGCGAAAATGATTGCAGCTGTTAAGATTCGCACCCCTCGTCAGTTACACTTGGTCTCCCTCAATCATAGAGCCGGCAAGGCCTTCGACTCTTTCATGTTTCATTCTTCAGATCCGCTCCTGCGTGCACACTCGAAAAAAGTTCGTGCGCTCTAGCAGGTACGCTTTTTCTTCTCCTTCCCCGAACTACATTGCGTTGAGGTTCCCAACGCCGCAACCAGACAAAAGCTTGCCGCTTCGTACACCAGCTCGCATTGAGCGATAAATTTGAATTCATTCTGCACACCACAGCACTTCTACTGGACACAAAACATACGAGCGTCTTATCTTCCTTCGGCGTCGGTTTTCCCTTGGCTTGCAACGACTCGTACAGGAAAATAAAGAAAGTTCGAAATAATATTTTCTTCAGCACGAAATTGAGAGTTTAGAAGCTCCTCCCCTTTGCCGTGAGTTGCTCTACTCACTTCTGGACAAGCGTGCAACTAAAACCCTCCTTTTGTAAGAAGACTTTTAGAAGATACGTCGCTTGCTGCAACAACCAAGTCTGTACACTGGAAAAGAAGTTCAAAAGTTTATTTCGGTAAAGAGAAGGAAAACAAATCATCATACATTTATCAGTACCAGTACAGTGGGACGACGAGCTCAATTTTACTACGTTCACTTCAACATTTTTGAAATGCATAATGCACACTACTTGCAGCAGCCCCGAACGGGATAAAACGCAAGTCCCAGCAGTAGCACCAAAATTCAGTTCGTATGAAGCCGAGGTTTTCGTTTCGAGATTCAGCAGCTTTCGCTTGTCCGCATCAATTTCATTTTCATCGAGGTACAAAATTCTGACTATCTTACGTGAGACCTGAGCACAGCCACTTCCTTAGAAGTCCTCATCGATCGAGAAACCGTGCATTTCCGCGCCGGTGTTGGTTCCGTTCCCCGCTCCCTCGGCCGCCTTCATGACCCCGGCCTTCTGGTAGTCGCCGACCCGCTTCTCGAAGAAGTTGGTTTTGCCCTGCAGCGAGATGAGCTCCATCCAGTCGAAGGGGTTCTTCACGTTGTAGAGTTTGTTGTAGTGCAACGAGACCAACAACCGGTCGGCCACGAATTCGATGTACTGTTGCATCAGTTTCGCGTTCATGCCGATCAGGTCGCAGCTGAGCGCGTCGCAGATGAAATCCTTTTCCACGTCAACCGCTCCGCGGACGATTTCGAACACGATCTCTTCGGGCAACTTGTTCTGCAGCATGTTGTAGAGCAAACAGGCGAAATCCGCGTGCAGCCCCTCGTCGCGGGCGATCAGCTCGTTGCTGAAGGTGAGCCCCGGCATCAGGCCGCGCTTCTTCAGCCAGTAGATGGCGCAGAACGACCCGGAGAACAGGATCCCCTCCACGCACGCGAACGCGATCAGCCGCATGGCGAAGCACAGCTCGTTGTTCATCCAGCTCGCGGCCCAACTGGCCTTTTTATTGATCACCGGGATGGTGGTGATCGCGTGAAACAGCTTCTGCTTCTCCTGCTCGTCGTTGCGGCAGCACTGGTCGATCAGCAGGGAGTAGGTTTCCGAGTGGATGTTCTCCATGCCGGCCTGGAACCCGTAGAACGCGCGGGCTTCCGGCAGCTGCACTTCGGACGCGAAGTTGATGTTCAAGTTTTCCAGCACGATGCCGTCGGAGCCCGCGAAGAACGCGAGCACGTGCTTCAGAAAGTGCTTCTCCTTCTCCGTCAGCTTCCCGTCCCAGTCCGCCATGTCGGCCGTTAAGTCGATCTCCTCCGCGGTCCAGAAGGAGGCCTCGTGCTGCTTGTACATCTCCCAGATTTCGGGGTAGTGGATGGGAAAGGTCACCCACCGTTGCTTGTTCTCTTTCAGCAAAACCTCCTGCTCCTTCTCGCACGTCTTCAAATCGTCCGACACCTGCTTCGCGTGCGCGGAGATGCGCAGCTTTTGTTTCGCACCGAAAGGGGTGGTCTCCACGTGGTCCTCACGCTCTTCCGGAGAGGAGAGCTCCTGTCCGGACTCGGAAGAAGCGGGCGAGTTCGTCACCGGCGTGTCGATGCTCGCGACCTTGCTGTCCTGGTCGATAGAAGAAAGCCCCTTGGAAAGCGCCGCGGACGGGCTTTGCTGCGGTGAAGTGGTGATGACAGTCATGATTTTTTTTTCGAGCTTCTGCTTCGCCGATTCGGTATTTCAAGCCGACGAAATAAATCTTCGTAGTGCGAAACTAAGCTGTTGGTTCTCTCGAAGTAGTTGTACTTTTGTTTTTCTAAATCGCAATTTTGGGTTTGGTGTGTTTGCGGCATGAAAACACTTTCTGGCTAAGGCAAGCGCTAAGAGCATCACGATCAACACGTCAATCTTACCCCAAGCCCAGAACAAGATCGCGAAGCAAACAAAGTAGAATCTTTACCCTTCATGTACTACGACACTGCTCCACCGGAAAGTACGACGAGAGAATAGAAAGCTATTGCCGACGAGCCGACGAAACGCAATCCCTCATGAGTTATCACTCGATCGAATCCGATGAACACGCATCCGAGGCATTAACAAAGATGAGGTTTAAACACGAGAAAATTGAAACTCAACAAGTGCACTTCTACTGGACACAAAACATACGAGCGTCTTATCTCTTCGGCATCGGTTTTCCTTTGGCTTTTCAGCGGATTGCGCTTGCAACGACTCGTACAGGAAACTAAAGAAAGTCCGACATAATATTTTCTAAAGCAAGAAATTGAGAGTTTAGAAGCTCTTTCCCTTTGCCGTGAGTTGCTCTAGTTATTTCTGGACAAGCAGGAAACCTCTCCCTGCTACCTACTACACCGTGCAACTAAAACCCTCCTTTTGTAAGAAGACTTTTAGAAGATACGTCGCGTGCTGCAACAACCAAGTCTGTACACTGGAAAAGAAGTTCAACGGTTTACTAAGACTAGAAAAACAAATCATCATACATTTATGAGTATACAATGGGACGACGAGCTCAATTTTACTACGTTCACTTCAACATATTTGAAATGCATAATGCACACTACTTGCAGCAGCCCCGAACGGGATAAAACGCAAGTCCCAGCAGTAGCACCAAAATTCAGTTCGTATGAGGCCGAGGTTTTCGTTTCGAGATTCAGCAGCTTTCGCTTGTCCGCATCAATTTCATTTTCATCGAGGTACAAAATTCTGACTATCTTACGTGAGACCTGAGCACAGCCACTTCCTTAGAAGTCCTCATCGATCGAGAAACCGTGCATTTCCGCGCCGGTGTTGGTTCCGTTCCCCGCTCCCTCGGCCGCCTTCATGACCCCGGCCTTCTGGTAGTCGCCGACCCGCTTCTCGAAGAAGTTGGTTTTGCCCTGCAGCGAGATGAGCTCCATCCAGTCGAAGGGGTTCTTCACGTTGTAGAGTTTGTTGTAGTGCAACGAGACCAACAACCGGTCGGCCACGAATTCGATGTACTGTTGCATCAGTTTCGCGTTCATGCCGATCAGGTCGCAGCTGAGCGCGTCGCAGATGAAATCCTTTTCCACGTCAACCGCTCCGCGGACGATTTCGAACACGATCTCTTCGGGCAACTTGTTCTGCAGCATGTTGTAGAGCAAACAGGCGAAATCCGCGTGCAGCCCCTCGTCGCGGGCGATCAGCTCGTTGCTGAAGGTGAGCCCCGGCATCAGGCCGCGCTTCTTCAGCCAGTAGATGGCGCAGAACGACCCGGAGAACAGGATCCCCTCCACGCACGCGAACGCGATCAGCCGCATGGCGAAGCACAGCTCGTTGTTCATCCAGCTCGCGGCCCAACTGGCCTTTTTATTGATCACCGGGATGGTGGTGATCGCGTGAAACAGCTTCTGCTTCTCCTGCTCGTCGTTGCGGCAGCACTGGTCGATCAGCAGGGAGTAGGTTTCCGAGTGGATGTTCTCCATGCCGGCCTGGAACCCGTAGAACGCGCGGGCTTCCGGCAGCTGCACTTCGGACGCGAAGTTGATGTTCAAGTTTTCCAGCACGATGCCGTCGGAGCCCGCGAAGAACGCGAGCACGTGCTTCAGAAAGTGCTTCTCCTTCTCCGTCAGCTTCCCGTCCCAGTCCGCCATGTCGGCCGTCAGGTCGATCTCCTCCGCGGTCCAGAAGGAGGCCTCGTGCTGCTTGTACATCTCCCAGATTTCGGGGTAGTGGATGGGAAAGGTCACCCACCGCTGCTTGTTCTCTTTCAGCAAAACCTCCTGCTCCTTCTCGCACTTCTTCAGGTCGTCCGACACCTGCTTCGCGTGCGCGGAAATGCGCAGCTTTTGTTTCGCACCGAAAGGGGTTGTCTCCACGTCCTGATGCTCTTCCGGAGAGGAGAGCTCCTGTCCGGACTCGGAAGAAGCGGGCGAGTTCGTCACCGGCGTGTGGCTGGTCGCGGCTTTGCCGTCCTGGTCGATGGAGGACAGCCCCTTGGAAAGCGCCGCGGACGGGCTTTGCTGCGGTGAAGTGGTGATGACAGTCATGATTTTTTCTCGAACTTCTGCTCTGCCGATTAGGTATAAATCTTCGTAGTGCGAAGGTAAGCTGTTGGTTCTCTCGACGTAGTTGTACTTTTGTTTTTCTAAATCGCAATTTTGGATTTGGTGAGTCTGCGGCATGCAAACACTTTCTGGTTAAGGCAAGCGCTAAGAGCATAAAGATCAACACGTTATCAATCTTACCCCAAGCCCAGAACAAGATCGCGAAGAAAACAAAGTAGAATCCTTACCCTTCATGTATTACGACACTGCTTCACCGGAAAGTACGAAGAGAGAATAGAAAGCTATTGCCGACGAGGCGACGAAACACAATCCCTCATGAGTTATCACTCGATCGAATTCGATTTCGAATCCCAATCCCTTGAACACGCACCCACTGCGGCATTAAAAACGATGAGGCTCAATAAACACGAAAAAAAATTTTGTCCTACGTATGGGGTTACAGATGGGAAAACATATTCAGCATCTTGTTCGGGGTTGTCCTTGTCGAATATTGCTTTTTGTTTTTCTCCTGGAAAATAATGAAAATATTGTACGTCAGATGACAAGGCACATTTGAGTTGTGGAAAGGAAAATCTTACCACTTCGGCAGGTTGTTCGGGTTCCGAACTCGACATCCTTTCTTGGAAGAAGAAAAGTAGTGGGTCTTAATTTCGTCTGTCGGTCGGGAAGATTGCGGGGAAAATGAAAGTTTCTGCTACTCTTAATGCGCAGGATGTGTGATGTTAACACTTGTGAACAAAGGCATGCAATGAACTATGGTAACTTGTAATTGAAAACGAGAATGCTGTGTGACGGGCAGATCCTGGTTTGGCAATTCTTTTAGTCGTGTTATTTCCCTTACTCTTATGCAAGATATGTGACGCTGCCGCTTCTACTGAAAGAGCGACTCCACTTTGTCCTCGACAGTCAATTGAGCAACGTCGAGTAGCTCTGCCGCCGAGCCCAGCTCCGTCACCGCCTCCTCGGACAGCGCGACACGTACCTCACCCAGCTTCTTCGCGTAGTAGCCGGCGTACCGGTTCGATTTCCGCGTGTTCGGGGGTTTGTTTCGGTGGTAGTTGCGACGCTTGAGCAGGTATCGGATGCGCCTTTTGGCATTGGTCCAGGTGTGGCGGAAAGTGGAATGGTGGTGAAACTGCACCAGAGCGCGCGACAGTTCATTGTCATGCGTGTCCTGCTGCCCCAGGTTGTCGTCGTCCCCAAAACCGGGCTTCACGGAATACTTTTCCAAAGCCTGCAATTCCTCCTCCGGAAGGTACCGATCGCCGGCGTGAAAGCGCAGCCAGTAGTAGTAGGCCCACCCTCGCTGGTACCGGCTGAGGCCCTGCGCCCACGCAAGCTTCCGGGCGTCCACGTGCTTGCCCTGGATGGGAAAGGCGCAGGCATCAAGCCACGTATCGGAAAAGCTTCCGGGGGTCATGTATCCGTCTGGAAAAAACACTTCCTCCTTTGCTCTCCGAGTCTGAATGCACAACAAACCAGGGATATTGAACGAATCAAGCGGATCGCGCTGCTAGTACAACTACCAGCACAAGAGCTACATCATTAACGACGCAAATAATTCTTATATCCATTTCGATTTCCTTTTCCATTCTAGTTCACGGCCTGGATAATAAAAATCAAGCAACATCAAGATTGGTCCTAAAAACATCGACTCGGAAAGGGTAAGAAGTGTTTTCAATTCGGTATGCAGTAGTCGTCGGGAAAAATCCAATTGCCGTAGTTGTTCGTCTCTTTGTTGCGAACATAATCGCCAAAAGTTTTCTCCTTGGCGGAACCCTCGGGGCTGTCCAGGCAGGCACAGCGGTCGCCTTCGTTAATCACAATGTGGGTCTGAAATCTGGGAAAGTACTCGGTCCGCAGATACTGGCTCACGTCCATCACTTTCTCAATACTAATCCTGTCGGATTCATCGGAATAATCATTCACGTACAAAATGCCGGCCGCGGGAGTTTGTTCGCAATGCATCTTGCTGCGAAGCAGCTCGGGCCAAAACTGCTTCGGGCACTGATCCCTGTCAAGATCCTCCCAGGAGCGAACAGGCATGTAAGACGTGGCGTTGCCAACAATGTCCTCCCTGTCGCTCACAGCACCCTTTTGGTGCATTGCCTCCTTCAATTCGTCCGGTACCTGGTCGTGCAGGCTCGCGGTCCACTTGCTGGCTGACGGACCGCCGAGAACTTGGTCCGGCGCGTAGCAGGACGCGCTCTTACTGCCGCCGAGACACTGCGACGCTTTCCACTCCTTCGTGGGCCGCAGGTGGTCGAGGTAGCCGTAGGAACTGGCGCTGCCGAAGACCAACTGCACGCGGAAGTCCTTTTCTTCTGGGATGTGCATCTGAGAAACCAGGGACCAGCGCTGCACGAACTGGGCTCCGCCGGAATGACCCGCCACGATGACTTGCTGGGTGGCGACGTGGGCCACCACGTCCATGATCCTGTCCATCACCTGGAAGCTGGTGGCTCGCGTGCCCGCGTTGCTCGAAACCATGCCCTTGTTGCTGTCGCCGTTGGTCCTCGTGCCCCAGGTGTTGGCGCTGCCCTTCCGCCCCCAGTAAAAGTAGCGGCTGCCTGTTTCCGCGTCGTCCTCCTTGTACTGTGCTCCGGGGCGAAACAAGGGAACCACAACGTCCCACTTGATTTTGTTACTGAGTTTTTTTTCGAAGACCGAGCGGCTGGCGAACTCCTCACATAGCTCTGCGGTTTTTTCCACGACGCGGGGTTCCCCGGTCGTGTCATTGTAGCTTGTGAACTCCGGCAACACCACCAGGATGCGTTTTCTTTCACGCTGTACACTTCAAACTTCTGAATCTCATCAGGAGAGTCACGGTTGTATATTCCGGTGTGATAGCTGCACCGTTTTTCGATTTCCTCCCGCGGATGTGGTTGAGTCTGCACTACACCCCTTTGTAGGAGCGACGCTCGCTTGTGGTTCTTTGAGTGCGAACGTTCGGGCGCACTGGTTTTCGTTCTTCGGAGGTTCTTGCGATTGTTCTTTGCCAGAAAGTTCTCGCTTTCGATGGCTGGCAGTGCAGCTGCAGTCGCGGCGGAGATGCCGAAAGGCAGAGCTGCCAGTGTCCCGCGTCTCTGACTGCCTCGGCTCATGGTTCCTGTTTGTAAAAACGAACCAAAAGGAGCGTCGTGCAATGTAGATGGGCAACGCAATGAATCAGAGCGAAACGGTACAAACACAGACAAGACTGGTTGAAGGGTGTGATAAGACGAAGAGCTACTTATTCGTAAAGCGCTCGCACAGTGTGAAATCGGGATGAAAAGGGACAGAAGAAAAATCTGGGTGAAGTTATTGGCTCAGCTTGCCGATCATGAACGATTCTCAACCAGCAACCTTGTTCTACACGAAGCGATGGACTACGGAAGAGCAAAGATTACGGAAAGTGAACGAACGATAGTAGAACAGCGGACCGACTACGAAAACAGCGGCTGACTTTCGCACGAAAACGGTACTTCAACGCCGAACGATTTGCACGATACTGACTTCGGAACGATTCGCACGACTACGGAATTAGCGCAATAAATATTATAAATATGTTGACTTTGCAGCGCATCATCTTTTCCTTCAACACCAAAGTCGTCTGCACATGTGCCGGAAACGCCTGCAAAGAAGAACACTGCGGCTTGTAGAGTTTCGAACATGAGTTTGCCACTCAAGCACGGCGAAAGCCTGCGCATTTCGGGGTTTTTACCCCGCTCTGCTGCTTTCTTAGAAGTACACTTCCCTGCCAGCAACTGAAGATAAAAATCCGGGCCGGCTCCTCACTTCAGCTTTCCGTGCGACAGCGTCCTCGTGACTCCCATCAATTGCGTCTTATCTTTTGTGGCTCCACCCAAGGCACTCCCCTTGTCTTTCTGCACCGCGATCGTGTTCCCCAACAGTCGGTCCGATGATTTCACACTATGCATTGCAAAAGCATATAGCGCACCAGCAAAAGAGGCATCTTTACGTTTACACAAATTTCTCAAGAAAATAAAAAACTGCATTGCACCCGAAAATAATTTTTATGCTGCAGGCACTACCTGCTATCCGATGCTTTTCCAATGCATACATGTACCCCACGTACAACTTCTCCATGTCGACCGTTTGGTAGTCCACCCGGGAGCCATCCAGCGGCGTGATGGGCGGGAACGCCCCCACCATCATCGCCTTGAAAAATTGCGGTGTGGTGCTCCAGTCGGTGTACCCCGCGTCGTCGAAGTAGCCCGCCAGCCACTTGCCCATCTGAATCGCCTGCTCCTCCCTATTGACCTTCTCGTCCACGTTTTTCTGGTAGGCCACTATCATTTTTCGTTCCTCCTCCATCTTCGCGTGGTCCGTCAGCGAACCGGTCAGCCTCGTCTTCACGAACTGCAAATTCGCACTGGCATTCGAAAGAAAGGCCGCAATCTCCCCCCCGTCGTCGGCGGCGCCGTTGGCGGGGTAGGCGCCCCATTTCGGTTGCCGTGGCACAATCCCCGCGAGGGCCTCCTGCACGTCCAGCTTGTCCTTTTCCGCCTGCTCGAGCACCTTCGCGTAGCGCTTCGCCTCGTAGTAGTCGATTTCCTCGTAGGTCAGCTTCCCCCAGTCGCCGTCGGACAGCGCGAGGTACTCCTCCACCGACTTGCAGGTGAATTTCTTTTCGCGCTCTGCATCCGCACGGAACGGCGCGGGGACCATGCGGATCAGTGGGGCGTACGCGAACACGGCCATGGTGGAAACGCCCGCGGTCACAAACATGGCGACCACACCGTACCTGCGGAAATTTTATGTCTCTCGTGGGCAGGAAGCGAAAACCAAGAATGGTGCTGCGTGCTAGTACTGGCGCCCAGCGCAGTTGTAGAGTACGATATCATGTGGACGAACGGGGAGAAATAAGCCTAAATCCTAAAACCCTGAAACCCAGGGATGCTCGGCACTGGCGATTGCCATACTTTTTCAAGTCTACTTCGGTGGTCCAACCATGCAAAGTTCAAAAGCAAAAGGAAAAAAAAGCCGTATACTTTCCGTCTTCCGATAACTTCCCATCCGCGTCTGGTTCATTTGCCGCGTCGTACACATTTGCGATGGTCATGGTCGAGTATCCCGGGGAAAAATCCCCCCTCCCCATGTCGAAAAGGTACGTCGCAGAAAATTTGCAATGCTGATTTGCGACCGCAAATGATCTCTGTCTTGAAAGAAGGCAATTCCACAGGCTCCGCCGCATTATGCAGGCGGTTTGTGATGCTGTTTGGCCTACAGCGCAGACGTTTCTCATGCTAAGCGCCTAGGCCAAAACCTCTCTACTCAGGCTTGATGTGGGCCTGCAGTCCTCTTCAGCAAGACAAATCTGATTTGTGTACTCAAATCCAGCATCACAAATTTCGTTTCCGATATGGGGAGGGGGGATTTTTCCTTTTGACATCGAGATCGCCTCCATCACGCCCATTGCCAGCTGGAGCCGCCCGCTCCACGTACCGATCTGGTCTTTCGGCGAGTAGTCGTTCACAATGAAGAATGCCGCCAACGAGCTGCAGATCCCGAACAGCTTCCCGAAATACCACACCGCCAAAAACGTGGTGTAATTCTTATGGTGGATGATGGCCTTGTTCAAACAGAGTTGGGTCCCCAACGTCGCGGCCGCGCCGAGGGCGGCCGTCGCGCCGAGACCGACCTTCGCCCTGCCGATACCGGTGATGGCCATGGAGAGGCAGATGATGACGATCAGGGACAAGAGGAGGACGTTCTGAAACATGATGTCATTGGTGGCGGGCCAGACATTTTGCAGAACCGTGCCGCGCGCAATGCGTGTCCCCTCGTCGCCGGCGGAATCGAACGAGCAGCCAACGATCGTGATCCAGAGGATCTTTCGTTGCAAGTCCGACATCTTGTTCTTCGGTTCTATTTTGGCCGCTGGTGCAGCGGGAATTTCTGAGCTTCCCTTGGTGGCGTCCTTCGACTCATCCGTTTCTGGCGAACCGGCTTTGACCGCCAAGGCGGTGCTCTTACTTGCATCCTCAGTTGCTAGTAAACCGGCCGGTGTAAGAACAGCATCCTTTTCTTCCTCCACCGAGAGCAGCTCGTGATACTCGTCGGCATGTTTTTTCTTCTTGGGTTCCTTCACGTACAGCAACAAAAGGGCGTAGCAAACCGCAACGCTCCCGAACGCGACCCAGGTCACGCCAAACATTCTCGCCCCGCCCCTCTACAAACGGCATCAAGACCAGACCCGCGGTAGCACCACCGAGGAAGTTCACGCCCATCAAAGTCTCCAGCCACGCCTGGGCCTGCCTCCTCGTCCGACATGATGTCCCGGATGTACCCGTTCACAACCGTCAGCGTGCTATTCGAGAACCCCTTCAGCGCTAGGCCAGCCGCGAAGCCCCAGTAGCTGCCCCCGGACACGCCCGAGAGATACATCAACGCAAACGCGGCGAACGCGCCGAGGTGCGCGGCGTGGAGGGCGGGCATCCGGCCGTAGTTGTCGCTAATGTTACCCCACGCGGCCTGGCCAACCGCGCTCGTCACCGCGATCACCACGGCGAGAAAATTTGACGATGCCGAAAACTTAAATGGCACGTCGTCCGCGTCAAACGCCTTCGGCATGCCGAGTTTCTCAAACGCCAACGCTTTCAAACCCGGAAGTGTGTTGAACACCGCGACGTCGTAAGTGAAAAACAGCTCCTTGAACTCGTCGGACAGGCCGAGGTCAGCCATGCCCTGGGCCTCCCACACCGCTTCGCGCGCGCCGCGGTCGTTCGGCGGAACCGCGGACGCCGCGGCGGAAAGAGCGCCGGCGTAAGCCTCGATGGGGCCGCCCTCGGCGTTCTGCGTCAGGATGTTGATTGCCGGCATGAACAAAACCATGGTGAAGGTGTCCACAAAGCAGGCGAGAATCAAGATCTTCACGATGAAACCGCGCTTCGCAGCGTCCGTTTGCATCGCGACTTGCTCCGGTGTGAGCGGCTTGGCTTTACCGTCCGAAGGCTCCGCATCTCCTGCTGTTCCAGCAGCCCCTTGACCTGTCTCGCCGACGTCCTGCGATCTTCTACCGGCGTCTTGGTCCGCGGCCTTCGCCTTGGTTTTGGAGGTGTTGGTTTGTCGCAGCTCATTAGAAGATGAAGTACGCCCAGGATCCCGTTCTCCGCCGTCAGCAACATCAACTGCAACGTCGGCCGCGGCAACCGGAGCGGCGCCAGCGATATTACTCGCCGTGGCTTTGCCGCTGGCACTCGCGGCCGCGGGGGGCGCCGCCGGACCGCCTCCGCTCGTCAGCGTCGGCAGTTCGATTTCCACTTCTTGAGTAGACTGTTCCTGCTTGGCGGCGGCCTCCTGTACCATGTTGAACCAAGAGGAAAATAAAAAGTGACACTGAACTTTGCTACATACTTACAATGACAACTGCTTGGGCGTCGAAGCGTATACAATTCCGCCCTTTGAAGCGTGTAATATTGAAATTGGGCCGGTAGCTAGCGCGGTGGATTGGGAATGAAAAGATGGCCTTTGTGGTCAATGCCACAAGACGAAGTAGCTCATTTTGACAGCTACGCTGAGCGCTTCAACCCATTCCGAGGCAGAGTTTGTGGTGTTAGCGACGCGCTTACGCTTAAAGACATGTCCCGCCACGATGAATCACCATCAGCACCACAAGTTGGCTCAACACGTACGCGAAGACCGAATATCAGGGGGCATTTCAATACGACTGTCAGTCAGATATTGTTTTCCTACGACCGACCACAACTAGATGACACCGAAAAGAGAAGACCACGTCCGAGCTGCATGGTCTGGCACGATGTTTCTATACAGGCGAGCGAAGCTGTGTCTTCAGGGTAGCAGCCGCGGCGCAGACCGTGCTTGTAAGCTCTCGAGTGTGATGGAGGTGCGAGTCTAATAGTATCTTTATCTTACTGATCCTGACTTCGTTGTCTCCTACTTGCGGTTTTCCGCTGATCCTGCGTCGTTTTTCGGCGCCACGTGGCGAAAGTGGGTGACCGGCACAGATTTTCTTCGAGCGCCAGATCTCACGGAGGCGACCTGCTGAAGTAGGTCGGGTTCCAACAAAGATACAACAAAGGCGTGTACACTCATGCCAGTAGCTGAGCGCGACCGTGCCTTTGGCACGCTGCCCCCTCCCGCGTCGCGGCAGGATTCATTTTCGGTCGATGCTACGTCGCGAGCCGGTTGCGCTAGCGCCGTGCACTCGGTATTCCCCGTCGCATACTACATCACGGTCGTCACCGCGGCGCCATTCTTCTTCGACCGCAGCCGCGGCATGGCGCCGGGTGATCACGAAGCGAAGAGCCGGACGCATAAAAAGCCGCTCCGATGCATTGCAAGTTGTACTCATTCACGGTCTCACGCGCGCCTTCGTAAAGGAAACTGCAAGGCCCCCGAGGCCATGTCCGTGATCACCTCCGCTCCGACGGCCGGGTGCAGCAGCGCTCTCTGAACCGGGCTACACAGGTGGCTAGGGGGAATTGAGCGATGTTGGGCCATCGCGACGGACCTGCCTCGAGAGCTGCGCCAAAACGCCGACAGGACCCTTGGGTCCTACGCATGCTGCAGCGGACCCGCAGCGGCGGGTCATCGAGCAAGCGCGAGCGGTGGCGCGACCAAGCGCCACTAGGGCGTCTACGGATCGTAGACGGCCTAGAGCGGGGGAACAACGTGTTCCGCGGCGGATCATCGGGCGTCGCATCCTACGCGAGGCGCGTGTGAGCGCGCGCAGGTTGTCTACGGATCGTAGACAGCCTGGCTAAAAGCAAAACGAGCAGCAACAGGGGGGGGAAGCACATGCATCTGCCATGTGCGACCGGGCCAACAGCGGCCGGAACGAGCACGCGGCCGTGCGAGCGGGCGCCGAATCACGGCGGGGCGCATCGTGCGCACAATCAAGCAGGAATCGGGCTGCGTAGCGGCAGCAGCGTCCGATCGAGGACGCGAAACAGCGCCCCTCATCGAGAGGGGGGCGTGTAACGCAAGTGCAACTAGGGCGCATCAGAACAAGATGCGATCGCCCTGCAATCACACCCCAACCAGTGGGGTGGCACAAGCGTGCCTGCAGTTGGCGTGGATGGTAAGACCACGGAGAGCCAACGCTGAGAAAAAATCTCAGCAGGAGGACTCCCTGCTGCCAATACGAACGAGCGCGATTCTCTCGCGCTCAGCTCTCAAGCGCAATGTCTCTCGCGCTCAACGATCGAACCGCTGCGAAGGTGCACTCTACGCAGCGAGGAAGGGGATGCGCGCCCCTTACGCATCTAATGCAGTCAAACCGGCTGCATTCGGCAGGCTCACGCAGCTGCATACTCATTCACGGTCTCACGCGCGCCTTCGTAAAGGAAACTGCAAGGCCCCCGAGGCCATGTCCGTGATCACCTCCGCTCCGACGGCCGGGTGCAGCAGCGCTCTCTGAACCGGGCTACACAGGTGGCTAGGGGGAATTGAGCGATGTTGGGCCATCGGGTCCGGAGGTTCGAACCATTACTGCCAACGCAATCCGGTGACCACATATATAGAAGATACTCAGATCGGGCGCCATGTGCCCAATTTAAGTACAGTGGGGACGCTACTCCAGGGGTAGGGGGACCGGGGTGGGCACCCCCTTGGCTGCGCGACCCCAACTGGTGGGCCTTAGTGGCGATCAGCAGTCTTGCAAGCTCTGCAGGGGTGGGTGGGTGGGGTCCGGACGGAAACCGGCCCAGTAGCTCACTTGTAGGCCGTTATAGAAGCATGGAGAGCGGCAGGCTATCTGATAAGCTGCTAGATAGAATTCCCATCCTCCATTTTTTCCGAAGGGAAAAAAATTTCAAAAAAAAAAACAAACGACCAGGCACATCACAACTTCCGGAAGTTCAGCTCTATCAAAGCACCAACTTTACTAGAATTCCGTCCATATTGGACAATGGTAATGCGTTGCCAATGTCGATAGCTGAACTCTATTGGTTTTTTTTAAGTCAAAAAATTTCAAAAGTTTCAGTGTCGAGAATTATTAAGAAAAATAGGCCACCAAGGGTTCACGGTCTCAATATACCATGCAGATGAGCATAGAGGTGCCGTAATTCTTAGCTTTATACTTCTTTTATAACAAATTTTGCCCATGTCAAAAAATTTTCAAAAAAATAAAAATTCTCTATCGGCGCAATCTGGGGCGCAAATGCATGCGCGTGAGCCTGCCGAATGCGCGGGGTTTGATTGGCCCAGGCGCGGCCAAGGTCGCGGCCGGCTGGTGCGCTGGGTGGGCAAGCGGTTGCGCAGGGGCGGGCATCCTTGCCCGGGGCGGTTGTTTGCCGGGTAGGCTTTTCCGGGAATCACTCGGGGGGCCGCGCCCCCCCCTCCCTGCGGGGCCCGCGGTGGTCCGGGCGCTCGGGCCCCTTCGACCATAAGTGGTCCCCCTGACTCCTTGGCCGCAGTCAGTTATCTCTCAGACGGCGCCCGGCACTGGTCGTGGTACGTTCGTGCGAGCCCGGCCTACCGGGCTGTCTGTGATCAGCTGCTATTGCGATCGCCAGGCTTCATGCCTGGCTGTTTTGTATGATTGGGCAGCAGGGAAAGCTGTAGGCCCGTGGGCACACGATTGTGCCCAGGCCGGTTTCCCTGGAGGAGCTCACCGCCCTCCCCCACTGCAGGTGCCTGTGCTTGTGTGTAGCACAGGGTCGGGTCGGACATTCATGCGGAATGCCGGCGCCGGTGTTGCTGAGCAGGCTGTAGCATCGACGCGTCGATGCGGCCTGCGCTCCTACGTGTTGGAGCCCCCCTATGCGCTGGGGAGTTTGTGTTGCGACCTGCGTTGCGCCTCGTGGTGAGGTAGTGCAGCCTGTGGCACGCGGCTCGACGTTGTCTGCGCCGATCTGCAGTGGCCTCAGACCCAAGGTGATGGAGCTTCTTGTGCGAAGCGCGCCCGGGTTGACGCCGGTGGTCGGCTCTGTGGTATTTGAGATTGCGGAGCCTAGCTAGGCTTGCCCATACTTCCGCCGCAGGTCGACGCGTCCCTGCTTGATGGCTTTGCTGCCAAGCGCGGGCCTCTATGGGGTTCCCCCTCGGGGTTGAAAAGGTCGCAGTTTACCGCGGCGCGCGTTTTGGTGATGTTTGGTGGCGACGAGCGTCGCTCCCGAGGTGGGTCGGTCGGGTTCGGCTCCGGCCGAACTCACCCCACGCGGGTGCGCGGCGTTTGCGCTTCGGTGCAAAGCTGTTGCGACCGACTCACGTCGGGAGCGACACTTCGTTGCCAACTTGCATTGCTGCTGCTGGCATCTAGGCCAGCGCGACGGCTCGTTTCGCATGGGGCAAGCCACGTGTCGTGGCACCAGAGGGATTTCGGCCCGGCGGTTGTCGCCGTTCAGTCTCTGTAGTAGCTGGCTGTCGCTATGGCTTCCGGTTGTTGGTGTTGGTGCTGAGTCTGTTGTAGCTGCGCTGTGGCTTACGGGCGCGGTGGCGCCAGGATTGACCTTACTTAGTGCGAGCCCCCCTTTCGAGGCGCATTTGCGTGAGATGGGCATCGCCGCTTCGGCTGTCTCCCGTTTTTCGGGTCGCAGCGGCCTCTGTCTGCGGACATGACAGTTGCGCGCAAGTTCTCGCTGCATCGTCTGGCGACGAGCTCTGCTTCCGAGGCGGGCCGGTCGGGTTCAGCTCAGGCTGGGCTCACCCCGCACGGTTGCTGGCGCTTGGTCGCGAGGACGCTTGTCCGACCTGCCTCGGAAGCGAGGCCTCGTCGCCTGGGTTTCTCGGAGGTGCGCACGGTGATCGCGCGGCGCTTACAGCATGCTGCAGGTGCGGCTGCTTTCTGCTGGCCTTTTCCTTCGGCCAGCAGGCGATGCAATCACCGCGTCATGCGCGATTTCGTTCCGGCCGGATGCTTGCGCCGGGGCCGCGGGCTGGTTAGGGCCCCTGATTGGCTCACTCTTGCTTGCAGGCTGCCCGGAGTCGGGCTCGGTTTGTCTTGCCGATTGCGTAATGACTGGCGCCGCCGGGCGTCGCGTCCAATGTGGGTTGGTCGCGCGTGGCGCAAGCTACATCCACCACGCGCGGACCTGGATCGCTTGCGCATCAGTAGGCGCGGAGCGATGACTACCGAGCCACCGCGTCTGGTCGCGGCGCTTCGTCGCCTTTGTTTTGGCACTGTTTGCGAGCCCCACTGCTACTGGCGCTAGCTGCTGCTGCGGAAGATGTGTGTGCACTGATGGCAGCTACGGCTGCCGCGGTTGGGGGCTTCGTGGGGTCTCCTATCAGGACCCGAATGCGGCGGGCCATCCGGAATGGATGAGGGCGGCGTTGGTGCGCTAGCGCATGCTTCGCAGGTAGCGCCCGGCGTTTGGACAGATATTTCTGTGGCGCTACTTGTCAGACTGCGGTGGTTTTGGCCTTGTCGTAGGGCCGCCTGCTTCGCGCAGCTGGCGCTGATTGGCGCTTCATCGGGGCCTTGCTCGCATGCCATCGCATGCGGCGCTTCCGTTGCGACGCCTCATCATTGGTCGAGCACTTCCGCCCGAAAGAGCGTGGTGGCGGTGG